CTCCCTACTAATACTTTACAACCAGCTATAGCTAATTACTGCAGTTACTAGTACTAGCTATGCAAGTTTTTAAAATAAGTATTTTTTTTAAATTTACTATTGCAATAACTAGCTTTCTGCCTTATAAACCCCTCTAAATTAAAAAATAAGCTATAGCTAATAGTGCTCTATAGTCTGCCAGCGTCAAGAATAGCGTTAGGCTAAATTATAAAATATACTATAAAATACTAGCATAAAATGCAAAATATATACTTAAAGCACTAAAGCTATATATTTATTATATAATTATATACGTAGGCGCAGTACCGCTATTTGCGTTTCTCTAAGCTACTAATATTTTATACTACTATATTACTATTATATTAATTACACGTAAATAGGGCTAGGAGTATACTTAACCTTTTTAGTATAAACTAGCTATTATTTGCACTACTGCACCTATAAGTAATACTTTAATGCTAGAAACTATCTATAAATAGCAATATTTTAGCCCTTCTACCCTACTAAATAATACTTAAGCCTGCACTATAGTACAAAAATGCAGAAATATAGTATGCCTAGCAATAAATTAATTCTGCAAAAAACTGCATATTATAAAATAAAAATATAATGTATTATACGCCTAAGTTAAACAAGGCATAAAATTGCAGGGGATACTATACTAGTTACTTTAAATAAAATTTACAAAAAAATAAATACAATAAATAATAAATATTGTAATATTAAACTATAATTTAATTTTTAATTAAATGCCTGTTTATAAGCAGCTTTGCGCAGTTACCTAAATTACTATCTACTATAATTATAATGCTACGCAATACATCTGTATTTAAAAAATACAGAGTTTATATATACTGCCTAATATTAAATACCCTACTGCATTATATATAAACTACAGTAGACCTATAGTACTAAAGCATAAAAAATTATTAAGTAGCGCTAATAATATATACAAACTATTAACTATAATGCTTTATATAATAAATAACTCTAATTAAACACTTATATAAATAAGATAGCTATTGCAACCTAGCCTTAAAAAAAACATACTAAACGTTAATAAGCTAAACTTTGTTTTGTTCTTAAAAATACTAAAAAAAAAAGTTAGCTTTTAGAAAAATAATAATAGTATATATTACTATATAAAAAATAGAAATAATTAAAGATAAATGCAAATATTAACTAAGTCTTAGTAGTATAGTGTACTAGAAGATATAGTTAATTTAAAAAGAAATAGACTAAGCTTTGCAATTAAACCTTTAGTATAAATTTAAATACTATATATTTAACTGCCTATTTATCTTGTAGTTGCTTTTTCTACTATATATATTAATTTAGTTTACAATATTCCTATATTATATTTTATATAATACTATATATAATCTATCTATCTTTACGCACATTCTATAAACTTAATAAACTATTATAAATAAGTACTAGTGCCTTAAAGTAATTAAGTTTGTAGAGATAGCCTATATTACTATAATACTAATACTAATAGTAAACAATTATTAATACTAATAGTAGACTATAAACTACTGTTTTTCTACTAATAAATCTGCAGCGTTTATTAGCTTTACCTGCTATACTTAATAAAAAACGCGTATACTTTAGCCTTTATTCCTACTAGCTATTTTTTTAGGAGTTATTGCTTCTTTTTTTTTTAGAGTTCTGCTAATGCTAAAAGGTTTACTTTATTATTACAGTTCTACAGTCTGTGCCTCCTATACTATTATACCTAACTACTATAAGTATAGAAACTAGAACTTATTTATTATTATGCAATAGAAATATTATAACAGAAAAAAAACAAGCTATTAGTAAATCTAGGAGTAGTAAAGTTAGTTCTAGTTATAGTATCTAGTAGCTAGAATACTAAGCAGTTATAAAAAATAAAATATACTTTAGTGCTATTTTAAGTATATAGTAACAGTTTAGATAAGGATATTAAAAAACTATTAAATGCTATTATAATGCTATTAGCTTTATAGCGTACTTAAAAGGCTGCTTTAAGTAGCTAAATATTAACTAGTTTATAGTTATTAATTCTAAATAACTGTATATTTATACTTGCAACTAGCTATAACTATAATAAAGTAAAGCTAATTAATAAATATAAAATATCTAACACCGCTACGCAGAAAGATATATTTATACTAGCTTTTTTATAGCAATATTAATATATATTAAATACTTGCAATATAATTATAAAAAAAAGCATAGCTAATTTTATTATATAGTAAAAATAGTAGCCTAGCTTTTGCCGCAGATACAACCGCACCTATTTAATTTTTTTTAAAATATACTATAAAAGAATATAAAGCGCTAGGCTAAAGTTAAAGTACTAGTAAAATATAAAAATACTTTTGCTAAAGCTAAGATTATTTTAGTAACTTAAATTATAATAAATAATAGTATAAGTGCAGATAGGGCATACATTACTTTATAAATAAATTCCTACTATAACTAGTTTATACAGGTTGTACTTAATGCATAAATAATAGCAAAAAAAATAATACTGCTATAAGTTTAAAAAATAGTTCTTTTATAGCTATGCTCTAGTGCTGCTTAATAAATAAGTATTATAGTTTACTATAGTAAAATAGTAGTTAACTATACTTTATTGCAAATACTAAATATAGTTAGCAATTTAAAAACGCACATAATGCAATAAGCTAAAAATAAAGTTAAAAGTATATATATAATGCTATACCTAAAGCAACGCAGTATAACAATTAGTTAGTTTTTAAATAATTTTACCTACCTGCTAAAGGACCTAAAAAATGCAAGTATATCTTCTAAATATATAGAGTAAGAATAATAAACCTGCAGCCTAATTTGCTATAGTTTATATACTCTAGTATTACTACTATACTTGCTAAAGCTTTTTATACAAATAAAAAATAAAGACTTGCTATTATAAGTTAGTTAAAAAACTACTTCTAGATACTAAGCGCAAATACTATAGTACTAGTAAGTATAATAATATACTACACTATTAATAAGTACGCCAAAGCTAGTACTAGAAAAACTATACTATTTTATAATTATATAATAAAAAGTAAATATATACAGAATAGTATATAGCGCATAATTAATAAGACATAGCAAACTATAATACTATTTGCTAAAAATAGAACTAGCTAAGTTTATTAAAGCAGCTTATTATATAGGAGGCACTGCGCAAAGAGATTGCTATATATATAAATAATAATAATAATAATAAACTTGCTATAGCTATTAAAAATAATTAATATAATAATAATATTAATAATATTATTGCTATATATAATCTAAAAGAAGGGGAGTATTATATATAGTTAGCTTAATAATATAAAAAAAAGCAGCAACTTTACTCTAATTAAGTTAAAATATATTATATAAAAAATATAAAAGTATAGTATTATATACACAACTACTATTAACAATACTAACTAAATTTACTTATATAAATATATATCTAAATACGCTTTTTATCTAATAATATAATTAAAGTTAACTTTAATTATAATATAAGCGCTGCAAGCTTTATATAAATATATAAACTAAATAATAATGCCTAAGCCTAGTTTTAAAATAGTAATAATAGATAAAGTATTATTATAAATATAAACTAGTATACTTTTACTAAACTAGCCTAAAAAAAGTACTATACTAAACTATATATAATAATTATTATACTTATAAAAGATAAATAGGAATAGGAGCTAACTAAGTATTAAAAACAGGCTAATATATATAAAATACAGGTAAATAAGTATATAATTAAAAATAGCCTTATATAAGCATGCAATAATTCGCTTTAATAATAGTTTAGTAATATAATTATTAATATGCTTTATTAATTATACTACAATTGCAGCTAGTATATATAGTATAAAACTATAAAAAATAATAAAATAAAGCAAAATTCTAAATTCTATTTAGAAGTTTATAATAGGCGCTTAAATTTAATAAAATATATACTGCTATAAAAGCTATTAAGCAGGATTTATATATACAACTTTTATTTAATATATAGTATAATTAGGCACTATAAGCAAGCTTGCCTATTTCTGCAATTTTATTAAAGTAAGTAATACTATTAAGGCAGGCAACACTAGTAATATAGGCAACACTAGTAATATAAATAATATTAGTAATATAAGCGACACAAGTAGCATAAGCAAACTATATAAAATAGTTAAGTAGTACTAGCTAAAGTACGCAATAGCAGGCTAAAACTAAAAAATAAATATAAAGTAAATATAGCAAATATCCTAGTCGCGCAGATTGCCGGCTACTAGAGCCTGCTTAGCCTACTATACCTAAGTTAAATTTTCCTAACATAGTAGTAGATATTAAAGTAAAATCTACTTTTATATAAAGCTCTTTCTAACCCTAAGTTACGTAAGGGCGCAACGTAAGTAATAAGTAAAAGCTTTAAACTTGTTGTATAAATTAATAACGAAGGCTTCCTAGCCTGCAGTTAAACTACGGTAAAAAGTCTATATTTAACAGTTAATAATAAATATAGCTAGCTGAGCTTCTACAGAGCGCTTCATGCTTACAGATAAGAGACGAACACGTCTAGAAGAATCCTACATCCTGGCTAACTGTAAACTTTTAAATTCGATAGGCAGTATGTAGGTTGATCCGTTGTGACGTTGGTGAGTGGCTAGCAGGATATCAAAGAGGAAGGTACCAAGCATAACGTCAGTTCAGATGACACCACGCCGTTTTGTTGCATCGCACCTAGAGGCGCTCATCTCCCACGATACACCTGCGTGATCACAGCTCCATAATCGCAGTTCTGTTGAATCAAGCATTGATAAGAGTACCATCTCGACCCCCTTTCAGCTTGTCTTCAAGTACCACCACCTCACGTCGTTCTCTGAAGACCACATTGTGACTCGCGACAGCTCATAATGGCGACACAAACGACAACGATCGATAGCGGTGCAGCAGATGCTATTCCGATGCGAAGATTTGGCAAGGAAGGTTCGGATGCCGAGAACAGCATGACGATGCCAAATAGGAGACAAGGTATCTTTTCAGATACAGACAACATTGAGGAACTGGAGCCTCGATCTGGGTCAGCGGAAGAAACTCGCGATTACCCTACTGGTCTCAAATTCTGGCTCGTAATCATCAAACTGGGCGCATTGCTCGTTCTTGGCGGACTGGACACCAATATCGTCGCCACTGCTGTACCAAGGTGCGTGTAGTAGAACTATTGGAGAAATAGAACTAATTTTCTTCGCATCAGCATCTCCAACCACTTCCATACGGTAGCCGATGTTGGTTGGTATTCATCAGCCTTCAGGCCCTGCTCCTGCGCACTCCAATTCATTTTCGGCAAAATGTACAAGCTTTTCTCCGTGAAGCGCATCTTCCTCCTCGCCAGCGTCATCTTCTTGCTGGGAAGCTTGCTGTGCTCAACAACTACAACGTCGGCTATGTTTGTAGCCGGCAGAGCCATCACTGGGGTTGGCTTCGCAGGCATTATTAGGGGCTTTTTCACCATCCTGACACATATTGTACCTCTTCGTAAAAGACCCTTTTACTGCGGCATGTGGGAGGTGTCGAAAGCGTTGCCGTGCTCGGCGCTCCCATCCTTGGTGGAGTGTTGACGCAACCACTTGGCTGGCAATGGTGCTTCTGGATCAATCTGCCCATTGGAGGCGTCACTCTTCTGATGATCAAATTTCTCTTCTCCGATCCAAAGCCGAGCATCAAAGAACATTAGTTTCCGGGACAAACTTGTTCAGCTCGACCTATTGAGCAACTGACTTTTCATTCCTGGTCTGACCAGCCTCTTCATTGCACTTTCCTGGGCCAGCACCAAGTATCCCTGGGACGACGGGAAAGTCATCGGGCTTCTCGTCACCTTCGCCGTCCTCATCGCAACTTTCTCTCTCAACCAACGGCGCGGTGGTGATACTGCGGCATTACCGCCACGCATCATGAAGAACCGCAACGTCATCGCCGGCGCCATTTTCACAATGTGCACCAACAGTGCCATTAATGTCCTCGAATACTACCTGCCGACCTATTACCAAGTCGTGCACGAGTATTCTCCGAGTAAAAGCGGTTACATGATGGCCCCGATCGTTGTCGGAAGCGCGCTCGGCATGTTCCTTTGCGGATCTGGAACGAGCATGGTGGGTTATTATACGCCTTTCATGCTCTTTTCATCAATTACTATGCCTATCTTTGCAGGTCTAATCACAACATTTGGTGTGAACACGGACATTGCACGACTTATCTCATACACTGGCGCATCCGGATTGGCAAGCGGAATTGCATTCAATGCACCAATGAGTGCGGTACAAACAGTACTCTCAACCGAAGATGTCTCGCTCGGCTTGTCTATCGTACTGTTTGCTCAACACTTTGGCCCCCGCAGTGTCGATCGCTATAGCTCAAGTGATTTTCACGAACCAGCTCTCCTCAAATTTGGCTGGGCTAATTCCCAATCTGACATCGACGGATATTGGAAACAATGGCTTGATGGAAATCACGGGGCGTGCACCGCCTGCGCTGCACAATGCAGTGCTCGCAGGAGTCAGTCGAAGCATTAGCGTAAAGTGGTATGTTGCTGTAGGACTCACATGTGCGACGCTAGTTGGGAGTCTGCTCATGGAATGGCGCTCTGTCAAAGAGAAGAAGACTTGAGTAAGTGAACTACCATCAGGTAAGGCTAACGATCTAGGTCACGGGAAGAAAGATAGAACCAAACAGAATATATGTGTAACATGATCACTCACACATAGTATGATTTCTCCATCCAAGCAATCGACCTATGCCGCGATGATGATGTTTGGAACCATGGTTGGCAACCTCTCGAATGCAGCCTATCCTGGAAGAATCAATGTAACTATAGATATCTCCGCACTCAAAGTACTTTTACAGAATTAGCGATGGCTCAACTAGGGCGTAGGCGCTTTGGAAACCCTCTTTTCTTGATTTGAAAGTAAAGTCAACGCTAGGAGCGGATTATCCAACGCAGTACAGGAAATCAGTATAAAACTATACTTCAGGTGCTATACCCAGCACCTTAACACATTCTTAACGTAGTAATGTATAATTTACATTATATAATAGCTATATTAGCTCGCATATAGTAGCATTTTGCTTAGAGGCTACATTACCTGTATACTCGCAAGGTACGTATATTAAGACTAATTAAATACATTAGGTATGTGCTAAGAGTAGATTTAACTGAGAAATAGCGCAAAGTCTAGAGATTGTCAAATGCTATAGGAACAAAAAAACAAGTCTCCCGTATATCGTTGTGAAATACTAGGTTCTTACTGTCTTTATCCATGCTCCAGGCTTAATGATGTAGAACGCTGTGCGTGGACTATTGGGTGACCCGCGTTGGCGAAGACTATCGCATGCGCTGCATGTTGAGGTGACCGAGAAGTTGTTCGCCACGTTTCCTCTCTCTCCTTTTGGATACCTTGCTTTTCCGAGGGTGAATGAATAGCTCACGTGACGTTCGCAACGATTACCAACCCAAAAGGGTAAACAATGGATGGCGATAAATCTCAAATCCGGTAGAAGGGAATAGCTTCCAAGAAAGATCTTGACAATCAACCATATAACTAAAGTAAATTACGGTAATAGATGGAACACCGGGCCGGGGCGCAACGGCGGGTGGATCGCTTGAGCAAGAATGTGCCCAGTTGTACCTGCATTCAAATGTGTGACATATATCTAGAACGAGGGATACTCATTCCTGAAGTCCGCCGGCTCCCTCAACACCCACAAGTCTCAAGCCTACGTGGGGCGAGCGGGCGGGTTTTCTCGTCATGCTCGGTGTTCGCTAAGACCCTACCTCAGACTCAGCTCGCGCCTTGCTCCAGCCGCCGTTATTCGCCTTACCTCCTACACCCGCGTCTATGGAATGCAACTCATATCAGTTACGGATGTCCGTTGCAGAATGTTAACAACACAAGCTTTGTTAAGCTCTCTCAAAGCCATATAAGCGTTTTAGGCTTGGCTTCTAAGGGGAGAAGCTTGATGAGGTATCCATGACGAGGCAGGCGACGGACGCCTGGGCGTTTGCGATCGCCTATAACAGTTGAGATGCACCCCTCAACATGAGCACACGACCCTTATCCTCTTGCAGAAATTTTCCCAGCACCCAGTACGACGCCATCGCATTCTTTTGATTTGCCTGGCATTGGCATGTTTCGGGTTCTCTTGGTCTGAAAGTCTCATCTAGCCGTTTGCGTTATCTCTATGCGCGTCAACACAACTTTGCGATAGCGACACTTGGTTCAGACCATGCATTTACCATACACTAAGAGACCTCTACCTATGTTGCATACCTCGAACACGTCACGGCCTACCGAATAAATACAATGAAGCTCCCGACCGAGCTACTTCTCCTCGCCCTCACGCACCTCGCCTCCTGTGCCACCCTGCGACCGCGCAGCGCCAACTTCGCCTCCGTTCGTGGCCTTACGAGCCTATCTACCGACCACTCGAGCAACAACGATGTTCTTCGACCCGAAAAGTATTTCCACGAATCGACGTTCCACTCACACTACGATGGCCGCTTCGCAGAAGCCCAACTACCGCCCCAGACACGCGCCTTCCACCTGCGACTACTCTTGCGAAGCTACATGGACACGATGGATATCATCGGTATAAGGACTTGGATAATGCATGGCTGTTTACTCGGCTGGTGGTGGAATGGCAAGATCCTGCCATGGGACAGCGATGTGGACGTCATGGTAGACGAACGGTCCATGGCAGAACTGGGGAATTGGTGGAACATGACTGTACACCATTATACTGCCAAGGATCTTGGGATATCAGCAAAGGACATGGAGAAGCCCAAGATACCCCACAGCGTAGAAGATCAGAAAGCCCATCTACGCAAGCTGTACTTGGAAAAGGAAGTTTTACGGAAAGGCAAGAAGTATCTTTTAGAAGTAAACCCACACTACACGAACACGAGTACAACGGATAGACACAACGTCATCGACGCACGATGGATCGATACCGCGACGGGGCTGTACATTGACATCACCACCATCCACGTAGCACCTACCCCTCCCGACCCACGCGATCCAAGCTCTCCCTCGTCCAACGTGGAAGATGAAGACATTTTAATGTTCACTAAAGACCAACACGCCTACTCGCACTATCAAATCTTCCCCTTGCGCCGCTCAACCTTTGAATCCATCCCCGTCCGCATACCCTACGCCTACGAGTCCCTCCTCGCCGAAGAATACGGGCTGGAATCGTTGACGGATACCTGGTACAATGGCTACGGATTTGATCCTGACACGCATGAATGGGTTATTGCGGAGCCGACAGAGCAGCAGAGTAAGGAACTAGCGGACAGAGAGGCCATGTACATGGCGTGGGCGAATGGTTGGTACAAGGGGCGGCACAGGAAGCCAAAGCCCAAGCCAAAGCCAAAGGAGAGGCCCAAGCCAGAGCCGAAGCCGAGTCCAAAGCTAGCAACTGGGACAGTTGTTGCGGAAGCGCCTCATAGTACTGGCGAGGGCGTGCATGGGGATAAAGCTGGGCAACTAGGCGACGGACGTTGGCCGCCTGGACCAGGAGCAACCACGAAGGCATGAGCTAATGCGTTACGAAACCTATCTTTGCTAGACACTGTTGTAGAATTCTGCCTCTTCTGTACACTACTTTGTACCGAACTAGTGTAACTCTCTTAGAGAAGAGAAGGACTGCGACGCATAAACTTAGTCGCAGCAACCATGGACCTGAATCCAGCCAGCCTCTCGTATAGATTGCATGTTAGTCAATAAGGGTACTGCACAGCGTTACCCATCTACACATCACTTCACATCGCATCAAGACACAAGTTGTATACTTGGTAGATAGAATCAAGTACGCGTTAGACAAACTTCTTCTTAATCTCATAATTTCCAGCTAAATCCTCTCACAACAAATCTAATGTTATGAGTTCCTAGCGTTGAGGGCAAGAGCGATACAGGGTCTACCTGTCTATACAGACAGACATACTAGTGACCCGTATATACCTTGCGAGATATAACATATGTTGTCTCAGCTCCCGGGAGTCTTAGTATCGCGATGCGTGTTCCTCAGATACTCGTGAAGCCGCTAGATAAGAAGTGTAACGCAGTGGCTTGGCCTAAATATATTCAGACTGGCCTCATCTATCATGCTGTCTGAGCATGTTAGTAAATTCACATCTCCAGAATATCAGTATAACAATGTTCAGCACAGCATAAAAACACAGCAATGACAGTGATTACCTCCATTGCATTTCATAATAATCTACAACCACACGAAGAGACCAGCCTTGGGGTGAATTGGTATCAAAGTCCAAAGTCCGGTTCCTTCTTCATCTACACGTGTCAACATGCTGTTTGTGCGCCAGAACAGCCCCCCAATTCCAAGTCCAAGCAGAACGAATTGGGGGAACAAAACAAAAAAAAATCCCGTGTATCTCCAGCTATGCTCTCTCTCTCTGTCTCCTATCAACACTCGGCTCAGCCATCTTCTCCCCATACACTTCCTCAACATCGCAGCCCACTTCTCAATATGACCCGCTCGTGTGCCAAATCCAAAAAAGAACGCGCGCCAAACCGAAGGAATGGATGCCATATACAGGCTAATTACACTTCCAATCGACTTTTTGTGTTGTGTGTGTGTGTGGGTGATAAGAGGTATACGCTTGAAAAGAAAACGACAGAACAGTAGCCTGGAGATGTACAGTGCCGTGGAAAATATATAATCAATTCGATTCGATTCATTCCCGAGGTAAACGCCAGAAAACGCCGCCCGATGGTTGAAGCGCAAAATCCAAATGTAGTGATGGGCGCTGAATATGCGATGTCGAATAAAAAACGTCTAGCGGTCGGTAGACACGACGCCAGCGATGATGGGGCGCTGCGAAACGTGAAACGCAAGAGAAATCCAATAATTAAAAGGATATGAAAGCACAGAGCGGACAGATCAATCTGATCCTTTCTCGTATTTGACGGGATGGAAGAGCGTCGGCCGCATGCATAACCGGCCAGTTCCAGCCTCTTCCTCAGCTGGCCCGCCCTTGTCATTCTCGCGCGAACCAAGCCACCTTCGCCACCACTCTGAGCTGAAGCCTGCATTGTAGTAAAAGCTGTTGCCCAGCTGGTTATGCTCGCCCCAGCCGAAAACGCTGTCGGTGGGTTTTGGGGGCTTGTTGAAGGTACCATCGATGTTCTCGAGTGGCCAGTTGTGGTCGAAGTAGACGGGGTGGGCGGCGTAGACGGCCTTTAAGCCGTGGTGGAATGCGACTGATGGCGGCCACATCTCAGGGAACATGTGGTGCTTCATGAGATACGTTTCGCGGTGCATGAGGTCTAATAGACGCTTAGATAGGCGGGATACGGTGATGATGGCGCAACGTCTTGGGGGTTCTGGCAACTCAAGGTCGTAGCCAGTTACGTCGTCGCGGAAAACCCAGTTCGTCTTTGCTGGGTCGAAGATGGGGTTGAACGTGATGATGTCGGCTTCCTCGCCGACACCCCACTCATAGTTGTCTTGGAGGTAGGATCGAGGGGGCTCTGTTTCTGGGGGACTGGCAAGCATGCCTGTGTTCTCGAACTTGGGTGGGCCCCAAACGGGCTTCTCGTCGCTGTTGTATAATTCCTCCTCCACCATTTCAGTAAAGTTCTTCCATGAACCGTGGAGTTCTGGAATGTAGTAGCGGGAAGAGCGCTCCCACAGACCCTTGCGAGGCTGCTTCTTGGCCCACTCGCCGATCTTGTTGTGGAACTCGTAGTAGTGGCCAGTAAGGCGGAGATCCATTTCCCAGTTCCAGTAGAAGTCGTACTCGGGACGAGCTTGCGAGAACCACTGTAGAGCAAAGTGCGCGCTGCGGTATACAGAGTGAACGGGCGCCTTGGCATGGTTGTAGACGTTATTGGGAAACGGCTCGGGGTAGTACATGCGCATTTGCTGCTCAGACCAGAGAGTAGCCATGCCCCAGAACTCCTTGGGAAGATTGTCCTCGATGACCTTTTGGTAGATCTCCTCCGAGGACCAGATGGGAAGGCTATCGTCCTTGACGTGGAGTAGGAAGTGAACATCGTACTCGCCTCCAGACTTGAGGGAAAGCTCATTGATCATGGCTCGGATAGTCAGGATTTGGTAGTCGGTGTACTTGTAGCCGGTCCAAGTGCGGAGAATGTAGGCGTGTCTGGGCACCTTCTTCTTCGCAGGCGCCGACTCTTCGGTTGGCTCAGTGGTGTTCTTCACAAAGCGGTGCTTGTTCTTCTCGCGGCAACGCTTTTGGGCAGAGGCCCAGTTGACCTTGCGGTAATCGACCTTCTTCTCCCAGCTCCAAATCTTCTCAGAACCAGCCTTTTCCGACTTGGCAGACATGTCAAGGCCGCCCTCATCGCGCGAGTAGGAGTAGCCATAGGGTCCCAGGCGACCAAAGCGCTCGAAGCAGACTTTGTCGTTCATGCCAAGCTCCTCGTACGAGCCGAAGAAAGGTGCGGTCATGTTTTGAGGAATTCCAGGGTATGCGTAGATGTCGGGCAGGTCGACCTTCTCCTCCTCGTCGAGAAAGCACTTCTCAACCGAATCGTGGTCTTTTAGGTAATCGGCGGAGTCGAAGTTGTAGGGGTTGAAGGGAACAGGGTCGAGGGGAGGCTCCTTGTTATCCTTGGACATGTGCGGCCACTTTGGCTTGATGTTGTCCTCTGGGTTGGGGCTCTGCGAGTACTTGACGAAATCCTGCTCCGACACCCATTCACCATAGGGTACGATGGTACGAACACCATTGAAGAAACCACTCAATCTAGGCCAGTCAGCAATGTGGTTTAGTATTTGATGGCATGCTGTGTGCTTACCGAGGATAGTGTTCCCAGTGGTACTGCTTTTGGGCTTCGCCTTTCCGTTGCTGTGCGTTCCATCTGTGCCTTCTGTAGATGCCTGTTCCGAGCATGGAAGCCAAGACGACGACTGTCACGACGAGGGTGACAAGGCGGGCAAAGGACAAGCGTGGGCGCTGCATGCGACTTGCCCAGGCGGGCTGGTGGTATTTGTTGCCCCATGACTTTGTGCCGAAGAGTGGTAGAGGGGATGGATTCTGACTGTCGCCGGGCACCTTCTCGTAGTTGAAGCGCGTCCGTATGAACAGCTTCCCGGGGTTGAAGCGCGAGGCCATTGTGGTGGAATAAGGAGGAAATATAATGCTGTACAGCGGCTGTTGCTTATCGCATCTGCGGCCAAGGCTGCGCAGAACGAGTCGGTCGCGGGCACCAGGAGAGGGTGTGTAGTCGAGTGATGGCGGGCCTGCGTATACTCGGCCGTCGCGCGAGAGTGTTTGTCCTGAGGGAGTGGAGGGACGACAGCGATACTGAAACGAGCGTACGGTCCTAGGGACGAGCAGGATTGAGGCGCTGTTGGGAGAGGAACGAAGGCGGGCTGAGAGAGACGGAGGAGACGCTGGGCTGACGGAAAAAGGGTGGCCGCCCCAGACAGCCTAGCGTGGCCTTGCGCCTGCCCGTCTGCCAACCTGCCCTCGTCTAGCCACTCTGGTCTTGAGCTCGGCCCGTAGGATAAGGATCAACGCAAACTAGCTGATGCAGCGGCGGATTGACAAGCCTCGCGGTAACGAAAAGTAGATCGAAAGAGGAGATGGACAGCAGGCGACACGCAATTGACTCTCTGCTCTGGATGGGTGCTGTTTGGCGGCGTGCTCATTCTTGCGAGGAGCTTCATGCTTCGTTATCGCAGGCATGCTTGGCAGGCGGCCCAACCAAAAGGCGCCCAGTTATCCAATTCGATTCACTCTGCTACGGTAATAGAGCCCCCCGCCACCCACACACACACACACCCACCCTGCATAAGACGTCGTGCAGCTACAACGGCATTGCGGCTGGTTGCCCGTCGTCCCAACAACAGCAAGTCTACTGCGACTGTTCTCGTGGGGCCTGTCTCGTTGATTCTCGTTGGGGTACTCCGCAGCCTTAAGGGTCACTCCTCCTACTCTCCTCTCCTCTCCTCCCCTCGCTCTCTACCGCGGCAGACGTGCAAATGGAGGATGGCTCCAGTGCCACCCCTGGCCTTCCTTCGGCCTTTGCCCGCCCCTGGCCAAGCTTGGGAAGTTCGCAGCAAAAATTACCGCCTGCTAGGCTTTGATTGGACTCGTCTCAGCTCAGTCAGCCGCCTACTAAGGCCTTTACAGATTGCGTGCGCGTCCTTTCAGTGGCGGCCAGTGCGGGCGGGCCTCCCCCGGCCGTTCGAGATTGTCGCTTGGCGTCAGATATCTCGCCGCATCGAGCCACGCAAAGTGAGTTTTTGCAGAAGCGGTGCTGGACTGTCTTGGTCGGCATGGCGCTGGCTGTTGAAGATTGAAGATTGAAGATTGAACATGGAGGCAATGCTTTACCCAAATTAGGAGCCCCGCACCCAATATCCACTCTCCACGAAGGAACCGTGTCGCATCCCGCGTCATGACGTTGCCCAGGTGGACGCTGTGCACCACCACGCATAAAAATCTTCATTCTCCATCGTCTTGGGGCGCTAGACTTCGGATCTGCGTGGTCAAACACACTAGGCCTCTCCCAATGATATCATGCGTGAGCGATAACTGCTATCCCCGGGTGACATGTGCATGTGCCAGTGCCAGTCCAAGCTCGACGGCGGTATTGGCGACACGCTTATCGTAGCAACCACGATAGAGACACAATGCCCCAGCAGGCCTCAGTGTTGCCGGTACCGTGTGCTGTAACACTGACCTGTCGACTTCACTGGAGCTCAGAAACCGGCTATAGAGCGTCGTCAGCTGTGAGAATGGTCAGTCGTCACCAAGACGGTCGGCCAAACATACCCACATATCCGATACTCGACGCGCAAACCCTCTCTTCGCGCATGATTGTAGGTCCACTGCAGGCAGGTGCTCCGGAACTATGAGACTTCAATATCCAGACAAGCTTGTCGTTCTGGTAACCATCGGTAGATCCCGCGGTTGCGTCACAGTGGGACGTCTCCCTGTGCGGCAACACGAGTACGAGACTCACCACGCACCCGTAAGTGGAACCTCGACGCTTGCTCGTGACTGTGCCTACTGTGTGTGTTGTACTTGTATGCCTTTTCCACTCCTTCGGAGCGCATCTTTGGGAAAGGTGTGTCTTGGTGACACCGTTTTCGTAGGAGTGTGTGAGACACGATGTTGGAAAGCATCAAGAATGGTAAACAAGCTTGGACTGGACCTCATCGAGTAGGCTGAGCTGTATCACCCTTCACTTGGAGTCGCAGTTATTTTTATAGGTAGTAATCATACCTGCTCGCCACTCATTGACCTTCGATCACGTACTCATCCGGTCTCGATCATACAATGCTGGTATACGGGCCTCTGGGCTTCGAAACTTTGTAGAGGTTGTGCCGTTGAGCATCTCCAGGAAAGTGTGTTGTATCTTCGCCATGGCACCAGGCCGAGGGGTGCATGTGTAAGAAAATCTCACAATAAAGCCCATAGACGTGTTATGAAGCAGAGAGCAATTGAATGTTTCTTTGCGACTGCTCGCGCATCTACTGCGGCTGCTGAGCATGTAGCCAATAATAGCGCGTAAAGTTCCGAGCGGGCCGCCTAAATTTCCGAGCTGATTCCACCTTCGACTCACACGCATAACCCCACGATTGGAGGCCTGTACAGACAAACTACACCACATCCGCAGTCATGGCAGGAACCCGGGGCCCAGTGCCTGTTCCGCTCGAAACGAAGAATCGCGATCTTACCCAAGAAGTCCTCGACCTTCTCGACACGAAACAGCCCCTCCAAACCAATGAAGACTTCCCCGCTATATCGCAAGCCGAGATCAAGGCTGCGCTGGATAGGCTCGCAAGCCGGTCCATGGTGGAATACAAGTCAATAGACTCGGAGAAGGTTCTTTTGACCCCAGAATCCGAGGGCATTGTCGAGCATGGAAGCCACGAATTCAAGGTCTGGAAAGCCGTGAAGGAGGCGGGGAAGATTCCAATCAAGGAACTGCCGGTATGCACAGTATCCAGGGAGGCTATATGGCTTCATAGCTGACGATTAGCGTACAGAACATCGTAGGCGCCGAATCCGCGAGTGTAGGGCAAGGCAATGGCTTCAAGAACAAGTGGATAAAAAAGGACGGCGACTCGCTAGTCCCTCTCTTGACCGACTCGCCCAAGGACACCAACCGAGACATGCTCAAGGACATCCAAGAAACCCAATCCGTATCTGATGCGAAGCTACTCGCCCAGCTGAAAAAGAAGAAGCTGGTCACCGTCACCAAGGTCATAACCTATACCGTTACAAAGGGTCCAAAATACGCAAAGGAGATACCGGTAGAGCACACCGACTTGACTGCTGACCTACTGGCAAACGGCGCGTGGGAGAAGGCGAACTTCAAGCCGTACAATTTCGCAGCCCTGGGAGCAAACCAGGATGCCGGCGCACTACATCCTTTGAATAAGGTCAGGCAGGAATTCAGGACCATTTTCTTCTCACAAGGCTTCGTTGAGATGCCGACAGGACAGTAAGTTCGCCATCCTTTTCAAAGTGCGCAACACTGACAGCGTTAGCTACGTCGACACTGGCTTCTGGAATTTCGACGCGCTCTTCGTACCTCAGCAACATCCCGCGCGCGACATGCAGGATACTTTCTTTGTTTCACATCCACCAAAAGCTGATAAGCCGCGGCTAGACCCTGCTAGCGAAGCGACCATGGACCGCATGGAAGCGGGTTCAAAACGCCTCTTTGCGACACCAGAGAGCGAAAAGAGGGAAAAGAAGCCGAGAGATTTCGAGAAGTACTGGCAGGATGTCAAGAAGGTGCACCAAGATGGTGCCTTTGGATCGATAGGATGTATGTGTCTCTGCAACTATCCCCTCGCGCTCTGTTTCGAGAGGGCAGATATATAGGCTTGGGTACCTTGAGCTGACGCGCTGTTAGACCGATATCCTTATGAGGAAGATGAGAGTCTGCGCCTTGTCCTCCGAACACACACAACCGCTGTATCAACATGGGCACTCCACCGCTTGGCAGAAGATCCTCGACCCGCCCGCTACTTCTCCATTGACCGCGTCTTCCGTAACGAGACTGTCGACGCGACCCATTTGGCAGAGTTCCACCAAATCGAAGGTGTGATCGCTGACTTTGGTCTCACCTTGGGCGGTAAGTCATCAGTATTCCCGAACTAGATAGTCATAGAAGTAATGCTGACGTACTACAGGCCTGCAGCGTTTCCTAGAAGACTTCTTCGCCAACATGGGCATCTCTAACCTACGCTTCAAACCCGCCTACAACCCCTACACCGAGCCCTCCATGGAGATCTTTGGCTTCCACGCTGGCCTCAAGCGCTGGCTCGAAATCGGCAACTCTGGCATGTTCAGACCTGAGATGCTGGAGCCCATGGGCCTGCCGAAGGATATGCGCGTTTATGGTTTCGGTCTGTCTCTTGAGCGGCCCACGATGATGAAGTACGGTGTTTCGAATATCCGAGAACTCTTGGGGCACAAAGTCGACTTGAGCTGGATCAGAGAGCAACCGGCTGTGCGTTTCGACAAAGAGTAGATGTTGGAGGATGAGGAAATGGACGATGGTTCGGATGACGTGCATGAATGATACGATAGATCATGGGCTAGGGAAGATATCCAAATTCAAAAGTAGTCATTGGTACATGTGAGGGAAGCAAGTTATTGCCCCATGTAGCCTTGGATATTTGAGCAACTTATGCTTTTTGTTGTGATAATTAGTTCTTGCTGTGCTACTACTCCTGGGTGTTCCCAAGCTGGATCCTCTGCTAGCATTGTCTTCACTCATCAATCACACACAGCATTCACATTCACGTAAGACTACATATTCCAGACACCTCAGGAGGTGTGATGAACTATCGACGTCTTCGGTCTTGACGTTGAGTGGGGTATAATTTCGATCTTGCGCCTTTGCGTCTCCTCTCTTCGCCTCCCCATCCTCATTCCCTTTCCAAGCTCCTACTAACATCCTCCGCAATCTGCCTATTCCTCGCACCCTTGTAAATCCAGCTCTCACCAGGTCCCCCCTCCCCCACCCATTTCTCCTTGGCCAACACCAGCCCATCCTGCCCCAGCCCATACCCCAACCCAACCACCAACCCCAACCGAATCGTGCGCGCAGCCATGGAGACAGGAAACTGATGCCACGCACTCCACAACCCCCCCGTAACCATGCCCGCCATAGCGCTACTCCAGAAATCCCGACTGCTCCCCACCCCGCGATCAATCCGTTTAATATCCAGCTCATCCACACCCTCCATCTCCGCCATGGTGCGGCCCGCCCTCCACGTGCCCCGGAACACGTCGAGACTCTCTTCCACGACGAAGAAGACGGATGACCAGGCGGCTATGTAGCCGCCTTTGCGCAGCCCTTCGAAGACGCCTTGTTGCCACTTGTAGTAGTTTTTCGACTTGTGGTAGAGGTACCAGCCCGGCTGGGAGATGGGGAGGCGGTGCGCGTTTTCCGCGCGGAAACGTAGAGATGCCATGTGCCCCGCGTCTATGGAGCCTAGTGTGAAGCCTGAGAAGAAGGAGAGGGCGGTTGTGAGGAGGAGGCGTCGGTCGAAGGGCATGCCTAGGCGGGGGGCATTGCTGGGGGTTTGGAAGGTTTGGGAGGGGGGTGTGGAGAGGTCGGCGGGAGGTAGGGATTCATTTTCGTGGGTTGTTGCCATTGTTGTTGCCATTGGGGATCGGTGTGGTTCGTACGATTGGATTTCGGTCTGGCGTTCGACGAGCTATGCACTCGGTGCGGAGGTCATGCGGAGATGGGTACTAGCTGAGACAATGGCGGCACGGTGGTGACTAGTGATTGAGCGCAGGTGATTGACAGATATCTAATTGACTGAATCCCGAGGTCTTCGAGTCAATGTGTGGACGGCTTAGTAGGTGGTTCTAGTGCGTTGGCTTGTAGAATGATCCGATGAGCTGTGGAGCTAAGATCACGGTAAAGGCACCATGCCAAGAGATATGGGCAAGGATTTGGTGAACTCACTGAGTCGCGCTCCGCAACCCCGCCTACCCCTCTATCACTTGCAAGAACGCGTCTTAATAGTCAAAACTCCATTGCTACTTACTCTTGTCCTCAACAGCGAAAAGAGACGCGTCATTCGGTTCGAAGAGGATCATTGAAGCAGGAACGCCAACCTTCGCTCTTCCATACACAGCTATACCATCATTCGGCCAGAACGAACTATCTCAATCATTCCCGCGCCTGAAGAGATCACCATGGCTACGCCTTCACCACAAACATGGACGCTTCGCCTCAAATCCCGCAAAACCACTGTCCTCCTCCACGTCGACCCACTTCATACCTTCCCCACGATCAAATCATACCTATATGACGCTCTCCAAGAAACAGACCTCAAAGACGCTGAGACCGGCGAATCAATACCAATGCCCGCGTCACCGTCAGAAATCCAGTTCGGCCGGCCAGTCAACATCAACGATGCGCACGAAGGCTTCCAACTAGGCGAGTGGGAGTACGCAGCGGCCGAGGAAGAAGCTGAGGGCAAGGGAAAAGCAAAGGCGGGGCGCAAGTCAAATGGCGGGACAATAGCGAGTGCGGCAAATGTGAAGAACTGTCCGAAGGGTGCGGGGCTGAAAGATGGTGCTGTTCTGGCGTTTAGGTGGGCGGGTGATGGAAATTGGGATGGGGATGATGGCGATATGGATGTTGATCTGGATAAGGGAGGAAGTGGGAAGGAGGCAGATATGTGGGGTGTTAAGCTGGCAAGCTTTGAAGATGCTTATGGAGTGGACAACGAGACAGATGTCGGCGGTGGACGGGAGTTTGAAGGATGAGGAAGAAACACGACCGGATGAACTCACTTCTAAGTCTGGGCAAACAGAGGGGCGTTCAAGTGTATTGCATTTTCAGGAGTCCTCAACAAGACAGTATTAAGCTACCACTTCCTAGTTGCGGGTAATTATAGTTTCCGAACTTTGCATGGTATGCGATGGCATGGAATTAAATGTAGGGTATGCGTGGCTCTTGGAAATCATCTCCTCTGAGGAGAGTGCTCTAAACAATGAAAGAGCGTTTAGATATACGCGATATACGTGGCAATATAAAAAGGCGGTAGAAATCCGTGAATAAACACGCGAAACATGATCAAATCACCGATATCGTGCTTAGACTCGGAAACCCAGTTCGCCACTATACCCAAAAGTAGACTCAAGCAGAATGTTACCCCAAGCAGTTGGTCTAGCCTCAGTATCCAACATACTCGGTACGCTGGAAACATCCGAAAACGAATAAGGACATAGTAGGTAATGACGTATAGGAGAAGAGGGATAGGATATAAAAGCTCAATAAGTTGATCCCTTCAACACGTCAGCTTGTAAGCTTTTCAAGAGATGTAAAACTAACCATGTATAGGTGTAGCCAAGCTGATGCCGGAGCCCCCAGAGAGTGAATTCGAATACGGCACAGGCGACAGCAATGAAGGCAGAAAACCATAGACGGATAAACCTTGTGATCGCTACGATAGGTTCGTAAACATCCCAGTAGTGTAATGAGGGGCGAATCTGCGGCCCAGGTTCATCCACAGATACGCGGATTTGTATAACGTTGGGAATTGCCTAGTTGCATATATACGGTCAGATCATGTCCATAAGGGGTGAAGTTTCACCTTGCCTGTATTGCCATGTTCCCCGAAGAATTCAGTGACAGTCTCAGATTCTCATGCTTCTCAAAAAGGTTGGCTAGCGGATTGGAATTCGCTAGGGCCGTCGAAGCATCATTGCGGACCTGTAGAGCCACCTCTTGTATTGTAGGTGGTCGTCTTCTTTTACCATATAAAGTCGGCTCATAATGGAAAGGTGTCCTAAATCGCTTCGGCACAAGCCATGTGTGGAGTGAGATGACCAGGATTTTGTGCATGAGATCCAAAGCCGTTGAGACAATCGACCAAACACAGGTTCTCAGAGCCCCAGAACGGTATTTTAGATAAATCAGGCTATCACCTATATCTAGCGTGAACCGTACCACAATCGCAAGTACGACGACATCAGCCAGTATCGACATAGAGAGAACACAAATCCTGGTATAGGCACTGCTTCTAAAGCACGGTAGGCAAAGGAAGCAGAGTTGATTGAATATGAAGATGGCCGTATGAGTAATCAGGACTGCACGTGTACCGTGCAACTTCCTTTGTGCGGCTTCATCCGGAATTGCTCTCTCGGCAACAGCCGCTAGATCGAAAAGACCAGGTAGGCTGAACACCGATACATATAGCTGGGCTATGAAGAAGACGAGGGACCAATACCAGAAACAGAGCTGTAGCCATTGTCGTAGGCAGCAATGAATCCACTTTGCAGCAGGCGAGGCCATTTTTGGATTGCTTATCTTTTTTCTCCTAGGGATAGTCAGTCGTTGGTCTTGCACAAGCATGCGTTGAACTTACGAAGAGGAAGTGAGATTGAGTGATAACCGCTGTGCGAGGTCTAACCAGGACAGGAAAACCTCTATTTATTTCCATTTAAGACAGTTTGTAATTTTGTTAGTAGTAAAGAAGAAAGCAAGTCGAGGGTTACGTCAAAGTTGGGTTCTTAGAATCAGGCTGAAACCAGTGGGCTAGGCTGCGTGACACATGCACGTGTTAAAGCTGACCAAGGTCGATCTCTCAGCCTTGTGGGCTGTGCATCTCCCATTATCTTCTTCTAAACACAACAAACCAGTGGATTCAAAAGTCAACCCATATATACATACAGTTATGATGGAACTATGTTCTCGTTGCAGTAAGTTTGATATCCAATCTTTCGGGGATGGCTTCCCTCGAGGTTATTTCCTAAAAGCTGTCATCGAAAGTGCCGCATCTGGCTGCACATTTTGTAGCCTGTTACTGGAAAACATCAAAGGAGTGATGGAAAATGAACAAGATGCAGACCTGGGGGCGATGCTTGGTCTACAGGCCAGTTCAGGTAGTTCACTACCACAGAAAATGCTTGGTTCGATTTTCTCACACTCTGCTCTTATACACTTCTGCACTACACGGTCAGTGGATTATATCGAAGAAGAAGAAAAGTCTCTGCGCATATCGCATCTGAATGCTTTCGTTGGGTGGAATACATGGCCCCCCAGCCTAACTAGTAAAGTGGTATCCTTCCACACCGCAGCAGAGCCAGGTAACTTGTCTCCAATCTAAGATATGAATAAAGCGCTGACCTTAAAATCCAAGGAACACCAGCACACATCTCTGGGGATATTCTAGGGAAAGTGCATTCAGACCCTCGTCCGTGGTCAGATACACATTTTAATGCTATCAAGAGCTGGCATAACGAATGCATTCTGGATCATCCAAATTGCAGTAGAACTCTGTCAAAATGTCAGTCATTCAACATTGAACATGTCGCCTTGCCCACACGGTGTATTGAAATCGAATCTGTTCAGGAGAGCACTGCCCCTGGCTCTGGATTGCGGTTCGCTCTTCGCGAAACTGCCGGCCGAACTGGGACATACGTTGCATTGAGTCATCATTGGACAGAAAAAGCCAAGATTGCACAAACGAAAAATTCAAATTATCAGTGTCGAACACAGAAATGCGAGCATATCTCACCCTGCACTACGTGGATTAGTAACCCCCTTACTACACTTTTCAAAGAGACATGCTGGCTTGCCATGAAGTTGGGCATTCGGTATATATGGATCGACTCCATATGTATCGTGCAAGATGACACCGATGACTGGGCGAAAGAGTCCGTCAGGATGGCTGAATACTACCAGCATGCGTGGCTCACTATTGTCGCGACAAATACGTCGGAGAGTGGTAACTTGCGCAGTGATTTAGGAATCACAGACTTCCCAAGGATCACCCGCCTGCCGTACCATGACAAGGACGGATATCAACAGGGCCACTTCTATCTACAGGCAACTGGCCAAAGTGTACTTGCAACAGACTGGCAGGAAAATGTCGGCAACAGCACACTTTTGAGTCGTGGATGGGTTTTACAGGAATGGCTCTTAAGTCCTCGACTTCTGACCTTTTCGAACTCAAGTTCAGGTATATTCATGCAATGTCGAAGTAACAATACCCCAAAGATGGTAACTGGTGAGGCACTGGATACCAGCCTCATTCGAAGTGACCAGATAAAAGCATCAACTATCGCCAATGCGTTCAAGAACATCTTACCCTTCGACATGTCATCCAAAAAGAGCCTATTCAAATCGTGGAAGTCGGTTGTGGAAGCGTACTCAGCCCTCGATCACAGCCGCGTAGAAAAAGACCGCCTCGTATCACTATCTGGAATAGCAGCTGAGTTTGGTGAAGCACTGCAGAAATTGCTGCTGGACACGTCTCAGATAAGCACGGACAGCACCGGAACCGCAAATAAATACGTATGTGGCGTTTGGTATGATGACATCCCTAGCTTGCTATGGGAACGATCTGAATCTAGGCCTCCGCGAAGATTAAGGGGGATCTCGGCATGGTCTTGGGCTTCTTTGGGGACTACGGGAGTCTCTCAAGACGGCGCCGAGACTCTTGTAGGCGCCAAAGTACGGTGGCCGGATGAGCACAAGACAGAAGAACTGGTTTGCGTAGTCAAACAACGAGTCAGGTTACAAGTTACAACCGAAATCTGGCAACCCCTATTCAATTCACCCACAGATCAGTCGGAAAGCGGGTATGGGAATGATAGTCGCTTTGCGATTCTACGGCTGCGCGGGCGCCTACACCGTGTCTGCATAGGCTCAAGTTTTATCTCTGAAGGAGATACAAACTTCGCAGCAGAATTAACTGGTCATAGTCCAGACTTTGGAAGGTCCATGTGGCGCCGGGTTACCACGTACACGAAAACAGACATCGTCGCTGGCTGGGCCTCTATCGAACATCCTAATTATCAGACTGATGTTGAGTGCCTATCAGATAGTTCTATTTTCGCGTTCTTCGTGGTCAAGATGCCTGGTATCAAAAGAAACTTCGGCATAGGAAGGCTGAGCGGGAAATACACTATATTTAGGGTGCTGTATCTGAGGAAAGTCGAGCGGCCGGGGTATGTACCATGTTATGAGCGGGTGGGTGTGGGTAGGCTATTCGAAAGGGAGATAGAGTCGCTCTTCGAGTCAGCAGGAGCAGAAAGCATTTGGTTGATATAATTGGGAGGAAGGCTTCAATCTGGCAAAGAACACGGGAGTTTCTACAAGCACTCCCCAATAGGTAAACAGACACCAGTTTCCGGTAATGAAATCTGTAATTAGTCAGTCAGAAAGAGGCAACAGTGAATCATTCGCCTTGGAACGAAGCTGCGGCTGACTTGGGGGTGTTCAGGCGAGACTACATCATCTTGGAGCCTAGCCTCGCTTCCGCAGCTGACTGCTGTACCCCACCTTAGCCTTGCCTGTCTGCATTCTGGGCCGCCTACGTTAAATTCACCCAAAATAGATCAAAATTCGTTGAAAACGAGTGCTCACAAGAAAAGGTGGAATCAAGCCAGGTCGCCTTCAACATATTTTGGTTCCTTGAGCTTATTCACGGCCTCACTGCGCCAAGTTCGTTGCTCACGACTCTAGGCTCGTGCCAGGCAACGCACTCTTTGCCTGCAGCGCACGTGTGTTTATCGAAAAGTTCAAGTAATCTCTACGCATTGGGGGTCGCATATTTGCCGCCACTCACTGCTTCCGGGCACCCATCCACCTCAAGGCCACTCAGCCTCGTTGGTTACCAATTAACACGCTAAGACATATGCACAGCCACACCGTGCTCGAGGTTGCCAACTCCCCTCAATGTTCTGGACGACACTCGCTTCCTTGTTCGTGTCTGTACTTTTAGAAACTCCTGGGTTTCGCGCCATTTCTTGTAACATGAATGAAACAACTCAACCACAGAAACGCAAACATGCTGAAATAGACGACGAGCAGCGGCCGATTTTAAAGACAACTGCGGCAGCCTTATTATCCAATCCCGATCGGCGATCTCAACTTTGTTCCACCTGTGACGCAATCGACTTTGACGAGATCTCACGACTTCATATCAGATCGAGACTTGGTAAAGAAGTCCGGGACCTGGGCTCGCTCGACACGTTACGATCGTCTTCTTGCCCACTTTGTCAGATGTTCTTTAGATCAAGCCCTCCGCTGACGGTGAGGGATGATTTGGCTACGAAAGATTATGTTTACTTGCGCGCTTTCTCCGCAAACAAAGCTTTTACTGGGCTCAGCCAGGAAGAACTATCCACGGTGGGCGGCGACACCATCTTGCTTGGCGTTGTTCGAGTACCACCCGGCGAGGCCAACAGCGGCAATAATCAAGCGCAATCTCGAATGATCTCATCGTTGAGGTCATCTGGATACATTTACTCTGCCTCAATCAAACAGCAACATAGCGTAGTTGCGGTGCGTCCAGTCCATCTTGATAGTTTTGATATCACAACGATACGCCATTGGTGGAACTACTGTTGTAGGAACCACACCACGGTGTGTAACATGTCTAATGCAGCATCCATAAGGGACATGAAGGTGATTGACTGCGAGCTACGGACAATTGTGGCTGCTCCAGCTGATTGCCAATACGCAGCACTGTCGTATGTCTGGGGAGAGCTGCCCTCAGATGAGACCTGGAAGACGGCAGGCGAGGGAATTGAAGGGCGAAAGCTTCCCGAGTTACCAGATACTATCGAAGACAGCATGCAGATTGCCCGGGATCTTTCGATACCGTATATTTGGGTCGATAGATACTGCATCGATCAAGCAAACAAGGTCGATAAGCATCGACAAATACAACAGATGGATTTGATTTATTCTTCAGCTACATTAACGATCATTGCGGCAGCTGGAGAAAACCCTAGCTACGGCTTACCAGGATTGAGTGGAGGCCCGAGACAAGGACAACACAGCTTACGCATCGGCGACCGTCTTTTAGTTGGAACGATACCACCAGTACTGTCTAATTCTACGTGGGCATCTCGTGGTTGGACATACCAAGAAGGTATTTTGTCACGCCGTCGACTCATCTTTACAGCTCAACAGATGTTATACGAGTGCAATGGTATGCACTGTACAGAGTCTTTAGTACTACCACTCGATGTTTTACATACCAAAAGCCGACATAGATTCAAAACGTCTGTAGCTTTAGGCTATTTTGAAGCAAAGCGTCCCGGTAGCAACGCACTCGACATCATGCAGTACATCTCTGAATACTACCAAAGACACCTCTCCTTCGACGAAGACGCCCTCAACGCTATGCGAGGAGTGCTTCAAGCATTTCACAAAGCGCCCGCATCTCGGAGAGTATACACTGTCACAGGCGTTCCAATCTGCTCTATACTATACTCCAAAAAGTATGAGAATCCAACTCCGGCACAACTGTTTCTCTTGGGCTTACTCTGGTATCATGTCGAAGGCGGTATTAGAAGAAAACATCACCCAAGTTGGTCATGGGCCGGATGGAAAGGCGGGAGATTACAATCCCACAGTTTACTAAGACGAGAGTGGTTCTTTCTTTCTGGGCCAAGTGACACAACAGTCTCGATCGAATTAACCGATGGCCAATTGAAAGAGTTTCCTGACTTTAATGATCTATCGGACTTCCTGTCTTCGATAGACTACTCAGCGAGATACATCCACATTGAAGCATGGACTATACCTTGTTCAATCGTTCATATAACGCAAAAGTCATCAAAATTTCTGCAATACTCGGAGTTTTACATAAGCTTTCCAATAAATGATGTCGACGTTGGATATCTACAAACCCATCTGTCAATTGACACGTCAGATCCCATTCAGCGCACAAACCTCCTGCAGAAGACTTATGTTGTAATATTCCTACCATGGGAACACTCGCGAAAAGAACCCCGACGGGCATTTGGCTTGGTAGTCGAGGACAAAGGACTTTTCTATGAGCGAGTAGGTTGTTTTGAGCTTAGCGAAGTTGGCGTTTTAAGGTCCGCTTGGTGGCCTCACGATGTTGTTTTGGACTCGGGAGACTCTAAACGCGACATGATTGAGCGATCATCATTATCGCAATGGTTTTACACTATCCCAAAGCGTAGACAAAAGATTCGCTTAGGTTGAGGTCTGCGACTGTCATGGGGAGTACGGCGAAGAGAATTTCCGTTGCTGGGTACCGAGGCAGCTTGTGAACTAAGACGCAGACTTTGTTTACGCATCTAACGTCTCTCTACCTTCAGTGTCTGCACCTTAATTGAGCATTGGATGAACTAGGTAGTACGAGTTTTTATCTAAGTTCTCAACAAGAATAAGAAAACATCATAGCTGCGTTTTCACTTCTATCATGGTGCTCCTAGATATTTAAGTATGATTTCGATTACAGTATCTCAAAGTACAATTACAGACTGGCAACAGCTCAAACAGATGTCCTGCCACAAAGAAACCGATCATGTACATCACTAGCAGCAAGATCGTCGTATGCGCTTCTGTATACGACTGAGGGACGGGCGCCCGCTACAAAGCTCTAGCTCACGGATGTTTTTGTTGTGGTGTACGAGGACGTGGGCCCTTTTGTTGAGTCGTACTAGTATTCTGCGGGCTCGGGGAAGATTGTCGTACTTGTTGCAGATCTTGAGACATTCTCATAAAAGTGCAAGAGATGGAAACAAACATAGCCACGAAAGTAGAAGGATGCTGGAAAACAACGAATGCTGTCGTCCATGCAAGCACAGCATTCACCTGCCAAGAGAACTTCCACAGCGTTCCCCATACAGAATGGGCCGAAAGGTTCTCAATCTGGTAGTTCAAGCGGTCCAACGAAGATGGTGACAAGATGTGAGCCCAAGTTTTCCGGAGATTCTTCACGTCGAATCCTTCCGTAAAGAGAGGTTCTCTCTTTGCCACCCAGTGTCTCCAAAACAGGTGGAGTTCTTTCGATACCAGGTCGTAAGGGCTCTCCACGCGCATGAAGTTGACCCATTTATCCACTGACGCCCTAGAAGTATGGTCATCCAATTGAAACCATTCTCCGTGTTTTGCACCACATGTTTTGCAGGTATAAGGGTGGCACAGATCCGTCAGCTCGGCGTGGATGAGTCGTTCGGTTCGCGTGTAATATCCCACTCTCCTGTCGTGAACCAAAACTAACTTAAGCCCACACTTATATTCTACCTGTTTCAAACGGCTCTCTGGGCTAAAGGATCTCCCAATCTTTCGGAGATCGGGACGTGTAGGATCACGGAATATGTACACATACCCCTCTCTGTCCTTCGGCGTAAGGGTACTCTCAAAGGCTTCCCGTAGCCTTCTCTGAACTCCAGTTGCATCCTTAGGAAGATTGCTCGTCTGATTTTTCGTCTGCTCGTCTGGGCTTGGTTCATCTTCGAGGTCTAGCGGCGTCTTGGACTTCTTGGGCTTGGGTGAGGCTGATAGCTTCGTGGTGACTGCTATCTTCACGGGCACCGATTCATCCTGAGAGCTTGTTGATGTGCTTTCGTCGGGTGACCTCTGTCCATTTGCTGGTGTTGCCAGCTGCTTTGGGCCGCATTCTAGGTTGCGTATCCTATCGCTTGCGCCGATTTCCGTCAATCCCGAATCTCCTTCTTCTTCCAACATGTCAACCGCTCCTTGCTTATCGTTGGTGTCTTTCTCGGTACCAAATGTTTCACTTGGAACCGACATGCGTTGGGTGGAATGCTGCTCCCGAGCCTGCTCTTGCAAGGCCGTCTTGCAATAAGGGCATTCAAGCACATGTTTGTCCATGTAGAATTTACGGGAATACGAGCGCCGGCCGCACGGAGTCGGCTTGTACCACTCTGACATGGTTATCGGGCTGTCGTTGAACCCCTCAATATTAGCTTTTCGAGTGAATTCCGGAGCAGACGCGACTTCTCTCGTGAGGGTAGGCCGATTTTTGGGCGGGGTGGTAGGTTGCTGCAGAACAGATGTTGTAGGTGGACTAGCCTGACGTGTTGGTGTCATCATTTCTGTTGTCGTGTGCTTTGGGTTTCGACGGGCTGTAGGCGAACCTTCATCCGCAGGCGTAGATGCATCTAGCGCTTGTCTATATAGATTTGGACTGGGCGAGAGGCTTGAGCGGCTTGAGCGGCGGAACTTATGTGGAATTGAAGGTGCTGCGAGGCCTGGAGGGGGTGTTCGCGAAGCCATGAGGTTCAACAGCGATTGTTTCTCGAGTTTAATGTATAACCGCAGACATAGCTTGTATTAGCTTTCCTATATATCCGTACTGAGCACTCCATGACTAGTTCCGGCCCCGGGATATACTACCTGCAGGTACATAATCAGGAGAGTGGCAGCTAGAGGCTGTGCCTTGATACTAGATACAAAGAAGCTAGAGAGCGGCACAGTTAGCAGCACACACGGACATACATCCCTAACAGGCATGCAGGTCGCTGAGTGGCACAGCTCGAAGCTCCATAGATGTTGAGGCTCAGCCGGGCCCGTCGAATGGTCTTTGCGTTGTTGAGCGCCATGAGTTTCATACACCATGATGCAGGAGGACCAGGGCTGTGCTTTGGGTAAACTCCAGCACTTAGATCACCACAAATGCGTCGATGGGTAACCCCAAGTACACAAGGTAGGGATTGGAGGAGTATTAGTCCACTAGTATACACTGCAAACCGCACTATCAGTAGTCAGTAGAATCATAGAATGTGTCTTGCTACTACGCTGTAACTCGGAAGCAAGTTAACGCAGTATCGCTTAGCCCAAAGCATGGCTACGCGCGGCCTGTGACCGTGAATTGCCTAGTTGCAAGCATCAGCTGGATAAGGGGTATACTCTTCATCGTAGGACTAGTCGTCGCATTAGGGGTGCATGCTTTGACGGGAACTCGAAACAACGGCGGCTCCCAGCCTCCTGTACTGACGTGACTCGTTACCATTGCGATTGCGGGGTTGTTGTCTTGGGAGCTTCTTGGCATGCTCACCGGGACTAAGCATGCCCGCGTATCTAAAATATACTATGGTACACGATTGTTAGTTCTCTTGTCTCATCACCATATCTCGTGGAACTGTATGGGGGTCCTTCAGCTATAGTATTCTTCGTCTCCAAATCATACCCGCACAATCGCGTCTGAGAAACAAAGTAGCCTGCACTACAACTCGAGCCACAATTTTGATGTCCCCCACCCTGGCACTATAATGTTCTTGTTCTCGTAAAACCTCCCGCTCAGCTTGTCCGACTCCTTCCACAACCCGCCATCCTCATCGCCTCCAGGTCCCAAGTCGCCAATAGCCAGTCGAACCGCCGTGCGCCCGCCTTCTTCCAACGTCTTCGGTGGCGTGCCTTTCCCTTGCCTTCCCATGTCCGAGTTGACCCACCCGGGGCAGCAGCAATTCACCAAGACATCCGGGTGCTGTCGCGCAAGGACAACAGTGAGAATACTGTTAAGCGCTTTACTGACTTTGTAACTACGGGCCCCGGGGCCCCATCCAGCACTCTGCTGCGCGTCAAGACCGCTGCTCATGTCTTCGAGGTAACGTTTTGCTAGTGCGTCGATGTCGGTGATTGTCGTGGCTCCACGGAACTGAGTTTGCAATTCGGGTCCGTACGTACTCAATGCGTTGTACCCGCTGGTTACGTTGACGATGCGCGCTCCAGGCCGAATGTTTGGTTGCGACAAGAAGGCTTCGCACATGTCCCTTGTGCCACCGTAATTCGTCCAGACGGTCTGCGCGGCATACTCAGGGTTCTCGCGATAATCGTTCGACACAGCAGCATTGTTGATGAGAATGTCGATCGCGCTGTGCTCTTTGAGGACTTGCTGGAAAAATGACTGAATGGATGACCGATCGGTAATATCGAGCGTGCTGTATCGGACCTCGTTGGGAGAATTTGTGTCAATGCCGGTGTCGGTCCCTGTACGGGAGGTGGCGTAAATTGTCAGAGGCCGCTTGGAGTTTTGCTGTGCAAGCACAGTAGTGATGCCTTTTCCGATGCCTCGATTTGTGCCCGTAACGACGATAACAAGATTGTCTGACATCTTTTGAATTTGTTTGAGAGCAGTGGGTTTCAAATTGATGGTGCAGTTGTGAGGAATGTGCAGTCTTGAAACCATGGAACCCTTACTTCTTAAATAATTCCGCTCTCAGACGATTTCGAATAAATGGTCGTGGGCTGTGACGTTGGTATTCTACCCAATACAGTAATCTTGCGAGAACTGGTGGGTCGTTGTTGCACTAAAGAAAGGGCGGGGCCGTCTGTTGCTGCGCCCTTTCTAGCATGACCTCGTATGTTAGGCGTTCTTTGAAAGACCGAATAGCGTCGTAATACAAGCTATTATTTATTACCCAGACGAGACAAGACGCAAATGATAGGTAGGTAGTTGGTGAGCAGTCCTAATGTTGTAAGCACCGTTTATTTGCGATGATTCACCTGCGTCCACGAGAAATTGCAGCTGCATCCTTTTAATACCTACAGTACATTCTATCTGCATCGAGCAGTATGCACGGCGAGGCTTCGCAATTGCTGTTGACGCAAGTGTATATTGCAATGATGCGCCCACGAAGTGCTCCTACTTTCTGCGTCTACGCCTACATTGTTTGTGAAGCTCGCCTCGTTTTCTAGAGTCAAATAGTCGAGCTAGCCGAGAGGAGGTCGCTAGCACGGCTGATCACCGCCCTCGCATCGGCGATTAAACTCTCGTATTGGAGAGGGCTACAGTGTAGCATGTTCGGTATGTGTGTGCCTCATGAGCCATTATAGCTCACAACTAGGAATCCCAATCTCGCGTCAACTTCAGAGCCCCGCCTCACAAGCTGCACGACCACAAAGGGATCTGTGCTATATGCTTACCTAAGCATCGTTCCAGGGAGCCGGGCTGTCCTTTTGTCGCGTCAAAAAACCCTCTGTTGTTCTGTTCAGCACAGCTTAATTCTAGCTATGCTCTGGCGGAAATTTTCGCCAGCATTTTGTTACCATCATAGAGTTGCTGTCAGAGATTCTCAGTTAGCACAGTCCAAAGTCAGATTTCCGTGCGTCTATTTAGCCCCACGACGCGTGAATAACAATAGTTGTTTTCATCCACAGTTTTCGACGACGTCACTCAGATCAACAATCGAGTACCGTTGGATCGATGGTGTGGAGCGCTTGGATTTATACGATTTCTGTGGATACCACCCTGTGATGATCGACAGCGTACTACACAATCGGTATCGGATAGTGGATAAACTGGGGTTTGGTGGGTATTCTACTATCTGGCTTGCTCGAGACGAGACAGTTAAACGCTATGTTGCTGTCAAAATTGGGATATCAGGCCTGTCACTCCCTCGACGGGAACCCGATATCCTACGGACATTATCTGGCTCAGGCCCACAAGCTCCTCGCGCTGCTTCTGATGCCAATAGATGCCCGGTGGTACCGAGAATTTTTGATGTGTTCGACGTCCACGGGCCCAACGGAACCCACACATGCTACACGTTCACTCCCGCCCAAGGGAGTCTCAAGGAGGCATCATTCAGTCGTCTCTTTCCTATTCAAGTCGCTCGCGCTTTAGCTGCGAAATTGGCGACTGCAGTCTCGTTCGTTCACTCACGCGGTTTCGTTCATGGAGGTTTGTTTTGCTGCATCTCTATCTAACTACTGTAGACTACGCTAATAAGAAATATAGATCTTCATCTCCGAAATGTGTTAGTTAAACTCCCATCGACGTTTGACGAACTTTCAGTCCAAGAATTTAGGGAGAAATTTGGCGAGCCTGATACGGTCCCCATTACTCGAGTCGATGAAAAGCCCCTCACCTCCAATGTCCCGGCCCAAGCTGTAGTGCCTCTTTATCTTGGTAAAAAAGCTCAGGATTTTATCTTAGCTGACGCCCACGGCTTAATCCTCAGCGACTTTGGCGAGGCATTCTCTCCAGCTACGGAGCAGCGACTTGGCAGAGACTGCAATATTCCCCTGGCTAAGAGAGCACCCGAAGCTCTTTTCGACCCAAATGAACCTTTGTCATACCCTTCAGACATATGGAGTCTTGGAACCGCCATCTGGGAGATATTGGGGATGAAATTCATCTTCAGCGAGTCAGAAACGCAGGACGAAATCGTTGCTCAACAAATTGATGTGTTGGGCTCTCACAATTTCCCTAAAAACTGGGGGGAACAATGGGAACGACTTAGCGAGGAAGGAAATGACGGAAATGACGCAATACCACGACAGCCAGTTGGTGATCGGGAAACGTGGCCCAGCCTTGAGGACGCCTTCGAAGAGTTCGTGCAAAAGTACAGAAGGAAACGAGAGGCGGCTGGGACTTTTGAGGATGAAGAGACGCGGGCCATTCTTCATTTGATCCGTGGCATGCTGAAGTTCCAGCCTGAGGAACGTCTAACAATAGAGGAGGTGCTTAGGTCCGAGTGGATGGTCAAATGGGCATTGCCTGAGCTAAAGTAAAGCTGAAATGGAATGTGGTTATACAGCCAATGCGATTTGAACTATTACAATAAAGCAAGCGCGTTCTATTAACTTTTCTCCTGGAGTGAAAATAGGTCCCTTCTAGCTAAACATATGATTTAGCTGTGGTACTGCACAACAGTGATGCTGAGGAGCTAACGTGTTGTTCTATGCCGTGTCCCAGGTGTTCTCCTCTAGAGTTGCTGCATAACAGATTTTTCCCACCACGAATTTCAGACGCAGTACTGACGTAAATCAGTTCGGGTCCAACGTCTTGGTGATTATCTAGATCTAGGAGTATCACGATAGCCGTATGGGGCCACTTTTTGCAGCGTGTAGTAGCGCCGGGCGACTGATTTGAGAAGCGTTCACATGTATCATTCGTGTATCATCCACTCATTGCCTATCCCATGGTTTACGAGAAAATTTCCTCTTTATCCAACTCTATTTTAAGTGATGCCGTTATGCTACTACTTGTAGACTGCTAGATCAGCCGATTTATCAGTAATATCACTTAATCTGCGCCCAAGAAAATATTTCCGGTATCATCGAGTTCAATCTCTACTATCATTCATAGTTACATGACCGTGCACTGATCCGTGGGGATCTCATCATCGTCTCCTTTAGGCTTCGCGCCAGACTCTTCCTCCCGCAGATCTTCCCAAAAGATGCAAGCAAGCGCGCCCAGCCTCAATTTCTCGAATCCCTCAGCAAAGATCTTCATGGCCTGGTCGTCTTCATCAGTCATCGCCGCCACGACTAATGCAAGTCTCTTCTGGCGCCTCAATTGGGGTGGCGGTTGCTCATACGCTTTGATCCACAGCGGGTGACGAGCCTTGCGAAACCGGTCCTCGAACTCCATGAACAGAAGCATGATGTGACAAGTGATCCACACATAGTTCAGACTGGATTCCGGAGTCTTGCCACAGACATCAGCGAATATATCAAGTCGGAGAATGTCGAGCAGGGCACGTCCTTGAAGCTGTTCAGGTTTTTGCTGTTCTGAAACATGGTACGGATTGCGTCGTGGGCCGGTCTTGTAATCGTTCGAGTCGGAAATGCGACGCATAATCGCTTCAGAATCTTCGTCGTTGGTATCCCTATCTGGAATTGAGATGGACGCCGCATTTAGCAGCGCGGCGTCAGTTTGTCCTTGTGCTTTGGCACGCTTGATAATTTCGGTCTCTTTGAGCCGCTTCTCGTTAGTGGCAGGATCAATCACTCGCTCGGTGCCCATCAGGCGAATCATGTACAGCATAGATGGGATCCTGACCGCGTTGTCCGGAATTTGCTCAGGCACCCAATCAGCGTCATAATACATCATGAGCGCTGATTTGTCCCTGAAGAAGCGGTTGAAGCTGGCATCCAGAAGGTGGTGGATATCCTTGGTCATATCTCGACTCACTGCTTGTTGGCGTGACAACGCACCTTTGCTGCGTTCCTGCCCCACTCGGGCGACGAGAGCATCGGAAAAATTATCAGTTGGAATGCCTCCGGGGAAGAATGAGTCTTGGAGAAGGCTCTCTAGTGTTGCGTACAGCCCGACTTCCTTCTTCAGGTAGCCCTTCTTAACGAGCATGTTATGTAAGTGAAGGGCAAGGGTAGGCTCTGGAATCTTGTCCCACAGGTTCATCACGACACGTTGTACAATAATGAGCCCTTCAATCAAGCCAGCTGCACACAGTAATGGAGAGTACTCCCATAGCCCATTTGCATTGTGCTTCGAGAATCGCGAGGCGGGTATAGTGTTGAGACCATACATGTACTTGGATTCGCCCAGCCAGTTGACGAAATCGAATTTCAGATCCTCAAGGAGATCGGATTGTGCCTTGTGCCGGTTCGGATCTTGATGTAGGTCGGCATCTTTTTGCAGTAGCTGCGTCAGTACATGGATTGATTGAAGTAGGCCTTGGCCGTTTTTGCCATTTCTCCGGACTTCGCGGTCTAAGAAGAGGTCAACGTCGCGCCTCGGACGAAACTTCCGTGGAGGTGGAGCCAAGATATGGCCACGAAGAGGGCTCAGCGTCCAACCCCGGGAAGCAGTAAAAGAATCGACAATACATTGTAGTTGAAAGACATGGTGAGGAAGGATCTTTCTCCGAATATCCGTGCTCGGTTTCTGCATGGCGATTGCGGTGATGTCGCCAGCAAATTCGTTCAATCCGAAGAGCCTTCGATGTTGATGCCAGGGACCGGTCGTTGACCAGTCGACGTCTTCATATACATGCCGCTCACCTTTCATTGTGTTCCGCTGGACGACAATGGATGAGAACACATTGACTAAATCGTAGAGCCAATTGACGGTGTACGAACGGCGCCAGCTGACACGCTCCTCGTTTGAAGCGCGCTGAAGATCGAAGGTTGGACTCCATTTGTTGAGCTGTTCTTGCATTGCCTTGGTCGGTTTGCCGGTTCGGTTCTTCTGGTAATCAGATATAAATGTCACCAGATCATTGTAGGCGTGCACCCAGAAGTGCTCCTTTACATCAAGCCTTCGCTCCTGGACCTTTTCGTTCTGATGGCCGCAAGCCGAAATGCGGTAAAGGCTCAGGCTGAATTGTGCTTGAGCCTTGTCTGGATTACCCCGTGTGATTGTCTGTATGATGGTGTCGTACGACTCGTGGCCTGGAAAATCCGCAAATACGGCAATGCATGTCTGTTTGACCTTTGCAACTGCGGTGCTAGTCAATGACGCGGCTACGGCACCATTGAGGCCATCGTAAGCTACTTCACGCCAAAGATCTTGAGTGAAAGACCTCAACTCGTTCCACTCGTGTACAACTGCATATACAGCCAAGAGATACTCGGACACAAGGCCATCTTTGTCCTCGATGATGCGATAGCTTTCGACAGGGATATCAGCCAAGGGGGGGTCTGCAATGGACTCCGAGGCTGGCTTTCGCTTTGACTTCTTGCCTCGCTTTCCTTTCTTTCCTTTCCCGGTCTTCTTCTTCTGTTGTCTTGCCTGTGTTAGGTGAGTGCCATCATCTGATGAAGCATCGCCATCGTCATCTTTCGCTGTACCAAGACTCAGGGCAGAGAATTGATTTTGGAAGATACGTTCGTCGTCGACCACCTCTCCGGCAGAAGAGACGTTGCTTGAGCCCCGTGAATTGCCGCCGAGTGCGTCAAAAGCCTCTGTCAGTGCGTCGATGAAGTGCTTGTGGGTCGCGTTGCTTCTCTCAATATCCGGATCATGTTTTTCGCTCACAATCTGCTGGAAAGCAGCATACATGGTCGATCGTGCTTGAATGACGGCCTGAAACAGCTCGAAGATGGCGGATGGTATTGGCTTGAGGTTTCCTGCAATGAGTCGGGACATGCTGACGATCTCGGCAACGGTACTCCAGCCTGTGGTATTGATTGCGACGGGTGCATATTGTTCTGCATTTATCCCCGACTGGATGATGCCGTTGGATGTGTTGATGACCCAGTATAAAAGTCGACTGGTGTCTTTCTTGTACGTAAGGTAGAGGTTGCGGCTCGCCATTATGAAGGACGTGCTAGTATGGGTGGAGCTTGACCATGAGTTAAGGACTGATGGATGTGCGAGAAATGTTTGCGTGGGCATGAGGGTAGGGCATGTGAGGTGTAGGGGTCCCCTCGGGGCCGCGGATACTACACTAGCGTCTTGGCCTGTGCCACTGCCACTGCCTCCCGAAAGTCGGCATTCACAAGTGAAAACACCTTGTAGTTATCACTCTACGCTGCGATAATTTTCTATCTCTTGATTTGATATGATTTGATAAACGAGATCAGGCGAAAAGCCATACGCAAACGCAATGATGACTGCGATTACCACAGCCAAACGCCCGCCATCAAATGCATTACAAGTTGCTGAGCTCTAGCGCTCTGGCAGCTGTATCAACGAACGCGACTTTATATTATACGCCGATATTATTACCTCAAGTTAGCAGAAGTTCTAAGTTCATTGCCTAAGTTTGACGCGAATCACACTGTATGGAGCCTAAACGGAGACCCCTTGGGCGATTTGATATTGCACCGTGTGGTCATAAGAACGATGACTAGTAGGGCTTGGGATTGGTGACTTGGAAGTCTACTAGAGCCCGATGAGGTTTTTTGAACGTATTTGAGTGCGTCGTCTGACGTTTTGGTACTCGAGCCTGGCAATAGGGAATCTGAAGGACATTGCAGCGGCTGCATGCTGCTTAGTAAGGTTTTATACATAGACTTTTGTCCATTCCTTCACATACGACCATAGGATCTTGAATTCAGCGCTTCCCGTTCGCTCAGCGGTACTTAAGCAGGATACCGGCGGATTAGTAGTTAGGTGGGTGACCACTAGCGAATCCCCGCTGTTGTATGTTTTTGCCATTCTTTTTGCTGCTCTTCTTTCGTCCCCCTTTGAGTGACTGACTTGTTTGACGCACACGAGGGGATTGTACACTATAATCACACCTCATACCTTACACTGTTACTTTCATAGATGTGCATATACTTGAAGAAGTGCAAATGCGCTCTGTCGTTACCCCAACCGTAGTTCCCCTGATCCCCTTCATAACAGTGCTCTCTGTTATTAGACTAAGAAACCGTGTATTGATGAGCAGACGATATACGGGATGCCCAAGCAACTGATCTAATTAACACGAAATGGTGTTGCAGCATCACGAGAAGCGTCATGTGCAATCACTCAGAGGGTCTTCTTCCTCTTTACTACTGATGGCGGCAACCTCTTAGTTAAGATTTTGAAGTCTAGGTTGCTACTCGACTTTAGTCGCTATGCATATTACCGTTTACTGTAAAATGTGGAAGATGTAGGCAGACACACGCCCTCCGTAAGTGAGATGAAGAAAATTGTAGGAGACTTTGGTGGAATATAGGTTGCAATATTTCCCGTGCGATTAAGAACATACTTTTATTCACTGATTGCTGTGTAGCTCATTTATTGACAATATCGAGGTATGGTAACGTGCCTATGGTCTTCTTCCAGAAAACTCAGTTCATGACTGGCACCTCTAAACGTCTGGCCTACTTTTATGCCACACACCTATTTGCCAATCTTCATTACAACTTCTCCTTAACCTCTCCGATCTTAAATACATATTTGACGCCACTGGCTTTGCCGTCCCTCAAATTCTCCAGCCCAGTCTGCACGCCCTCGAGTCCGCCTGGAATAACTTCGTATGGATGCGGTGTGAAGGAGCCTTCTGCCAGCGCGCGGGCAATGTACCGGAATGCAACGTACGCGTAGTCTTTATCAGCTTTGTGTGCTTCGCCAACTGACGTAAGGGATTTGTTCACGGTGTCGGATATCTCTTTCAAATTGTTCGGCAGAACCAAGGTCAAGTTTCCATTCGGTTCGAGCACTTTCAAGATATTGGTGTGCGAATTATGCTCCGCGACGGCATCGTATGCGTGGTTCAGCTTTGCGCCCTTCAGCGCGTCCTTGATACCCTGCACCACCGCCTCGTCGCCCTTCCTATAATCAACAATCGTGTCGCCCTTGGATCGATCAATGAGGCCCTCGACGAACTTTTCGCCTCTTCCTGCGACCGTGATGATGGGGTGAATGTTTGCGAGCCGCGCTAACTTGATGACAAATGCGCCAACCGCTCCCGCTCCTCCATACACCACAAGCGGAATGCTCTCTTTCGTAGGCGTCCACGGATCCGGCAAACCCAGATTCGTGTGCAGGCCAATAGCAGCGGTCAGGGCAGCCAACGGCAAAGTAGCGGCTTCTTCGAAAGAAACGTTTTTAGGTAGATGGATCGTAGTATGTTGCCAGCCGACTGCATACTCTGCAAAGCTGCCGCCAGGCGTCTGCATCTCGTGGAAAGAAGCAACGCGATCACCCGGCTTGAATTCCCAGACATTGGAACCAACGCTGTGCACCACGCCGGCGATGTCGTCGCCGGCGTTGGCACTGTAACCTTCGATCCACTCAGCATACTTCCTACCCTGATGTTAGCTCCATAGAAAAATTGCGCCAAAATTAAATTCTTTTGATCATAATGGGTGGGCAATGAACCCAAATCCAACTGAAATTGCACTCACCAGTCCTTAGGATTACTTCCTGAGACGATGACCTGGATGACTAATTGGTCCGGGCCGGGTTCGGGAAGGGGAACGTCGTTAATAACGGCCGTGGGACCTTTGGAGACTTTCACTTCCTTCATTCTGAATTCTCCTCTCGGTTGATGGGATTGATTATCGGTACACGAGTTTGTACTATCTGTTGTTCGCTGATATTGCAGCTTTTCGTGGCGTTTGTTGATCTTATATAGATCTCAGGGTCGCCGCGGGGTCTGTCGAATTTATAATCATGCCTGTTTCACCCCTCACTCGAAGGACTACCGAAGACGCTACGTCCGCGCCATCACGCAATCCGCGGCATAATCTATGGCGAATGTAGTAGTATGCTGCGAGTCGACATTTCGGTGAGTCGTAATGAACTAGCCGAAATAGTATAGCCGGGATTGACCGTAACCAACGTCTGCTGTCGAGATTGAAAATCACAAACCAGTTGCGAGCTACAAGACAGCTGTGCAATTCAGAATCGCTTTTAAGAAAGGGGTAGAAGTGAATCTAACTAAGAGAGGGAGAGAGCACGAACAATCGATGAAGAACGACTCTATCAGGAGTAGACATGCTATTAACAGACAGTATAAATATGCTAACGCTCTTATTCTCAAAGCACAAGAGAGACAGAGCTCTAATGCCCGCTAATCAAAAACTCCAAAACCGCTGCCATTGGCAGAACATCCAAAACACCAACCGGCCGTTCAGTAATGCTTTCGAATACGGATTTTCCAAGGAAAAAAACTCGACCATGACCATTCCAAACAACGCCGCTTGCCAATAAGCAACAAGAGGACCAGGGCCGAGCCTGGACCGCAGGAAAAGCAATTGTGGAAAGACATCAAGGACCCGGACACACTGTAACCATGTCAGTCAGAAAAGAAGCCATCAACGCCAAACACTCTTAGAGCCGGGCGCAAGACTACCTCTCGAACCGTTCGAAGAATTGCTACTAATCCGCACAGGCGCGCGGTTCAAGCTCGCTGATTCGCTATCCTCCCCCGCCACCGCCATCGTTGTCCGCCTCACAGCGCCCTTCATGATAGGCGTAGTTCGCGGACTGAGAACGCTGCTCTTCCAGTCAGCATCGTGGTTACTCTTGACAACCATGCGACGCGCCGCACTGGCTGAGAACATTGAGTTCTCATTTGGTGGACTGTAGGACGTTGCAGTGGGACTACGATGGTGATGAGCGCGGCTGATGGGGATGGAGCCTTGGTTTGTTGAGGAGCGGCGCTTGATGGCAGATCCAATCTTGCGTGCATCTGCGTTTGTCCACTTCTCCTCCTCCGAGCTGGAGTTGCCGCTGTTCTCAGCTGGCATTGAGTTTGCGTTCTCTACGGTACTCAACGACGAGGTGCGGACATTGCCACCAATCTCACGCAAGGGTGATGTGTTGTCTGAGTCGGACGAATATGCACCGATTTGGGGAGCAGGAGCCGCGCTTATTCCTTTGGACAAGGCGCCCAATGCGAACCGATTCGAGCGTTTGAGATCTACAGACGCCTTTGGAGGCGTTGGTATTGGCGAGGATCCGTTCTGATCCGTCGGTAATGGTACGACAGGCGCCGAGAAGCTGGGCGGTGGTGGTAGCTCAATCGAGGAGTTCGTCGGTGTGGACTCGACGTGCTCTGGTGTTTTCTGGAACTCCGCCAGCGTCCCGTTCTCGGTATCGTCCCTCCAGCGCACCCCACGCTTGGTCTTGGACGGTGACCTCTTCTTCATCGGCGAGAACTGAACGCCTTTCTTCACCCCACCCATTTTCCTACGGCGCGGCGAACCTTTCATGGGCGATGAGTTGAGGTTCGGTGCTTCCGTCTGTAAAGCAAGTGGCCGCATAGGGGACGGCGCCATGATTTCGACTGGCTTCCTCCTTTTTGGGGTGCCCTTATGGCTTGGTGCGAAGAACTCAGTCACTGGAAGACCGCCGTCTGGCCGAATTGCTTGAGCCGTTGCATTCGTGCAAGAATTCATAATCTTAGTAAGAAGCTTTCTCGCAGTCTCCACCGCTTCGGCCTCATTCAACTGCGTGATCTGGCTTAGAATAGTGACCGTCTCGATGTGCGCCTGCACAAGCACTTGCACAATCGCAGCGTCACCACCCTTATCTTGATCCAGTAGCGCATTGAGAACTTCTCTATCCGCGTTCGACTTGAGCAACTCGTACTCCTTTGTCAAGTTGGCAGTATCATGATTATCAGTGCTGCCATCCACCTCGTTCAGTCCCCTCAGACCGACTTGTAGGGCGGTATCCAGTTTGCTCGTCCAGTTTGTGCGTTCCATGCGTCGATGGCAATGTTGTCGTGTTTGCTCAAGTTCCGCTGATATGCCAACCGCCGTGTCCCTCATAGCTGTGACTTGTGAGGGCATCTCTTCGTTTTCGCGAACGTCTCTAACGTTATCAAACGCTGCTATCCAGGATGAGATGAGCGCGATGCGCTTTTCAGCCTGCTTCAGTGTCTTCATCATATTCAGTCGATCTCTGCGTTCCGTCTCTGAGTCCGCATAGGCCTGGCGCAGCCGCGCAACGGCGTCTCGTAGGATGTTATCCTTCTTCTCGCTCTGTTTCTGGAATTTCACAAGTGCGCTGCCTTCCACGTCCTTTTGCTTCTTCATCAACTCGTCGATCAAATGCCTCTGCTCGTCGATCTTCACGAGATAGTCTTTCACGTGGCGATTGACGTTGAACACGTTCTTTGTAACTTTAGTCTGGATGTTCTTCGCGCGGTTGGCATATCGCAGGGTGTTTTGCGTCTCATCGAAATGGGCGCTGGACGGGCTGACGCAAACGATCATAACGGTCCGGCAATTTCCTCCAAGTGAGAACTTCAGTAATCGTGTGAGCTTCGAATTCCTATAGGGGATGTGGTTGCGTTTTCGCGGATCGCACAAAGCATTAATACAGCTTCCCAAAGCGAGCAAGGACTTGTTGATGTTGGCGCCTTCGATGAGACGTTCTCCGCGATTTTTGGTTGCGCTCGCCCGCTCACTGCCAGCCAAATCGATGATACTAAGAGTAGCCATGGTGTGAGGTTCATTGACCGAGGCGTTGCGGTCTTTAGATGATACATTGATTTGTAGGACAGCGTGTGATCGTGAGGACGTTGCGTTCGCTTCGGTTGGGGACATTGTTCGGTACTCATTGCCGCGCACGATCATATCCATGACTTCTTGCACCTGGGGCATCATTAGTATTCGACTAGCCTCCATGTTCTGTACTACTCACATTATGTGGGCGATGGCTGGAAAGACCAGCGACGGAAACAGCCTGGTTCGCATCTTCCCGCAACATCAGAGTCTGTTTGCTACCCCCCTCCACTAGCAAGTCGCGAATTGTCTCATTGTAGATTTCAAGGTAGGAGAGCGTGATTTCCGTAACCTTGACTTCCTGCACCTCTTGTATCTTCTCAAACAGTTCTTGCATAGTCATGAAGATGATACCCGGTTGCTGTGACGTACCCCTGACCACAAGTTAGTCCTCCGATGAGCGATGGTCGATGTACATAGACATACGTGATGGTGTGCGTCTTTCCACACCCTGTGGCGCCATACGCAAACACAGTTGCATTGTATCCGTCCAGAACGCTGTCCAGCAGGGGTTTTGTCGTTGATTCGTAGACATCGCCTTGCGACGTGGTATCGTCGAACACTCGGTCGAATGCGAAAGTTTGGTCTTTCACCCGTTTGCCCTGAGGGCCCACCGTCGATCGTCCGAATCGTTGAACTGCGTTGTCTTCTGGGGGGTCGAAGATCCTGCGAGCACGTTAGTTCTTGTCATAGGAGCGCAGCAAGGTGGCCCCTTACAAGCACTTTTCGTCCAGGACCTTGATTACAGGTCGGATGCCCTTTGAATGCAATCTAGGCATCGGTACCGCAGCCAAAGAGCCATCCCCAAGGAACAACGTTTGATCATCGCTCTTTGTCAATTGCGCAGCTTCTCGGATAGTAAACGGGCGGACTCGCACGGTGACAGAGATAGAAGACGCGCCATTGGCGGCCATGGTAGCGCCCTATAGACGGTGAGAAATTCAAGAAGTACACTGCGCGACTTCCAGAAGACTGGAATCCGGAGGCCGTGAGCGAGGGTGTGTTGTTGCGGATTGTCGGGCTGTATGACGATTTACTGTTTCGGAGGGTGTTGATTTCCGCACAGACCATAAACAGACAAGGATACGCAAGCGGCAACCGCGACCCTGATACAATGCACGTGATGGTTTCACCCCGCAATGTCCGACGTGGCTGCCGTGGCATCGACCACATTTCCTCTTTCCTGTACCATGACGGGACGCAATCGATCATTCACTTCATTCGAACTTAGTTGACTACCTTCATGCGTAATCCTTACTACAGTCTCTGCTCTAGCCGTATTCAATACATGCCCTTAAACAATGTGTGACTCTTGCATGAGATCGGCCTCAGCAATACACTTGATAGTGTTTGAACAAACACTACTAGATAAAGCGGTACAATGAACCGCATGATTCAGGACTATCAGCAAACCGAGAAAATACCCCGTCATCACGGCAGCCAAAGTTGATTTGCAGATGCGCATCTCATACATTCACAAAACGACTATCTAGAATTTAGGTATTCCATGCACCAAGCAGCCCTCAAAAGTCACGCTCCATCACACCTCCGCCACTGAAGCTGATCAACACTAAATTCCCACGGCCCTTGCACGGTAATCAAGCTCGTCGTGTTAGCTCGGCTACAGAAAAGCAAACGCCATAATTAGCCATCTATAGCTATTTGGTGCACTTCTTCCACTGCACGTACACTACTTGGGTGAACTTGAGATCAGTAGAGTCGGTAGTAAGCAGACCAGTGGCGCTGGAGTTGGAGCTGGTCAGGCGGACCTGCGAGTTGATGTTGAGCATGCCCGTGGCGCCGCAGGGTGACCAGACGATGGAGGTACTGTCGGCTTCGTCGTGTTTCAGGTAGTCGCCATTGACAGGACCGGTGAAGCCGTATTCGGTGGAGGTCTACACCTGAATGTCAGCATACCTTGCAACGGTAGATTGTGGATATGAGGAAAGTTGCGTACCTGAGCAGTTTGTCCGGAGAAGTAGTAAGTTGACTTGAGGGTACCAGAGACACCCTTCTGGATGGCAGCATAGCCACGGTAATCGGCGGATAGGATCGAGTACTGGAAGCCTCCGGGGTACTCAATGTCGACGTTGAGCTGGCAGTTCTTGCGCTGCTCGGTGACGGAGATGCCGGGGCCGATGGAGGCAATATAGGAGTCGAAGATGAGGGTGACGATGCTCCTATCTGCGGAGATCTGGGAGCTCATGGTGCCTTGGGGGCAGCCGGTTCCTCCGTAGCTGACACCGCGGATCTTGACCTGAACAGATGTATTAGTAAAGGTAGGCATACTATTCTGAGATATTCATCCTACCTGGCCAGCGGGAGGGGCGTCACCGAGGGCTACATCGGGGAAAGCAGGTGCCGCAGCGGCGAGTGGAAGGAGAGCAAAGAGCCACTTCATGTTGACGATGTTGAAATGGAGTACAAAGATCCGAAGATGTGGAGTGACTGTAGATCTTAAGATGTGGTAGAGAAGACCGAGAGTGGAAACTGGATGATGATCATTATAGAAAGGATATGGACGGGGTTATATACTAATACACCGACGATTCCTCACTCTTTCTGTGTACGCTAATCACCGTCACAGAAACAGCCTCTTTCTCGATTCGACCTCCACCACCGAGGCAGATAACAGCGCAAGTGCTAATAGCAATATCGAGTACGACTGGACCGTCGGGCCGCTCGTGCTCATAGGTCCAGAATCGCAAAGTCACTCAGGTGAGTTCGTGTTTCGGAACACTGCAATGTGTGTTTGCGAGAAAGACGCCTGGATCTTTCCCTAGCTCTGAGGGCCAATATCTAGGGTATGCGGTAGCGTGGACTTTTACGCCAAAGGTTTCGCTTCATGATGCGACGCCAACCCGAATGAAACCGATGAGGCAGGTTCATATCGAGCGTCCCTGACGAGGAAGCAACAGATCCCTGAAGGAGAGTGTCGTCTGGTCATTGCCAATCTATGTTGCCGTGCACGATACCCGGATATGAGCGGAAGGGAGCAGTCTCTCCAATTCTGTCTCTTCCTTCGCGTGGTCCGATAGAGTTCTAGATGGAGAATACGAGCAGTGGACTCGGGCTTGTCGTGAAATGCATTTCCATCACACATCAGATGATGTTCAGACATAAGATTCACCTCGTGAGAACGAACCACAGACTTCGCCTATACCTCGCGTCCGAAGGCTCGTAGCCGGCATGGCGAACATAGATTGAAGTTGAATTGGATGAATATATTTTTCTGGGGTACCGAGCCTGAAATAGAAACACAAGGCCTGGATGCTGGGTAGTGACTATCAGGGAACAGCGATAGGAAGTCCACTCTGGCAGCAACTTTCATCTATCAGTCCCGTATGCAACGCAGCCACGGTAGAATGAACGGAAGCGACTGCTGAAAATAGAGTCGTTCCTTGAAGCGAGCGATTCTGGTGATGGGAGGTGTCGAGGTTGTTCCATGTCGCAGATCTTAAAATGGGATGCGGACATTGTCGGGTAGATTAACCTTATATTAAAGCTTGTCACTCCATCCGCACATGAGACCCTGCGATAATGAAAATTAGCGAACACGATGTCCTGCAAGGGCAAGTGCTGGTTCTGGAATGAATGAGCCAAAAATAAGTGCTCAGACGGTGAGTAGTCACGATGCGTTTCCCAGACTTGTCGATATACCTGGTGATTAGAAAACACGCCACATCCCGGAGATAGATGATGCTGAGTCCAGATTCGCACTCTACCTGGCTCACGAACGCTTGAATACAACCGCTGTCAATAACGCCAGGTGGAATATAGTGAGTATTGATTACACGCCTCGTGTAATGGAGTCGCGACACGCGGGGTGGGTCGAGCCTGACTGGGAAGGTAGACGTCGTTAGGTTGTTGAGTTGAGCTATCGAGTTGAAAACAGTGACAGCTCAGTGACATCCACTTCACATGCAGTCACGACGAGTGGAGAACAGCTGCAGAGAACAGATGAGCTCGAGAGGAAGTGTTTGAAGGTAAAAACGAGCTCGGCGGTTGCAACTGACAAGAACGCAGCGTCCAGGCCACTCGCTATCCCACACCGCATCGGCATACCAAGCCATGGCAAAGCGAGGGATGTTGTGCTGAGATCGTAGGCGGCTACATCCCTCATTAAAGCCATGACCACAGACACCTCTTAGTACAATGCTTGCGAGGATCAGCTGGGAACAAAAGTCTTGACAGTGCGGGACAAATACTCCACCTCACAGCTGCCAAAGGAAGAAGTTGGGGAAACTGTACTGCGCAAGTAGTAAAGTTGTAAGCTGCTACAATACTGAGCGCTCGGGAGAGTGTTCTGAAATCGTGCGCCGCCACTAATTCCCCGGATAAAGATGCCTGGCTGGCGTAGGCAGCTTTTCCACGAGTGACAAGCGGCGAGCATATTGGCCTACGAGAGGCGGTCTAATAGCAATAGTGACAAAAAGAAGAAAGATACTAGACGAGGTGGTCGAGGTAGGCCTAAGTGGCTGAGTTCGGTGTTGCAGATTTGACAAAATCTAAAACCGCGGCAAGTGTGGCTGAAGCTGGTCGATTTGTCAGTCGCGATGATGGCGTCAGAGAAGCCCTTCGAAAAGCGGCAAAACTCAAATCACCATTGTACATTAAACGTCCCACCAGGACCACGGGAAGTCTTGACAATCAAGACCCGTTCACTCTTCTTTCAAGCTGAAGCTCCTCGCATTAGCACTCTTTATCCTTCTTTCCTACGCTTCTATGTCATTTCTGACCCGCTTCTTCCGCCCGTTCACATCGTCCAGCATGTCCTCCGCCCCCGCACAACCGATAAACGTACCCGCAGGTGCGCAAACCGCTACCGTCGCCGCAGGATGTTTCTGGGGCGTCGAGCACATGTTTAGGCGACAGTTCAAGAGCCAGGGCTTGTACGACGCGCGCGTTGGGTACATTGGAGGCGATGAACAGAACCCAGGGTACAGGGCTGTGTGCAGTGGACGGACAGGTCGTGAGTACAAACAGTCATTATAGATGGTCTGAATAATCGCTGACGATTGCATAGATGCGGAGGCCCTCCAAGTTGTCTATGATCCGGAGAAAGTATCATATCGCACGCTCCTTGAATTCTTCTACAAGATGCACGACCCAACGACGGAGAACCGACAAGGTCCGGATGTGGGAACACAATATCGGAGTGCAGTCTTCTATCATAACGCGCAGCAAGAGAAAGAGGCACGAGAGGTCACAGATAAGGTCAACAAGCAATGGTGGAAGGGCGCGGTTACGACTGAGATCCTCCCCGCTGGTGAATGGTGGGACGCTGAACAATACCATCAGCTGTACTTGGATAACAACCCAGGCGGCTACGAATGTCCTTCGCATTTCTTGAGAAGCTTCCCCGCGCTGGGAGAGTAGGTGGTGGATGTTAGGAGAACACGAATTATTCGATACCCATATACGAATGCATGAAGTAGTCAATACTCGCACAGTTTCGAAATTGTTGGAGATTTTAATCCATTGACATAACTTTTGCCTAAGTTGACCAACTAACAGCTATCTCCGGATACAATTATCTACGATGGAGGCATAACCTCGAACGTCTGCGCAACCTCCTTCTCCCATGAAAGACGGTCCTTTCCGAAGATCTCAGCACCAGGTGTGAATTTCTTAATGCCTTCCTCGAGAAGACCGGTGCGGAGAACAATGTTGTCGGGACCTAGGGCCTCTTGCTGGTGGTAAATGTGCGAGGTGCAGTTGGGGCAGTAGTAGCAGTGCACTCCCTTGCCTGGATGCGGGGTTAGAAAATATTGAGGAGAGAATAGAAGCACATATGGAAATGGAGCGGTGGAGCCTTTTTGGCATCGGATTGGTTCGATAGGAACGTACCGGAGTCACCCTTGTAGGTGTATTTGCCCAACTTATCCCCGCCCTTGGTGATGTTGAGGGCCTTGGTGGGGATGATTTGGTTCAGCGTGTATGTTGAGCCCGAAAGCTCCTTGCAGGTATTACAATGGCTGCCAGATTGTTAGCTTCTAAACACCAGAAATCGGACCGTTTAGTAGAATGCTGAAGTCTACCTGGCTGGCATGACCTGCTAGAACTACTAGTGATCGTAGGCTGGAGTCTAGCTTGCAAGCAGGTTGCTGCCAATCTTCTAGATCGGTTGATAGTAGGAATCAATGACATACCAGAGAATATGGGCCTGTTGATCTTTCTGCAGCGTAGCAGTCCATTCCGTCTGTCCGCAGTGGCAGTGTCCCTTGAAGTCCGTCATGTTGATATTTGATTGGATGTTTGATCTTCAGCGTTTCCGGATTCGATGATAGTGAGGTATGAGTAGGACAACAAGGTCCTCATAGCGGCGATGAAGGGGTACTTATAGCTCGCTCCAGAGCCGCTTGCTTCTTCTCGTACATTCTCCATCTTTTACCCGAAGGCGTCGGACCCTGATCGGAGCTCTGGCGGGCAGCGTATCAGCTCCAGATGTATCAATATAGATCCTTGTCGCTAGTATTTGTCAAATGCGGAGCGTCGCATCACATCAAAATGACGTCGCTGTACTTGACGCTTCTCTGCGAGTAGCCTTTCCTGGTCGTAGACTCAACATCAATCAAAGGTCCTACATCAAACATACAACAGCTCTTTGTTATTACAGTTCCTGTATATCGACAGCAATTCCTCATCAACACCGTGGTATTCTTCATTCAGCAATCGTCCAAAGCCCCAAGAGCTTTAGAAGCTTGGGCCGCTAGTCGGTGAGGGGCAGTCGAAGAGCTTACTTAGGAAGCGATGACGAAGGTGGGGCAGTTGAGATCTGAGCTGTCGCCGATTCGTTGGCCGACACGAGATGGGATGTGAGATAACACTAATTGACGAGAAGAATTCCAAATACAAGTCAAGCTGTAAAGCGCGTAGTCTGCGTGGAGACAGAAACGGAAACGGGCTCTGGAACAGGAGCTGCACCCTTCTGTTGGGACAAATGCGCTGGACGCTCTTCGGCGGGCCAGCGTACTCTAGCCACGTCTCGAAGACTGAGGTATTGAATGGTAAACAAGCTGAATGGTTTGGGTTCCACGCCCTTGCTGTCTGAGAGAAGATGCAGTGTGTTGCTGTAGGCGACCAAGCTTGACATCTATATACAATATCTCTGAATACTAATCGAGCCTCCACGGAGCAGCATAAGTTTCACTAAGCAACCAGCATCTCCCGTATCCGGACCATTCTGACTCGCAATCCCTAATCTACCTCTAGCAGCTGATATCTTCCACCGTGGCTATCGAGTGCGTCCTCAACTCTCTCCATAATAGCGAGTACCTTTTCCTCTTCTAGTCTGCGACCGACAACTTGCACAGCGGCAGGTAGCCCAGCCATCTTCACAGCATCGTAGTGTTTGTATGCACCTTGTGCGACACCATTGAGTTTGTCGAATTTGAAAGTCGACGGAAGTGCATCTTGGACGGGGTCGACATGCGTTACTGGCAGGATACCCGTGGTATAGTCGAGCTGCATCGAGATTAGCGGAAGGAAAGGAAGTGGAGAAATGGAGGACCACCCACAAGATTAAACAGGAATGTGTATCCACAGCTGCTCACGGCGTCATGCATACCACCATGCGGTACCGCAGGGGTTGCATTTGGTGGCGTGAGCATGACATCCATCTTGGCTTCTTCGGTCCACCAGGTGAAGAACCTGGCCTTGTAGGCTTCGCGCTTGCCAGCAAGTTGCCAATACTCGTGTGCAGTCTTGGGGTGCCAGTCACGTAGTAACCCAGCCCATATACCATCTCCTTTTACGTATTTCACCCAAAGGTAGTGGCAATACTTGATGAAGCGGGGCAGACGCATGTACTTTACCATCTGTGCTGCGCCGAGGTCATTCCACTCGCCGGTACGGAAATGAGACATGAATACATTGCCGCCGTCACTGAGGAGAAGCTGTGATGCTAGATACAAGGCTTCATATGGAGATGGAGGCTCAACATCGAAGACCTCGTGGCCTTCAGCAGCGAGAGCTTTGGCGACCTCGTCCAATGCACGCGCGCACGCAGGTGAGGGATCTACGACGTGATCAGTCCGCATTACGCCTATGCGGAGCTTCTTCTTGTCCTTGAATTCAGTCTCCGTGTCCTCTCTCCACGGCAGAGGGTGAACAGTGTAGTCATAGTTCCAGGGCTTCATCTGCACGAAGCTACGTGTGAAGTACGTCAAATCGTTCAACGTCCGCGCCATAGGGCTGAAGACACTTGGGATGCCTTCCTGGCCAGCCATACTGGTATTCATTCCAACCTTTGGCCATCGTCCAGTCGAGCAGCGTAACGAGTAGCAGCCAGAGAAGTGTGCCGGGACACGGACAGAGCCCGCAACGTCTGAGCCAATGCCTATGCGACTGCCACCAAAAGCCAAAAGCGCTGACTCTCCTCCCGTAGAGCCTCCAGGCGAGTACTTGTCATTATGTGGGTTCTTGCATTGACCCCATACGTCGTTCGTCGATTCGAAGGAGAGCAGGGTAGTAGGAAGGTTGGTCTTGACGAATGGTATCGCGCCGGCATCCTTCAGCAGCTTCACCATGGCGCCATCATCCGCATACGGTTTCCCTACGTTTCTTGAGTACCCAACCGAGATATCAAAGCCCTTGACCTGTATCGAGTCCTTCAACGAGACCGGAATGCCTGCAAGCGGTCCCTTCAAGTTGATCTCCTTCGCTGCCCATTCTTCAGCTTCTGGAAACAGTATCTCGGTCAAGCAGTTTGTCTTCTCGTGCGCCTTGATTGCGACCTTTCCGTATGCGCGTAGAATGTCGACGGGGCTGGCGATCTGCTTGTGTACATCTTGAACAAGCTCTTGAATGGGTCGGCCGAGTATGGTACGCTCTTGCGGGGACAGCGGGTATAGGTAGGACGTGGGGAGCGTTGCGATCTTGGAGGCTCGCTCGGACTGCTTGCGCTGGCTACGACAACATTAGCTCATGTTGCTACCGAGGTCGTGCGCAAAGGTGGGACTGCATACCAGTCAAGCTTGTGTTGTCTATACTCTAGAAGACCCATGCTGTTCACGGCGCAAGTCCAATTTGGAGGACTGGAATGTGAGGGGCTCTGAAAGACAGGGCTTTGGAATATCTATCAGCAACATGTCGATGTCTTTATGCAGAGCGCATACCTGCGGATATAGCTATCTTGTCGGCAGGACTTGCCGTATTAGAGCTACCCGAGGTCAGGAAGTGGGGAGCTTCAACCCTCGATCCACTTGTTTATCGCTGTCCTCAACACCACTCTCACTATCATCAATTGGCTCAGTGCCGTCGTACCATCTATCTTCGCTCACTATAGACTATTCAAACCAGACGTATTATGTGCCTTCTAAAGTGCGAGAGAGACACCGAATGTGGCTATCAACAGCTCGTGCTTGCTCGCCAGGAACTAGATGCACGAGGAACTTTACATGTATTGGCCTTGTATGACACTATACAAGAGCTGGCCATGCACCTGGAAGATGTACAACGTTGACCTGGCGAGATAGGTAAGAAGGAGGCTATGTGAATGCTAGTGCTGCTTCCGTTGCAAGCGTCCAACGCGTTGACACCTAGCACAACGGCAACACAACAAGAACCACGCCCTATGGTTCATAACTTGACGCGACAGCCTTTCATAAACTATCGCACATAGGCCCCTGACCAATACGCACGGAGAAGTACCAACTGTCTGTGCTAGCATTGACGTGTGTACCCCAGCTGTCCTCTCATCAACTCCTGCGTTCCTCAGCAACGCCAACACGCCATTACAGAACGATCCGCTCAGGTACAGTTTCATGCTCCAGCGCATTTGATTGAGCCTCAACATTTTCTAAGCATAGCTCCCGCGCGCGAGACTGGGCAGGAAGTTGAGGTGGAGTCGGGGAAGCAGAGCGACAGCCGCAACTCAGTCTCTCATCCACTCGATTCACGAAGCGAGATGGGCTCCAGATCCTTCAGGTACCGCTGAGATGTCTCGTATATGAGTGGCTTCCCCAGAATTGATGTTTGGACTGGCCCTGCTGTAGCCGCCACAGAACGTCAATGCGGCAGCTCGGACAATTTCTGAAGCATCGCCGTTCTCGCTTCTCATTGGTACGTCCAGCGACTACTCGAGATACCTTGAAACCACTGGAGTCCAGACAGGCGAGAGTAAGAATAGCAGCGATTTCAGCTATGCCATTTTGATGCAGTTGTTGAGGTAGCAACCCAGATCTTGGATATATAAGACAAACTGGGGCAGCTCACTTACAATCACCAAACACATCAGCATCCATCTCATTACCAACTCACTTCGCGAGTTTCCTTTCTGTCTTTCTTATTTCCTTGTTTCCTTGTCTCCTACTTGGGTCTCATTCATTTGCTTCTTGTCTAATACACGACACTCTCTTCATCCTGCTGTGCAGATCGCAATACATTCCTTGTTGCACAAACCAGCTTCGTCCGTTCTTCACGACATCCGATCCTTAGCCACACTCCCCGAGCCTCTTTCCACCAGAACAATCACTTCAGCCAGTCATCATGCCTGTCCCAAGCTACGGAGCCATGCCTTTGAGCAAGATGTTTCTCATGGTCCGCGTCCTCCAGGCCATCTGCATGATCATCGTCATCGGTATCACCTCCAATTTCGTTCAGATGATCGTTACGACCGGTGTTGAGCCACCCAAAGAATTCGTCGGGACGCTCAGTGTGGTATGTTCTTCTCATCAAATTATCAAAACTGCCTCTAACTTGGTCATAGACCTGTATCGCAACACTGTACATCATGGTGTCTGTTGGCTACTACTGGTCTCATGCCAATCTCGGCCTGCTTGTCATGACCGGTGTTGACTCCCTGCTTCTCATCGCCTTCATCGTCTGCGCAGTCACCCTCGGCAAGCCGATGTCCTTCCTTAACTGCTACGTCATTGGCAAGTCGTCCAAGGAAGTCGATGCCCAGTACGCATACGCTTTCGTCACAGCCGCGGCCCAGAACCTCAACACTTCGGGAGCCGGCTTGGACTTGCGCCACTGGGCTGGTGTTACGCGCACCAACTGCTTCCAGGCCAAGACTGTTTGGGGTATGGCTATTGCTCTCTGGTAAGTCCACGCAACATGATCTAATGCAAACGTACACTAACCCTACATAGCATCTTGTTCACAGTATCGTGTACACTTCTCCCAACTCTCTGGTACAAGAACAAGAAGCCTGCCCCCAAGACCGTTGAGGAAGCCTAAACGTGGCGTCCACTAGGGTCGCATGTTGCTACATCAACGAACGCGACGCACGAACAAAAGGAATGGTCAACCAAGAGCGTCCTCTGCCAGCCTTCTACGTCTTTTTCCTCATATTTGTCAAGTCAACAAAAAAAGGTCATTACAAGGGAGTTTGGAGTCTTTTTATCTTTGTTTTGTTATATTCTGTTTAGACATTGAATGTCTTTAATCCTAATGGATCATTACTGGGCAAGACCCTCCAAAACCAATACATCTTTGTGATCTATCAACGCATTTCACATGCACTTTTAGTCCTCTGTGCCTCTGATCATGCCTTTCATGACCGACTTTGACTCTTGGTGCAGGTTTACTCCATATACTAGTCACATTGAGTCTTATCCCCATGCATCGAGCTAGTCAGTCATCCACAGTCACGCATTCGGGAGTCAAAGTAACTGACTGTTCCATGTTGTATACCAAGTATAAAAGCTCCAGTGTGGCAGCATTTGTCTTCCTTCCTCCACCAACATACTACGATCAACAATCTACAAACAGGACCAGTATCAAGACAATCGAGCTATCATTTATACTACAAACGACAGCGACACGAACACTTACTAGAAACCTCGAGCCAGCGAGCGAGCATTTAACACCAACCAACAAAAGTCTAACTTCAAGCCCAGCAACATGTGCGAACAGTATGAATACGTCTGTGAGAACTATAAATTAGATCCACCCCATCAATGCTCGAAGGTGCTCCAAAACACCGCTATTGTGCACAGCACGTACTGCCAAAGTCACGAAAACCCCAATGTCCTGATCTATCGTGGCGATCGTCAACCGGGTTGGTGCGGCGTGCTTGAAGGTCGTCTAAGGACAATGGGTGTGTTTTGCGCGAACTGTCAGCGGATAGAGGACTGGCGTAAAAAAGTACAGGGTGAATAGGGGCTGGAGGGACTAGCAGAGGGCTGGTGTGTCAGTGAAGGCTCGAGCTTGATTTGGATGGGCAAATGCGGGCTGGTGAATGTTGAGGGCTATACGAGAGGTGAGGTATTGGTTTCATTGTGGGGTTGTAGGATGCATCGGGGCTTAGTGAATGTGGACTGGGGATTTTGGCGGTTACGGTAAATTGTGCACATACAGAGGGTTAACTTTGGAATTCTATCAGTTTGAGAGACCTAATGCAGCAAGATATGGCATACGAGTCTTCGGTGACAACTGCATGAACGACTCGTTGCTGACCCATAGTCTTTTGCAAAGTATGACTCCTTAACACGGGGAGTGTCATTCAAGAATCGCAGGCTAAAACCACTTGTACTTAGCTTGACATATGAAGCAAGACTGCTAAGGAATTTTAGAAATATCGAGTTATACGAAAAGTATTTTACGAGATAACTTGTATGCTGTTAAATTCCCGATAACACACAACAGCCATGACGCCACAGAACCTTGGGATACGCAATGGCAAGAGCAAATATCCTCGAATATCGTAGTGCAAATACCGTGCTGGCTTCTGCCCTCTTGTAACGTAATTGAAAATTTGCAGTCACGCAGTCACAAGGTGCAGGAGTTGGTCATCGTGCATCAGTGGTGGAGAGGGGAGAGAGAATTATGTGATATGCACAGTGGTCAGAGCTCTCCTTCCGCGGCTGGCCTGCGAAGCCATTGGCTGGACGATTGAAGCTCTGAGATCGTCTCGAGAACAGCGGCTCTAACTTCAAGGGAACAAATGTAACTGTTTGGGTAGAGACTGTAAGAGATGAGCTCACATTTCCATGTCAGGCGCCTCACCCGTGTTATGCGTAATAGAATCTGGCGGTTGCCTGCACTGCGATCACGCGGAACCCAGGACTTTGGACCTCGACGCCTCATGCACCTCTCGGCATGCAGCCAGACATCCCCGCTTCTTACCATTCGCACGCCATGACTTTGTATATAGGACCCAGATCCTTCACTTCTGCTTCCCATTGTTGCCCTTTGCCTTTGCGTCGTCAGATCTACTATGCTTGGGTGAGCCAATTGCCGGAGATAAGCTAGCGCAGACGTCATCCCCCGCCTAAATTTTGCGAAGCTTGAGCGATAGCCGCCACCGATAGCACGATAGAAGGTTGGAGGCATCATACACTGACGAACTGCGGTGTTCCTAGAGGAGAACGGAAGAAAGAGTAGCACAAAATGTCTCTCTCCCAGCGCCTCACGGCTATGGAGGAGCACGAGCCGTGGAGTAGAGAGGCGAGTCCGGACTCGAGGCACCGTAAGATGTCTTTCAACCCCGTGGGAACATGGACAGAGCCTACGGGTGAAGAAGCAACAATCGGCGCCTTCGAAGTGCCCAAGTGGAAGAGACTGCGTACGCAAATACCCACATGCAGGAGTTGGAGACATAGGAGCTAATCGCCCGTAGTCCAGGTCTTCTTCGCCGTTATCTACTGCCTCTTCGCCGCCGGCGTCGTCTTCGGGTACGCCGCGATAAAACCGGTACTTCTCGAGGAGGGCGTATACAGAAATCAGTGCACAAAGGAGGAGCTTGACCAGAATGTCATTGTGTGCTATGAGCAGGAGCTCCGGTACGTAATCCATCTTTGGAGTGGAAGGTGCGATGCTGACACGAGAGCAGGCTCAACCTCATGTTCACAATTGCTGCCGTTTCCACCAACGTCGTCGCATTGCCTGTTGGTACGATTCTCGATCGCTTCGGGCCGCGCGTATGTGGCATAACCGGCGCCATATCCATCACTCTCGGTTCACTGCTTTTCGCGTTTGCGGCGCAGTTGCCATTCGATGCATATATCCCCGCATACCTGTTCATGGCATTGGGCGGACCATTTATATTCATTTCCTCCTTCCAGCTCAGCAACACGTTCCCGCGATACTCTGGACTTATCCTGGCCCTTCTCACTGGAGCTTTCGATACCTCGAGCGCAATCTTCCTAATCTACCGATTGCTCTACCAGGCTACCAATGGCGGATTCACGCTTAAGAAGTTCTTCCTCATCTACCTCATTGTACCGGCATTTATCTTGACTGTCCAAGTACTTTTTATGCCATCTGTGTCCTACAAGACTGTCGGCGAGCTCGTTACCCAAGCAGAAGAAGAACATCTCATCCACGACTCGGATGATGACATTGAAGACGAAGCTACAGTCCAACGTCTACAAGAATCCCGTCGCGCGCACCGTGACAGCATTGTCAGTGAGATCACAACCCTCATTGGCACCAAAGACGGCGCAAATCAAGCACAAGAGGAAGAGAGGAAGAAGAACACATCAGGCGTGTGGGGTGCACTACACGGACGCACTGCCGCACAGCAAATCCGCACACCGTGGTTCGTTCTCATCACTTTGTTCACGGTTCTGCAAATGACGAGGATCAATTACTTCGTCGCTACTATTCGGACGCAGTACACATACATTTTCCATAACTACGACAAGGCCGTTGAGATCAACAATTTCTTCGACGTCGCACTACCCGTTGGCGGTGTTATTTCGGTTCCCTTCATTGGTCTGCTGCTGGATAACACGAGTACTACCTTCACCCTAGCCATGCTCGTATCTACTGCGACAGCAATCGGTGTTCTAGGCGTCATCCCCGAAACGTGGGCAGCGTACTCGAACATTGCTCTCTTCGTTCTGTATCGCCCGCTGTACTACACTGCTGTCTCGTAAGTCCTCCATGTCACGCTTGAACTAACCACCAATATGCCACTAACACGCTCGTAGCGACTACTCCGCCAAAGTCTTTGGCTTCGCCACCTTCGGCAAAGTCTACGGCCTAATCATCTGTCTTGCCGGCCTATTCAACTTCTCGCAATCCGCACTCGACGCCGCAACGCACAAGGCCTTTCGCAACGATCCTGTCCCCGTCAACATTATCCTCCTTGGCCTGGCGTTGCTGGTGGGTATCGCACTTGTCGCTTTTGTTTGGCGACGTAGCCATAGGATTCTGAGAGACAATATTGAAGAGGAGGCTCAGGGCGCCAGGGAGGTGCTTATGCCTGGCGCGAACGAGGTTCGTGTGAACGACTATGGTGCGATTAATGGGAATGGAAGTGGAAGCCCGAGCCCAGGTGAAGAAAGCAGAGGGCGCAGGCTGTAAGGTCAGAGTCGTCTTCCTTTTGTAAACTGTTGGGATTTCTCCTACTGCGTTGTATGATCCGCTCTAGCGTTGACTTTACTTTCAAACCAAGAAAGTAAACTGTTGGGATATGATTTAGGCGCGATTTCTTGTAAGTGCTGACCTTTTGATATCTTCTCTTCATTGCCTTTGAAAGTAAAGTCAACGCTAGAGCGGATCATACAACGCAGTAGGAGAGATCAGTATAAAACTACAGTTCAGGTGCTATACCCGCTAGTATCTTATATATATATACGCATGCTACTGCCTAGATAAAGCATTAGGGGATATATAATCTATTACAACTTGTATGCATAGACTAGTGAATTAAGTTCTATTATTACAGGAAGAGGAATTATTGATCTTTCAGGTAAGCTCCTAGCGAGTTGCCTTTCTCATATTCTCTTTCTTAGACTGAGGAAGTACGAGAAATTCGAGGGGGATATGAGCAGTATGTGCCAGGAACTCTTTACATAACACGCAGCTGACTCATTTTAGATGTTGTCCAGGCAATACCTTATAGGCAGATTCCGATAATAGAAGTGGGGGAGCTATTATGAAGAGCATGACGTCTTCCTTGTTGGAAGTGAATGGTTGTCTTGTTTGTTACTGCCTTTCTTCAAGCACTTATATCATCAGGACCGAGATTAGGGAGTATGGTCACCGCCATATCCCAAGCAAAGTAGAGAATGACGAAAATAAGGCCCAAATGCATGCTGAGGGGACAGTACGTCCAATACCGGTCGCAGCGCATTCGAAATATAGACAGGTGCAGAACCTGCCTCTACTTTAGTAAATACTGGGGTCTCGAAAGAAGTAGAGATTAAAGTAAAAGTCCCAGTAAACGACTGCAGATGGCGAAGCGATGAACCAAAGCCCTTTCAGCCTCAGAGGAGAGCTAGCATTCGCCCATCAGCCTTTTCGGCAAGGATGCTTCCCCAGGCTTCGTTCCCGCGGCTACGGAACTCTTTTCTGTGGCCAAACAGGCTTAGCGTCATGGCGGGGTTATATTGTTATATCCTTAACCTCCTCCAGTGGGCTGCTCCTGGATCGTTACCCAAGGCCTACCGTTATTACCTAATCGCTGAGGTCGGATGCACCGACCGCGGTCGACCCAAACAACGAATAACTGTTTATGATGTCTTACTAGCCTTCACGCTTCTTACGCTCGACCGTTTCAAAATTTCCCCTATCGAAGGGCGATGTCGTCCGCCCCGCATACTACCACTATCGTTGCTCGACACGTCGTCACAGATATAACCGTATGCATCATCCCTCCGAAGACGTCCACCTGCGAACTCGACCCGCGAACATGGCACTGTATAGAGAAGGATCTTTACCAATATACCTCTCAGCACAGTGCTTGGCTGTATGTAGCGCTGGCAAATGAAGACGAGCTCGCGGCTGAGACCCTGGTGGTTGGAGATATCAGAGCCGGTGAGCGGCCCCCCTCCAGCTCAGGCCACTGGAACAGTCGACCTGGCGGAATTTGGGTGCTGAGAAAGAAGTTCGCTGGCGACATTGACCAGGCTGTGACAGAGGTGGAGGTTCTATTTGGTACAGATGCTGTTGATCCACGACCACAATGGACTCTCATGCAATCTCCGCTCCAAATTAATGCTCAACCAGAGATTCCGGTTGCGAGGCTAAGCATACTTCACGGCAGAGCCAAGCCTAGACTGACTGCTGATGTGCCGTTGAGAGTTAGGGAGGATAGCAAATTTAAGATTGTCCAGATATCTGACACGCATATGGTTACTGGTGTTGGCGTATGCAATGATGCTATTGATGAACAAGGGAACGATCTACCGGAGAGCGAGGCTGATCCCCTTACCGTAAGATTTATTGGGGAGATATTGGACGCAGAGAAGCCAGACCTTGTGATTCTCACTGGAGATCAATTGCATCACGACATCACAGACAGCCAAACTGCCCTCTTCAAGGTGGTCGCTCCTATCATCGAGCGTTCCATTCCATTCGCTGCCGTATTTGGCAATCATGATAGTGAGGGAAGCCACGCATTATCACGTAAGTAATCATTTTTTACATAACCCTAACAAAGATAGCATTCGACACAGAGCTGCCACGCTCCTGCAAAGGGGTTTAGTTTCGTTTCCGCAAGATGATCATGCTGATCTTGCACAGGCACAGCACAGATGTCAATACTTCAGAATCTACCCTTTAGCCTCTCCGAGCCAGGCCCAGAGCAGGTTGATGGTGTAGGCAACTTCTACGTTCAGATCCTGGCCCCCGCCCCATCAGAGCTCCCCGTATCTACTCTGTATTTCCTGGATTCGCACAGCAAACTGCCGAGCACGACATTGAACAACCGCTATGATCATATCAAGCCAAGCCAAATTGATTGGTTCAAGACCACTTTCCAATCGCTACGAAACGCGGGTAATCTCTCTTTCGTTATCATACACATTCCTCTACCTGAGTTCAAAGACCGCCATCTCTGTATACGGAGCGGCCAACGAAGGGAACCGACCGAGGGCCCTAGCTTCAATTCTCATTTCTACGACGCTTTGGTTGACTATGGCATATCAGCAGTAGGCTGCGGGCACGATCACGTGAACGATTTTGCCGCTTTATTGCCACAACAAACGCAGCATGACGGTAAAACCCCGCAAAGTCCTTGGCTATGCTATGGAGGTGCCAGTGGTTTTGGGGGTTATGGCTCGTACGCCGGAAAGCGATTTTATCGACGAATGCGGGTATGGGAACTTAACGCAAGCGCTGGAAGCCTGAAGACTTGGATGCGGTTGGAATATGCCATTGGCAGAACTGATGAACTGATGCTTATGGAGAATGGAGTGGTGGCGGATCCGCCCGTGCGAAAAAATGATAGAAGCTGCATAGTGACTTGACGTTGATGTGGCATACGGAGAGGCAATCTTCTCCGTTCGGGCTCCGCACAGCGCAAGAATTTATTGTAAAGCTCTACGGTTACTCCAAAATCTTGGGGTGGGTAAGTCCTAGAGGGGTTCGTCCGCATTTCTCTACAGCCTACTTGTTACGCATGAGCGAGAATCAGTGGTTGCGAGACAGGCTTGAGATTCGGCCAATACGGTGTATACTAACAGTACACCGCAGTCTACTGGCGTCAACTTTTCATAAGCCATTTGTTTACTTCTTTTTGCTAATGGGCTTGCCAAGCAAACGCAGGCACAACAGGGATTGTAAGGTTATTCTAGAGAATGTGCAGTGTGCATATGGCCATTTCAACACCACGATACTAAACAACCCTCCTATCATGAAGAGGTGCCGGGGCTGTGACGCGGTTGTCTCGCACACTACTACGCAGTGCTTGAATTGTGGAGGAAACACTTTTGATTGAAGCAAAGAATGCATCGGTCACACTCAGGCATTCAAAGTAGAGAGGTTATCTATGAGACAAGTCAGGATTCAAGAAGCTTCGTCATGCATTTAATCAATCCTCTGTACCATCCTGCCTCACTTGATCTGGATGCGGAAGTTTCCCAAGGTCGGTTAACTTGTTTAACTCCATTTTGTCGCTCCATTTGTCGTAACATTCGACGTACTCCGTCGCAAGGAATTGCTTTATCAGATGGGCTATATTTTCGCTACGCCTGTTGTACGCATCTGGACAAAGCGTTCCAGTCCAGTTTTCCATTCCTGGTGGGTAAAATCCAGCATACTCAAAATCAATCAAGGCCTTTACCTTCAGTGTTCGTGGATCCATGATGATGTTATGGGCTGCGATATCACCATGTTGGAAGACATACTCAGGCTGCTTTAAAGGGAGAGTTTTCCAGCGTTCTTTTCCTGTCCACGGAGGCTGGATGTCAGGGCTTAGCCAAGAGGGGGGCATAACAAATCCATCGATACCCCGAGATTGAGATTTCATGGTTGCGAGCTGTGGCATAACTGTGCCAGAAATAAAGTCGAGAGCATTTGCATAAGCCTGGTCTGAACAGTCTTTACACGACGTACCGTTTGTGTGCTCCTGTCCCTCTGGCTTGGAGCAACTCCGGCCAGGAAACGTGTCCAGACGGGGGCCTTCAATGAACTCTGTGATTAAAAATCTCCGACCATCTGGATGACTCCCATGGGCTAGCAGTCGCGGAACAGGTATCTTCGTCTCCTTCAAGACTATTTCCAAGGCTCTGGCCTCATTGGTGATGCGCTCATGGTTCCTATCCGTAGTTACTATTGCACGATCTTGTGGTTGAAAGCCAGGTCATTCACTCCCCTGGCCCGCCGAATGAGTGTGACTGTTTCTTACCAGGATCTATACCATACAAAAGGAGTGCCATCAAGCCGTTGACTCTTGATTGGAAGCCGGGAAGTTTTTGTGAAGGTCGTGGCGGTGAACTCGTATGTTATGTCGTACGTTTTGAAGAACGTGATATCTGCATCTAGTCAGCAGAAGTCTCAGATAATTTAAAAGGTACCTGCCACTCTGTGCCTCCATCCTCTGAATGTAGTCGTCTTCTGACTCGAAAGCCTCAGAACTTGTCAGACTTCCCCTTGCTAGCTTCATCATTGTGACCTCCAAATGTTCTGTCGGGCTGTTCGCAAGCGACTGGTAAACGTTGTTGTCGTGTAGCCTCCATCGTCGCTCCTGCCTCTCAGCCACTAATTACTAAGCGAGTACCAGCATTGCCAAGAAGCCGCCTCCCAAGCATTTATCAACGACGTAGCTGTCCCTTCCGCCTCCACTGCATACAATGAAGCGGAAACAATCGGACAGCCTGCAGACTGATCCTGGCAGCGCTTGTAGCGTGAAGCGGCTCAAGAATCAATATTCAAAACTCGATCAGCCCCGTACATCACCGACTCCACCTCTGACGGAAGAAGCGCTCTGCTCCCAGTTAAATCACAAGGCACATCAATCATCAGTCCGACACTGGGTGGAAACCAGTACGGCTGATTGCGATCCAGAGATGATGGCAGCACCTCCCACCCCTCGAAGCGCACCTTCAAACAACCGTGGGCGCCGCCCCCGACGGGCTCGGACACCTAGTCCTAGCAAGCAAACATCCCCGCAAACGTATCGTACGCGGAACCTGCACCAGGCAGGTGTTTTTGTAGACAGATTGGGCTATCTTCCGTCGGTAATTGACAACGAGGTGCGAGGTATACTGGACATCAAGTCATGGGACGATCAGGTCGCGGCAGCAACACACGATGCACGCATCGAAACTTGCGCAGCACGCTACCAGACCGATTCACGAAGAAATGCACGCAATTGCTCGCTCGAGGGCGATTGGAAAGCCAGCCTATACAACCTCCTGGTTTATCTATCAGATCTTTGGCCGGACGAATTACAAGCGCACATGTCAGAGAAGGGTAGGTGCATAGGTGCTCCACTGCTCTGTCGTAATGTACTTACTAGACTAGTCTGGAATGCTGCCCTCAAACCCACAAGTACACCGTACAACGAGACCGAAGACCAACGCGAAACGCGCGATTTTCACACAGCCCAGACTGCCCTCCCCAGTTTCAACACACTAGACGATTCAGCGATTAACTCCACTTTTGCCGGCCCCGTACCGTCCCTGCCACCGTCTCTGGCGCCGACTAGCAGCAGTGAAGCCGCAGATCCATACCATATATCAACGCCAAAGCCCGATATCACAGTCGGTCTCGCGCACACTGCATTCAGCCAACAAAACCAGCGTCAGCTTGTTGATCATCAGGCATCTGGGTCAATACTTAGCGACCCACATGCGGCTGATATGGGTATACGTTTCCCTTTCCTAGTCGTAGAAGCAAAGGGACAGAGTGTTAATGGGAGCCTTGTCAGCGCGGAGAACCAAGCCGCTGTTAGCGGTGCTTCTATGCTTGCGATCCTTCAGGATCTTGACTGTCAAGTGGCATGGGATTCTGGTTCTTCTTCTGATAGGACTCATCAGTCTAATTCGGATGTTTGCTTCTCGATTGTCACAGCGGGTCCCATACACACGCTGTGGGTACATTTCAACCACCAGGGCGCGGTTTACATGGAATGTATTCGGTCATGGCGTACAACACACAATGTACGAGAGCTCGTGCATTTTCTGAGTAAAATCTTGGAATGGGGCAGAGGAAAGTACAAGGATGGCATTGTAGAGAAGCTGGACAAGGCCCCTAGGGTATGAGTCCTTGAAGCTGACTTCCGCCGCGGGCCGGTATTGTAGTCTCGACGGTGTCAACTATCGATAAATGCCATTGATCACAGACAGAACTGTGATAGCTCGAGTGATGACCCTTAGGAGCGAACATGTGCTAAACCTTGACGCTAACTGCCTCAGTTAATAAGCCAAGTTTCTGCCGCTTACAAGGAGGGCCAACAATGCCTTCAGAATTTTCGCCTAGGCCAGGATGTCTGTACAGTGCTTAACTAGGAAATTGTATATCAAGAAGTGCAATAGGTATCTATTATTTTCAAAGTGTAGGAAAGAATGCGTAAAATACTAAGCTAGAACTAAAAGTTCCAGCAACGTTCTGCACCTCCTGTTATGCCAGGCACACAAGCAGGTGACGCTTAGCTAGCTAATATTGTTAAAATATTATACATGCCTCCAACGAGGCTAAGACGGCCTCTGGTTTACTTGCTACTTCTCTAGTTATATACTAGAAGGTCCTGACAGTATCATTTGCCGAGAAAGAGAGAGAGACACTTAGTCTGGACCATCACCGTGTCGCTCAGTTCAAGCGTTAATCACTCTATAGTCTACGTACGCTTAATATGTCTATTCCCCCACCAACCCCTCTCACTCACAGTTTCCCCACCCTTTGAAACCCCTTACCCAAAACATCTTCTCTACGCCTAACATCCACATCCCTTGGCCCCTCGCCCTTGAACCGCGTCGTAACAACCCACTCCTGAACCCCCTTCCTCCCCAAACTCTGCGCATCTACCTCCTTCCCCGGATAATCAAGCGTGAGCACAGCAGTGTACTTATCCACGCCGCCCACGCCATCCTGCGCTTTATCGCCGTACAGGCCCTTTCCCAGCGCCATGGGAGAAATACACGCCTCCGCAAACGAAACTTCCGGCTTACCCTCGTACATCCTCGGCTTAGCTAGGAAAGCGAGGAGCCGCTCGCGTTCAAGCTGCAAGTCCGGTGTCGAGGGAATAGGGGACTCGGGCGACGTGATCGTCGCTGCGAGATAGGGGCTGAGGATAAACATGAGGAAGAACTGGGGTGGAAACAGGATAATGCAGTTCTGCCGCGCGAGGTTGAGCCATTTGTTTGGGGGGAGAAAGCGTGCTGCGGTGTGTTCTATGCCGCCGTCATGTGTGGGGTTAGGAATGACAATCTCGTCTTGCTCCAACTCTGAGCTGGGCGGCGTGTCCTTGGGAGCAGAAGTAGTAGCATGTCTGGTAGGTGAGGTAGAGCCCAAGGGCAGAAAGTACATGTACATTTGCGTGCTGAAGCGCTTGGGCACATTGGGCGGCGTAACCCAGCGCGTAAACGGAATCAGCGCCTCGGTATCTGGTATCGCTCCCCAGCTCTCCAGCAGCGCGGTGAACTTGGTCTTGCCGGCGTGCACTGCGCGTCTTCCTTCCTCGCGCTCCTCATCGCTTATCTCGGTGAAAAGCTTCCCTGTCTTCTTGCTCTTGGCGAGTAGGATGCCGGACTCCTCGAAGGTTTCGCGCACGGCTGCTATGCGGTATGATGGCCCGTCTTGATGTCGTCCGAGATCATTTTCGTGTGGTATTTCGCCGTCGTGTGTTTTTGATAATGCGCCGCCGGGGAAGACGTGTGCGGAGGCGAAGCTGGATGCTTTGGAGACGCGGTGGAGGAGGAGGATCTGGTTGGTAGGGGATATGAGAAGGACGCTAGGAAATGTCAGTATATGTTCAGTATGGGAGGCGGTTGTCGCAAGGTTCTAAAAGGGAGGTAGAGTGAAGACATACCTTGCGCTTGGTCGTGGCACAGGTGGCGTCTTCGGCGCGTTCTTCGACTGTTTGTGGTCCGCTGGTGTTGACATATTACGTCGTTGTATTCTATTATTTTCCTGTACAGCAAACCTCCAGCTACAATTCTCTTGATTTGCAGATATGCGTCTTGTCTGAAGCTTAACGCAGTGAAACGAAGTTGGGCGTGTTACAACAGAGCAGGCGAGGCGAGGTTTTGGATACACTGCAAACCTAGGTTCAACCTGGAGGAGCGAAGAGAATGAAGTCGGCTTTGACATGTTTCGCCTCAAAAAGAGTCGACAATGCGGGATGGTAGCGCGCCATCATGTGTGGTTGGAGAGTGTTGGACGCGGGGAGATGCCGAGGTTGTGGGGAGAGCTTTGCCCTGAGTGACGTCGTAGACAAGTCGAGACAGGAGGAAAACCGGCAGCAGCTGTCACATTGGCAGCCAATGATTGAAGTGATTAAAGTAAATTATCAAGAATGAACGTTGTTCGTGGTATCATTGCTTTTAAGCCTATCCATTGCTCCGTAATGTACCCATCAAATCATCTTCACGTGTCTACCGAAAAAGAAACAGCAACCCAGCTGACCACTCTTTGAACGCCCTCCCAATGCACACCTAACCGGTTCTCTGCAGAATCTATGAATACAGCTTCTTGTCGAAGCTGTGCAGTCCGTGGACGTTACCCTCAGCCTGAGCACTGGCGGTTCTCAGCTCAAATCTGACGGTGCCGTTGGCAACGCCCTCGCTAAGGTCTGTGATGCTCTTGAGGCCAATATCTTGCAGCGAGTGCTGCACACCAGCCATAAGGTAAGGAACGAATTTGGTGATGGAGCCACGGTCCTGGACGGATCCAGACACACCCTGAGCGACCAAAACACGATCACCCTCAGAGAAGTAGCGCGCAGTTCCGGCGTTGCTAGCCTTCGAGTCGGCGCTACCAGCTCCGGCCTTCTTGTCCTCCATGGCGGCGATGCTGCCCATGCCACGGTAAGCCTTGACAAGCTGGCCATCACGGCTCACAAAGTACTCTCCGGGTGACTCGGTGGTTCCGGCAAGGAGACCACCCATCATGACGGTGGAAGCACCCATGGCGAGTCCCTTGACAATGTGACCTACGTTTTGGATACCGCCATCCGCAATGCAGGGAACGCCGAAGCGCCTTGCAAAGGAGGTGACGTTGTAGACGGATGTGGCCTGGGGCCTGCCGACAGCCATGACTTCCTGGGTGATGCAGGCGCTTCCGCTGCCCATACCAATTCGGAGGCCATCCGCACCAGCGGCGATGAGCGCGGCAGCCTGCTCTCGAGTGACGACGTTTCCGCCAATCACATCAATCTCGGGGTACTTCTCCTTGATGTACTTGATCATCTCCACCTGGTACATGCTGTTGCCCTGGCTGCTGTCAAGGACGACAATGTCAAGACCGGCATCTACGAGCTTCTGCAGACGAATCTTGTCCTCTGGCCGAGTACCAATGGCAGCGGCAGCAATCAATTGCTTGGAATGAGGGAGCTTGGAGGCAAGCGGGAAGTTTAGGTTCTTCATCAAATCAGATCGGGACAGGAGCGCAATCAGATTGAAGTTCTCATCGACGATTGGGAGCTTGCCCTTCTTCGATTTGTTGAGAATGTCGTTGGCCTCCTTGAGCTCTACGCCGTGGCGGGCAGTGACGAGATCTGTGGACATGACGGCCGTGACCGGGTCCTCTAGCTTGTCGTGGAACTGAATGTCACGAGGAGTGATGATGCCGACGAGCTTGGAGCGGAGAGTGCCATTCTCTACGGACATTTGTCAGCGATTGCGCTTTACTCCATATGCATAGAAGAGGGCGGTAGAAGACTAGATCAGAAAGACTTGGCTCCACAGCACGACGGAATCGTTGCGGATGAACGAAAGTTATATAAGAAGGTTGTTCATCATAAAAGAAAAATCGCAAGATGATAAAAAGAAGATGCTCACCTGTGACGGGAAAGCCGCCAAATCCCCACTGGGCCTTGAGCGCCTTTGCTTGGCCAACCGTGGTTGTGGGCGAAATGACGACGGGATCCAGGATGAAGCCATTCTCGAAGCGCTTGACCTTGCGCACCATCTCGGCCTGGTCGTCTTGGGAGCAGTTGTGGTGAATTACACCGAGGCCACCAAGAAGGGCGATGTGAATCGCCATGTTGTGCTCGGTGACGGTGTCCATGGGCGAGGAGACGAAGGGAGTCTTGAGGGTAATGCGCTTCGTGATGGGGGTATCGAGGGTGACTTCAGCGGCGGGGAAGCCTATGCCATGGTTAGGATGAGCTGGAATCGAGTACATGGGCGTGGAGCTGTTCTCAGTACAGGGGCAACGCACCAATGTAGCCAGGGAGCATGAGGAAGTCATTGTAGGTCAGGCCGCCGTTCTTCTTCGAGTCAATGAGCGTCTGGATGTCGATTCCATCGCGCTCCGAGTACTCGTTCTTGAGCACGTCCAGCGCCTTGGAGTAGTCGAGGGCGTCGGCGGCGGTGTTGGTCATGGCGTCGCCGTTGGAAATGGGCATGGTGAAAAGTCGGTCTTCTCGAGAAAGCGAGAAGGGTGTAGGAGGGTTGACTGAACGAAACAGACCGCAGTTCTTGGTGGAAGGACTTGGGCCGGGGAAAGTTATGGGCTTTCCCAAGAGAAAGAAAAGTTGGGAGGGAATCGAGGCGAAGAAAGAATTTCTGTGGGTTCCTGTGCCAAGCCTTTCAGGTGACCCCGCCTCTAGCGTGTCCCCAGCCAGAGCAGCGAGACGCGTTCGAGGAGTTGATTTCCATGGCGCATCAGACGATAAAAAGAAGTCTGTTGAATAGGCGCGATAATGTTGTGTGAGGGCAGAAGTCGGTTCGTGTTGCCGGTATGGATGGGGGGAAATCTGTGAGGGTGGTGCGAGCAACGACGCGACGCTAGGACTATAGGACTGTTTGACGATATCTCCCAATTGCTGGAAGAAGAAGAAAAGACTGCAAAGTATCTCCTGAAGCTATAAACCAGCGCTCAGGCCGTGCTTCGGAAATGTCCAAGTCGGTGTGACGTGGGTCGGGCAGCGATGGGCGTGTGTGTCTGTGTCTGTGTCTGTGGTGGCGCGGAGGCGGTTCGGTTCCTTGGTCCCGTCGCCGCATCAACAAACACGATAAACAAAGCGTCGGCCAAGCTTGGACTCGACTCGACACATGCATTGCCAATTCCAGCACCCTCGCCGCCCGCGACTCTCCTCTTACGCTCCCAATTTAATTGCACATTCCGCATTACCTTCTTTGGCCTGTGCTGCGCGATACTGCCGGCCTGATCGCTTGACTCGTTGACGCACCTTGGTCGAGTCTGTTGTTGGTGTTTGTTTCTGCAGGCAGGCGCCTCTCCATCTCTACTTGTAATATCGCGGCCTCTATAACGGCCTCTCCAACCCCCCAAACTCTACGAGAGCCAACCCACTCCCGCTCGCTGCTCTGTACGACGTATGCCGTGTCGAACTGGGTCGCAGCAACGCCCTCGACTGTCGCGATCGCCATGAGCTACTCCACCTACACCCCGCGAACGAGACTCGGCCACCTCGCGACCTCGCCCTCCCCACTGCGACAGACGTCTACCGCCTCGAATGGCTCGTCAAACTACTCCAACGGCACGAACCAGTACCCACCGAGCCGCTCAAGCACACGGTCCAGCGAGGCTTCCAATGGACTCGGATCCATAGGCCACCGTCGCGGCCAGAGCGAGGCAACGGCTCTCCCGCAGCCGCGGTCAGAGGACTACTTTGGATCCTCAGCGGCCGATCCATCGCATGCCTACTCCAGTATGCGAAAAGCGCTGCGCCCGCTCCAGCAGGCTCCACAAAGCTCCCCAGTGCCTGAACCGCCCGCGCGCGCGACAGCAAGCAGCCCCACGCACAGCCATGTCCGATCACAGAGCGTCGAAAACCTGCGATACATACCCTATGATGGCTCCGTCTCTCCTCCTAGCAAGCCGCGACCGTTGTCGCTGGCCATCTCCCGAACAGACTCTGCGAGCGCGCCCACTCGCGATCACGCATCGCGTCCGCTGTCAGCTCACCTCGAGCGCCCTGAGCTGCAGAGCTTCCAGAAGTCGTCGACGGGACACTTGCGCACCCTGTCCAAATTCGCCGAGTCGGCCAGCGATGAAGACTTTGCAATCAAGTCTCCCGAGCACCAGGTGGTCGGTCTGCATGGGCGAAGGAGGCTGCAACGGACCGACCCACAACGGGAGAAGAAGACGGCCTCAGCGTGGTCCAGTCGCAATTGGATGGATCAGCAGCGCCAATTCTTGCAAGCATACGAATATCTCTGCCATATTGGAGAGGCAAAAGAGTGGGTGGAAGACATTATCCACTCGGATCTCCCACCCGTCGTCGAATTGGAAGAAGCCCTGCGAAACGGTGTGACCTTGGCCGAGATTGTACAGGCCATCAAAGGAAAGCCGTTGCGCATATTCCGGGACCCCAAGTTACAATATCGACACTCGAACAACTACGCCCACTTCTTTGCCTTTTTGTCTGAAGTCGAGCTCCCAGACCTGTTCCGATTCGAGCTGATCGATCTGTATGAGAAGAAGAATATCCCCAAAGTCATCTACTGTATACACGCGCTTTCATGGCTACTGTTCCGGAAGGGTATAGTCGACTTTCGTATCGGCAACCTCGTAGGTAAACTACAGTTTGAGGACCATGAACTGGAGGCTACCCAAAAAGGCCTGGACAAATCCGGCGTCAGCATGCCGAATTTCTCAGGTATGCAGGCGAATTTCCAGGTGGAACCAGAGCCAGAACCAGTCGAATCCGAAGAGGACCGCGTCGACCGCGAATTGGCCGAAAATGAACACATCATTGTTGACCTTCAGGCACAAATGCGAGGCGCTCTGGAAAGGATACGATTGGGAAACCTGATGCAGGATCTGTGGGATTACGAGCACCTCGTTGTGGACCTGCAAGCACGCATTCGAGGTGACTGGGCTAGACAGATAGCCTACTACCGGATGGACATGCGTCGATTCGCAGTGACCCTACAGAGCGCCGCCAGAGGATACCTGATTCGATCCAGGTTGCAAGGCGAAGAGCAGTACTGGCAGGATAAGGAAGTGCAGGTGCTGAAGGTGCAGAATTTGTTCCGAGGACGCAAAGCCAGGGCACAAGTCCAGTACACCAAGTCGAAAATTCAGCAACAGGAGCATGGCATACGCCAATTCCAAGCAGCAGTTCGAGGAGCACTGGAACGACTACGCGTCTGCGACCGCTACGAGCAGACCCGCGACACGGAGCCTGCCGTGGTACACGTACAGTCGATGATTCGTGGTGCCCTTCTCCGGAATGAGGTCGATCGACAATGGACGGAGCTGAAAGAGAGCGAGCCTCAGACTGTACAACTCCAGGCTGTCTCCCGAGCAGTGCTTCTTCGCCAATCAATGCGTGCCGACCAGGAGAGCCTTCGCCAACACGAGTCTATTGTCACCATGCTACAGGCCGCTGCACGAGGCCTTATGGCTCGAGGCAAGAACGCCGATGTGCAAAAGAATCTGGTAAGCTCACATGTTAATTGGTCCGATCTTCAATCTCAAGTTCGGGGCAACACTATCAGGAGCTCTGTTAGGGAGCTGCAAGAAGCGCTTCAAGTCGAAGTGCCCAACATCACTGATCTGCAGGCTGTAGCAAGAGGAGGCAGGATGCGTTCAGAAGTTGCAGACACCCTTGCCCAACTGAATGATCAACAAAGCGCTGTTCTTTCTCTTCAGTCCTTCATTCGCGGCTTCCTTTCAAGGCAGAGGCACTTCTCTGATCTCAAGGCACTTCAGGCACAAACACCCACTATCCTTGACCTTCAGTCTGCTTGTCGAGGATTCGTTCAACGACAAAAAACCTATGAAATTCTGTGCGAGCTCAACGCACAAGAACCAGAGATCATCGAACTGCAAGGTGTGGCACGCGGCATGTTACTGCGCATGCACATTGGCGTGCAGCTCGGCCAGGTCGAAGAGCACGAAGAGGCTATCATTGAGCTTCAGGCCTTGGCTCGTGGAATGATGATACGACAGAAGTTCGTCGAGAAGAAGCAGTTCTACAAGGAGAACATGGAGAAGGTCATCAAGGTTCAGAGCTTCATCCGCGGGCGCCAACAGGGTGAAGCATACAAGAGCTTGACGAGCGGGACAAACCCTCCTGTGTCCACAGTCAAAAACTTTGTTCATCTTCTGAACGACAACGACATTGACTTTGATGAGGAAATCGGTAAAGCATACTTCACTTCCCACAAGCATACGTTTCTAACAACACTCCAGAATTCGAGCGCTTACGAAAGACCGTCGTGCAACACGTGCGACAGAACGAGCTTGCTGAGCAATACGTCGACCAACTTGACATCAAAATCGCGCTCCTGGTGAAGAACAAGATCACACTGGACGAAGTCGTCAAGCACCAGAAGCACTTCGGCGGCAACGTTGGAACCCTCCTCAGCAGCAAAGACATCTCTTCGAAAGATCCATTCGATCTGAAGGCCCTCAACAAGAACTCTCGCAGGAAGTTGGAGCAGTACCAGGAACTCTTCTTCACCCTGCAGACCCAACCTCATTACATGGCACGGCTCTTTAGACGCGTTCGCGAACTAAACATGGCCGAGAAGGATACTAAGCGCATCGAGCAGCTGACGATGAGTCTTTTCGGGTTGGCTCAGAAGCGCAGGGAAGAGTACTGGCTACTAAAGCTGCTAGCACGGTCTCTAACGGAGGAAACCGAAGGCTGCGCAACGCTACAGGAGTTTGTGCGTGGAAACTTCTTCTGGGCCAAGCTCTTCGGAAACTATGTTCGATCACCACGGGACCGCAAATTCCTCAAAGAAGTCCTAGGCCCACTCATCCTAGAGAACATCATTGAAAATGAACACCTGGATCTGGAGAGCGACCCGATGCAGATTTATCGGTCAGCTATCAACAACGAAGAGCTTCGCACTGGCCAACGCAGTCGTCGCGACCCGAATGTCTCACGAGATGTAGCGCTAAAGGATCCCGAGACGCGCGGCACCTTTATCCACAACCTCCAGGATCTTCGAGATGTTGCAGACCAATACTTCTCTGTGTTTGAGGAGGTTCTTCACCGAATGCCGTACGGAGTCCGGTACCTCGCCCAGCAAATGTTTGAAGAACTTCGCCAAAGATTTCCTTATGAGGCGCCAGAGCAACTCCTGCAGATCGCAGGCCACTGGGTGTGGAAGTCGTACATAATGCCTGCCTTGATCCAACCACAGCACTGGGGCGTGGTTGACCGCGGCCTGTCTCCTATCATGAATCGGAACCTGGGTGCTGTTGCGAAGGTTCTGGGTCAAATCGCATCAGGGAAGTTGTTTGGTGGCGAGGATCTCTACCTCCAGCCGCTCAACAGCTACATAACCGAGGCTATCGATCGTCTACAGGACATCTGGTCGAATAGTAAGTGCACCGCTCATGATAGAGGGGCTTAACTAACATCATTACAGTGATCAACGTGCGTGATCCCGAGGCCCAATTTGAAATTGACGAGTTCAACGATCTGTTTGCACGGACGAAGCCGACCCTGTATATCAAGCTTGCAGATGTGTTTGCTATACACAATCTCGTCATCGATGATCTTCCCACTCTCTGCCCTGCCCATGACGACCCTCTTCGTGAGGTGATTCGTGAACTCGGCAGCGCAAAGAACAACGAAAACGAACTGTTACACGTCAGCTCCACTGAGATCACGTTGACGCTGAACCCAAAGTACCATGAACAAGAAGGTGAGCAGTTTTCTAGCCCATCTGCATCACGTCGCTGACATGTGTAGACCCCGATGCGCAAATCAAGTCACTCTTCATGGAGACCAAGCGTTACGTACTGTACATCATCCGCGTCCAAACCGGTGCAAACCTGACAGAAATCATGACTAAACCCATCACACCCGAGGATGAAGACCGCTGGGACGCCCTGGTTCGCGAAGAACTCGCCGCACAAAACAAAGACCGGTCACGAAAACACAGCGCTGTGCGCTCCTCAGCCGCCTCCACATACACCACAGATATGGGGTCCAACTCCGTGCTGGATCTAGATTATCCCACTCTCAAGCAGTATTGTCTGGAGAACATGGTGCATCTCCAACGCGCAGGCCGCATCTCCCACCTCAACAATTATCAAGACGTGCTCAACGCTATTGCTGTCGATATCCGCACGAAGCACCGCCGGCGCATCCAGCGCGCCAAGGAACTCGAGGGCGTGCGGATTACGCTCTCCGCTCTAGACGAGAAAGCGCATTTCCTCGAGAGCCAGCTCAAGAGCTACAACGACTACATCGAGCAGGCTATGGTAACGCTGCAGTCCAAAAAGGGAAAGAAGAAGTTCCTCCTGCCTTTTACAAGACAGTACAACCATCAGCGAGAACTACAGCGCGCAGGGCGGGAATATCGATTCGGCTCCTTCAAATACTCGGCCCGCAACCTCGCTGAAAAGGGCATCCTCATCTCCTGGTCCGGCTATCCAGAGCGCCAATGGGACCGCCTCGACATCACCATCTCGTCCAACTCAACGGGTACCTTTGAAATCCAGGGCTCCCAGGGCTCCATGATGATCCCCGGCGCGTTTGCAGAAGTGCCGCTCGACGGCCTACTACAAGCGCAGTTCGACAACCACCAATTCATGAATCTCTTCGGCGATGGGCGAGATGGGTCGGGCGGTGGCGCCGTCAGGGTTAATGTTAATTTGTTCCTGCATTTGATCTTCAAGAAGTTCTACCGCGACGAGTAAAGCGTTCTGTGTGTTTTTTTGGGAATAAATTTGGCAATCTTGGTGTTGGGGGGTGTTAATCAACTCTTGATAAAGATTGAATTGGGGAAACTCACTCGGATTCGAGTGTCGTTGGGCTGGATGCAAAAGACTCTAGGAACTTTGTGTTGATGGATACCTCTTTTTGCATTTTTCTTCTTTTCTTTCTCTGTTCTCCAATTGGCATTACTTGGTGGTGGGAGTTTTTCTGGAGTTTTTCTGGGTGCTGTTTGTTTGGTGGGGGGAGGGTATGATATCAGTTTACGCTTACGATTCTAACATGTTGGCTTTCCGAAGCGTCTTCTCTTCTTCTCCCTTTTTTTACCTTCTTCTTTCTTGCTCTCTGAGTTGAATAGATGGTCAGCTGGATGCACTGTAACGCGCCGAGGGAAAGATATACCTCCACACAGACTTGGTGCGTAATGAGATCTATTAAAGCGCGTACGTATATATACTGTCTGTAGGTGAGATGATACAGTAGACGATCTCTTGAAAAGAAATAAATATATGAATATACAGTGCTTTTGCTTCGCTTGCGTACATGATGAATTCATAACATATGTAAACTATTGTGTTATTATCTGTTTAATATATCTTTTTGCACTCACGGTACAAGCTTGTCATAACGAAGTTAGAAGTTGTAGTGCGAATAGATAGATTGGTAGTGCGAGTTTCCAACGCTATACCTTGATGCGCGAAATGTCCGTGATGGGTCACGATATAAGAGCTAATATACGATTGTACGTATCATTTGATTCAAATGTGTATTCAAAGGGGTATATTGCGCCACCATGACTCCACGTAGCAAGCCACCTAAAGCCCATGTCAATGCTTTAGTCTCTATATAATCATTTCTCCATTCTCGCCTTCCCCTCCATGCACATCATCGCCCTCTTGCTCCTCATCAAGGTCTTCAAGCGGGTAGGTGAGTATAGCAGCGATGCTGCCCAGGCCCTCCAACCGCTTCCCGCTCTCATGCAGTGAGCTCAAGACCCTGACTTCTCCGCCCTCGGCCTCGCGTACCCGATCAACCAACTTGACCCATCTTCTCCGCTCTGCTATATTCTGCGCCCGGAACAACGCGTTGTTGATCAACAGGACCCCGCCGCCGCGCCCGACGGCCCCTTTATCGACTGCTCGCTCCACTTCTCGCGGACCGTACCATGCGCGCCCGTCATCTTGGCGCATCAGCGTGAGGAATTTGTCCATTAGGGCGGTTTCGCGTGCGTATTTTGTGTCGGAGAGTTTCGTTGTTATGGCGGGCGACGAGAGGATTTCGTTGAGCGAGTGGATATGTGCGGAGGAGGAGTGGGCGATGATGATGGAGGGTATGAGGGCGAGTAAGGGTTTATTCGTCGTGCGCGTGGCTTCGGCTCTTATGAAGGCGAGAAAGGCGGATGCGACGAAGCCGGGGCTTGCTAGTAATAGCGGCAGCATCTTGCCTTGCTGTGTCGTCGAGGTGTTCGGGAGATCGATCTGGCGGAGGAGAGTAGAGAGCGTGGTTGAGAAGAACCTGTCCATGCCCTTGCTGTGCCCGTCTACACCACCCTTTCGTTTTCGCGGTACGGACATCTCTATTCTCTGGCGGAGGATGGTTTGGTGCTCGGTTATCATGCATATATTCGCTGTGCCTTCGCCTAATACCACGGCCCATAGCTCTGCTCTCTTGTCATTGTCGCATGCCTCTTTCAGCATTTCCAGCGCGACGCTGTCCCAGCCATCTGCCTTCTCTAGTGTAAACTTCCTGTTGAGCTCGAGATCTAGCGTGTGGTGCTGCCCTAATTTGACGTGCTCGTTCTCTACGGCGACGCGCCCTGAGACATGGAGTTGGCCCGAGCCAATATCGAAGTCGGTTGACGTTACAGCGATGGTGAGGTCGAGGGTGATTCGTTGCGACGAGGTAGAGCCGGCATCAGACGTCTTGGAGACTCGCCGTACTGCTTTTGCGCGTATCCGATCGTTTTCTTGAATCAAGTTATACGCATGCCACTGGATGCTGTTAGCATGACCTGCCACCTTGAGGGCCCTGCGGGACGTGTAGGTACCATATCCTCGGGCTCTTCTGGCAGTAGGGTCGCCCACCCTGCACCCGTTTTTTGTTCGATTTGCGATTTGAGAAGCCTCATGATGAGTAGGCTAGAGGTTTTCGCGGCCTTGGGGCGTAACTCTTGTGCTGGTGGAGGTTTGTGAGGCGGTCATCGTGGGCGTTGAAGGAGTTGACATATGACGGCATGAGGGGTTCTCGCTAAAATTGACCGTCCGCCGCCTGGGTAACAACCCAATTGTCACTTGGTGTTTACAAATTCAACAAAAATCTCCAATCTACTACTGACTACACGTATACATCAGTTACGAAATGTCATGGCCATATGCTTCTGTGCGTCTGCGCTTGGATTGCGAAGGATTAGGCTCCAGTCCCACGAGCTGGACTATCAACTTATTTACACCGCAAAACCAATACGGGAATCTCAATTCTTTTTTCGGTTTCACTGCCTCAAACGATTTAATCACTAGCTTTTTGCACAATACAATTGCGTCGTTGACAGTACTGTGGGCCTGAGCTCCGCGCTGCGCACCGAGTTAGCATCTCCAGATAGAGGCTGTGCCGGAGAGTATAAGTATGTCAAAACTTGATTCAAAATCCTTCTCAGAGACAGATCCCTCTTCTCTCTCGTCCAATCTCCTTCTGTAGTAACCTTCTCTCCCAATCTAATTTAATTAGCTATCAGACTGGTCCCTTGAGACATCATGTTTTTCTTGAAGTCACCACCGCCACCGTCACCACTAGTATCGAGCTCAACACCTCCACCACTTCCCCCTCGCAAGCCATGTACGGGCACATGCAATCAGCAAAGCCAAAGCGTATTTTTCGCCAAGTTGCCTCCTGAAATCCGAAACGAGATCTATCAATATGCCTTTTCGCTGGATGCCTCGGAGTCTATCTCAGCGGTGCACCACCCACTATCTCTACTCCTCACCTGCCACCAAATCAATCATGAAGCCACAAACCTCGCTTTCAACACGCACGCCTTTGCCATAAAACCAAACGCGCGGACTTCATTCGTCGCGCTCCGCGACAAAACATCGCACCTCTCCGCACAACAAACATTTGCCATTACTACGCTATCCTACGACCTCGTGGAAGGGTACATCAAAGGTGGCAGCGCTGTAGCAAATATGCTTGCCAACGGCATTCTCGTGTTTCCTTTCCTTTCACGCATCGAAATCTACATCCAGCGCGGCTACAAATCCAGACACAAAACGCATTACTATCCCTTCTATCCTGCTCAAGATAGGCCTTTCTTTAATGACCCGCGTAAAGACGCGATAGAAAAGTACGCTCCCATCTGGCTGGACTACAAGATCCTCAGACCCGTCGCCAGAGGCCACACATTCTCATGGCAAGCGGGACAAAAATGGAGCATCGCGTGGCCACAGTTGGACACACCCTACTTCTCCGTCATCGGCGGGGAGGACTCAAACGGTGAGTCACTGAACAAACCGTACATGGGGACTGACGCCGTCGGCGCCGCGCGCGGCGTACACATGTGCATCTGTGGCTGCGGCGAAGTATGCTGGCTCTCTGCTGATCTTGTGCAACAAACTGGTCGTCGCGTACTGGTCGACACTTATTTCTATGGCGCAGAAGTAATTCCGAGAACAGATGACGAGCGGCGGTTTGGACATCTCAAAGTTCGATTGCATCCTGGTGTGCCGGGTGTGGAAGGATTGACTAGGGAGAATGTGGGCGCAACAAGTTTCAAAAACGAGGTGGACGAAGAGTATTGGGATGAACTCAGGCGGAGAAACGGGAAGTTGGATGCTCTCTGGAGGGGATTTTGGAGGGGGAGTAGAGCGGGAAAAGAGGCGGGTCGGGGCGAGGGAAATAGTTCCCTGCCATTGGAGTAGGAGGCTCCAAAGAAGACAAAATAGAGGAGGGAGGAAAGCAGGCTGAGTAGTGCGGCATTGTAGATTAGTATGTATGTGGCAAAACGGCACTAGCTATTTAACACCAGCTTCAGGTATAAAAGGGCTGGTCGCAGTCAAAGTACATGAACGAAATGAAGGATGAAGGAGCGGGGTATGAAGAGTAGCCCAAGATTGGGAATTCCATCAAACATTATCATAAAGTATCTACGAGAAAGTGCCGAAGACGGCTAACCAGCGAAAACCCTTCGCCCCAGCTTAAGACCTCTGCTTGATGACATCGGCAGCCTTCTCGCCAATACCGTACATGGTAGCCTGCAGATGGCAAGACGGGATGATGGGGATGATAGAAGCATCAATAATAGAGAGATGCTGGGTACCATACACCAGCAACTTGTCACTGACACAGCCACCCGCATGCTCGGGCATCATCGGGCAGGAGCCGGAAGGATGTGCAAGCGTGGGCGACAGGTTCTTCTGGCTCAGCAGCGCCGAGAAGATCTCATCGTCAGTCTTGTACTGAGCACCAGGGACCTTTTCGCTGATCTGGAAGCGCTTGAGCTCGGGCCTGGCCCAGACGGTGCGGAAGAAGCGCAGACTGATGCCGAGAATGGTCTTGTCCACGGGGTTGACGAAAGCATTGAAAGAGACCTCGGGAGGACCGGAGGGGTTCGATGCGTTGAGGTAGACAGTACCGCGAGAGAGTGGCTTTTCAACACCGACGAGGCCGAAGCTGCCATCAGCTGGAACGGGGAACTCGGCGACAGCAGCGTCGTAGCGTGTGAACAGGTTTGCGATGATAGCGCGCTGGCGCGAGAATCCCTTGAGGAGCTTCGCGTTGTTCTTGTAGATGGCAGGGAGGTAGTCGCTATCCTTCTGGCTGTTCAAGCTATTGACAACGGCGTCGGCGTCATCGGTCATGTCAGGGAGGGAGATGAATGCGAGTGCGTTTCCGCGAGCATATGTGTAGGGACCAGTCTTATGAGCTTCGTATTCCGCCCAAGCACTAGCGTTGAAGGTAGCATTGGTGTTCAACGAGTTCTGGTTGGGGAAGGTGTTGGTGGTGGTGTTGAAGATGACGGTACCGTAGGCGTGGTCTTGGAAGTTGGAGCCTACTGCGTCGAGTTCAACGCGGACCTTGACACCAGCAGCCTTCAAGACGGACTTGGGACCGACACCGCTAAGCTGGAGCAACTTGGGCGTCTGGATAGCTCCGGCGGCGAGGACAACTTCCTTCTTCGCATAGACGTTGGACTTCTTACCACTGGCATCGGTAATCTCTACACCAACTGCCATGGTAGGGTTCTTCTTGTCGTCGAAGAGGATCTTTGTCGCTGTCGTGGCGGTGAGGATCTTGAGGTTGGTGCGCGCGGTGATGGGGTCGTAGTACGCATAACGCGCATGAGCTCTCCGTCCGGTAGTCGCATCCATGGTGTTGGGATACCAAGATGGACCATGAGCTTCGCCATTGTTGCCATCCTGGGGAGCATAGACGCCGGTAGCCTTCCACGCCTTCCAGTAGTCCTTGATGTCGGCATACTGATTGCTCGTGATGCTCACCTTCAACGGTCCATCGCCGTACGTAGAATCGTCCCAGGTGACGTTGAAGTCTGCAGTGACCTGATCAGACGGAGGCTGGAAGGTGGTACCCTTGATAAAGTATGGTTCCAAACCACTCCAACCCCAGCCGTTGTTGCCGAGCGCCTCCCACGCATCGTAGTCGGCAGCCGAACCGCGGTCATACACCATTCCATTGATAACCGATCCTCCACCGAGGACCTTTGCGACGTACACGTCATATGACGAGCCGCCAAGTCCGGGCTCAGGCTTTGACTTGATGCCATCCCAAATTAATCCAGCAGCGGATGACAAGTCGTTCGCCTTGTATGGAATCTTGGTGGAGTCCTTGTCGACATTGTCGCCACCTTCAATCACTAGTACAGACTCTATTCCATGTGAGCATATCTGAGTTGAAGGATTACAGCAGATCAGCAATGTACTCACTCCTCTTGTCTTCAGTGAGACGGTTAGCTACAACCAACCCTGTAATTCCTCCACCAACAATAACATAGTCGTATTGCTGCGTGGCCGCGGCGCCAAGGACGGGGGAGACGAATACGCTGAAGAGCTGGACGGCTACCGCCAAACGGGAGAATACAGGCATCTTGAACCCAAAGTACAAAGTTAACGAGAGTAAACCAGGGTGCAGATGAGGAGCAATTAGAGGGTGCAGCGCCACTAAAGGCTTTATACTACGAAATAAGGTCCCGGCATCGAGTGGAAAGGCCCGTGGCAACTGGGGAATGCCAGTATCACGCTTCAGACCATATTGGTGTTGTCGACGTTATCGAAGGCCCACATATCGACGAAGGCAGGTAGTTCATCGGTAATTGATGATCGGAGCAGTGATGCCGGCGGCGCAGCTGTGCTCTCCTGCGAGACCGAAGACTTTCTGGAACGGACGGCTCTTGTGCGCTAGCAGGCTGCGAGTCATGGACGCAGGCACGGAAGCAGGCATGTCGCCATCAACTCATATAACAGGCATGTGTAGGCAACGTGCTTAAGCAAACCAAGTCCTCGGCGCGACCATGGTCCAAGTAACCTTCGGCAAGGAGCTTCTCTTCCGCAAACGCATTCTAGGGTGCGGACACGGGGTAAAGAGAGGCCGCCAATGCAGTAGAAAATCTTTCCAACTAAGGTCGATGGTCCGTTTCCCGTTGTGGGAGCAGGGAGGGCACGCGAACTAGCTCCGCCTACCCTTGTACAACTATCTGTCTGAGGTTGAAATTCAGGTGCGTGCACGGCCCTTTGCTACTAGCATTTGTACTAGGATGTATCCAGTCGGTCCGAGTGCGGCGAGATGCAAGAGGAGAGGATAGATTTCGACTTCTAGCTACAATGTCGAATCTCCGTGATACTGCGGCGATTCCGCTGGTGGTAGAGAAGTAAAATTTAGGTTTCGGGAGAAGATTCGGTGTCCAGTGCGCTAAATACGGCTTGTGTTACCTGCCTCGCGGGTTCTCACTCGGAGCATTGTTTTAATTCCGGCAGTCGAAGACACGGGAATGGCTTACAGAGCGGCCTGAGGCAGCGCCACTGAGCACATCAGGTCCTATCTTCCTTCGTGTCTGAGGGCTGAGGGGCTGAGGGCTGAGGTCGGAGCAAGCTTGCCTGTTCAGGGTTCATCCCCCTCGGTCGATATTTGCATCTCCGCCCGCAATACTTCCCGGCAGGGTTTGCTTGTTCGCGTAAGATCTGTCAGGTTCCTCCGTTGGGATTGCCTCGCGTGGTATGGTAAAAATCGTAGATCTTGGATCAACGATCTTGGAACAACTATATCGAACCCTCGTAACGTCTAAACGCTTGTGCCAGCTATTGAACGGATACGCCAACGTGGTAGCGACAGTAGACTGCATCGACGTACTGGACCTGAGTTTGCCCTGATCACTGATCAGTGAGCAAAGTTCAATAGACGGTGCTAAACTAGCATGGGACGGCTCGGATTCCGGCCCCTGATGGTCCACTGTCCGCTCTTTTCCTTGTGGTGTGCGCCTTAGCTCAGGCAAATATCAATAATTCGACCAACAAGAAGACGAACCTGAGCGGCCTCGCTTAGCTCCCTGCCACGATGGATCAAACCTCTCTTGCGCCATCTTGACTCTTGGATAAGTGGACCAAGGATGATCCCCTCACAGAAAGTTTTCTACATTGTGATAGTCGGGGAAAATTTTGTGGTAGTTTTCTGAATATCTGCTGGTTGCTCCCATATTCTCCACAGCGTAAGCACTTACAGAGAGGTGTTGCGCCGGTACCGAAGCTAGCTTCAGCTCCTTCCTGTCTGCGCTGGAACGACAGTCGATGGGAGCTAATGCAGCTATTATATTTGACGTACGAAGGCGTTTTTAGCCGTATAACCGTCGGCCTCCATGTCTTACCTCCACTCTTACCTCCACGAGGACGAATCCCTTTTTTCCACGAGGACGATTCGTTTTTTTCCGCAAAGGCGAATCGCTTTTTGCCGGAGTTTCAATCACCTAGGCGACAGACATACTATCAGATATGCAATACCGGATGCTTTTCGCTTCCGCTCAGTGCTTCACCAACATCGAGCATAACGCCGCTAGAAAAGATCTAGACAATGTTAGAGATGATACTAACATCGTGCGGGCAAATGTTAATATGATGCTATAATATTACCGAAGTCCTCGTATCGATGGTGTGACTTAGTACTTGGCACGAACCAGTTCATCTTCGCTTGCAGTTCCACGTGCCAAATCATCCGGCACCAAGGACCACTACCAGCCATGTGGGGCTTAATCAATGCGAAATCAGTCAGGAACAGATCGTATCAGGGTTTTAGTCTTATAAGAGTCTGGAGCTTGAATGATTCGAGCATCGTAACTATTCGGTTCGTGCGCCCAGTTAGTAAATCGAGACCGACCGGCCGGCCATCCGACGCCACTTTGTTCCGTGAACAGTGGTTAGGAGAATGAGGTACCTCAAAAGCCCTCTGCACACCACAGCCATCAAGTAGCTAGCCGTCGCTCTCATTCTATCCATCCGTCTCAGAAATCCTCAGTGCCCACGATGGCAGACGCAGCCCCGCAGGAATGGCCGAACCATGCTGTGAAGATTCTGGTACCCTCTTACGCTCTCATGATCCTCAGTACTGGATTCGTTGTCTGGAGAATTGTGTACGGAGTTATGCAATCGCGCAAGTTCATGGCATGCGATTACATGCTGATCATCGCCACTGTAAGTCAAGTCAAGCACCCACTGGATCGGAGACAAGATCTAACGATCTCATCTGCACAGGCACTTAACATCGCAGCAACAGCGCTCACCCAGGTCGTCGTAGACGCCGGACAGGGACGCCATCTCTTGGACCCCTCTGTTATTCCACACATTTTGCGATACGCATACTATCTATGGATTTCGCAAATCGTCAACATCATCGCCGTTGCGTTCCTCAAGTGGTCTATCTGCGCATGGCTTCTCATGCTCAACTTTTCCAAGCTCTACCGCGCTATCATTTGGCTTTCGATCCTCATGGTCACTGCTTTCAACTTCCTGGCGCCGGTTCTGACGCTGTTTGGTTGCACACCTCTCGAGCAGAACTGGAACCGCGGCTACAAAGGACCACACAAGTGCTGGGCCAAGGGCACCCTGGCTCTTTCATACACGCAAGGTGCCTCCAACATTATCACCGACGTTGTGTATATGGCTGCGCCACTCATCTATCTTTCGAGGGTACAATTGACAAGGAAAACGCAATGGGGCCTCCGCGTAGTATTCCTTCTTAGTATTCCGTAAGTCTCATCTGTACATTACATTGTGCAGCAGCTCCAATCGCGCAGGACACTAGGCTAATATAAAGTGTACAGAGCGACTATATGTTCCATATTCAAGACCATTGAACTCAAAGCTATTACGAAGACTCGTGATCCAAGCTGGGACGGCATCAACCTGGGCATCTGGAGTGCAACCGAACTATCAATTGGCATTTTTATCGCTTCCCTCCCGCCTCTCCGCAAACCCTTTGACAATTTGTTCAAGATGTTCCTCCCCGCATCCATGACGAAGTCGAAAACACCTCAGTACGGATACGGAACAGAAGGAAACATCAAGATGAACACCTTCAACAGCAGGGCGTATCACAGTCGCATTCCAGGCGAATCAGTTCTTGATGGAGATGACGAAAGCGATCGCGCCATACTAGAGGAGGAAGAGGGCAAAGGGGCCGGTATTATGAAGACGACACAAGTCACGGTGGTGGAGCAAAGCGGAGCTTCGACTTCTAGTCAAAAAGAGCTGCAGCCATACAAGCAGAGCAATGACTGGTCATCGTCGCCTAGCCCGGGGCCAGGCGACCATCATGCCCGGTAGATTGGCTGAGTGGTGTTGATGAATTTAGCCATGAAGCGAACGAAAGGATCTCATGATGTTAAATTGCTTTCTCCTTTTTGTCAAGATACCCTGTTCCTTTTCTTATGTTACATAGTGTTGCTATAAAATAATAAATCAAGAATCTTCGTCTCTCCAACAAGGTTTCGCATTCAAGCATATTTGGTGCAAAACTGTTAATGAAAAGCATGACAAAAGGCCCAACGGCTATCTGGGTTGTTGTCCTCCGTATCTTAAAATAACCGCGTGGTCATTACCTATGTGGTCTTCTCAAACGTGCGGGAAAATCGTCAACGAACCAGAAATGTTGGCATATGGATTACTATGTTTCACGCCCCCGCCTATGTGTTGCATTGGTGTTATGCGCTAGCTATGCATACTTGTATCAACTCATGTCTTGACGAGCGTCAGAGACACACCCCTGTTCATTCTTCTTTGACCCGCAACACGATTATCGAATTGACGACTTTAGTCCACGGATGCGATTCCACCAACACTTCATATCCAATCTTTTCAATGTCGTCTGTGAGCTCGAAGACCTGATTGTATTAGTAATCGCTCATCACGACAACAGAGCTTCAACTTACCGGATACAGTACGCTTCTCAAGCCCTGCGCGCTTCGAATAACGACCAACGTCCCCGGCTGAAGTTTGAGGGCCAATGATGAGAGGATACTAAGTTTCGAGTGTGTATCCATACCCACCAGAGCAGCGAGAAACACGACCTCGAAAGTCTTCCAATCTTTCTTCTCTTTGCTATCGACCTGGCTCACGTCCTCGTCCGCAAAGGTCATCCTCGGACCGTACCCCAGCTGGTTGCATAGCTCCTGACTCACCTCTAGTGCTGAAGCGTCGCGGTCAATATTGTGCACCGTCGCATTGGGATAACGGTCCGAAACGCAGAGCGAAGTGAGTGGCAGAGGTCCAGAACCGATAAAAGCAATCTTAGCAGGTGGCGTTGATGAGCAAGCTAGAGAAGCCTCGAGGATCGAACATTCGAGACGGGAGAGGTCGATGTAGTTCTGATAGTATGGGAAGGTGTGGAGCAGACTTTTGGTGTCTTGATTCGGTCCTTCTCCTCTGTCAACAAATCCGTGTATACCATGAAATGTTAGCGTGAACGTACCCTGTATATTAGCAGTACTATCGATTATCCTCCTCGCCCAATGTCGTTCTAGCTCACCTTCTGCTGCGGCGCAGAGCGGTCTCAAGTCCGCGCACAACTCTTTTACGCCGAGAATACTCGAGAAATGAGACATGAAGGTTGTACTATGCGGCGAGATGCATAGGCTGACTAGACGAGTGAGGAGGTTATTGACTCGATCGCGTGGTGCAAGAGACGCTATGGTACGCAATTCGTTGTATATGGATTCAATCTCGGTGAATAGTTGGTGGGCAGAGAGTGCGAGTTCCGTTGGTGTTGTAAGGGGAGTCGTGGCAGAGTGCTGCGAAGGTGCCGGCGCTTGTGAGAGGTTGGTGGTAGTGAGTTTGAAAACAGTCGTCATGTTGGTGTCGTACTTGAACCGTAGTCCTTGCGCTTTCGATAGTATAGATATCCTGATTGCTCGTACGGTCTGTTAGGAGGATAGAGGTACTAATCCATAAATCTTTCTCAAATTTATATGCACAGTGGAGCTGCGAAGTGCCATTCCAGAATTAATGACGTGGATGCAGTGAAAATTTCCCCGCCGCTAGCCAACGCTTACAGAAACAAGAGGATACAAAATCGGCGTGGTTGGTTGCATAGATTGAGCACCGTGTTGTCTCGTGGGGTTGTATGTCGTACAGGGGGGATCTGAACCAACAGGCGGGAGTCAAACATCACGCCGTGCGAACGTAGTTTTATAGATCTAGTATAGATACTCGGAAGGAGCCTATAGAAGTTCGCTCTTGAGGGGGCCAGTATAGGACAGGCAGCTAGAAGTCTAACGGGAGGCTACATATCCGAGCTTGTCAGTCCGCGTAAGGTAAAAGTTTCACCTGTCATGCCGCGTGCCGTACCTTTGAATGGCTGACCGAGCCGATGTAAAGCGTAGCGAGCGATGTTGGAGACGTTGCTGTCAGCCTCTCTTCTAGGAAAGGTCTTCAGGTCGACGATAGACACGTTTACCACCAACCCACGTCTCTTTTACAGTCGCCTTCCGTAAGCTTTCCAAGTCCATCGACTCTAATGGCTCGTCGAGCACCACCCAATCCGCATACGCCCCCGCTTCAATAATACCGGCTTTGCCTTCGAGAAACGCGCCATAAGCGGGATTGATAGTAAAGCCTACCAAAGCTTCGTCAAGAGTAAGAGTCTCTTCGGGGTACCAGCCAGTCTTGTCGCCATTAGGATCAAGACCCGTTTGTGGACTGCGTCGTGTTGTGGCTGCGTATATGCCCTCGAAGATGTTGGCTGGTTCGACAGGAAAGTCGCTTCCGAGGATGGGACGAAGTGATAGCAGCGAGCGCATTCGGTAGGCTTCATCCTTGGTGCGTTGCGAGCCAAGCCTGCTTTCTGCGTAGCCCATGTCTGACGTCGCATGCGTTGGCTGTATGGAGGGAATGATCCCCAGTTCTGCCATCCTGCGTTGGTCGTCTGGGTGGATAATCTGAGAATGTTCGATGCGAAAGCGGTGTTTTGCTTGACACTCGTGCGCCGTCGAGCTAGGGCACAAAACTCTCAGGGCAGCCTCGAAAGCATCGATAGCGTTCCTGTTGGCGAGATCCCCAATTGCATGGATGTTGACTTGGTACCCCGACATTGCCCAGTCCTGTGTGAGTTTAGACAATATAGTTGCGTTGACCAGTAGCGATCCAGAAGAGCCTGGTTTATCGCTGTAGGGCTCAATCATTGCGCTACCCCAACTGCCAAGTGCTCCATCTATACATCGTAAGTGTAGTGTTCCCGACATAGAAAGGTAATACGTACCACCAAAGAGTTTCACACTTCGCACATGAAGTTTCCCATTCGGCGTGGTGACCTTTACGACAGATTCCGGGCAGAAGGTGTTCCTGATATCACACTCAATCATGGCGTAGACTCTCACACTCCAGCTTTCTTTAGCGGATAGCTCTTGGTACAGCTCTAGCTCACTTGGAACTACACCAGCATCGTGCATACCGACAATTCCGAGCTTGTTCAACTCAGACATTGCATCTTTGATGAACTTGGTCTTGCGGTCTCTGCTTGGCCTTGGGTAGTACTCCAAGACGATGTCCATAGCATTATCGCAGAAGACACCCTTTGCAGGGATTTCGCCTCCCGGAATCTCTGGTAGCGAAGACGGAAGAAGGGAAAGAACTTTATCAGAAACCCAGATGCAATGGACATCGACCCTATCCAACATAACAAAAAGGTCCTTGAAGGTGTCGTCGATCTCCAGATCCGACTACTCAAGATGTCAGCAATAAGGATCTACGTGGACACAGTAATTCAGCAGCATCGGTCCTGTCATAAATGCGGAAAGGACGTACTGAGGTCGGCCACCTTCCCTCGAACTTGGCCTGATCCCACCCAACACCTCTCAGCCACTGCTCATTTGTTCCAACTTCTAGATTCTTAGCCTTGTACTCAACGAGCCTTTCCTTAATCTCCGTCATTGAATTGGCACCAAACAAGCTCACGGCGTGTAACGACTCGCCATATTGAACCAGATGTCCATGACCATCCCACAGACCAGGTATAACGTGCCCAGTACGTTCCTGCTTCACCACGTCGAAGGAGGTGTCGTCAAGAAACACCCTCGAGAACTTCCCGTCAGAGACGCTAAAACATTCTGCGCGTGGGAGTCCTGACGATAGGGTCCTGATTGAAGTGTAGCAATGTGTTGTTGAGAAAAGGTTCCGAAGTACCTTAAAGGCAATGTGCTCGGATAATTGAACAAGAATGAAACCTGGAATCCCGATCTGGTAAACGAGTGCAGCCAAAATGATGGGTAGCGACGCCCAGAAGAGAGTGAATACCGGCGGCATGTCCCTCCCAGTAACAGCAATGACGTGTGTGAGTCTGATGGTAAAGGATGTTGAGAAGATGGAAAAAGGTTAGGTTCTCTGGAAATCGATTCTGGAAGTCACGATAAGCGAGAGCCAATGAGAAAGGCGATAGGCTCAAGCCACCACCTCCTCGACTTTTTGCAATTCAACCAACATCGTTGATTCTTTTCCCAAACACGATAATGCACTCAAAATGTATACTAAAAACTCCGCAGGACAATGGCTCGATCCGGTGTAAGCCCACCCGACCCCCGGACCTTGGCGAGCCGTATCTGGGTTAAGGCGGTGTAGCAATGACCTGAGCGACAACCGTTCGCACACCTTCTCGCATACGGTTGCGCAGCTGCATTTCTGTTTTGGGCGTTCCAAATGGACATCCTCTTGCGCCTGGTTCTTTCGATTCGTTCAGTGATGCTTCAACTACTCTGGATACTGGCGAACAGGTAGCGGTGAGCGTGTACGCCATCCTAGGCAAATGATTTGCATCTTCGGCTCACCAGGACGTGGACCCCTCGTCTAGTCGTGTTTCTTGTTCGAGGTCCGCCTTGGCTCGGATGGACATTGGGCGAGCGATCTATCGCGAGGCTGGGCATCCGCACGGTCTCTGTGGGGGCTGAAAGTGCCAATTGACAAACCAACAAAAGCTGAAGAGCCTCGCATCGCAGCTTTGGTATTAGTTCGTCGCCCTCCTCCTAGATCGCATGCGGCAGGAGACGGAAGTTGCTCTAGCACATGGCCACGCGTGAGATTGACGAGCTTCGCAAGCAATTGGAGACGCTCCAGCGCTCGCACGATTCCTTACTGAAGAGCCTGACCGCATCAAATGGCACCTTTAGACCATCTGATGATCCACCACTTCATTCCTCCGCAACCCGGCAGGGCACCGATGCGGTCTTTGCGGACACTTCAACGCTCTCGGACAGCAGCAGCGACGATGAAGACGACTTCTTTGTGCAAACCGAGCTCCCGTCACAATCCTTCGATCATGAGCACTTACGTGAGCACCTGAAGACGCACAACTGGACCGAGCATGGTAGAGAGATTTTAGCGTCGATCGTTTCCGACCCAGCTAAACTATCCAAACAACCTCACCTCTTCCATCTAGGACCCGGCCCGGCGGACGACAGGAGCCATTATTCGCATTTTCAAGTCTACAATGTGGGTCCTAATGGGCTGCCCGAACTGGTTGAAGTCAGCGGCGCCGACAACGGTATGAGCAAAGCAACTGAAATCTGGCACGCGATTCGAGACATCGGGAAGAGCAAGGATCAAACTACAGTTGGCCGCATTACGGTCGCTCGAGAACCATCACCGATTCTCTTTGGCGCTCTACATCTGACGCTGCACAATGCTTTCGATATGGATGAGCTGTTTAGGCATCTTGTATGTACTGAAGCTTCATCATCGCATATGTTCAGAGCCTTTATGGAGGATCCCAAACAACAAAGAACCTTTTTCTTCAATTTCGAGTATTACACGATAATTGGAGACGATTGCAAACCCATGCAATGGCAACGTGCGGATAAATTTTCGAGCTCATCTGATCAACACATACCATTGACCCGGTGCGGTGCGGTTGTTGCTCTAGTCCTGTTTGATGACCATCCACGGCGTCTGAGAAATCGAGGCAGAGGCGCAAAAACAAAATTCGGATGGACCCATGATGTATGGTCTCCGTGGCAGGTTCTTCAACTCGAATGTTTTCCCGACTGGAAGAGCACCCCGTTGAACGGCATCCCGTATACCTTCGAAGCAGGCCACCGATACCTGAACGGAGCAGAAGCGTTTTTGCATGCACTACTCACGGAGTACCGAGATGCGCGGAAACGGTATGATGAGATTTACAAGCAAATCACCGAGCTGGTCACCCCGCCCTTGGGTTTCCTCTTCAACGAGGACTTGCGGAGGAAACGGCTATTCGAAGACAAGGACTTCACCTGGACGCGGCGCTACTTCTACGCACACCAAGCGCTAGGCAACGTTAATGACAGTATCAAATCAATGATTGACGCTTTCGAAGACACTTTTACCGACGACGTATGGGAAGGGCAAAGTAAGACGCTCTGGCCACTCTTTGAAGAATCCCCGCGGAACGATCATTGGAAACGACGATTGCGGTTGCTGCGGCTTCAGTTCGAGCGAGAGATGAAGGAGCTTCGGATCATTCAGCGCGAGAACAATGAACGGCGGCGTGAAATTGAAACACTGCAGGAACAACTGTTCTCCGGCACGAGCATCCAAGAAGCAAGGAAATCGGTCGAGTTAGCAGATGTTACAGTACACCAAGGATACAACATAAAGGTTCTAACTATAGTTAACCTTTTCTTCATGGTAAGCCATCATTACTTCCGCCCGACCGGTATTCCAGCACTAATTATCACATAGCCTCTCACATTCGTCACCTCGATCTTTGGAATGACAAACTTGCCTGCAGAACCGGCTCCTTTCTGGCCCTTTGGCATCACCTTGGTTGCAATTTGCATACCCTTCTTTAGCATCATTGGCTTTCTATCCACTAAATACGGTTACCGCATATGGGCCGCAAAGACGAGGCAGCTATGGCGCTGGATGATACCAAAAGTCAAATCACAAGCGTCCAATGATACGGACTCCGATACCGCGCCAACCCCGTTCAGCCGAACTATGTCGACTGAAGAAGGCATGCGACTACGATTGAAAAATAGAGAAGCAGTACCGCGACGTTCAACCCAGAGGCCTGCGCCAAGTCATCCGCATATTCAGCGTATGGTCCAAAGGATAGGTGAGGGGAGGGAGAGCAGGCTCACACGCATAGGCACCGTGGTTAATGACGAAGAGCTGACGAGCGAGAAGGATGACAACGTGAGTACATCCAGGGACACGATAATTGACATAAGATGATCATAAACGCTTGCGAATGAGATATGACTTACGACTGGATGTATGACTTACGACTGGATGTATGACTCAATGAGATGAGGATGGCCCGGGCATGGCGAGATCTACTCGTGAGAGTTGTTAATTTTAGTTAATTTTAGTTAATAACTAAGTAATGCACCCCATTCACATAACCACCTCATATTAGCGGAACTCAAATACTTGTCATTATTGTCACATCGCCTTCGAGCCAAGTCTCCATGCTCCTCCATCACCTAACCGCAAATAATCTACAAACTTGGTCTCGCCCTTCCAGCCTCTTTCGCCCGTCTGACCAACTCCCAGCAAATTTCTGCCACAGGACCCATCTCTTCGCCCACCTGCCTCGCATCCGCACTACTTGCCTGTCTGACCGCATACCTCGACGCAACGCCCTGGAAGATGATACTGTCTCTAAACATGGCGAATGCGGCGCCCCACGCCAATTCAGGTCTCGGACCCCAACCAGCCATTTCGGCGTACCATGCGATGGCCTGGTCTCGGGTTGGTAGGCCGGGCGTAGTCGCACTGGGAGCGAAAGCGGGGTGGCTGTTCCTCCTTTCGGTGCTGAACGCAGTGAGTGTCCACGGAACGATGAGATTGGACAGATCGGATAGGGGGTGGCCTATCGTGGACATTTCCCAACTGGTTATTTAATCAGCAAACTTTCATCACAATCTCTGCCGAGATGCTGTGGGTAGGTGAGATTGGTGACACTTACTCCAGGATCCCAATCACCCTCGGCTCAGTTTTGTGGTATACCAAGTTATCAATCTTATAGTCGCCGTGGATTGGTACCCCTCTATCTTTCGGCTGGCCCTTCTTGCCCGTAAAGAAGTTGACTAAATCTTTCATTCTGGGAACTTCACCGACCTCTTTCCCCGTCTCGATATCCTTGACTTTGCTCTGGGCCTCCCCCAGCGCAGTGAATGTCTTCACCTGCCTATCGTAAAAACCACTCGGCTTCCCGTACGATTCTAGTCCGATAGACTTTGGGTCTAACCGGTGTAGTTTTGCAAGGGTGCGTATGGCATCGTGCCACATCTCGTTTCTGTCGTCTGCGCTAACATCCTTGAAATGTGGTTCTGTGAATATGCGGCCGTCGAGGAATTCCATGATGTAGAACTTGCTCCCGACCACTTCGTCGTCTTCACACAAGCAGTAAACTTTTGGTACAGGAACATCGGTCGTTTGCAATGCATGGATGATTCGATATTCGCGTTCTACTTTATGGGCCGTCTTTGATACGAGCTTGCCTGGCGGCTTCTTTCGCAGCACAAATTTTGCAGATTTGGAATCTGTGAGCTGGTAGGTTGGGTTTGATTGGCCGAAGCCAAACTGTTGGACAGCTTGTAAGATTCGAGCTGAATGTGAAATGTAGGATAGTGCATACGTACCTGTTTTAGAGAGATTGGTGTACTAATTGAAGGAACATACTTGTCGATGTAGCGTTCTAGCGAGGGGATGTCAACAGGTTGACGGACTGGTCCCGCCATAACTGGGTCTGATGCGTTCGATTTTCACTTATAGTACTGTGCCCGCTTCAACAGAAGATGATATTGGATTGTTGAATAGAATTCCGAGGAACGACTGAAAGGTTGACCAATTCTTTCTAGTTCGTAAACCTAGACTCCATAGTGTATACCGACAGGTCGAGTCATTCCGCGAAGCCGAGGCTACAGTGAGCTAGGGTGAACTCTCCGCACCGCGCTAGTGATGCATTAGTTTCGGGAGAGTATAACCGTGGAAGCCGACGCGTACAGTACGCGAAAATGCAGGGGCTAGTTGCCTTTGTCACAGGACGGTAGGAGTTAGTACATGATAGAAATCCGTCAATGGCTCTCAAGAGGATCAGTGATTGAAGTCAGGAATGCATGCGCTATATACAAGTTATGATCATGCTAGGATATTATACAACGCCCAGGAACTCCTCGGCTTCCAGACCCCACTTCTTGCATAGCTCCTTGTACTTCGTTGTATACCCTTCCGCCCTCTCCCTGAACGCCTTCGCAGTCTTCATCTGATCCCGCCCAACCTGATGTCTATGTGCCGAATCGGGCCCATCAGCAACCCTCACAAACCTAGCGTACGTCCACAGTTCTGGTAGCGGAGTGTGCTGCGTTAGGCCTTGTCCACCATATATCTGCATCGCCTCGTCAATGACCTTAAGGAGTGCGTTCGGCACCATAATCTTGCTCTGCGCAATCGCGTACCGCCCGGCCTTGTTACCCTGAAGATCCATAGTATCTGCGGCATTGAGAACAACGAGGCGCATTGCATCAATGGTCATTCGCATATCGGCGATGCGCTCGATGTTGCTGTCAAACTCGCCAATGAACTTGCCTCGAGGTTTCTTACGAGGTTCCATGCATCGTACGAGGGCGAGCTCGAAGGCCCGCTCAGCTTGACCGATTAGTCTCATGCAGTGGTGGATGCGCCCAGGTCCCAGTCGGCCTTGCGCAATCTCGAATGCTCTGCCAGGGCCAAGGATGATGTTCTCGCGAGGAACGCGCACGTTTTCGTAGATATACTCACCATGACCTTCTGGCGCCCAGTCATAACCCATTATAGTCAGATTCCTTACTTGCTTCAGACCCGGTGAATTTGCAGGAACAACTAGCGTGGTGTGTCGATTCCAGGGGTTGGGGTTTTTGGGGTCGGAGCAGCCCATCAAGATGAAGAGCTGCATTTCCGGGTTGGACTTGCAGTTACCGTATAGCTTTCTTCCGTTGATGATGACTTCTTTGTCTGTAATCTCCATCTTTATGCCGACTTGTGTTGCGTCTGAGGAGGCGACGTCGGGTTCGGTCATACTATAAGCAGAGGACATGTCGCCGTTCATGAGGGGATGGAGCCATTTCTTCTTTTGCTCAGGTGTGCAGTACTTGGCCAGGAGCTCGATGTTACCAGTCTCAGGGGCATGGCAGTTCATCGTCTAAGCAAACGATTAGTACAGTACTCGCAACGAGGCTGGAGTGAAGCTCACCTGTGCGGCCCAGTATACCCTTCCCATGATCTCGGCGCAGCACGAGTACTCCAAATTGGTGAGACCAGGGCTTTCAACAAAGTGATTCGGTAGGAACAGATTCCATAGTCCTTGCGCTTTTGCTTTCTTCCGCAGGTCGTGAATAATGGCGGGCGTCTCCCATCTGGTCTTGCTTGCTGCCAATTGAGCCTTGTATATGCGCTCGGCAGGTATGCACTCATTCTCGACCCAATCGTGAACTTGCTGGATCTTCTCAATAGCGATTGGCCGGAGCTTAGCCTTCACCCATGGTGGAATGCGAGCGAAAGCTGGGTTGCTATCTATCGGGACATTTGAAGCCATTGTGATGTAGTGCTGTTCTGTGAGCAATGCTGCGAAGGTAAGTAAAGAAGATCAAACATCAACATTAAAAGTGAACGCATGCTTAAAGCCGAAATGACTCGGAACACCAATTGATGGCGATGGGGTTGTGGTGCGCCAGGCCGAGGGTGTACGGCGGGGGAGGTCGGAGTTCTTTAGGCGTGGAGCGAACCCCAGAGTGAGCTTGGGCCCCTGACGTGCTCGCGTCGAAATGAGTCGAGATGAGCGTGTCTCCATACGCCAATGCACAATTACTCATGGTTGGCGCGCAGCATTTATAGTAATGGCCTCCGCCATGAAAGGGTCTCGATATTGTTTATGTTCTGGATCGGGTGAAGATGGCTCATGAAGGATTCGCGAAACCATGGCTCGAGGTACGAAGAAGTGTACATCCTGAGAAAGTTTCTAACAACCATAGTTTGAAGAGGAGCTCGGCGAACGCATGCGCCTCGAGCCGCCAGTTTCGCGGATGCTAGATACGTTCGCGAGGTATGGAGGCTTAATGGCCTCCAAATACACCTTCCCAGCACCCGATCCCTCCGTTAAGACCGAAGACACAACGACCGAGGATGGATTGAAACTCCGCATATACACACCAGATGGCTACACTGGCGGAAAACCGGTCTGTGTATATTACCATGGTGGTGGGTGGGCAATGGGCGATATTAATGGCGACGATCCGTTCAGTAGGGCAATCGCAAAGCTGGGTGGCATTGTCGTTGTCTCTGTCGAGTACGGCCTTGCTCCGCAGAATGAGCACCCTGGCCTGATTAATGACTGCTACAAAGGCTTGCAGTGGGCGCTGGGGAACGCGAAGAGGTTGAATACCATTCAGGGAAAGTTCCTTACAGCTGGGGTGTCGGCTGGAGGTGGGCTTGCGTTTAGCTCGGCTCTGAAGGCGATTGATGACGGCCTTGGAGATCAGCTGGTGGGCGTAATAGGGCTCATACCTGCAACGATCCACCCAGATGGTGTCCCAGAGGGCCTACAGTCGAAGTACACGGCAATGACGGAGCATGACCAGCACACTATCAATACAAGTGATGCAATGAAGGCGTTCTGGGGTGAGTTCAGATGTGTTTCCAACTTCGTAGCTACTAACACGATAACAGATGCCTTCGGTGCCCCACCTACTGATCCATATGCCTCGCCTCTCCTGCACTCAAACATCAAGCATCTGAAGAAGGTATACCTGGCAGTTGCAGGACACGATACTCTAAGGGATGACGGTGTGCTCATGAAGCAGAAACTCGACGAGGCAGCGTCAGTCATCCGTCATTTCGAATCATGAACAAAGCTGAGTTGACTACAGGGTTCCGAGTGCGTTTGATTTATACGAGGGTTACCCACACTTCTTCTTCGCTTGGCCATCAGCGAAGCTTGACACGCCAAGGAAGCGGTTCTATGACAACCTATCTTCGGGTATCAAGTTCGTATTGTCGTAGCAGGTCGGATTGACGTCAAAATTTAGAGAGACGACAAGCATCAAAGTAGGGCCGCGTCTAGCAGACGGGTTTATTATAGACCAATATGAATAGAGACAATGCCTTTGTCAAGGTATTATATTTGACCAAGAACTTGAGTGTACTATAGCGTGACTGTCCGTAACCTGTCCGTGCCCCAGAAAGTACGGAGGGCTGCAACCCCGCTTCATCGTCCCCGCAGTACCACCCGCACAAGCCTACGCTCGAAGCGATCAGCGCTGCTGCGTCCAGCCAGTTCACTATATCGGCGCTGCTTTTCCGCTTAGACGGTTGAGGCAAAGGTCAGCCGCCACCCTTCCAAGACCCTGGCGTGACTCGCGTTGACATCTTAGAAGTCTTTCCTATTTCGTTATGTCTCACGTCTTTCTTATCCGAGAAATGTGGGTAAAAGTTCACTAGTATATATACTTCCAATAAACCATCATAGTACTCACCATAGTCCCGGGCAAGTTGTTGATTGTTTGAAACAGTTCCATCCACCATGAAGGCCGGCCAGTGGGATCCGTAAGTAAAATCCCATTACTCTAACCACCCCAGAAAACTAAGCATGCTATAGCAAGCAACAAAAAGTGGTTATTAACGACGTACCGAAACCATCTGCAGCACCAAATCAATTTCTCGTCAAGATCCAAAGTGCCTCACTATGCCACTCAGATCTAATGATGTCCATGCGCCCTGACTATCCCGTCACAATCGGGCATGAAGGCGTCGGGCACATCGAAGCCATCGGCTCCTCCGTTCCAACCAAAGACCTCCAGGTCGGTGACGCAATTGGCTTCAATTACTTCATCGGCTGTTGCTTCGAATGCGATGGCTGCATGGTGCACAACCTTCGCTGCGAGACAGGCAACCAAAAACTACAGGGTTTCGTCGCCGACGGATATTTTGCCGAGTATGCGGTAGTGGATTGGCAAAATGCAGTAAAGTTGCCACAGAACCTGGATATGTCGAGGAGTGCACCGCTGTTCTGTGCGGGAATCACAGCGTTCCACAGTGTGGACAGCTGTGAGTTGAAGGCAGGTGACTGGTTAGCTATTATTGGGTGTGGAGGGTTGGGACAATACGCTATACAGTATGCTAAAGCGGTAAGTCTTCGTTTTGCTTTATAGGGAGAGGTATAGAACTTACGATTGGTAGATGGGCATAAAAACTATCGGCCTCGATATCAACGATCACCAACTGGATATGGCAAAGAAGGTTGGCGCCGATGCCGTTTTCAACTCCATGACGAATAAGGATTATGTCGAGGAGATCAAAAATCTCACTGGCAAAGGCTGCCATGCGGCTGCTGTTTACAGTGCATCATATGCAGCATACGCAGGTGCAATCGAAGTTCTCCGAATAGGCGGTTTGCTGATGGTGATTGGCATTGCACCCAAAGGTCTAGAGTTCATCAATACGTTCGATTTAACCACGGGACGGTACCGCATCAAGGCTGATAGCACGAGCATTCCTCAGCGAATGAAGAAGGCAGTTGATTTCACAGGGAAGCACAGGTACGTCCAACATTGGTTTGACTGGGGTATTCTAGGGCTAATAGTATACACAGCATTCAACCGGAAGTAGAATTCCGCAAGATTGATGATCTGCCTCAGATGGTCGCAGACATGGAGGCCGGAAAGGCGGAGAAGAGGCAAGTGGTGGTATTCTAATTGTCTCAAAGTGGTTGTATAGAATTCAACTCATAACACGGCACATGAAGTTTTTCAAGACGTGATGTCACTTTGATACCAGCTTCAAGGGTTACAATGTCACGCATGGATCAATGCTGATTTAGATTGTCCTGGCACGAGTAGTATATGAGTGTGTCCCAGTATCCCGGTCCAGAGTACGCCCCTAACCCCGCCCTTCACTTGGCTTACAGTATACTTTGGTTGTCTATATCTTGTCAGCTATAGCTGCGAGGCCACTTATATTCTAACAATGTCAACCTAGGCAACTCATCTACTCTAATCTTATTACTACCAAATCCTCATCATGGTTCACAGCAAGATCGACGTACGTTCATCTTACTATCTCATCTGTGTACCAGTTCACTGACTAGCTTTAAGCACCATTTCGCTAACCCGCAATTCGAATGGGAAGTCAAGGAGAACTACCAACGTACGCAGCTCTTCGTATACTACTATTTGACTACCTTCGTTCTGAAACGTAGCCCTCAGCATGCATTAAACTCTCCTTCTTCTTCAAGAAGCTTCCCTCGGTCTCCGATTATGACTTCCAAATGCATTACAATCACGTGCACGCCGACCTCACTGTAGCTTGCAAGAAGTTTCACGCTGTGAAAGTGCAGCGATACGTTCAGGTACACCACTCTTTCATTAATAGCCCTCGAGAAGTGATACGAAAGTTAACGAGCGCTCTATGCACAGCTGTATCAGTCCCCACAGATGAAAGAGAAGGTGAAGAGCCTGGGTATGGAGATCCTGGAGTATGATGCGTGTAGCACAATTTGGGTCAAGACGTGGGACGATTGGGCGGAGTTCAGTGGGAGTGCGGAGTACCAGGCTGCCCTGATGCCAGATGCGGACCACTTCATGGATTACAAGCATAGTGGGATTAAAGTTATGGCCGGGTAAGTCCTTCCGCTTCACAGTTCGCGCAATTGAGACATCTCGCTGAATAGGTGGTGTAGACATGATCTTATCGCGTTTGGAAAAGCGATTCCTGACTGCGATGCTGCGGATGGCATTACGCGCGAAGATATTGCGAAGACTGAGGAACTGAGCCAGGCTAAGTCCCATTGAGCGGGAAATAAGAAACTTGCTAGACAGGGTATATGTGGCTGCTGCAGATATCACACGCTGTGAGAGTGGGTTCTGTGAAGTTTTTCTTTGGCTGAGATGTATGCCGAAGATCCGATTTAAACAAGCCAGTGCATGTGAGCAGTGCGTGCAAGCTTGTCAGCCAGTGGAAGACAATGTGCAGAAGGAAGAAAGAATGAAGTCTTAGATGGTTCCGGAAGTGTTGTTCCAGGCCAAGATGATCTTCAAATCCTGTATCACACAGTGCTTTGATCAGGTAAGCGCCATAGCCTGTGACTGTCTCACTCCGCACTCTACCCCGGATATCCACATCCTGCTCCACCACCCCAGACTTTCAGCGAACTTCCTGGTCCCTGTGGCTTTTTTATCGGTTCGACTTGGTAGTTGAGCGATACAGACCATGAGAACAAAGAACCGTAATGTTTGACTCAGGCTGTCCGAGGCCGGGATGCGGGGAAGGTAGATTGATTGGACTTTGGGCTTTGTTGGATCGACAATAACATGTTAAGGATCAGGGACGTGCTGTAGAAGAGTCTGAGTTGATTCCCAACCTTCACACACTCATCTTCGTAACTTTCCTTCCATCACCATGGCAGTGACAGATGTCCACGATGGTGATCTACGTCATTCCTCCATGGAGAAGGCCGAAATAGAAAAAGTAGAACAAGTCTCCGACGCCGCAACACCAGCTCATACCCTCCAAAATGTTGAAGGAGAAACAGTGACGATAACATGGAAAACGTGGTTCGTCATCTTCATCCTCAGTTCCACCTTCGGTCTCTCCTTTTGGCCTGTCCCTACCACAGCTGCAATGATGAACCGTCTCTCGGTCCAGTTCGGAGCCCCGACATCCAGAGCATGGTATGTGCCTGCGTATACAACAGCGAACAGCATTGGATTTTTGTTGGCGGGCGCAAACTCGGATCTTTTCGGGCGAAGACTCTTCTTGCTGTTCGGCAATGCGTGTTGTTGTGTAGGATTCATAGTTACGGCTACGAGTAACACCGCAAATCATTTTACTGCTGGTCTGGCAGTCACGGGGTTTGGGGGTGGGTTTGCGCAGATGGCCATGTGTAGTATTCCAGGTAGGCAAGCTTCATACAGGCAGGAATACCGTTACTGACAATCCCAGAACTCTTGCCAAACAAATTTCGACATATTGGTATATGTCTCTCTGATGGCTTCGTATTTCTCATTGTTATTATTGGTCCTATCGTTGGAAGAGTAAGTTCCCATTTATTCACGCAAAACCTGGTAAGCCAGAGTTATTCAGGACTAATTTTCGTATATAGTACGCGATCGATGTCGGCGCATGGCGATATGTTTATTGGGCAGGTCTTGTCGCACAGTTCCTCTCTTTTACTGCGCTCTTCATCTTCTACAAACCGCCCAAGCATCCGAAAGGCGTCCCATGGCATGAAGCAATCAAGGGCCTTGACTATGTCGGTACTGCTCTCATCGTTCCAGGCATTTGTCTCGCGCTAGTAGGCATAATCCAAACGACATATAAACCAAGCTCGGATGTCACAGTAATCGCGCCCATGGTCGTTGGCTTCATTATGATCGTTGCATTCGGCGTCTGGGAAACAGTATCGAATACCAGATTCAAGCTGTGCCCACCGCATCTGTTCCGGAGCCACAAGGGACGAGAGTTTACGGCACCCTTTATCGTGGCTTTTATTGTCACAATGTTCTACTATTCCGTCAACATAATCTGGCCTACGATGGTGAACGTCTTCTACCTTAAACCAGATACCTCCCGCAGAACCGAGCTACTCCTCACTTTACCACCCAACGTCGGTCTTGTCTTCGGCTCCATGTGTTTGATAGCCTTTGGCAATTTGTTGGGACACTGGAAGCTCACTTTGATAATAACCTGGACGGGCATGGTGTTTTTTGGAGCCTTAATGGGTCTAGTTACGCCGTTCAACCAAGGTCTGATGATCGCATTCTGCTGCATCAACGCGAGCTTCTTCGGCTGGGCTCAGTATGAGTCTATCGCATTCACCCAACTCGGTGTACCGCAACAAGACCTAGGTTTCTCAGGAGGTCTTGCCGGTATGGCTCGCTATGCCGGTGGCTCTCTTGCTCAAGCGATTTATACCACGATCCTGACAAACGCACAAAGCACACGGGCTGCTGCTACCGTACCTGCTGCAGCCATCGCAGAAGGCATGTCTTCAGAAAATGCGCAGGCTTTATTTGCAGCCGTTCCACTCGGAGCTGCCGCTATCGCGGAGGTACCCGGAACGAGCATGGAGGCAATCAGTGCTGCTTCACTAGCGTACCAGTGGAGTTACGCACATGCGCTGAAGATTGTGGCGTTAAGTAGTTTGAGTTTTGGCATAGTGGGGTTGCTCTGTGCCTTTTGGTGCGAGGATTTGACGCCGAAGATGACGGACAAGGTGGAGGTATTCCTGGAGAACGATGTATACGCTGATAAGAATGAATTTCACTGAGCTAGTTTACGATGAAGGTGCTATAGAACATCAGGGGCTGTCAACTTCTAATATAGTTATCTTTTGGTTCTTACATCTTACAGGAAGCATTTCCACACCGACGTTGGTTGACTTAGTACGAAGGTTTTGATTGGGAATGCATCTCGCTAATATACCCCTGCTTCAACATAAGTTCTATACGCACAAACAGGCGACCTCATCACACCCACCACCCTGGCACAGTGCAAGCCAAGAATCCATAGCGCCCCCAAAACTTTAACCTCATCGGCTCCACGTCTAATGACTCGCTTCTGTCGAGAACTGTTCCAGATGACTCGCAAAAGGCCGGGAAGCTAGAAACCGCCGCCCGGAAGTCCCAGGCTAACATTTCCAACCCCGATGCGATGTATGCGATTGGAAATACAACTCATCATATGCAGAGTCTCTATACTTCTTGAGTCGGTCACACGCTCGGAATTAGGTCATGTATCGTGAAGATAATTTTGCGCTGAACTAACCTGTATTAACTCACGCTTCGTGTCGCGGGGTAGGAAGGCCCACAGATTTCGGCGTTATCATTAAAGCGTCCGATGACAACACATGGCTAGTAGACGATTTCGAAGAGGTGGGCTGATAGTTTCTCATATCGTACCATTGATCTATCCAACTTCATTTTAGTCCGGGATATCAAGCAAGTCTTTCATTGGCAGCCTCCTTTATACCGCCAATTCACCCCACTACATCCTCGCAATGTCCAAGTCCGCCCTCGTCTTCGGCGCCAGCGGGGTAACAGGCTGGTCCTTCATCAACGAGATTCTACATGACTACCCTGCTAAAAACACGTGGAAGCGCGCCCACGCCCTTACCAATAGGCCCCTGTCTCAGGAGAAATCACAGTGGCCAAATGACCCGCGCTTGAACATCGTATCTGGCATAGATCTGCTTGCCAACGATCAGGAATCTCTCGAAAAGGAATTGAAGGAGAAGATTCCGGACATTGGGGAGGTTACGCATGTCTACTACCTGGCATACAAGGCAGGTACAGATGTGCCGAAAGAGCTAGAAGAGGCAATGGACATGTGGAAGAAAGCCGTGATAGCGGTGGATAGGCTGTGTCCGAAATTAGAATTCGTAGTACTGCAGATTGGGGCGAAGATTTGTAAGTCCTCCTACCCCAGACCTTCCCTGAAGAGTTCACTCTAACACCAAATAGATGGCTGTATGCTGCAAGTAACCGTCCCCGGCTACTCCGATCCTGAAATCACCCCACCGCACAAAGAGACCCAGCCGCGCCTCAAAGGCGAGTTCCACGACAAGTTATTCTACCACCCACAAATAGATTTCATCGCCGACTACGCAAAAGACAAAAAGTGGAGTTGGTGCGAGACACGTCCCGACATCATCATCGGCTTCGTTCCCAACCAGAACTTCTACTCGCTCGGTTCCTCCCTCGCTATTTACCTCAGTCTGTGGAAAGCTGTCAAGGGAGAGGGAAGCGAGTGCCCGTTCCCCGGTACGCAGAAGAGTTGGAAAGCGCTGAGTAACGACTCAAGCAGCGACATGATAGCTCGGCAAACAATCCACCTATCACTGAGTGAGAAGACGGAAAAGGGCGGCGGATACAACGTCGCAGACGAAAAGACTCCGTCCTCCTATGAGAAGAGGTGGCCCGTCTTATGTGAATACTTCGGGCTGAAGGGTACTGGCCCCGTGGAAAATCCACCCGAGGTTCGCCAGTTTATCAAGGAGAATTTCAGCACGTGGAAGGAGCTTGAGAAGAAGCATGGGTTGCAAGAGGGCCATGCAGACCATGGTAAAGTGTTTCCTGGATTTGAGTATGCCCTCTTAGTCCTGTTTGACTTTGATAGGCAGTACGATATGACGAAGATGTATAGTACTGGGTTTACTGAGGAGAGAGATTCGGCGACGTCTTGGGGAGGCGTGTTTGATCGGATGAGGAAAGCGAAGATTATTCCGTAGCGATATGTAGAGTGCGCGGTGGATTCGATAGAATAAATGATCACTGTTTGCTTGCAAAGTTTATCAGAGAAGAGCGTCCCAGTGATATGTTACTGTATGCCTCTCTGATTGGTTCAGCAGATGTTCGGCATTCTTGTTGGTAGACGTTATAATTAGTGAAAAGATTGTGATAGTAGGGACGGTTTCAATTGATAACAAATTCTCAAAGCTACCCGCATTTAACCTTCTAACTGCTTAGAAAGACCTAGTAGCTCATGTTAATCATAATCGTCTTCGGCTCCGTAAACGCCCTCAGCGCATGGACACCACACTCCCTCCCCAGGCCACTCTCCTTCGATCCGCCAAAAGGCGTCATGGTGAACATGATACTCACACAGTTGATACCCACCATACCCGAATCAAAGTCACTCGCCACACGCAGCGCCTTGTTGATATCCTGTGTAAACACACCAGCCATGAGCCCAAAGTTCGTGTTATTCGACAATTGCATGATCTCCTCCTCTGTCTTGAATTTCTTGACAACACTCACAGGGCCGAAGATTTCTTCGCAGTGAATCTCAGACTTGGGATCGACGTCTGTGAAGACGGTAGGCTCGAGGTAGAAGCCTTTGTCGCCAACACGTTTACCGCCCACGGCGAGAGTGCCTTGGCCTTGCTGTCCACGCTCAATAAAGCCTTGTACACGTTTGAACTGTGCTTCATCAACGAGGGGACCGATGTTTGTGGATTTGTCGTCTGGGTCGCCGATTTCCTTTGCCTTCGCCTTCATGGCCTCTTTGTACTTCTCAATGAACTTGTCGTAGATACCTTCCTGGACGTAGACACGGCTGGCAGCAAAGCAGACCTGCCCAGTGTTGGCGGTGATGGCGTTTGCGGTCCACGTCACTGCATTTTCGAGGTTGCAGTCATCGAACACAACGGCGGGAGATTTGCCGCCGAGCTCAAGCGTGACGCGCTTCAAGTTTGACTTTGCGGCCATTTCTTGGATTTTCTTGCCCGTTGCGATGGAGCCAGTGAATGAGACTTTGCGTATGCGCATGTGGCTCGCAAGCAGAGCACCGGTGCTGCCATCTCCCGTGAGGACCTGGAAGACACCTGGGGGGAAACCGGCCTCCTTGATCAGGGTGCCGAGTGCGAGTGAAGAGAAGGGTGTCTTTTCTGAGGGCTTGAGGATGAAGCAGTTGCCTGTAGCCAAGGCAGGTCCAGCCTTGAGACCAATTGTACCGATGGGACCGTTCCAGGGAACGATGCCGGCAGTCACACCAAGGGGCTCATTGCGTACAATCTTGAGGAAGCCGTCTTCCTGTGGCCAAGACTCGCCGCCGAACTTGTCGATGAAGCCGGCATTGTATCTGAAGCACTCAGCGCAAAGTCCAATCTCGAACGCCCCAAACGCGGCAGGCGCGCCCAGCGAGATTCTCGAAAGCTGCGCAATGGAATCTGCATTCTTCTCCACCAGATCTGCAAACCTGTTTAGGATACCTCGGCGCTGATTCGCGCTCATCTTCTTCCATGCGGGGAAGGCCTTCTCTGCTGCATCTACGGCGACGTCAACGTCCTGCTCGCCTGCCAAAGGCACATCATCGGCGAGCAGTGACCCATCTTTGGGGTTGTAGACGGAGAGCTTCTTGGAGGACTTGGAGTCAACGTATTCGTTGTTGATGAAGAGCTGCTTAGGTAGATTCTTGGTAGAGTATGAGAGTGTCATGATGAAGAGCTGTGATCCGCCGCACAAATCAAGATATGATGAGATAAAAGGGAAGCAAAGGAAGTTTGAACCCGGCGGGGGATAGGAGGGGTAGTCAACAACTGTACTCCAGACTTGGGTGCTATCTATGCAACGCGCTGGCTAAGCCATTTCACCTCTTAACAGAACAGGAAAGTCTTAACTCCGAAGGCAAATGGGCAAAAGTAGCGTCCCAGCGCCGCCTAGGGACTACCTGCATGATCTCGTCGGCAGAACAACCTCGCCTAGGGTGGCAACCATTGAGTGGAGACGCGTTGAGCGGTGGTGTTCGGATGAGCAAGAGGCATGCTCGCGCTTTGTTTTCCGCGTTGCAATGACGACCCTTGCTCCAACTCTGCGGGGTAACTGACTCGGACGCGCTGGAGATACGTGGTACACATGACTCGCATGGGGACTCTCGTTCCGAGCAACCGTAGCTGTTCCGAGGATCATCGTTGATTGTGAAGTTACATGACAGCCTGGCGGCATACTTTATGTCGCCTCTTGATTGGCTGTTAGGGAGGATGTGGGTAACATTGGATGCCTAAGAAGATGGGCTTTTCAGAGAGCATGTCGTGCCGGAGAGAACGCTCTTTTCCTTTCCCTTTGCCCGGAAGAGTACCCCATGTTCGCGATATGCGGAGAAACACTGTAGGGGCGCGTTATCCTTTCGAGTCATCTTAGTTGAGATCTACGAATACACTCTATACATGCCACGAGAACCTTGAATCATGTATCTCACTGTTGTCTAGAACTGCAAATCCCTTCCCATTTATCGTTCACGCATTTGTACCGCAAGGCCTTCCAGACTATTGTCTTCTACTTATAATGTTCGACCTTTGCAAAGATTGCATTAAACGCCCTAACCTATCTGCGAATAACACCACAATGACGAAAAAAGTTGCATTGATCACAGGCGGCGCCTCAGGCATGGGTCTCAAGGTCGCTGAAGCCCTCGCCTCACGCACATACGAAGACTGGGACCTACACATCGTCGACCTGAACGCTGAAGCTGGTGAAAAAGCAACCACAAGCTTGAAAAACGCACACTTTCACCAGACCAATGTTACCGACTATCAGTCTTTAACATCAGCCTTTGAAGCTGCATTCAATGTCACCGGGAGACTAGACTTTGTATTTGCCAACGCTGGCATCGTGGAGCGGGATAACTTCTACGAAAAGCATGATCTGGATGCAGGACCGCCGCCGCCGCCAAACCAGTTGAGCATCGACATCAATTACAAAGCTGTGGTAAACACGTCTCACATCGCATTACACTACTTCCGTAAAGCCATCGCGAAGTACGGCAAGGACAAGATCGCTCCGGTGCTAGTCATGACTGCTTCCTGTGGCGGTCTGTACCCGAGTGAGTTCTGCCCCATGTATTCAGGCAGCAAGGCGGCAGTGGTGCAGTTCAACCGCGCGATCACGGTGGCGTATCATCACGAGGGTATTCGCACATTCGCAACATGTCCCGGGACAATACGGACGGGCTTGCTGAACCAGGAGGAGTGGAAGAATTTTCCAGATGAGTACTTTACGCCCGTTGAGACATTGGTAGATGCTGTGTTGAAAATCGTCGATGGCGGAGACATCGAGGATGCAAAAGGGAAGAAGGTCAAGGGGGAGGATAACTGGGGCCTCACTGTGGAGGTGAATGGCAACAACTTCTACTTCAGGGATCAGACGCCATTCTGTGATGCGAATATGGAGGCCATGATGAAGAATACCAGCATGGCAAATCAGTTGGCTAGGATTGAGAAGACGAAGAGGGAGCAGGCTGATGGAAGAACAAATAGTGTGTGACGACCAGGCAGGAACAAAAGTCGGGATAGGAACATCACCAAGCTTGCAGCGTGTATCTCAAATACCTGAAATAGATGGGTAGTAATTTATAACTGTGACTGCCTACCCGCAGCATACCTCACGCCCCCATCAACGGCAATATCCTCCCCATTAACATACGCTCCCGCCGGGCTCGCCAGGTACACCATAACCCCCGCAATATCCTCCGGCTCACCCAGCCGTTTCCTCGGATTCCAATCCTCTAGCTCCTGCTGTCCCCCAAGCATCTCAATCAGGCCATTTGCCAGCTTCGAGGGAAAGAAGCCCGGCGCAACCGTGTTGGTGGTGATGTTTCGCGGGCCGAGCTCGACGGCAAGTTGCCGCGAGAGGTGGTGAGCTGCGGCTTTGGAGACGCTGTACATTATTGTACCATGCTCGCCGACGTGGGGGACGGTTGTGCCTGCGGTGGAGGAGACGATGATTATGCGTGAGGGGTCGCGGCGGGTGCCAGCGTGTTCGAGGAGGGGCGCGAATCTATTTCATTAGCATTCGCCGTATAGCCAAGAATTTGGGCTGTCTCACAATCTCGCCAGGTTGAAGACACCGCGGACATTCAGGTCCAACACCTTCTTGCTCGACCAGTCTGGAGTAGGATCGAATGGCCCTCCCCATGTCGCGCCGGCGTTGCAGACTAAGATGTCCAGCTTGTCATCTGTCTCTTGCACCTTCTTCACCAGTCTCTCAATATCTTCTGTGTCGGCGACATTCGCTGCGATGCCAATGGCGGTACCGGAGACGGGCAGCTTGTTGAGCTTCTCGACGGCCCGGTCGATGCCCTGCGGTCCTTCATTCTTGCGCGCTGAGATGAAGACCTTCTTGGCGCCCGCGAGGAGGAAGGCAGTCGCTGTGTGTAGTCCAAGACCTCTTGAGCCTGTCGTTGTCTATTAGTACGCGACCAAGGTTGCAGCAATGGCAAAGCTCACCTCCAGTTACCAGCGCAACTTTGCCGTCCAGGCGGAACATGCGGTCGAAATTCTTCAATTCAGACATGATGATCAATCTCCCGCAAACACAAGTAAAGCGCACCAGAGAGTGTGCGTTTTCAGAATACTGAACGCCATCTTGAGAGTCCGGCTGGGGTAGATAGCTGCAGTTTGGGGAGCTCGGTTTGTGGAGAACGACATCCTCGGAACTAACAACGCGTGTCTGTGCGGCCCCGCGAATACCTCGTTTTGCCGGGTGTGGGTTGGCTGTCGCATCAGCCTAACTTCAAAAGTTGCTATTCGCTATAAGAGATAGAGTTCATTATGGATGTTTCTCTCTCCGAAGGACTACTCTGTCTTCTTTCTGGTTGTCGTGTCCGCTCCTTCCGCCCTGACTGATTGCTCCTTCCTTAGCCGCAATGCCCTTCTCCTCACCTTTTCCCAGCCTGAATATCCCAAAATGCAATCTACTGGAATATTTGTTTCCACAAGGGAAAACACCGTCAGATACGCCACTGTGGATAGACTCCAAAGACACAAACCAATACCTCACACCACGGACGCTGTTACTATGGACGAAGCGACTCGCGCTGGGCTTGGATCGCATAGGAAGCAAGCCTGGGGAGGTTGTTATGATCCTGACACCTAACCACATCTACGTCCCCGTAGCATATCTAGGGATTGTAGGTTCAAAGCGGATATTTAGCGGAGCGAACCCAGCGTACACAGTATCGGGTAAGTTTCTGGTCCTGCACTTGGTCCAATGCGCAACCAGATGATAGTCTAACCAGGGATTAGAAATGATTCATCAAGTCTCCAACACACAAGCACAATTTATCCTCGCGCATCCCACCCTTGTCAAAACAGCCGTGCAAGCAGCTAAAGGAGCTGGCCTTCCAGATGGCCGCGTCTTCCTCTTCTCAGATGAGCCCAACGAGCCAGTGGAAGGCTGTACAGACTGGACAGACTTCCTCCCCTCGCCAGCAGAAGGAAAGGCTTACAAATTCCCCGTTCTTTCAGAACATGAAGCAATGACCACAACAGCAACAGTGAACTACTCTTCCGGCACCACGGGTCTACCCAAAGGCGTCGAAGTTAGCCACCACAACCTAATAGCAAACCTCGAGCAGACCATCTTCATGCGATATCTCCACAAGCCCTGGAGTGCAGATACACGGCCTCGAGAAGTATGGATTGGCTTTCTTCCTTTGTATCATGCATACGGTCAACTATACACTATTGCCATGGCGCAGAAGCTTCAGGTACCGGTTTACATCATGAAGAAGTTCGAGTACGATGAGTTTCTGCGGGTAATTCAGACACACAAGGTAACGCATCTACAAGTAGCACCACCGATTATGGTAATGCTTAGCAAGAGACCGGAGACTGCAAAGTATGATCTGAGCAGTGTGACGGATATTCTGTGTGGTGCGGCGCCGCTGTCAAAGGAGCTCCAGAATGAAATCAGCAAGAAGTTGGGCTGTGAGATTTTGCAGGGGTGGGGTATGACGGAAGTGACTTGCGGGGCGATACATGTGCCTGGCGGCACTGTCGACGAGTAAGTATTCCCTCATTGATTCGTGGTCTCGATTGCTGGCTAATTCTGGATTAGCTCTGGAAGTGTAGGCCAGCTTGATCCAAACTGCGAATGTATGCTCCTCGACGACGACGGCAATGAGGTACCAGAAGGCCAACCTGGCGAACTGCACGTTCGGGGTCCCAATATCTGCATAGGATACTGGCGCAATCCAGACGCTACGAAGGAATCTATATCGCCCAATGGCTGGTTGAAGTCTGGTGACATTGCGATTGTAAAGAATGGGTGGTTTTGGATCGTAGATCGGAAAAAGGTACGCCTCATTAAGTTATCTGGGTGTGGGATGTGCTAACGTTCCGCCAGGAACTCATCAAAGTCAATGCCCTCCAAGTAGCCCCCGCCGAACTCGAAGCCGTCCTCCTCGAATTCGACCCCATCGCCGACGCAGCAGCGGTCGGCATAACACTCGATGGCCAAGAGTGGCCGCGCGCCTACGTCGCCCTCAAAGAGGAGCACAAGAACAAGATCACTGCCGATGATATCCACAAGCACATGAAGATCAAAGTCGCGAAGCATAAGCAACTCGTTGGCGGGATTGTGTTTGTTGACGAGGTGCCAAAATTGCAGAGTGGGAAGATTATGAGAAAGGTACTCAAGGAGTGGGCGAAGAGGGATGCGGAGAAGATAAATGGGGCGCTGAAGGCGAAGTTGTAGACCTATACACTGAGTTGCTTGTATGTGCGTAGTTTAATAGAGGAGAAACCATAACCGTATCAATCCAACAGGAGGGCCTAAAGAAGATGTTGTTGAAACTCTAGTTTGACTTTTGAAGATTAGAGTGCGAGTCGGCGTGATGCGATCATATACTCCAGACCTTCAAATACAGGGAGGGTGAGCACGCCTGATCACGGGATCGCGCGTTGAGCTGAACTTGCCATGATTCATGCTAGACAACGGCACCTATACGAAATGGTCGGTAATACAGCTACCGAACATCCCCGAGCAGCTGGTCTTGAGAGCGGGTCATGGCTTGAAGTTCTACATATCGAAGTGGCTCAGACAGTCGGATAACTGTGTTGATCAAATAAATCCCCATTGAAACGTCTTGCTATAACATTATGAAATCGTTTATTCAAACACACCAACATGCTCCCCAATCTTCGGTAGCATCAGCTCTATGAGAAGGTGGACCACTGGATATACAAATGCTTATGTCAGCCGACGCGTCCAAGAACTGGTTCGCGCCATCGGAACGACCCCGCGTAAACTCTTCCGCTACCCCAGAAAACAACCATGTTGCCGCCAGCCTGTCGAATACAGCCAGTATGCACGCGTGTTCAAGCACAGCTTGTCGGAAGCATATCCAGCGAAAAGGGCTAACATGTCCCGCATGCATCAACTACCGGCGCGTGAGGAGGAGGCCGAGGAGCGGTTAAAGACTCCAGAGGCATTTACTTGATTGTCGCGCAGTAGTGGTGTGAGAGCTATGTTTATCTCTCTAGGATGCCAGCGGTAGATTCTTTAAAGACTTGATCTGCTGTCTGTAGGGCTGCATTTCGTTCTACCCCTCATTGCATCTTCGTTATTTATCCCAGACCACTCATCCAATCTCCCCAAACTGCCATCTTGCGGCGAGCTACTTAAAGTAACTTCACAAGACCAGGGATCGCTCAACTAGGGTAGAGGCGCTTTAGGAATCTTCTCTTACGGCGAACTGAAAGCATTTTGGTCTCTTTCATCAACCTCCCCAATGGCGCCCTCCGAGATGCCCAACGCCCTCAACGGCGTCAATGGGTTCGGGCACAACTATGACTATCCACCTTCGCATATCGACGGCCCATACAGAGTGCTCGATCAATACCACTCAAAGCCAACCAAGCTGCGGGTAGCTTGTGTTGGCGCTGGCGCGTCAGGTCTCTGCTTAGCGTACAAGATGGAGAAGATGCTGGAGCCCGGGTCTTGGGAATTGACCCTTTTCGAGAAGAACCCCCAATTCGGTGGAACATGGTATGAGAATACGTATCCGGGTGTCGCTTGCGATATCCCTTCGCATGACTACAATTTCACATGGGATCCTAAACCCGACTGGTCACAATTCTTTGCGTCAGGGAAAGAGATCCAGGGATATTTTGAGGACTTTGCGGAGAGGCATGGTAGGTTGCAATCGAATGAACAATGGAAATCTAAAGCGCTAATCTGGACCAGGCAGCAAAAAGTACATGAAACTTAATAGCAAGATAACCGAAGTAAACTGGAATAATGAGGAGGGATGTTGGAATATCACCATTAGGAACCCCAAGACTGGTGCGATGTGGAAAGACTGGGCACATGTAATAGTGAATGGCTCAGGTGAGACATTCATCTACCTTCAATCAATAGTAGCTGACCTTGGAAGGTATCCTTAATAACTGGAAGTGGCCGGATCTCGAGGGTATCCATGATTTCAAGGGCCCTCTACTACACTCTGCCTGCTGGGACCACAGCGTCGACTTCAACGGGATCACCGCTGCTGTCATCGGTGTTGGCTCCACCAGCGTCCAAATCGTCCCATCGCTGCAAAAGGTTGTCAAGCAGTTGGAGGTATACATGCGCAGCCCAACATGGATCTCACCTCCATTCGGCGCAGGCGCACTCACCAACGACCTACAGAAAGGCCAAGACGTCGACCCTGGCCAGCGCCAGTACAACTTTACAGAGGCAGATATCAAAAAGTTTAGGGAAAATCCGGATTATCACTTGGAGTTCCGGAAGAAGATCGAGGCGGAGATCAACAGTCTATTTGGAATGTACCAACAGAACTCAGAACTGTCGAATCAGTTTAGGGATGTCGTGACGAAGGAAATGCACCGCCGAATGGGTCCCGGCCACGAGGACCTGAAGAAGTTCATCATCCCCAAATGGTCGGTGGGCTGCCGACGAATCTCGCCTGGTGACGGCTTCCTCGAGGCATTAGTCAAAGAAAACGTGACTCCCGTCTTCAGCGGCATTGAGCGCGTCGTTCCAGAAGGCATCAAAACCGTCGACGGCAAAGTACACAAACTAGATGCGATCGTTTGCGCTACAGGGTTTCAAGTCGCGTTCCAGCCTGCCTTCACAGTGCGCAACGGCGAAGGCAAGTCAATCAAGGAGGACTGGACGAACGGCCCCAACCTTTACATGGGTGTCTCAGCGCCTAGATTCCCCAATTTCTACACCATCGTTGGCCCCGGCGCGACATGGAGTAATGGCACCTTGTTGCCATCGATCGAAACCACTATTGAGTATTCGGTCAAGTGCATGAAGAAGATGCAGACTGAGGGTATCAAGGCGATGACTGTCAAGCAGGAGGCGCTTGATGAGCTCTATGCCCACTTTGACGAGTATCATAAAACAACTGTGTGGCAAGAGGAGTGCCGCAGTTGGTTCAAGGACGGCCAGATCAAGAACCGCATCTACCTATGGCCAGGCGCGGTAAGTTTCCCCAAAGTCATCGTATTCGTTGCGAGGAAGGAGATGATCGTTGTGAACCCCGCTTGTACTAGCGCTCCTGAAGCTAACATGACTCGTGCTAGACGATCCACTTCCTCAAGTCCATCAAGACCCCGCGCTGGGAGGACTACGACTTCACATATCGTTACAAGAACCGGTTCGCGTTCTTGGGCAATGGTGATGTCAAGGCTACGGCGTCAAAGGATGTCTTGGGTTTGAGCACGTATATCCGGAGCTCGGATCACGAGTGGGATGTCGACTAAGCGAGCAATCCTTTATGTTGGGCCGGATTGAGCTTGCTCGGCAAAGATAGCCAGCTCACTGCGGGTCTCTTTTCGTTGGCGTTCCATTATCTGCATGTCGGGGTCGCGGAGTATCCCCGGACTTTTGGGTTCCCCACGGTTACACATTCCAATGCATGAATGCATGAACAACTTCTTTTGGCAACGTCGACGTCTTGCTCATAGCTCGCTTGGAGTGCACAATCGGCAGGAGAGCTCTCGTCTGTGCTTCGCGGACAAGCGCGCACGGCATGGTCGCGTATTTCGCAGAAGCGCTGAAGCCTGGATGCATGCTTGCGATAGCCTGGCTTCATGGCTTGTATAGGTTCGGATGGTCGCTCTTAGCCTCCTCAATTCATGAATGTGACGGCTCCGACACTCCCCATCCATCCAATCACAAAGGGCTTATCAATATCGCCCCTCGTGTCGCGACTAATGTTCCCCAGACTGCTCCCTTATTACAAGCACACACGAATCGCAGAAAACCCAGAACCATGGCAGATGCCAACGCCACATCGTATGATTGGAGCTCGCGGACTGGAGCTTCTTTCCGAGCTGAGCAGCCAAACGCACAACCCCCCTGTGACCTCTCAACCTACGCTTGTATCCCTGTGACCCTACAGCATGTCCAACCAGCTGTCCCCGAAGTATGCGTTTGAACGTCATCTCAAGCCTACCTGGTGCGGCTGCTAAAGCGCTCGGTCGAATGGCAAGGAGAATGCTCTAGAGTGATTCTAGACAGTCTTGTGAAAGCCATGTTCGGTTCGACATAGGCATAGGAGGTATTACCGACTGGTTTCTCCAGGTTTCGGATCATTGCGAGGAATCGGTCCGATCCCCAACAAACCCCAGAAAGTTGCTGGGAAGGTTGCGAAGAGCTAATCTGTGCCGCAATCGTACGGATTCATGCTCGCGTGGCGTTGTTAAGGGTTCTCAGAACCTTGAAAACTGCGGGGCCCCAGCTCCGCAGGTCAGAACCCACCTTGTTCCAACCTAGCGGGCTGGAGTGTCCGAACACTAGACGTTGTCCCGGGGCCTGTTTGCGGACCCTCAAGAGCTCAATTTAGTCTGGGTTGTTCGCCTTCTTGCTGTCGCTCCCCGCAATTTCCAAGTTCATACGTTAAACCTCCTCATCCCAGTGAGAGCCTTGACATTACACATTGGACCGTGAATGCACCGAACAACAACCGTTGTAGCCGCCGACACCATGTCAACAGAGCCTACTAAAGCGAACGAACAGACGGACTCATCTGATGTGAAGTCTGCCTCGGACAGCAAGCAAGAGAAAATCCCATCAGAGAAGGGTTCAGCGAAAGAGAAATCTTCGAAACCACGGCACAGGGCTTCAGTAGCATGTGCTTCGTGTCGGGACCGCCGGATTCGCGTATGCTTGCCCTAACTGCGCCCCTATCCGTTTGCTGACTTTCTGGTAGTGTGTTGTGCCTCCTGGCGAGAAAGACTGCACGCAATGCAAAAGATCCGGCGTGGATTGTGTCATCAAGAACGATGACGAACGACGAAGGTTCGTTTTTGCATCTTTTGCTTGGAGGAGGACACGCAGCTGACAAATGATAGACCCATCTCACGAGCGTACATGTGCTCACTCACAGAGCGCGTAGCACTCCTAGAAACAATGCTGAAGGAGAGGGGTGAAGATCTACCACCAGCGAACCACCCGCCAAAGACTCGTCACGGTTCCCAACGCAACGAGGATCTATCACCAAACCACAAGGCAACAGATAGCCAAAGCAACCAACAAGACAACTCCAGTCCGGGAAGCCAACTGAGCCCCCAAGACGATTACCCTGAGCTCGATCAGCAGCATGAGTACAATGGTAGCCCCCACAACGACGCAGAGAGTGCCGGTTCCCCAGCCATGCTTCCCCCTCCGAAGAGAGACGGCATGGTCAGCCGCCTGCTTTCCACACGAGGACATTTAAGCTTCGATCAATTGAGCGGCCGACTACGATACTTTGGCCCTACCACAAACTGCCACGTGCATTCCGAGATGCTCAACCCTTTCGACTCCACGCGGGAGATGAGCGAACAGGCGCGACGTGCGGATAAGATCATTCGATCCTTACCACTCGAGACATATGACTATTTGATGGATCTCTTCTGGCAATGTTATAACCCCGTCATCCACGTTTTGCACCAAGAAGCGTTCAACGAGGACCGGGAGATGGGTCGGACGCAGTTCTACAGTGGATTCCTGCATGTCTGTGTGCTGGCGATGGGGTTCCGGTTCGCTGATAAGGAACGCATGGATATACTCAGAATTAGTCTTCCCGGAAAGGAGAGCACGCTTCATAGAGAGGCGAAGTATATGCTTGATCACGAGTTGGAAAGACCAGGTGGAGTTCCATCTGTCGTCGCGATGTTGTTACTCGGTGACCTCGAATGTGGAGTTGGCCGCGATAACCTGGGCTGGCTTTACGCAGGTATGGCTGTAAGGCTTGCGTTTGATATCGGGTATGTATGCACCTCAATGTCTGCTTTTGAGATTTCGAGGGCTTCCTTGCTGATCGTGATAGGCTTCATCTAGATGCCCGTCTCTCCGGCCTGTCGGAACGCGAAATCGAAATTCGCCAAATGACGCTTTGGGCCTGTGTAATCTACGACAAGTAAGTCCCCTATCTATCCTTGATATAATTGGTTGTCTTTATGCGAGCTTTGCTAAATTCTCACAGGTATTGGGCGCTTTTCCTTGGTCGCCCAACCTCAATGAAATCTTCCGACCTGGAAATTTACAGCTTAACCACTCAATTCGCCCGCCTAGGGACCTGTCTCCCATCCGGGCCCTCAAAATCCACAGAGACACTCATCTACGAAGCACTCATAGACTTGATGGAACTCGCTGGCAAGATTACTGAGAACATGGATCCACACCTGTCGCAAAACCCCGAATCGCACACATCAGTCGACCGCAACCAGTACCTCCGCATGGCAGCTCTTGATCGCGAGTTTAGTAGTTGGTATGCGAGATTACCTGAGCAACTACGCTGGACACCAAACAACATAGCAACGGCGCCCTTTTCGTTTTTCCTGCTACATCAGCAGTACCACGCCAGTCTGATCCTGTTGCACAGGCCGTTCGCCATGTACGAAGACCAAAGTGCGCGGGATGGCCTGGAGAGCAATGGGCCAGATGATCACTTTTCGGCGCTGAGTAGGACAGTGTGCACCAAGCATGCGATTCGCGTAGCGAGAATCTATTGGCAGCACCGGCAGCGGTTTGATACAAAGCAGATTTTTGTTACCGGGATGCAGCACGCGGTAAGGACCGGTCTATAGCCATCTTTCGAGCTTTTAGTGGACTTTCATGATTCTAACTCTTCCTAGGGCACAGCAGCAACCGCCCTCGTCGCCGCGCTAGCATTCATTAAAGACCCCAACGACCGCAACAACAACATGCAATACCTCGAATGCCTTTCAGCTGCACTCTCCGATATGGCCGCAACCTACCAGCCCGCGGAACGCATGTCTATCGTGTTGCGCGCCGTCATGGTCGAGCTACGCGGCGGCCCAGAGCCGAACATGAACTCCTTCACATTGTACAAATCTAAGTCTTCGGTTGTGCCAGCCCGGCGCGGATCCACCATCGACATAGACGACGAGAGCTCAAGTCAGGTCTTCAAGAAACGCCAGACAAGCCGGCCTCGCGCAGGAACAGGAGCAAGTAGTAGGAAAGTGCGGACGAGCAGCATGAGCACAGCGATGAGTATGCCCATGGACCGTCAGAGCTTGAGCATCGTACCTCCTCCCCCACCACGCTTCGACGACATGGACCGTAACGGCGACGGTTTCATTATGGTAACGCCCCGCTCTGAAATGAGCGCCTGGCAGCCCATCTCGGAAACACCGGAGCTCTCTCACACGTTATCCACACCGTCCACTAGCACGCTGTCCTCGTCTGATCCGCGCAACTCGGGAGCCTGGATGGGCGCTGAGTTCGACGCCCAAGACTCAATTTCCCAACTTGCTACTGCACATTTCCCTGAACTCAACGCGTTTGACGAAGCGAATGGTGGTTCAGTAGATGGCATGACTAACCTGGATTTTATGAATTTGGGCGAGGGAGGCAATGAATGGAGTATGGGTAAGGAATGGAATAGCAGCGGGGGTGTGGTGAGTGACCTGGATGGGTTCCCATCTCAAAGTGGGTTTGGCATGGGCGTTTTATCGGGGAATTGAGAAGTTTTGGGCAAAGAGATATGAAAGCACGTAATGTTTGTTTATGAGGCGCAATACCGAGACTTATGATTGTTTTCTAGAGCGATGAATTGAGGAAGCGGGTATTTGGCGTTGGCGGTTTGTGCTAGAGCGCACTTGAAATGATTTAAATCACATTGTAGTTCCATACTTCCCAGTCTTTAAGAAAATCTTGACTTCAAAGGCCGTTATTCATAAAACCTCTGTTTCCTTACCCTCATACCCGTCTGGAGCGGCACAAAAGCCATCTTGCCGACCTCGCTTTCAGTCTTGATGTCCGCGACCATGACACCGAGATCGCCTAGCCTCTTAGTCTTCTTCACACCATCCTCAATACTATTACCCTGCACACCATTATCCCCAAAGTAAGTCGAGTCTCTGATCAAACTGCTAACGAATCCTAGAATAGAAGGCGCTTGACATCGATAGTGCATTACGAGAGAGAAGACAGCGGCGAAGAACATGATCGCAACAGCGAAGAAGTAGAGCACGATCCAAGGCCTATCTATGGCGTAGACTGGTGGTAGGTGAAAGGTCGTGGTAGATGTAGTGTTGATGAGCGTGTCGTAGGATGGCGAAGTAGTCATGGGGCCGCCCAATACGGATTTGTATTCTAATGAGATTTTCCACAGCGTATTCCACAGTAAGGCGAAACGCTGCTCAAAAAGTTCAATGTGGAGATCACCCAGCTCGGCTAAGGTAATAAGGCCCGGATTATTGAATGCGCTGAGTGGGTCTTTGATATACCATTCTACGATGCTCGATGTACCACTACCAGTCTGCACATCGTCAAGCATATCCATAAAGGCATTGAGGAAGATAGTGGGGATCCCCGGATCATGATTGATCGTCGTATTTGGATAATTGACACGGCCAGCTTCGAGCAAAGTGAGATCCTCTGGGTCTGTTGCGAGAAGTGTTTTGCGAACCGAGTTTACCCCACAGTTCGCCTTGCCTAGTGTGCCTCTAGACATGCAGAACACTTGGGCATCGACATAGGTAGTGCGTGTGGAGCATGCTGTGACTGATAGAAATACGGAAACCCCCCTCGTTCCAAAAATGATCCCTGGATGGCCGACGGTGGACGAATTGGCGACCCGTTTGTGCGTGGAGGCGACGAAGAACGTGCGAGGGAAATTTGCTGCCCGGTTACTCGGAAGCACAATGGAGCTCATGTTCGTTCCGAGGGTGGCGAGAAACCAAGGCTCAGCTTCTGCTGATGAGTTGAATTTCATCCATGGTGAACACTGGATGTTGTCAACGATCATTAAGGTCTGTGAGAGACATAGAGGAGATAAAGGCTTCTCTTACATTGAAGTTCTGATAGCTGGAGCTGACGTTGAATGTAGTATTGCCCGTGAAATTCCGATTAATGCCGTCAACGCGGTCGCCAATAAGACTGGAGTAATTCTGCACCGACTCCATCCAAGGTGTATTCAACCACCGGTATGGATTTTGCGCATCGTAATTCGCGAGATACTCAAGATTTGGAATGCGCAGGTTGCCCCAAGAATCCATTGCAGCTTGAACCCCTGAGGCTTGATGACCTCCAAGCGTCACAATGTTTCCTTCGTAGGTAGCGTTTGTCCGATTGACATACTGCGTGCTGGCAATGACATCGTATAGCACTGCAGAATATAGTGCGCGGACCGTAGGCCTAGAGCGAGTGGATCCGCCTTTGTACATAGTCAAGCCTAGCTGGCTGCTCAAGTTGTAGTTGTAGTACGTGATTTGTCCTGCACCAGAGCCCTTCAGTGCTTGAAGGTAAACTCCTCGAAACGATGCCTGTGACCCTAACGGGTTAAAGGCCCATAGAAGAATAAGAGCAATAGAAGAGAGTCGAAAGATAGACCACCTGAAGACTGTAATCAAAGAACTAGCTAACTGTTTGCAAATTCATTAGCATTCGCATTATATGGTTTCGAGTGCGAGTTACCCACAGTGAGTGAGCCCATTAGCTGTTCTAGTGCCTAGCATAGTTTAGTTTGAACTGGAATTTATCTCATGGAGTGATTGGTTCATACCAACAGGGGGATTCCACGTTCCACTCGCCAATCTGCAAACGCTCGGATTGCGTTCCCTAATACACCAGAGAAGAGAATGGGCCAGAGGGAAGGGGCGATCTGGGTGGCTTGAATAATCCGGGTGGACCAACTAGACTGTGGCTTAGCTTCCAGATTTGCGACGAAGCCTCCGAGGACTGTCGATGTATCAGCGATTTCGGCTTTTTTGGGCTAGTTTTTGTGATTGGCGGAGCCGACTTACTTAGGAAGCACACCGAGACCAAAACCCCGATGATCTCCCATGTAAGGTGATAGCGTGGGTTTCCTTTCCAATGAACCCGTGTAGAAGAATCCGTAGTGGCCTGTACATTTTTGGGAATACTATAATCTAGATCGTGATACTTGTTTCGAATGGACTGTGAATGAAGCGTATCTCCCCCCGGGTCTTTCAATCCATCGCTAACATACGGCTGGAAAGAGTGGGTATCTCTCTGGTAGTCGCCCCGGTGATTCACCGCTTCGTGGGGTTGATCAAGCAACTGAACGGAAGAGGCGTCTCGTGCTGGATCTGCTGTAAGGTCAAAGTCAGAGTCGTGCGCAATCGTCTCGCGAGATGCGAACGAATGCCAATCTAGCCTGTTCATCTGATCACGCGCCCCAGTGACGCCGACGTCTATCTATGCGTCAGTGAAGGAAAGTTAGTTGAATTTGAGTGAATCGTCTATCGTAGATGTGGGAAAGAAGCCCAGGCAATCGGGCTGACGCTCAGCGTTTCGCAGTTCAGCCTTTCCAAGGTTAGCCTTGCAACGGTGTTTTTGTCAGCAAATTGTGCACCCTGCACATCCAATGAGGCACACCGGTTTTTGCCTAGCCTTCCGCGCATCTTCTGCCCGCCCCCATAAGGTCTATTTTTGTGTGGTAACGATGTCACATGTTTTTGTGGAGACCACCAACCGAATCAAATCGGCCATACCAACTAGCAGATACTCCGGTAGCAAGTAGATCTATGGCGGAGTTCAAAGACGATGGCGGCGTGCGTCTGGCAGGTTACACCACGACAGGAGGTCGCGGGTAGGAAGTCCACACTTGTGAATTGCCACGCCGCTATCACAAGGTCAGCGACAGTTGCTACATTGCAGACTTTCGCGGCCGAGTCCGTAGAAGAGCCCGCACCGCTAACCTATGCAACAGATGCCACTCGTGAATCGGCTGGCTGGGCATATAATACTAGACAACTACTATATTGACTAGCCTAATATAGGAATGGCAATGCTCCAAGGGGTATCTATTCAAATCATAAAAGCGAAGCAACGTATGCGACCCAAGCGCCAATTCAAAACTCATGCCGCAACAGGAGAAGATCCAAAGTTCAAGCTTTCATCGTCGTCAAAGAAGGAAGCTGCTTCCTGCGTCGACATGACGAAGTCACTGATAAAGCTATGTGACATGGGGGCAACCGTAGGTGCTGCCGGAACCGTTGGACGCGACGATGGGGTGTGTGGCCGTTTAGGTGGCGGCAAGGAACTGTTCCGTTGGGCCGTCCAAGTCTTCCTCTTGAGACCTGGTCGGTCAGAAACCGATGGAGGCTTTCGTGGAGGTGGAGCTATCGAAGGTTTGCATGTACTAAGAACGCCATTCGGTAGCGGTGGTTTCACTAGCCTTGTTGAAGTTTTCGAGTTCGATGTTGTTGTCGAGAGCGCAGTTGAAAGACTTCTGACCTTTGAAGGAGTGACCCGTGTATGCACTTGTTTCTCCGTTGCTACTGGCTGGCTAGGGAGCAATGAAGACTTAGACTTCGCTGGGCTCGTACTATCTTTTGGATTTGTTGCCCTCGTGACGCATGGGTAAGTCTCCTCGTCTAGATCCTCCAGCGAGAAGTCAAAGTCTTGTGTTGACAGTGGAGGAAGGCAGTCGCCTATTGAAGGCGATGCAGAGGTAGTAGTCTTTGGTAGACTCGCGGGTATCGGTACCACTTCAACAGCAAGATCTCGCGCGATCTGCGTACCGCTTTCAAAAAAGTCATCCCAGCTATCTATGGAAGATGGGTATATAGGCGGAGTATGCTTAGCCGGTATAGAAGAGCTTGACTTGGACGCCGGCAGGCCAGGTAGTTTAAATCCTAGATTCGAATTTGTTTGCGCAGCTGATCTAACGACATTGGAACTCAGTCTCTTAGGCAAACCCGGTCGCACATGACCGGGCATCGAGGGCAGCTTAAACTGAGATTGCGACGTGTCTCGTGCGCGGATTGTATGTGTATAGTCGGTCGCAACACGTATAGGGAACTGTGTCCTTTGGAAAAGATGCTGCTCCTGATTATTGTACCTCGCGAGGAAGGCTACGCGGGTAAGGATTGTCCTAGTTCCTTCTAGCTGACCGTCCAAAACAAGACATTCCAAACGGTCGTTGTCGGCTCGAAGAACCTGCAAGTGCTGGCTCTTGGACAACTGGCTACTTGTATTCAAATCTCTCAGTAAGATCACTGCGCAACCAATCTTGATGCGCAATCGGTGTGGCGGCAGTCCAACAGGGTTCAGCGTATGCAGCAGGCTCAACTCCGGATCCCAGTCTGGCAGTTTCATGGATAGATCCTGCGAAAGCAGCTCAATCAATGGCTCTGGTAGCTTATCCAAGATTGCTTCCAATGCCGTATTTATAGGGCCATGGGTCTGGACAAAGTCGGCTTCTTCCTTCACAGGAGCTTGTTCGGTCGAGGTCGGGGGCATGGGAAAAGCGATGGCGGGCCATGGCTGCGCGATTTCGAGAGACTCTTCGACAGGGTCTGACATGACCAAGGCATGCGCCTCAAGGAGCGAGTCGTCGTCCAGCTCCTCGTCAACCCATTGCTCCCCAGAAGAACCATCGCACTCTGGAAGATGGAGCGCAATATCGTCTAGCTCATCATCATCATCCCACGGTTCCTTGTCGATATCATCAGCGATGACCTCTAACCGCTTCGCAAATTCCTCCTCCTTCTTGCGCTTTTCCTCTTCCTGTCTCTTCTTCACTCCCAAAAAGGCCTCCATGCCACTCTTCAACTGCGCCTGTGTATGACTGTATCCAATGAGCTGTGTTGCCAACCCAACGCCAACCTGTTTCCTCGCGCGTGCCTCCTTTTCTTCTCTATCTTCGCGCTTCTTCTTGGCAGCTTTGCGGCGGTCCTCGGTTTCACGAATGCGCGCGGCGCGTTGGTCTAGTTCGAAGGCGCGCTCCAGTTGTTTCTGTTGTCGCTCAGGGAGGCGGGGCCCATTCTTCTTATACTGCTTTTTGAGTTCGGTAGAGGTCTGCGCAATTCGGTGCGGGGTGGTGGTCGACATGGCGGAGCCAAGCGTTCATAGCGAAGTTGCTTTTTGAGTGTGCAGGGTTGATATCACATCATCATCTGTGGGGTGGTTGTTGTTTTGCAGACAGGGACCGTGCGAAACGCGCTATCACGTGCCGTCACCTGGAATCCAATTCTCTCCCCTTTCCACATAGTCTTCCTGTCGGCATCTCAGTGAAAACAGTCACGAGCTTCGAACTAGCAGTAGCAGCCATCCTCATCCTTTCATCGTTGACCCCTCACACCCGCCCGAGTCTGCCTGAGTCCGGACGAAGACACACTACCCTTGGCATGACTCGCGCGGTCCAGAACTACTGGGGAGAGCATAGCCGACACCGTCCATAAGTGAATAGGCACCCGGCACAACGCCCATGGCCATGACCATGGGGCATGGGCATGCAGGATGGCCCCGCTTTGTGCCAGCATTGCTTGCCGTAATGGCCTAGGTTAAGCTTGGGTTCGGAAGCTATAGGATACGACACGTCTCTACTTTGACGCGTGTGCTCGTGCAATATCGACAACATGGCATTTGCTTTGAAGGGCGTTGCGTACATCACCGGCGCTGGATCAGGTATGCGCAACCAACCTGTATAGCTCCATAGTGAGCTCCTGTAGGCACAAACTTACATTGATCAGGCATTGGGCAATATACGGCCTATGCCCTCGCACGACAAGGCGTTCGCTCGTTTGCGCTTCTTGACCGGAATCCCATCTCCCAAACAGTCAGCGAGCTCAAGCGGATCTCACCAGACATATCCGTCAAAGAATTCGAGCTCGATGTGACCAATGAGAAAGCCATCGATGACAGCATTGAGAAGACGGTCAAGGAGTTTGGACGATTGGACTATGCAGTCAATAATGCTGGAATTGGTGGCATGATCAAAACCACCGACCAAATACCAAAGGATGATTTCGAAAAAGTCATGGCAGTCAACACTACAGCTGTCTGGACATGTCAGCGCGCCCAGATTCGACAGATGCTGAAGCAAGAAAAGCTCACAAACTCATACCGCTCGTATCGCGGTTCCATCGTCAATGTGGCCTCCATGTACGGACTCGTCGCACCGCCGGACAACGTGCCCGTAACAGCGTATGCTACTAGTAAGCACGCCGTGATCGGGTTGACCAAATCAGACGCCCTTGCCTTTGCGCATAGGGGCATCAAGATCAATGCGATTGCACCAGGATACGTCTTGACTCCGCTGGTGCAGCAGACCATGGGCCAGGGCGACATGATGGAGGTTGAGAGGAAGAAGGTGCCTGTTCATCGCTACTCGGAGATGGAGGAGATTGGCGACTGTATTGCATTCTTACATTCCGATGCTGCAAGCTACATGGTTGGTGCAACACTCGTTGCAGATGGCGGGTACACAATTGTATAGCAGTTCTTACAAATGACGTCTCACTTTCAACCCCATGATCGCTAACCTAAATATTACTTCGCAAATGAGATAGATTCGCCAGATCACGCCTAGCGACTACCGATAACTCCTCGACCGCGTAGCTTCTCCGGAACAGATTCTACACCAACATGAAGTGAGACCTACCATCCAAGAGAGCGCTAAATTCGAACAGCGCGTTCTCCCCCTCAAACTACACGAGTCGACTGTCGGCCAATGTGCCGCTCGTGGAAAGCGAGGTATTGATGCTTCGGGCTCTGCATGCCTAACGGAAATGCTTTGCCAGACGGAGCTGAAAACGAACCCGCATGATTGGTCCGCCCTACGAGTCGTGAATCTCGAGCCGTGGTAGCTCTCCGCCAGCGTCCTCGCGGAACCCCGGATTTAACAGATCATCCTAATGACTCGCAATATGCGAGGAGAAGCTACACATGACTCTTGAAAGCCGGGGACTGTAGTGTTAACGCAGAGAGGAGACGCGATGGAAAAGTACAAATATCGTCGTACGCTGGATTTAGGCTGTTGCCTCTACCCCCTCTCTCTTGTTGCTTTTCCCAACTTATTTCATACTCATTGTGCAATGGCAGACTTCATCGTCCCCTCATCAGCTCGTCCAGAAACAGATGCCCAGCATCGGTTGAGAGGTCCAATCCACGCACAACGTCATGTCCGCGTAGTGTGCATTGGAGCCGGTGCTTCAGGCCTTTTGATGGCATACAAGCTGCAAAAGCACTTTTCAAATTACAGCCTCCAGGTGTATGAGAAAAACACCGAGGTTTCAGGGACGTGGTTCGAGAATCGATATCCGGGGTAAGTGGATTAAGTTGTTGACTGCCGGGGTTGTGGGCGATTTCCCCGCAACATCGTTTCAGTCTAAATCAAATATCACTCGCTAACCCATTCCTAGATGTGCTTGTGATGTCCCATCTCACAACTACACGTGGTCCTTCGAACCCAAGCTCGACTGGTCCGCCGTGTACGCCAGCTCCAAGGAAATATTCGCTTACTTCAATGACTTTGCGCGCAAGTATGGGCTGCACAAATACGTCAAGACTCAACACCAGGTTGAGAGAGCCGAATGGAACAAGGAGAAGGGCGGATATGATGTGCAGGTCAAAGACCTTGCGAGTGGCCAGCTAGTGCACGACCACTGCGATATCCTTGTGAATGCGTCAGGTATTTTGAATAACTGGCAATGGCCTGCCATTCCAGGACTGGACAAGTACAAGGGCACCCTGCTACATACTGCGAACTGGGATGACAAAGTTGACCTGAAGGGTCGTCATGTAGGGTTGATTGGCAATGGGTTAGTGACCATCTCTGTATCTTTGATTTTGTACTGATTCTTCCTCAGCTCCTCCGGCATCCAAGTCCTCCCCACAATACAACCCTACGTCAAGAAAATCACAACCTTCATTCGCGAACCCACCTGGGTGTCACCTGTCCAAGGTCTCGAGCAACATGTCTTCTCTGAGCACGAGAAACTCGAATTTGCTACCAAGCCCGGTACTCTGGTCGAATACCGCAAGAAAATTGAGCGGGGTCTCAACGGCCAGTTTGGGATTTTCCTGAAAGGAAGCAACATCAACACGGAAACAGAAACCTATTTCCGCCAACAAATGACAGAGAAGTTACAGAATAAGTACCTCGAGGAGCGCCTGATTCCAAACTGGCATGTCGGTTGCCGTCGCTTGACGCCCGGTGTTGGCTATCTCGAAGCCCTGGGCAAGCCCAATGTTGAGACGGTGTACGGCGAGATTAATGAAATCACCGAGCGCGGCTGCCTTTGCTCCGACGGAAACGAGTACCCCATCGACGTCCTCATATGCGCAACAGGCTTCAACACATCCTTCAAGCCGCGCTTCCCCGTCATCAACCCCGCAGGCCAAAACCTGCAAGATATCTGGGCCAAAGAGCCACGCTCATACTTCGGTGTCGCAGCCGCAGACTTCCCCAACTACCTCATTTTCCTCGGCCCGAATTGTCCTATCGGCAATGGGCCTGTGCTAAGCGCGATCGAGTGCCAGGCAGATTACATGTGCAAGCTCATCGACCGCTTCCAGACACACAACATCTCGCAATTCGCACCGAAGGCCGAAGCCATTGATGATTTCCTACAGTTCAAGGATGATTTCATGAAGGGCACCGTTTGGCACGATGCATGCCGTTCCTGGTACAAGTCCCTTGGCGCGGACGGGCCTGTCACGGCTCTCTGGCCCGGATCAACGCTCCACTACATCGAAGCGCTTATGGAAGTAAGGCATGATGACTGGGAAGTCAAGTATAGCGGTAATCGCTTCGCTTGGCTCGGCAACGGGTACTCACAGACGGAGATCGATCCTACAGCGGATTGGGCATTTTATATTAGGGACAAGGATGATGACGAGCCATTTTCGCGACGGAGGAAACTGCAGATAATTAACAAGAGTGGAACGATAGCGGCATCTGAGGCAGTAAGCTTTACGGGAAATAAAGTGGATGGGAATACGAAGGGTGTTGAGGCGAAGCTGTGAGGTGAGTTAGCTAACTAGTCGGCAAGCCTGGATAACATTTCAATGTAAATAGCAGAATTATGTCTTCATCAATATCCACCTTTTTCCCTTTCTACGGGTCTAAGAGGCCTACTTGATACCAAGCTTCCAACGACTAGAAATTCTTTTCCTAATGAAAACAGTTTACTTCATCTCTTTGTGAGACATATTTAGTTTGATCCCGCAAAAGGTGAGAATCCTTATAATTAAGATATGATATCTTTGCATATATACGTAGCCCATCAATCTAAACTATTGACGAATAATGCATGTCTTGTACGGACAGACGTTTACGGCGCTCCTGGATGTCTTGGGACTATAATGATACGAGATGCGTTATTAAAATTGTACTACAATTCTAACGTCGTATACCCTTTTTATCGGATCGGGTAGTGATTAAGAGAAGGAAAGGCCTGATCTCGAATAGTCAGTGTAAGTGTCGCTCTCAAGTTGACTATGGTTGCACAGCAGTTGCTTAGTAGCTATCATCGTACACGGATTGATGTGATCAGTACATCCTTAAGATGATTTCAGCCCCCAGAAGTCGAAGATAAGAGAGTTGGCTTAACAAGTTGAGGCTGATTAGCGTTAGCGCGGTTCGGCTCCCCATCTCGAGCGCCCGTCGAGACATCCGAATCACTCTTCCAACCAGGTCCGACACACCGAGTCAAACACACCTCAATAGCAACCAATTACGGCTCCCAGGCCACCGGAGCTACGTGTAGATCTGACATGCTTCTGTCAGCACTCTGCATGATCGGGCTCTTGGGGAGCTGTACACCGGTGGTGCTGCGAGCTCGAAGTTGGCAACGAGGAGAAGCGTGAAGGCCTAAAGAAGAAGAAGAAATGAGTGGATCTCAAAGAGGGGCTCGCGATCGCTGACGACAATGCGCAAAGCTTACCTCTTGCGATCTCGTATCGTCGCAATGAGAGCACTAACAATAGCACCGTTATCGTGTCGTCAAACCCCCAATACGACTCAGCTCTCGGCTCGTAACGATCGGCTGCCTGCCTTGAAAATCCGGCTTCTGTCATCCCCACGCACAGAAGCCTCTTACTCAGTAAACAGCGCGGTGTGTTTTCGTGGCTGCTATTTCGATATGAGCCTGCTAGTGATCGTCGGTGTCGTACCAAACCCGGGGTGAGAAGTAGGGCAAGATGGGTATGTGGTGCAGCAACAAGGGTCGTTCGACATGCAGATTGACGTTGTACAACCGCTTTGGGAAAATTCAGGGTCTTAGTTGAGCTTGTAAGACGGGCATGGTGAGTGTATATAATCTTGATGCATAGCCAGCTTCAAGATTCTCAACAATCAAAACACATCAATCAACTTTCCAACTACTGTCGCTATTCTTCAACGCGTTAAAAACAATTATATCAAACCCAACAACCGATTAATTAATCATCAATCATTGATAATAAGCCCACACGACCAAAGATGCCGACTTCCCACATCTCCACTCCTATCGGCGCAGTCGACGCCGCCGTCGTCATTACTGCCCTACACAACCACGACCTGATGATCAGAACCCTATGTCCAGCACTAGTCAGTTACACCTTCGAAGCCGGCTACAGAAACACCCAAGCGACATATTGCATCACTGACAGGACGCCCGGTGGCCAGGTACGCCATCTACCCCCCCTCCCCCTTCCCCCTTTCCTCAAAGAATCCTCAGACTAACACACCGACCCTATAGACAGCATACAACCTCACACTTACCAACGTCCCCTCGGGCGTCAACTCTCTCGTCAACGCCAAACCGCCCGTGGGCGTGCTTACTATCAGCGGCAAGTGGCGCGTTGCTGGCGGGGAATTGGTTGAGGAAGTAGAAATCGATGCGAATTTCATGATGAAGAAGGTGGCAAAGAGTAACGTGGAGAAAACGCATCCAGAGCAGCATATGAAGCTACTGCACGCGGCGCTGGCCTGAGATGGTAGCGAGGCTGAGAGAAAGGGAAGAGGTGGCGTTTGAAAGATAAGGAATGCATAGCCTTGGCTACTTGGATTTAGGGTTGACTTTGAGCGATCAGATTAGCGTGTTTGCATTTTAAGCGTGGAGTTTCGGCGTTGGATCAACTTGTTTAAGCTGTCATATGTAAAATTCAAAAAGGTACATAAAGTTTACATTACGATTTTCGATTTTTGATGACTGTGGAATTCACGAAGTGAGATGGGATGATTTACAATGTAGTTTTGCATGGTTATTATTCTTCATAGCGCTATTTTCAATACACTCATCGTAACCCCCTTATCATAAGTACTGTTTCGTATCCAGTTCCATCAAGAAGCATGTTGGATACCAATACACAAAGCCCTTCCAATGCCATCTCATCATCCAATGCATTCCAATTTAACCGTCCCACCTCTCAGAGTTCTATCACTATCCAACTCATCTCCCCTTCCAAAGCCTGGCCTAGAAACCCTGACCCATGATACTCAGTGATCCGGCTCGCAGGTATTACACGCATCGCCGCCACCCCTCTCCACCGCAATGTCAATGTCAACCCGACCACAAGCTTCCGTTCCAATGCTATACCCCATATAGTTATTCGAGCTGCCGCCTAGGACTTGTTGCTGATTCTGAAGTGGTCGACTCGGGGGAGGGACAGGATCCGGGAATGGGGCTGTAGCATGCATAGGAACACCAGCAGCGCCACGACCACCATACAAACCGTTGCCAGTGTGGCGATAACCCTGGCGCGGATTGCGGCGAGGAAACGCGTAGTAAGAAGGAGTGCACATGTTGCGCGGACCGAGAGGCAGACCTACGTTGCGGATTGTGGTGAGATCCATGTTTGCGAAGCGTTGGGTCTTGTTATCAGTGTCGTTGCGCAGTGCGGCTTGTTGAGTGATGAGATCGATTTGCGTAGAGAAGGGAATACTAGACTCATTGGTACAAGGGATGTTCGCAACCTTCTGCTCCGCTGTGAGGCCAGGATGGGAGTTCTCCTGCTTCACTGGCTCTTGTAATTCATGTGAAGGCACAGGAGGAAGCGGCATTAGTACTGCCGAAGGCTGACGCTGTAGCACCTCCGATAGAGGAGTAGCCGCGGGCTTGAATCCGGCTACAGAAGTATTGGCGTTCTGAAACACATGTTGAGTAGCAGTTGGCGAAGAGATGGATTCGCGTTGCTTCCTCGGCTTGAACTTCTTTGGAGACCTCGATCGTCCGTTGCGAAATCCTTGTTCGTAGGCAAAATGTATCGGGTACATGTAGTAGAACCAAGGAACACCGTGCTGGTCAAGACTAGACAGATCTGGAAATAATCCTTCCTGGTCTGGTCGGAGAAGTGTCGTTTCTTCCGTACGAGAGCTGGCAGGATACGTTTGTTGAGTCGCCTGAGGTACGAACGCTGGAGCAGTCGCACGTAGATCTGAGCCCAAACTGGACTGCATAGAAGTCTCGCTCTCTACTTGTCTCCGTGCACTGGGCGCATATCGGTCAGTCCTACCTCGGACTGCTAGATCGTTGTGAGCAATCCCGGCATAACTAGAAGCGACCGAGGCAGCGTCGTCGTGGATGTCGTGCACATGCACAGTCCCTAGATCCAATGTGTGAGCCATCATGAAAATAAACGATAGCACGTTGATGGACCATTCGAGCATCGTACCAAAAGCATCCGATTTCTTGCGGCTATAAATGACGGCAGAATCTATAAGCACGGGATCTTCCAGAGCTGGTGAAGCTTTCACAGTGGCAGATGTCGCACTAGAGGTGCGTCCTGAGATGCAGTCATCAACAGAGGTCGCACTATCAGCCAGTGCCGTCTCGTTCGAGTTCAATGTGAGCTTGTCCGAAGTGTGACGTGGGGCTAGGGCTGGAGAGAGTTCAGCATGAGCTGGAGCATCGCACGCATGGGCGACTTTATCAACTGCCGAGATGTGCGAAAATAGAGTAGTTGAATCTGGGCTGTTGATAGTGTAGGTATGAAGTAGGGATTGCACTGTTGAAGGATCGGCCCGAGAAATTTGAGGCAAAGCTGATGTCTGTTCTTGTTGCGATTTAGCTTTAGCTATTAGACACTTCGCAGATTGTGCTTTCTTCAATGTGGAGCTTCGAGTTGCACCGCTTGGCCTTCCTATCTGGCTTTTCGTAGCGACACGGGGGATGCGAGATGTTTGTATAGGTGATGTTAGGCTCCAGGGGCTGACAATCGTTTCGGACTTGCTTGTAGCTGAAGTCAACGCAACCACCGAATCATGATCAGTGCTGGATGATGAGCCTGAAGGTGGGATCGTAAGCGCGAGCTTCGGCTTGATCGAGCTCGTCTTGCCAGTAGATTTTCCCTTGAGTGTCGAAACATTGCTCGAACCTTGCCCTGTCTGCACAGTCTCACTGTCAGCAGTCAAATTGTGATAAGGGATGTCCATATCTTCAATGATCTCTTCAGCCGACCAGAAGCTTAGCTCCGAGCCTACAGGACTCCTTACCGGCGAGTCCTCTGCAGTATGGAAAGAGTTTCCGCCCGTAGAAGTGGCAACACTACTAGCAGCTCGTGAATGCGCATTCAATGCCGTTTCAGCGTTGAGATATGTCGGCCTAGTTGGTGACACCTTGTTGGTGACAGTAGATTGCTGACGCAGGCTGCTACGTAATGGTGAAGCATTGGGGCTCTGCCAAGACGGCTTTGAGGGTGAACGGTGGAGTCTATTTGGACTACATGGAGACGTAGGCGAGGTGATATTGCTATCGACAGCGGCGAGAGCTTCCTTGGTAAGAAAGGTCGCTCCTTCCGCGTTATGTCTCTTGCCTAGATCAACCGAGCTGCGCGTTCCACGAAGCGTCCTCACCTCAACCGGGGAGCCGCTATGCGAACCCTTCTTGTGAGAGCGCTCTTTGGCTCGCTGGGCCGTTGCAAGGTTGGGGGCATTGCTCTTTGGAAACCACTGAGAAGGTATCGGCTTGCGAGGGCTTTGTTGCCCCTGCGCGGTGTGGCCAATCGTGTGATTATCGGTCTCGAATTGGACGTGCTCTTTCGGAGGCTGTCGAACGGTGTCTGTATCGGACTGGGTTGGACTACGGTTGGAATCACCGTGAATGCGGGCGTGGCCGATGGGAGATACTTCTGATGCGTCAGAGCAACCAGCATATGACTCAAATCGAGCGACAAGTTCCGTGACCTTACCATCGTGAGTGAACCCCATAGACAGAGATGACTGAGTATCCAATGGAATATCCATGTCGATATTACGGTAACCTTGCGTATCCAACTCTGAGTTGGCGTTGGCGCTACCACTGGCTTGGTGGCGATAATTGTCGTTGATGGCGGAGCGTGGGACGAAAGCAGCTTGCGGGGACACCTGCTCGTTTCGCTCCGTTGCGGTGATACTCCAGGCGAGCGGTGTGCCAGCCTTAGATGGACTGATTGTGGACATGTTGCTATAATGCTGTTGCTGCGTATGCGGAGACGAAGAGCTACTGTTGTTTGCGGATGATGTTGGTGGATGAGAAGACGACGGGCCAGGTTGAGCGCCTGGAGTATTGTCTACACCGGCGCCGTTTGGCGAATGACTGTCGCTACTGCTATCAGCCAAATCCAAGATCAAACCTGATAAAAGCTTACTGTTTGGGCAGGCCAAGTGCTGTCGCCTTGTTACAGTATGTTACTCTGGTGAGCTCGCCATGCTGGCAGGTGGAAGAATACGCATAAATGTACTTGCACATAATGCTGGGTAGCGGTTGTCTTTGGTAACGCCCTGGAAAGGTCGATGTTTGTTTATCAATATTGGGTGCGTCGATGCAGCCAACTGAGCTAAACCTAGGAGAAAGTGCGGTGTCGAGGGTAGTGGTCCCAACTGGCAGGAGCTAGCGAACTTCAAGCGAATGACGAGGGAACAAGTGAAAGTGAAGATGGCACAAGCTGCGAAAAAGCACGTGATAACGATAGCCAGGGACTGGCACCACGAAGCTAGCGAAGCTATAACTGTCAGGTTCTTATGTACAGCCTAGTGACGTGCTATCATCTAGGAGACATGAGATTAAACACGCGCGTGGAAGCGCAAAGATGAAAACCCACCAGAAAAAGGCATTGATCACTCCTTCGATTCGTGAAGGTGTCGCAGGTATAGGGAAAATGGAGATTCACGCTTACTCGTGCATATTCAAGGGGTATCTTCGCTTATGGCTTGCAAAATACGATCAAAAGCGCCTTTTCTTCTTATGTTGAGCCTGCTTCTTTGCCGCTTCTTCATTTTTACGCTTCAGCTCGGCTCGTTTCCTTTCTGCCTTTTCTTCTGGAGTTTCTTCATGCACCTCTTCGACTGGCGTTTCCTCCTTCACAGCCCTGACAGGCCGTGGTGATGAAGAGGGCCCAGCTATCGGAGACCGTATCGCTCTCATGCTATTCATCTCTGTTGAATCTGGAACCGTGCGTTGCGAATCATCCTGAAGGGCTTTTCCTTTTCCCCCAATTCTGAATGCCGGTCTCGCCTTTTTAGGTGTCATGTTTGCTTGTGGATCAATCTGAGGTGACGAAGGCACGTCATCTTTGACTGGAGGAGTCTCTGCATCTGGAATTGGAGACACGGGCTTTGTGTTCTTTGTCTTTCCACCTATTCGAAAAGCTTTACCCTTTGATTTCACAGCACGCGGACTGCCCCCCGGTGAAGAAGCTTCTGATGTTGGTGATTTTGCGCGCGGTGGAGGCCTGCGGGTCGTCTGACTCTGACTTTGACTCTTCGGTGGTGCGTCAAGATCCCCATCATCTTCGGTACTATCAAGATCGTCTCCATCTTGTTCGTTTTGAACCAAGGAAGGTATGGGTTCTGGTGCTTTTACCGTTCTGCTCGGAATGTTTCTTGTCTATGAAGCGGTTAGCAATCACTGCATGCAGAAGGGCCGTCGCGTTATTCACTTTGAAGTTTTCGTGTGTATCGAACTCGTCTTCGGTCTCTTCCTCACTCGAATCAACAATTATATTGTTCGGTTTTGCTGCAAGCGTGGCCTTCTTCTCTTTGCCTTTCGACGTAGATTTGGATAGACTCAACCGGACCGGTACTGCACTCCACCACGAATTCTCACGGTCTTCAGACTTCAACTGTGAGGGTACTTTCGGCGTGCTCTGCGCTAGTGCTTCCTGGAACAACCCTAGCGTAGTGACGTCGGACTCTTCCAACTGTCCTGTCTCTTCCCTCCATGCTACTTCTCGAAAGGGCTGAAGTGCGGGAACGTGCTTAGCGGCTTGCTCACGTTTGATGCCCTTCCTTCCCACCTTCAAACCACCGACGCTGGGGAAGGCTGCAGCCAAGTCCAGGTTGCTGGATTCGTATTGATTTACTAGGCGAGTGATTGCTTTATCTTTGTCAGCAATTACTGAAACGAGGGCAGTGATGCGCCCATGCTGAATATGCGAAGATACGAGAAGCGGAAGAATGAGTTCGTTTTTGAGGATGATCGACGAGCGCTTCCCTAGATGAAACTTCCAGGTCAACGATTCGAGTGGCTCTGGTAGCGTGATGGTGGTATGCAGAATAACAACATCTTCACCACTGCGGGTGATGTGGCAGGTACTATTTTTGGAGCTCTCCAGGGGTTTCTTGACATTGTCGAGGAGGATGGCGAGCTGCGTGGTGTCTTGTTTGCTGACTTCGATTGGTGATTGCTCTCGAGAAGCTCGGTCCACTATACCCTGGAGATCTAGCTCTTCACTCCATATGTTACTCAGGTCGGTAACATAGATGATATACGAATCCAAATTGAAGACTGGTTTGACGAGTAGTTGCGGGATATGCTCGCCATCTGGCTGCTCGGACAGCTCTAAGACGCGCCAGCAAGACATATCAGCAGCCGGGAAAGCAAGCCACGCTCCATAAGAGCAGACGACGCTGAACAGTATGCGAGCATCAACCAAGCACTTTGGAATGGAAAGGGGAGAAGATGGAACGCACTGGTCTAAGACCTAATGTTCGGGTGGTAGGTGAAAGGCAGCCGCGCCAAGACGCCCTCGGCCTTGCCCAAACTGGAGTAGGCTCCTGCAGGTGCGGAAGGCATCTCCAAGGCTCTCCAGAGCTACGTGATGTCACCTAGATTCGCGTGCTGCTTTTAGTGCAGCATTATCGTAATTATTGATACAGCCATAATACTGAACTCTACAATATCATGGCATCTCGCGAGCCTCCCTGGCGGAATGAGCGCAATCGCCTGCCCCAGCGGTCTGCGCCAAACTCAACAATTCCCGCAAAGCGATCCGCCGACACGCGCGCACACGACCACCCTGCGAAACGGTCGACGAACGCGGCAGAAGAGGCATGGGTCGCAGATGAGGATCGCTTCGCACTGCAGCAGGCAAAGAAGAAGGCTGCACTACGCGTGAAAGGTGGCCGCGCCAAGCCCATCGACTGGCTCGCCGTCACGCTGCGCTTCATTGACCCTACGGAGAAGAACATGTTGGATGAAGAGGTAGAGGACCATGAGCTGGATGTTGTAGATCCGGAAGGCGTCCTAGAAGGGTTGGATAATGCAGCTCTGTCAGAGCTCGAGAAGGAAATCGAGAGTTACCTCACCTTGGAGACGAACCGCAGCAATAGGGATTATTGGACTGTAAGCAGTGTACTTCCTCATATCTGGCATCCCCGCTAATCCAGCTAGTCCCTCAAAGCCATTTGTAAAGATGTCCGCCGCAAGTCCAAGTCCTCCGCTGCTGAGGCCCGTGGCACCAGCTCAGTTTCCGCAGACATCGATCAACTACTAGCCCCCAAATCGTACGAACAACTTGAGACACTTGAGGTGCAGGTCAAGAAGAAGCTTGACTCGGATGAACCGATCGACTATGATTACTGGGAACAACTGCTACGGAGTCTGCGCGTCTGGAAGGCCAAGGCGAAGCTACGGCGGGTGTCACAGGAGATTGTCAAGGAGCGACTTCAAGCACTGCGTAGGCAGCAAGCAGAGGCGGCTGCATCAGTGCAAGGGAAGCTTTACGAAATACTCAAACCCGCCGATGATTCGAGCGACGTGCCACCAACTACTGTTGCCTACGACGCAGTTCTCGATCCTGAGCCGCTACTAAAGCTTCGTGCCGAAGACAAATCGCTTCCCCAAATTGAAGAGAACACCTTTTTGGACAATGTGGTGAGTCTACACAGCTTGATGTCCAGACATGCTTTGCAAAGACTAACAAGATCAGGCCAATGAGCGGCGCAAAATCCAGAAGCTTGGCTACGTTCCGACCCAGAACAAATCGGAAGATCGATCGGCAGCCGACAATAAGCCGAAGACAAGTCAGGCTGTCACGACAAGTGCGTCAAGATTTGCACCCGTTGAGAAGGAAGATTACTCTAAAGCGACAATGGCTCTATATGAGCGGGAGGTTGCGCGGGGTGTTGAAGAAGGCGAGGAGATCTTTACTGCCGAAGAGCAAGTGACAACCGCGAGCCCACAATGGGCTGGGAGCTACAAACCCAGGAAACCTCGCTATTTCAATCGTGTTCAGATGGGCTACGAGTGGAATAAGTACAACCAGACACACTATGACCACGAGAATCCACCACCCAAGGTCGTTCAGGGCTACAAGTTCAATATCTTCTACCCTGACCTCATCGATAAGGCCAAGGCGCCAACATATAAGATCGAGCGCGAAAATGGTCGCAAGCGTGGTCAATCCTTTGCGCCAGCCGGTGAGGATGACACGTGCCTTATCCGGTTCATCGCTGGCCCACCGTACGAAGACATTGCTTTTAGAATAATCGACAAAGAGTGGGACTATAGCGCTAAGAGAGAACGTGGCTTCAAAAGTAGCTTCGACAAGGTAGGTTCTGGCTCCCTCACAACGGTCTGGTTGTCGAGGTACAATTTACTACGCGTTGAGCAGTTGGCTAAGGCAATATAGGGCATCTTACAACTCCATTTTCAGTTCAAGAAGGTGCGTCAAAGTCTCATGACCTTTGAAAGTCACAACTAACAGCTAGTAGATATACTATCGAAAGTAGCTGTGGTTCAGCCTATCACACTACAACTCTCCGCCCCACCACGTCTGGTCCCTCCTGGATAGAACGACCGCGATAGGGTAATCGATAGGCGTTGGCTAACACAAGCCTTACGTATTCATAGCTACTTCTCCAAGGCGAGGAATCTCATCATGTCAAGCTTCTCTACGATCGTGCGCTGACCAATGAGCACCACACAATGGCGGTGACAATTGGTGAGGCTATTAGCTGCAGCCGATCTGGCCGCAGCCTACTGTTCATCGACATGTCGCAATGCATTCGAACCCGGGACTGCTGGCGGTGTACCTACAATCCGAACGGTGACAGGCACATGAAGCGCCCCGCCAATCGGAAGCAAACATCAACCTACCCGCTCGACCAGGGAGCAACGTTATTTCACCGGAGAGTAAGGCCCTAAGGATTGTGTTACATTCCGCTGTGGAATCTGCCCCAAACGGTTTCTTGCTGCTGTCTCTTTGTAGGCAGCCTGTATAGTGGTTGGATCAGGCAGATCCCTGTCGACATGCATATACTACGATTAGACTCTATCAAGGCAAAGTTTGCACGTGAATTGAATTTCCTCAATGCTCCGCGCTTGCTGAGAGACAATCACTGTGTGTGGGTCTTTCTTGGTCAACGAGGCAGACAATGCCTTTATCCGCACCTGCATGAAGTAAATGTGGATTCTTGTCGAACATTTTCCAGAAGACATGCATGGAACACGGGTAGGAACATCGAAAGATCTATCCCAACGGCACTGCATTGTACGTCGAACTTCCGCTTTTTGTGTTGCAAGGGTCTGGGCAATATGCGGGATCCCGTCTGCAGCCCCGGCAGTGTGTATTCACCGCAAAATCACTGGCCTTTGCGTGACACAGCAAGTCATCCTGACTTTCTATCGGCGTAGTACAATGAGGCGTTTTGGCTCCGCCTCGGCCTGTGAGTACTTACAGTACTGATTGAACGTCGGCTCTTTTGGCCCCGTGACACTAACCCTGCATCGGCCTACAAGGCTTCAGGTCCTCACCTTGAGATGTCAATTTTTGTTTGCCCACTCAAGCGCCCGCAGCATCAAGCTCTGCAGATGTGTTGGCAGCAAGAACCCGCCCAGGGAAGCATTCAGGTGACAATGACACCTCTCTCCACCCAATCCCTGTCGTCGGGGCCTGGCGGAGCATCTAAAGGCCTTAACGATCGCTTCACTTGTTCCAGCATCGGTTCTGCTTATTCTACCTGTCCAATCTCGCTAGTCCTTTGGTTCCACGGGTAGCGCTGGCATCGTCCATTGCGCATTGTTCATTGATACGCTCCTATCTTTGCCGTTCAGACATATCAAAAGAGGACAACACAACGACCATGCCATGTTCACAACCAACCCATAGGCCATCTTCCGCAGACTTGTCTGGTGACCTCGGTGCACTTCAACATACCAAAGACGTATTTGGTGCATCGCTTCCTCTTCACGCCCAAAGTCCGCTACGCTTCCCCACCCACGGGCTATCTCTTGAAGTACCTCGCATGGCGGCTGCTGTCCAAGAATTTGCGTCTTCTAGCGACCACCGAGTTGTGCCAACAGCTATGAGTCTTGACGAATCAGTACCGATGCAGTGGGTAGCACCAGACAACTTCCCTCTCAACCACATGGACCAGGATGCTCCTGGTTGCCACGCGCCCACCCCATTTACGAGCGGTTCCAAGGACTTCTATCACTACACCCAGAATGGCATGTCATACAACGATAACTTCAACCTTCCATACTCGGCACAGTACCAGAGCCTAAACTATCCGCGAACATACAGCGACCTTGATCTCAGCGGCCTACCCACCCTCACCTCAACCTGCCCTGGGTCATACAATGGCCCTGGCTCCAACGGTCTACCCGGTCCCATCAGTATCTCAGAGGCATACCCCCCGGCAGCGTACCAGATCGAGCCGCCAAAGCACCACGATACCATGGATCTATCTGATCAGGACATCAACAGCCAGCTCATGCAGTTGAGTAATGATTATGAACACCACCACTACGGTTCCCATATCAAGGCCGAGGACCATAGTGGCTACCAAAGCCCATACTCAGACCTGACCCGCGCTTCAACCCCCCATGACGACTCACCTAGGGGTCCGCATGACCACAATGCTCGTGAAGCAGGTGCAATTGACAAGGAGCAACCGTATGCGCAGTTGATATACAAAGCCCTCCTAGATGCAACCGACCACACTATGATCCTACGTGACATTTACGAGTGGTTCAAGAAGTACACAGACAAGGCAAGCGCCTCGGAGACCCTGGGATGGAAAAACAGCATCCGGCACAATCTCTCCATGAACGGGGTACATCTTCCTCAACACTTCCGGCTTGATTAAACTCCTGGCTAACACATACAATAGGCTTTTGAGAAGGTCGACCAGACCTGCGACGACGCCCACAAAGGTTTCAAGTGGCGTCTTACAGATAAAGCAGTCCGCGAAGGGGTCAAATCCACGACCCGCTACCGCAGCAAGCAGCCGAACAAACGCGGCCAGCGCCCACAAAACCCGCTCCCCCAGCGTCAAGCGTCTGGTGCGAAGGGCGGCCAGGCTGCCCGCCGCTCTGCAAAGATGAGACGCTCGAATCGGGTGGAAACATATAGGAGTGATCCGTACACCTCCCGCTCCATGCCCGCCGCATTTGATCCGATATTCCAAAATACGGAGGCGCTGATGCCGTATCCGCCAAGTCCGTACTATGGAAGCGATGTGGACTTTGGATATGGAAGTCAGGATAGTGACTTTGGCAGTCAGTCTGTTGGTCCTGGCATTGATCTTTTCGGGCCTGCGAGGTCCTACACAGAATCACCCTTGTCGCAGGGCATGCCCATCATGGATACAGCATACGTGCTAGACCATAGTCCGACTGAAAGCCTGTTTACTAACAGCCCCAGCCTAAGTCCGGATGAGCCGAGGACGCCGGAGAGTCCGCGTATGTGGGCTGGAGAGGGTACCCTCGGGGCGCCGAATGTACATGGCGAGGCTCCGTACCAAGCGTATGCGGGATGAGCGGTAAGGTCATCGCGCCCGGGGATTTTTCATCGCTTGGCTCCGCGGACATGGCTGGGCGACATGCAAAGCTATGTTACTGTAACGTTGGTTTTGCTTTTTATGGTGTAGGTTGGCTTTTAACTTCATGTCGTCACTTTTGACGCCCCCCTCGGATTCAGCATAGCCCTGCACAGACAATCGACTCGTGGTCGCATTTTCATCTTCTTCCCGGTCACCGTCTATCACGACAACAAGCACACCCTTTTTATAGAGCATATGATTGTCATTTCGGTCTTTATTAGGAGTTCGACATTCTTGTGCATCTACGCGTCTTCTTCCTGTACAACGTAAGGGTACACGGGGACTACTGGGGTCATAGTCACATAATTGGCAATATACACATTACCTTCAACATCTACTCTCTAACTTGGTTCAAGATACAGACGGCCATCGTTTCTATTATCCTATAGATGTTCAATGATCCTCTCGCAGGCACTCGCGATATGGCTGCGTTTATCGAAGGGCAGTTTTGCGCTCCTTCCCGATCATCTACATCCCGAAAGGCTCCACCCGGCGAACTTCATCTCCCTTGGTCCGGACGACCTCATCCACAACAGGCTACAGCACTATGCATTTGAAACGATTGAAACGATCGCTCCTTGTCTGCCAGTTCAGAGATCCAATCACATGGCTCGCGCGGAACTTCACGACGCACTACATCCCTGCACTTGCAGTTCTCTACTTGTGTTGACATTACAGTGTTTATCGCAGACCTCTCGTCAAGATTTACCGGATCTGGGTAGAACCACCGCCGAAAGGATCCCTATCTAGTATGGCCGCCTCGCTAACATTTGTAGAAGCCCTGCGTCGACCAATAATCGGATCTGCGGTCAAGGTCTAGCTCAACGTAACGGGTGTCCTTCTCGTGCATACACCTGCAGCATGTCTTCCGATCCACTCCTGCACTACATAGCCAACGCTAGACTATCGCAAAGCCTCAGGTACTGCCCGTCTGAGTGGGTCATACCTCGGGCGCTTTGGTAGGCCCCACGCTCGAATGAAAAACGATTATGTACGACCTTATCCCACGCGGCTGACGAATGACTTAACAGCGGAAGCTGCAAGCCGCTTCCGGCTTACGGGGCCAACGCATTGGAGTCCTTGAAAGCAACCATCTGTAGTACCATGTCATTGGTGATGGTTAAACGATCGACCATACGTCGACCCTACTACCTGAGGCACAGCATAAGATAAGAGGATTTCCAAAGCGCCTACGCCCTAGCTGAGCTATCGCTGGATCTGTGAAAGCACTTTGAGTGCGGAGATGTTTGTGATTACATTTAACATCAGATAGTAGATACCGAGTATAGGTGACGATCATAGACCCTGTCCAGAACCCTGTCCAGAACCCTGGGCCAAACCTTCTCTGCCTTCCTGGCACCGTTGGCTCGTCGTCTTGACGTGAAGCTTTTAGCAGCATAAGAATGGCTTCTATTAGGTTTGAATGCACCTAATGGATTCCACACGAGTAGCTGCAACAGGTCATAATCAACCTATTCCGCTGTAAATGCAAACGTTGTTGTACGATAGGACATCCGCACCGAGTGTTGTTCTCCCAATCTCCACCAGGACTGGTTTCTTCTTCTTCCGCGGATGTCGGTGTGGAAAGCTTACATGCCAACTCATGCAGATTAAGCCGCCTTGCAAGACTTGGTAAAGGTAGCAACGATCTCAAGGGCCACTTGGTTCTAAGCTAGTATGCAACTCGCTTGGTCTAACGGTTATGGTCAAACGAGCGTCTCCCGCTTCCCCATCAGCGTTCCGTCATACGTGCAACCGTTGGTAAGTCCTCATCGGCCCTTTCACACGATGTTCCTCAAAATGTCACACCGCATGGCATCTGATACTTGGAGCAGATTATGCTATGCCAAGATGGATCTGCAAGATCGCCTACACTCGGAGAATCGGGCCGGAAAGCCTGTGTTCGGGAGGACTTAACTAACAGATGTTTTCCTTGCCACTGTGGATTTGGTACCCTACCAGCGGAATACGGAACGGTGAGTCCTGGCCAATGATACCCCTGGCATTCTCTTTTCACCCTTGCCTTACGGACGATAAGGTTTAGCAGGGACGAAACCGAAAGCATCGTTCCACGCACTGCATACGAGGTATATTCTATGGGGTTAATTCTGTCTGGCCAGAGCGCAAGGTGCTTATTCATCTTATCAGATCTCTCCACCTATGACGCACTCACTAGCAGCCCATCGCAACCGCTGGACCGTGAGTCAGGCGCCTGGTAAGATCTATTGATCAAGGTGCACTGCTGTCGCAGGCATTTCTACGTACACGCCCGCTGACTTGGCTGGAAGTTCAGCCGACCGTCCATTGACAATCACGCAATCGGCTTGGCCTACGAATCTTAACCCTTGGCCCTCATGCACTCTTCTTGAAACATCCAAGTTACGACGTCCAAGTTGCATCCATTGTTGCACAGCAGCCACACGAATACGCTCATCTCTCGCTGAAGTCCACTTTGAGATGTCCGTAGGCAACATAGTCTCTACGCGAAGTGGGGCACGGGTCGCGTCCCGTAGGTGCTTTCATGCGAAAAGAGATTTCTTTCGAACTCTGTCTTACCGTTGTGCTGAATCATACATTATCTGATTGGCCTCGTGTAGACGTCGTGCCATTGCTTCGGATCCTTTCGGCCTAATTAGCCACCGTGGGGAGACTCCCAGCCACGCGGGACGGCCTGCTACGACGGGGGGCTGAGAATCGCGAAACGCTCGATTAGGTGACAGTTTCCACTCTCGCTTGAGCATGATGAGGTTTCGGTAACTGGGGCGCCAACTTTTACCAGAGCCCAAGGCTCGGAAATCAGGACGCCGTGCGAATGCTTCTCGCTCGATCATCCTATAATCCAGCTCTTTCACGTTCCACGGATTAGCCTACTCAAAAATGAAAACTTCAAAAGCCGGTTTCTGAGGCTTCCCATTGTGGAAACTGTTCCTTTAGATTGTCTGTCAAGTGTCGTAAGGACAAGCAACGAGAATCCACGGCGTTCGAAAATAAGGACCTACTAAGAAGCAATGCACCATATCCGGTCATTAAGGAAGCATTAAGCACATCGATCAGACAGCGTTGCCATCAAGTAGGAAGATTTTGTGAGGGAGACGTCGATGCTGTTAAGATGAGGTCTGAATTTAAAATGGTAGTCCTTACGCAACGCCCAGCAAGGGAGTTCCTCCGACTCGCGGATGCCGACATATGCGCCACAAGCGCCCGCCGCCGTGTTACAGGGCAACTGCACGCCAGAGACGGGTTATGCGATTGATTATTGACGAGGCCCACCGGCCTAGCTGACAGCGAGGGTACACAACAATGATTTGAGAATCGATGAGGGTAGACATATCCCGGAGCTCCAGCGAACTCATCTTAAGCGCGGCGAAACTCCATCGTTGTAAAAGTGCACGTGGAAGCACTGGCCTTAGGACCGAAATTGACGTTGTGATGCTGGAAACCACTCTAGCTGGGGTAAAAGAAAGTCCACCAATCTTGTCAGCCAAGTGCCCAGCATTGTGGAGAAAGCTTCGCTGCTTGTCGCTTAGCGCCACTAATTAGCCATGTGGCCGTGAGGGGACCCCAGGATCATTATAGAGAGGACCATAATTTCTCCGCACCTCAATCTTATGTTCCTGAATCATGACCGAGGGTATGGGCGCCTCCGCGGCCCTAGACCTGGTGGTGTGCAGGGTATGGGTATATTAAGAGCTCCGATATTGTTAAAGTCACCAACGTCAACGTTTCTCTCGCCAGTCCTCCCTCAACTTTGTTCGTTGAACGAAAAGAAACATGCGTGTCTCCGAGCTCCTCACGTTTGCGCTGCTCCAAGCATCATCGGCATGGTCATCGCCTAACGAACCTTATGAGGCTCGTACCGTTCCGTCGAAACGGCCACAACACCCAATTAAACCATATCACCCTGGCAAAGCATTTCCACCGTCCCCGAGCCGCACGAAGACATGTGTCGTCAAAGCGAACGGAAATGGTACAGATGATTCACAGAACATACTAAAGGCCATCAAAACCTGCAACAATGGCGGTCACGTCGTCTTCCCGAAGGACAAGAAATTTACTATCGGCACGGCACTTGATCTCACGTTCCTCCAACATATCGACCTCGGTACGTTCAATTGGAAGATGTTGCGATGAAACTGCGCTAACAACATGCGTAGATATCCAGGGGACAATCCAATTTTCCAATGACACGGACTACTGGCAAAAGCACGCCTTCTACCAAACCTTCCAGAACGCCACCACGTTCTTCCAGCTAGGCGGCACAGACGTCAATGTCTACGGTGGCGGCACTTTCGATGGCAATGGTCAGGTCTGGTATGACCTTTATGCCAAGGATATCTACATCCTTCGACCCATCCTTTTCGGTGCAATCGGTCTGCATGGCGGTCGCATTGAGGACCTCAAGTTTCGATATAGCCCGCAGTGGTACACGTTAGTTGCGAACTCGACCGATGTTGTGTTTTCCAACATAGATATCGCTGGAGGCAGCGTGAGCAAGAACCCTGCTAAGAACACTGATGGGTATGTAGTGTTAAATTACTCCAAGTAACATGATGCTAACTCTCCGGTAGTTGGGACACATACCGCTCCGACAACATCGTCATTCAAAACTCACATATCGACAATGGAGATGACTGCGTATCCTTCAAGCCCAACAGCACCAACATCGTTGTTCAAAACCTGTGGTGCAATGGCAGCCACGGTATCAGTGTCGGCAGCTTAGGCCAATACGTCGGAGAAGTCGATTACGTAAAGAACATTTACGTGTACAACGTTAGCATGTCCAACGCTTCGGATGGCGCACGCATCAAGGTCTGGCCTGGCTCGCCATCCGCTCTTTCGGGCGATCTGCAAGGCGGAGGTGGCTCCGGCGCGGTCTCGAACATCACGTACGACGGCATGGTGCTCTCGAACGTCGACTACGCAATCGAGATCACGCAGTGCTATGGGCAGAGGAACATCACCTTGTGCAATCAGGTATTTCCCCTCCCCCTCCTGCGCTGAATCATATGCTAATAATGGCGACAGTACCCATCCAATCTCACCATCTCCGACATCACGATCAAAAACTTCTCGGGCAAAACTAGCAAGAAGTACGACCCGCTGATCGGCTACCTGGTCTGCTCGAGTCCAAAGGTCTGCTCTGATATTAGGATTCAGAACATCAATGTGACGAGTCCGAGTGGCAAGGATTTGTATGCTTGTGGGAGCATCACTGGGATTGAGAAGCAGGTCCACTGCACGACCAATGGGACTAAGGGTGGAAACTCGTAAATGAGCAATCTTCCCGTAGCACGTAGAAGATTACAACTAGATCGTCGTCATCTACCCCGCCGCAAGCAAACCGAGTGAAGTACTAGGCGCAGGGAATGCCGGCCACATTATCGCGTCGAACCCATACCTCTTACGGACGATCAGCTAGGGCACTTTGCACACTGGACGCCTTACGTCTACATAACGCATAGCAGCCTATTCCTTACGCTCTCTCTAACTGTACACCTCATCCTCCCAATTTCAGTCTCGAATTTAGTCGTCAACCTCACTGGCACGATGTGAGTTTACATGACTTTGAAAAACTCATCAAATGCGTACTAACTTTTGGATGCAGTCAGTTACAAGGGCAAAGCTTTATGAGCGAGATTATCCACAGCGTATCTACCACTATGTGAGCGGACCCCGCAGTGTTCAAGAGCCTTTCTAGGTCCACCGCAAGAAAGACCTCAAGCCGTATAAGAAATACCCCAGAATATATGCTGAACGCAAGTATCAGCGTGTATATGTAAGTACCTAGGAACCGATAGACCAATGAGCTATACTCATCTATTACGTATAAGCTCAAGGTTGAATTCTTGTTCGCACTTCTGTACGAAGTGCAGGACATAATATACAAGTACTCCCTTGTCCATCTCGATTCCATTGAGTTTTAGGCTGGAACCGAGTCCAGGCTGGAAGCGGATCCGACAATGGCTTCCGCTCTATTCCACCAATATACAGGCTAGGCGACAGTGGTAGAACGATGGAAACTTGGTTCTCTTATATTATGTTCGGGCACGATACTTAAAAAGCATAAGATCGTTTCGTTTCACAATCTCGTCCCATAATGAGTTTGAACCAAACCAATTCATCAGCGTTGATTCAAGGTGCAGCACACAATCTGACCAGTTCATATTATCAAAGTTTGAGACCAAATAGCATACATTCTTCAATACCAAATTTTCATTTGTTCCCTCCTTGCGGCCACTAAGTTAATGACCGGTCTCATCTTCTCTATTTCCCGTACGGTCGCACCCTAGGAAACAGAGCATGCTGAGATAATTCCTTGATAACCTTCCAGCATCCACCTTCGTATGCAGCGTTCAAGGTACATTTATCTACTAGGCCCTTGAACTTTCGAACTAGCCAAGCATGTGAAGGCGGCGAATACCCAAATCCCTCCACCGGTTCATCTCTGTAGTATACATATTTGGGAATCATGCGCACGATCTCGAGTTCTAAAGCCAGTTTCTGTGTCACCAGCGTATCAAACGCGGTCCAAGCCTTGCAGTCCCCATCGTTCTGACCGTCCATGCAGACCTCATCATCCCAGTGCAATCCCATGTGCGTGCTCTGGGTTTGAGGAAGAACCCGATTGTTTGGCGCGCTTTGTTGCGGGCTTCTGCTCCGTTGATATCACTATTTTAGCTTTTGGTGGTGATCTCTGTGCTGGTTCAGATTGTGGACTTTTTTTTCTCGGTGCGCTTTTCGTAGTGGCGTAGTCCATTAGATGCGTCTGCGTGATTCTGCTGCGTGTCGTCACCATCTTTGCGATGATTGTACAAACCACGCTGAGGTATATTTAGATCATTGTGCAGTTACGATCGTAATGTAGGGTAAGCTGATCGAGGAAGAAGTCAGATGTACGGTAAGACATGACGTCACTTGACTAAAGCACTGTCCATATTTGGCGATTGAACTGACGTGATGCTCCTGCACTATTGAAGTGACACTGCCTCATGGTTTTCTGGGTGGTTCAAGAACGGTTCACTGTGAAGAGCTGGGAATCAGTTAGGTCACCCACTGTTGAAATTGGGCTGATACGCTGAAATTGTGTATTCTGGATATCTTAGCACCATTAACCCAAACTCCACTACCAAACCTAAAAGACCGAGAGTGAAGGTATCGCAAAGTCAAACCAATGCGCCAAAAGACCTACGCAATAAACGCTATGCAAGCAACCAGCCTCTAGCGCTTCGAACCAAAACCAGACATCTGCTTCTGCACATACTTGGCACCCTCCTTCTTGATGATCGGCATTGCATACTGCTTGAACATGTTCATAGCCTCCTTCTGCCACAGAGGCTGGTCCTTGCCTAGAGCTTTCCCATCGCTCCTGCGACGGTCGCCATAGCGATCGACATCGTCGTGACGACCCCGCCTGTCGCGATCTCTGTCATCGTAGCGTGGGTCGCGTCGCGGCTTATCGAAGAGTTCGTCATATCGGTTGTCGCGATGTCGGTCTCGTCGGTCCCTGCCGTCGCGAGACTTGTCTCTTCGATCTCGGTCGTCACGCGGCCTGTCTCTTCGGTCACGGTCATCATCGTACGGATCCCGACGAGGTTTGCTCTGACGATTATCGGATTTGTAGCCTTCGGATTTATAGCCATCACGGGTCTTACGTCCATCGTCTCGAGGCCGGCGAGGAGGGTAGTGTTCGTCATAGGAATCGTAGGTTTCTTCGCGACGAGGTTTGGAGCGGCGGTCATCTCGACGGGGTTCGCGCCGTGGCGGTGGTGGAGAGTCTGAATCTGATGACGAGTAGGACCTTCGTCGGCGGGGCCGAGGGGGTCGGGCTTCTGCATCTGCGTGAGCATCATGCTGCGAGCCATTGCGTTGAGCGAAGTAACTGACCTCTTGGTGGTGGTGGAGCTGCTGCTGGAGGAGGGGGAGGGGGAGGGGCATCATCATCATATCGCTCCCGTTCTCGCTCCCTGCGCGGACGTCGCTGGTCCCGTCGACTGTCGCGATAGTCGTGGTAATCTCTCTGATTGTTTGCGTCGGGGGCCCATTTTGGCTTCCCGTTCTCGTAGTTATCGAAGTGATAGGTGGGCTCTGCTGTATATAATTAGCAAGACGCAGAGCTTCTCGTAGCAGCAGAATCGTACGCTGTTGCCCCATGGGCGGCGGTGGATACGGTGTCTCGTCGCGTCTGCCCATTTTCGCAAGATGTGGTAAAGGACAGGTGTGTTGGGTCACCCCTTGATGCAGCAGGCGAAGGGCAGACACTTTAAAGCAGTGTGCCTGTGAAACCCTGCTCTGCTGCTCCCCCGGCACACGCGATCGGTGAGGTCATGCGGACGAATAGCCTCAATTCTTAGCGCAAACTTCGACTATAGCGGGGCTGCCCGACCCTTTTGGTGCTCCAGCCTGGCGTGGCATGCCACAACTGGGCTGGGTTGATGTGGGCTGCGGTCATCGTGCATGGCGGGTGGCACTTTGGACGCCGGAGAACATCGCCACACGCAAGCCCTATCGCCCGCTCGACCCCACTGGTCGCCCGGTACCTTTTTCCCCGCACATTGCGTGGGATGAAGACGGAGATCAGGGTCTTTAGTCGGAGGAATAAGTCGAGGCAAGCGGTGTACGTGGTGCTCACGCCGTGATGTGCTGAATGACATGGTGGTGGGGTATGATGTGGGATGAGGCAGCCTAGGATCAGCGAATGTCACGCTTCGATATGAGTCCACTCGTCACCTACACCAGCTCATGATTCCCCGAGTTGATATCGTAAGGAGAGCGGTCATGTAGATCTTCCTAGGCTACCGTCGCAGCACTTGAACGTGGGGGAGCTGAAGCTGGCTACATGACTCGGTCGCTATGTCGACGTCTTCTACCCTATACACCATATTCCAGGAGACACTGAGAGGAATCGGACTGTTTCACTTTCGGGACCAATGCGCAGATCTGATATTTTATCTAGGCACAAATCCAAATATGTATATTATGAGTACCTTGGGGGCCTCCAAGACCAGTGCTTCATTCACCATCTTTGGTGCCTTACGCGCTGTGCCCGAATCTTTCAGCACGGGCAGCAAAATGCCTCACAAGAAGATTCTTTAAGATGATACGCGAAAACTATAAGGAATGGTAAGATACCCGGAGGCTTTCTTTAATTATCATCTAAGGGCAATCACCAATGTCTTTTTGAGACAAACTGTTACGTAGAAAGCCTTGCTGACTTGGCTGTGACATAGAACGCCTCACAGTGCTCAGGTAATGTAGTCTTCTCGTCTCAGGATACAACAGATTTGATAGTATAACGTTACGCAACTAGTGAGCAGCACTACCCTTGACTGCTTAACATACTGTCGACTCCCATTTTGGCCACGCTTTACGTATGGCTCCATCCTCTTATACCCGAAACAGAATTCTGATCCCGTCTCAACACCATCGGTCCTATTCACTGACCTCAAACCCACTTGCAACACTATCTACAACGCGATCAACGGCTCAAAGTTCAGTCTTCTGCCTCTTCGCCGCACGGCCAACCTCCAACAGACGCTGTCGCTTAAGGTTCTGCCTAGCATTCCGCGACAAGTTGTCTGGCGATGTTGCAGGATCCTCAACGACACCAAGTGCGGGATCTAACTTCTGCGCTTCACGACCAGCCTCCAAGAAATCCTGGCGTCGGCGATTCTGCTTGGCGTTGCCCCTCGTGCTGGACAGCAACGTCACCGGATTTCCAACCACATGGTGCATACTCATACCTCCTAGCAGCCTCTCGCATCGGGCCTTCGAGTACGTCAGCAGTGTGATAATCTTCTCCATGCGCTGACTGAAAGTCCAATCGCGCGTCTTGAAAGTTTGCTTCCAGAATTGCGGATCGAAGGTCTGGAGAGCGAATGGGCGGGATCGATGGAGTCCTTCGGCTATCGCAAGGATTTCCCAGCATACGGATTCTCTGTGGGGAGCGGTGTACCAGGATGGATCGAACCAGTGCTTTCTGAACGCAGCACTCGGTTTGTCGAACACATCAGTGAGATTGTTCATACCGGCGAGAAGTCTCCCTGCCCAGTATTGTCGGTGGTCATCGGTGGTGGGAATGCTGGTGTCGTTGGCTGGACAGCGCCAGAAAGGGGGAAGGGCGTTTATGCCGTGGTTGAAGTTATCAAAGTAGACTCCATTGGCTTGCCGGGGTTGACTCGTCTGCTGCACTTGCGATAGGGCTGGAGGTACAACGACTAAAGCAGTGTTTTGCCCATCGAGACGCTGTGAATGTATCAATCCTTCAGATGGTCGGTAGGATCCATCATGAACTGTTGTGAAGCTCTCGCCAAATGATCCAAACATTGTTTGATGCAGCCCAACATCGTTCTGAGGAGGAGACGAGCTGTTGAGGGTAGACAAAGTTTCAAGTTGCTGGGATTCTTGTTCGACGTACAATAAGTTGTCGGCAAGGAATCCAACGTTACCAAAATGCGCGACATTTTGGGGGCTTAGTGAGGTCTGGCTGTATGAAGGTGTCTTGCCATGTGCTTCGGGAGCAACATCGATGGCATGCTCATAAGTGTCCTCGGAAATGAATGGGGAGGACATGGCTTGAGATTGTATCAACTTTTCCGATTGGAGATATATTAAGGTGTGCTTGTTCTTGAGATATATCGGTAGAGAGTGTGTCAGGGGGGTTGAGTGCACGGTAGAGTAGAGTATGCCAGAACTGTTTGGGAGAAGGAACTTACTATTTAAGGTAGCTAGGGGCGGTAAAGCAACGCATGATCTGAGTGAAGGGCGGTAATCACGTGCTCTTCTGTTACCCTGACATTATCAGCTGCAGTGGAAAACATTTCACAAGCAGATTATACAATTGCTTAGAGATGGTCGCGCAATCCAAGGGTTTGGAGAATACCCCAGCAACGAGAACTTTGCCAACTTTGCCAACTTCGTGAACTTTGTAGACTTTACAAACTTTGGAAACTTTGGAAACTTTGGAAACTTTGGAAACTTTGGAAACTTTGGAAAATTTGGGCATACGCTATCGCATACCGGATACAATCATTACCTTTCGGCGATTGATGGTTGTTGAGGCGGTGTTTCCAAAGGAACTGCCCAAATGAACTCATTGTTGTTAACTTATCAGATACACCACTAAGACAGTGCTTCGCCTTTCATAACTCACTACCATGGCCCATTTGAAAGATTAACACATTGTTAGAAACGTGTGGTTATGGGTTTGACTTGGGATTTAATGTAGTGTAATATAGAGAAAGCATAAATATTTCTGGACATTCAACTATTAGTATCTCAATAAGTTCTTTCTTCGCCGTATCATTATTCACGACATGGGATAGCTGCATAGAGTGTTACCGTAAGGGAGCCGTGCACCTGAGAAAGTTCTATACAGTCAAGATTACGTGGACAATTATTAATGAATAATGGACAATCATATTGTATGAGAAAAAAGTGATGTTAATTTCGGAAGATATATAGAAACAATGGTTTCTAGATATATTGCCTTAATAGCTACATGATTCTTTGCGCTCTGGCGCAAAGGTAGCTACATACAAAAAAGAGTTCCAACGTTTTAAATACAAGATCAACCTGAAACACATCGCTATACTTAATGGGGTAGAAAGAAACTAGTTTTCTCACTCATGGTGCCTCCCTTTTTCTATTGGAGAGAATTGGGACCAGCACAACTACTTCTGACGCTTGGATGGAGGCTGAGTTGGCAAATCAGGGTCGTCGAGATGATTGCCGCGACGCTTTCGACCACGGACGGTTTCTGGTGAGGCGATTTGAACAAACTGGTTTGCTGCACCAGAATTGTTCGCGAGGGGTGTGCCACGGCCACCCATGTGTCGGGGACGTTGAACACGTGTGTGTGGAGGAGCAGAAGGGCCAGCCGTTGCTTGACCAGAGAAGTCACCATAACCAGCTGGATATGATATGTTCCCGGGCGTAGGTGCGCCATAGTTGGCGGACCAACCTTGTGGAGGAGCCGGGTACTGGGCGATTGGTTGAGCTGGGTCAAGCAGCGGCTCTTGAACTTCCTCGTTTTCGTCCTCATCCTCATCATCTGAATCTGGAAGTATGATAACCTTCCGTTTACCCTTCCCCTTCATCGCTTTCCGTCCCTCCACAAGAGTTTTCTGTCGCTCGGCATTGAGCCTCTTGTTGATCTTAGTCTGCGAGATCAACAGATCTGGCGTGGCGACACACATCTCAAGACCCTCAAAGTCCATCATTGACTCGCAGCGAAACTTGGACAACCTCAAAAGTTGGCATATTTGAGTTATGCGGCCAGAGAACAGCAGATTCCGTGATGCCCTCGTAAGCTTAAGCTTAGCCTGGTCATATACACCCAAGCTGATAGGGCCCCGTGTGTGAAGAGCTTCCGCGATCCCTACCATTTTCCAGCAAACAATCTCAATTTGCTGCTCAGTGTAGGCAGAACTCCAGTCTGCCATCTTCTCGGAGTCTATCGACTCACTGTTGTCCAAGAACGCAGCGAAAAGTTGGCGAACGTAAAGCCCACGACGCTCATCGTCGTGTGGAATACTGTCATCGCTTTGAGGAGCTTGCCAATCGTAGGGAACAGTTCGGTTAGCCTTGTAAAGCAGGGCTTGTGCGCCATTGGCGAATTGTAGACGTGGGGTAGAAACTGGTGGCAATGGCGTCACAGTCTCTTCGGACTCAATACCTGGACCGCCTGGCGATGGCAAGTCTACTTCAGGTTCTTGGGAAGGTATTGAGTGCGATGCATTCCTATCATGGTGGACTTGAAGCAAGTCACTGGGAATGGCGTCGTGGTCTTGCTGGAGAGGTACATGACTTCCTTGAGGAAGCTCCTGGTACGCCTGAGAAACAGAGGTGAGCTTTGCGCGTTTCGAAACAGATGGGACTATGGGCTCGTCTCGAGGGCGTTTGGCTCTCTTCTTCGGGATGGTTACTTGAGGAGCAATAGGCGTACTGTGTCGGGGAGTGGGACCGAGATCGGACTGCGCAGGTGATGTGACAGGTCCACCAGAGTTTTGAATAGATCGCGAACACGGCTCTCTGACGGCTTGCGGTAGTCCATAGAACTCCTCCAAAGACATGAAAGGTTCAGGAGATGTGCCAATCGTTGGGAAGGATGTTATGAGTTGATCAAACTCAGCTTCTGGGTCATTGTCCGCTCGGTTTAATACACGATCTGTAACGAACTTCGATATAATATCCGAACGTAGCGTCTCATCAGGCGGCTGCAGCTGATAGTGGACACCAACTGACGTGAATTTGGTGTTGAAGATGTCGATCCCACCGTCCAATTCCTCATCATCTTCCACTTCATCAGTAAGATCAAGGGGTGGTTCTACAGATGACTTATGGTTGCTGGATGGTTCCTGTAGATCAGGTGTCGTACCCGCGTACGCAAATTCAGTGGGTAGTTCCGAGAACGACAGATCTGCGTTTGAGTTCAGGGCGTTGATTGTGTCGTACGCAATGTTTTCAGGGTCAAAGTTTTCGGGATCGAAGTCGATGCTCGCGTCATTGGGAGCCACGTTGTTTGGATTACTATCATCAAGGCTTTCAACAACCGACTGGTTGACATCGAAATCGCCGAAATCGATGTTGTAAGGATCCGCGTTGTAAGGACCCAAGTTGTTCAAGTCGTCGATAGTGAAGCTGGCGACAGTAAATTTGCCGAAATCAATAGTAGAGAAATCGATATTGTTGTAGTCTATACTATCGAGATCGGGCTGCCCGGCTGGATCAATGTTGTGTGAGCCCGTCGACGGGAGATTGCCGCTGGAGTCCTGCTGAGACATAGCGGTGTTGGAATCTCAGAAATGTGAGGGTTGAGGGTGATCGAGTGACGAAGCAGACGGTCAGTCTGCCTGTTCGAGTTTAAGGTTGGCGAGTTGGCGAGTTGAGTTTATAACAGATGTGAGTTGATGTGGAATGGTCGTATGGAGTGAGGAAAGTCCAGATGGACTGCGGCGCATTAGTGTACGGGCGGGTCACCGAATCTCTGAGGCCATTCGCACGGACCACAGCCATGAACAGGGGAAACATCCGTTTTAGTGCTCGCTTAAAGCCATAGCAACCCCGTGGTGAAATGTTAGTCACGTGCCAGTGCCCACGAGGTCGGGCTTGGCACAGGTGCCCAGTGTTCATACAAAGTGATATAGTAGCATAAATACGCAGGTTTGAAAAAGAAAAGCGATGTGATGTGATGTAGAAAAGGACGCGTCGATCGATGCGACATGTATGGTGAGCGCGACAGACACAGCACACTGTACGCTTTGGCTGTTCAAGCCATGGGATAAAAAGTGGACATTCTCTTCAATCTAGATATGATATAGGGATAGTACGAAATCTTCGTAGTATGAGCGGAACATCCTCAATAGCGAGACGAAGTATGCGACTCCTAGATTACTATAGTATAAGCGGAGAACAAGCTGGTATATACTAGAAGAAACCAAGCCGTAACGTTTAAGTATCATTCCATGTGACTTCACAGCAAGCATAACTATAATAGCCGCGCGTAGAGCAGCGGATTGGAAAGTATAAACCTAGCGAAACACACGAAGAGTGCAAAGGTTTGTGTTTTCACTGTGAAATCTGCATACATTAGACAATCTCTCTCTCTCGAAATTGCCAAAACTCCCAAAGTGTTGTGGAGCAGAGATGTGATCCGATCAGACGGTTGTGATCCGATCACGTGAACAGTAGGATGAAGTTAGATCAGATGATTAAGCATCTGATCTGTTCGAGTATATAGTCTAAGCTTTTCAGCTCATTTTCTTATGTAGTGATCAATACAATCCTTACCCCGAAGTTTGTTCAGCAACAACACAAAGACAGTCTACCGAGAGTCTAGTACTGGATAATCATACGGTGGCGATGGCTCAGTCTGACGCGGCCGCCCAAACGGTTGCTGCACAGGCGATGCAGACAACCCAGGAGAATATCCTTGATAGTCAACGACCGGTGCTTCCTGCCGGTAAAACCCATGTTGGCCAGAGCCTGGCGGAGCACCAGGGGTGTAAAAGGCAGTTGACGTCGTGCCGTACGGTATTGGGGACGGAGCAGTGGGCGGCATTTTGTCATGAGGTGACTGAGATGAATTTGCAGCCATGGGGGCTGCAACAGCATCGTTGATCATGGCTTGGTTTGCAGGACTCTTTTGGGCGCGTCGACGTCGGAGGAAGATCACGAGGAATATGGCGGCTGAGATAGCGAGAATGCCTACACCAACTCCGATTCCGATTTGTGCGTCCTTGCTGAGGCCACCTCGACTGCTATTTCCTAAGGTTATCTCATCATCTATCGGTGTTTGTTGGCTACCTCCTCCTGTTGTTCTTGTTTCATCAATGACCTTCGTGGTTGACGTCTGCCATTCCGTTGTCAAACTCGTTTCGGTCGAAATGTAAGATACTACAGATGTAAGTTCCACCGCGGAAGTGATGGTTGTGGTGACGGTGTCAAAAACGACTGTCGACGTCACAATACGTTTCTCCTTGTGAACGCAGCGGTGTTTTGTCGTGGTAGGTTTTGGAGTTATAGGTACATGGACTGATTGCTGAAGTTTTGGTTTCGCCGTTCGACTTGATAATAAGAATGTCTCCTTTGGTTGATTAGGGATGTTTGCTGGGTTGTTTCTGGCCACTGTTGGTGCTCGCTTCGCAATAGTACTGATTGTTTTCTGACAACAAATGAGCTCAATAACTTATCAAGTCAGAAGGCTAAATACCGTATCTCCCGCCGTTACCATAGCTGCGCTAGACACCGTGATTACCGTAATACGAGAAACAACCTCGGTCTTCGTTGTCGTAGCAGCAACGGATAAAATGGTGGTACGGTAGTTATATAAAAACAACGTCTTTGTCTCATGGATGAACCACGTGGCACTATGACATTTAACCAAGATCCAATGTCTCGATACACACTGTAGAGGGTACTTACGTGGACTCTTTGCAACCCGTATTGCCATCACATACATCGCCTGACAAACAACACCAGCCTGTTTTTTTCACAGTATTTGTACAACACACCAAATTACAGCTGCAGAAGGCTCCTGGATTATCCGGGAAACAGTTGCTAGGGCAGTCTTGCCTCTTGAAGATGTTTGGTACCGGCCATTGAATCGGCATCAGACCCTTACCAGTGCTAATGGGCGAGAAACCGTCCCCGAATTGTCCTGAAAAATCATCGGAAAGGCTTTCGTTTAAGGCGAGGCATTCTGAATCGAGGCTTAGAGATTGTTGAGATACATCATCGTTTCTGGCGGGTATATGCACTGCTGTCGTGGTGTGTAATAGTGTACTAAACACTACAAGCAAGGTAACGAGCAACGAGCGATGTATGAAAATCGCCATTTGAGACTATAAACGAACTTTGTGAGCGCAAAAAATCTAGCGGAACACGTCTTTATATCGGGCCTCAATCTCTCAGCCTCGTCGCTCCGCCCCCACACATTTCCCGCCTTCCAGCTCGGGAAACTGCAATGGGATGCATGAGGCTGGATTCAAGAACGTTCAATTGGTTCACAACAAGCCTATTTACCACTTCTACGATAACTGAATGATCACTCGCTAAAGCTTGTCGACCCTGCCTCGGCAGCCAATCATCCCCCCTTTCAAGCGAGTTGCATGTTGCACGAGGCTTTGACTTTTGCACTTAGATTTTGTGGAATGATATCTTTGTGAACGCGCGGCCTAGCTGCACGATGAGTTATTTCCAGGCGGTGGTTCTCCTGTCACTGTAGCTAGTAAACCCTTCACCTTTTGAAGCTTGAGGAGTTCTATTCGAATCCTTCGATATTACTACGAAGCTGCCTTGCATTTTTTAGACTAAAACCCCATGCATTCGCTATCCGGTTTAGCCGTACTTATCGTGTGAGATTATCACGTAGTTCTGAATATCTCTACAGCTCTATACTAGCAATGGCATGATAGATGCTGTAAGGGCGAGGGGGTATCTGAAACCATTTTTTCGTCTCGTCCATGTCGGTCCTCGAAAGCTCGAGTTCTACTCACTTGTAAAACCGGCAGTGGTAGTAGAAATGTGGTTCAACAAGCCACTCCCGGCTACGCGAATCATGCAATAGTCTCCGGCCAGCCGTTGCCTCGAAATTGGAGGCACAAACGGGTACCATGAATAGTAGTGCGGGAACTTCCAAGTCTCGCTCACTGAATCATACCGGCCCCCCTAAACATCTTGAAAGCCTCCCACCACCCCTCTTCAGGCCTCCTCTCTTCTTCAAACCCAGCACTTCTCAACCTCTTCAGGCTCAACTGCCGATCAAACGTCAACCAATGGCCATAGCTGTCTAGTTGGGCGTAATTCCAGATATCTATACCCTTCATACCAGCTGTTTTCCACTTCTCCTCATGCAGCTTGATGAAATCACTAGGTTTATCATCAGAAGAACTAGAAGTGGGCAGCGGCACAACGCCCTTAAGCCCAAAGAACGACGTAATCTGTGGCCAGCGCTCACACATCGACCCCGGTGTCGCAGAGTCAGCAACATTAAATATCCGCTCTCTAAACTCGTTTGGATGAAGCGAAGCGAAAATAGCCACTCTGGCCAAGGTAGACGCACTCGTCTCTGTGCACAAACTCTCATACCCCTTCATCACGCCTGGAAAAGGGATTTCCGCGCCTTCGCCGTGCACGAGGCGGTAGGTCGAGAGGTACATGGCCCAGTGACCGGCGAGCGAGAAGCCAGAGCCGTTGGGCGTAAAGCCTATGATTGCGTCGGGGATGACTTCGCTCCAAGTCCACGCTGCGTTTGCGGATTCTGCTGTGAGCATAGCGCGGTATTGGGGGTAGGATACGGTTTTTGCGTAGTCTTCTGGGAGTTGGTCGGCCATTTCTTCGACGAGTGGGGCGGTGAAAATGCCTTCTGGGCGGTAGATGCCATAGCCCTGTATAAGTGGGTTAAGACGAGATAGTAGGATTTGGGACAAGGCAAAGGATTACCCGTGTGCCCCCTGGATAAACGAAAAACTTGAAGTTTGACGATAGGTTTTTGACTACGCGAACGACGCGGCGCATCATACCGACGTTGATCTCGACTTCTTTTTTTGAATCGGGATTGTCCTTGAACGCTACCACATAATCAACTTCTATTCATCATATCATATATGTCGCATATAAATACCAAAGTAGTAGACATGGCTGATCGACGCAACGTCTGGCACCTTGTCTCTTAAGAGATCTTCAAATTCCCTGTCACTGCAGAGCAAGTTTACACCAGAGATGAGTCCCAGCTCAGGATTCCCTGTTGCAGAATCCGGCCAGAACGAATCTTCTAGTTCCAACGGCCTGTTCACGAGGGCGGAGACTTTCCGGAATGGCGATGGTGACGGATAAGGCTGGAGGAGTTGATCGACGACTGCCCAGCCAATGAGGCCTGAAGCGCCAATGACAAGAGCGTGGTGACCGGAGTTGGTAGTCATATTCGGATTGCAATGCGCAGATGAAGGAGTACAGAGATACTTTGATGCTCTATGTAGTCGAAGGAGAGTGAGTGAGAATGAGTCGACGGAACGTCGGGATGATCAACCTCGCTAAGCCTGATATGGCCAAACCAGATACTAAAAATGGGCGTTCCAAGGCTCGTCGCTAGTCTTTCCAAACAACTAGCGGCTAAGGAGCCGTTGAACATTCCACATGACAACTTTGCTTTCAAGATGGTAGATGTAGAGCACAAGCATATTGAAAGAGCTATTGCATAGAAAAAACCGAGGTCCAGCTTCGTGGAACGTAAGCCCGTATACTTCAAAAAACCCTATAATTAATAAGACCAAGTCAGAGAATAGAGTCGATTATTTCATTGAAGCTATAAGGAGTGTATGGGGTGAGGAAAAGGCAAAACCACCTAACGATAACGGTGGAACGACTGCAACCAGACAAGGAGAAACCAAAAGAGAAACGAGCGGAATGGACGATAACATCCTGTGTGCGTCTCATGCCACCAGTTTGTTCAACCCCCACATGTCGAATACAGACTTGTCGGGAACGGGTCGGTGAGCCATCACTCATCTGAGGGCGTTGACTCAGTGAGCGCCATTCTGTATGTCGGATGGTTAGTACACGATCACACCGTGGATACAACAGCAGCCCGAGGCTAGGCAATCGTAACCACACATGCAAGCTCGTAGATCCGAGCCAGCATGGGGTACTCCGGGAATGCGGACAAGGAGATCTCCGGGGTGGCCAACAGGAAGGGCCCGGGGGATCTTCTCAGAGCTTGTAGAAGATAATCCAAGTCCCCTGGTGCAGTCGTGCAGACAGCCTCTATGACTGCACGCGCGACCCAGGGGCCCAAAAGACCATTTTCTACCAGCTCTCAAAAGAGCCCCGGGGTACTTCCTGTCAGCCACTCTGGAGGTCGCCTTGTCGACCTTCCCGGAGTCCCCCATGTCGGGGAGCTAGGGGTTGGCACATTAGTTATCATCTGTATGTTTGAAAAGTCAAAAGATAGGGGGTCGCGAAACTTTACCATGAGGAGAGGATGGGCGTTGAGGCCGATATGCTCAACAATGGCACGGACAACGCTGAGAGCATCGTCGCCGACGTCGCGACAAACAGCACCAATGACGGCCTCGACGGTAGTGGCTACCATTTTAGCGGACGCTGAGGACGCGTTTTTGAGGATGCAAGCATCCACTCCGAGTTCAAATCCAAGAGAGGCGAGATGGTGATTTCCCAGCATTTCGTTTCGGATCGTGGTCCAATCTTCAGGAGTAAGGGAACGGCCTGTCGGGTATCAGCGAAGTACATGTCTTCGTTGACGGTGGTGTAATACCTTGATCATCGCGATGTTCATCCCACATCTGGCAAAGCACAGTCATGAGAATGGAATCGCCTAGAATGGCAAGATTCACATTCTTTGGGACAACAGAGGTTGTCCCATCGACGCAGACACTGAACAGGGGAGCGACCATTTGTAGAGCTTCTGCGCAGATAAACTTGTTGGTAAAAGTGTACCCAAAGATCTGTTCGATAGCAGCGATTTCGGAGTCGACGTTTAGCATGGTTGTTGATATTCTGAAAAGATGGGGTTTAAAGTAGTGGACTGTAGAAGTGATGGAGGTAAACTCCAAACTACGCATACATATATATATTAGCAAACTGCTGCTTGACCGGTAAATCCTCAAGGCTGTGGCCCCCACCATTCCAACTTACCAGCCACTGCTGTGTGACATGATGTAGTCTACCAACCACCGAACCAGAATGTCGGAAAGATTTTGGATCCGCCGAAGGAACAAGTGTGTTAATACTCCTAGGGCTGCAGCGCGTTCCAGGCCGAGTCTCGATCTAGGTTGTGGCCCATGATCGACGTCGCAGTGGCCGCGGCCAAGTCTCAGCTTCCAAGTTCCCGTCGCTTAGCCATTTTGGGCATGACCATCAGCGACGTCACTGCGCATATAAAAACCAAGGATAATAAAAGACCGCGCCAGTTAGCAGGCAGTACTAAGACGAGAAAGCACTCTCGCATTCTCCACTACCGCACCGGAAAAAGGGCGGATCGGATCGCACGGAAGACTTTACGGCATAAATGGCCGACTATGAAGAGCTCGCGGTATATAACGTCTATGGTTGCCGCAGTGGGGACTTTTGCTGACTCGTAATCAACACACAGGAGCTTGGATTTGAAGGACTCGACAAGGTGACAGACAAGTATCACGACAAGGTGTACGACCACCTACCAGCGTGGAAGAGGAAACAGATGAAGGAAGACCAACAAGACCAACAAGGCCAACAACGGTCCCAGCAAGGCCGACCAGACCAACAGCAGCGCTCGTCGCAGCATCCCGACAAAGGGTATTCGCGCCCTCGCTCTGCACCCTCCAGAGACGAGAACCGCTACGAAGACGATGCAGAGATGTACGCCCCAGACCGCAGACAAGAGCGCGACTATCGCGACGCAAACGACGAGCGCTCCTACTATAACGGGCCCAATCCAGGCGCAGTAGTGCCTCGCGATCGCGACGAACCCAACAAAGCACGCGGCTTTGAAGTAGCAGTAGGTCATCGACTCGACGATGCTGAAGTTTGAAGCTAACGATATGGACAGCCATACCAGGAATCCCCTCAGCGAGGCTACGATCAGGGCCGCGCACGCCCCACGCACCAACGACGAGGCTCATCGTGGTCGCCGCCTCGCTCCAATAAACACGAGCGCGACTCACACAAGCCGCGCGCGCGCTCCAGGTCAAAAGATAAGCAACATCGCATTATAGCGACTGTCGGCGGGGCACTAGTTGGTGGATTTGCGGGCAACCAGGCTCTCAAAGGCAAGAAGTTTGATACTGTTGCGACGATTGTGGGGGCGATTGTAGGTGGTGTTGGTGCGAGAGAGGCTTCAGAGCTCTGGGACGATAGGAGGAGGAAGCGAGACGGGAAGGAGGAAGAATGGGAGGGTGAATTTGGGGATGATCGAGGGGGTGATAGAGGTGATCGTAAGAAGGACGATAGAGATGGTCGCGACGATCGAAGGAGAGATGACAGAGATGGCCGCGACGACCGTAGGAGAGATGACAGAGATGGTCGCGACGATCGCAGGAGAGAGGATAGAGACGACCGCGGCGACCGAAGGAGATACTGATAGAGGAGCGGTTTCAGTGAAGACGGACATGGCTTACTGATGAAGACCAGGTTATCTTGGGACTGGCACTCCAGGGCGACGATTTTTTATGAAAACAGCCTTTGGGAGTCTGCATTGGACGGGCGTTTCAAAGATAGGGCTAGGCAACACGATACCTCTTGACGATTAACGAATGCAATGAATGACATGGCTGGACAGTGATTGACTGCTTGAATGACGTGCTCATGCGGCTACTTCTGCGGCTTGCGACATGCGACATGATCTGAGGCGAAGGGGCCACGCAGCGGTTCAGGTGGTGGAGGGGAGACACAAGGGGCATGGGAGCTAGCTAGCGTTCGGAGGAGCAGCCCTGGAGGCCTGTGCGGTTTCGAGAAGCCTAGTGGAAGGTTGGAAGGATCCACTGGATGCCTCGCTCCCGCAAGACCAAGCCCGTCCCGCAGCTCATCCATCGTCTCGCCGAGCACCATCACGCTTCAGTCCAACACCAAGAAAGAGAGAGAGAGAGAGTAGTAATAATAGCACCACGTACAAGACGCCGCAAAACCGCCGCGGCAGCCTTCCGACAGGCACGTCGATCAGGAACGCCCGCTTGCCTCGCTTCAGCGCTACCTACCACACGACTACTACTATACATTCCGCCTGCGCTGCTTCTGCAGCCCACTCTTTCGTGCAGCGCAGCAATCACCGCCAAAAAAAAGAACTATACTTGCTAGCTGCGACAGTCATAGACGCACCACCATGAGCTGAGGACTGCCTGGCCATCGCACGCAGATTCCCAAGCAAGCTCGAGCTCTGTCCACACACACACCTCAGAACGCTGCCCCTCGCTCCCACAACCCGACGTTTGCCTCGCTCCCCGCCAACAACACCAACACCACCACCACTGCCACCACCATGCGCAGATACAGGCCTGGCGGCGGCCCTGTGCGGGCTCATGGCGGTGTAGTCGTGCCTGATCCTTTCGCCATGGTGCGCGCATACGACAGTGACTCCAATCCCGCTCGCCCCATACGACCCTCCCCTCTCGCAGCCTCTACCATCCAGGGTCTACCGCTGGACCTGCTCGACCGCCTGCGCTCCTTCCCACTCTTCCAAGCCGCGCCCGACTCGTTCCTCACAGCCGTGGGCTTACACCTCAAGCCGCAGCTCCACCAGCCGCATGACACAATCCTCACAGAGGGCGAGACGGGCAAGGCCATGTACTGGCTCGTTCGCGGTGCTGTGCGCGTAACCTCGCGGGACCAGGAGAGCACCTTTGCAGAGCTGAAGCCTGGTGCTTTCTTTGGCGAAATTGGCATACTCATGGACATTCCCCGCACCGCTACCATCATCGCCAACATGCGCTCGCTCGTGGTGCGCTTGAACAAGGAGGATCTCATGAAGGAGCTGCCCAAGTTTCCAGAAGTGGAAAGAGCCATCATGCACGAAGCACAGGAGCGTCTAGCCATTTTACAGCGTAAGAAACACGAACTGGGTGGCAAGCGGCCCGCAATCCCCGTTCGCCAAATCACACGCAAGCGAGACCGCGAGGACGGAGACGTGGTCATGGCTGAGGTCGGTACCTTGCGCGATGGGGAAATCAATGCCTTCAAAAAGAGAAAGTCTCCGAGTCCAGGTCTCACCGACGCTATAGCCCACAGCGCGTTCGGAAGCGGAAGTGTCCATGTGAGACCGCTGCTCAAAGAACTGCCACTCTTTTCTGAGCTGCCTGACGACATCCTCCACTTCATCGGCATGCGTGCACAGCCTCGTTCCTTTGATCCTTTTACTGATATTATCCAACAAGGCACCCAGGGACGTGATGTTTTCTTCATTGTCAAGGGCGAAGTCGAAGTCATCAGCAACATGAACCCACCAGAGCAGAATGGCCACCCATCCCCTAACCTTGGCCGCAGGAAATCAATAGCTGCCGGGGAGCATCACTTCCAGGAAGTCAAGGCTCGACTCAGGCCCGGACAATACTTTGGCGAAGTAGTCAGTCTTTCCCTCGCACCACGCCGCACCGCTACAGTCCGCACCGTCTCGTCTGTAGAATGTCTGATGATCAGTGGCGACACGCTGAACCAGCTGTGGGAGAAATGCACCCCAGACGTGCGCAGGCAGGTCGAATCGGTGGCAAAGGAGAGGCTGCAGACGGCCAAAGATGACGATGTGCGCATGTCGGACGCGGACAGTACACCCAAAATCGACGAGCTAGCCATTGCAGACATCATCATACCACGGACACCAAGACGCAAGAGGAGCGTGCCAAGCGTCACATTCAACGATATGCCTAGCACCATCGAGAGCCCAGTGACACCGACCCGGAGAGACGAGAAGATGATGGAACCTTTCGACCCGGATCCTTTCCTAAACGTTGATCTCGACAACGTAAGATCACGATCACGGAGAGGGTCACTTGCGCCTCCTACCCCAGGCTCCACTACAGACTCGCCTTCAAGCCCGTCGAAGGGCGAATTCCCGAAATCACCCTCACCGAACGGATCGCCGCTGTCCCCATCCCCACTTCCAATACCGAAGCACACGTCTACCCCACCAGAGGCCCCTGTTGACTTCAAGCGCCCGCGAATGATAAGACGACCGAGTAGACATGGGAGAGGGAAGCTTCCGGATCCGTTATTGACCAAGGTCTTTCAGAATCTGGACATACCTGAGCTGATGAAGCTGCGGGAGATATCTTGGCATTGGCACAGAGTCATCTCAACATCACCAGATATCCTACACAATCTTGACCTCACCAAGTACAACCGGAAGGTGACAGACCGAACACTAGTAGATATAATATGTCCATTCGTCGGCAGCCGACCACAGTACATCAACATCAGCAACTGCTTCCACGTAACAGATGAGGGTTTCGGCGAACTGGCAAAGACTTGCGCCCCTAATGTCAAGATATGGCGCATGAAGAGCGTGTGGGACATCACCGGCCCTGCTGTCCTTGAAATGGTGCAAAAGGCCAAGAATCTAGAAGAGGTCGACCTCAGCAACTGCAGAAAAGTGGGCGACAACCTCCTCGCTCGCGTCATCGGCTGGATCGTTCCCGAACTACCCCCACAAATGGCCTTGGCTCACGCCCAACACCAAGCTCAGATTAACAACCGCCGCCAGAACGGCCAAAAGGCCGGAGCTAATGGCCAACAACCAGTTCCCCAACCCATACCACCGGGCACCGTCGTTGGCTGCCCCAAACTTCGACGCCTGACTCTCAGCTACTGCAAACACATCACCGATCGGTCCATGGCGCACATCGCCGTCCATGCAGCCAATCGCATCGAAAGCATTGATTTGACTAGGTGTACAACAATTACAGATGTGGGCTTTCAGCATTGGAGTGTTTATCCGTTTCCGAGATTGACGAGGCTGTGTTTGGCGGACTGCACGTATCTGACTGATAATGCGATTGTCTATCTTACGAATGCTGCCAAGGGGTTGAGGGAGTTGGACTTGGTAAGCCAAAGACACTGGACCAGAAGGAATTTCTTTTGAGGGTATTGGTTGCTAACTATTGTACAGTCATTCTGCTGTGCACTCTCCGACACAGCGACCGAAGTCCTCGCCCTCGGCCTCCCTTCTCTAACGCACCTCAACCTCGCCTTTTGCGGATCCGCCGTCTCAGACACGTCGCTGCGATGCATCAGTCTCCATCTCCTCGAGCTCCGCCAACTCTCTGTTCGTGGCTGCGTTAGGGTAACGGGCACCGGTGTCGAAGCGGTTGTCGAGGGCTGCAGAGATCTAGAACTGTTTGATGTGAGTCAGTGTAAGAATTTGGGAAGATGGTTGGATGCGGGCGGTCCCGAGGCGGTGAGAAAGAAGGGGAGGAACGTCAAGTTCGAAACAGTTGCAGATGGGCGGTGGAGAGTTGGACGGAAGGACTAGGGACTCCCTAAAGAGACGTGATTTGACGATGTAAAGAGCTGGAGCGTTCTGTCCTTGGAAACCGCACATTGGAAACGCTTCGACACACAACCACAACGAGACGATATCTACTATATGCATTGCGAGCGAGCGAGCGTACGAGGCGTTCTGACATATATTTTGAACCTAGAAGCCAGGAAGCTTGAGTACATTTTTAACGCACCACATGCGTGGGCGGCAACGGATGATATAGATTTTGCACGTTTTTCTTCTTCTCTCTTTTTGGTTGCTTTGCTTTCAAAGATACCAGCCCAGCTAGCTAGCGATGTTCCGTCTTTTTATATAGCGTCGTATGTAGTCCTGTATATAACATGAAATGACATGGAGATTATCACTCGTTTTTCACAAGCACATGCGTTTAGTCTTCTCGACTGTTTGTCTAGTACGAAATGAATAGAGTGGGAGGTAGGAGATTTTTTCAAGGGGCGAGGGACGAGAATGACATTTAGCACCGCATGCACTGTGTCAGTATGAGGTTTGCAGTGAGCGATGTGATCTGATTCAACATGATTTGATTCTAGAAGATGCATGATTATAGTAACTAGTCTTTCGCAACGGCTTGCGCCAGACGATGTGTTTAGGCTTCTCGATATCGATGCACATCAGTCAGGCTATAGCGATCGGGGGGTCTGGACTGGTTGTCTTGTTCGAGATCGCATGCGTCCTTTCTTCCTTGTGTGGTAGACACTTGCTTGACCGTTTACTGTCCTCAGAGATGATCAACTGATCCTAGACCCCATCTATACCGTCCGATTAGTAAAGTCTCCATTCCAAGCTTGACCTTGAAGTCGGGTTGGTCGCTTTGCCCCCAGTGGCAGGGTGCATGTCCTGCAGCCCGCATGCACTGCAAACGACCAGCCTTGTAGCGTCGAGGGATAACAACATGTATCCTATCCTGGCTCACGGTTCCGTCTTCTTTTCACCCAAACCTCTTTCCATACCCCTTGACAACCCCATCCAGGATCCCGCGTAACCTTTTGCAGCCCTCAATCCCTACCGCTAGCATACCCTCCATCCTCTCCATCCGCACCCTGCTCTCCATGATGCAGACTGCAACATTGTCGCTCTCGCCCAGAGTACCCACCGTCAGGAAGGGCAGCTCCAATTCTTCTTGATTATTCAGATCCAGCAGCGGATCATCCGAGGACGCATTGTCGGCAGCGCTGGACGAAGCGGACGAGGCAGCGGTGCAGGCAACCAGGTAGTCAGACATGGGTATACCAGCATCGATAAGCGCGAGAGTAGAAGCGTTTATACACGCAGCGAGCAGCGAGCCATCCTGGCTAATAATATGAATGTTGAGCGTAATAGTCGAGTGCGGGTAAATATGCAACAACAGCACATTTTCAAACGCCGACCGCAGACAATGCTCCATCTCATTTGTCCGCTTGTCGCTTTTGCGCTTCCGTCGCTCCACGCCGCTGAAGCCTGCAAAGTTTATCTCCACTTCTACTTTGGCTTGGCTGCCTGCTCCGCCTCTTTGGCCTGCTTGTCGCCCTTCTGCGGGGCCTGTGACGGATACGAGGATCTTGGTGTTGCCCATTTCGAGGTACGAGGAGCCATCTGCGGCGGCTTGGGTGGAGATTTGCGCGTGTATGCGCCGGAGTTCGTTCCAGCGGCGGCCGTCGAGGCGCAGGAGGGCGAGGGAGTAGGTGGATGTGTCGAGCGGCATTGTAGGTTCGGTATGGCGTTCAATGCTTCGTGGACTATCTAATAACGAAGATAGAAGTCAAACAGATCTTTATATCAGCGAAAGTGAAAGGCGTTCGAGCTTGTTGGCTGTCTATGCGGGGATGTATAACCATGGGAAGCTTCATCGATATTTTGGGTGGTCCAAGCTTGAGCGCAGGGATTCTGCAGCCAAATAGCCCCGCTGTGCACGTGAGAGCGTGTTAGCGCGATTGACCATCACTCCTCAGTCATCCCAACCATGGTCGTGGTTACGAGTAATGTTACAATACTACCACACTCTCAACACACTTTGATCTTCGACTCAACCGTCGCGTCTCTGTAATGTCTTTCAATCGAGACAAGGCCCACCGGAGAGCGTTACGCGCCTTTGCAGAGAGCGAGGCAAAGAGTGACAGCGACAGCGATGGCGAAGAAGGCCTTGACATCATTGAATCAACACGTAAAGGTTTGGATCTCTCACAGTATATTGACGGTCAGTCGATAGTATCTTTCGCAACGTGGAGCGAAACGCTGACCTACTGTAGTTCTCACACAGACCCAAACTCAATCTCAAGATGCTGATGGCGAACATAATGCGCATGACGGGAAAGAGGATATCACGGATGATGAGGTTCAGGTTCACCTAGAACGCCCACGGTCACATAGCAAGACTGTTTTCAACTCAGGGTCCGAAGATGCAACCAATGACGAAGAGCAGGATTTACAGTCCGACTGGTCTGATGAAGATACCAGAGCAGTATATCAAAACTGGAAAGAGCGCAAAACCTTGAAGCGCAAGCGCGCTGCCGTTGAAACGAACAGGATCCGCGCGCAGAAGAAATCCAAGGTTGCCGCAGCTTCCAGTATTGTCGGTCGCAAACCTCCACCCAAGCAGAAGCCAGGTCGTGGCCCTTCAGGATTCAGTACGGACTCAGTAGCTGAGGATGCGGACGCTGCTTCGACTTACCTAGACGATCCAATCCCCGACTACGTCACGTCGCGTCAGAGAATCCTGAAGAAGCTACATGAAGCTGGACTGCGGTATCCCCCTAGCTACCGAGACGTCGACTTCTCTGACTCTGAGACTGAAGAAAAACCTAAGCTCGACAAGGCAATCAAACCGCAGCAAGCCTACAAAGACATAAAGCTACGCGAGTCTGGTGGTGTTATACCAGCACCAATTGCGCGTTGGTTACGAGACTACCAAGTCGAAGGTGTCCAATTTCTTCATGAGCGCTTTGTCAAGCAGACGGGTGCCATCTTGGGCGACGATATGGGGTTGGGAAAAACTATCCAGGTTATCGCCTTCCTGACAGCAGCATTCGGCAAGACCGCTACGAAGCGCGATGCGAAGTGCATGCGCAAGATCCGACGTTTTGGCGACAACCGCTGGTATCCTAGGGTACTCATAGTCTGTCCCGGGACACTGATGCAGAATTGGGAAGACGAGCTGTCAAAGTGGGGGTGGTGGGAAGTCTACAGGTACCACGGTTCCAACGCTGCAGATCGAAAAGGCGTCCTTGGAGCAGCTGCGAAGGGAATGCTGGAGATTATGATTACTACCTATACGACGTACCGGAATAACGAGAGCGAAATCAACACTATTGACTGGGACTGCGTTATTGCTGATGAATGTCATCAGATCAAAAGCAAGAACGCGGAAATCACCAAGGCGATGAACAAGATCAATGCGCTCTGTCGTATTGGGCTTACGGGCACGGCCATACAGAATAAGTACGAAGAGCTCTGGAATCTGCTAAACTGGGCGCGACCTGGCGCATACGGCTCAGCTCAGGAGTGGAAGCAGACGATTAGTCTTCCGCTCAAGTTAGGTCAAGCCCACGATGCTACGAACGCGCAGCTCGCCGACTCACGAAGCAGGGCGCAAGAGCTTGTCCATAAAGTCTTGCCGAGTGTGTTTCTTCGCCGAATGAAGACACTCATCGCTGATCAACTACCCAAAAAGAGCGACCGCGTAGTCTTTTGTCAACTCACTGAAACTCAAGCCGACGCATATCGAACATTCTTGGAGAGCGACAGGTGCGAGTTTATCCGAACGGCGAAAGAGCCTTGCGACTGTGGTTCTGGCAAGTCCAGAGGCTGGTGCTGCTATGTGGAAATTCCTGGTGAGGGTGAGAAGTGGGCGAAGTTCATGTTCCCTTGCATGGTCACCCTTCAGAAACTTGCAAACCATCTCGCACTCATTGTGCCGGTATCAACGGACAACAATGAGAAGCAAGCAAAGGATATGCAAACCCTCGAGATTGCGTGTCCCGATTCGTTCCAGGATTTATTCAGGATCCGCGACAACATCTTGAACCAGTCGCAGCGTGAGTTTTGTGGGAAGTGGAAAGTATTGAGACGGCTGCTAGACTTCTGGCACTCAAATGGCGACAAAGTTCTTATCTTCTCTCATTCGGTCCGCCTTTTGCGTCTCCTCAGGGGCCTTTTCGACGTCGATGGCACAAAGTACAACTTCTCCTATCTGGACGGCAGCATGAAGTACGAAGACCGCTCCAAGGCTGTTGCGGACTTCAACGCGGACTCGAATCAATTCGTTTTCCTCATCAGCACGAAAGCTGGTGGTGTTGGTCTGAACATCACATCTGCGAACAAGGTCGTAGTTGTTGATCCCAATTGGAACCCCGCCTATGATCTTCAAGCCCAAGATCGTGCATATCGTATCGGCCAGACGCGGGATGTTGAAGTGTTCCGACTAGTATCAAGTGGAACAATTGAAGAGATCGTGTATGCGCGACAGATCTACAAGCAGCAACAGGCCAATATTGGCTACAATGCTTCTGAAGAGCGTCGCTACTTCAAGGGGGTCATGGATCAGTCCAGCAAGAAAGGTGAACTGTTCGGCCTCGAGAACCTGTTCACGTTTCAAGAGAAAAACATGCTGCTTCGGGACATCATGCACAAGACCAACGTTGCCGAGACGAAAGCCGGGGTCAATGCCCACGACTTTCATTTCGACGAGTCGCAGATGGATTCTGAAGACGATGAACTTCTCTCCAACAAGAGCCTCGGCATTGCAGATGACGACGCCAATCTCGCGGAGATCAAGAAGCTCGCCGAGTCCTTCACATCTGTTTCCAGTACGGATACGAAGAGCACTAGAGGTAGGAAGAAGTACACAAAGCGCGCTGGTGCCGACCCTATCAATGCAATCCTTGCGAAAGCAGGTGTGCAATACACGCATGAAAACTCCGAAGTCATCGGCCGCAGCGAGATAGAAGCTCGCCTTGGCAAGCAGGCCATGGAGTTGCGTAACGACATTGATCTTGCCACGAAGCAAGTGTTCCGGGGGTCGCAGTCGCAATCACAGCATCACTCGCATGCGCAAGACGATGATCCTGAATTCAGCCCTGAAGACGATGATGACGACTTGAAGCTTATAGGTAGTGCTACGAAGGGGGAGTTCAAGATCAACTACCGGTACAGGCCTGATGAGCGTATTCGACGCAGGCAGTTCTGCAGCATGGCCGAGAGTATGGGGTTCGCAGATCCTGTCGAGTTTGCGTTGCTCGTTGAAAGTAGCACGCAGGAGGAGCGGAGGAAAATGCTGGAAAGGTTCTACAGAGGCCGGCGGAGAGAAATGATGAGTGAGTTTGGGGGTGGGAGATGACAAGGATGTTGACCAACGAGTCTGTGGGGCTATTCTGGAGACAGCAAGGGATGGCAGCTGGCGTTGGGAGTATTCTATGTATTGTGATACCCTAGAAATGTTATTGTGTTACCTGCTATCAACAACACCACACACGCTACATCGCAACGTGAAAGTGTTACCAGAGCCACTGAGGTGAGACCCCAAGAGGTGGTTGGGGAAGCATGGTGGAAGAGTTTGTCTTGAGTGAGATGAAGTGGTCGATTCTACTCGACAGAGAGGTGCGTGACATTATTTATGGGGTGAACTAGACGCGCAAAGCGCCCGAACACGTTAACGTCGTCGGCGCTTCGGGGTTTTAGGGCGGCTCCTTCAACAAGCGCTCCCTTGCATGGAGCATAAGACACTAGGGGGGAAGAATGTTATGTTCCGCTTTTCAACCAAAACAGATGTTGAAAGACATATTCTGTATTTGCTAGAATGACAACTTATAGTATACGCTAGTCATAGTCTCGAAAAAGCAGTTACACGGGGACAAGACTGCGTGTTGACTCCAGCACTCCCAGTTCTAGGCACACGGTTCCTTTCAGTCGACAGTCATGCGCACAAAGGATACTGTTCCTTGGCTCGAAGTTGGAGTTAGTCCTCTCCACTATCATGGCCATTATCACGGGTCGGTCATCGCTGTTCGGTGAACGGCTCCTTGGCGAGCCGGTTATTATTATACGGCCACGTGCTCGCCCGCGTTCGCGGTTAGCTTCCTGGAACGGCCGCGGGAGAGAAAAAGGCTGTGCATAATTGTGAGGTGGTGTATAAGAGTTCCTTGCCCGAATATGTAGTCCAAAAGCTCCTGAACATGTTCTCTTCGTAGAGGAGCAGAGGTCTTCTGCCTTTGGGGAGCCATGTACGAGCCGTCATGTCTTGGAGGATGGGTAAATGGAATTCACAAGACTGCATCTCAGTCGTTAAAGACGCGTCACTGGCTGTAGAAGCGCGGCCCCAGGTCCTCGAGTGCCGAGGATTCCCCATAGGTGTGTGAACCGGGACGTCAAGCGTTCTCTGGTCGAGCATGGCTTTTCGTTTGCTCACATGGCAACCCGCTGGTGGGCTTGGTGGGTATTTCAAAGTCAGTTCATGGTCGTCACGGATGGGGTAGCGCGGCCATTGACCAATGAGACAGGTGCCGATACAACGATCGCGTGGTTTGGATGCTAGCTTCGGTGCGTTCTTCCCGGATCCATCTCCCTCCCCACACTTGGCATCCTTGGCAAGATCGTTCTCCGCAATTCTGGTAGTCGGATTGAGCATCGTGAACTGCGGAACTCGTCGGCAGCTACGTCTCTCGTGTTTAGTCTGCCCGAGACAAGTCTTAGAACATGTGAATGCATCCCTTGCTATGACGTGTTCAACGGGAAGCGTCCGTTGTAATGCCGTTTTGTGGGAGTATAAAGACCTAGGATGAGGCTGCCCGAAAAGACGCCCTTGTTATCGAGACCTCTACCGTGTCGCGTGCCTATACTAATTTTTGGTCAAGATGGGAATTTCTCATCGCAGTCAGCGTAGGCTAAATGTCTTTACCTCAATACTCTTTACGACAACAGCAATGTCGGCTGCTATCCACGCACCGTCATCAAGCGAGGTAGGATACCACCAGGTTTTCGCTCGATCGACCAGCGAAGAGTGTTTGCCATATCGAGATGCATCGCTACCAGTAGACGATCGAGTGGAGGATCTGATCCAGCGGATGACCATCGACGAGAAAGCAGGACAGCTCTTCCGTGTGTATTATCCGGTTCGCCAGTTCGAGTCTCAATTCTAACATTTTTTGTAGATGAGATCCTTGCCCAGGGACCCAATGGCACGCTATCGAATACCACAGCGAAAGTCGTCAGCGGGAAACTCATGACGCATTTCAACCTCCTGGGTGGAATCGTCAACGTCCGAACAACTGCACAGTGGTACAACCGGTTACAACAACTGGCATTAGATACCCGGCTCGGTATTCCGATTACTCTGTCTTCAGATCCTCGTCATGCATTTTCAAACAAAGCCGGTTCCGCAATCGCAGCAAATTCTTTCTCACAATGGCCTGAGACTTTGGGCCTAGCAGCACTACGGGATGCAGACCTCGTGGAACAGTTCGGAAACATCGCGCGCCAGGAATACCTAGCCGTTGGCATTCGATCAGCCCTTCACCCGCAGATTGATGTAGCGACTGAGCCTCGTTGGGCTAGGATATCAGGCACCATGGGTGAGGACGCGGATCTAACTGCTGAGCTCGCTGTTGGATACATCAAGGGCTTCACTGGCGAAGAAGGATTTGGAACACAGTCCGTGACGACCGTGTCCAAGCATTTCCCCGGCAGCGGACCTGTGGAGCATGGCGAAGACAGCCATTTCACGTATGGGAAGAACGCGACGTATCGTGGGAAAAACTTCGAGCACCACCTGATCCCGTTCAAGGCTGCCATTGCGGCCGGAACGAGGCAGATAATGCCCTACTACTCGCGCCCTATGGGGACTAAGTACGAGGAGGTCGCCGCTGGGTTCAACAAGGGTCTTATCACTGATCTTCTACGCGGAGAACTCGGGTTTGACGGTATCGTGGTGAGTGACTGGGGCCTTATAACGGATGCCATTATCGCGGGCCAGGATATGCCAGCGCGTGCTTGGGGCGCGGAGAACCTGACGGAACTTCAACGTGCGGAGAAGATCCTGAATGCTGGTACCGACCAGTTCGGAGGCGAGCAGCGGCCCGATTTGATTCTCGAACTGGTAAAAAAGGGTATCGTCAGCGAGGAGCGCATCGATGTCTCTGTTCGCCGACTTCTCCGCGAGAAGTTCCTCCTAGGTCTCTTCGACAACCCATTCGTTGACGTCGACGCAGCAGAGAAGAACGTCGGAAAGGCAGAATGGGTTCGCCTAGGTTTCGAGACGCAGAAGAAGGCATACACATTGCTCACTAACAATGACGACGTCCTGCCCCTGAAAGCTGATGAGAACGCGAAGTTTTACATTGAAGGCCTCAACAAGACATACCTCGAGGAGCGCAACCTGCAAGTCGTCGAGACACCCGCTGAAGCCGACTTCGCCCTGCTTCGTTTACAAGCACCCTATGTCCCGCGCCCGGGAGGCTTCGAAGCCAACTACCACGCCGGCTCGCTGGAATACAACGCAACCGAGAAGGCACGTCAAGCAGCCATCTACGCAGCTGTCCCGACCATTGTCGACATCTACCTCGATCGCCCCGCCATCATTCCAGAGATCGCCGACGCAGCTACGGCTCTCATCGCCAACTTTGGCGCTTCTTCGCAAGCATTCTTAGATGTTGTTTTCGGGGTCGACGGATCGAGGCCACTGGGAAAATTGCCCTTTGATCTGCCTAGGAGTTTGGCGGCTGTGGAGGCGAATAAGGAGGACGTGCCCTTCGATACCGAGAATCCCGTATTCAGATACGGAGATGGGTTGAGCTATGCTGATGATTGCTGAAGGAATGAAATGATATGAAATGATGTCGAACGCGAAAGCATATTAGCATAATTAGAAGCGTATAATTTTACCTTTCATCTTTTCAATATGCATTGCCACACATCCTGACCAGCGCTAGCAGCATGTTTACAACAAGAATTGGTCCCAATTGTGTATCCAACGCGTCAGATGAAGTTGTTCTGACCGTGATCCGGAGTGATAGTGATGGAAGGTCTGCTGTTCACAAAGAGCGATGTCTCGGAGACAATGACCCGAAGTTGGGTGGTACGCCATGCCTTTGGTAGCGTAGCCTACGCTACGTCCATCCCAGTACCGGCTCCACTATTCTTCTTGCTTAATCTATCAAAGATAATCTATCGAGGTCTACGACGCTCATCAGGTCGGATAGTCGAACATGATTTTGAACATGAAAAATGGATAAGTATGACGCCGATTGCAACATACCGACGTGTTTTGTTAATGAGTTCCCATCATCACATTTGAAACTAGACGCCATCCGCCCAGTACACTATGGACATCTGACCAGTCGATGGCCACAGCATAAGCGCTTATGGGCCCATCATGCATAAACATTAACAAAGCGGCAATCAGCGGAGTTTCTAGATACTCCGCCACTAGCGGTCTTGAGTAGATTCTATTTCCGTATTAGTGCGGCTTAGCTGGAACTTGGCTAGAGCCACATGGAAGGTCGCTAGGATGCCGTTGAGACAAGGGCTATGACTTCCAATCCCCGCGTGAGCTCTCGGCCGCGGTCGCCATGAGTAGCATATCGGAGAGATCAGGTCATGTTCGCCACCTCCCGCCAGAGCCGCATATGCAGGGTCAAGAAACCAAAGCGAGCACGTGGAATGTTGGAGGTTTGATTGGCGGTTAGAGGCTATAAGTCCTAGATCTTCCGGTGCTGCAGGAAGCGGCTTTCTCCGATCAAGTAATAGCTCGGGGAAGGACCAGGGCGTAGCCGTAAGATATCGGAGCGGTTTGCCTGAAAATCTTAGTAGTTCGAACGCAGAAGCGAAGAGCCTCAGTCTAGCGCCTCCGGTGTGTCACTTGGCGTGGAGAAGTTCCCTGACAACGCTCAAGTGTGTCTTTGTCTGGGGAGTCTGGGGAGCACTTCGAATGCCGCTTGTCCTTTTGGGACCGATCGCTTAAGTGAGGACTACCCTTGGACTGGAAGAGCACTCGCTGTCGCTAGAGAAACGAATGCCTTGTTGAATACGCAGCCGGTGGAGACCAGCCACAGGGAATGGTCACTATTCTGTGATATGAAGACCTCCAACCGCGATGAACTGGAAGAGGAAGTAGACTGATTACTGCACACGCTTGGCAAAGCGGATTATGGGATTGGCCAAGCTGACAGCACCAAATCAAACGTGGACAGCATTGCGAAGTGTTGGCGAGTAATGCTAGTGGGGTCGGGCTTGGGCATGAGGTAAAGAATTGCTGTGGTGGGTTGCAGTAGGAGAGTCGGCAAGGCTGGAGTGTGCTTCCCCGGCCTATCCTTAGCGCCTCTGGCGTCACCCCACAATGGGCAACCCGCCCCGATCACGCAAATCCTCCAATCCTTCCTTTTGGGTTCCGTAAGCCCTTACGGGAAATCTTCGGCGTCAGCAGGACAGCGAGGGTCAGCCATCCCGTACGCCTCCATCCCGTACGCCTCTTAATAGCCAAGCCCGCTCGTCGAAGCTCCTACCCTCCCGTTTTCTCTTGCCGTTGTTTCTTGTCGACGCGCCGCATGCTTGAATTACTCCACTTTCGACTTGGGTTGCTGCACAGGCCCTATCTGTGCCCCTTATTTCGGTCCAATACTCTAGCAATAACGCCTTCAACATTGGGAACAGCCGCAATGCCATCCTCGCCGCCCGCTGGCGATTGCTGAGGCTGCTGTCCTGCGCTGTTTGCATCAGCGTGGCTCGAACGAACAAACGACGGCTGTCGAAAGAAGCCTGCGAAGAATGCTCGGCTGACGACAGTTTTATCTCGGCCTGCAAGCCATCATGCTTCGTCTTCTTGGCCGTCGTATGTGCCGTTAGTTTCTCTCGGCGCACTAGGAATCCTTGAAAGCTTCTGCGCGGCCGACCGTACCATTCATTGCGGGGTTGTTGTAGGCCAAGTCTGGTGGCTGCCAACCGGTCTGAAGCTTCATTCGATGAAGGTAAGGTGTCGCAAGAAGGCTTCCCTCGCGCCGTGGAGCTTATTGAAGGACGAACACAGAACGGTGTCCTGTGTTACTGGGCGCCCGAGTGGGAGCCTGGGAGCTATCAGTCATTACCTTTTTCGCAGCCCCATGTTTTGTGGGCAGCCAAACAAAAACACTTACCCTGCACAACCCCATGGGGACCAACGTATAGTGGGCGAGATCAACACGCCATTTTTCTCTCCGCTATTCATTCAGAACCCGGGGTTTGTTCGTGCTCTTGCGGCGTGCCCGGTCACTATGATGCTTAGTGTCCTTGGCAGCCTCTGTGCGTTACATCCACCATGCATCGTCCAACAAACCAACTGGCATTAGCATCTTGGCATTCCTTGGCCCGCATCTTACCCTCAGCGCGGTTGCACACATGGCTTGCAAGGGCAGCGATCGCTCCGTCTCGAGGGCAGAAAGTCCCGCTGCAGTGGTTGCAGGTATATAACTTGCAGTCATCGCCCGTTTCTCAGATTCGGTATTGCGATCGGACTTGCACCTCCTTCACAGGGCAGTCTTCATTCTCTTCTCTTGCTTCCAAGTCCATCTTACTCAGACACCATGGCAAGCACCAACCGTCCCGCAGATCCTTTGGCCAAGGGCACCATCGCAACGGCCAAGCAAGGGTTCAGAGATCTCTTCGTTTGGGACCAGCGCGTCGTGGTGCGGAACGACTATGGCGAGGAACACTGCGAATGGCAGAGGCCTGAGCCCTTGAAGAACCCCATCAGCTTGTTCGCTCAGCTTAGTCTGAAAGATTGGCTCTATTTCCTAGTCGGCTTTCTTGCATGGACCGCCGATGCTTTCGACTTCCATGCCCTATCCATTCAGACGACTAAGCTGGCTGCTTACTACAAGCAATCAAACACCAACATTACGACTGCCATCACCCTCACCCTGCTCCTCCGATCCATTGGTGCGGCCTTTTTCGGTCTAGCCGGAGACAAGTTTGGCCGCAAATGGCCCATGGTGCTCAACATGATCATTCTCGGCCTTCTTCAAGTGGCAACTATCTACGCCAAAACTTTCCAGCAGTTCCTTGCTGTACGAAGTCTTTTCGGTCTGTTCATGGGAGGTGTGTACGGCAATGCCATCGCCATGGCTTTGGAGAATTGCCCGTAAGTCTAATCCTGACGCTCTCACCCAAGTAGACACTGACAGTGACAACTAGTGTGAATGCTCGAGGCCTTATGAGCGGTATCCTGCAACAAGGTTATTCTTTCGGCTACGTCCTTGCAGCCTGTGTTAACCTGGGCGTTGGTGGCGAAACCAACACCTGGAAGATTGTCTTCTGGGTTGGAGCCGGCTTTTCCATTGCAGTTGGCTTTTTGCGAGTGCTTTTCCCCGAGTCCAAGCAATTCATCGAAGCTAAGAAGGCTGGACACACTCAGAAAGGGTCTGGTGCTTTCTGGGCCGAGACTAAGGTGATGCTTGCGAAGGAGTGGAAGATGTGTGTTTACTGCATCATCCTGATGACTTGGGTACGTTTCTTGCGCCATACCTTCTGAGCTGTATCTGACAGAACCTGCAGTTCAACTACTACTCCCACACTAGCCAGGACAGCTACACTACGTTCATGAAGCAGTCAAAGCATCTCAGCTCTGCCGGTGCAACCCGTGCTTCCATTCTCATGAAGAGCGGAGCCTGTGTGGGTGGTACCATCCTCGGCTACACGTCGCAATGGTTCGGTCGTCGTCGCACAATCATTTGCGCTGCTTTGATCTCTGGCTGCCTCATTCCTGCATGGATCTTGCCTACCACTGAACGTGGCCTCTCCGCTTCCGGCTTCATGATCCAGTTCTTCGTCCAGGGTGCTTGGGGTGTTATTCCCATCCATCTCAACGAGCTGTCGCCACCTGCCTTCCGTTCGTCCTTTGTTGGTATCACCTATCAGCTCGGAAACATGATCTCGTCACCTTCTGCTCAGATCGTCAACGCCGTCGCTGAAGCTACCATGATTACGACCTCGAAGGGAACAAAGTCTCCCGCTTACGGACCCGTCATGGGCGTGGCGACTGCAATCATCGCCATTGGCATTGCGGTCACGACAGCAGTAGGACCTGAGAAGAAGGGTCGTCACTTCGAGGAGGCTGGCCCAATTGGCGCCAGTTTGGAAATTCCCAAGGATATTGACAATGGTAGCATTACCGAGAAGGCCGGTGCTGAGACGGTTGAGATTGCCGACACCAAGAGGAACGACGAGAAGGTTTAGACGCTGCCAATTTAGGTATGCAAGTTAGGAAAGGAAGTCTGCTCACTGATAGTGATGCACTCTCCAAGATGAAGATACCATTAGCACGAGCAACGAATACCACGAGTTCCTATGACACTTCTTTGTTGCCAGATCTATCATTTTCCTACTTCTACAAGCTTTTCTAATATTAATACTATATTTCTACTAAAAGCCTATAGTTATAATAGGCTATACCTAAGAAGATCCCTTAATTCTAGAACAAATCTTACATAATATTTCTATAATTGAAAGTAAAGTCGACGCTAGAGCAGATTATACTACGCAGTAGGAGAAATTAGTATAGAAATTATAGTTTAAGTGCTATACCTAGCACCTTAATATAGTATTAAGGCAGTAAAGTTTATATAATACTAAGTTAGCTAAATAAATTATTAAAAAACTTTTAATAATTAATATATTATACAGGCGAGCTGCGCGCCTAGGCGAGCTGCGCACTTTGCTAAAATCCTACTAAAATTAGTATTATATATAATAGTATAGCACTATAAAAAACTATAATAATAAATTATAATAAATTAATTTATTTAAAAATTATTTTTATTTTTTACTTGTATATTTGTATATTATATTTAGCTTTACTACAATATTTATAATATTTTTAAAAAAGCTTACCCGCTTTAATATGCACTTACTTTTTTACTTTTTTTTTATTATTATATGCCCTAAATTCTTTTAAAATTATTAATTAAAAATTATTTTTTATTATAAAAAATTTTTTTTTTATACTTGCTTTTTTTTATATAATTTTTATTATATAGCAGCTTTATTAGCTATTTAAAACTTAGTAATTTTTTTTTGTACTAATACAAATTTATGCGCAACTATAGCTATACTTTTTAAAAAAATTTAAAAATTTTAATTATTAAAGTAGAAAAATTATTTAAGTGCTTTTAAATTTTTATTTTAATTAATATTAATTAAAACCTAAATTCTAAAATATTGCTTAGTATTTTTAACTTTTAAAAATTATTTTTAATAGTAGGTAATAATAAAGTATATAACTAAATATTAAATTTTAATATTATAGTTTTAAAATTAAAAAAAACTAGACTAGCGCTTTTAAAGCTACTTAAAATATTACTTTTTATAATAGCAGTATTAAAAGCTAGTTTAAAGTATAATATATTACACAGGCAAGTTAGTTACTTAGTTAAGTTAGTTATAATACTAAAACTTTACTAAAATTAGTACTATGCATAACAGTATAGTATTATAAAAAACTATAATAGTAAATTATAATAAGCTAATTTATTTAAAAATTATTTTTATTTTTTACTTGTATATTCGCGCGTTATGCCTAGCTTTATTATAATATTTATAGTACTTTTAAAAAAGCTTACCTATTTTAGTATATATTTATTTTTTTATTTTTTTTTTATTATTACGCGCTTTAAACTCTTTTAGAATTATTAATTAAAAACTATTTTTTACTATAAAAGTTTTTTTTTTTTATATTTACTTTTTTTTATGCAATTTTTATTATATAATAGCTTTATTAGCTATTTAAAATTTAGTAATTTTTTTTTATACTAATACAAGCTTATGCGCAATTATAGCTGCACTTTTTAAATTTTTTTTAAAAGCTTTAACTATTAAAATAAAAAAATTATTTAAGTGCTTTTAAATTTTTATTTTAATTAGCATTAATTAAAATTTAAATTTTAAAATATTACTTAGTATTTTTAACTTTTAAAAACTATTTTTAATAATAAATAGTAGTAAAGTATGCAACTAAATATTAAGTTTTAATATTATAATTTTAAAGTTAAAAAAAACTAAATTAGCGCTTTTAAAGCTACTTAAAATATTACTTTTTATAATAGTAGTATTAAAAACTAGTTTAAAATATAGTAAAAATTTAATTTTAGTAATATAGTTAATACTATTGCGCATTAGCTTTTTAGTTTAGTACTTATATACTTTTTTTTAAAAATATAAAATAATTTATATTAAATAGCTATAGCAAGTGCAATAAATGCAAAAGTATATAAAAAATAATAATTTTTTATTTTTTATAGTACTATTAAAATTAGATTAATGCGTAGCTTTTATAATTATTAATAATAAATAAATAATAAGTACTAATAATTTTTTTTTTAATATACTTATTAAAGTACTTTAACTACTTAAAAGTAAGTTTATTTATTATTTAGCTATTTTTAAAAACTATAATAATTTAATTATAAGGCAGGCTATTTTTTTTATACTAAGCTAAAAAGTAGTTTTTGCTTATAAAAATAATAAAAAATAAAATAATTTATTTTATTATATTAATATTTTAAATTATTATTATTTACTTTTAATTATTCTACTGCACTATTTTTGGCTATTTTTAATAATTAGTACTTAAAATAATAGTTTTATATAATATTTAGCCTATTATAAAGCCTATTTTATTAAAATTATATATATTTTTATTTTAAATACTATACTTAGCTTTTATATTTTTTATAAGTTAGAACTAGTTTTATATAAGCTTAGGATTTTTATATAAAGCTTTTTAGTAATTATATTTTTAAAAAATCTTAGTACTAAACTGTAAATATTGTTTAATAAATATATTAATTTAATTTTTATTAATAAGTAATTGCTTATATTTAGCTAGCAAAGTATTAGCTATATTATTTATAGCAGTTAGTTAGGGCGGAAATCCTCGGTTTTTAAAGTAAAATATATACTAAATAATTATTTTTTTTTTTATTAAAAAAAGCTTTATTTTATTAAGCTTAGTATTATATTATAAAAGCTTTTTTTTTAGTTAATTACTAAGTATTATTTAAAAAATGCTATAAATCTGCGTAGTTTTTTATTAAAAAAAATTTACATTGCATTTTAAAGCCTAAACTATAAATTATATTTAGTTTTTTTTTAAAAAAAATTGCACATTATTATATTAAAGTATTACATTTAATAATAAAAAACTACTAATTTTAATAGAGTTTTAGCATTGTAACTAACTTAATTAGGCAACTAACTTGCCTGTGTAATACATTAGTAAAAATTTAATTTTAGTAATATAATTAATATTATTGCGCATTAGCTTTTTAGCTTAATACTTATATACTTTTTTTAAAAATATAAAATAATTTATATTAAGTAGCTATAGCAAGTATAATAAATATAAAAGCATATAAAAAGTAATAATTTTTTATTTTTTATAGTACTACTAAAATTAAACTAATACATAGCTCTTATAACTATTAATAATAAGTAAATAATAAGTACTAATAATTTTTTTTTTAATATACTTATTAAAGTGCTTTAACTACTTAAAAATAAATTTATTTATTATTTAGCTATTTTTAAAAACTATAATAACTTAATTATAAAATAGGCTATTTTTTTTATATTAGGCTAAAAAGTAGTTTTTGCCCGCAAAAATAATAAAAAATAAAATAGTTTACTTTATTATATTAATACTTTAAATTACTGTTACTTATTTTTAATTATTCTGCTGCACTATCTTTAGCTATTTTTAATAGTTAGTACTTAAAATAATAGTTTTATATAATATTTAATTTATTATAAAGCTTATTTTATTAAAATTATATATATTTTTATTTTAAATATTATACTTAGCTTTTATATTTTTTATAAGTTAAAACTAGTCTTATATAAGTTTAAGATTTTTATATAAAATTTTTTAGTAATTATATTTTTAAAATTTTTTAGTATTAAGCTATAAATATTATTTAATAAATATACTAGCCTAATTTTTACTAATAAATAATTGCCTATATTTAGCTAGCAAAATATTAATTATATTATTTATAGCAGCTAGTTAAGGCGGAAATTTTTAGTTTTTAAAGTAAAATATATACTAAGTAATTATTTTTTTTTATTAAAAAAAATTTTATGCTATTAGGCCTAATATTGCATTATAAAAGTATTTTTTTAAATTAATTATTAAATATTTTTAAAAAAATGCTAAATATTTATATAGTAGCTTATTAGGAAAAATTTGCATTTTATTTTAAAGCCTAAACTACAAGCTATATTTAATTTTTTTTTTTAAAAAAATTGTATATTATTATATTAAAGCATTGCGTTGTATTATAAATATAGTTTAAATTTTAGTAAAGTTTTAGCAAAGTGCATAGCTTGCTTAGGCGCGCAGCTTGCCTGTATAATACATTACTATTAGCAGCTTTAATATATTATTATTTAAAAATTATAGTAACAGAACTATAAATTCCTTAATAGTAATTAAGTTATTTAAGCATTACTAGGCAGCTTTAAATTTTAACTATAAACTATTATTAAAGTATAAATAAATTTTTAAACTAAAATTTAAATAAGTTTTAGTTTAGTAGTAAGCTTGCGTCTTAATAGCTAATATTTTTTTATAATTAGTAATAAGCGTAATAGACGTAGTTTTTATAAAGTATATAAAGTAAAGCTTATAGTTAAAGCTTATAATTATATATTATTACTTATTATATAGCTGTATTATTGCGCGTCTTATAGTTATATATAAGTAGAAAATTAAAAGTTTAAGTAATAAAAGTTTAAATATATAAGTAGTAAAGTATATATTTATACATTTATTTTATAAATTAAAACTTATTTTTATTTTAATTTTTAAATTTTTTATTTCTTACTTTTATTTTTATATTAAATATAAATAATATAATACTAATAAATAAACTTGTATATATAGGCCTATAAATTATTATTATAGCTAGCAATATTAGCTACAAGCTATTAATAATTGCCTAGTATAAATTATTACTTTTTAACTATTTTAAGCTAGTAAATAGTAACTATTAGTACTATAAAAAAGTATATAAATACTTTAAAATTAACTTTTTTTTTTATAGCAGGCTTTTTTTACTTTGCCTAGTTAATTTTAACTTTTTAGCATTTTTTTATAATAAATTAATTATAACTAAGCAGCAGTAATACGCGATTCTTTTTATAATTAGCTACTATATAATAATGCAAAATTCTAATTTTAGCTATAATTAAGCTACTTTTATTAAAAACTAGAAAAATAAGCTTTTATAATTTATAAAAAATATTAAAAGTAATATAAAGTTTATAGCGTATTAAAAAAAGTTTCTTAAAAATTATAGTTACTAATAGTATAATAATTAAAAAATATAGCTTTTTAAAATAATTAATTTAGTACGTAAGTAAACGTAAGTAGTAAAATAAATAAAAAAATAAAAAAATAAATAATAATAATTTAAATATACTACAAATAATAGCTTGCGCAGGTAAAAAAAAAAAACAAAAAAATAATTAAGTATTTAGGCTAATATTGCAGAAAAAGTTATTATTATTATTATTATTATTATTATTGTTATTGTTATTATTATTAGTATTGCTATTATTATTTAAAAGCCTAGTATTAGTTAGCTGCTTAGCAGTTTAATATTATACTAAATATTTAAATATATGCTTAAAGGCTGTTAAAAAAAACTGCGCCTTAGCAGTTAAAGTTATATTATTAAAAATTAAAAGTTTATTACTTAACAATTCTAAAAATAAAAGTATATAATATATAGTAAAAATACTAATAATATAAGCTATTAATAATATATTAGGTCCTGTCTTTGCAGGGTCTTACATAATATAAAGACCTACTAGAGTAGACTTTTACCTAAATAAAGTCTAAGTAAAACAAGTTCTCTAAAAGGTTTAGTAATTAACTACTTAGTTTTCTTTAGGTAAGAAGTTAGGTTTTTATCTCTATAGGCTCTAAATAAGTTCTAGGCTAACTCTCTTTTAGGCCCCTAAATCTAAGGCTATTAAGCTAAGGCCTTAACCTAGGCACGTTCCTATTATACTAGAAGCTATAATATAGCTAGAGGAGTACTGTTATTTTAGAAAGGGGTTAGACAAAGATAATCCAGATTAGCTGTTGTCTAAGCATGCGCTTAGCGTTTCCTACTAGGCGAACGGATGCTGTGAGACGGCTAGAGCATGTGGTCAAGGTGAAAGACGCTACGCTCGCAGAGACTCACCCTGATCGGCTGGCGTCGGACGGCTGGTTACGCTATATGACTTCTTACCAAGAATAAATTCTATTCTTTCTCTTGCAACATTCCTATCTCGAGCACTTTTGGCAATTTCGCTTGATGCACTACTTCAACATGCCTCAGGCGATCAGGCGCTCTAAAAACCATGTTTTAAGGACAGCGCAACGGTAGATGTATCCACGACTAAGTTAAACTGATCTTTTAAGCTGGTTCAGCCTCGTCAAGTTGTAAGGCATCTTCGTGCAGCTGATTGGCCGCAGCGCTCTGCAGAACGGACACACGTGGCTTACCTGCCTACACAGCCCCGCTATCGTGGTCTAATTGTCATCCATGCCCGCTGACGTTTTCACATCCAAAGATTCTTCTGACGCCTATTCTTTACTCTTCGCGTCGGTCTATGATCAAGCTTCTAGAATGGACGTCAATCGCCACCACGACATGCCTTGCACTACTCGTACTTGCTACGGTTGCCGAGAGCTGGATCTCCCACGTGTAATCATGCGCTCAGGATTATCAGACGCCGACTTGCAGCACATGAGCATGGCTCCTACACCGATAAGCCCTGAAGAAGGGAGATGCTCCTGGTGCAACCAGCTTACAAGGCTCCTATGGACATCATTTGGTGACGAGGAAACCGAAAACTTACCCAAATATTGTCACCTAACAATTCATCGTGTATCGCATCCTGTTCTCACTGATTACAAGGCAGTGTACTTCTCGCTCGGGCCCGTCGACTATGAAAGTGATCCATGGAGATACTTGCTTCCAATTCAGGCGCGGTTCGTCGGCTCTCAGTCTAGCGAGCACACTTGTCTACCGTGTGCCCGAGCAGTGTATTCTTGCTCTGTGGACTACGACATGTTCAACGACTGCATCAAGCTATGTGAATCAGAGCATTCAGCGATGTGTGGCCGCTCTTTCGCCCGCGAGTTCAAGCCAACAAGACTCATCGACTGCAAAACCAGTGCACTTTGCGCGGCTTCCAACAGTCAATATGCGTGTTTGAGTTACGTTTGGGGCGATGCACCTGTCGACAACGCGACTTCCAATAATCAAACTCTGGCCAAAATCCCACAGACAGTATCCGACGCAATGTTTGTCACTCTCCAACTCGGTATGCGGTACTTGTGGGTTGATCGGTACTGCATTGATCAAGATAATCTAGAAGAGAAACACGACGCTATTCGCAATATGGATTCAATCTATGGAAACGCTTTTATTACCATCATAGCTGCTGCGGGCAGCGGCTCAGACTATGGGTTACCAGGAGTGAGCCGACTCCGAAAAGCAACACCCTCTGTAAGGATTGGAAGTCATGCTTTTATGGTAGTGCAGGATCCATTAACGGATATAGAAGCCTCGATATGGAACACGCGAGGCTGGACCTATCAAGAAATGCTGCTTTCCCGTCGCCGCCTTATTTTCACGGATCGTCAAGTCTATTTCCAGTGTCAAACACGTCAGACCATGGAGCAGCTAAATAAGGATTTCGAATCGACAGATCTGATCAAGTGGATGACAGGGAGCAAGCAGTTTCTTCCGACCCAGAAAGAATGCTTCACCATCAATGATATTTACTCTCGCTTAGAGGAATACTATGTTCGGACACTGCGGTACAAAACAGACAATATCAACGCGTTTGCCGGAGTGTTCCGCGATTTGTCTGGCCGAACGTCAGACGACCGTATGCATGCTTTCCGGTCCGTACCTGGGCTTTATATGCCGCGTTCGAACCCGCATTTTTATGGTATTCCGCTCTGGTTGCAAGAGCCCGAACGTGTTGATGATGATAGTAAAATGTTGTGGTGGCAAGCGCCCAAAATTAGGGATGATGACAAGACTTCGGTGCGCTTTGGCCTCAACCTTGGGTGGAGGCTTGAGGAAGGAAGAAAAAGTGTTCTATCCACACACGATAGAGCCATAGTGAAGCCCGATTTTCCATCCTGGAGTTGGGCTTCTGCCAAGGATCAGCGTCTCAATCACGGCCAGTGTCGACTGGTCATCTCTAGCCGTCCCGACGTTTCCCACGAAATCGGAGACGCGAATTTCAGTGCTTCTGTCACGCACAGATCTGGAGAACGTATGAGCATGTTGGCATATACGGCTCAGGCGGACGACTATACCCGCTTCTATCCATGGTAGGTGACTTAGATCATCCGACTCGTATATTCACTGACATCAGTTGGACAGGATAGACGTTGTCGCCTACACGATTAGTGGCCATTTGCGGGTAGGAGAACATCGTCCATATATTTTTTCTGAACTGCCTGATGCTACTGTATATCTGGACAATGACCAGGAATATACAGTTGGAAAATTGAAAGCCCTATATATCGGCATGTTTCGAGAGCCAAGCCGATGCGGGAGTTTCCATGTGGCGTTGTTCTTGCTGTTGAAGGAAGCCGGACAACATGAGTTCAGGCGCATTGGACTTTGTACCATGCACGACGGCGGCGAATGTACTCGTAGTGGCATGCCTGTCGATGTTAAAGAAGGGTTTCATCTATTATGGTCACGCAAAAGGACACAACTGGAAAAGCTCGAAGCCACAGTAAAGTGGGGGCGGAAAGCGCTGAGAATCATCTGACAAGCGGAAGTAGGAAATCGCCTGACCTATTCTTACTACAAGATAAGTTAGAGCTTGGTATCTTCTTTTGTCTATTTGGCCTTTCGAACAAGCATTAGTCTGTATGCATCCAACAGGCAAACTTGAAGTCGATACCTTCACAGCACGCTCGCTGTAGACGTTGCGATAGGAGGTGTACTCGCGATGTTGGTCAGTCCAACCGTGAGCTTTCGCTACCCTTTCACCTCCATTCATTTCCACTTGCGAATCGCCTCTCCACAGCCCGTTACTTAGTCTGAAGGGAGCTTGTACTCGTGCTAGCAATTTAACGCTCACTGTTGCATTCATTGTCATGTTTCTTAACGTGACGATCTTGCTGTTCATTATCTTTGATCACAAATGTATCCAAGACCACGTCATTCGCGGACACCGGTTAGTCTACCTCAACATCTTCCCTTACAAACAAACAAGAGAGATTTTCACATCAGTTCCGACAGACGACATCGAAATGCGTTGTGCAGCTGTTATGACGGACCGCAAGCGCAGCTCCAAGGAGCTCATCATCACGAAAACACCCAACAACAAGGCGAACATAACTGCCGACCGATTCCTGCTCGCCTTGAGCCACACCCAGCAGCGCGAACAAAGAATACTCGCGAGAAGACACCTCGCCGTATAGACATTGCTTCTTTTCCTCGCTCGCGCTTGGCGCAGAAATCACTGGGCCTACGCATGACAAAGTGGAAGTCGACCTGGCACTCATTGGCGCGTGGAGTTTCGATCAAGAAGAAGAAGAAGAAGAAGAAGAAGAAGAAGAAGAAGAAGAAGACAAGCGCTACACGCACTGGCTGCTATAATATACGGAAGTGGAGGTACACCCGATTCACTACCATTCGCGCAGTACGAGAAGGAAATGGGGTGCAGATACCACACGATGGATGCGCGCGCTTTGTCTGCTACATGAGCGGCGGTCTCTTTGGCAGTCCTCTTCCCGCCTTTAGCGTGTCGACATCCAGCACCAACATGTTTGGTAGCCCAACTGAGTCCGGAGGTACCTCGTCGACCTTCAGTGCCAGCATCGCTGTCCAGTCCCGTGGGTTCTCAGCCTGGCATGGCGGCTGTCAGCAGCTCCTCAGACAGCGTGACCGCGGGCAGTAGCAAACCGTCGTCTTCAGATATGGAGATGGACGATGCACCCGACCCATCTGCAGACCACGTCGTCGCCGCGACCAGAATTATTACTGCTCCTGTACCAGCACCACCGCCCTCGCAGCCGCCAAAGTCCGCGAACACGATCACATTCGCTCCGCCTAGGTTTACAGGCCTAGGTTTTCTCCCATCAAGGCGTTTGAAATCCGAGACGGCCATCCCACTAAAGCCAGCAGCGATTTCAGGGGTTCAAGTCAGTGCAAAGTCGCCATCCGCCCCCCGAATCCTGCGTCAGCTACCATGCCGTCGTCAGCTCCTCCCTCACAGCGCGAGGAAGCTGCGACGCCACCTCCCTCACAGCGCGAGGAAGCTGCGACGCCACCTCCGGATTCGTTACCCTCAGCACCAGCAGGTAACATCACACTAGTAGTGTCTTCACCACATATTTTTATACTTTACTATATAAGGCGCTTAATAATTATACCAAGGTCCAAGGTCCAAGATCCAAGATCCCCTAATGCAGCACTATAATAGCGTGTGACTAAAAGTGGATTCTCGCGCACGGCGGCTCTGCTAGCGGCCAAGGCGGGGATGGCATGTCTCAAACAACGACGAACCTTGGAAGCTCCTCAACCATTGTCCAGCTTCCCCGGTTAAAATTAAAAAATTACGTTTCCCCGCTACCTGGCGCAGAGAACCGAAAGTCAACGTCACGTCATCTCTTTTCCAACGGGTTTTTATATACTATGACACGTAATCAAGACGCGGGGCATGTAGGTGTGAAGGAGAGCACGCAAAACACGCAGTACGATCAGATCGGGACAAAGTACAATAGAATTAAGACGTTGCCTGCTACTGAGGCGGAGGTGCCGTCTGTTGTTAGGGCTTTGGGTGATATTGTGGGGAAGAAATGTCTTGGTATGTTGGATTTGATCTTAATCAAGGTGTCACATGATGTGGTCTTGTGCAGATGCGGTAGAGAGATGTGCATCTATGTCGTACTGGTCGAATCTACATGAGTGCCAGGGCAAACTGATGGGTCTACTATTATAAGCTGCACAGATCTAGGCTTCAGATCCTTCAACAGGCTCTTGACGATGCCCAGTCAACTATCATAAACACGTACTCACAACCCCACAGACCTCGCCTGCGGCACAGGAAAATACACCGCCCTCCTATCCTCGCTAGGCGCCTCCACAGTCCACGGCTACGACATATCGCCCGCCATGATCGCAGGCGCAAAAGCCACCTACCCACCTGCACAAAACCCCAACTTGCACTTCGCCGTAGCAGACTGCAGTCTGCCCGACATATCACTACCGCACTCCTCTTCCCCCTCCGACAATAACAAAACCGGAAATTTCGACATCGTCCTCGCAGTCTGGTTTCTAAACTACGCTGGCACTGAGACAGAGCTAACAAACATGTTCCGCGTGATAGAAAAGAACCTAGTAACCGGCGGGCGGTTCGTAGGGCTTACGACGAACGTCCACGATCCGCAGATGCAGCTGGATAAACGGGACTTCTACGGCATAGATGTGCTGGTTTTGGATGCGGCGTATGTGGACCCTTCTAGCAGCTCAAGCGCGAACGAGGAGGTGCTGGGGGTCAAAATGCGCGTGGTAGTCAAGGGAGAGATGCCATTTCAGTTCGACGTGTTTCAGTTTCGGAAAGAGGTTTATGAGCGGTGTGCGGAGAGGGCGGGGTTGAAGTTGGCGTGGAAGGAATTGGTCTTGCCTGAGGATGAGAGGAGAGGGAATGGGTATTGGGATTGGTTTGTGGAGAGGCCTACGTTTGTTATTGTTGAAGCTGTGAGGGTGTAGGCGTGAATAAGTAAAGTGGATCTTCGTCATTGGGTATTCTTGTTGTTCTTCAAGAAGGTCCCAGGCATGGTTTGCCCGAATTCGTCATGGTATAATAGACGCACCCTTCCACCGTGTATTGTATTTCATCTGGTCTTTCGTGATGTTTATGTGTGGATAGAGGTAGATTTATATTGTTTTTAGACGGTTTGTAGTAGTAAAACAGGAGAAGAGAGTAATATACAGTAGTCCAAAGCAATCAATCAACACAGCTTCAAAATGATGCCTGTGCTCCAAACGTCGTCCGCGAAATTATCCGAATCAATACCCGGTCGCTCCTGACGTCCGTTGCTCTTCCAATACACCTTACTTCCTCCTGTTCTGGCTCATGCCCAAGATCTGCACCATCCGGATGAAGATGTTGATGAAGTCCAACTCGAGCGAGATGGCCTCGTTTACCGGATCCTTGGGTATCAGACCGCGCTCCGCCATGCGCGCATGGTTCAACACCTTCTGCACATCGTACAGTGTGAATCCACCAAACACGGCAAGGCCTCCGTAGAGCCAGATGTTCTCAGTGAACATCAGTGTGCGGGCGGCAGTGGCGGGGACGACGAGTGGGGCAAGGCCGGAGAGGGCGACGATGGCAACGCCTGCGAGCAGCGGACCACCGAGGTACAGGTACTTGTCCGTCTTGGCAGTGGCTCCAACAAAGGCGATACTTCCCATCATTCCGACAGTGTAGAGGCCAGCGCGTGCGAGGATAGCGGGGTGCATAAAGAAGAGTGGCGACAAGAGAAGTGCCTGAGTGACGTTGAAGGCGGACCAGAGGGCATACTTTTGTACATAGCTGCGCATTGTTAGCTATCAGGTCACAAATGCCATGGTGGATGCTACTCACTTGCTTGGGCTTGTCGCCATGGTGCCATACATAGTTCCAATGCTTCCGACCAAGCCCACACCAAGCACCAGCCACGGGTTTGCGCCCATGAGCCTGAAGCTCCAGCCGTTCATGTGCAGTGCGCGCGCCGCAATACCGATGATTCCGATCCCGAGGCCAGTGTGCATGAAGGTGTCGTTAAGGTAGGCGCGTTCGAAGGGCGGCATGCCGCCATCCTCCCTGGTTTCGCGATTGAAGATGAAGTTGATGCCTAAGAGGGTTGCGCCGAAAATGCCAGCACCGTAGAGCAGTCGCTGGCGCACGTCGCCTTGCGCTACCGGGTTGTATGCGGCCTGCTGGTATTTCCGTCGGAATGTCTGCCTAAACTTAGAGACATTTTGGGACGTCGAGACAGCGGGCTTCGCCGGGCGAAAGAAGTGTGGGTGCTGCTTGAGTGGCGTGTTGTGGAAGGCGCGCAGTGTGAGGGTTTGCGACGACCTTGAGGTTGCTTGCTTGAGTGTCGCGGTGATCGCAAATGGTCTCCGGAGGAGGAACGCCATTGTGAGAGTTGTTCGCGATGTCGACGAGGTGGGTGGAGGCGATGAGGGATCAGGCGGCGGCTTCTGGAGGGAGATTTGGGTATATGACGTTTTGGTGGTGGAAAGCGCGAGAAAGGTGGCCAAAGCTCCATCTTAACTCCGGCGGGACCGAGGGTCGATTGCTGAGCGTCCCCTTGCTACTCGTGCGAGACATCAACCTTCTCAGAAGCGGGTACCAAGAATAGTCTAGAGTTTGGTTGTCGTCTCTCTCTTAGGGTCGCTTTGGGTGTACATGCTTATATTCCATCCTTTGGCGGGAAACTCTTTCCTAATCCGTCGCAAGTAGTATAGCATCATTCATCACACAATCGCGTGACGGCAACTCAATCGCAGGGCTGGCAACCTCAACTCCAACCTGACCACACTTGTTACTACAGCCAGAGCCTTGAGTGTATAGCCGGGCAATGGAGAAACATGTTGGGGCTGGGGAAGGTCTACCCACGTACGCTGCTGCAACAACCCTTTCAACTCCACGCCCATGGCATAACCGGCGGAAGAAGCGAAGAACCTATCGTCTGCTTGCCCTGGCGTGCTTCGCCTCCCTTGCATACTACACCTTAAAAATCGCAAATAACACGACCAAGCCGATCAACACGCTCTCAATTAAGCGACTGCAAGATGAGTATGCTGCTTGCTCAACACTAAGAAGCAAGCCTGCAACTACAAGTGGGACGAGAGACTTCAACAAGCGCTGGACCAACACCACCAAGCCCCTGCTAATCCGCAACGCTACCATCTGGACAGGAGAGCCTGCTCCTGGAACTTCCGACGAAGATGCAAGAGCTGGGAAAGGATGGAGCTGGCTATCTTCCGATATCTTCGTCGACAGAGGTCTCATTTGGAACATCGCGTCTCGCATCGACCTCAAGACTCTTCCCCACGACACCGACATTTTCGACGCAAAAGGCCGCCAAGTAACCGCGGGCATCGTCGACATGCACAGTCATGCTGGCTTGGGTAGTGTTGGGAACCTCGAGGACGACAGCAATGAGCTTTCTTCTGACATCACGCCGTATGTGCGCTCCATAGACGGCATAGACCCCCTCCAGCCTGAAATCGAGTTCATCAAGTCGGGTGGCGTGACAACGTCTCTCATCTTGCCTGGCAGCGGCAACAATATCGGTGGAGAGGCCTTCGTGCTGAAGTTTGCCGTAGGCACTAAGAACGGGAGACTCGAGGTTAGCCAGCAGGACATGTTTGCTGATCCAGACAAAACCTGGCGCTACATGAAGATGGCGTGTGGTGAGAACGCAAAGTTTGTGTACGGAAAACAGGGCGAGCGCGGACCATTCAGCAGACTCGGCGAAGCATGGCAGTTCCGACACGCCTTTGAACAGGCTACCAAGTATGTACAGGAGCAGGACGAGTGGTGTGCCGCTGCGGATGCTCTCGGCATGGAGAATATGGCCACTCATTTGAGGCAAGAGCTAGAGTTCGAGTCTCTAGGTGCCGTCCTGAGAGGCCAAGTCAAGGTTAACACCCACTGCTATACGGTAGCAGATTTGGAAGCCTTCGTACGTCATACAAACGAGTTCAAGTTCCGCGTATATGCGTTTCATCACGCGCACCAGACATTCCTCGTTCCCGAAGTTCTGAAGAGAGCGTGGGGAGGTACTCCAGCCGCGGCACTGTTTGCTGATAACAGTATGTTCTGATTTACTTCGCAGCTCAACATTGTGTTTGCTGTAGACAGGCTGACAATATCGATTAGTGTACTACAAAGTCGAGGCCTACACAGCCTCCGAACGCGCCGGCGCACTTCTCTATGCGCACAACATTACACCAACCTACGTCTCTGATAACCCAGTACTGAACTCCCAACACGTCGTCTTCGAAGCTGCGAAGGCATACAGAAATGGACTACCTTATCATGCCGCCTTAGGAAGCGTCACTTCTGCGCCCGCAGAGCTTCTTGGCCTAGGCCACAGAATCGGTAAGATTAGGCTAGGCTTTGACGCTGATCTCGTGGTTTGGGACTCGGATCCGTTGAGTGTGGGTGGTACACCTGTGCAGGTATGGATCGACGGCGCAAAGCAGTTTGATAACCCGATCGAACTGAAGAAGCCGGTACAGCTGCCGGCAGTACCTGACGTTGAGCTTGCGAAAGCGCTCGAAAAGTCAGATGTGGAAGGTAGTGTAATCCTCACTGGCATCTCAAACGTTCATCACAGCGCCTATTTGGACCCCACCCAAGCGGATCGATCGGTCGTTGCGATCATCTCCAACGGAACCATAACCTGCGTTGGCCTGTGCGAGTCCGAAATCACTATTCTTAAATCTAACACTGAATCCCTGAAGACAATTGACCTGAAGAACGGGTATTTCACAGCGCCCTTCACAGCCTTCGGCACTGCACTCGGCCTCCAAGAAATCGACGCCATGACCGACACGCATGACGGCTTGCCGCCCGCTGATGGTATTACCTTTGCCTTGGAGGGTATCTCATTCGGCGGCAAACAACTCGCGGCAGCATTTGACCACGGCGTTACAAAGGCTATAAGTGCACCCTCACTCGGCGGTATCGATAGCAAAGGCGTGAGTGTAGGCTTCCACACTGGCGCCAATAATAGGCTCGAAGAAGGCGCTATCTGGAACGCGGAAGTGGCTTTACACTATCAGTTGACACCTGGTGTTAAAAACGACAAGACAACTAGTATCTCAAAGGCGATTGGAGATCTAATAGCGAAACTTCTTGATGCTGTCGATGAGTTACGCAAGAACAAAACCGCAGATGTGCCGAGTAAAGAGAAGTTCCAGGAATCTGCATATTTGAAGCGAGTAGTCCAGGGCGACATACCGCTAGTTCTAAGCGCTCACAGCGCGGATACGATCGCATCGATCATCCGATCAAAAGCGTATATCGAATCCGCCATCGCTGAATCCCCCATCTCAACCACTAGTCCAACGAAGAAGCTCCGCATAGTCATCATAGGAGGCGCAGAAGCCCACCTCGTTGCCAATGAGGTCGCCGCAGCAGACATTCCCATCGTTCTCGCACCGTTACTCCCTCACGCGCAGAGCTGGGACCAGCGCCGCGGCCTCACCGGGCCACCACTAACCAATGTCTCTACAAACATCCTACTCGATGCTGGCGTGCTGCTGGGAATCTGTGTCGAGGAGACATGGGAATCTAGGGATCTCGGGCTGTTAGCTGGCATTGCGTTTGCGAATAGTGAGGGGAGGTTGAGTGAGAGGGAGGCGCTGGATCTTGTTGGCGCGAATTTCGATCGTATACTTGATATCACGCGCAAGGAATCGGTGGAGAAATCTGACTGGGTTGTTTGGGAGGGGAGTCCGCTTGAGATTGGGGGTAGAGTGAGGGCTATAGGTGGTTTGGGCAAGACGAGCGTTTGGGAATAGGTGTATCGATTGGAAATCAGTGTGACGGTCTTGCTTCTCCAGAAGGCAATATTTCTGGTTTCGCTGTACCCGTTTAGCTAGGACGTGGCCTCTGGCTTCTCCCACGCTACCAGTACATTACGTATCTGGACTGTAAACGCTATCAATTCGAGGTCGACACGTCCACCAAGTGAGGTAATGAACACGCTGGCTCTGTGGCAGAAGACAGAAGTCAAAGGCGAACCCGAAAGAAGTGGAACATACAATGCAGGCAGGGTTACCTAAGTTCCAGTTTCAGTAGGGTTGCGTTGTGGTGGTGGATCGATAATGGCTCGGCCCGGTGAGAAGGGTCGAATGCAAGGGTGAGGAGTGGTGGTGCTACTAGCGCTAGTATTGTCTTTAGCTACGTGGAGTTTGGATCGCCCACGATAAGGTGATTGGTAGAGCCATCTGAAAACGATGGAAATTAACAGATGTGTTTTGCTTTTCGACGGTTCAACGGTTCGACGATCGTGCGCCCCTTGCACGCTGGGTCTCGGGCAGCGAATTCTTGGAAGCTCAACGTTGTCTTAGGCACATTTTGTGAGATGAGTCGGTTTTACTCCTTCTATCATGTCTCGCATGTTGAGCGTGAGCATGAATAGAGGTGAGGAGAGTAAAGAAAGTTGAGATGGTTAGTCATTCACCCGACCTTCCCTAATTCGTCCGCTTATCGATAAGCCCAAAGTTGATGCTTCTCCACCGAACTTGAGTGAAACACCAACGCTCAGTCGCTGAAACTCTCAACGACAGGACACGCCCGACACCAGCGTCTTAAGGGTGTTTTATATCTCTCTCACGTACATTATAATACACAAAGCTCCTTTCCAGCGTCGTGCGTGCGTGTTGAGCCAATCGCAATGCAGTAGCAATGGAAAAGAAGGTAAGGGCAGCGTCTATACAGCTTGGCATTTTATGATATGTCGGAGGCGAATAACGCTGTAAAACATTGAACCCCTTCAGGGTAGGGCTTGGGTTTCGCTGACGCTCCACCGACACGCCGATATTCATTTGACCACCAGCTTCGCCATTCTCCACCTCTAATCATCCCTTTCGTACTCTACCACATAATGTCGACCTTCCTGGACTCTCCAACTCCCTCCAACACACCACATGTAATCTCTTTCCATGAAAATACCCCAAAGAACAACATGACAAATCTGTCTTGCGCAACCATTTTAAACTCTTTCAAAGCCCCTAAAGCATATCTCATGACTGAGGATCCATCGCCAAACATGTACTCGAAGCGGATTATTGATTCGAATCAACCTTCGTGTACATCGACTACCAATCTTCAGTTGCGACAGTCGAATCACACCCTTCACGAAACGCTTCAGAACATCCAAGATGAACTTGCAGCTCACCGAACAATCATGCTTGACGTCCAATCGCGGGTGTCACATCTTGAGCTTGCCTCTTCAATTGACAACCAGACTGATACGCCACCGAATTCGCGGGATATGCAGATATTCCAACATGCTCGGGGCAGGTGCGCAAACAACGCAACACGCGAGAGCCTGGCATGGTGGGAAGCATGCAAAACCTTTGCGCACAACTGCGACTCCCCTTTTGACGCAAACGACTTCCTAAAGACGCCCAAACGCTTTTCAGGCTTTGATTTCAACCTTACCGGGTTGAAGACGAAGCCGCACACACCGACTGTCACGCCTGAAGTAGACGACGTGCCAGGTCTCAGCCCAGCCTCAGACAGAGACGAGCAGTCTGACACCGAAACGCACGACGGGCTCAACCATGCGTTCAACGAAACACTCTCCATGCCATATCCTAGGCTTTGGAACAAGAAAGAAGGCGGTAACATCGTCGAGCGCGTTATCGAATTCGACAGAGTCAAAATACCCATGCCTCCAGTCCTCCAGTCCCCACCACGAAGTGTACGTAGCAAGTCAGCGTCTGTAGTCAGCGTGGATGCCGATTTAACTGCATTACCTGATCTACCTCCTTCTCCGCCTGCACTACCGGCCGTGGAGACAGCACAGCGCAACCACAAAGGGATCAAGAGTCTTTTCGCTTCTAAAGCTTTGTTTAAGAACAGGTCGACGGGGAAAGGTGAGTTTAGTATCTTTGTCGTGTCGTGAACGCAGAAGGTTGACATGCTGTTAGAACATCAGATTTTCATCCACTTCCATCGCAAGTCAAGTCTACCGAAAACAATCAGTAGCATCTAGTGTTGTTGCCCTGTAGTAATTAAATGTAATATGAAATTGTTTACGCGTTGTCACGCTGTTCACTCATCTAATTTCTGCAAGTCCAGCTTTTACTTTTGATAATGTGTTGTTTCAATGGATAGGAGACCATGTTTATAGGCCATAATTATCTAATCCAGTGCATGCTTTGATAGAAAGAACGCTGTCGAAACTCACACATGGTAGTTCACCAAGATACAGCACGTGGTGCACTCGCCCTATAGAGTGTGCGATAGGGAATACTATTGTAGGGCTGCGTTCATCCGCTAATGCACAGTTGCAGGCAAGTCTATATACAGTACATCGGTGTACCTCCGGCTAGCCCAGGGATCTAACTATCTTGGTTCGCCGACCTTCGGATGCATCTCCGTCACCTCATATCTGCACGGCGCAGATCATCATCGCAAGACCTTTCTAACCATACTTGGATGCAGTTCTGATAAACAACCTGGATTTTGTTCTCCGAATCTTGCAAGCAATGTCATGTACTTGCTATTTGCAAATTTGTTGCTCTTCAGCTCAAGTACCCCTGTCCAGACACCGGTCAACGCAAGATACGGTAGCACAAGATCATCTCTCGCCCAATACTGGCAGCCTCATGCTTGCAAAATTAAGACCCCTGAGCAAATCTACCACTAACATCTTGCGATATGATAAGGCTAAGGCAAAGCTAAAGCGCAGCCAAGATGTGGCTTGTTTCGACCTCAAGATCTTCCCCACTTGCGTATCGCACAAACGATTTCCTTCGCGATGCGAGCTGAATGCGAGGTAACATTATCAAAGTTGTTGTGATATGATGTATTCAATTTTGAAGCAATGCCTGTTGTGTTGCGGAATAACCGGACAAGTAGACCGCTGCCGACGATAGGGCAGTCACCGGTGAGCCAGCCTCAGCTAGGCCGTTGGCCCCAAAATAACCGCCTCGCATTCTCGCATTCGACTCCCGAACTAGGTGATTGAATTTCCACCAGTTATTTAGACGCTATAACAGCTGCCTAGATCTTCGTAATTCTGTACCACCCTTGTTGTGGACCTTTGGCACCCTAAACATAGTTTGGCTTCGGTGGGATACTTGAACACGACGATGGTCGCGCGGGGCGGTTGTACACCAAAGTGGTGCTAGACTTCTCACTATGATTTCGCTCCAGGATTTGACAGTTGGCCAGGTGTCTGGTATGATTGCAGCGGCTGTATTCGTTGGTATGCTTTCCTTACCAATGCTAGGCTTTGCTAACATAAGCTCCAAGTTCAATTTCTCGTCCCGATAGCACTACCCGTCATCCTACTCGGCTTGCTCCGACCACGGTCGGCCGCTGTCACGGAGTCCGCTGTATCTTGGTATAACACCAGCACATAGCGCGACGAATGCACAAGTCTAATCAGTGGATAGGTCTGTAATCGGTCGATATCTGCACAGCTCGTTATGGCCTATTATCCTCCGAACCGACTCGGCGGCGACTTTCTCAGCCTGCAAGTCGGCTCTGTTCATGTCGTTCTTCAAGACATTCATGTTAGTCTTGATTGCAATCGCAGCAATCGTAACACCTCTCGGTCTATACGAAGGCATCGTGGCCGAACCAGTTTCAGAAGCATCCGCCTTCCACTACATTAAAGACACTTCAGCCATGGGCTACGGTACTCCTCCGCGAGATACAAACAACACGTGGAGCAGATTGTGCGGCGCTTTCCTTCTAGTGCCTTGCCCCAATGACGATAATAAAGCGACGGTGATTGACAACAAGTCGATGGTCTCTGTCGATTACAGAGACGAATGGTACAGTTCCAAGGTCCCACAAAAGGTCATTGATGTCTTCCAAAGCGGCGCCTCCGGCTTCGCTGAATCCATGTCGAGCTTGTTTGACATCCAATACCGAAGTTACATCAAATCAGTCATCGATGATAACAAAAAGGGCCCCCTGATCGATAACGGGACGGCGCGGACCATTGGTAACTACCAACCCCTGTCTAGTATTCTGTTGAACGACGCCATCATGCCAGTGGAAGGCCTGATTGTCGACATGAAGAATGGGGGGATAGGATTCCGGAACCACAGTGCGCCGGTGTTGAAACAGTATGGAAGTACGTGGAGCGAGGATCTTCTTTTCATTGTACCGGATACTGTATGTGTTGATACGAACCTGACTCTGGATTTCCTTATTCCAAGGACCGGGTCTGAAGGTCTCCTAGCACGAAACGGTATACTCAAGCCGTCAATTACCGATCGAGGTGGCTTTATTGATCTCAACAAGACTTATCCGAGATGGCAGATTGATGATTTCCAGGAGAACCCAAACTTGTGGTACCGCGCCTACCGCGCAGCCTGGCTTAGGAATGCGTACTCGATGGCATACATGAACGTCACCAATCTTTCGAATGAAACCACGGGCGTCAAAGCTTTTGCTTACCTCAACTCCGAGATGAATAAGACGTTCCCTCTATATTATCCAAACAATGAGACGACATCCGGTTGGCTTGCCATCGACCCTCAATCATTGACCGTTTCGACGTCCTTTGGCCAGTACCTTGAAGGGACAAAAGGCTTGTCGAACAAGTCTACCGTTGGGAATCAGACTACGGAGTACAAGTTCGACACCAAGATTCCGATCTACCCCAATCCGTTCAATATCAATATTACACAGTGGTCTTCCATTGGTAAGCACAGATGTAACATGAACGGTACCCTGAGGCTAATATAATCGCAGATACGCTATGCAGAGGCCAAGGAGGAGGTGATTTAGCAAACATCACTCATATCGTGGCCAAATGCGGTGTTCTAAATGGCGCACCCCGCCGTAAGGATGGCAGCGCATCCCTTATGTTTGACCCAGGCTCTGCATGGTCGATGTCGATGTATACATGCATGTCCACCGCAAAGGCAACTATCAAGACCGTGAAATTCCGCTTCAACGGCACAAATGACGATATGACTGGCCTTGAAGTCCTCTCCCTTGTCGACAAGACATATCCTAACAAAGAGTCTCAGCCTCTTTGGGGTGTTGAAAACACAGAAATGTATTTGAAGGATGGCGGCCCGCTATGGGGTCTGGTGTCTGAAGAGAAGGCCAAAACCCTGAATTTATCCACAGTGAGGAAGGAGAGCCTGTATCTCCCTGGACGAGACTCGTCTATGGGCTGGCAGAACCTCCCCGGTGCCGACTTCGCTTCGATTGCTCTAGGCATGGCGTACAAAACCGGCATGAGCACAAAAGGTGTCGACTACTCCGGACAGTCCAATCTTGCCATGTTTAAGAAATGGCAGGAGCTCTCCAGAACCCCCGCTTCATCGGCCAAGATTCTGAATCTAGTCTGGACAGATCTTGCAGCAAACATGGTTGTTGGCACCAAGAGTCTTGCGCCCGGTCAGGATTCTAAGCGCAAGCGCGACGATGTAACGAATGAATCTTCCAAGACCCCACCAGTCACCAGCTATACGAGGAGAGTCAAGTATCACTACGCCTACGGCATCCCCGCATTTCTGGCTCTCGTGCTCACTGTCGGTGCTTTCACAACAACGCTCTTCTTTGTGTTCTTCTCCGGTGCTAAGCCCTCTACTATGCGCACTTTCTTACAACACACGTCAGCTGGGCGCTTCCTTACATCGCAATCGGGCATCTCTGGACATGCTCAGCCGCAGACTGTTTATGAAGGTAACGCTCTTCCCAGCGATGGCGGATACTCAGATACCCCAACGAATATCTGGGTCAAGGGTGCCGGAAAGCGACGCTTTACATTGGGCGCCGAGGGCTGGACGAGGATTGTGCAAGAGGTTCCTGGCTATGAGGCAAAGGGTGGATCAACGGTGGCCTATGCACCTATCCCAAATCCTACTAGATATTGAAAACTTCGTCTGAGTAGGTGGTGGAAGTGCGCATGTATCGTTGATGAGGGAGGCAGGAGAGGAAACTTTGTCTAGCCTTCTATACCTTCAAGCTCGGCATTGCACCAGCCCCCGAACGTTCACCCTATTCATTGCAACTTTTGTAAGTAGTATAATCACTACTCTCGAATTCTAGCAGTCTAGTTTCTTAGACAGCTGATCACTGTCAAACTCTAGGGCTATTTGGCAATAGACTATGTAGGTCACTGTGAAGTAACCTAGCTACTCTTTACATTCTCAATACAATAGTGAAAGCTCTACATCCCGCGCGATACACATGACCCTACATACCAGGCTTGTGATTGCTGTAGGGGCGTCCAATACGGCGGGTGCCTGAGCGCACACATTCTTGTAGCCAATCAGCACAAATCTACCGGTAGCTTTCACTCACAGATGCCTCGACAAGACGTAACCTTTGATTGTTAATGCGTTTCTGATAGCGAGAAAAGAGCTTGGGCCATGACTGGAACAGACTAGCTTCACTGATCGCCCACGGATACTTCTCACGCTCGACACCCGAGTGAATTTCAATAAAGTCCCACCTTCTTCTAGCTCAGCCATCGACAAATCTACCACAACCGCGCCTCTCTCGGCAGGAATAGACCTTAGCCTGAATCTACTAGAATATTAGATCAAGCTGGTGCTAGTCGATTTGACGAACGAATTCAGTATGACGAATCCAAAAGGTCACGTTATCAAGGTTGAGCACGCGCCGACGCCGTCCCCAGCAACGCGAGCCCCAGATATCAACCTTCGAGCCGACTTATTGCCGCCAATGGCTTCTCCAACTATTCCGGCTCATGGGTCTCATGCTAGACCTACCACGAACGTTCTTTCTGACTTTTCAAGTGGAGAATGTGGCCAGCCGGCGACAGAAGCTGAACTAACCCCAGAGCAAGTTGTTTCTTTATATACTGGCCCGTACTCTACACACTATATGGCTAGCATAGTCGACGGCGGAAACTATTGGGAAAAAGAAGGCCGTCCAGGTACTCTTTCCAAACCTACAAACGCTCCGTAAGATAACCTACTACTAAGATACCGCTACTTTACTAAAAATAACCTAGTCCATATAACCATGAGCTTCGCCCGATCCACTACACGGACGTTGGGGCTCCGCAAGCGTATCGACAGTATGCTGGAGTGCCTGCAGCACACAACATGATCCCCGCGCAAGCTCCTTTGCAAAATCCGGAGATTCACAAGTTCGGTGACAATGCTCCTGCTCGACCGACGGCTTTCAAGACTCCAGTTCCCGGGAAAGGATTGAAAAAGAGCAATCGCATAAACAGAATGGTACTTCCAGATATGGCGCTTCCAGAAAACTCAGACATGAGCCTGAACTTTACGAATCTGCGCGAGGCGAGAGACTCTGTGCTCAACCGGGATCTGGACTGTATGCCTCCATCTCCGGACCTCTCAATCCCGAAAACAGACGAGCAGCGGGCCGGCTATGTGCTCCGCCTGCTCCTCGCGATGAGGAATCGTGACGACGTCCTCGATAAGGACGTAGAGTCAAAGCGCTACAATGCCACGGGCACGGACGATATGGGTGGTGGATACTACTATAAGGAGGAGGATATGGAGAAGGTCTGTTGGGAGATTGTGGTACGTATCGATCATCCTTCCACCCCTTCATGTCTTAACTCCTAACACTCAAGTGTAGAACATCGCAGAGAAGTTGCACATCCACGGGCCTAACATCCTCAGCATCTATGACCGCGAGACTCTGCGAAATATCAAGAGGGACATCAACTTCACATTCGAAGAGCGCATGCAGTGTCTTATCAAGATGCTATGTTTCTTCAAGAGCAGGTGCGACGCCTTCATGAAGGGCTCTGCTATGGAAGAAACTGTAGCCCAACCGCTTCAGAAGCTGACCCAGGCGTTGACAAACCGTAACCAGAACGACAAACGCGCTAAAATCATCGCTGCTGGCCGCAAAGTTAGAAAGGACTTACGCGAAGACACTGCCACTCCGGATCGAGACGAGCTCGACAACAACGTCGATACTGGAGCTGAACAGCCGTTGATCGAGCCTCGCGCTACTCAGGCTCCCGAGCACCGTCATACGTGGAGTCTTAACCAAGATGTCCATATGGGGGATCAAGAGGAGGATGATATTGACACGGCAATGGCAGATCGTGACTTGCCCACCGACGAAGACTTGTAAGACATCCACGATCATCTCGCGCTTACAGTTCCGACATCCCCTATCCGCACAGCACGTAGTCGCTTTACGGCTACAGATGACAGCCCTACGAAGATCGCTTGCGGTAAGTCAGGTCTTGATTCTTCTCTACTATCGAGATTCTGGCATGATCCTAGATCCTCCCGTTAACTCTGAGCCGACTAACGAGTTCATCTCCATGCCTTAAGATTCCGATGCACATAGGAAGGTAAAGAGCAGGCAAATTGCCTGTATCCTTCGGGACTAGTAACGTATCAAACGACAGAGCGAGGGCTGGGTCCACGCGTATTCACTAAGCATATATCAAAGGGGTAGATGGAAAGATTGTGGTGCCTTCTAAGGATTTGATATGAGTGCGCATAGCGCAAGTTCAGCTAGTATTAGCTACAGGGCGCGGCTTTCGGGCTCCACATATTGCGTGTACATAAATCAGAAATGAATAATGCTGTTCATTGCATATTGTCATACGCCAACAAGCACCCATCATTACGTGTCCGCAGCCGATTTCACCGCTCCGGGTCCCTATCAATCCACGCAACATTTCCAAACTTGCCCGAAAACGGATATTGAAACACCTTTTCCACACTTGAATATGGCTCATATTGCTTTTCGCTCATAACGATCGTAATATTGCTCTGAGCTCTTGCTGTCGCATTCCAGCCTGGCCCATAGTCCTTATACTCGGCCATCGTGGTGTTAGAATTAACACGCGGGTCTGTCTTGCTCCAATCGATATAGCCGCTGGGCAGAATTGAATCATCGAGATACGTGTTTGCGAAAATAGAACGGTGAAGCGCGTTCCAGGGTCGACCGAGTGCACATTTGCCAGTGAGTGCGAGAGATGAGTTTGCTTTTTGCACTTTCGAATCGTGGATGTATACACCCTAACTCTGTGATTAGCCTCAGGTCGTCGAATCCGTCGTTGAAACTTACGTATTTGTTCTCGAAGGTAGTGTTGGTGCCCTTCCATGCGGTGATGCCACCGCCGCAGTTGCGCAGTGTTACCAAACTAGATTGAATCCATGCAGTACCGAACCCGTAGAAGAAGTCGGTCTGCCCGGCTATCTCGTTCTTGTAGAAATATGCATTTCCTAACTTGCCGACGTAGACCTACAAAATACTAGTTAGCCATTGATCGTATGAATTTGGGGAACTTGGTGTAGCTACTGTGTCCTGATAGGAGTAGAATCCGCAAAAGTAGAATCCCGTATTAGCGTAGCTGACCGATACAGCGAGAGCTGGCCCAGTAGCATAGTTTTTGTAGTCATTGATGAAATTCAAGTTGTACGCTCTGAAGTCGACGTTTCCAAATGGAGTATTTGCAGGTACAGGGTTGCCCGTTGGACCACTCCCAGTGGTACTCGAGTTGAAGGTTGGAGCGACAGTTAGGGTAGAAGTATACGCGTTGTCCAGAGTTGAATTGACGCCTGCTCCCGTCTAAATATCGGTGCACGAAGTCAGTGTATGTCTCTCATGCCGTCCGTACATGGATGTTACGTACAGCATTGCGCCAGATGATGTTGACACTGTTCTTGCTCTGATCATTAGGATGTTGGGTCTGGCCGAAAAGGTATACCGAGCCTGGCCGAGTGACATTGACTTGTTCTGTGTAGTTACCGGGAAGGATCAGTATGTGCTGCGGAGACGTGTTGTTTGGCAAGCTGAGAATAGCCGATTGGACCGTGGTAAAGTTGCGCCCTGGGCCTACGAGAAGAGTGTTTTTAGGACACCCGTCCAAAGGATTCCTCGTTGGGTGTTGACATGCTCTACGGTTAAATGAAGCGACAGCCACGCCAGCTTCGAGAAGACCTGCGATGATAGCGGGCAGACGCATGGCGTTCTTTAAATGTCTGACTCCTGTGGCCGGAAGTCCTGGTTGATAGTGATGTAGCCTACCACATGGCTTGGCTCATCAAGCTTTTATGGAGGACAGTGCTAGCTCATCTAGATGGCATCGGAAAAACTTAAGCATCGCGATCCGTGTATCCTACCCGCGGCGCAAAGTGGGCATACAGGCACTTGTCATGCATGCTCATCAGCCGCGGACGCACATTTTACGTTCATCATTTGGAAACAGCCGCCAATCAGAGCGCTCTCGCATTTTACCGAACGCGGGGTGAGGCTCGTGGTTTTTAGATGGCGTTCATGGGGATCGTGGGGTACGTGGAGAAGGAAGGTCCACCAATCATCGAAAAGCCACTTGCTGCAGGCACAAAATTGCGACGACGGGACGATGAGACGACATCGATGACCTGGACATTTGCAGGAGCCCCAATCTCTTCTACTGCACTGGCGGAAGTCGTGCCACCGCTCCTAAATCTGCTGCGCACTCTGGACACAAACTCGAGCACCAGCACGACAATGAGCTCGATAGAGCAGCGGGACTGGACATAGCAAGCAAGGAAGAACAAGTCGTGCCCAAGCATCAACGTAGCGAAGAATCTGCGCATTATTATCAACACCTGTTCATTGCTATAGAAGAGTCATTCCCAGTCGGTAGAATTGAGCGATAGGTTGCGACGCGGCACAAAAGGCCATGCTAACTGCAAGAGCACACAACAAGCGCTCAGAACTCGAATCTTGCTGGCCCTTGCGAGAAATTTTGGCCTCAACGATACGACAGAGAAAAGGGCTACGGTAAAGAGAAATGTGCAAGATACTGGTCCATGGCTCAATTTCCCTTGCACGAAACTCCCAAGGGCATGCCGACCAGGTACTTCTGCTTATCGGTCTCTTTGCCCTTGTCATTAGTACCTGTAGCCCCAAGAATCTTAAGACAAGCCTTCTTCTCAAAGACAAGCACAATATCCGACCCGCCAAACTCAAAATGTGAGATCTCGTCACCCTTTTTGATGGTTGCATTCGGATAGATTGGGTAGTTCTTTCCCGCTGGTGGCTCCCAGACAAGTTTGACAGAAGAAACTTGGGCCATACCAATTGGAAGAACAGCTACTTTGCCAAGTAGCGGGTTATCGATCACAACTAAACCTCGTGTCTGCAAGAATTGGTATCCGGTGCCATCTGGAGCATCCAGCTCTGAGAAATCAAGGTCCGGAGCATTAACTGTGGTGCGTCTCTTGCGTAGTCGGGGCTCAAGGCGACGGCGTAAGCGGAGCTTGCCAGACTTTTCGGCTGTCACCTCCAAATATGCGAGACCATGAATTTTATTTACTTCCAATACCGTGCCTCCGACGGGTGCGTGTTGTCGATGATAATCTTGGGGGCCTAGGAAGGCGTGCATGAACTGTCCACCAACGAAGTGTGGAGCATACTTGCTATCCTTCAGGAGGTCTTTGATATGCCAATCAATGTGTTTGACGGTAACAGTTTGGTTATCCGTGTCGTCAACTGTGACCGTGTTCGGTTCGTGGTCAGGGTTGTTTACATCATTGATGGGCCATGCACCTTTGAAGGTGGAATCGGCCGGGTACACGACCACGCTGTCGTCATTCGGGAAGCTGATGGGGCGCATGCCTTTCTTCAAATAGCGAGCAAAAAGCTTGTTGAATGTAGGGAAGCCTTCAGGAGGTACATAGGCCTCCTCGTAGTGGTATAGCGGTGATGCTTGGAAGCTTGCGATAGCTGCATCAGAGATCGAACCGGGCTCGTCCATGTACTCTCCAACTTTGACTGCAAATCGGCTGATCCAGTCATCCAGTGGCAAGATCTTGCCCACGGATGACGGCTCAATGGGCACGGAAAAAGGCTCTAAGCTCAGAGGCTTCTGGTCCAGAATCCAGTAAAAAAGGCAGAGAACCCAGTAGATGAGGCTTCCACTGGCTATTTCAGAAGGTGCCCAATACAGCATTCCGCTAGCGAATAGTAGAAATCTTTTCGCGTCGGTGATTCCCCAATCATTCAGTTGCGGAACATTGGCTATGAGCGCCGTCTCAACTGCCCGGTCGAGAGGTTCGAGGTTGCCATGGAAGACACTTTCGACCAGACTTTCCTGTATCCACGGGTCTACAGTAGTTGGAATATGGAAGGGGAGAGGCCTTGAGGTTTGTTGCAAGGGCAGGGTCGTATTGTCGTTGTCTGTTGGACCTAGCTGCAGGCTTATTGCTGGTAGAATGGTAACGAGTAGATGAAGTACCTTCATAATGGAATAAACTGGAGGTTGGTTTGGAGCAGTGGTTTGGTAAGTGAACGAGTGAGGTGTCGGTATCGCCTAATTTCACTAAAAATAAAGAGTCTTATATGAGCAATGTAGTTGCAGAACTCTACAGAGAGCCAAGTCCAATGATCACTGCAGGTGATACAACCACCTGGCACGATAATGGTATGGTGTTTCTGTGGCATAATGTGTTACACTACTACGCAATAGCAGACGAAATGCGCGAAACGTGGTGTCGCGGGAAGGTGGTGTAACAAAACATGGTCGAGGTACCCTTCCGTCGGTTTTCACAACTCCGCACTCAAAGTACCTCCATAGAACCAGCGATAGCTCCCCGACGGCGTAAGCGCTTTGGGAGTCCTCCCCCCCTGCTTGCGGCTTAGGCACAATAGGATCATCTTAACCAATGTCAAGTCAAATGCTAATGCTAATGCCTCACAGAAACGCCTGCCCGATACCTGCGGTAGCTTGTAGTCTTTGGCGGTGCGTCCGAATATCCAGGTACATGATGTTGTCAAGAGACATTGATTGGAATGCTCGGGGCACGTTACTTCGCTAGCGCAGCCGCTAATGACAGGAAGGAGGAAGAGCGGGTGTCACCACGTCTGTAACACCAACGTCCATCATTCAACAGCAAAAGTCCCCGGACGAACACATCTTCTAACGTTGTGGTTCCATTAGCGGTACGTGGATGTAGGTTCCCTGAATCGGGTCGGATGTTGTCGCGAGTGGCGAGCGGCTCGCTCGGATTGTCTCCCAGAACAAGAATGAAAAGAATCCTTCAGGCAAACAAAAGGCTTGGTGTAGTCACCAAGAGCAGCTTTCTTTCAGGCCAAAGGGCATCTATACGCAGTTTCGCAGGTGCCAAGCACGATAACGGTAGGGTCATACTGCCGAGTAATCACGACATCGACGCTGATCACGATGCGCACGATGCGCACCGCTAAGAGGCCATGCCAAGAGATTCTCACCACCATACCAAGAGAATCTCACCAAATATCTGCTTCACCTTCCACTTCAGGTTGATTTGGGCCACTCAACGTTGGTTACCAACACCCAATTACTGGTTGACCATGTAACCCAAGGCTTGAAACGTCAATCGGTGTGACGATCGCGAAATCAAGGCATTCTGAAAGGATCAAATTCTAATTAATATCTCGTGGGAAAGTATGAAGGTACCTGATCACGTCATCAGAGAAAGCTATATGACCATCCTGGCCTCCTCATCCTAGGAGAAGAACCGTAGAACATGCAGATCGTGTCTGCTCCACCGGCTTACTGTTGCAACTACCGTTGCCGTCACACGTCCCTGTCGACGCTAAAGACAGGTGTCAACCTTATCTGAACTTCTACCTCCAACGAACGTTACTCGGAGTTGAGAGGCGTATTTAGTCCATCATGGCTACCAAGTTCGACGCGGAGGATGCCAAGGTCGTGCGGCATACCGACGATGAGACTTCCCCTCCCCCAGACTACGGGAGCGTACAGGAGGACAACGCATATGTGTACGCCGATGATCAAAAGCTGGGTTACACCGCGACTGTATTCGTCATCCTCAACAAGTACGTCCAGTCCGTTCATGACTTACCTGTGAAACACACACTGACTTCCTATTTCAACCATCTAGAATGATTGGCACTGGTAGTAAGTAGGCTCCTTCACAAAGATAGAGGGGTTGTGTGCTGATCCGGGTAACAGTCTTCTCCACCCCATCCGGTATTTTCGCCGTCTCTGGCTCAGTTGGTGTCTCGCTCTTTCTCTGGATTATCGGGGGCATCCTGACCTTTTGTGGCCTCTCCGTATTCCTAGAGTTTGGTCTTGCCATCCCAAGATCTGGTGGGGAAAAGAACTATCTCGAGCGGGTGTACCGTCACCCAAAGTACGTTGCAACGTGCGTTCTAGCAGCACAGATGCTGTTGCTCGGCTTCTCGTCTGGAAATTCGCTCGCCTTCGGTCGCTACGTGCTCTTCGCTTCGGGATCAACTGCCCCTGATGGGTGGGCAGCGCGGGGTATCGGCATTGCTTGCGTTACCTTCTCTGTTGGCCTGCATGCCACATTCCCCAAATGGGGCATCAGGCTGTTCAACGTCCTCGGCGTTTTCAAAGTCTTCATCCTCCTCTTCATCGTCTTCTCCGGCTTCGCGGCCATCGGAGGCCATTTAAAGATCGACAAACCCAACAACTTCGACAACGCCTTTAAACTCGAGGTCGGAGACGGCTACGGTGGCGGTGGCGCCTATCAGTACTGCCAGGCTCTACTTCGCATAATTTATTCGTACAAAGGTTGGGAAAATGCAAATTATGTTCTTAGTGAGGTCAGGAACCCCAAGAAGACGCTATCATGGTCTGCGCCCCTCGCCATCGGAGGCACAACGATCCTTTATGTCCTTGCGAATGTAGCTTACTTCGCCGCGATTCCTAAGTCCGAACTTGCGAAAAGCGAAGTCATTGTTGCGGGTCTCTTCTTCCGCAACGTCTTTGGTAACAGCGCTGGAGCACGAAGTCTGCCTGCTTTCGTCGCCCTCAGCAACTTGGGCAACGTGCTGGCTGTCAGCTTTGCACATGCCCGCCTGAATCAGGAATTTGCAAAGGAAGGCCTCCTGCCCTGGAGCCGGTTCTGGGCATCGAACAAGCCCTTCAATGCTCCCGCAACGGCGCTCTTCCTGCATTGGCTGATTACTGTCATTGTTCTTGTGGCTCCTCCCGCTGGACCAGCGTATAACTTCATCACCGATCTTTACACGTATCCTGGAGCCTGGATCAACGCCTTCGTTACTGCCGGTCTCATCTACCTACATTACGCAAAGAGTGAGCGCTGGGAGTCCCCATGGCACACGTACCTTCCCATCGCGGTCGTCTACCTGCTTGCCAACATCTTCCTAGCTCTTGTTCCCTTTGTTCCTCCGGATGGTTCCTGGAACGCTGAAGGCTACCCGTACTACATCTTCCCCGTGGTTGGTGTGGGCGTTTTGCTGCTCGGTGTGCTCTACTGGGTCTGCTGGACAAAGATCTGGCCCAAGTTTGGCGGCTACAAGATCGTTAGCCAGAGGTATGAAGATGCGGAGGGTATTGAGCATGTTCGGTATGTCAAGGTGTATACGAAGCATGAGTAAGAATCGAATGGACTAGTGGTTCTACAAGTAGCTGTCGTCACTACGGATAATTGAAGAGACGGGCGTGAGCTGCGGATTATGTAAGAATATAAGTTTACATCAACTAAAGCCCTACAGCCTGCCCAGCAGATGCTGAGTTCTTGACTACAGCCTAGCACCATCTCTCATGGTATCATGCATCCTCACCCTCCTTCCTCTCCACCTTCAAAAACCGACACCCCTCACACGCCAGATGCTCACACTCCTCACAACTATCCGCACCAACATATCCCGGCCCCCACTCCTGATACCCATTCCTCCTACCAAGTAACGTAAAGTGCGTATCGCTGCGATACGTATTTCTACTATTAATAGAGCCGCTGCAACTCGGTTGACAGCAGCGCCATGTGTACAGCAGGGGGATGCGCGGACTGTGATGCGCATCTGGGCCGTAACGTACAAGACCGGTGACTGTGTTTGTGGGTGCCCTAGCAGCGCGAGGGGGGATGGTCAAAGATGTGACTGTAGGGGGAGTGGAAGGTAGATCGAGGGCGGGGGTTGGAGGGCAATTTGGGAGATTTGATGAAGACATTATTTCGCTGTTTGTTCGCATGAAGGATAGGTATGAAGAGTTGAGGATGAGGTTAGTATTAAGTCTCTAGTGGATGATGGGCGAAGGTTTTGGTTGTGGAAAAGTGATTAATTGGACGTGTCAATGTAGAGAAGCACTATTCAGTCGCTGTCTATTCAACCTGTCTATATCCCGCGTCACACCGTGCGCGTGAACTTTTGCACCATAGATTGGTGGCAGGAGGAAGACGTGACATTGTCAAGAATAAACTTTCATTCACAGCTCCAATTTGGTATCACCGCCGCCACTAACATACTATGCATATGCAACGCTTACTCAGTCCGAAGACCGACAACAAAAAGTCTTCCTCACTAATCAACATGTGTGTGCAATGAATGCGTCAGGAATTTACACCTTTCCTCCTCCCGTACAATACAGTATAGTAGAAGAGATACATGTCAACGATATGCAAGAAACGGAAATCCCCCCTGCTTCGCTATACACAATCAACCAACGGGAAGAGGGGGACGGTAATCCCTCCTTGTTCACCATCCAAAAACACCAAATATGAGATCCAAGGCTGGACATGAAAAGCGTGAGAAGTGCAGGCCGTGTGGATAAATTAATCCCGCTTGAGTATTGCGCTCATAGCGTGATGAGACCCATGATGGCAATGACAATGGCAAGCGCAGAACCACTGATGCGGCCCAGACCAGGCTCAAGCGCTGATCCCGCACCAGCGGCGGCGGGCTTATCACCACCCTGGTTGAATGTCGTTTGCGAGTCACCGCCCACCTCATTGGTAGATTGGGGCGAGTTAGGCGAGCTGGCGTCTGTAGGCTGCGTCTGGCCTGCAGACGTTTGCTCGGCACGGTTGCCGCCTCCCGGGTTGCCTCCAGGTACCATGGCAACGTTGCCTGTAGGCTTCGAGTCTCCACTCTTAGGGGCTTCGCCAGGCTTCTCGCCAGTACCCATCAAGGATCCGAGAACAACCAGGTCGTTGGCGATGGCGATGGTATTGTTAGTAGCCGCCCTATCCGTGTACTTGTACGACTTGTCGCCCTTGGTTTGGATTCCCTTGGGGTGGTCGTAGCACTCGACGTTAACCTCCTGGAAGCGGGCATAGTAGTATCCGTTCTGCATGTAGGGAGAGTTCCAGTCGATTTCTCCGCCGGCCCAGTCGACAGTGCCCTTGGCATTGGTAGGAAGACCAGCGGGCCAGAGCGACAGCATGACGCGCGAGGGGGTTTGCGGGTAGTCGAAGCGACCGGATGTAGCGTTCCAGGTATCCTTGCGCTCAAGTTTGCGCGACTCCTTTCCATCAATGTACCAGGTGAGGTCGTCTTGTTTCCAGTCGACGCAGTAGTCGTGCATTTCAAGGGTACTTGGGCCGTCGACGGTCAGGTTCTTGCCGTTTGTGTCTGCGCGAGATTAGCTTGCAATCAGACGTTGTGTAACAGGATATGACGTACAGACTGTGACACCCTGCGAGTAGAAGTTGGACAGGCCCTGGTTGATGCTGGCACCAATAAACTCGAAATCAATTTCGTCCTTGACGTCGGACATGAGAATAAAGGCAGTAACGACACCCTTGCCTTGGGCAGTTGACAACCTAGCGCAGATCTTGCCGTACCAAACGTAGAATGTGGAGGCCAGCAGCGTTCCACTTGTGCCTTGCGACAGGGTCAAGAGGGTCGACTTCTGTCCACCGTTGGGATCCGTGTAGATGGCGGGCAGGCCCTGCGACTGCCAGTTGGTCTTGGAGGGGTCGCCGAGGTACTTGTCGATGGTCTTGACATCGTCGAGCGAATCGAGAGCGTATTTGCCGCCCTTGCAGACGGGATTGGGAACGCACGACTCGAACTTATGCGACTGGAGCGGGTTGCAGCCACCGAGGCAGAAAGCACCGACACCGCAGTCGCCATATACTATGCATCTTGTTAGCAGCGCCTCTCTCGAGAGTGGGCTGGGCGGTACGCACGAGAGCAGCAAGGTGTGTCTTCGGGACACTTCTGGGTAGTTGAGCACTTGGCCCCAGCAAAGGCCGTGCCGGCAAAGGCTGCCGCGACGAGCACGGCGGAGAGTGCGCCTCGAACCATGTTCGCGATGGGTTTGGTGGGCGCAGATGTCGTGTAAGGATGCTAAGTGTGTCGTGCAGCTGTCAAAAACCAGCGACCACTTGTCCGGCCGTCGAGCAACGCAATCGCGTTATATCGGGCAGTGCCTTCCGAGCTTCTTCGCTGAAACAAAGGTCTGGAGATCCGAGCCGTTGGAGCAGGCGCAAGCGAATGACGACTGGTTCAACGGTCCCCTCAATATCCTTTGTCGGCGAGTAGAGTGGCGAGTAGCGAGTGTCGGGTGTTCGAGCGGTAATTAGGCGGTAGCGAAAGTGTATTTGAGGCGGACGGAAAGTAAAGAGGGCGAGGATGAGCGAGTTGGTTAATGCACGAGGCAACAACAGCAAAAAGAAGGGAGTATAAGCCCACTGACGCCGTGTCAGCCGTCCTGGGCTAGCGCTCTCCTAATTTCACTCGGCCTAAACGCGAACCCTTTCCGGTCGGCTCTGTTGCTATAGCCGTCAGGCATACCAGGAGGAGGCGCCAACGCCACGGCCACCGTTTGCAATTACAAAATACGACGAACCGCGCAGTGAGCCCTGGGGAACCCGTTGTCCTATTCCCTTTGCTCTTCAACCTGCCTTTGCCCTGCATAATGGATTTTTCCCTCCTGTTGCGCTACATCGCCACCTGCGTCTGCTGCAGTGTTTTAGCGTCACACCAGGCTGTCGCGGTCAATAACCCGATACGATCCGCTAGGCCATAACCAGCTAGTGCCAAGGGTTATTCTTAGGTGTGCCAAGCTTCCACGTGCTCTCTGATGTCCCTGGAACTTTGGAATGTTCAACGGCTATGGTCACACGTCACCTGCCAATGACATGACAGAACAATGTTGCAAACGGTCAATGGAATGCAGCACCGTTGACTTGTGCCATTGTGTCGTGCGTGCGTCCTGCAGGGCTTGTGTTGCTTCTGCCCCTGGATCCGGGTCGCTGCTGCCGAGTACGAACACGGCTGACTGGTCTTGAGATCAGCACATGGCGGACGTCACATTAATGCGCTGTGTTGAAATCCTCCATCTTGCACCGTGGCTCTGATTATTCTTATTCGAGCGGCAAGTGCGTATTGTGCATTCATTCTACTTCGTCATCATTCTTCTGTCAACCCCAGCCCAACCTCGCGACGCACTAAGCTCATTCCAATTGCAATTGCATCCGCTTGCTACAGACACGACTCACTGAAAAAACTCTCTGTGCTCTTTCAAAAACTTGCAGGAAACCTTGTGCCCGTTCTTCCAATCCCACGCCTGGCATTCAGCAGAGCAGTAGCGCGTTAACTTGCACCGACTGCACTTCTTGAGTTCGCCTCCGTCTTTCGCCCTCGTCGCATCGCACGCAATACACTGTAATATCTTTGCATCATCTTCGTCCATAAGAGATGCTGCGCTTCCGTTCTGCTGACCAGCGGGTGCGGGAGCGGCAGGCTGATGGCTTTGGGCGGGTCGTGGTGAAGCAGTAGCATCCTCAGGGCTGATGGGCGAGGCGAAGATGAGTGGTATAGCAACCCGAACAGCGTGCTTGGAAATTCTTGAAAACTGCTTCAACTCCTTCATATATCCGGCTGGGAAGATATCAATGCCACATCTACACATGTAACGCTTGCCTGCGTCTGTAGAAAGCGGAATCCTGCCCTCGGGCTTGTACTCGCACGTTGACTTGTGCTTCCACTGACGGCAGCGCTCTGCGAAGGTGGGTAAGAGGTGCTTCCAGAAGGGAACTTCCTTGGCGTCTGGCGTGATAAAGACACCTCTCACGTTGTCAACGTCCGACATGATGTCTGACAGAGTCGTGCTAAATTTGTCGCTGATTTCGTCGTGAAGCGCGACGCAAGCTGCGTCTAGAATAATAGTTTGGTTGGAGACATCAATCCGAACTGCATCTACGAAGATCGTAGCGAAGTCTCCATGGCTTCCCTTTAAGCCGAAGACAGACGTCTTCTCTTGCTTTTGAAGCCCCAGCGCCATAATGAACATGGAGACGATGGTCTCCTTCATGCCCAAACGTCCGCCTTTGTGAAGATCCGTGGTGGAAATGGCTTTCTTAAACGCAGCATGCTCCGTAGCTGACATGGTCGCCCTGGTTGAGACTAGGGCCGACAGTGAGTCGGTGTTTATGTTCGCCTTGGCATTGTTCATTTTGGGGAGAACATCAGGCAAAACGTAGTGAAGATGATCAAGTAGGGGTTTGGACCTTGGTAGCAGGTTAGCAAAAACATGATAAGATCGGTAGGCGGCTTACGAAGGGGTCATTTGAATGGAAAACACTGAGTCTGGGCGCGAAGCAAGAAGGCTCGGCTGGGCAACTGGCGCAGAGTACTCAATCCATAACGATTTGCGTGCAACCTTGGTTTTCCCACGAGCACCGTCCAGTGGCAGAGGCAACTCCAATACCTTCCGGAACGCGCTGCCGACCTTTATAATCAGGCTATAAGGATTTGACAGCTCGACCTCAACGGCCGCAGCGCTCTGCAACGCTGTCTTGACGTCCACTGAGATGATGTCAAGCCGCGTATGCAAGGAGATAATCCTGGACGAAGTGTCGTCGAAACATGGCCGAACAGTGATAGCTACATCTTCGTCTGTAATATGTGTTAGTAGGGTGCCCGAGAGGGCAAACAAACGCATCATCTTACCATGTGTTTTAGCCGAGGGAGCCGCGCACTGTACAGAAGCGTGCCCTGTCATGTTGGGTCGATATCTCGTGACGAAGACGTTCTTTCTGTTAACAGCTGAGGTATGCAAATGCAGGTGCTCGCCAAGGGATGGTGAGAAGTGTGCTGCATTCGCTGTCGTTCCCTTCAGCCCGAACATTACGCCACATTCTGTACCTCCATATTGAATAAGAGAGTATCTTGACACCATGGCTGAGACAATGAGTGGCGACTTGCCGTTGCATCCTGCCTGGTCATCTTCGACGTAAACCCTATAGCTGTTTGTCAAAGGCGTTCCGGACGTCGTTAATTTTCCAAATCCGAGCTGTACGTCGGGGTATATGGATTTTTTCTTAGAGTGCGGCGACGAACTAAGTTGCAGTTGACACAGTGGTGTTCCATTATAGTCGTTGAGATCGTCAAACGCCGCTACGGCTGAGTGAGGAACGACCATGGTGACACAGACAATGGGTGGCATCTGGCTCCAGGTTAAGAAGATGTTAGTATGCAAGTCTTGCTGGAACGTGCAGTCTTCCTCGATAGAGTACAATCCGAACATATCGAGGTGCGCGAACAATGAATGGAACTGATATGGACTCATGTTCACTTTCTCATCGGCCAAGATGTTGTCAGCCAAGTCGTCCATGAATGGGAGCCATTCTACAATGTCTGTGTTTTTGAGATGCCGCAGAACAACAGCCAAGCCGGCCTTTGTATACACTTCCCAAAATTGAAGCTTCTTAAGTCGTTCATCTTCATTCCCAATTTGAAACTTCTGGAGCTTCCGAGTCAAGTCCTCGTCTGGAAACATCTCCATGTAGAGGTTGCCGACAAATTTGGCCAGTTCGGTGGCTTCGTACTTCACCTTGCCAATCTCGGCAGGCTTCCAGACAACAATATTCCGCGCTAGTATACCAGCGATATCTTTGGCACCAGGAATGTCCTCCAACGTAGGCTCGTTGACGTGCCAAGTTGCGGTGGCATTTGCCAAGTACTGTATTGGCTTCAGTCCGAGCAGCAGTGCCATTGTCGGGAGATCACCACTAAGCAATGTCTTTGCAGACTCTGCTACACTTATCTCTCGCGGCAACAACATCTCCGTACGGAGGGTCGATGATGGCAGTTCACGGAGTAATGGAGCTGTGGCGGTGATGAGGTTCAGACTACCGAGATGGTCTACTAGATTCGATGTGTCGATCACGTCGAAAGAGAGGGGCGCGTGGCCAGAGTCTGCGTAGTCTGATGAATCGAGTACCAGGGGGTTGTAGTTCCAAGTCCCTCTGTACCAGTTGGCTTTGTGTGACCCGTTGTTCGTGCGATGGTGCTGGAGTACATGACAAAAAGCGATAGCATCTGAACTGACATAGCGAACCGTGACTTGACCGTCAGCATCACGGAATGCCTGGCACCACGCACCGAGTTGGACGAGAGCTGCTCTCAGCTCTTTAGGCATGGACTTTTCTGACGCCGGCACTGCTTTTGATACCCCCAGTGGCGAATCCGCTGAGAGTGGTACATGTATGAGGGAGAGGTGGAAGCCCCACAAAGGATTGTTAGCATAGTGGAGGATGAGACCGCTACGACGACAGGCAAACATAGGGTTAGCGAAGGTGAGTTTCTTGATAGCTTTCTTGTCTTCGAAGCAAGTGCCGCTATCCCAGAATGTCTGGTATTGCCTTGGGACGTCAGCATAACCTTCAATGAAAAACGGAGCTGCAGCGCGAAGTCCATCCACAACGATTCCATCATTAGATACCATCATGTTCTTATAACGCCTAGCTGCGTCCCATTGGCGTCTCACTGTCTCTTGCACCTCTTTATACCTCGACTGGTCAGAGGGCTCGACCGAGTACAACTCCCAGAGCTTGACCACGTTCGCAAAGGTCGTGTTATCACAAAAACGAACCAAGTTGCCGTATGGGCCTTGTTCCCACTCTTCAAGAGATTCCGCGTGATTGAGGAGTTTTTTAGCTTGGCCTTGTAGAAGAGTCAAAGTTTCATTATCAATGAAGACATGATAATATAAGTTCCAGAGCAGCCGGACGCAAGTGCCTTTTGCATCGTCGAGGATCGTACTCAGCGCCAGGACGTTACGGGCAATTATTTCTGTCTCAAGGTCGCAGCAGGTAAAGTCAAGTTTGCGTCCATCTAGTATGCGGTTAGAAAGATAGATGCTGCAGATAAGAAGCACGCACTAGTACCAGCTCCATTATAGACGCTGGAGAGGATGTTCCGGATGTCCCCGCAACCAAGTAGAAGCAGAGCAGCATCTTGTTCTGGCGGAAGAGATTGCGTTAAGCTCACAGCTGGCGTGTTTCCTGCCGCGTACAAGAATGGCGGTTGCGTAGTGTGAACTGGCTTTAGCGACATCTTACTGGTCGAGGCGAGGTGACAGGCAATGTGAGGATGAGCGGCCTAGGAACAGATAGTGTATTACTTCGTTCAGTGAGTAGCCAGCTTTCGCGTTTGACACGTCTTGAGACGCGTCTTGAGCAAGTTTGATGCTCGGTGGAAGTCGGAAGGCGATGACACCTTTGGAAGAAATGAACGAAAACAAGGTTGCGAAGGGGGTACCTCTTGTTAAAGCAGTATGGTAACCTGATTATGCTAGGCGCATGTAGATGTTATCGAGTTTTTATACGATCAGAATTGGGCAAGCACCATAATGTTCCTCTCTCGCAATAAGACCGGCGTTGCGGTGTACATCCAAGGATCTGTTTCGCTACGCGCTTCCAAGGTTTTCGTTTTTCGCTAGTAAAGGGGCTTTACCAGTTTTAGATTAGCTCATTTAGATCCCCCATACTCTTTACCTATAACCTCGAAGTGAAAAGCTTCTTCTCACTATACTAGAAGTATAGCGCGAGAAAGTGCTCATTTTCCTAATGGGAACGCAGGATTGGCACTGAAGAAAGAAGTACCACTCAGCTTGAACACTGCACGCGTCCACGATAGTATTAAGCCATGCATCATTTCCCAAGACGCAGGACTTCTCCGTATACCTATACTTAGCACGCTCCACGTCTTCCAGCACTCGGGTTGCTCCGTTGAGCTGATTATTTGGGGCGCACACTACCGCCTAGCCTACCGTGACTGTGCTACCCTTGAGATTTGGAAACACAGCACGAAGGTTGCCCTCCGTTGTTACCATACTTGCGAAGATGAGAATCAGTACATAGGAAGATGGTGCAATGTGTGGTAGAATGAGTGACGTTCGACCTTTCCGACGACTGAGTTTCCCCACACTGGCGCCTAACACGTGATGTAGCATCAACCTCGACAATTCAAGTATGCACATAGTAAGATTCTCAAAGTACAATCCCCGGCGACTCATAAACATGGAAAAGCTGTCATTCAGTACGCGCGAAGATACACGTCTTTAGCGCCTCCACCGGATTAGGCAACAGCTGGCGCGAACCTCGGTACTATCCCCTCGAATTGCCCTGTCAAACTTCGCGTCGCACTACAAGCTGCTCACCATCCCTTCTCTTCTTTCAGCCTCACTACTTGCTCATTTGGTGCTCAATATCTTGCATGTCCTACCTTCTCCACGGTAGTACCGCGTACACTGGCATGGGCTGGGTAGATCAGGTGCCACGTGCTGGGAAACTGTATATCGGCGGTCTCTACGCACTCTACACGGATCTCATTCGTGCCGAGGGCATAACGCACGTCCTGTCTATAATCGATTACGATGCTTTACTCCAAGAGAAGTTTCCGCACCTCAAGCACCACCTCATTCGAGCAGACGATCATCCCAATGAGAACCTATTGCAGTACTTTCATGAAGGGGTGGATTACATCGACCAGGCTCTGAGGGAAGCCAATCAAGACAGCAGTAAAGCGCCGGGAAACGGGAAAGAAGACGATAAAGGTGCAGGCGGCGGCGGTGTTTTCGTGCATTGCGCCATGGGCAAGTCGAGATCTGCCACTCTGGTCGTCGCTTATTTGATGTGGAAATACCGCCTCGATTCAACAACAGCATTAGAGCAGCTGTGTGAGGCCCGACCTGTTTGTGACCCTAACCCGGGTTTCAAGGAGCAACTCCAAGTCTGGGAGAAGATGTGCAAAACTGAAAAAGAAGAGGAGAAAAAGGCCATCTATGACGACTGGGAGAAAACGAGGTTTATGGGAGAATACTGGGAGTGGGATGCTCGACGGAGAGGAACAAGTTCAAATTTGTGACTTTGCTCCATGTCCGCCGACAATGCAACGATATATCAACAGATGATGAGCAGTCGTCAGGAATTTCACCATACATCTGCCATTTAATCCAACGTGGAAACCAATCAGCGGCGCTGACGATGTAAATTCGCGGATTATGGGTGACTCTGCGGGCCGATTCGCTGCGAGCAATGCGCGATTTCCTTTGTTGGCCAATGATGTCATTTCCGCAACACCTCGGTTTAGCATCTGCACTGCCTCCTTCAGCTTCCGCAACGTGCCTTGTCACTTTAGCACAAGAGACTCATAAATCTACAACATGTATTCTGATCCGGGTCGCTCATCGCACATACATCTCGCCCAAGGACCTATATGAGCTCGTCCTGAAACGAATCGACGACATGCCGGATCCCTTCGTTGAGCTGCGAAATGCGCGACAGACGAAGAATGGTTTCCTCAAGTACTTTCACGAGGAAATCTTCAATCTAAACTTTTACCGGGCACACATGTTATACTTCATTATCATCATTGCCATCTCGTCGGTCATTGTCTACGGGCAGGGTATAGCAAATGGACCAAAGGAGATTGGCGGCGCCCACCTCACTTATATGGATGCACTTTTCCTCTGCTGTAGTGCCATGACTACCACGGGCACGTTATTATCGTATTGATCATTGGTCGACTTGAACTGACTGCGAAACAGGATTGAACCCCGTGGACCTAGGCGACGTATCTGGGTTCCAGCAAGTACGTAAGATCGCAGTATGAACAACATGCGGGACATACACTGATTTCGTGCCTACTATCATAGGCTGTCTTCTGCATCTTGATGATCATCGGAAATATCCCTTTTGTCTCAACAGCCGTTGTGTTGATCCGAAGAACGTTGTTCCGCAAGAAGATGGCAGATGTGGTGAAGCATTCGCACACAATGCGGAGACTGGTCCAAGATATCGAAGACAACCGGCATACAGGCAGAGAAGAAAGTAGCCGCAACGGAAGCTTGAGACAGAGGCCAGCGGGAGAGCCCAGTTTACCCGCGAATGGCAAGCAAAGGCAGAGAGACAGATCACCAAAGAAGTTACCACCACTTTCAAAGAGCCGCACCTACCATTACCAGACAGGGTATGGCATCGCTCAATTCATTTAATATGGTCCCCCAGCTAAATTCCTGTAGATTTGGCTTCATCCCAACGCCATGGGAAACCAAGCTTGCGCGCAACTTCTTCAGTCGCATCTTCGATAAGCTAACCAGCGAGCTGAAGCCTGAACAGCATGACTACGTATCTTTCAAGCCACGGTTGGATTCCAAAGGCCGATTCTTGGAGCTTAGCGAGCACGACAGGCTTGAACTAGGTGAGTCTCCATCTATTAGCCATGTGATAGTTATATGACAGTCTCACTGACTTTGTGCCTCGAAACTGTAGGAGGAGTGGAGTATCGCGCACTTCAAGCTTTACTCATGATTTTGGTTGGCTACCAAGTATTTTGGTACTGCATCGGGGTACTATTCCTGGTACCATACGCATACCGCAATGACATCAAGAACGTGCTGAACGAAGCACAACCGAACGGGGTGAATCCTGGCTGGTGGGCCTTTTTCTGTACCGCCACCGAGTTTGCCAACGGTGGGCTGAACGTTTTGAACGCCAACTTCATTCCTTTTAGCGGCAATCCCTACATCCTGCTCGTCGCGGGAGTTTTAGCTTTCGCCGGCCAAACCCAGTTTCCGATCTTCCTCCGAATGCTAATCTGGACCATGAAAAAGTTGTGTCCTATGGGATCCAGATTTAGGAACACGCTGGAGTTCCTCCTACAACATCCACGACGATGCTTCATCTATCTGTTCCCCAGCCGCGAGACATGGTATCTTTTCGCTATACAATTTGTCATCGACGTCACAGCATGGCTTTGCTTTGAGATTTTGAACATCGGCATGCCAGACGTCGAAGCGCTTCCTATAGGCACCCGAATCCTCGATGGCCTTTTTCAGGCGACAGGGCTGCGTACAAGTGGAGCCTATATAATCGGTTTTGGTTCTCTAGCACCAGCATGTCTCGTCGCCTATCTCGTCATAATGTACATATCTAGCTACCCCATGGTACTGACATTACGAAAGACGAACACGTACGAAGAACGTTCTATCGGGCTAGAAGAGCACGACAGTAGTGCCGCTGGTATAGCATCGCATCTCCAGAAACAGCTGGCTTACGACATCTGGTTTCAGTTCTTTGGTGAGCAGTCCTGCATGAGCTGCACACAAGACCCATACTGATTACTTTACTTCGCAGCTTTCTTTCTTGTTTGTGTCATTGAGCGTGGGCACATTCTGCGCCAAGATCCTGGTTTCAATGTCTTCTCAATACTGTTTGAGGTCACGTCCGCATACGGCACCGTTGGCTTAAGTACCGGAATCCCAGGCAAAGACTACAGTCTCAGCGGCTCGTTTGCTAGTTTGAGCAAGGTTGTCATGCTGTTCGTCATGGTGAGAGGTAGGCATCGCGGATTACCGCTTGCCATCGACAGGAGTATACTGTTGCCTGGGGAAGAATTGATGCGACGCATGGACGCAGAATATAGTGCGCAAGGCAGAAGCAGTCCCGAAGAGGTGGAAGAGCTTGTAAACGACATCGAGGAAAGTGGAAAGTATCGTCCGGAGACGGGGAAGGGGGAGCAAGATCCAGAGGAAAGGACCCCATCTCAATTGAGGGCTGAGACGGACAAAGATTGTGCACGATGGGAGTGAGATTAGGTCGAAGATGCTACGGACGACTATGACACGAAGACAGGAATCTTTCGAACGCATCCCTCAGTTATGGACTCCTCGGGGTACTGCTTTCTACGACAATTTACCAGGCCGCATCGGTTAGAAGGAACAGCGACAGCGAAATTCATAATCAACGTATGATCATAACGTTCCTCGGAGCCAACATAAACACACGATTATGGAAGAACGGCAACTCTTACATGCATACGGCGACCAGATCAACTGATGTCGCTTATGCAGACGCACGGAATTTCGGTCGAACTTCCAAATCGCGATATCAAACGCTCATCGTCACATGCGCGTACGCAGACTGAAGGACTCGCGTAATCCGTCCTGACGTCATATCTCCTTTATGCTTCGTTGGACCGGACCCCACCAGCGTCAACTCAAAGGGGTATGTGAGAGTACCACAATAAGATCAGCCCTGTAAGGCGACGAGGTAGGTCCTGTATCCCGACTAGGTCGGCGCAATCCTTCGTTCACGCCCCCCAGCGCCCCGCTCAAATCCACCCCAGGGCTATCACAGATCATCTTCTAGTGGCTGCAAAACGGGGGATCCACCGCATGAAAAACCAACGCAGAGCAATTACACTGAGGATGCCGATGCTTCGATTCAGGTGCGCCGGACTGCCGAAGCGAAGATCGCGGTAGTGCTCGGCATATGCAGGTTACAAGGGCAGGGGTCGTCGTTGGCGAGAAGAAACAAGACAGGGAAGTGGGAGTGGGGTCTGAGCAAAAAGGGATAGGGGCAGAGAGCGTTTTTGTGTTGCAGGCATGAAGGTTAGGAAATGAAAGACTCTTGGTCGGCGAGGCTGGTCAGCTAATCGGTGTAATGGCCGGGATAGGAACGGGAGATGTGCGCGTACAGCGTATGCCAACGAAGCTAAGGGGACCAGGGACGGAATGAACAAGCCGGTACACACAAGGCGCTATCTTGTTAGTCATCGTGTCTACATTCGAAACCATTACCGCGTTATTATTTGGCGCGCGTAGGAAAATTCAAAGCTAGAGCGAGCGAAGGTATCTAGACCCACTTCTTCACCGTTACGCTTCCATGCGTCATTCAACAAACGAACAACCACTCACCCCAGGTGCTCTCCTACCTCACCTCACACAGACTCCATGCATACTGCCCAATCACAAGAATCTCATTAGTCATACACTATCGTGCAGCCGTTGATGTTTCATCACGCACAACGTGCGACGATGGTATCCAGCCACACATGCACCTAGTTTCTCGAAATAGTTTTCATTCAGTCGAGACTCTCAAAGATGGCGATGACAGCCGCTATTCTCGCGCCGACTATCTACCTATCACAGAGAGAGATGTCAAGATGCGCTTGGACCAGAGTTGATGAACCGGAACATGCCTTGGGATGGATGGCGCTTGCGCAATGGGGTGGGGATGCTGCGGTTAGTGTTTTGAGCTAGACTTTTTCTTTTTGAATGGAGTCGTGGATAGTCTAGCAGTAATGAAGAATGTGGATACGCGACAAGGCACCTAGATAGTCTCGTTAGGATGTTTTGTTATTGTTGTTGTTATCCAATATCGTGACTCGGCAGTAGATCGAACGAGGTCAAGTATCGGAAACTCGCTAAGCGACCCAGAAAAGGCAGGTACACACACAGCCCCCGAAGCGAGATTCAAGGGGTCAAACGTACAGTAATAGTGTCTAAAGTAAGCGGTTCTGGATTGGATTGGATGGACTACACGTCTTTACATTTCTATCTTGCAGATTTCCCAGAAGCGCCTGCTTGGACCCGAAACTATCATTGTAAATAAAGGAAACTAGTTATAGACTAGAGGGAATAGATTCCAGTTGCTGAAACGCAACTATTTGGAAACCCCAGAACCGATGTCTGATCCGAAACATGCCATGTCGCACGTGCGACATCAAACAATATGCGAAGAGTCCAGACCACCCAAGGTGCATAACGTGGTTGAAAGTGTGATTAACGAGAGTAAGAATCGTCGTGCCGTGTCGTACCAATATCGAACCCAAAATAAACAGGTACCGCCGAGTTGTAATGAGATGACAAAGATGCCGTTTACCTCTTCACATCGTTGAGCAGGCTGGCAATCGGCATGTTGTCGCGGGGCGCAGAGCTCCAAGTGCCCGCCCTCTGTCGACCAGTAGAGGGAACCGGCATTGGGAGCATATACGGAAGTCTCTCAGGAGCAGATACCGCGCTAATGTTCATGGGGTTCATGGGGCTGTAGTGCTTGGTCGGCTCGCTGTATGCAGGCGATGTATACGACGGGAACGGAGAAGGCTTCAGCACCGGGTTGTTCATCATGCTGCCATCGGGAGAAGCATCGGGGGTAGGGGGGCGAACAGCATTGGAACCATTGCGCCAGATCTCCTCGAGTTGTGCGGGAGAGACGTCCGCACCATAGTCTGCAGCAATGGTGGCCCAAAATTGGTTACGACGGGCCTCGTAGATAGAGCGGAGACGATCCGTATCGACGACCTTGGGTTGGTGAGCCACCTCAGTGTTGATACGAAGGCCGTTGTACGGTTCGGGAGATCCTCGAGGAGTCAGTGTGCGAGGCTTGGGAAGAAGGATCTTATGCTGGGCTCGGCCTGGAGAAGTGGTGACAGAAGCGGCCCTGACGTGGGGACTCCCATTGTAGCTCATGGGGGAGCTGTGGCGGGAGGATTGAGAGTAGGTGTCGTGGTCAATGGCCATTGCATAAGCCGGTGACTGGCCGGCAGAGCTGCAGGACGCTGTCGAAGAGACGGAGGAGTTGCGTTTGCGGCGATGGCTACCGTGCGAGAGCTGGTGAAAGTGCAAGCGGCAGGCAAGCTCAGTCTTCTTGAGGTGTGCAGCAATGTGCTTGTAGGGCATCTTCTGCATGCGGGTCTGGAGAAGGTAGTTTTCCTAATGATGTTAGAACACGTAGATGCCATGATTAGAGGCAATCATACCTCTTCTTCAGACCAAGACCTGTTACCGCCGACCGACATTTTTCGAGCACGAAGGCTTGATGGGTCGGGTGACTGGGAGTTCATCTCGGGAAGAGGGGAAAGGATTTGCGGCTGGTGGTGAAGCATTGTGAGGATGGTGTGGATGATGAGGCTGGGGTTGATGAAGAAGTGGTTCTGGTTGTTGTTGTTGCGTGAATGTCGTCAAGTTCGTTTCCGCTGGGGATATCTGTCGATCGATAGGAGTCTTGCTCGTGAAGGAATGTATTACAATTTGCTTTGGTATACACAAGTAATTGCTCAGCAATGTCAATTAAGGAATGTAAGGCGGCCCAAACCAGTGGGAATTGAAAGAAAGTATTAAAAGGCTGCTAGAAGAACACAAAAGACAGTTGCCGATTGAACAGATGCGGTTGAAGCCTCGAAACTTGGGGCATCCGAACGAGATATAAGCGTTTGGACAGCGAGGCGAAACAGGTGGTCCCAGGAACCAGACAGCATGGCTGATTGTCAGTGGCAGGTGCTGAGATTGGCAACGTTTTCAAGCCATCGTGGCTGCAGGCCAAGTTTTCGATCGTCGCCATGGGCTCTCACGGGCGGTCAAGGCCAAAATGTTTTGGAGAACCCTGTCACGAGACATGTTAAGCCGGAAGAGGACGAGGCATAAGGCCGAGAGCGATCTCGTCGCCTGAAAAGTCGGGAATCTGGGCGGGATGCATGATGTTAGCAGCCTCATCGGGGAATATAGGAGGTGGTTTCAAAACTGGGCGTGTCAGAGCGCGGAACGTGCTTCAGTTTTACGGAGCGCGAGGTTTGACAGTGTTTGGCATGCCTGGAAACAAGCTCTGGCACCAAGCTCCAGAGACGACGGGCGCTAAGCCATAAGGCGATGTGACAGGCTGGGGAGGGAACATGTCCATGTCCACGTCGACTCGACGATGAATGTTCCGCATGCGACACTTTCAGCGCACAAAACTGAGGGAGAAGAGAGGCGAAGAGAAGAGAAGGGTGCAACTTGGGAAACCAAAAGGGCCGAGCATGCTGGTGAGGGGAGATAAGACGCGCAACACCAGGTTGCGAGTGACGCAGGCGTCGACGCTGTGAGACGTGCGAAACGAGTACACTCGGAACGGTCGTGGGCCGCTCTTGAGCATCAAGCCGATAAGGCGCATCCTGAGGCCAAAGGCCTTGGCAGATCATGGACGGCTCTGGCGGCGGGCTTCTCTCAAACGCATCAAGCTGGGGCTGATACTGGCGCTGCGTCAGGCGGCTGAGGCACACAAATAAGTGGCGGAAGCGCTTGGGTTGAAAAGGCATCGCGCGCCATGACGACGCGACGACGATGAAGCTGAGTTTCCCCGCGCTGAGGAGGGCTAAATAGCAGCAGCAGCAGCAGCATAATCTACAGTAGTGGGTTGGTCATTGGTGGGCAGGCTGAAGGTGGTGAGATGGATTGGGGGAGAGAGAGAGGATGATTGACGTGGTCACGCTTTGTGGCACCATGGCTGCAATGGTTCATGGTAGTCGCGACTTCCTGTCATGTCCTTGACCGATCACAGTGAGGGAAGGCACGAGCAAGTACAGACACAGAGAGAGAGAAAGAGCGCCCGGTCAGTGCACCCTACCAACCAACCAATCTAGCCCCGCTTCTCCGTCACATCACTACTACCACCACCATCACCACCACCCACGACGTCGTCCCCCAACGCCTACATGTACCGCGCCTTGACAATGGGCGGCTAGCCACTCTACCCACCTGCAACGGACAGTCATAACATAACACCAGCGTAGTTTGCTAACTGGCCACGTACCAAGTAGAGAGAGAGAGAGAGTCTCCATTGGGACGCTCTGCAGCGCTCGCATGAACTTGGACATGCATGAATCTGTCACGCGCTGGCTGCACTCCCCTCACCTTGTATCGACTCGTCGTGTCGTCGTCCCCGTACCCTGAAGCCACATATTCATCAAAAAAGGCTGGTCCTGGGGCGCTTTTACCCCGCTTCTTGTCTGCACACCTCCTCCCACGTACCTCTACCTCGACCACGACGCGACATTCACTGCTAGGCCATGTACCAGTACCCCGCTTCCCCAGCTCTGGCGGCTACCCCCGCTAGTCCTTGGCCGCTTAACCTTCTACCATCCCCGTCGTCGTCCACCCCTCATGCCGCTGCAACCCCCCCATTCGCTCGCCTGCCTGCGAACCTGACCCTCTTTGTATCCCTTGTACTTGATCAGCCCTCGCACCGACAGGCTATCTGCCTACTTGGATTCTCATGATGATCTACCGCCTTCACGCTGGCCTTTGTACCCTTTGAAAGCGGTCCTGAAGCTGCAATATACGAGCATGACACTACTACCCTCTATAGCCACAACTCTCCAGTGAAGCTGTCTCGTGTCTCTTGTCAGCCCCCCCGTCTGCCGCCATGTCGTGAGTGTCTCTGTCGTGTTTGCCTTCCACCTCGTCCAGCTCCCCAAGCGACTCCTCTGGCCATTTTACTCCGTTACCCTGCCCGCGCGCTGACGTCGTGACGCTTGTTGCACAGCTCCTTGCCCTCCACCAAGCGCAATCTGAAACCCTCAGCCATCGCAGCGACCCTTCCGCAAAACTCCCACTTCACTGCGCCCACGGAGCTGTCGAGCGCACAGCCCGTGGCCTCTGTCGCCACGGCCGCTCAAGACGCCCACGCCGGCGCCCAGCAGCCCCTCACATCACCTACCAACCGGAAGCGCAAATCTGTGGCCCTCAACCATTCGCAGGAACAGATGGCGAGCTCAGCAGCAGGCGGTGGCGAGGACGCGCAACCGACCAGCGCGACAGCGCCACCGCCTGCTGATGTCGACGCTGGAGCGCAGGAGCCTAGGGTCAAGAAGAGTCGAACCAACACGCCTTGGACGCCGGCCGAAGAGCAGAGGCTGAAGCAGATGCGAGATACAGGCAATAGTTGGAGTGAAATCGCAAAGGTAAATCAACGCCCAAGGTGCCAAGTACCTTGGCCGCTAACGTCTTCTGCTGCGATAGACGTTCCCGCAACGGACTGAAGGCAGCGTGAAGAAGCATTGGTACAAGGACATGCATTACGCCGAGTTCGCAGAGGACGAAGTGAGTCGTGACTTTCCTCTCTCGTCTGCCTGTGACCTTTCAGTGAATGATTGCTGACAAGTAAGAAGAGTACTGCGCTGCTTGCTGCCATCAAAGAATACGACGCCAACAAGTGGAAAGTAATCGGCCAAAAGGTTGGCAAACCTGCAAAAGTACGCTTTCCTGCATCTCAGGTGTCATGGAGGGAATGTGAAGCTGACCGCGCACCAGGCATGTGAGCAGTATGCAAAGGAGCATTTCGGTGGGAAATACTGAAGGATTTATTAATCACCTCGGCACCACAGTCTGCATCTTTCCGGATTGGGCACGGCGTGTCCGCTTTATCATGATACCAGCTTTCCTTTCTCGATCGGGCATTGCGTGCAACAAAACTGCTGCGGCCGCCCGTTCGCCCTTTTGGAGTTTCCGGACATTGCTTCTCGGCAGCGGGGTACACAAGGGCTAGGCCGACTTTCTATTCGATCAAAATGCTTGGGTGTATAGGTCGTGCGGGCAATGCTTCTTGGTCTTTTTTCCCCTTGGGACTCTTTTCGATAGATGTCTTGTCGTCTGTCTTGTCGTGGGTTGGTAATGGGCTTGGAGAGGGTTAGGACGCAGTATTATCTCCTTGGGTGGAACTGGATATGGTCTCTCTCTTGCCAGTATCAGTATCAGCTTACCCTGGCATAGCATAGCGGCAGACATGTGCACTTTTCTCGATTCTCCCAAACGTAGGAATCTCCCAAACGTAGGAAGAAACCTTCCGACGGTCATTGGTCGATAGGAACCTGTCTCTGTTTCACATGGGAGCCGCTTGTTTCGGGTATCTGCAGTAGTCCCACCCAATTGTTTCATCGATTGTGCCTCGCCTCCCAACGTTGTTCTCGTCACCCAAGTTTCCGCTGTGGACCGTCCTCGGCGAACAGCCTACCAGCTGGCTACTGGCTATGTGTGGAACACACATATAGGCGGCCTGCCGCTGGTGTGTAGCGAGTGTCCTGCTGGGGCGCAGCACGCAACAGGGAGCATCGACTGCTGTACTTTTGTGTGCGATCAGCAGCGTTTGTTGGCGATCTTAGTCGAGAGATCCATGTGTAACGGCGAAGTTTCCAGACGAACGCTCCGGCTAGGCTGCCGAACCGACCCAATGGGCGCCGCCGGTACTTGAAACGAACTAGGAAAAACAATGTGGTTCTGCTCGAATCATTATGTTATCGCCGGGCGGAGGGTACCTTGTCGCCCCGACGGCGTGAACTACAATACGAGTCTTCGCACCCCACACGTATTTGGCAGTGCTCGCTCGCTCAAGGCAGGTACAGTAGGGTAGGGTAGGGTAGGGTAGAGTAGATAGGAGTCTGGTTGACTGGTTGACTGAGTTGGAGCGCAAGGACTGATGACTCCACCCGACATGTCAGCGTCCTGGTCAAGCAGCCTGTGAGTTGGAGTTTTGCGGTGGCCCATCAGGCTAAATGGCTATACTAGTTGGTCGAGTACTTGACGATGAGCAGACTCGCATCGCCTACCGCGAGGCGCGACTTTCTTCGTTAGGCCTCAGGACCGTGAGGTCATGGCAAGCGCTGCACCTGCAGGGACATCCTTGTCCGCGACCCGGCCGTGTGCAATGTCGTGTCCCCGTCACGTGCCCCGTCTGGCTTGGTGTTGAGCTCCTCCTGGTGCTCTCTCGGCGACAGCGCATCCGCTGGCCATGGGGGGCCCCCCCTGGGCATGACAGAAGCCTGCTCGCCTCTACACGACGTCCTGGCCGACGCGATGCGCCCGCCGCCTGCGGTCGAGAGATGACTTGTATGCGAGCCCCTCGGGGCGGGCAGATCATGATGGTGGCGCGTCAATGGGAACCGAACCGCCAAGCTGTCGCTATCGTTGGTGTGTGAGGTTTAGCGTTGGATATGCGCATCGCCCGGCGATAGACTACCACTTTCGCCTCCTCGCTTCCTTTCACCCCACACAGCACAGCACCAGCACTACCTCGTTTACACCAACCTGATCGACTATTGTCTCAGGTAGAACCCCGTCAACCCTCTTTTTCCCCCTGCGCCCATCCTTTTTTTTTTGCCTCTTGCTGCTGCCAGCACTGCATCTGCGCGCAGCCGCCGTACGCCCGCTGGGCTCTCTGCAGTACCCTTTTTTTTGCTTCTGCTGCGTCATCCAGCCCTGGTCGGCTTCGGCAACTTCCTGTGGCTGGTCGATCCTCGCATATAGACATGGTAGTCGTCTATACCTTGAAACGGCCTCTGCATTGAGCCAATCTGAGGCCGTCCATGCCAATGCGTTAGAGAACGATGGCGGAGGGCCTGTCAGCGCCCCGTCCACACTGCCTATGCCTACAAGCCGGTGCGGCAAGACACAGCTGCCTCTGCCGGCATTTTACGCTGCCCTGATTCCGAGTACCGCGCCAGCAGCAAGCAAGCAAGCAGCATCATGCTTGATGGCGCCGGGTAAGGCTCTTCCAGGCTGGCATAGAGTACCATCTTGTCACTGATGAGGCACACGGTGCGTGGGCCATGGGACGAGAAGATGATGATGATGATGATGATGATGATGATGATGAAAGAGGATGCTGTCCTGGCGTCACGCAGCTTACCGCGCCCGCGCCTGCCTACTAGCAGGAACCGAGCTGCGCATCCCGTGGTCCTGGCTGCTCGACCGCTTCAGTTTGGCTCCATCCATCTGGCATACTGCGCTCGCTGGTGGCGCGCCCGTTTTGGGCAATTGTCCATCGAGCCCCTGTCAATGTTGCGCCGCCTCCTAGCCGATTGTGAACGTTCCTCAATGCACATCTCCTGGCCACCACGCCTCGCCAGGATCCCGCATGTAGAGGCTGCAACGGCGTTGGAGATCTTTCTGGCGGCTTTCTAGCTTTCTAGAAATAGTTCAACGATGGCAGGGCCCGCGCTCGCCCCGCTGGCCATTGGAAGGCGGCCAAAGTACCTCATGCCCCATCTCATTTTGCTTGAGCAGCCACTCACATCACGCCCCCGGCAGCATTGCACTCGGGCAAATGACCTGGATAGCCGTCGAGATCGTGTGCCAGGGACCCCCCTCCTGGTCATTGATCACCGCATTATGCTTGACGTAGAATGCACTCCCGGTCATTCCCTACTAAGCTCGTTCCGTCCAATCCTCAGGAACAGAGACCGTCTCGTGGGGATGACCCATTGCTCACCGCGCTTGGATTCTGTGTCCGTGTGGCAATCGCACAGGACCGGGCTTTTTCAAGGGACGTACTGCCCAAATTTTTAATGCCCTGCTTCTCAGGCGTGAACGTCTTATATCTCCCACGAGCGCTCCCAGTCGTAGGTACCTTTTTTTGCTGGTTTGTTCCCACAAGGCCTATATCCGCCTACCCCATCACCTTAACTCGGCCGATAAGACTTTGACCGATGGCGCATTCCTCCAGGCTCTTCTTGCTCCAACATTTGTCACTATAACAGAATTCAAAATACCCCAAACACGTGCGATACAACTACGCTCGTGTCGACACACAAACTCAAACTAGCTTTCTTTTTCTGGCTCAGGTCTCACTGCGGCGGCCTGCCAGAGCAAGCTAGCTCTGGTAGTCTCCATGCGTATTCGCAACACTGGCGAGTCCCTATCGAGGCCCTTTCCTCGACTACAGCGTACCAGGCGATGCCGGGGAAGAACACCACATTCCGACGTCAAACGTCGAACATCAAAATGTCCTCCATTCCCATACCGGACTGCCTCCGGGTTACCACCACTCCTTCCTGCAGCCACACCACTCTCAAACGCTTCAACATGCCGGCGCTGGCGGCCACCACACTACCTACACAGATATCGAGACGCCTTCGGCACCATATCAACCCCATCTGTTGCGACATCACTCCATGTCGCAACAATCTCCATCTTCCTACGACGTGGGCTACCCACCACCCTCCCAGCAGCAGCAGACGGCCGGACGCAAGCGAAGTCATCACGACGACTTGCAGCACGAACTTGCTCCGAGCCTAGAGCAGCAACTCAACCCATACGCCCAGGCGGCAGGAAGCGTCTCACTACAGCACGCGACTCAGAGTTACTCCCTCCCGCAGTATCCTCCCCCGGCAGCCCCGCAATCCACTCTGCCTCCTACCCACCATCACCACCTCCCCAATCAACACCGCAATAAGCGGCTGCACCACATGGAGGGCGCGCCTCCTTCTCCCGCTCAGCATGGCCCTCCCAGCGTCGTAGGCCAAGAAGGGATGCCCGCACCAGCGCAGCGCCCGCGCGGTCCCAAGCTCAAGTTCACGCCCGAAGACGATCAGCTACTCGTCGACCTCAAAGAAAAGAAGAACCTGACCTGGAAGCAAATCGCAGACTTCTTTCCCGGCCGCAGTTCCGGCACGCTACAGGTGCGGTACTGCACGAAGCTCAAGGCAAAAACCACCGTCTGGACAGACGACATGGTGAGTAATCAGCCCTAACCCCCCAGTCATGAAACGCACGACGTTTGTGCATTCTTCAGCCACATTTTTAACTCAGACACGCTTGTACTAACCACGTTTGCGCGTCGCAGGTAATCAAGCTTCGCAACGCCATGCAGGAGTACGAGAACGACCGTTGGCGCATCGTTTCCTCCAAAGTGGGCAGTGGCTTTTCGCCCGCCGCCTGCAAAGACAAGGCCGCTGAGATGGAGGCTTTGGAGCTAGCCGCAGCTGAGGAGGAAGAGCAGGAGCATTCACAACACCACCAAAGCGGGTATACGTCGAGCCAACTCGCATCCGGACCCAGCGATCCCGGCGCAAATTACCAGTGACTGGCCGACCCGGCGTGTGAGGATCTGGCCGGTGATTTTGAGGGTCTGCGCGCGTGGTGAGCGTCGCGCATTCCATGGAGAGACGAACAGGAGGTGTCTGTGTCTGTGTGTCTATGTGTGTGTGTGTGGGAGGGAGAGTTCTATAGGGTTGTGCTGGTCACAACATCCCCCCCATTGCGAAACCGAATTCGTTCCGAGGCATTGCGATACTTCACTTTTGGGGCATACATGCATTTTTAATCTATATTTCACGACGTACAACGATATGGATACGGTATACCCTTCTTCAATAACACACTCGCTAGCACAAAAAAACTTGCATTCTCGGAACAGGAACATTGATAGAGAGGCGCGGGGGATGGGGCCCCTCGGAGTGGGTTTATAAAGCATAGCGGCCGGCGTTGGGGAAAGAAACTAGAAACACATTTTTTTTGGGGCAGGTGGGCGGGCAATTCGTGGTTGTTGTGGCGCATTGAACGGGAACGGCCTCCTTCTACCTCTTCGGCATACAACACAATAGCCGTCGCGATACCAGGAACGACGGTCTTGGCGAACTGCGCGCGCCCGTCTAACGCAGGCCAGAAAGGAAGGGGGAGGGAAAAGATACCCAAAGGGGGGCGCATTGGGAAGTCGTTTCGCATTTTCTTACTGTCTTTCTTGTTTGCGTTTTTTTCAATCTCCTATGTACCACATCACCATTAATATGCCCTCTGTTTTCCATACCACTACTTACTACGAGCGTACTCCTCTTTTCGTTTTGTCAACACAGTTTCCGCGCGTGCAGTACTCGCGCAGCCACATTCGCTATACCACTACTCTCTCCTACTACTATACAGCTACATCTTGGCACTTGTCGTCGCGGGATACACTATTTTCCTTCTCCCGCACTTCTTTAGAGATCTTTAAGATTCGTAATGTAATAGCAGTCCCATCACATCGGCATATATCTATATACAGATATCGAACTATAGCATAGCGAAAGTCCATACATATAATACCATAATATTAATCGTCAGACGCATTTTATTCCTGACTATATGCGATCAGCCCGTTTTCACATTATCATAACTTGTTACTGCTATCATGCACGTCAACCGCTGTTATGCGGGGAAGGACGAGTGGCGCAATGGCAGATTTGTCTCAGAGCTCTGCTGAGCTGGTGGCATCGTGTCTCAGGTTGTGAGTGACGATGATTGTTCGCATGGAAATGTGAAACGCTGACGTTGTTGGTCTGGCTTTATAATGCTCGCGCTTTAACGGCCTTGCCTTGGCGATGTTTGGAAAATGCCTGATGGCTGGACTTTCAAAAGGCCTTGCGAGACAGGATGGGAATGTTGTTGAATTCTTGTAACGGCGCCAATTGTGCATGTTATGTGGAGATTCTGAATGCGTTGAAAGACTGTCGGCTTTGATGTATACCGCGCCTTCTGGACTTATGCGCATATTGCGCATTATATGTGCTCTGGGACTTGAAGCAAGTAGGTACGACAGCAAATCTCGGATTCCTGCGAAGAGCACTGAATTACTAAAATCCATCTACAACATCTTTTTCACTCTAGTTTTTTCTTTGTTTTTGCATCAAGGTCGATTTGTTTCACCCATTCATTCATTGGCTCCACATCAAGCGTCACATCCCAGAATCACTCTTATTACTATTATCATGGTACATATAACACACCGAAAAGTCAACACCATTATCATGTTTTCGATATTAAAGACGCATGCCCAACATACTGCGTCTGCAGGAATATCTTGTTCATAATACCCGGGTCCACGATAGATTGCTTCCGCACACACCTCGCTACCTCGCCTGGCGCCGCCGCAGTGATGAGAACAAGCAGGCTGCATAAGCCCGCTGCGTGTGCGGTTACAACATGATGGAAAGGAGCAGAGTATGAACAACATTGAATATGCATAGTGGAGCGAAGCACTCCAAGTCGAGCATTGTCACGCGCATGGATAAGCTACACGTCCCGCATAAATCCAGCCGTTTCTTTCGGCCAGCGCGAGGCAAACTGGCTCGCATCCGACTTGTCCAGCTTCGTGCGATCCGTGACCCCCCATCCCGGTCTTAATAGCCAACAAAAAAGGCACGTCCCGCGGAACCAGCGCACTGAACTGCGTTATAGCCATGCGCTACGGAATTAACGTACCGCTGCATGCACTTGCACATGTCGGTGCTCCATGTAGAGCCCGAGTGGGTTTCGTTTCTTCTCCGATCGCGTGATATTGGCTATGGGTGTGTGCTGACGGACGTCAGGAAGCTTTCCATATTACCGCGACCGTGGACGCATCCACACCTCTCTCGTCAAGACTTGCCACTTGCCTTGCCCAAGGGAGCTTCTCCTTGCTGCATCATCTGCATCATGTCTCAACAGTTTGAATTCGCTCATCGGCTTTCTCTCATGGTAGCGATCTTCATCCTGACGTGTGTGACTCACCCATGCACTTCCGCATTTCCTCAGAGCGTGTAGATCTCATCGACCGTTGGGGCTGTGAAACAGCAGTATGACAAGTCGTACCGCTTCATTGGGTTTTTAGATGCAGGAGGCTTTCTCTCGTCCGTAACAGTACCCTCGTCAGCCATGTGGCAGTGGCAAATATGAAGTTTGGTTCTGACCCTTGTTCATAACATATTCGAGTTGTGCATGTGGCGATGTCTATGTTTGTCGACCAGTTGCAATGTTGGGACGATACAACAGCGGTGATCGTCAAGTCACGATCTACAGTGGAGATGTTTTTGATATAGTTCGCCTGCAGGTCCAGCTGTGCATGACGGTTTCAGTTACATGTGGGGAAGAAAGTGTAGCGACTGGTAGCTTGTAAGTCTATGAACTGACTTCGTTCACCGGTGATGCCCGACCAGCACACTGAGAGCACGCAACGTGTCATGCAGGTTCAGTTCACAAATTCGGCGCATGGCCAAGTCATGTTTGCAATGGGCTTGCACCCCTCTCTACATGATCTCATCATCTCGTAGCGTAGCGCAAGCGACCCCATATTCCCCTGGACTGCGACCAGGTGCGGGCAGCTCCGCACCCTACTGCAAGACGCTGCACAGTGAAGACGCTATGTCCACCTACAGGCGCGCATCACCTTGTCACTTAGCGGCGAGGCATATTGCTTTGTCGTAAATAAACCCCCGACTAGCGATTTGCCGTGCTGACCATTGTCGTCGTTGCCGACTGTTGCGCACTGGCAAAGGCAACACCACGAGCCAGGTATACGGTCATTCGCGTCTATTTCGAAAAGCAACGTTCCCTTGGCCCGCGAAAGGTCCTCGGAAAACGACAACAACTCAATCGGCTTCGTCCCAATCAGGATGCAAGTCCACTGTACCATAGCGCCACTGTCGGACGATAGGCACCGTGTTTATTGGATAAAACCGAAAAATGGAAAGTGGAGGTATAGCCAATAGTCGGCTTGGAAAATGCGGGTTTTACGATCATACGTGGGGCGAGAAACCATAGGCTATATGTGGAGCTAATATATGTCTGTTGTCCAGAAACAGAAGATGTGCCGGCACGGTATCTGCATGTTCCGCTACTTGGCTTCACGAACATCGAAGCACTCACATGCTGCTCGCTAAACAGACGCGAGGTCGGCGGTGTAGGAATCCGGTGAAAGTCATGGTAATAGCCATGAAAAAAGGGGAGTCTCTCCTTCGCGCACCGAAGAGCATGTGGAGATACCGTGTTGGTCCCCTAATCGGTCCTAAAAGATAACCGAGCAGAGGTGATATATTGAACTGCCCTCGTTCCGTCTATCTAGCGGGAGATTTATATGCAACATGCGCCTCGTGTGTAGTTCGTAGGTTCGTAGACTACGACACAAGCAAGCTTGCAAAGGACGGACGCGCAAAAATCTTTTCCCATAATCGTGGATTTGCAGGCATAATTTGCCTCTCAATGACCGCTAAGGACTGAGCCATCATTGCTCAATCAATCGGTAGGATCAATATTCTGATAGTCGATTATTGCCTTGCTGGGTGGTGCTAGCCAAGAGAAGGTGAGGCGCCATATCCACTGCGGATGTAACATCGCGAGTGCCTACGAGTAGAGTGGAAATGGCTTTGTTCGGTCGGAGCTCAGTTGGCTGGTGTGGTCACGCATACTCCTCGGTTGCTGACCACCCGACCATCTCGGAGGTTGGGTTCCAGAGAGCGGAAGCGGTAGGTCGGATGATATGAGCTGGGGAACAAGCCTGGTCAGCGCAGTAGCTGACTGCATAGTCACTCGATTGGAAAACCTCGCCTCCAGAATCCAGGAAGTTCGCGCTTGAGATCGCTTTGCTTACAAGCACTGGGAACCTTTGACAAGTCGCCACATCGCGTATGTCTGTCACTTCTGATATAGCCTGAATCAGTTGTATAGCGCCACCGGAGTTGATGAGAAGCCATGCTAGGCAGCAGGACGTAAGCAGGTCCCGAGCCTGGTTCCGTGACTTGCTCTATCCGGAAACACCTAAGCGTGGCCAGTGATCTTTTGTGGGATACCTGCTACCTAGGAGACCGCCGGAGCGTAGCAGGTAAAGAGCAAGGTATCACAAAAACAAGTGGATCTTCGGGCTGGCCGAGTACCTATGCAGAGTGTGGGCTCACTGAGGACCAACATCTTGGTAGCGAGAGCTTTCACGCACTCGCCCTACGATCTGAACCAAGTTCATAACTGGCAAACCGCTGACAATAGCAAGGTGGAGTCGAGCGGCCATAGATTAATCGCCGCATATTAATATGACCAGGCGCATATAGTGGCTGCCGATGACCGTGCACTTGATATTTGTTGTCAGCCTTAGCGAAAGGCGGTGATGGCAGTATTTCCATTATCCAGAGAGCTCTCCGAACTTTACAACTCGTTCTTCTCTCTAGCCTCACTTCTCACTCTTGAGTGGCATACTCATTCGATCGGACCAGAGCAGTAATGAGCAGTAGATCGGTACTAGATAACAAATCAACGGCACCGTAAATATCGATTGCAGGTTCATTGAAGCTGCAAATCCTTTCGGGGACATTCTTGAGCGATGAAGACTACAAAGAAAAAAAGTTAAGTCGACGCCAGGAGACTTCGTAACGATTGGAAACCTGCCTGCTAGGACTCGAGTCTATCTCCCAAACCTTCACGGTATAGAAACCTCCCAGTTACATGCTTTCATGAGGCGAACCTCTCCCACCAGTATCGATTCCCAATGAACCTACGAAGACTCTTGGAAACCCCCTTTTTGCCTTTCCAAAGCTCCTATCCTACGATACTCACACATTTCTAAGAAGCAGCGAAGCCCCTCGATCACAGTATTTTCACGTACAGCCCCTGAAGACATCTCACCTCAATTATTCTCAACAATTCAGTCATCTTGAGCAAGTCCGTGCAAAGTCCAGCTATTGTCTCTTTTTACAGTCAGTCACCAGCTCGTTTCTCCTAGCCCATTAGAACTGATGAAGTATGGCCCCGTAGTTCGTAACCAACAAATAGTTGACGAGTTAATGTGTTAGTAGCTCTGTATTTTGTACTCATACAAGGCGGACCTGAGCAAAGACAAGTCAAACACCTTGCTAATAAAAGATATATTTCAATATAGTCATGGCATCATCCCATCCAACAACACTCCCCGCCCACCATCTCCCCTTACGCCCTCCACGGCCGCCCCGGCTTGCCGCCCCTCGGCTTAAAGCACTTCAACCACTTGGTCAACGCAGTAGTAAAATACTGCCTCGAAATCGCCCCGCCAGCAAACGTAGTGCGGAAATCATAGCAATGCTGCGCATCCGGCAGCACATAGCCGAAAAGCTCCCAGTGGCTCTGCTTTTCTCCGCATTTCGGCGCGTCGGTGAAGCGCTTCACACCCTTTGGCGCGAACGGCTCTGCGCTGGCGGGACTCAGGGTTCGCCAGGGGTCGAACTCGCCGTTGGACCAGTATGTGTTTGAGGGGCGGATGTTCCAGCCTCCGAAGACGGCGTTGGTGCGGTCGACGTTGGGCCAGTCCGGGAGTAGGGAGCGAGGCGCTGTGGGGAATTGGCGGTGGCAGATGTCGTGTTGGTGGTGGAGGGAGTTGTATTTTGACACGAGTTGGTTGGGGCCGAGGTTGGCGGATTGGAAGTATCCTGAAGAAAGTCAATTTGGGACAGCTCCAGGGTTTTTAAGGGGAGAGGACTTACCCCACTGCGTGCAGTACTGCCACGTCCACGCGATGGATGCCGGATCAGTGAACTTCCTGTCCAGGTCGCAATTTCCCGTAACGTTTGCCTTCCCAGAGCACTCCGTTTCCATTAAGTTGTTGACGTTGGCTGCAAACCAGGGATACGTCGCCCATCTAGCTACGGTGAAATTGGCACCCTTTGACTTGGCCCACCCTTCAGCTGGCGCCAACGTCCGCGTATCAGGATCCGTCTCGATCCAATCGCAAAATCGACGGAGGCCCGTCACACCACTCTCCACACCATATGATTGCCAGGTGGCGAAGATGGTAGTCAGAGCATCAGCAAAGGTAGCATGAGAGTTCTTGGCGGCACCACGGCCGAGGAATTGTTCCTTCAGTTTCGCCGCACCAGCGTGGTCCTTGTCCATGATCCTATCCATATACCTCGTGGCGGCCTGGATATCTCTTGAGCAGTTGCCAAAGCCATACTTGTTTAGTCCTCTCCAGATTGGCTCGAAATAGAAGCTCTGGTCGACGGACGCCTGGACGGGCGCCGAGGACGCATAGCTGGCGTAAATGGTTTCCGGGTACTGGTCGCGCATGAAAGCTGCGCGCATAGCCGGGTAAGAGCCACCGACGAAGACCCATGGAGTCTTATCGGGCGTCAATGTGTAGTTGATGTTCTTTCGAGCGAATTGTTTAGCGAAGCGGTCTACATCTGCTAGCGACTGCTCTGTGGTGAGAAATCTGAAAGCCTCTGGTGGAGTGTTGATGTCGATTGGCTCTGGTGTTGAGTTGCCATCTGGATGTCGGTCAGCTCTGTCCTGTAGAGTATGAATAAGGACGACTCACAGTATCTGTGTTCCCAGACTATCCCTATGCCTCCATACGAGTCCACCATCTGTTTGAAAAAGCTCGTCTCATTTTGCAACCTGAAGAGCGCATTCGATTCTGCATTGGCCTCTCCGACATCGTAGATGAACACGGGTCCGCCGGTCTTGTAACTGCTCTCCGCCACCCAGAATCTATTGAAAAAGGACCCGTGATACGAATAGTCCTGATTCTTGTCCTTTGCAAAGTTGTCGAGCGGCAGTTTAACATACTCCGGAAGGATCTTTTCGGCAGCGGTGATTGAGACGGATTGGTCGTCTGAAGCAGTGGTCGCTTTCAGAGCTTTGAGAGAGCCAATGTCGATGGCGGGGTTATCAACAGCTGGGAGGTCCATAGACGATCCGTCGGGATTGAGGCCCATGTCCGCAAGGAGATTGTACTTGCGCTGCACTGCCGAGTTCAAAGCGGTTGTGGTCTGGAGGAACGCGAGCGCGAGCGCCGCCACCGAAGTCGAGGTACGCATGATCAAAGAATCCGATCAATACGTTCAGGAAGGAAACGTTGCGACGGGCAGGCAAGAAAAGAGGAAACGGAAGCGTAGCCGTCAAACCTCTTTGATCGCGACGATGTCAATCCTACAAGACCAGACAGCTCTGTACGTCGCGATATCAGCCCATATATACCCACTCACCCTCACTAGCCCTCCCATCCCATCCCGTCCTAGCCACTTACCCGTCCCACAACAACCTCGTAAACCGGGCGTACAATCTGCCCCACGATGGACATGCTGCAGCCGCGCATATCTCAAGCAACCAACCACCACGCACGAAAGACCCGAAAGCTTGCCTACGGCGCGGACTTGATAGCCTCGAAGAAGAAGGCCGCAAACCCGCGACCCAGAAACAAGTGGAGCAACTCGTCGAGAAAGCTTATCGACGAGTTGCGCGCCTTCCATTCGTGTACAGGTGTTTGCCAAGACGTCGAGGTTCCTGCCTATTCGGGATTAGACTGTGCCATAGTACCACCGGGGGGAGGGTGCGTCTCTTGCAGCCTTGCTATCCCCCTCGTCGCGTGAGTCCGGCAAAAGACGGTGCTTTATGCGGTTTAATCAAACTTCCGCGGCGGCCGAAGAACATATTGTGGTATTGTGGCAAAAGGTAGGTCTCGTGGGCGAAATTGAGAGGGAGGAGAGGGGGGAAAGGTCGCGAGGTGTGTTCAACGTGACACCGCGTTGGAACGTGGAACGTGGGCTAGCCAGAAGTTTGGATACAGCGCTGTAGATCGGCCTTGCCACACATTGTCGATCTGTATTCGTGCTATCTCATCTCAATTCATCGCACAACGTGAATCTGCTCTCTACTCGACTTCCTCCCATCTGCTTCAAGGTACAACAACACATTATCCGCGTTAATCTCGCACACGCGGTTTCTCCATGTGATCTTCCACATGTCTTCTCCTCGCACCGCGGCTCCAATAAAAAATTATCGTACAATATAGTTGCCTGTCCCCCAGAAATGCACATGGAGCCGCACGGATGCCACATATTACCCCACAACGTCTAGAACCGAGCATCGTGTTTGCCACGAGACCAGACCGCAGAGATTGATTAAGCATGTAATATCCGCGGGGCACAGTCGCGCAATATGAACAAGCCGTGTATGTCGGGTCTGTTCTGGAAGTATTCAAAGTGATGCGCATGTCGCGCCGTTGGCAAGATTGCTCTCGAGAGCATCCAGCCTTGCGTTAAAATTGATCGAAAGCTGTCGGCTTGGCCGTTCATTGCTGCCCCAGATGCCCATTGGCAGCACCCGGGAACGATATTTCCGGCCAATGAGGGCCGGCATGCCCTTGGACCCCGGAGCCATCGACAAGCCCTGGCCCGTCGTTCCCAGGGCCTTGGGATTCGCCGCGACCCAGTGTCATGAGCGTTGTTGCTGTATTTAGGTACTCGCCGGGCTGACCCAGTTGCGGCTGCATATACGTTCTCGTCCATTGGCGCCAATCATGGGGTGCGGCGTAACTGTTGCTGTACTCGGACTGGTGACCATTGTTAGCAATCTGAGTAGCTGCATAAGCATATGCACTGCTTGTCGGCTGCGGCGTGTTGCTGGCTGCTGCTGCCAAAGCCGCCGCGTGTGTCGGATTCATGCCCGACTCCTCCCCGCTACTGTATGCCTGCTGGTCAAAACCACTGCTAGCCTGCTGCGAAACCACTAGAGGGTTCGCAAGGTTATAGGGATGCGAAGTGCTTACGCCTCCAGAAAGGCTATTGTAGCCTGAGCTTTGAGACGTCATGACAGAATCTGTGGGGTTAGGTGTTGTGGCATACTGTTCCTGGTAGCTAGTATTGTCATAGACCGAAGTAGAGTTGACATGCTGGGGTGTTTGCAAAGCCACGCGCGCAAGCGATTCCGTTGCCGTGCGCTTGACAATGCTGTCATTGATGTTGTTTAGCGACTGAGCGATGATTTTCGCGATTGCATTCTTCAGCTTATCGTTTGATCCTAAGAGACGTTAGTGAACGCTGACTTGCTGCGGGATATTCAGAGAACAAATTGATGCGTAGAAAAGTCTGAAGCTATGCAAGAAGAGCTGACGTACCCAGGAAATGGTCACACTCGCCAAGAATATTGACCCACGTTGCCATGTCGGCCTTCAGCTTCGTCATGTCGACGGGTGTTAACTGGTCCTTCCGCGTTGTCGAGATGAATAGCGTGGTAAAAGTAGCTGCGATGAACACGACTGTATTGATCCAGGGTATATCCAAGCTCTTCTTATGCATCATCTCCGTGCAGTTGTGTAACATCTTTTGTGACGCATCTAGGCACTTGTCAAGGTTTGAGCTGAGGATGGCGGGATCGACGGATCGGCAAACCGCTGGATGATGGAGCAAGAGATTATACGCTTGATACCAGTACTCAAGATACAAGGCGAATATGTGCTTGTCCGGAGAGGCGCGCGATGGGTCTTGAAGCTCGCGAGGCAGCTCATCTTTCCACTGTTGAATGCCCGCCTCCAGCCGTTTCAAATTATCTATATATGCGCGCGGTGAATGTCGTACTGCATAGATTGTCTTGTAGAGTTCCAACTCCAAAGCCGTGTATTTGGCGATCTGGATGCCCACTTGGAATGAACATTGATGGAATGGGTCTAGGTTTGCTTCCTCGCCTGGCAGGCAGTCGTTCATCGGCTCCGGAAATTCGACGTCAATGTCCTCATTACTAATTGGCATTGGCCTTCCGAGCTTTCCGTTGAGATTCACTTGCAGCGCGTTCAAGGTCCAAAAGACTCGCTTCCTCATCTCAATCTCGAGTTTGCTCAGCTTTCCTGTTCCGTCGGCCCACGCACGGACAGAGCGATGCAAGCCAAGTTCGATGGCGAAGAGATACGTGAGGGAGGTTAAGATCCAGGCAGGGCCGGGCTTTGGGAAATTGCGAAGATGGTGGCATATCATAGCCAACGCCTGCACATCCTGCAACATGTGTCGTCCTTGGAGTAGCTCCGCGTAGAAGGTCAGGGCGTACTGGTAATGTGCGTGTGATTCTTCCAGCAATGCGCTCTGCTGGCTATTCCGCGTAGCGATTTGATACTGGATCGTCGCAAGCATCATATGGACGGTTACGACTTCGGGCGCGGTGGGAGTGAAATTCGCATCATTTCCAAATCTCCAGATCTGGCAACATTAGTCGCATTTCATATCCACAAGAAGGGGGTTCTCACCAGGTCCATGAAGGCAGGCTTATGCACAAGCATGGTATAGGGGTTGAGAGACCGAAGATACCACATGGCGTACTCTTGCAGACCTTGGTATGGTGGTAAAGAAGGGGCTACGACACGCTGGCCTCCTGACGAGATCCTCAGCAGAGTTGTATACGACATGACTGAGCTCTCGTACTCGGCCTCGTCCGCCATGAAGTCCGTGATGTCAATCTCGGTCCCGAAGACGGACAGTGACGTGCCTCTGATGTGGCTCAATAGCGAATCGCCAGAAGCGACGCCTAGATAGTTGTCGCCTATGGATCCATGCTTGAAGTGAGGCAGCGAGTGTAGCTCGCCTTTGCCAGGCCCACCGCCGGCTGGCGCGTAGCCAGGTAGCGGAGATGTGCTTATCGGTCGCGGTGTTTCCGACCAGCTTTGGGTGTCGTATGACAAGCTAGGGGGTTGTAGAGGGTTGTATGCAGGTGTAGGACGCGGCTCGACGCCCACTTCCTTCAATTGCGCCTGCAAATCGGCTATCTGATTCCGCAGGTATTGGTTTTCCGACTCCATGGCTTCAGCGTGACCGCGTACCGTAGCGCGCCCGGTGATGCGATCCGTTGTGCGACATGGCGTTCTGTTCTGCTCGCAGGGTGTGCATCCTTCGGGTCGTCCATCGCAACGAATTTTGCGAATCTAGAAGTGACTGGTTAGCATAGTGTTCTTTCTGCATAGTATATGAATGCAAGTGCCTTTGCGGGCGCTGAACTATCAATTGGTCGCTCACACTCGGTTCGCGACGCGAGCACTTTCTTTGCGCCGCATCCTTCGAGACGTGACGCGCGCCCGGGGAGACGTGGGGCAGGCGCAGTCAAGTAGAGTACAGGCAGTCAGCGCCTATAAAGGCACTCGCAAGACTCAATGGGACTTTATATAAGGGGCAGCTTGAATGCCTGCCTTCAGCGCACTCGGTACGTACCTTGCATCTGTCACAGGCCTGGCCCGTTCGCTTCGCATCGGCAAGCTTCCTCTTGACAGAGCCAGAGAAATCGTTGTTGGTATGGGGTTGGTGAGGGCTCGTAGGATTTGCGTGCTCAATTCGTTGTATCTTGCTGGCGAGGTGGGAGTCGTCAGCATCAGAGGCGCGCTTCGCCATGTTGTTGTGACGGTATGTTCCGCAGGATGACGCCCTGGTACGGATTCGATGGATGCAAGTACCCTGGGGCGGGTCTCGGTGGCTTGCCTGGCCTAAGCAAAGCGCGTGTCAGGCACGAGATTCATAGCCGCTAGCCTCGGAAGTGGGCGAGAGTGTCACAGCCGCCCAGGGCAGCGGTTGTGCGAGGCTCGGGGGATTTACTAGTTGGGGAGAGAGAATTGATTGAAGCTGGACAGGCGAAAGAGCGCAGCGCAGCGCAGGTGGTTTGGCGTCGAGGTCGGGAACGGACCCATTCCCCGTCCACATTTCAGCTCTTGTGCTGCTAGGTGCTAGCTCTTGGATCATTGGCCAACACTGCTTTGAAACTTTGGCCCTCTAGACCGCTACCGCTGTCACGTCTGTCTGCCCTGACATGTCTGGCCAGGTTTAGTTTTCTGCTCAATGATCGACGGGCTACCTGGCTTTGATTCGCCGTAAACCCGTCCGCGATGGGACTAAACGTGCAAGGCTGGCCTTGGCGCGCCCCGCTTCCACCCAAGAACGGCGACGGGGATCGCAGACTCACCATGGCTTGATGCAGACACCTGCGCCTAGTAGGTGCATATCCAGAACCTGCATACAGCCGCTGTCTTCTACTAATCCGCTTAGACATTGGGAGACGACTCGACCACACCTGGAACCAGAGAGAGAAAAGAGCTCTACAGATTATTCACTCTCACAACCACCCCACCTTTCAACTCTAGCCATGGCGTCGATACGCACCTTTACGCTGCCGCACTATGAGACATATCCCGTTCACGTGGCTCTGTTCAGGGACGTGACCAATGCTGCTTTCCTGCGAAGTCAGTTACTCGAGGCGAATCCCGAGTTTGACTATGCCTTCTTAGACGCAAGCATGGTGAGTGATCTACTCTATTTCATGCCACTACAACTTATCATGCCATAAACGAGATTCTTTTGCAGTATCTCCCCAGCAGTTTCATTTTAAGTAGTCTAAGTGATCTATTGGCTAAAAGGCTCATGTTCCCATAAACTCATTTTCTATTAATTATTTTTATTGTTCTACACCTCTGCTCCCTCCATTTTATGTCTGTTCTCTATACATCTGCTCCCTCTATTTTATATCTCTTTTCCCTACCTTCTATACATCTGCTCTCCACTATACATATCCACCCAACTAACACCCACAGATCCTCTCCGCCCAACACCTCCTGTCAGCCACCTTCCTCGCCCTCCACGCCTTCCTCACCTCCCGCCAAAAGACCCGCACCCCCCACTCTGAGCTCGTCTTCCGCCTCAGCCCCAACAATAACATTGGCGAAAGCTACAAGAAGTTCGGCATTGCAGACGACACGACATCAATCATTGCCGTCAAGCTATCCATCACTGCTGCAGGATCCATTGCCGAGCATGTGTCACATGACAGCGTGAGTCAGCATCTAGGCGACGTGGTCCAGGGCACGAGCATAGAGATTGGGGAAGACGACGTGGAGTTGGGCTCGTGCTGTGATGTGGACAAGGTGCGCAAGGTGTATAAGTTGGGTGGAGGTGGGGCGGGGAAGAAAGGGAAGAAGGGTGTGGTTGTAGAAGGAGAGGGAGATGCGAGGCAGGAGATGGAGAGTATCATTCTGGGCATTGTCGCGCTCAAGGGATCATAATTTTGCCAACATTCATGGCGCTGTGCACATGGGCTAGGCAAAGAGATGGCACGTAGATAGACCAAAAGAAAGCTTCTACTCGACTATGCTACATGGATGGTATCTGATCGCATAGATACATGCCCGATTCTATAAGAGCCCCTCAAGCTCATAGCTCCGAGTACTCGGGCTTGATGAAATCAGCCATGTTCTTAGGCCTCGGGTGAAGGTTCACTGGGTGGTGTCCGTGGTCGTGTCCATGGGGATCGTCCTCTGGGCCAACGTAGTGCATCTTGTAGACGGAGCCGCACTCCATGCAGCGCGACTTTGGCTGCTCGCGGGTGAGGGTGATCCAAATGGCGTTGTGCGAGTCGACAGGGAAGCCAGTGCAGCCGACGTACTGCTCATCACCGGCCGAGTTGACGGTGATGGGGTCCTCCATCGTGCCTGTATGCTATCAGTACCACGCCACTACCATTGCATATTATCGTCCTCTAGGCGACTCTATCACGTACCGAGACGGCTGGCATCCAATGGCTTCATGTCGAAGATATCGATACCCTGCATCTTTCCCATGATTTCAAGACGCTCCAGACCAGTGGACTGTTCGGCATCGGTGGGGACGGTACCAGGCTTCGCACCGGGTGCGAGAAGGTCGTCGTAGCTCTTGATCTCTACACAGCAACCCACATCAGCATATGACCTCACACAAGCACATCGCAGCCCAAATGCAGCGCGGCGATGCGGAAAACCTGGGCGCGGGCGCGCAACGTACCATCAAGCTTCTTGTAGCCCTCAAGAAGGCTACGGGGACCAGTAGCATTACCGGCCTGCTTATCCGCACCAGCCTTCTCGTTCGCGTCGCCTGTCATCACGTCAATGGTACATCGTACGATGGCTCCCGTGTGCACCTACGGCGGACAAAAGTGGTGGTGAAGGTGCGTCGGGCGAGGGCGCCGGGGGCCACCCGTCTTGCCGCGGCAATGGCAGAGCGCTGGACGAACATGGCGAGAGCAATTGGGGTGAGTGGAGAGGGTGGGCGTGGGTGTCGAGCTTGGGGGTTGTGCAATTGACGTTCGATCATCCGAGCGAGAGCTTTGGGGCTTGGCGGGATTTTGCTGAGTAACACATCAACCCAGAGGAAAACGCCGTGTTCGCAAACGGAGGAGGATCATCGAGGGCTTTCTTTGACACGCGCAAACTCGCTCGGTCGCATGCCATGATGTAGGCTGCGCTTGATCACTCGATCACTCACTCGTACTGATAAGAGAGTCCTTGACCCTTCGGTTTGTATCCTAAGACCGTGTGACTTGTTCAGAACTTTGCATCGCTCACTACCGCGAAACCCCTCTGGCACCGGTTCTTTACTTGCACCCCTCATCCGCACTCGTACACGCATTTGTACTCCCAGAACATTCTATACAATATGAGCTTCAAGCCAGCGCTGATCGTGGTGGACGTCCAAGAGGACTTCTGTCCTCCGGTAGGCTGGTCGTAGGCACTACGCGCACCACTCATGCTAATGTAGTCGCAGAAGGGCGCCCTGGCAGTAGGAGGCGGGCGCGACATCGTGCCCGCCATTAACAAGCTCCTCGCCATGCCATTCACGCTCAAGGTTGCGACCAAGGACTTCCACCCGCAGAACCACGTCTCCTTCGCCTCCAACCACGCCGCGCCAAACAACAAGCCGTTTGAGTCGATCGTCACCATCAAGAACCCACTCAATCCGAACGAAACGCAGAAGACAAAGCTATGGCCAGATCACTGCGTGCAAGGGACAAAAGGCGCAGAGCTGTTGCCAGAGCTGGATGTCAGCAAGGTCGATCGCATCGTGGAGAAGGGCAAGGACTCGCGCGTCGAGATGTATTCAGCATTTGCAGACCCGTTCCAAAACCCCTGCGTTGCCAACAGCGGGCTAGCCGAGATGCTGCGAGGTGTAGGTATCACAGATGTCTATGTGGTAGGACTGGCTGCGGACTATTGTATCAAGCACACGGCGCTTCACGCGCAAAAAGAAGGCTTCAAGACGTGGGTCGTAGGCGAGGCGACGAGAGCAGTAGACCCGTCATCGATGGAAGAGGTTCACAAGGAGTACGCGAAGGTTGGTGTTACCGTCGTAGGAATGGACCATGTGGTGGTGCAGAAGGTGAAGGGCCAGTAGTCACGGCACTGGCGGATAGTTTGGAAACAAGTCGTAGTGAATACTTGAGCGACTCATCAACGAATAAAGTCGCAAGCATATACGAAGAGAGCCCAACCAACCGTGCGTGATCCGAATCGTGCCGCTGGCCGTCCAAGGATTGCGTTTGAGTGCCGATTGCGGGGCAGAAGCTTGGAAGGCATGCAAGTTGATTAGATGTAGTTGTGGTCACCTGAATCAATGTCGTAGCTAAGCCTCGTCATGTCTCCAAACTCCTCCTGCAGTCGTTGAGGATAAACAAACTTTGGTCGCGCGAGTAAAATCACTCAGTCTACGCGTTGCTACCAACGCGGGGTCGCTAAATTCTGTCACCATCGTCATCTGCGCGGAGCTCACTCCTACCGCCACCGAGCACCCTAGACAGCTCACGGCGGTACCTCGCTGCCTACTATCTACTTCCTAATTCCCTACGCCCTCCCACCCTGTCTTTCCTCCTAGACTACCTGCTGCGTTCAGCATCCCCACGATGCCGCATATACCTGGAGTATCGCATCGGCGAAGAGCCTCACTGACAAGTGCGTCATTCTCCGTCTTCCGGGGGTACCGAGCCTCTCTGGACAGCATCTCGAGTGCGAACGAAGAGCTAATGTCTAAACTTGTGCTTCTAGGCAGCCGAGCATCATCCATCGACGAGACAAGACATGGCGACGAAGTTAGCAAGGAAGATGAGACGGTCATGGACTCAGAGCAGGGCAACAGTACGTCTCCAGGCAGGACAGAATATCTTAGGGAACAAGAAGAGCTGGCTAACACAGGGAAATGACACAGTGCTCATGCACATCATATCACAACTGCGGCCAGGCGCCGACCTAAGCCGAGTCACGCTGCCTACCTTCATCCTCGAGCCACGATCCATGCTGGAACGTATAACAAAGTGTGTTTGCAGAACCCCGAGTATTCCGAGAGCAACTCCAGTGCTGACGATCGAGTTAGCTTCATGGCGCATCCTGAGACTATGCTTCCCATTCCGACAATCGAAGACCCCATACAGCGATTCGTAGCCGTAACCAAGTTCTACCTAAGTGGATGGCATATTAAACCTCCGTATGTCTCTCAAGACTTCCACATACCCATAAGCAACAACTGATGTGAGTATAGGGGCGTGAAGAAGCCACTCAACCCAATCCTCGGCGAGATCTTCACGAGCTACTGGGACTATCCAGACGGCACCAAAGGATACTACATTTCCGAACAAACTTCGCATCACCCGCCCAAGTCGAGCTACTTCTTTATGGCACCCGAACACAATATCCGAATAGACGGCACGCTGAAGCCAAGGAGCAAATTCTTGGGCAACTCTGCAGCGAGTATGATGGAGGGTATAGCGGTGCTACGACTGTTAAACACTGGAGAGCGCTTGTAAGTGCATGGAGCATATCTTTGTGATTATGAGAGGCTCACTGAAGCACAGTTTCGTCACCCAACCGAACATGTACGCGAGAGGCATCCTCTTCGGCGCCATGAAGTACGAACTTGGCGACCATGCCTACGTCCGTTGTCCCGAGACTGGACTCGTTGCCGATATGGAGTTCAAGACCAAAGGCTACTTCAGCGGAACATATGATGCGATTGGCGGCTATATCAAAGATGCGCAGGGCAAAAACCTCTATGAGTTCTCAGGCTTCTGGAACGATAAAATGTACATCAAAGATTTAACGGTAAGTTTTTCGCCTTCGTCGCGTGCACTCAAAATAGGGGGAGCTGACTGCGACTATCCAGACTGGCAAGAAGGAACTCCTCTTCGACGCGGGACACAGCAAACATACACCACCGACAGCCCGCCCATTAGAAGAACAAGAAGAACGGGAATCTCAACGACTCTGGCGCGACGTAACTGAAGCTGTCAAGCGAAGAGACCAGGATGTGGCCACGGATGCAAAGGCAAAAATCGAAGACATGCAGCGAGAAGAGGCGGCGAAGAGGAACAACGAAGGCATTGACTGGCACCCACAACTCTTCCGGCGAGTACAAGGTGGTCATGGCGGATCAGAAGAAGGCGAAGAAGACCTGGATTGGATCATTAACGCCAAAGTGTTAGTGCTTCGAATCCCTTGTACGAATGATAGCTAATATGAGATAGCGATGGCAAAACTCCAGAAGAGCGGATCAAGCAGATTCTACAGATACATGCTATACTGCCCGGTCAAAAGCCGGATAGACAGTTCAACATCCCCACTAGGACGGGTAGTATCCAGCCAACTCACACACAACATCCTGCACAGTCGAAGGCGCCTGCGCAACCCGCTCAGCCCGTACCATCTGAACCACAACCTCTCCCGCAACACCAAGAGCAAGTCATCAGCGGACTCAACAACCTCAATCTCGATGGACCAACAGCACCACGAAACTCTCTCCCTAAGGACATCCACGCAAACAACTCATCATCACTAAACCACCCCGTCCTACCAAGCCAAAAGCCTAAGTCCCCAGGAGGAGACATCACACCGGAGACAAAGGCGCAGATTGCGCGGGAACTACCCCCGAGCAAGCTGCTGCATTCGAATCCAGCTCCCGAGCCGAAGGACCCTAATTTACTAACGAGGAAGGATAGTGAGACACATGAGGAGCAGGAGTTTGTTGATGCACAATCGTAGGTTTCCTTGCTACGAATTACTCATACACATTTGTTCTATTCTTTGCGCATGGTGTCGTAAAGTTTGGGCTATGAGGAACTTTGTGTTTTATCCGACCAGGCATATGATGAGGCTGTCGTCTCAAGAGATCGAGCAGTGGGTACTTTCCAACCTGCATCCCGCTTCGAGGTTGCGTAACAGCTACAAGAGAAATAATCCGGCTTAGCATAGCAATGACATTGCGAGCATTGTGGCGTAGCCTATGGAACCTCGGGCAATGAAAAGAATATAACATCATTTTCAACACATGATATTATGTACTAAACTAATATATTTTTGAAAGCGCAATAAGCAGCCATGGTGAGGCAACCGTGCTTTAAGCTCCATGTAGTATAATGCATTACATAGACTGTGAGTGCTTCCTCGATCCCATCACCAAGCGTGCATCGTTTTTACCCCACAGAAGTAGCATTCTGCCTTTGATGCCTAACATGTGTTGTCGCATGAGGCTGCAGCCCCGCGCCTGCCTTGATGGCGTACAATAGCGCGCGGCACAGACCATGTTTGCCTAATCCTCAGGTAGCGATAAACATTCGATTTCATCACCGAACTTCTCCTGGCATTCACTCAGTCGTGTGTGCACGAGTTCTCCGTTAACATGGGCTCTTTTGACTGCTATTGTGCATTCTGCTCCGGTCCGCTGGGGATTGGGTTTCTAAAATTTGGGAGTAGGAAGGCAAAGGCGCTTAGGAAGAGGAGGATTAGGGTTGATGCGCAGAAGAGGAAGCTCAATGGGGAGGATGTGGACGAGGATAAGATTGAAGATGATGATGATGAAGAGATGGAAGATGCTCCGACCGAAGAGGACGTCGAAGTTGCAAAGGATGCTGTCTTAGAAGACGACGATGACGATGACGACTATGAAGTGTCCTCTACATCCTCGTATTCGTCTGAAGATAGCGACTCCATCGAAAGCACCAGCTCGGACATTCACACTGGAGATATCCAAGACGTGCCCATTCCTCCACCCGAGCCTGAAAGCGAACATGAGGACACCTGGTCCCAAGCCTCAGACCTTTCTGGCTGGGATAGCTTCGTCGCCTATAACGCTATAGACGAAACGGAAAGGATGCATAGCTACGAAGAACAGACTACCTACGATCCCTCAATCCTCAATCCCGAAGATGTCAAATGGATCGATCGATGTCGTTGTCTCGGATTCAATGCCGACGCTCCAGGTGTAACCAAAGCCTTCATTTCTGGTCGCGGGACTTATAATGATTACGGAGGCTTCGACATCAAAAAGCCGGGACGCGATCCAAATGATACCGGTGAAGACCAGCACTCTTGCTTCTACTCGTATGATCCTAACACTCTTCCTGCGTTCCCATTTCATGAAGCCTGCTTCGATATTCTGGCAAAGAGTTTGGGGTATGACGATCGCTCAATGGTGAATAAAGATGTGCTATATACTATTATAGCTCAGAATCTCGATAAATATCTTAGGGCTCCTCGTCTGGATTATGGGTTGGTGCAAGAGTGCGGGCAGTTTTGGGAGTGCTTACCTGGTGAAGAGGTGAGTTATCAATGTTGACCGCGATTGAAGATGGCTAATAGGCGGCTTAGTATTCGGTATCCGATCCAGGACCGAAACCCGGCTTCGAGGAGGTCTTGCCGAGCATGATACCCGCCACTCTGTTCGACAGCACGACATCAGTGGACCTAGCGCATAAGGTTCGCAATGACCCTTTAGCAGTACTACCGTATGACGTCCTTCATGGCATTATCGATCGCCTCTCTGTCGACGATACGATGTCACTAATGTCAGCTTCCTCGCACGTTCTCAGCTCAACTCGGGAGGTTTCCTTTTGGAGATATATGCTTCGTCGTCACATTTTGAGATGGTTTTGGGAGCTGGATACAATGCTTGTCAAGTCGATATTGCCGGATACATTCGACCATAAAGCCCTGTTTTTATGGGTGAATAGTGTCACAAAACCAGAGTTTGGCAGCACAGGTCCACTGGTGGGCATCGCAAACCGCCGTCGCATATGGACTGCGTGCCAGCCACTCGTTCCAGAGTACCAACAAATAGCCGGTCCTAATGATCGTGCGGAGCCGGAAGACGATGAAGCAAAAACCATCATGGACCGCGCTGTATCACTGCACATGCCGATGGTTCTATATCCTTCCCCTAGAGAAGTCCGGACCACAAGCTCACAATTCATCCGCTCGTGGCAAGAGATCACACATCAGCCTTGTGACTTTGATACGTATTGGAATGAAGGTGGCGCACTGGTGGGAATTGCGGCGACTTTTGGCACTCATCAGAGGATATTTGGAAGTACCGAGGGCAAAGCCGGTAAGACGATTCACATTCCCTCAGATGAATGGATCAGCAAGATCCAGGTGAACGTCAGCGAAGTCCGCATGTTCAATGATAGGCAAAATAGAAGTAACCGGGTCACGGCGTTGGATGCTCGACCGGCTGAAACTGCTGAAATTAGGGGTATGATGGTAAGTAGATCGATTCTTGTCGAGTCCAGTGCTTCTACTAGGAGTGGTGGTTTAAGAACTGACACGGTACAGATTACTCTGACGTCCGGCACAGTCAGACATTTATTTTCGGGTGGCAGGAATATACGCCTCTTTACAGTCCTTCCACATATGCATCTCATCGGCTTGACCGGCCAGATCGCTGCTGTACGTTACCCCTATCTTATCTTCTCCCAGTTCTCCGTACTAGCATACTCACATCCATATTCAATTCAGAACGGCGTTATCTCACGTCTCGGTCTTCTCCAAGCCTCCCGTCCCGGTGAAGAGCCCGCCACAGTGTCATACACGCCAATGCAGCGACGGCTCTGGGCTCCAAGCGTACCATTCAACAATAAGGGAGGCATGTCTGAATGGCCCTACCAGATCCACACTTTCCCCTCATCTTACTACCCTCCCGCTGAGGTGCCATCCGATATGTGCCCCCACGAAATCATCCTGTGGGCCGAGTCGCCGGAACGATACCAGGATCTATCTCGCATATCCTGTTTCCAAGTCGTTGGCGGAACGAAGCAGAGCGGCGATAGAGTGTGGGAAGTACCAGATATCTTAGCTATCTCGGCAGAGAAGATACAAGGACACGGAACACACGTAGGAGAGATCCGTCCTGTAGCCGCCCAACATCCTGATTTCCACAAATGCACTAATTTGTCTGAGCTGGAACTATCGAAGAAGTCCAAGTCCTTTGATGAAGCGAATATGAGCAAGTTTACAATCGATGGCCCGGGTGGCGAGATGGTTACAGAAGTTCATGTCTCTGATGACTTCGGGGCGATTAAGCTGTTTACCAACAGGAACCGAGAGTGTTACTGGGGCGAGGAAGATAGAAACGATTGGTTTGTAAAGAGGGCGGAGCAGGGCGAGTGTATTGTAGGGTTAAGTTGCTGTTTTGCTCGGTTGGGCGGCTGGAGTACGAGCGCTAAGCTGCATAGTCATTGGAGGTTGAGTGATCTTGGTGTTGTGACGATGAGGCCTTAAGGTGTGACTACATACGGGCGTGGGATTGTCGAAAGACTTGTTCTGGGAGGCGCATGCACAGGAGTAAGTGCTGTAGACATGGCGGGTTACTATAGATTATACTGTGTACTCATCAAGTTTTATTTATTCATGTGAGCTTGAAGCCGTGTTCAGTGTTAGAGTTGGAAGATGGGCTGGCTACTTGCGTCAGGTCACCCGTTGAGGGCCTTTGGTCGTACATGTAGAAACTTAATAGTGGTACCAGTACCCGCTCATTGGAATAGGTGTCATCAGGTATCCGACCAGAACCCTGTTGCCTAGGCACAATAGAACCGGGCACCGAACGAATTTGTGCGGTTGCTCGTGTCAATCATTTCGGGGTCCCAGTGTTCAAAGATAGAAGCCTATATTCCTGCCGATCTTAACTAAACTTTTCAATCGGGGATCTGGCCCACCGGCCTGCCAAGCTTTCCTATTCCTCGTTATCTCGGAGCTCGCACCTTGGCACGAGCTAGAGATTCTAGTTTCCGGTCCCGCTTCTAGACCGCATCTTTCAGAACCGCGACGAGCTTGGGGGAGGAAAGAACATCTCTTGAGCGTGAGATGCGGTAGACAGTTGGAGACTCAGTAGTGGTACAAGCAACACGCTACGTAGCGACGCAGTGAGTGAGAAGCCATAGACTGAAATATTTCAATTGCAATTACTTCGAATTTGTGGGGGTCAGCGTGATTCAGGACACATCCCGCGAGGTTACCAAGTTCAGACGGGGCTGTCCCCTGCCCCCAGATATAATCTTCCCATGCGGTTTCACGACCGAGTCAAGAAATCCATGAGATTACTCTAGTCTTCGTCATGCCAAGCATATGGCTCCGGACACTAGGGATCCAGTCGTTGTCTAGAACCTGGTTGATGGTACTTTCAACACTTCGGGGTGGTTCTCAGCCGTGGCGTGAATATATCGGGGAGTCTCGGCTTTGTGCAGACAGAATCTCCATCATTCCTAGTGTCGAGCAGGTCACCTATGTTTCTATCTGCGTGTAATGCCAACCGCAGTCAAACAGATAGAGTTCAGCAGCACCACGATATTATCATGTCTGGCATCGGGAATAATGGGGGATACGCGCATATCGAAGGAGCGCAGCTCTTCCCCCCTGGCCCCATTCTATAGGCACGGGTTGGACCCAGCACTTCCGCCGGAGGATGGTGGTCCGTTTAGGACAAGCTTCTAGTAGTGTCGAGAAGTGAGGGTTTGCCAAGTTGCGGGAGGTTTTCGAGCTCCGCGCTATGCGATGCCAAGGAAGCCTTAACGATTGCGGTCAAAAAAGGGCATCGGGGGGTAAACGCGTATGGAGGTTTGCAGCTGAATATCCCTTGGCAGGGCTGGATTTGCAATAATGAGAGAAGTGTTTCTCGCAAGGCGATCGCTGGTGGCCGAAGGTAGTATGTTTGACGAGAGCGCGCATGGTTTGAAGTTGGTAGGCGTAAGCGCCACGTCAGGTGATGGCGCGCATAACACACCTGCGCGCATTCGGATGGGGAACCCTACAATATCCGATCTCGTCTATTGCTTCCAATTTAGACTCAAGTTTTTATTTTAGGCGTGGCGCTGGGGTCGGGTTGTGGAGACCTTGAAACGGCTTTTCGGTTCTCGGTTTGGCCACACTCTCAATGTCCCCTTGGCTCCTTAATCATGCGCAGTGACGCAGTCTCACTCACTCACCAATGGAGTCTCCAGTGAGTAGCGAGCCTGCCATCTACTGCGTGGAACAACTGTCGGCCGTCCGCGAGGAGAAGGCATGCAAAGTAGTATATCTGCTACACGCAAAGCACCCTTAGATTCAATGTTTAAACAAACGGTGCGTGTGCTCTGTTCACGTGGTAAAATCCTCATAATACCCATTGCTACTCCTGGTCGGCTCCGCTGCCAAGTCCCATGAAGAGGAGACGGAAGACTAGTACTGGACTCATAACACCGCTCCACTTTATGCCCCCCTGAAACAAGGTCCAGTTATCTTTATTGGTACAATATGCTACCCACGAGGGTGTTTGACAGATGCCAGTACGGCCGCTAGGAGCGCAGTCATGCACAACTTATCTGCCAAGGCTTGGCAGGTACAGTGGGTTGATGGCTTGTTTGAAGCTTGGTTTGAATCGGGCGACTATTGGAGGAATAACCTAAACGGAACATTTTGAAACGTAGTTCGACTCTAAAAGGGCCTAGCCTTACGTTCGACTCGATACGCGAGGTGGAGGACGACCCTGGCACGACCACCAAGAACATTGTTCCGCCAACCTACGGCAGGTCCCGTTTATTAAAGTGCGTAAAAAGTTCCTCCGCTCTATCTTGCCAAGGAGAACGATACCTGATGTGGATATTGCATAGTTTCAGCCAGGTTCTACAGCCATCTCATCGAGGAATAGCGTCGGTGTCAGCCCCCGTCAATTACGATGGCCCCTCTATCAGAATGCAAGTTGGTGGAAAAAGGGAGTATGGACGATTGAACGTATAAGTATCGGAGTGAACGTCTCCAAGACAGAATCATCTCATCACCTTCATTCAGTCTCTCATTTGCTTGACGCATACCACTTTCACTACTTTACCTTCTTCATATATACTTTTCAAGAATCCTCTTTCGACTTCCAGTCCCAATCCAACAATCATCAAAATGAAGTTCACCATCGCTGCCTCCATCGCTGCCCTCGTGGCCACCGCTGCTGCCGGTCCTGCTGTCGCCGCCCCTGAGGGTTTCTCCAGCCTCACCAAGCGTGCTGGCCTCCCTATCCCTGCCTCCAAGGGCACCGTCACCTTGAAGAAGCCCCAGTCTGTTACCGGCGTCTTTGACGGTGGGTTCAAGACCTACGGCCGTGGTGTCTCTTGCAGTGGCCAGAAGGAGGGCGGTGACGCTGATGCCGTCTTCATCGTCCAGAATGGCGGTACCCTGAGGAATGTCATCATTGGCAAAGACCAGGTTGAGGGTGTTCACTGCGCTGGTGCTTGCACCATCGAGAACGTCTGGTGGGTTGACGTTTGCGAGGATGCTCTCTCCATCAAGGGTAACGGCAATGCTCTCATCAAGGGCGGAGGTGCCCAGAGCGCTTCCGACAAGGTCATCCAGCACAACGGACAAGGCACCGTCACCATCGACGGCTTCAGTAAGTACTCATAACACAACATCTCCAATTCATATCTAACTTTTTTCAGCCGTCATGGACTTCGGCAAGCTTTACCGTGCTTGCGGTAACTGCAAGAACTCTGTCTCTCGCAGCGTCGTCGTCAAGAACGTCAAGGCCTACAACGGCAAGGTCCTCACTGGAATCAACCCCAACTTCGGTGGAACCTCCACGTCAGCAAACCCATTCCTTCTTGTGCTAAACCATTACTGACATGTTGCAGCATCTCCGGCACCTGCGCTACCAACGTCAAGACCATCTGCGAGGAGTTCCAGGGCACCAAGCCCGGCTCCGAGCCCAAGTCCGTCAGCAAGGGCCCCTCCAACAACTGCAAGTACGCTGCCGCCTCCATCAAGGCTTGCTAGACGTCTACTTCAGCTTGCTGGAAAGGCTCAATGAGAACCACAGTCACAGGCGGTGGAAGCATTGAACCATTGGTCCGTCATGCTTTGATGCGACAATAATTCACTGGGAGCATTGATAGCTTTGAAAGCGGATCTTTGTATATATTTTCGAACTTCTAAATAACATGCCGAGCATGCAATACATTTTCTTCTTCACCTATCTGACTACTCTTTTGCTCGATGAGCTTGGTAGGACTGTGCATATGTTTTCCTTGGGCACCTTTAGCTTACCCGAGTTTAATTGATGAACATACGTAAGTCGACCTTTATACCTTTAGCACATGTTGCCTAAGTTGAGCCCATGATTTCAATTGCCCTGCTTTGCGTAGGCTGACCGTAGATGCCTTCAGCGTACTATGAGGAAGCTGAAGCCTTCGGGCCAGTTGGCCCTGGATATATTCATTGCACTATGATTCATTTTGGTAATCACATAGTCTCACTCGCTGTATCTGTGTGTAGCTTGAGCGCAAAGGCTTTTCAGCTTGTAAAGAAGCGGAAGACTTTACGTACGGCTTTGCCTGGGTTAACTCTGAATGTATTTCACGAAGTATAACTGGTTATCTTATTGAATATGCATGATCTAGTTGGCTCACTTGATCCCCCATTCGTAATTCGAACGAATCTTCAATGGTTCAATAGGATGATCTCCTCATAGAAACAATGTAACTAGATTTCACACGTAAGCAATTTACCTTTGCGGGATATATTTAAAGTCGTATATCCTCCCCATGGAAGGAATCTCATCTATCAAAGCACACTCTCATCACTGAATCATTAAACCTTCTACCTAACCACCATGGTTCCTCTCAGGAATTGCCTCTTCCTCGCCCTTGTGGCATTCTTTGGCCTTTTGGGCCTCACCCTTGCCACGCCGACGGAAACTGGCACCATCTCTGTGCCAACAGATGCCACCACTTCCGCACCACTCTGCGACATATCCTTGTTCGTGGGTCCCCCAATCATGTCGGTCGCCACCACTACCACTACGACAGCCATCGCACCCACTACTACAGTCTACTTCCACGATGGTCCTGGTGGCTTGAAAGCTGAGCCTACGCCTGCCCCACTCGATTTCTTCTGCGACCCGGATTCCTGGAGAAAATCCAGCGTGATTGATTGTTTCGGTACGTTTAAGACGCTGCCCATCTCATACAACATCATATCCAAAAGGGAGTTCAAGGTTTTCATGGCCAATCAACCCATGACTGGGCAGTTCTTCGGCGACTCCGAGAGCTATGGCCCTCTGATAAAGATGGCTACAAACAGAGATGAGATGACTGACGAAGGCGTTCTTTGCGAGGCGCTTATGCGATTCGAGGGCAACACTCCACAAGGCCGGAAGTGCTGGGGAACCGTTGAGAAACATGCGAGCTTGTTTTGGTATCGCTTGATTTCCTGGGAGGATTACGAAAAGTGCATGGCGGATTTCTCTAGCCCGTATAGCTGCCCACGGAAGGATCTGAGCCCGGCCCCGGTCGCCACTACCTGGCCTCTCAGTTTCCAGACCACGCCTATCTCTACTAATACGGTCATCACCGTGCCCACGAGTGCGATTCCGACGCAAACCAGCATGTGGATGTCCCCGGCATCACCAACGGCCTTCGTCACGCGGACTGTGGGGCAGAAACCAGAACCTACAAACGCCCCGCCGTGGACAAGTGAGCTTTAGCACATCTGAGAAGCTGACTTCTCAGTGAGATGTTGCATAGAGAATTGCGGTCTGAATATTGGAGCTACCACGTGGAACTTTGTCCCAGATTGGCTTGCGGCTAGGATCGGGGTTATGCTTTTGTGGGGGAGCACAGCGGCGGTTAGTCTAGTTGGTCTCTTATTGGGTCTTATGTATGGTTATATGGGTTCGAGATTCTTTGACGATCTGTACCGTGGTACCGTGTAGTTAGGAGAAATCTCAAGTCAACTCCACAATTAGCTACTAACTGACTTCCTCATAAGACTGTGAAGTCATTAAAAATACGTGATATTTGGCGAACGCGGCTTTAGCTAACTCTGACTGTGGATATGAGAGATGTGGTCAGGGCTGCGGGCGAGCTCCACTTGCTTCCTCGTAAGAACAAGACCTACGTCAGCACCAATCGCCCGACTCATATACGTAGCTACGAGCCTCTCCGTGGCCAACGTGACGCTCTTTGTGTATGAGTGTGCACACTGTCTGTTATTTCACTATGAGGACTGCTGGCTATAGCACGATGCGCAACACCGGGTTTTAAGTAGTTCAAATGTTTTCTCAACTGTCTGACTGCTGCATTCCTCTTACTGAGCGGAATTCAAGCACGCCCCGGCGCAATCTAGTCACAGAAACCCCAAGCAGCCTCGTGGAACTATTCACAGTAGTATAGACCTTGAGATATACCGTTTATATCGCCAGTCGTAAATTTTCTTCGCCATTCTTTTTACTTTGCCAGTCGCTCTAAGCTATTAGATAAGGTCTGCAACAGCGATGACAGGAAACAAGAGAAATGAAGGAGACAGCATCAATTTGACAATCTGTAAAGACGAATATAGTCTCTAGGAGGGATACTTAGGAATATCAAGTGAAGTCCATGAACCTTCCGGACTATGCCTTCTACTCTCCACAGTCTTATAAAGTGGGAGTATCTAGTGATTGGAACGGCGAGCGCCTTCTGAAAAATGTGCGCATCCGCACGTGAACGCTTCGTAAGGACTGCTTCAAGATACTGTTTACTACGAGATGACAACGGCGGACATATTTGACATTGGCTCTCGATGTATCGACGGCATAGATCGGCATAATATCGTTTGAGCTACCCGAGAGGGACCAAAAGTAGGGAGGGTAACCGGACAAGGGTCCGGGTAAATTGTTTGAAAGGTATGAAAAGTATACTTCATCTACCTATGCACATTACCGAGAGGACGTCATGCTGCCTGGATGCATCATGGGCGCTTCAGCCGACAAGCCTTTGTAAGCTCTCATAGCGTCGTCGGGGCCTTGTTCTGCAACGTTTTCGCGAGACCAACCTCAACAATCTTGTCCCAACCCCTCTCTGGCCCCCAAGTAATGCGTTTCTGGTTCAGCTTCGTCTCTACCAGCAATCCTTCCAGTAGTGGGCTAGACTTCGAGACGCTAGGGTAGGCATCAAACTCTACCTCATTGACCGAGGGCACCTGTGCGAGCAGGCCCCTCAGCAAGTTCACGCAATATTCTGTATAAAAGTCCTGCCCCACGCGGAACCCCTCGAAGATTTCATTCGACGCAGGGTCAATCTCAATGAAGATTTTCAACCTGTGAATCTTCGTTGCAGCCGCAAGGCCGAGGCGACTATCCACGACCCATCCTTTCGGCGGCCGCGTGAAGCCTGGACCGAGCCGCAACTCTAGCCTTGTGATGTATGCACGGTACCTTCGGGGCAGCCACGCGAGCAACGGGTGCTTCCGATTGATGTAGCGACCGTGTATAGGGAAAACGCGGAAGGTATTGCGGCCGTAGAAGACACGCGATGCTTCTTCGTGCATGCGGTGGGATGCGAGGAAGAGGCGGAGATAGGGAGCGACTATGCGATAGTTTGTAGGGTCAAGGTCAATAGTCTTGGGGAGGATGAGCAGGAACTCGTAGATGCGTAATCGCAGCTCGGACGGAAGGTCGAAGAAGCGGAAAGGCGGGCGCTCGGCGGTTTCATCACTGATGTCCTCCTTCACGGTTGCTGCCAGGGCGAGAGCCTCGTCCTTCAGGCGCATCTTGCTCATGCGGTTGACCAAGAAGTCGACAGCCTTCGCCTTGCGCGCCATCTTGTCACAGACTACGCGTTCCTCAAAGCGATCACGTCAACCGCTTTGAAAGCGTTATCCATCCATCGTGCCACTCGATGTTATACGTGATGATCGTTCGAGGATGTGGAAAGCGTGGCGATGCGATGATTGAATGTCTCGGAGCTACGGGACCATCAGCCCAATGCGATTTGGGCAGGCAGTTCTTGGGAGCAAAGATTCTCGATCTCCCCAGCTTTGTCAACTTCAAATTTATAGAGAGGAAAAATTTGATGTCAAATTTGTGGGTGCAACTTTTCTGAAGAGAAGAAGAGCAATGGGTCGCGGCGAAAGAGTTTTGGTGAGGAGCGCCGTTAGTCAGCCGCCTAACCGAGGGCCTTTGCTGATCGTCATCATGCGCTAATGTGAGCACACTCCAACCCACCGCCATCATGAATCTACAGCCTACAACATCATCTATCGGCTAATCTTGTATATCATATCTACGTATACTTAAGTCCTAGGTCCCAAGAGTCTTACTGTCTGTCATGTTTGGACAAGCAAGGAAGGAATGTTCCCGTACGTACACAAGCCTAGATTAGTTTGAGCGCTGGTTGTCATTATCAAGTGGAGAAGATGGGGCTTAACAAGGATCTCGTATATTACTTGCTACTGGAGCTTGACTAAGCCAAGGACTGGTGGAAACTTTAATTAACATAGTGCACTCAAAAATGAAATAGGGAGCCCAACCCAACGACCAACAAATCAAACGAGGGCCCACGAAGGCAGGCACTGCACACCGCAGTGAGCGCGCCGAACTCTGAGAACTGCCCGACCAGTCGTATATCAACATCAAATATTAAGTTAATTGTTCTAGCGTCGTAGAATTGGAGAGAATGTCGTCGAAGGATCATTTCGTTGTCGCAAGTACAGCTTGACTGGAAATTGGGAGTCCAAGGCACTGCAGAGGTGATAGTTCTCAGAGACAGCAGCCTGTGATATCTGCCTGTTGGATTTCGAGCTCTTCGCTAGGGACAACGTGAGTGCCCATGACGGAGAGGGCGTCCATTACCGGATCGTCAACATGACCCTTGGGGCGTGACGCAGGGACTTTGACTGGCTGAGCATCCTCGAATGTGCATCGGCATGGCGGAAGATCAAATCCGGCAAGAGTCATACGCTTGCAAACGCTCTCTTGACAGTGCAGAACGCAGTGCAATGGCTCCGCTTTCTCGGCCGCATCTAACTTGAAATCGCTTCCAATGTCAGGAAAGGGCTCAGTGTTGATGTTCGTGTTCATACCATCGAAGAAAGGAGACGGTGGCGCTACCGGAAGTCGAACGGTGCCTGTCGGTATGACGATGCGCGTCGGGCGCTTCTCGGGACTCGTCATGGGGGTGGTCATAGATATGATGAACGCGGACATTATACACTTGCCTAAGTGTGGTAGTATCGCTAGGAATGTAAGTTTCAAGTTGATCTTGGGTAGGTTGTCAGTCATGTTTGCGAAATCTTGGCTTGAACATTATATCTGTAAGGGAGTGAAGACATTGGCTGACACTGTGTAGCAATTATAGACATTAAAGGTGTATAATGTCAAGAAACATCACACTAGCCCAGAGTGAATATCGAGCAAATTACACAATGTACCGCACGTAGTAAAAATCACACAACCCCAAACCAATCGAATACACTTAGCTACCAAAGCTATTGCCACAAACTCCTTGTCATTCCCTTGAGTTCTGCTTGTCGTTGATATCGCCCTGCTCATGATCCAACCAAACCAGAACACTAACTACCCTCCGAACTATTCATTCCGTAAGTTCAAACGTTCGACACTACAGCTTTCAAAAGATTCTCTCCGTGACATGGTGGGTGTAGGAAGTCTGTGAGTACCATCAGTAAAGTTTGCAGGAGCCAGTGAGATTGACTGTACTTGGGGCTTCGAGTCACAGATTGGAGAGCCGCTCGAGCTATCTCCGTTTTTTTTAACTGGAAAGTTAATCATCAGAAACTCCATGGGAGCAAATCGAAAGCTGGGCAAGACAACTGGTACAAATAGTGGCCAGTACGCATCCCGAAGGCTATGTTGTTGGCACTTTGTGGTCTCAACGTCCACCGATCCTGGTAGACGTCTTCGATACTCTGTATCTGTGCCGGGTCGAGCGAGCTTTCTACATCTCGCGGGCAGCACATCCGTTTGATCCTCCAGGATTCCGGGATTATGGAAAACCTATCCTGACATCATCAGCTCAACCAGCTGATCAATAGAGTCTACTTGTGACTCCATCAACAGACGTGTTCCAACTGGGCGCGTTGCTTTGGGTCCTAGCCGAGAGTTGAGCAACTAGATAGTCGGCATATTCTGTAAAAGAAGAGCGCTTCTATAAGGATCTCGAGTCCTGATACGAGGGACACAACACTGGCCCTCTTTCTCTCCCTCAATTACTGGAGACAGTTCCGGAATACTATCGAAATATGGTGAATGCCTGCTACGCCCCAGATCCGTTCGCTCGTCCTCGTGCAGCCGATATGCTTCATGAGTTTCCTGCAGTCGTTCAGGATTAGACTGCAACGTAAACCTAGTCGTGGCGCGAGAACTTTTGATGGATGAAGGGGGCATGAGACCATGCCGCGTAAAATCGGTTTACTGTGAGTTCTGTTATTAAAAGATGCCTAACTTGATGTACTCGTGCACTATATGCAATGAAGGGGACTTCGATGCATGTCTAAGCTGTTTTCAAGAAGGCAAACATTGTTTGAACTTGACGCATTTAATAGTCGAAATTACACTAGATGCACCTTTCCCTACTGTAACTCGATATCATTCGAGGTGCGATGAATTAGGGGGAGAAGGGTGTACGAAAGTTAATTATAGTCAAGGTAGAGTTCATCTGGTCCCGCGTTGGAGCTCTTTGCAATGCCCAGGAGCATTCTCGTCTGTATTGGTATAACAAGATGTGACGAACCCTTCAAACATAAGTGATTTCCCATATGAACTACCCCAAAACAAAGCATTCACTATATTGAAGTTGAGAGCTTTAATTTCATGAACCTTCGTGCTAACTACACGTCCTCAGAACTATATGCACTCCAGGAGTGTCACAGGACACGCCATATTTATTTCTCTTTGGTGCTAATAAAACCGGCAGCTGGGCTGGCGCTTATTGCTAGAAAAACCGGAAAACCCAGGGTGTCGGAACCGGATTTCACCAATGACAACGAAGCTACGCCGCATCAGCCCTCCTCTGCATGATTATTACAACCGTATTAGCCTCCACCAACTAGGCAGTAATGGCAAGTGTAGACGAAAATGAAGGGTAGCGGACCGTTTCCGCTAGGTGGGTGATGTACCCTATCTTGTATTTCTGGCCTGAGGTGGCCGCTTCAACTTGCGTGGGCTGACACATGCATAAACAGCTGGATTGTTCGGGAACATCCTTGCACTGGAGGCTTGATTGCCTGACACAGCGTAATGGAGGTATGTGGAAACATGCTCAAGGCGTATATATGCTCAGCCCGATCGTTACGGAGGTATGCATCGAACCTCTATTCTAATCACAGCCTCACCCGTTGCCCTCGAGCAAACAGATCCAGATCGCAAAATGCCTCAATTCTGGGAGGCGAAAGAAGTCCTCGATCTTTGCTCCGATCAGCGATGTGTCGGCATCGTTCCATCCACTAGTCGCAAATGTCGAAGGCCGATATCCTGGTTGAACCAGGCACGAATGAATATTCTCTTGATTGAGATATCGTCGCAATCACCAGACCTATCGATCTTGAGGCCGAAGCTGATGCGTCTCGCGGGGTATAGCTTATGCGTGCGATGCCAGCAAACTCAAATTGACGGCATGGTCGAGGAGTGGACGAGGAAGATACATGCGGCATATCCGGAGAGTGAGACGGCGAGAGTCGCTCCATCTACGACATCCCACTCCACTCCTTCAACAACGATATCCCGCACCCCAACCCTTGAGTCAACAAGATCATCGAGACGATTAACAGCCACCACGACAATCTCATCAATGCCATCTCTTCCATCTCTCCCCGAACTCATAGCGCTGCAAGAAAGGCTCCGAACAGCACAACGGCGGCTCCAGGAAATGCGAAATACGAGATTTTCAAACGATATTCTCTTAGTGTCGCGTGTCTCTATTTCTGGTCCACCAACTGCTTCTCCATCATCACGATCAAGACATTGCAACCTTACTCCCGTTCGCCGTCGCTCCTTGGATGAAGAGTGTTCTATTTGCTACGACAATGCTCCACTATCCCATACGCCGTCTGAGCTTGTATGGTGCAAGTTTGGTTGCGGTAGAAGTGTACATCGAGAATGTTTCAAGGCATGGCAGAATCAGTGCGTAACAAGGAATAGAGAAGTCACCTGTATAATATGTCGGGAAAATTGGGTAGATGGTTGCGAATGATGAAGGGAGTATTCCAAGTGTGGAGATCTTGAGCTAAGGGTATCTACTTTCACTGTGGGGAGTTAACTTCAAGATGTTAATGCACTCGCACTTTTGGCTTCAATGTTAAATACTCTAATAGTCCTATTATTCGAACTCCCCACTTTCGCTTGATGGTCTTGATTTTCACCCGTTTTCATACATTCTGCAGCAGTCATTCTCTGTGATAAAGTCATAGTAAACATCTTGGAGCAAGTGTCCTCCACTCTGAAACAGACCAGAAAAACAAAATCAGTCCTTGTACAACGTTGACCCCTAAAGTAACACCACTTATCAGATAGCCTGCCACGTGTGTAACCACATCATCGGTAGAACCTGCCTCTCCCAGATTCGTACCAAACTTTCCCCTGCGCGGTCGACACACTGTCAAACACCTAACTATCTTTCTATCTTCAAAAGCTCACGAAACTCACTGTAGCGAATCAAACGATCGCGATAACGACGATAAAAACGATGCATATACCCACTTTCGTCAAAATAATCCCCATAAGCCTTCTCGCAACCGCCATCTTCGCGCTAAGCGCATTCGTAACACCACCCCAGTTCACAACCTGCACTACCGCACAACGATACTGCGGCTGGGAACTCATGCAAGACCACGGTCCGTCTCCCCATTGACTTGGTCCAACGACCTAACACTCACATTCAGATATCCCAATGTCCGTTCTCGGCAACATTTACAAGGCACAAACGGGCGATGATTCACTGTGCACTGTCACCGAGGAGGGAGCTTTGTATTGCACTTGTGTTTTCGAGTGTGGGAATGGAGTGTGGCGGTGTGATGAGGATGGAGATGTAGATGGGAGAGGACGAAACTGGGTGTTTGAGGAGGGGTGTAGGAAGTACTGTCATGCTGGAGTGTGCGATGGGCGAAAAAGACGGTAAACGGTCAGATTGCAAGATCGAGAAAGTTGTGAAAGAGGAGACTTGGAATACTTGTTGAAAGTCTATGATATCGTTAAATTCGTATATACATGTCATGTTAGTGTTATAGCGAGCGGAGGTTTTTATCACGCCTTGTCGAAAAGATCCATGCCCCCAACCCGCATCTTTTTGTACCATTCCTTGACATAGGGAAGCCCGACGTGTGGGCCGTAAGGATCCTTGTCCCACTGTGGTCTCGGCGGCTTGAGACCTGTCTCCGCTTCACACTTGGCCATGAGCTCTCGTACTGTGCCGCCGCGGTCGATACTCATATCATCGCTATGACCCGTCTTCTTCCTCTCTTCTCGCATCTTCTGGCGAAGTTCGGTCGTCGCGCCTTCGTTGACCGTGAAATCCGAGGAGCGAACGATAACGCCATAGTTCTTCGCTGCGCCTGATATGGTGACGAGGCGCCGGTGAACTTCCTGCGCTACGATGGTAGCCGGGCGGGTCAGAGGGTCGCCGAGACCGCCGCCGCCCCAGGTTACCCACTCAAGGACATCTCCTAATACATTCATTAGCAACTGCCCTAAATCCTTAGTAGGATGTGTAACTGCTTACCAGGATAGACATGGATGTAGTCTTGCTTCGACTGACAAAGCTCTATGTTATCCTTCTCTCTACCCGTGCCATAACTGTTATTCCTATAGAGCACCTTCCTCGATCTCGACCCAGGCAGGCCCCCGTTTACACCCCACGGCTTGATCATCCACCTATCATCATGTATGCTGACATCGCCTTCACAAAGCCACCTATATAGTGTGCGCTGCGCATTACCGCCTCGGAAGTATCCCGCACCCCCCGAGTCTGGCAGCGCTTCATTAGCCTCAAGGATGACTGGGAAGTACAACTCAATATTCTCGGCAGGAATAGACTTGATAGCCGGGAAGAGGCAATGGCAGTCTGGACCATCGCCAACAGGCCGTGCAGGCACACCGCCAAAGCCAATCTGGTAGAGCAGGTAGAATTCGCCGTCTGGCTTGAAACCAGAGTAGAAGAGATGTGGAGAGTCAGAAAAGCCTGCTGCACACCTATACGCCGCGTTGCGTTGCCCGAAGAGGGCTTGCATGACGTCCATTACGCGACCTAAGAGATGTGTGCGGCAGCTGAGCGCAGCAGGACGGACGGGGCGAAGAATGGTACCGGTAGGAATCTTGATATCGATGAGGTCGTGGAAGCCGTCGTTGACTACGGCGTGGGGGTCGTACACAGCGAGGAGGTAGTAGCCGATGAACATCTTGAACATGGTGATGGAGAGGTAGTAGTTCATAGATGTGTTCGACTGCGGCGATGTACCGTCCCAGTCGAAGACGAGCTTGTCACCTTCTTTCTGCATCGAACAGGAGATGGCGTACGGTCCGACGCCCTGGCCATCGTCGTCGATGAAGTCGGTAAATCTCGATTTTTCGGGGCCGATCTTCTCGTCAATAATAGTTTTAATAGCGATCTTGTTCTGGTCAAGTAGATAATCAGTTGCCGCTTCGTAGAGCTCAAGACCATAGCGTTGGCAAAGTTCGTTGACTCGGGTGGCGGCCGTCCGACATGCAGTGACAAGAGCGACAAGGTCACTCTGGAACCACTCAGGCTTGCGAGAATTGCGAAAGAATACTGACGCCAGCCCCTCATTGTACACGCCCTTATCATAGAGCTTGACAATGGGGATCTGTAAGCCATCCTCGTAGATTGTGCTAGCGTTGATGCTCATAGAACCAGGGACTTTGCCTTGTACATCGGTTAAATGGCCAAAGTTGGCGGCCCAGCCGATGAGCGTGTGCTCAAAGTAGATGGGAAGAAGGATGATGACGTCGTTGAGATGTGATACAGCGCCATCAATTTGGTAAACGTCATTAGTAACGAATATGTCGCCCTCTTCCACTGTCCCTTTCCAACCGTTCAAAAACTGTGTGATGAAACTGCCAAATTGGCCTACTAACATCTGACCGCGCGTGTTGGTGATGACGTTGAACTCGTCTTGCTGTTCTCGAATAGCTGGGCTCATAGCACAACGGAGCATGAGGGTGTCCATCTCTCGTCGGATCGAGCCGAGCGCTGACGCGATGAGAGTAGCAATCAAGGGCTGCTCTTTGACAAGTTCGGTGGCAGACTGCTTTGTGTGAACAGCCTTCTGTTCAGCCGTCTTCTCTTCAGGCCAGATGAGAATATTCCCCATGGAGTCGATTTCACCAAAGTAGCCAGGGAGGATGAGAGTGTTGGAATCCATTTCAGTAACGACAGCTGGTCCAGGGATCTTGATGCCTGCTTTGGTGATCATCGTGCGGTCCCAAAAGGTAGCCTTGACCTTCTTGTCTTCGTAAATGATATCTTGCTTGAAGGTGATGGCATCTTTCGGTGGTGTGGAGCTCTTGGCTTTCTCGATGGGCTTGATAGCTACCTCCTCGGAAGCATCTATAACCTTGGCGCGCATGCGCATAGTCTCAATCTCAGCCTGCGCATGTGAGAAGCTAAACTGTTGATTATGCGCCTCGTTGAATTTTGAATGGAGAATTTCCAAAAGGCCTAGTGTGTCGCTGAGTTCGTCTTCACTGAAGTCAACGGTGAGCGTCATCGCCTGGCCCTTGTATCGCATATCGGACTGATATACAACCTTCAAGGTGGCGTCGTCGTTCGCGAGCGACTTTTTCATCGTCTTCACGCAGCTGTCCTTGAGATTACTCAAGGTCTTGGTGAGGTCCCCCGCGGTGATTTCAGAGAAGACCTTGATATATGTGCAACTCTGCTCGTGTGACATCTTGGTGGTCGCATCGCCCTGAGCGCACAGTACGCCTGGGCTAGGAGGAACAATGACGGGCCAGGAACCGAGGAGCTTTCCGAGCGAGTTGGCGTGGAGAGGGCCAGCTCCGCCGAATGCAACAAGGGCAAAGTCGCGAGGATCATAGCCTTGCTCAACCGACACAAGACGGAGAGCGCCGTGCATTGATTCATTGACAAGATCGATGATGCCTTCAGCTGCTGTTGTGGTATCCATGCCCATCTGCTTGGCCATCGACTTGACCGCGGCCGCTGATGCAGCAACATTGAGCTCAAATTTACCTCCGAGTAGTTTTGATGGTAGATAGCCAAGGGTCAGGTTGGCATCGGTAACGGTTGCTTGTGTTCCACCCTTTCCGTACGCAGCAGGTCCAGGAGTCGCTCCGCTAGATTCAGGCCCTACACGGAAGTTCTTTGTGAATTCGTTATAAACAGCTATCGAGCCACCACCTGCACCGACTGTTCGTACATCTACTGATGGTGCTCGGACCGACAAGTGGCCGACTTCGGTTTCTCGTCGAATAATAGGGTCTGCACCTGAGAGCAGCGCGCAATCTGTGCTTGTACCGCCCATGTCGAATGTGATGAGGTTTTTGAAAGGGGTATTTTTTGCAACCAAATGCGAAACGGCTTTGACACCGCCTGCTGGACCGCTCATGAGGATGTGTACGGGGGTCTCTCCTGCCAGATCGACTGATGTAAGATCACCATCGGACTTGAGGATGCGGATCGTGTCCGTGTCGTTCGCCAGCATCTTCTGGAGATTGTGCATGTATTTCTTGACTGTTGGCTTGACAATCGCATTTGCCGCTGTAGTGACTGTCCGTTCGTACTCCTGGATTTCCGGCAGCACATCGGTGGAAGTGACAACTTCGACGTCAGGACCAAACTCGTCCTTCAAGATGTCCCGAACCTTCTCCTCGTGCACCTTGTTGCTGAAGGAGTTGAGTAGGGACACAGCAATCGCTTGGGGCTGCTGCCTCTTCAAATCCTGCAGGTCTTCCCTGAACGCCTTCTCATCCAGCTCGTACCAGACTTGGCCATCGATCTTGATGCGCTCCTTGACCTCCACAGTCCGCTCCGGCGGTACTAGGGGCTCTGGCTGTATGTAATTTATCCATGCGCCCAGTCCACCCGGTATTTGACTCCTCCGCACGGTCAATATATCCTTGTGTCCCTTTGTCACGATCAGGCCGCATTTCGCGCCCTTGCCCTCGAGCACCGCGTTCGTGCCCGTCGTGGTGCCATGGTGTATGTACTCGAATTTGCCGTTCCAGTCGTACTTCTCATTCAAGATCTTACGGGCCTGCGCGACTCCGTTTTGGACGCCAATTGACTGGTCGGTCGTGTTCGTGAGAACTTTCGTTCGTACCGCCTCTCCGTTCGGTGTAATGACGCAGACGTCTGTGAAAGTACTAAGCATGTGTCAGCCGCTTCATGGCACGCATTGCGGCGCGCCCCTGAAATAGCAGGGTCGCGGCGCTAGAACTGGGTGAGTGCTGGCATTTTGCCACCATGGCTTGATGCTAGCAGGTGCGCTTCACAAAACATCGCAGACATCAAAAGAGAGCACTCACCCGCCGACATCAACACCCAACCGGTACCCAGGAGCCATGACATGCAAATTGATGCCGATGTTACTGATTGACTGGCACCCGAGCCCTCCGTTCAAAGGTAGTAGGCTCTGCGGTGCTGCTATAAAGCTGTTGGATTTCCTGGAGCGTGCTGACCCACTCGAATTGGCACCGGATCTTGGGCGGCCATTCCAGCTGTCCACGTTTTCGCCCACTGTAGATGCGTTTAATGCTACCGTCAGATGGATAGCTAGGCTCGGTAACAATCAGCCGATCTAGCGTAGAACTTTCTTCAGGGTACAGCCTGCGATAAGCACTGTCTACCACAGATACTGTTGGCGTGCGGGGCCGATAGATTGAACATAGTCGCCGTTGTAGCACGGTGTGAAACGGCTGAGCAATGAGGCTTTGCCAATTGTTTCGGCAATTTGGTCGAACGCGACAGAGAAAGACGCAGGCATCAGGGTTGTATGGATAGAGTTGCTGGTGTGGGAGGCCCTGGAAACCGACACGTGTGACTCTTTCGCCCCGCAGGGATTCGGATGGAATCCTCCAACGAACAACATCTTCACTCCGTAAGCACAATTAATTGCGCAAAAAGGTTCATATTGCTCTTGCATAAGTGGTGAGACCTATGCAGTGCTCAAGCATGCTAGTTATCCTCCTGCGGTCACCCACCAACACTTCGTCCTTTGCCTTTCGTCCTCGAGGGGGAGCGCATAGACGTTCCGATCACCGTTCCGAGTTCCGACCGACCTGGTAAACAAATATTTGCCCCTGCATGTGAGAGGCGCAGTCGGTTAAACGATATGGTGTCCAGGGCTATGGCGGTCGCGTTCGTGCGAGAAGGGTGCTGATATCCGCTTCTGAGCCAAGCTTCTTGTTCGTGGCCAGGACTCATACGTTGCCCACACCCTTCGAATGAGTACCTTCAGAAGGAATGCGGCGCATGGAAGACTATTTCCTGACTGCTTGCGCTATTACATGCATTGCGATTACTAGAATAGCAAGGACGCGCAAACGATTAGTGCGAGTAGTTACTGTTCTCGATTGTACAACACATGACCTGCAGCCTGGTCCTCGATCCCGCTTGGGAATATCAAACACCCACGCACATGCGGTCATGCTCGGTGCACATTATATGCATGGCATCTGCAGGGTACCCGAAAGGAGGACTCGTTGTCATCTCCACCACTTGGCTATAAGCAGTCGAGTATCTGTCGGAATAACGATCATACCTTGATATCGAAATCACGAAGCAAAGCTAAACTGCTCGTCCTATGATAGGGCCTCATGCCTTCTGGCACCGCACGTCTCTGCTGCGGTCTGATTTGCGATCCTAGAGATTGAGTAGGCGCTGCACTCTTGTACAGAAGTAGATGTATATTCCTAGCTAATAGCCTCAGACGCTGACCGGCGCGAAATAGGATCGGCACAACATGCCATGACCCATGTACGGCGTATCAGCGGAATCTTGCACGCGGTGCTTATCGTGAAGTTAGGCATGTGATATGCAACTGCCGAGCTAGTCAGATATTATGTCACAAGGAAACTTGCATGGCTCTCGTTCAAGCGTCATACCTTGCCTTTGCGCTAGTTGTATACAACTAGTGTGGGAAATGGGTCACAGATCCCTCCCTGGGCTCTGCTGGTTCTACACTTAAGAAGGTCTCGTACGGTGTCGGTCTGTTGTGCTGTTCTTGTCCTAAAGTGCATAGCTGATTTATTGTTGCAGGTCTGATCGGCCTCATGGTCTCCGGTTGTCTCTACTTGCACGTCGCAGCGAAATTTCGTTCGAATTCTGCGAAACAGCCGGCATCTGCCAAAGAACTCGTTCGTCCATTGGCGTACTTGGCTCGGTTGCACCATTGCGCTGGGTGCTCTGGCACTTGTTCTCGCTGAGGTGATCCCAATCTTTTCCTTGATTGTGTGGACCGGCTTCGTGTGCTTTGCGCCACTCACTATCATACTGTCAGGATGGGCTATGGCTGCACGATCATGGCAGCTATAATAAAGGCAAACCAGTGAAGATGTTGGTCTACTACGGAAATTCGCTGCTAATCCTCATCAGTGCCTTCACGTACGTTGGAAGAACATTTGCCATCATCGAAAGCATCATCGGAGCGTACAACAGCGTTGTGATCGGATCAGCCTTCAATTGCGCTGATAGCTCAGGCACCATACACTAGCGAAGTCGTATGTCTGCTGCGAGAAGTTCAGATGCGTGGCGCTAAAATCATATTTTTAGCTCCAAGGCAATGAAAATGAAATGCAATGAACCCTATGAACGTCCTATCCATCCACACATTTTGCTCACCAGTCGAGGCGTGACCAGGTTTGTGAGCTAGTGAGGCCGGGGTTTAGAGTGGCGCTAGCGCCGGTCCGACAAATCTTCCAGCGGACCTAAGCGAGCCACAACGGAAAATCACCGGCCACTCGAGACTTCGCAAAACGACCGCAAGCACTCGACAAGACTTCAACGCCCTCTTTTCCCTTTCCCGACAATCCTCATCAATACCGACAAAATGGGTGGTGTTTCAGTCAAGGACGTCGAGGTACGCGACACTCGATTACCGCAAATGCGACCACCAGCAACAGCGAACTGACACGACTCCGCAGGCGCACAAATTCATCCAATCGTATGCGGGTTTCTTAAAGAGGCAGGGCAAGCTCCCTATGTATGTTCGCTTCTTGCCCAATGTCTCATGCTGCCGTGCTAATTGTTTGCAGTCCAGGTTCGTGTCAATCCACCGGGTGAAACACGCCTGAATCCCGTAAATGGGGGATAACTTCAGCTTGCTGACCCTTATCTACAGGCTGGGTTGATACTGTCAAGACTTCGCGTACGTACTCACCCCGCTGAACATTTGGGCTGTGTCTAATGAGGAGCAGAGTCCAAGGAGCTTCCTCCCCAGGACATCGACTGGTTCTACGTCCGCGCCGCTGCCGTCGCTCGCCACGTCTACATGCGCAAGACCGTCGGTGTTGGCCGTCTTCGCAAGGCCCACGGGTACGACTACCCTCGTCCACAAGCCGGATGCAGGCAGGATACTAACGCATACATGTAGTGCCACCAAGAACCGCGGCTCGCGCCCCTCCCACCACGTTGACGCCTCCGGCTCTGTCGACCGCAAGGTCATGCAGGCTCTCGAGAAGATTGGTGTCCTTGAGCAGGATGAGGACAAGGGTGGCCGCCGCATCACACAGTCCGGCCAGCGTGATTTGGACCGAATTGCTCAGACCACGCTCGAGGCTGAGCAGGAGGAGGAGGATGACGAGTAGACGTTTTCACAAAGTGAACTGCTAGCATTTGATTGCGGGCGGTACGGATCCACGGTTTACGGCTTATGGCGTTGAGATGACTTCGCTGGGGCATCATAGCCTAGGATATCCAATGAGATCGGGCGTGGCCTAAAAGCAACTTTGATACCCACCACCACTGCCATCGTGCCATTTCATTTCCCACGTTTGTGATGTTATCGGAGTCGAAGAACCCGCATAATTTGCTCACCTAGGTGCGAGAATCTGAGGTGAAAGTAGCGAACTGCTTCTCTTTCTACGAATGCCTTAAAGCGCCATTTAGCAGAACTCCAACGCAAGTAACTCCACCAAGACCGCTCAAAGACTAGTATCAATATAGCCCCTACAGCGCATTTCTCCATCCTGGAATCCCTCAGAACAAGTCCGTCATAGCCCCGTGGCTCGCATCCCCAACCAATCTCGCATATTTGGCCAGTACACCTCGCGTCACCGGCATACTAGGTGCCTTCCACCCACTCAGTCTCCTCGCAATCTCCTCGGTGCTGACATCCATATCGATGCGATTCTTCTCCGCATCAATCGTGATCACATCACCATTCTGCACCACGGCAATCGGCCCACCAACCGCGGCTTCAGGACACATGTGCCCGACAATGAATCCGTGGCTGGCACCAGAGTACCTCCCATCGGTAATCAGAGCGACGTTAGTAAGTCCAGCACCCATTATCGCAGCGCTGGCTTTGAGTTGTTCGGGCATGCCTGGCCCGCCCTTGGGTCCTTCGTAGCGCACGACGATGACGATGTTTTCGCCTCGGGGAATCTTTCCATCGTTCAGGGCAGTGTCGAGGCCATGCTCTTTGTTGAAGACCATTGCTTTGCCTCTGAAGACTAGGCCCTCTTTTCCGGTGATTTTTGCAACAGCGCCCGCGGGCGCGAGGTTACCGCGCAGAATCTCAATGTGACCTGTGGCCTTGATAGGGTTGTCCAAGGAGCGGATGAGGGTTTGGTCCTGTGGGAGAGAGGGGTAGGGTTCAATGTTCTCTGCTAGTGTTTTGCCTGTTACGGTAGGGATGGAGCCGTCGAGCAGACCAGCCGCGACGAGCAGTTTCATTACACTCGGCATACCGCCAATATCAAAGAGGTCGGCGGCGAAGTACTTCCCTGATGGAGCGAGGTCGGCGAGGAATGGGATCTTGTTGGATACGCGCTGGAAATCATCGAGCGTTAATGGGACGCCGGCTGTTCCTGCCATGGCGAGGAGATGCAGGACGGCGTTTGTAGAACCGCCTAAAACCATCATCATAACGAGTGCGTTTTCAAAGCTAGCTTTAGTGAGCAGTTTGCGGGGTGTAATGTTCTTCTCCATGCAGACGCGGATCGCGGCCGCCGCTTTGGCGCATTCTCGCATTTTCGCGGGTGACTCTGCAGGAGTCGTCGATGAGTTGGGCAGAGTGAGTCCCATTGCTGTATATATTTAGCATCAAGACGCCAGGACTGGCTTTCTGAACAAGCATACCTTCAATGGAGGTAGACATCGTATTCGCAGTATACATGCCACCGCACGCTCCAGCTCCTGGACACGCATTCCTCTCAATATCTTCCATGATCTCATCTGGCGAAAACTTGCCGTCTTCGGCGCTCTTGAGGTTCTTGTAGATGTAGGCGCCATGGCTCTCGTAGCAAGTTGAGATGTTGATGGGCTTTTTCAACGTCTTGGAGTAGCCTGGCATGATCGAGCCGCCATACACCATGAGAGATGGGCGGTTGTGTCGAGCAAAGGCCATGATCACACCAGGCATATTCTTGTCACACCCTGGAATCGCGATGCAGGCGTCGTGATGCTGGGCACAAGTCACTGTTTCGATGCTGTCTGCTATAATTTCGCGGGTTTGAAGTGAAAATCGCATCCCTGGATTTCGTTAGCTTGAACCCTCCATCTCTCGATTGGGCTGGCTGTACCTTCTCCGCCCATGGTGATACCGTCTGATACTCCAATAGTGTTATATTGCCATGCGAGCATTTGGTCGTTCAGGACATGTTTCTTGATCTCTTTTCCGAGATCCAACACTGTGCTTCAGTCAGAATATAGGTCCCACGCAATGTTGGGGCTCTGAATAGATTGGTTGTAATTAGGCCAGTGGTAAGCTGAAGAGCTTTGGATGCAGCAACTTACAATGCATGCTGTAGAACGAATAAGTACCATGTTGTCATACAGGCTTGGAATGCTCTTACTTGCATGGGTTTCCTTCCCACCACACACTCGCAATTCCTACATGAGGTTGCGTCTTCATCGCTTCTCTCGATGGCACGCCGGCTGCATAGAGCATAGCCTACATGGAGATGCCCACATTAGCTGCTGACATAACTCGACGGCTGAGCTATTCGGAACGACGAACCTGAGCTCCTGGAAAATTGTGGCCGGTAGTGAGAGTAGATGAGTATTTGTTCAATGCAGGCTTTCCATCCCTCATTGCATCATCAGGGAGATGTGGAAAGTTGAGGAAGCGTGGCTCCTCTGGCTCGCGTTGTTTTTCAAGATTTCGTGGGTCCATTGTGGAGGACTATCAATTGTTTGGCACTGTGATGAGTGTGCAATTGTCAACTGAGTATGGCAAAGTTCAATAGAAAAGCTGAGAACACCGAAGAGTGAAAATTGGGCGTTGAGACTTGGTGGGAGAGATGAGAGAGAGGAAAGTTGAAGCAGTGGTAAAGCCGAATAAGATACGCATGATAGGTGAGCAGATACGGTGCTAAACCCCAGCTAGCCACTCCCGCAACCGCAACTAGGCTCAAGCGGAAGCAGTTGCCCCTAGTTGTGATCCAGTAATCCGAAAGATCAAAGAGACCCCGGGTGGGGCGCGACCCAGTTCTCACGTCTTGGTCGAGACGAAGCTCCAAGCATAGAGGGGCATAACAAAACACGACATGTGCCCCTCGATAGCCGACAAGCTACGTGCGTGTTAGCTCTGGTCCATGCTAATGAGTGGCCAATGTGAGATGTTGAGTTGTCAAGCCGAGTCATGTCGATTGGAGGGTCCTTTGTACCTAGTGCGACGATGTCGGGTTGGCGCTATGATGGGCGACTTTACGAACCTGTGCTTGCGCGCGGCCAGCTTCCGATGCGGAGGGCGTCGGTGAGAACCCCGAAGCTTAGCCGGATATAGCTCCTCAAAGGCAAAGCAATCGGCTTTCCTACGAGGCCAATGAGGTCGTGGTAGCGTAGTATAAATGGGGCCAAATGCATCGTGAAGGGAATGCATGTATGTGCCAGTCAACATTGCCAACCGGGGGAGAGAGACTTGAACTCAGACACCCAAATATGGCAGCTCGCGTGGGACGACTAGCGGAGCACAGCGCTTCGTGGTACTCATCGCAATGCGAAGGTCTGGTTGCAGATCTGATACACCAAGTAAACATGGATTCAGTCGATGAAGCGCGCGTCAGCAAATATCAGTTGATAGGAATGCGGATGAGTAGCCAGCCTAGAAGTATGTGCTCCACAAGCCAGACTAACGGTTTCTCTTCCAGTGCGCCATCCTTGGACGGAGAGTCTACAATGTAGGAGGCACGTTGGGCAATTGCGAGAAAGCTGCTGCCTCTGGCATCTGTCGAGAACGACAGCTGGGAGAGCACGAAGGTGGATGGAAGTGGACACGGTCGGCAAAGAGTATGAGGGGCGGTCATGTCGAACGTGCATGGTCTCTAAACTCATCAGCCAACTCGCTATTCAAACCCCAATCGACAGAAACACGATGAGATGATATTCAGGGGGAAAGTAGTAGGATGTCGAGAGTTGGACGCTCCAGCTCAGCCTTGCCAAGAAGCACGATGGCAGGCGCCGCCCACGCCGTTCGTTCCATGGCAGCCCAACGTCATTCGGCCCAGGGCTCAATTCGCCAACAACATCCTCAATGTGCCAACATTCCATCGCGATTGCTCCTCACACATTCTTCTTTGCACTGGCCCCAGAGACATATTCCAGGTCATCACGCTTGCCATCGACAGTCACGGCTCGCTGGTTCGCCATCCCTCGTCGTTGCATTTCAACATGAGACCCTCGCACAACGTACACGTCTTCCGGGTGCAGATTAGATATTTTCTTTCGTAGCAGCGCATTCGCTACATCCCCAACGTGCGCGCCTCGTATCCTAACACACGCTCTCAGGCACCGGGGCTTCTTCGCCAAAGACGGGAGCACGAGAGGCTTTTCCTGTTTCCATTGGCTGCATCCTGGGCCAGGGCCTTGCACGTCGCCATCCCGCACGCCAGCACTTCCACGCCCCGTTGAATATACATTCAGCGCTGGGGCACGCAAAGGGAGATGGAGCCTCATTCGCGTCCTTGCTCATCTCGAAATGGCACGTTGCGTCTTCCTTTGGCCCTCGTTTGGTTGCTGAGGACCGTACTCGCCGGGCCAACCAGCGACCAAGTGACACAGACCGTTGCAGACCTGGCACTCTGGCAGAATATAAAGAAAACGGCTGACCGTCTGCTCCATCTCATCAATCCCTTCGTAGCTAGTGGCGACTTGACGACTTCGATTTCCGTGGGCATGGTCAAATTGACAGCACTTTGTGGAATTGGATCTGCGCTCTGGTTCTGGAGCGGACGGAACGGGAAGGACAAGGCTGTCGGCTCCCAGCACGCATCCGACCCTGCTGTTGGTAAGTTATCCCCGTAGGATCAGTGACACCTCCACATCAAATCACGTGGCTCCACTTGATCACACTGCTCGACCCTAAGTTCCCACTAACACCTCCTAGATGATGCATCCACTACTGACCCGGGACTATTGAAGAAGCATAGTACCACCCGCTCATACACGGTGCCCTCCACCAAGATCACCTACCCGGGAATCAGAACCTTCTATCGGCCTCATCCCCAAGAGAGCAAGCTTCCGAGAAAGCCACGTCCAGTTCCGCTGCTGGTGTTTGTTCATGGTCTAGGAGGATCCATCGCTCAGTTCAGCCCTATTCTCCTCAGTCTCTCCAACCTCGCTTCGTGTTTGGCTATCGATCTGCCAGGGTGCGGCATTTCTTCTTTCGAGCCAAGAGCATGGAACGCTTATACTACAGAGGCCTTGGTGCAACTGCTTGCTGTTGTCATTGAAACGCATCGTGCGGTAGATGAGGGTCAGACGGTCATTCTCGTCGGACACAGCATGGGCTGCTCACTGGGTGCACTGCTGGCTTCACCTTCCTCGCCCCATGCGTATCTCCTTTCTCAACACGTCAGTGGCCTCATCGCCATCTGCCCCCAGGCAGACCCACCAACGGAAAATCAAGTCAAGGCACTACGATCGCTCACCTCACTACCATCCACGATCTTCGACTTGCTCAGACGATGGGATCGAAGAGGAGGCATCAATAGTAAGAGCGTTCAGCGTATGGCAGGAGCCGACGCTGAAGAAGAAACCAAGAAGCTGCAACTGCGCTTCAACAAACAAAGTCGCAGTGCCGTTTGGCAGAGGATGGCACGAGGCATGTGTCCAGACTACTCAAGCGGCTCACCTCGAGGTGGCCTTCCCGGAAAGGAGGTCTGGTCCGGCTTGGATATTCCCGTTTTCCTCGCCGCTGGTGAAGCTGATCACGTTACACCAGCTACAAATGTTAAGCGCATTGTCGAGTTCTTGGGTAGAGATGCATCTGCAATTGAACCACCGAGCGAGAAAGCGAGTCTGCCCATTGCAGCGGCACCATTCGACCTACCTGCAGTGCTTCCAGGCGACTCGGCGCGCAAGCATCAAGACTCTGGCATTGACGCAGATGATCTACCACACCTTGAGGATGATGTCAAGACGGTGGGCTCAACGGCTGCATCTACCAATGCTGCCAGCCTTGTCAACACGGAAGGCAGCATGACCACCGCTGACGCCACGCTAATCTCACTTTCAACGGCCCCAAGCTCCAGTAATCCATCACCCCATCCACGCCGCCTGGTGGTTAAGACCGCCATCATGCCTACACCGGCAGCGCACTCTTTGCTATTCGCGCCATCGTCGTCACGCATCATAGCCGGACTCATTGGCACCTTCTTTGCTGACCATATTGACCCCCGCCTGTCTCTTGCCTGGCAGCTCCAATACCTCTCCACAGAAGGCAAGTGGGACGTCAAGAACCTCGAGAAATGGAAAGCCGTGCTGCCTGTTTCGCGACCCATTGGGGGCGTTTTCCGCGCCATGAAGACGCTCCGGGAAGTCGACGAGGAACATACTCCAGCGGTCCTCGCTAAGAAGTGGGCGGGCAAGCTATGCGCTGTCATTGACATCTCGCACGATAACCCGGTGTACGACCCCAAGGGCCTTGAGGTGGGGGGCATCCCATATTACAAGTTTCCTACCGTGTCGAAGCAGCCTCCACAAGACGATGAGGTGAAGGTCTTCATGGACTTGGTGGACAAGATCCGATCCGAGAAGAAAGAGGGCCTCATCGGAGTACACTGCCACTATGGCTTCAACCGCACCGGTTTCTTCCTCGTGTCGTATCTCATTGAGCGCCTGGGGTATAGAGTCGAGGACGCCATCGACACCTTCCAGCAAGCGCGCCCGCCGGGGATTCGGCACTCGCACTTCATCGATTCTCTGCACGTGCGCTACTGTCAGGGGCTGAAGAAGGCTCCTACGCTTTAACCTTCACTATCAGATTCGTTGACTTGGAATTGGTCAACGGTCGTTTGTTTTGTATACTAGTTTTCCCCTGTTCACAATTCTTTCAGCACTTTTAGCAAGCGCCCGCGTCTGGCGTTTCATTCTTACAACTACTATTCGGCTATTGGTCATTTGGGTATTGCAAGCTACGGGTCTCGCATGGGATACTGCAGGTGTTTGGTACACTTTATTAGGCTTCCGAAATTCACGGCCTTGTTGCTTTATTGCTCACTCTTCCCTCTATGAACAATCCTGTTTTTTTCTTAGTGATGTGATGACCGCTGATACATTTTAATAACTACGGCACTCCTATCTACGGCATAACGGTCGCCGACGCAAGGAGGGGTTGTGTGCATCTCTTCGTAATATTCTAAACATTCTAAACCTGCTAAACGTTTTCAAAAAAAGATTAACCCCTCTAAACTTTCTGAACCTATCAAACCTGCTAAACCCGCTAAACCTTTTCGAACAGAAGGTACCCTTCCAAACTTTCTAAACCTTTCAAACCTTTCAGACCTATTAAACTTTTCAAACTACTAAACCGTTTCGAAAAAGATTAAACTTTCCAAACCTTTCAAACCTTTCAACCCCTTAAACCTAATCTACTAAACCTTCTGTAGCTACTAAACATGGTCGCTCCCTACATAACAAGAGTATTCTCTCCCTGTTCACACTACTTTCTTCATGCCTACACATAGCCTGAATAGTCATTTCCACATTCAAGCAAACACTGTACAACAATTTGAGAGCTCGTTCGAAAATTTAAGCATCATATAATTATCGCACGCACGTTGCGATTTTATAGCAAACGCACACGTACCCGCACACACACACACACCAACAATTCATCCTTCATCCCATCCATAATACGCTAAATGACCCTTAACAAATCGACGTTGTTCCCATCCATCGTCATCATGTCGGGGCTGGTTCGAAAAAGTCTTTTCCGATTTCCAAGCCATGTTAATCGTTATGAACAAAAAAAAGTACAACTACAGAGAAGAAAAGAAGAAGAAGAAAAAACAATACAAAAAGATTTCCTCCCTTCTTCTCTTCGTGATGGACGGATATGCAGAAAAGGGAACTTTCTCCTCCACATGGTACCTTTCGGGGGCGCCAATTTCTACTCCTACTCCTGCGCCTGCTTTCCAGCTCCGGTTTCCTTGTTCCCGCCTGTAGCGACTGATTCATGAGATGCAAAGCGGCCAGGGACCATAAAGCCTTTTAAAAAGACAACCAGTTAAGACATGGTGGTGAAGCGAATGTCGTGAAGAGAGGTCAAAGTGGGATCCAGTCCTTCCAAGTGTCGAAAGAAAGGCCAGACGAGCTTCTGCTTCTTTTGCTCACGGAGCTGGATTCCAACAAAAGTGGCGAATATGCGCTACTCAAGCCGCCTGGTTTCGGTAGCGTGCAAGCTGTCCATGGAGACGGACGTGAAAAGGGTTTTGTGCAAAACAGCCTCAAAGTGGTCATGAGGTCTGTTGCTGTTGCTGGGACTGTGGCTCCGGAGTAGATTCGACGCCTTCCATTGCACCGCTCTCCTTGCCCTTCCCAAAACTTCCACCCTCGGGATTCGTCGGTGTGCCCAGTCGATCCTTGGGGTACGGCTCAAGATCTTTGTGGCTGGTAGAAAAGGTCGAGATGACCGGCAGGTAGTTGAGCGGGTGATCAGCCTGAGTAGGCGTCTTAGCTTCTGGTCCTGTTGATACAGGACTGAGCAGACCTTCAGGTCCATCGTTGCTTGCTTCCTGTAGCTGTGGTCTGATGGTACCGTTCATAAGCCCGTTCCAACCGCCTTCGATGTCGCGGAGTAGGCGCACATACTCCTCTGGCACTAGTCCACTCTCGCCCGTTTTAGGATCCTGCGCGACCAGCCAGCCTTGGCCATGGCGGTAGGAGACTAGTATCACTTGCCCCTCAACAAGGGGCAATTCGTTGTCGTTTTCTCGCGCAAAGTCGAAGAGCGCAACCGCTTTGCCATGCATCTCCTCGTCAGGCGATGCAATGGTGAATTGGTAGTCGCGTGAGAAGCGGTTGTCGTCATGGATATAGTCCTCAGGCTCGGACATCTCTTCGTCGGACTCGTATGGTTGACCCTGTGCGTCTGCATATGTGCGCGGGGGAAGGGTGGTGGCAAAGTGCGAATCACGCCGTGAAGCTCCTTCCGGTACTCCTAGCCGCGACGATCCAGGCGGGTAGGTAATGTATTCGCTGCTAGAGCCGTTGGCAGGCGAGTTGGCCTCGTTGCCATGAACGGCCTGGCTGCCCTCACCATTGGCGGGCACCAATGGGCCTCGTCGATGCTCTTCTGGGTATCCTCTTCGCCCCCGTGTCTGGTCAAAGTTGACAATGTTGGACTTGTGCTTCTTGTGTCGTGCGCCGTGGTGGCTGGTGACGACAGGACTTGAGATGTCTTCGTCTTCGCTGTATGGCGGTCCGCCGTCATATGAGGTTTGCGGTAGTTGTTCCCCGTTTTCGTCGTTTGCCGCGGCGGACCAACCTCGGTCACTGCGCCATGGGACCGGAGGCGGGTCTGACAGTCTCCTCCCCACTTCACTTGCTGGTGTTGATATGTTCGAGGGCTGCTCTGGTAGAGGGCCGTAGAAGAGAGGGTGAAGTGGATCGTAAGCGAAGTCCCGCACTAGCGAGTACGGCAGGCTCGAGTGGAAAATGGGGAAGGCGAGCGACTGAGGCCGTGACGGGCGTGTTTGTTGCGTGGTGGATGTGTTGGAAAAGGTCGATAGCCGCTTGTTGATGTAGGAGCTGGCTCGATCCAGTCTCGCTTTGGAGGGCGGGGAAGTGACGAGCGGGGGTAGCGAGGTGCGGTTCACGCCGAGGGTGCCTGCAGAGCCAGGCTCGCTTCGCGGTGATAATACGTCGGCGGCCATGTCTGGATGGTTCTGGCGCGGTCGGACAACGACTCCCTCGGTGATGTCGTCCAGCCGTGGGGTGTCGGCAGGCGTGTCCGGTGCGGTAGTGGTGTCGGTCATGCGAGGTGGAGATGTCGGGGGTTATATGACAGAGTCTGGGACGTCAGCGGTGGACTATGGCATACGGTCTTGTTCAAACGAGGCGAAGTGCAGTGTGGGTGGCAGAGTCGTGTGGTGGCCCAGGGCGCGCGCGAGGCAGGTAAGCTTTTGGGCCAGAAGAAAGAGGAGCCGAAAGCAGCAGGAAGACGACGGCGAGGTGGCCAGCGCACAAGGCGCACCAGGTTTGCTCGAATCACGGTGCGTTGGTACCTGGAGGGGCGCTCTTGGGACGGATATGGCTGATTGCGCAGCGACTCGATGTTTGCACGGGCGGATGTTTCGAGGTGTGGATGACCAATGGGTCTTTGGGGCGGCGGCTGAGGGCTTCTGGAAGTCGAGCTTGATCGCGAGGATGCGCCCGGCGATTGGGAGCAGGGCAGGCGTAGGAGAAGATATTTGCAGTGTGCAGCGGCTGGGGAAGCGCTCGCTGGGGGTTGTGGGGGTCAGGCCTGGGCGCTAACACTTACGCAGTGAATGGCCCAAGAGATGCGCACTCGAGGGAGCGACGACGAGGGCTGGATAGAAGACGCCGCGTGCGAGGGTACGACTGCGGTGCTGGGATGGGCGAGGGAGAATTGCTGTGAGGTTTGCGGCGGGTTATGGATGCTGGGGTTTCTCGGAGCGCGAGGTGGTGGATAGTCGAGTGAATGCACGCTATTTTTGGCCCAGGACGGCGGGGGGGCATATGCTAAACGCCGATGGACTGTTTCAGAAAGTTGAATGCGCCGTCGTCAGCCCACGAAGAACAACATAAGAAACAAGAAGTTCGAATGCAAGACGAGTACAGACACGACGACGAGCTGGGCCGGGCAATGCTTCATGGCAGCAAGTCGAGAGACGAGGGAGGGGCTGGTGTTTCTGGCGCGTCGTCTGCCATGGGTGCCAACCGCTCCAGGGCCAACATGGGCAAGCCAGGCTGCTTTCACGCCGGCCACTGTTTCAGATGCACCAACTAGCTAGACTGGGACTGCTCGTGCGCCGCTCATCGAGTTCACCATCACAAGACGGTATATGGCAGACAGACAGACCCGTCAGCAAGGCCTTTCATCTGCCCGTCCAAGAGGGAGGGGGTGCTGTGGGCAGGCAGTTTGAGGCGGGTAATAGTCCGTTTGGGCGTGCCACTTGCGCAATAGCATGGCGTTATTCGATCTCATTTCCCAGATCGGCTATACAATGCAATGCTATCACATCCAAGCGCATCAGGAACAGGAAAGATTAATTTCAAAGCGTCAAGCTTGGAAGTGTTGCCAGCCCCTCTCGTTGGGCTGATAGTCCCAGAGCTGCCCCGCCTACCCGTTCCTGGGCGGCTTAGTCAGCGCGAAAAACACAATGACCTTCGAAAGCTCGCGAGACAAAGCTTTGCACACCACAGGCCTTTGTGCCTTTCACACACCCTCCCTCAACATCTGCCAAATTGACGCCATCACCATCCATCTGCTACTGGTTCTTCAATGATCCGGTACTATGACAGGCTTGAGGCGCTCGCATCCTAAATGTATGTCTCCCCTACAACTCTGCACTTGCCCACCCCGTGAGATGATGAACAACATATTGGAGCTGTCCTAGGCTATAGTCGTTGAGGACTTACAATAATAATATACACTGAAAATTCTGATACTCTCCTGAACATCGCTGCTGCTGCCGCTTTACGCATGTTTACGCACCCTCGCTAACGTTGGAGAAGAATTTGCACGCCTGAAGCTTGAGCTCCACACGCGTCCAGCCTCTGTCGCTGCCTCTCGCAACACTACGACCATCACCATCACCTCACCCGTCGCTGCATCTCTCACCATGTCGACCGATCCCCGCCTACGGGCGCGTCAACAGCAGCTCGCCCCTGCTCCTGCTGCTGCTACGCCTCCTCCACCGCCACCACCGCCAGTCGAAGCTCCAGCTCAATCTATGGGCATGGACGGTGCTACCGACGCCCACGCAGACAGGAACATGGTGCCTGACGACAAGTTCAAGCTCAAGTTCTGCACCGTGTGTGCCAGCAACCAGAATCGGTATGTCACCTCCTCTCCCGCCTCTGCTCTGCTCCCAACTGACCAAAATAGCTCCATGGAAGCACACCTCCAGCTTGCCTCTGCCCATCTCCCCACCATCTCCTTTGGCACAGGCTCCCTCGTGCGCCTCCCCGGGCCCACCGTCACCCAGCCCAACGTCTACCACTTCAACAGCACCACGTACCGCTCCATACACGATGAACTCGCCCAGCAGAATACTGCCCTCTACACCCACAACGGCCTGCTGAACATGCTTGGCCGCAACCTCGCCATCAAAGGCTTCCCAGAGCGCTTCCAAGACTGGGTGCCTGGTAAGCCGCGCCTGGAGCATGCCGAGGACAAGGGCTGGCAAGGCACTGAAGCTGGTGTTGTCGATGTCGTCATTACGTGTGAGGAGCGCTGCTTTGATGCGGTGCTAGAAGACCTGCACAACAAGGGTGGGAAACTCAATCGCCCTGTTCATGTCATCAATGTCGACATCAAGGATAACCATGAAGAGGCCCTGGTAGGCGGCAAGGCCATCCTCGACCTAGCTCTGACTCTGAACCAAGTTGCTGCCGAAGAGAGGGAAGCACATGGCGAGAGCGGCTGGGAGTCTGGCGGTGGAGCTGCGCGATCAGGTTTTGATGAGCGCGTTCCTGATATCATCGCCACGTGGCAGGAGCGGTGGCCGCAAATGCCTGCGCTGTGGAGTCTGGCATGGTCCTAGACTCTTCCTCTTGGACGTCTGTCATGGCGTTGTCTTTCCTTATTCTGTCCATCCACTTTGATACCCACTTAGCATAGCGCGGCGTTTCTGGTTCACCATTATGAGTGTCTATGAATACCATCTGAATTACGATACTACTACAAACACGCCTGGTCTTTTGTCTGCATTGTGGTTGTCTTAATTACCCCATATCTCCTTCTCAATGCACACGTCCCATTTAACCTACACATCAACAATGCGAAACTTTTCTCCTGTGCACTAGTACCTCGTGGAAAGGCAAGCAGTTTCTTACCTGGTAATGTGCATAGTGAAGTCATTCAATATTCTTGCCCCGTAGGTCACTCGACTATATCCCATGTTCAGGTACTTGAGAGATATTGGTCAAGGTGTACTTTTCATTCTCAGATTGTATGTGATGTTATCATTCCATCGTCTTACTAAACATATTTACAACGCAAAAGACTCGCTGGACATATTGGTTCAAGATTGAGAATTTACAGTTAGAAGTTATACGTTATCATGGCATATGCAAGACATTTTTATGTACAGTTGTCCACACGCTCAGTCTTCCTCCCTTCTGTCCCCTGCCCTGCCACCTCCCAGTCTACCACTTGCTAATGTCAACGACGGAAAGCTGCACCTTGTTCGTAGTGCTAGGCGGCAGCTTGCCTCCGCCCAAGATGAGCAGCTTGGTAGGATCGTTCAGGACGCGGAGGTGCCTGGTATACGATGCGGTCTCGGGCGTGTCGACCTTCTTCCACGGTCCCTCGCCCAGGGCCCTGTTGATGAATACCTCGGTTGCGCTGGACGAGCTGACGATGATGGTGCCGTTCTTGCCGCCAACCGGACTCCACACAACATACGGTGAGCCAGTGGGGATAGTGCCGTCGGATGCCTTGAGCACCACGCCAGTGACCGGGCCGAATTTCTCGGGGTCGGCCGAGATCTTGAAGTACACGGGGAATTGGTACGAGGTGGTGATCGCTGGGCCGCCGCCATATTCGTACGTCATGATGTACTTGCCATTGGGCAGCAGCGCAACAGTCGGCATGCCTGGGCGGTCAGTGTACTTGGGATACGCGACGTCGTCAATGACCTTGCCCCACTTCTTCAAGTCCGTCGTCGTCTGATGCACCATCTTCTGTCCGTGAGTCGCGTTGTCGCGCTGATCAGAGTAGTAGCAAATCAGCTTCTGCTTGTAGAGCATGAGGAACGGCTCCCAGACAGGCGTCAGCCCGTTGTTGGGTCGTGCCTCACCGCCTGCAGCGATGTGCGAGATGAATTTCCATGACACGCCCTTGTCGGTGGATGCGTAGAGCTCGATTTGCGTCTTGGACAGGTCGGTAGGGATGGAGGATCCGGAAAGGAGGACAGTGCCTGCCTTGAACCCGGCGAAGTCCTCGGGCAGGATGTACAGGTCCGGCTGGTAGCGTAGACCCCACTTTTGCTCGGTGTCTTGCACGCGGGAGATTTCCTTCCAGTTCAATCCGCCATCTGTGCTGCGATAGATGGGGAAGTAGACCTTAGGAGGCTCGGGGCTGTAGTTCTCCCATGTTGCTAGCAGGGACCCGTCTGCAAATTGAGCAGAGCGCGCGTAGAGGACGCGAGGGTCAAGGTAGTTGGAGGGTGGTGTGAAGATGACACGGCGGGAGAAGGTAGGCTGTGCCGCCTTCTGCTGGGGGTAGGCAGAGACGACAGTGATGAGAGAGAGGAAGAGGGTAGAGAGGCGCATCTTGACGAGTAGCTGGAGCGGATGAGACTGAAAGAGATGGACAGACAACGAGACTATATAAAGAAATAGCACACAGCCAAATAGCACACTATACACTGCCTAGCCATCTACCAGGTCTTACCAACCCATTCTATGGTTCGGTGCCGATATATGCAGGGATGATTGCTCCGAACAGCCGTTTGCCTCCATCGTAGTCCTTGTCGCCCATGGCGCTGGAGACATTGATTTGCGGGGAATTGCAATGCCGGAGGCGGAGGAATTATGGGGACCCAGGGATCTTCAGATTTTGCGGGGGAATGGTAGGGAAGCGGCAGTAACATACCCCGAGAAACGGTGCTAATGTAGTCATATGGAATTTCCCCGGTCGGATTAACGTCGAGAGAAGAGCCGAGGCGCGGAGCAAGAGGACTGATTGCGGTAGAGCGAGAGAATGTGAGGGTCATGGGGCTGCCCGAGGACTGTTGGCGCAGGCGACAACGGAGACGAGCGTTGGCGAAAGATGGGATGGTGGTTGAAGTGAGGTTTGGCATGTTGGATGGAGGAAGGATGAAGGATGACGCCACCGGGAAGGAGCCGGCCATGACACACCCGCATCGCGACGTTGGCTCGACATGTGACAGCCACCGACTGTATTTCTACTACGCCTCTTACCTTTCATCTCGTGTTACTCGCAATATGCTGATAGCTGGAACCTACCATGTTACTCATTGTGAGGCAACGCTGATAGGACCAAGTGCGGCACCACACACATTCCGACGCTGGGAGTCGACGCACAACGAGGCTGAGGACATAGCCTTCCCTGGTAGTGCTTCAGCAGGAGAGGCATGGATAGGACAAGAAGAGAAGAGGTGTCCTGCGCCGACAGTCTGTAATGCGTTCGGCTGAACAGTTCGCCAATCAACGATGGCGATGGCTATGCACCTGCAGCCAGTGTACAGGCAGTTGTGGCAGTGCCAACTCGGCTTTGCTCGTATCACACGGCAGCTGACTGCAGCCTGGGACGATGAAAACTGAGATGCTATCCGTTTCGACGCCTTTCAGGCAGCTTTTCCTGCATCATCCTATGTTGAACATGCAAATATGGTAGGTAGCCTTTCTGTGCCTCGTGAAAGTGGGGCTCCTCAGACTGGACGAGTGACGAGGCTATTGCGGGGCTGAATGTCACATGAGGACGAATGATGGAGAATGGCTGACTTTTTGATACAACAGGCTTCCACTATAGCTTCTCCTGTACCTTTGCGTTTCGACCAAAGTCAACATATGGGCAACGACGTGCACTCAGCAGAACCTGGACGCGACACGCCGCTTCCGCAGTATGAAAAGACACAGTCCGTTCCATTCACCTTGAATCTTCAAGAGGACGCACGTAATCCTGGCCAGTTCCAGCTCGTGGTTAACATCAGCCCGAAGCATCAAACAGCCACTGGGCTACCTCTGAACCTTGCTACTCCTCACAATCTGCACACACCTAAAAATGAGGTGTCAAAGCCGATTTTGAATGCTCAGACACTCTATCAAACACAAAAGTCTAGTCCTCCTACCACCCCGCTCCAAGACAAGCAAGGCTGGTCAGATCTGGATGCTGTCCCATCCGAGTTTCTCCAAAAGGTCGTGCCAGATTGGAATGTTACCTTCTCGCGGAGCGACTCGACAGCGTCCACGCAATCCAAAAGATTGGCTGATATCAAAGCCAAGATTAAAAAGAAAGGGAAAGGGTATGTAGTGCGATTGCTGAAAGGATCCACAGGAGACCCCTCCAACGAGATCGAGGTGGACCTTGGTCAACAACACACTGCAGCGGAGACTACTATCTCCACCTCACACGAGCTAGACTCTTCAGATCTGCGAGCTGAACTTGACTCTACTCAGACTATCATTCCATCTACAGACGATAGCGTCATTGGGCGCCCTGATGTGTATGAAATCGGAACCTCGAACGAACCTGGTATGCAGCAATGGCAGTCCCCTGCGATCCCCTCGAGGTTTCCGATCGGTACATCATCTCGCAGGCACACAGCTGTTGATGTGCTATCGGCTGGCTCGATAGCCGAAGAGAGTCTGAGTGATGCTGAAACCCTGATTCCGGATGTCCAATCGATAAGTGGTCGAATAGATGAAGATCAGACAGACACAGAGTTCTCCCCCAGAACCAGCGTCGTTCAGCCAACGAGATCAGACTCGGTGTTTAGTATAGTCAAAACTCCAACCCGCGGTTTGTCAGTCGTAGGACCAGTGCGAAGAGTGGAGAAAACCAACCGTGCTCGCACAAAGAGTAAGACGACGCACCTAGAGCTCAATCGTTCTGATGCCCACAAATCTGTCAAACGTCGATCTCCACGCAATTCGACATCGAACTTTGCAACTGGAGTCTCATTTGCAGAGGCTCATGTAGATTCATCAACGTTGCGGGAGCGTGTCCGACCAATAGCTCGCCGCTCGCCCGAACAAGACCTTGCTCCGGCTGAGTATAGCACATGGCAGCATCCAACGCGGAACGTAAAAGTAGTCAAGCCTGGGCATTCGCGTCGGTTGTCGGTAGATGATCTACAGGTCTTAGGGACGAAGGGAAACCTGCGGTTGCAGACAAATATACCGAGACCCAAGTCCACAAATGTTTCGCCGGTCGTGCGTAGGAAGAAGTCCCCGAGGACGCACCAACCAGTATTGTCTTCACGCTCTTCCGACGATTCCATAGACAATACTGAGCAACCGAATTCATCGCCAGAGTGGTCCGAAGTGGATCCGTCAGTCGAGCTTCGGGAAGCTCTAGGAAGGGCGTTTACGTCTGCGGTCGATATTGCCGATGACGTGGAAGAGAGCTTTGAAGAGATATCTATACCACGGATAGTTGAGCCGGTAGATGAAAGCCAGATTGGTGAAATCCCCTTTCCATCTGAAGTCGAAATCAGGTCTGCCCCTATCAGTGTTCGAAGTCCAACTTTGAAGTTCTGGGGTCTTGCTATCAGCGCCTTATCAGAGAAAGCTTACAAAGGTTTAAAAGTCCTGGGCGACCTATACGGTACCGAGCCACCTGTGCCACCAGGGCATGTTCGTGTTCGATGGACTTGTGTAAGCTAAATTCTTTGTTTCTAGATCTTCAATTTGCTAATAGGAGCTAGTCCTGTGGAGAGCCTTTGTACGATGATTTCATCGAGACGCGACCAAACGCTGCTCGCCTCCTAGAGGCTTATCTAAATCGCCCAAGAACCCATACCCCTAGAAGCCCTACAAGTCAGAGCAGTTCTGCATCTTCCATGGCGTCCATCTTTGATGCATCTAGTAGAGCATCTACCCTAGCGACCCCTTCGTCAACCTATGGTAGTCCATCCCCCTGGGGCAAGCATTTGGACTCATCGAAGTACAGTCCAACACGCCTACGTACCAACAGCCCATTCAGTGTGCGGATGCCAACTCGCGCAGAAGAGGCGTGGCTCTTGACGTGTGCAAATGAGGGCAGGCTTACTCCCAAGATCGTACACCTTGACGTGAACGACGTTCGGATCAAGAGTGACAAGGACCTCGCTCTTGCACTGCGTGAACACTATGATCAGCTCAACCGCCGCTGGTTCAACTGGGCTCGCCTTCGCGGATTGACAACGATCGAGTTCGTCCAGTTTGAAGTGCACCGTAATCGCTTCGCAGACATTCGCGCAACGCCTTCCATGCCCCCGAACTCTGCTTCCCCTCCAGCATCAACGCCTGATCCTGAGAAGCCCCAAGCTCCATCTCGACACCCTTATACGTTCGAACCTATCGACCTACTTCCACCTGTGGGCAGCACCTACCTGCTTCACTTGTTCAAGCATCCGAACGACTACGACGGCGAACTCGTTACGTATCTCCGTAGTCCCAAAAGGCGCGAACGACTAGGATTCGGTATGGGCTGGGGCATCAATCTGGTTGAAGGCTTCCTAGCGCAGCGGGTTTGGATGGTCGTGATGGGAATCTGCGGATTGGGGAGCGTAGCGTTTGCCGTAATGTGGACGGTCAAGAAGAACGACGTGCAGGGTGCGTTCGGTGTCGCTCAGTGGGTGCTAGGCTTTGCAGTGCTGTTGGTGGGTGGAATACAAGCATGGTTGGAGTAGGATATGCTGGGCTGGAGCCGTTAGATTGGAGCGGTCTTTTGAGCACATTTTCTTCCTCCTCATTTCCACGCTCGTATGTGGATGTCACCGGACCAGACTACGGCGTGAAGAGCATATAAAGGCTGAAGAAGTCCGCCCGTTATTCAAATACGTACGCAACCGGTTTCGTCGTCGAATTCCAAACTACAGCCCTCACAATGGGCTCTTTCCTCGAATCTCAATTTCGTTTTCTCAACAAGATGCGAGCGCAGATAGGATGCAACGAACGCGCAGAAACATTCGGGATAAACAGGATCCTCGGCATTGCAGCGCATGAATAGCGGGATCGATCGTCTGCCTCCGGCCCTCTTCAACTCCCTGGTCACTAACATCATACATGCCTAAGATGCCGCTTTCCGACTACTTCCTCCTGAAATTTGATATCAGACGTCGTTATGCGGGCCAATATAGGTTGTGATATAGTGCGCCCACTATTGGAGGAAAATTCGCCGTTTCATGTTTGAAACGAGGCTGCACCCCTGACCAAGTACAAGTCGGCGCTCCGAACCCGCCTAATCTCGCATGTGTTTTCTGGTTGTTGGAATCGCGGGTCGAGGTTGCGAGATGGGAATCTTGGTATTGTCGACGCAAGACGAGCCTGGGCGCGGCGTAGGTTGTGTTGAGGTCGCTTGACATCCTCGCCGTTCTGGTCGTTGGTCTCGCTATCGCTTAGCGACGCTGTTTCGTGCAACAACCACCGAAGCATGAACAACTTCCCGGTCAGTATCATCTCACACCATCATCCCATCCCTACGGGAACGAAACATTTGACAGGCGTGGCGCCACACGCAATGCGGCGCTCTCGGCAGCTGTTTGGTAGAAACACCTAGCATCTTGGCGGCGTTAATGGCAGGGAAGATTACCAGGACATTCGGGTCGCACGTTTCAAGCGTCCCCGCCTAGCTCGAACCGTCTACTAGAACCACACCATCATTTGGCACGTGCGGTTTATTGAAGGGAAATTCTAGCGTATAGTGAGCAACGTCTGGTGGAGTTTCGTTTCCAAAGGTCGTTTTGACGCCTAGCCCGCAGGTAGAAACGCCTGGCCATCCCAGAACGGCACTAGGCAATCGGGACCTCAAGGATGGCCAACGTTTGTGCTTCGCTTTGCGCGCGGCATGATCCATCGTCCTGGGCTCTCATTTTGTGGATGTCTTGGACTGGCGGGGCGGGAAGGACAGCGCTGGAATAAATAGGTCTGGGTACCTCCCAAACAGAACCTCATCGCTACAGCTTCAGTCTTCGGTGCTTCAGTCCTTCTTTTCAACCTTTACCTTCGTTCATTCCAAGTCCCTTCACTGTGTGAAGCCGGCAGACATTCTTTTCCAAACAACCTGACATTCACTTCCATCGAACAACTTCAACTCAACTCGCAACTTCCAAAGAACACCCCACACATCAATCAACATGTACAAGGTCATTACTTCTCTCGGTGCTATCGCCGCTCTAGCTGCGACCGCCACCGCCCACGGTATCACCAACGGTGTCACCATCGACGGCCAGTTCATCGGCGGCTTCAAGCTCGACTACTACTACACCAAGAAGAACAACCAACCCATCCCTGCCAACATCGGCTTCTACGCCGAAAACACCGACAATGGCTTCGTTGCGCCTGCTGATTTCGGCGCTGCCGACATCATCTGCCACAAGAATGCCAGCCCTGAGGGCACTTCGGACTCCCTGGCTAAGGTCGCTGCCGGTGGAACGGTTGAGTTCCACTGGTCTACCTGGCCCGAGTCGCATGTGGGCCCAGTCATCACCTATGTTGCTCCTTATACGGGCGACATTGCTTCCGTCAAGAAGGGCGACTTGAAGTGGACCAAGATCCAAGCTGATGGTTACGCAAACGGCAAATGGGCTGGTAAGTTCCTTAATCGTCATCTCTCAAGCAACTGCTTACAATATATCAGCTATCGAGATGATTTCCAAGAACAACACCTGGCCCGTCACCGTCCCCGAGTCGCTGAAGGCTGGCAAGTACGTCTTCCGCCACGAGATCATTGCGCTCCACGGCGCCCAACAGGCCAACGGCGCTCAGGCTTACCCCCAGTGTCTCGCCATTGAGGTCACTGGCTCCGGTACCGAGACTCCCGAAGGTGTTGCTGGAACTGCCATCTACAAGGCTGATGAGGACGGCATCATCTTCAACCCCTACACCACCCCCATCAACTACAAGATCCCTGGCCCCGCTCTCTGGCCTGCCGGCTCCAGCGGTGGCTCTCCTACCACCCCGACCAAGCCCAGCAGCTCCGCTGCCCCGGCCGCTTCTTCTGCCGCGGCTTCATCTGCTCCTTCGTCGGCTCCCTCATCCGCTCCCTCGTCCGCTCCTTCGCCGTCTGCATCTGCCGTTGCCACGCCTGTTGCTACCCCCGTCGCCTCCCCAGCTCCCTCCGGCGCCGGTGGCAACACCACTCTGCCCGCCCAGTTCACCCTCGACACCTTCATTGCATGGCTCGAGGACAAGGCTGCGGGCTCTTCCAACAAGGCCCGCCGCCACGCTCGCGCTTTCTAAGCGTCTCACCTTGGCCCTCTAGGATGGAGGGCAGTAGATCGCATGATATGATTGATGCTACTTTGTTGTTGACCGTATGAAGTTCGTTGGATACGAATGACTCGATTACCTTCTTTGTGTATAGTACACCGATTTTTTGTAGCATAGCGCTTCACGGCCTAGAACCTTTTACCCCATCTGCGCGTATTTTCTCCTGATGTCTGGCTTGCATGTGTGATGATTTCTATCCTTCTTACTTTCATATTGCAAGTGGATTATTGAAGTTTGCAAAAGCTGAAGCATCCCGTTTGACATGGTGATTTGGCGAGGGTGTCATGGAAGATGTGTGAACACCATGGCGGGGTATTAAAGACCACCAGCACTATTCATCACATATCAAAGCATTGGGAAGATTGTATGGAGGGTCTTCTGGCCAAACTGAATGCTCAGGCCATGCGTCCGATTGATTTGCTGAGGGCTACTACGCTCATCCCAATGGGAGAGGAAAAAACACAAATAACGCCATGTCAAGAGCCTGAGCCTCCCCACCTCCACCCAAAAAAGAAACCAAACCAAAAGAATTATGCGCCGTGTCCCTCCCTAGGGCTTAAGAGACGTGGGGGAGAGGAGATACCCGTGAACGGGGTTTCACGGGTAGGCGCGATGCTTGGGCGGCCGGGAAAAAGGTCACTGCTTCATGGTACTAGAACAGCATTAGCTCTCAGTCTATCTTGAATTTTCATATTGAACTGACCGTGCAAGCGCCCAGAACTGCGCATCGCACTTCCTCTCCTCCTTGATCGACTCCTTGACCTTCTTCTCGAACGTCCTCAGCTCCCGCTGCAGCTTCAGCACCTCTTGCAAGCACTCGCGGAGCGGCTTGCAGCGCAGATCTCTCAAGATGAGCGCGTTGACTTGGAGAGGGTTCTTTGCGAAGACCCCATATCGTGCGCATTGCGCGAGGAGGAAGAGCTTGCGGTGGCTTTTAAGCCATTGCTTGACCCAGAGGCGTGCTACGTCCGCGTACGTCTTGGCCTGGCGCTTGATAATTTCAAGCGGAGTCGGCTGAACGAAGATGGTGGAGGCCATTGTGTTGGTGTTGGTGTTGGTTTTGGTGTTGTGGTGTTGGTGATGTCTTTAGTATTTGGGGCAATTGGTGTCAAGGCGCGGGTTTGGAGTGAGTAAACAGAGCAAACAGTGACGTGCTAGCGCAGCTCACATCCCCCTTCACCTTCTACTTGACATGTGGGACAATTAAATAGAGAAACAGTTGAATTGATTTCAGACATTGGATAGCATACTGGGGATTTGAACTTTTACCTACCTGAAATCAATGAACGCCATCAATGCTGACGCTCAGCAGCACCACCCTCTGGTGATGAAAGCCTCTCAAGATGCCTCCAAGCCAGCAAGTCAACCCATCTTTTGATCATCTCTGCCCATACTTCCTTGATATCCTTGATGGGTTTGTAGTTCTGCAGCGCCACGCCAAGTACTGCTTCTTCATGCTCCAAATCGACTCCCTGTCTGGCTAACTCGTCCCCATGATATTGCGTTGCATATGTGTAGAGAAGCCGAGAAAGCAATTGGTTGAGGTCCTCTTCAAGCTCCAAGGGTGTGGTCATGAGCTTAGGCGCGGCCTTCAACTCCTCCAACAAGCCCGTAAAGAATGGATTGAAGCTGAAGTTTGCTAGAAGTGAGTTCTGCGCGCCTTCTGTAACATGACCTGGTACACCTCCGAGGGCGACGGGGTCCAAGATCTGATCCTCGAAGAAACTATAGACCTGTTGTAGTGCGACCTCTGCTTCCTCTCTCGTAAAAGCTATCAGATTGTTCATAACCTCCGGCTGTTGACGTATTCTATCGATTCGCTCCGTGTCGTAGAAGCGGTTGTCTAGGTGCAGTACCTCAGACAGAGGTCTGAGTGGCATGAAGCCACAGATCTGGCCGCAAGCGCGATGCGGACACCGAACGATCTCGTCGTTGGAAGTATACCATTTCTTAGTCAAGCAATCGCGGCAATGTAAATCGTCGCTTTCATGACAGGACAATTCATATTGCGGAACAGTGGTTGAGTTGCAGGATGCGCAGTTGAATCCAATGACACCAATGAGCAGGGGCTCACCGGTCGTGGAGTCATTGTTGGAGTCGTAGCCTGACATGGTTACTGATCTGATAGTATGATATCTCTGGACTAATGCAATATCGTGAAGTGTGAAGAGATCTTGGCTCGTCTCTGTGTTCGAAAAGTAGGATTGAATTGGAGAATGTGAGCTTAGATTTTATAGACTTGGAACTGTACAACTACTATGGGATTAGAGAGCTGACCTTTGTTGTAACAAAGCAAGTGGCGCCCATTATCGAATAGCAATGAGCGCATTCAGTAAAAGAAGAGCCAAAGTGGGGAAACAAAGCTGGTAGCCAGACAAAGAAGTTTGAAGCTGAGTATAGTATTCCCAATAACATCACATCTCAATGTACGAAAGATGTGAGGGGATCAACGTCGAGATAGCAGAGGTGGTGCCGACTCTAGAGTGCTTATATGCATCAGAGAGCGTACGTAGAAGTCGAGACCAGACTACAGCTGAGGATGACCACGCCACATGGAGATGGGAGCTGTTGTCAAATGGCCTTTTTGTTCAGGTGGCGCTTTGTTGGTGACGGTAAAAAACATGAACTTCGTTGGAAAGAGATATATGGCCCTTGAATGAGATTTATGACTAAAGCAGAGTACGGGGTCAAATCTACAAGATGTTGAAAACCAGACATGAACGGTGAGTTAACCCTCAAGTGGCAATAATACGTCCTGGCTATGCTTTGGAGCGCTCACAAACTTAACGAGATATCCGTCGTTATGCTCTTTCAAGATGGCATGGTGCATAGTACTCTAATCAAAGCTATTGCTAAGACTTTTTGTGTAATTGGCTATAACACTATGATTGGAGTATGCATCACCGCTTGCAACATACCGCAGCAAATCGACGCGGCCTTTGCGTTCCATAAGTCGAACTCTGTACTCGATTGCGATCCATGGTTGCCTGGAAAGTATGTCAAGGAAATTGGAGGCAGTTACTCCGTGCATATCGACAAAGTCCATCTTGTGCCCCTTGCCAGGTCGGCCCTTGCTTCTTCAATGCTAGATCAGATGAAACAGAATTTCGCATGTGCATCTAGTCCCTGTCTTCAAAAATCATTACTTCACTGCAACAGGAAGGATTTCTTTACCTGCTTGCTCTATGATACATGAATACAAAATATTGCCATTTACTTGTAGTACTTCAACGCCCTCGACACTATTTGTAGTGCGACCTCTATGATGGAGGAAGGTGAGCACCACGTTCTTGACAGGTACTCTTACTCTATTCCTGCGACGTAATTTCCACCTTACACCACGGGCTCAACATCTCCCATTGCCATCTTGACTGCACTGCGCGAAAGAATTCTATTCAGCCAATCCTTGACCACGGGATAATCATTCTGATCGAAACCGTCTTCTTTCTGGATGACACGCGTGACGATAGTCTGCCACGACAGAAACGCAATATCAGCATATGAGTACTTGTTCCCCACCAGCCATGGTCCATCTCCACCGCCACCATTTCACTTCTCATCCCCCTTCAGTAAATGGCCCTCAAGCACGCCCGCAACGCGATTGATTTCCTTGACATACCGCTCTACGGCGCTAGGCACCTTCTCCGTGTGAAACTTCTTGAACCATGACGCTTGCCCGTAGTAGGGCCCTTGACCACTGGCTTGAAAGAATAGCCATTGTCGCGCCAGATATGACTCGTGCGTACCTGACGCAAAACTAATCTGATGCGTCATATCGTACCTCTCAACTAGGTACTCAACTATAGCACCAGACTCCCAAAGCGTGAGATCAGTATTAGGGTCATAGATGGCAGGGATGCGTCCATTTGAATTGATGGCTAGGTACGACGGCTCTTTTACTTCGGACAAGGGGATTGGGACCGCCTTTGCCCGAGACTTTGATTGGTTGGAGAGCGACAGACATGGTTGCTTTATTCAAAGCCGTTCGTTGTTCTGTGCTGCTTTTATCTAACGTTGTTCATCTATTACTTTGTAATTGTTATGAAAAGATACCTGGGATATGGTAGTCGCTACTGCTGTGTGCTGAAGATATAAGTCATATCTTTCACTATGCCACATGAATTAATCAGCTGGCCCCCGATCGACGCTCGGAAGTGGGCCAATCGGAACACCTGAGATCCGATTGATGCAGCTAATCCCAGAACCACCAATTTCCAGGGTAGGGTGTCTACAACTGTAACCCCTTCAATGACATGTGCTGCACCGGAACTGGAAGATATTTTGAAAACACTGTGAAGAGAGGCAAGAAATAGAGTTAACATTATCAATTCGTCAACGTTTCTGGCTTACCAATTTTAAATTAACGGACATTACTTGATAGTCATCGCGACTGATTTTGTGCCCATCAAGCCGCATGTTGTTGGTGTTATTGATGTAGGAATAGGAACGTACAAATAACGAGTGGACCGATAAGCATAAGTGTTCTGACGTGCTTTCGTAAGAATGACAGTACGAGTTGATCGACGAGACAATGGCAGACCTGGCAAACGATACCATAAGAGGATTAATAAAGAGCCTACTCCCTTGTTGAGCTATCGCTAGTCTGTAGAGATGTACTTTGAGTGCGGAGATGTTTGTGATTAGATTTTTGAGGAATATTCTCTTATATTTATATCGTTCACCAAATGTAATTCAGCAGTATAAAAGAAAGTAAAAAGGTCAAGCTTTACAGTATTAAAGTGTCCTGTTCGGTGATGTCGGTGGATCTTTCCGCTGACATGCCAAGTGATAAGATTAGATGTGCGCGGTTAGCAGGCATGGGTGACGCCATCAACCAAGCCCATGCCTCATGGTTCTGGCTAGCTAGCCGGAGTTCACTATTCGTCTCAACCCTTCCGGTAGAACCCTGGAGGTTTGTTTAGCCCAGCTTAGTTTATGTCACTTCTCGCAAGCAACGAGAAGCCCACCGGCGTCATGGCCGACGAACGCACGCCACTCATCCAACGCGTGGATGTGAGGCCCCACCGCGACCGCTACCCGCATCATCGACTGCGCTTCATCTGCACAAGCCTCCTTTCCGCCACCATTTTCATAGGAGGAATCGTTGCAGTCCTTATCTTTAGCTTTGCGCCTTTCGATGATGAGTCCGAACGCAAATCCAATCCGTCGATTTCGTCGTCATTCTCCACGTCACAAGTACCAGATGGTTGGGGACATGCGACAGGCTTGGAATATGAAGAGCTGCAGACCATTCTGCTTGGGACACCAGAAGCAGAAAGGGCAAAAGAGTGGAGCAGATATTACACAGATGGCCCGCATTTGGCCGGCAAGAATCTAAGCCAGGCGCTGTGGACCAAGTCAAAATGGGAGGAGTTTGGGATCGAGAGTACGATTGTGGATTATGATGTGTACATCAATTACCCCAAAGGTCACCGGTTGGCCTTATTGGAGAAGAGCACTAATGACAAGCATCAAGAGCGCAAATCTGCCATGGACGCGAAGGAGGAATGGAAAGTCAAATACGAAGCACGACTCGAAGAGGACGTGCTGGACGACGACAAATCGAGCCAGCTCGCAGACCGCATACCCACATTCCACGGCTACAGTGCCTCAGGCAATGTCACGGCGCCGTACGTCTTCGTCAACTATGGCACATATAAAGACTTTGAAGAACTCCAGGCTGCGAACGTCAGCTTAGAAGGTAAGATCGCGTTGGCAAAATACGGAGGTGTCTTCCGTGGCCTTAAGGTGAAGCGTGCGCAAGAGCTGGGCATGGTTGGCGTTGTCATGTATACCGATCCTGGCGACGATGGAGACGTTACGGAGAAAAACGGGAATGCGACGTACCCTGATGGACCGGCGCGAGAACCTAGCAGCGTGCAGAGAGGCAGCGTTCAATTCTTGAGTATGTCAAGACCTAGTTCTTTTCTAACATATGCTAATGGACGACAGGCTTTGCACCCGGTGACCCAACAACCCCTGGTTATCCCTCTAAGCCTGGTGCTCCTCGTCTTCCAGTCGACCACGCGATGCCGCATATCCCCTCTCTGCCCATATCATACCTCGACGCGCTACCCCTACTCAAAGCGCTGAACGGACACGGCCCGGAAGCCTCATCATTCAACAAGTACTGGCACCGCGGCGGTTTGGACTACAAGGGCGTACAATACAATATTGGACCTTCGCCAGATGATATCGTCCTGAACCTTGTCAATGAGCAGGAGTATGTTACAACGCCGCTCTGGAACGTGATTGGCATTATTAACGGCACCATACCCGACGAAGTAGTCGTGCTGGGAAACCATCGTGATGCTTGGATTGCTGGAGGTGCTGGGGATCCAAACAGTGGTTCCGCAGCTTTCAATGAAGTCATCAGAAGCTTCGGTCTTGCGGTTCAGGCGGGCTGGAAACCCTTAAGGACTATCGTCTTTGCAAGCTGGGACGGCGAAGAGTACGGGTTGTTGGGAAGTACGGAATGGGTGGAGGAGTACTTACCTTGGCTCTCGGATTCCGCTGTTGCGTACCTCAATGTGGACGTTGGCACGAATGGGCCAGACTTCAAGCTTTCCGCTGCTCCGCTCCTGAGTAGAGTGGTTGAGGAAGCTCGTAAGTCTATCCTCATCCTGTCTGTGGCAGTTACTAACCCAGCACAGTGCAAATCGTACCCTCTCCCAACCAGACCGTTCCAGGGCAATCAGTCTACAACGTATGGAATAAGCATATCGCCACTATGGGCTCCGGCAGCGACTTCACCGCCTTCCAAGACTTCGCCGGCATTCCTTCAACCGACATGGGTTTTGGCTACGACTCGAAATCTGCTGTTTATCATTACCACAGTAACTACGACTCCTTTAATTGGATGGAACGCTTTGGAGACCCGACATTCGAGTATCACGCGACTATTGCAAAGGTGTGGGGGCTGGTGGCGGCGAAACTGGTGGAGACGCCGGTGCTCCAGTTGAATGCTACCGAGTACGCTATTGGATTGGAAAGATACGTCGGAAGCGTGAAGCAGAAGGCTCAGGAGGCTGGGTATCCTACTTCTTCTGCATCCACCAACGGCAAGGATGATCTCTGGGGACCCCTCGACGACGCAACATCTCATTTCGCATTCGCCTCTTTTATCCAGGATGGTACTGCAGCGAACCTCCTCGAGGACTACTCACACATCGGTGACATTCCCTGGTGGAAGCCCTGGAAGAGAGTACAACTCTATCTCGCTATCCGCGCTATCAACACCAAATACAAGTTCTTAGAACGCAAGTTCTTGTATGCCGAGGGCCTTGATGGACGCCCGTGGTTCAAACATGTGGTATTCGCACCAGGGAAGTGGACGGGTTATGCAGGTGCCACGTTTCCCGGCATCGTGGAGGGCATCGACGAGTCCGATGACACGGCTGTTAAGAAGTGGATTGATATAGCGGCGAAGGCCATCGATGATGCTGCAGACTGGCTAGAGGAGTAAATAGGGCCTGGGGTATACAATCTCTTGATACCTGTATATGGGTTACCCAATTGGTAGGCGTGGTGGCTACGTTGTCTTGTTTCATACTATGTGCCGAGCTGAGGAGTAGCCCTGATATACTTGAGTATGCCAGGTTGAAGCTCTACTTACTGGGTCTATGCGGAGTTCAGGAGGGTCTCACGCTACTATGCTGTTCCTGGAGTGAAGTATGCACAGTTTCCTTGGGAGTCATGTACAAATATATTGTGGACGAAGAGAGGGCTGGTATTATATTGATACAAGATATAAAAGTACAGAGTTCGTGGTGCCCTCAGGCCGTTCGCCATCTCCTCTTCGTCGTCGTCGTCGTTGTCGTCGTCATCGTCTTCTCCTCGGAGGAGGAGGCGCAGGAGGCAGTGCTCACTCTATATATACAGTTAGCGATTGAACTGAACCACTGATCATTATGAATGACAGTGTGCCAGTGTAGCTTAGACTTGAGTTCGAGGTAAATCGACGCTTGGAGTCGGTACAGCTCCAATTCAATCATCTACACTGACAACTGAGCCACTCAAAGAGAGCTGTACTCACGTTCAAAGTTGACTTCGCGCTCAATAGCTGCGCGGTACTCCACCCGAAAGACACGAATCTCCCGCTTACAACGGCGGATTATGAGGCGGAGGCGGATGTCCTCGTCCACCGAAAAGGTCCCCGTCTGTCGCATGCGGCGACGATCCGCACGCGCGGCCGCAAGCTGCAACTCCTCGTTAGCTCCTGGTAAATAGTGCGTGTTCAATATATACGTACGTTCCACCGTGCGTTGTGCAGGCGAGCTGCAAGCACCTCCGAATCCCGCATGATGATGGGCGGTCCTGGCATGGTATTTGTTTGGTGACTGTTACACCTGTCAGCACTATGTACCATTGATGTACCAAGGTACCTCAAGCTTGAATTGATATGAAGAGGGAAAGCAAGATAGCGGCAATACGTACGTTGTGTGTGTAGTGTTGAGGTTGGTGAGCGAAATTGGGAGCGGCTTCCTAAGTTACACCTTCACGTCGCTCCCCGTGCGCAGGATACAATAGTGCGTCAGGACGCAGTTCCCCTTCACTTCACAAATTAGAATGCGGGAAGCGAAAGAGAGGAACGTGGAGAAGAATGCCCTCCCTGTAGCACTCATTTCACCATTGCTTGCAAGATCACGATTGTCTGAGTAGAAGGGAGATGTTGGATAATCACTGTTCAAAATCACGAAGAAGCTAAGTAGAACGAGCTGAACGGAATTCATTAAGCTAAAAAAATGTACCACCTATTTCTGCTGCGGGAAAAGGGTTTCATTCCCAACAGCCCAGTTAAAGTGGGAAGCCAGGTCGCCAGGCTGCAAATCTAAGCTGTGCAATGCACAACCATAGACAACAACCATAACATCTGCCTTGCGAATTGATCTTCGACGTTTAGTAAGCATCAATGTCTATGAGGACAGAGAGCTAGTTGGCCGTCGTGGTATGGTATGTATGACCCCCAAGCAAAATGGCAAAGAAATGGTCGAATCCGATTAGGTCCTAAGGGTGGAAGCTCGACCCCGAGACCATAGTCTCTCGTTGATAAATTGCGCGTTATTCCTTGAAGCGGGTGGGTGAGTGTCCTGCATCGGTGTCAGGAAGGGGACTAGAGATGTAGTTCCGGAAGTGCGCAAGGCACAGCTTAAAACGCGCCGAAGGAGAAGTGTAGGAGAGGAGGGCGCGTCAATGGCCAGTTTCTTGATGAAATTGCGATTCCGACAGCAATATGCCGTAGCTCAGGTAGAGGTTGACTAACGTTTCGAGATGTCGAGGGCATGAGTTATCGAAGGGACTAGGGCTACCGATGGTGAGCCATTTGTTCGAAGTTAGCTGAATGACGGATAGTTCAGAATCTGAGAAGACCTTACTAAGGTTTTCTATTCGCTTGCTGTGCATGTTTGGATATGGGAGATGAGGTTTGTTGTATGTCGCTACTGAAGGGGAGTCCACGTCTCGTAAAGCACGAACGCGGAGTCGTAGTCGTGAGAATGAATAAACTTGAGGACACCATTGTACGAAGTTGAAAAGAGGGAGGCAAAGAATGTTTTCCGTGTCTATGGTGAAGCCGGCGTGAGGGCACCGTGGGAGAGTTTTAATAGGCGATACTAACCGGGCTTAGCGCCGTCTGCGGCTAGCCAGTGACGCATTTTAGGAGCAACGATTGTCCGAATGCTGGAGGGACACAGTGGAAGAAAGAAAAGAAGCATGAGTTTTGTCTCTTAGACTGGCTGTGTGACCTCTCCACGATACCACTGTCAACATCCTTAATCCTCCAACGCAGCATCTCGGCTACTCCAGCGCGCATTCGTATCAACACCCTCCACTGCCGCACCTTTGCCACCCTGCCGGTCTGAAAGCCGATAAGTTAAACTTCACATACAGCCCCGCTTGAGAGTCTACATCTTAGTACCCGAACACCGTCGTACCTCTCGTGACGACGGTCGCTTTCGCTCTCGCCATCCACCCACACCACAGCGTCTACTCGAGTGACGGTAACGACGTGAAAGTAGTCTACTATTAGTAGCCTCAGTATTGCAAGCGCTGGACACAAAGGGGGAATAATGGCGGTAGGGAAGTGGAGGCTTGTCGATTCATGGAAAAAGGCAGAAGTGGGGAGTGGAAGGCGATAGCGTTTCGCATTACCTCCAGCCCACCTACCTATCGCGAAATAGATGCACTACATGGAATACTTGGTGACGGAGAAAGAGTCACAGGATAGAGAATCAGACGAATTCCGAACACGATCAGAGCAGCCATAGGTGCACGAAGTCGTCCAACAACATATCGGTTAGATATCTACGGCCCAGAAAACGGGGTCTGCATAACTCAATATAGATTGGTAAAAACATTGTGTAAATTTGAAGGAGCGAAAATGATGTCAGCTTCGTGATATCGCAGTCATAGATGATTTATTATGGGGCCCCCGGCTACGGCATTGACTATTCGTATCTCTTATGATGTCCTAGATAAAACATACACCACGCATGGGTGCTACAGAAATCAGGTTCATGAGACGCAAAGTAGATAAGAGCACTGAGACACTGGGGCCAGGAGGGAATCGGGAGAGAAGACAATATTTTGCGATGCTTGAAAGCAGGAGCGTCTTGCCATTGAACTGTGATGACATGAGAGGTGATTGTAATTGTCTATCAACCCAGCTATTCTTCTAGTTAAGATAAACAGGTAGCCCCAATACACTTCAATACACAAATTGCACCACAGCCATACTCACCTCTTGCAACTGAGACTTTAAATCTGAACCAAGACCTTGAACACATTCCGCCAACGCTACATACATCCAAGATAGCCAGTAGAGGAACCGCTTTTGCAAAGATGTGGTCTGCAAGTCGTTGGTACTCCTACCCCATGGTCTTCCCTTTTTTCTTTTGTCTTGCGTCCATTGAGTCTTTTTTGAATCAGGGGTGGAGGTGGGATCAGTCATACCAGACACACTATCAGATGCTTCTCACAGACGTGGCTATAGTCTATTACAACCCCAAGATTGTATAGTGATAGCGCAAATCATTAAAATAATTTGAAAGTGCGTAGGACGTATAAAAGATAGTTGAACCCTCAGAACTACCTTATACGCCTTTTAATAGGAGGCAACTCTGTCAGAATATATTGGCGGCAAAGTGCTTTATCGGGTGGTGCGGTGGGGTTTCAAGCTTGAATGACATGTTCAAGATAGTATAGCTGTCCGATGGTATTGAAAAACTGTTTATGGTGGGCCTAAGAAGGATTAGCGAACGAGCCAGGCGGGATGATTTGATAAAGATAAAGGTTGTGATGGCTCAGTCTTCTTTTCAGTAGTATAAATCTTCCAGAAATAATCAGTAAGCACCATCACCCAATGATACTACCATGTTTCAACGATAATTGAACTACCATTGTGCGAGGTTCTTGTCTGAGACAATTTGTCCCGAAAAAGGTTGTCTCGTCATTGCCCAATAAAGAAACGCGAAAGAATAGACTTGCCTTGATTACTGGTGTGGCTTGAGGGTTGGCTTTGTGAGGCATCAGACTGATATGTCACCTGTCTCGAGTGATGGTCATGTGAGGCTACGCCTTTCAGAAGTTAGCGGGTTTGGAAACAAAGTCTACAAGAAGACTACGCCCAAGAGTATACCTCATGTGTAGAATCTGAAGAACTTCCAGGAGGAAATCGTGTACAGTTTAAACCATCGTTGAGATGCGATGCTTAATTTCAAGCTCTACTGTATGATCATAGCCAAAGATGAGAAGGAGACGGTTGAAAGCTTACCAAAAGCATAATTAGATGACAACTCAGTACAAAAGTTTTCTGCAAATGACTGCTCTCTCTCAATGAGTTGGGACAAGCGCACTTTGAAACCTCGGAGAGCGGCTTGAATCTAATGGATAGAATTAGCAAACGTAGATGCCGATGTAATGAAATATGAAGGGCATTCAGGCTGCAATTATCAGAAGAAGAAATGAAAGCATTTTCAGGCAACCTCGCTCAACTCATACGAGGAGCTTAGTCGCCGTCTCATCGATACAGTAGCTTGAGAAGCTAAAAGATCATCATTACGCAGAGGGTCGATGGCGATGAGATGTGACTTGCCTATAACTTATCCATAGAATGGCCGCAAATGCCAAATTTAAGACTGAGAGCAAGGAAAGCCTAGCGACTTCAATCCCAAACTGTATTGATTCCACAAAGATTATGTAGGAACTTGGCGGTTATGCCGTACATCCGTGAAGGCGGTGTAGAGATGGACGTTTGGCCTAGTGATGTTAGTTACTGAGGGAAGGCCCGGTAAAGAAGGCAAAGGAATAGAAGTTTCAATCGGAAAGGACGGTGTAAGCTTGTATGTGTAGTATTCCGCCTGCTGGTTCTCAGATAGCCTAAAGCTGACCAATGTAGGACGCTTCGGCTGATAGAACTGTTCTTGTGTTCGTCACGACACAGTAGAATACGATGAGCATGGGAACTTACATATCGAATGAAGCATTCAGGTACTGCAGTCCAGTCCAATGCCTCAGGTGCCAGTACCAAAGCGATCGCGTCAGAGTCAGGTCAACTCATAGACGGGCACACTTAGCTCTTGCCCGTCAACGCGATAATACCACCGCTGAAATGCATGACTCTCAGCTCACTGAGGGAACCGTAGTGTATATCTCCAGGGTGTACTTCAATGATACCGTGCGGTGCGAGGTACGGGAAGGGAAGAGGTGCAAGCGGAGGGTCGACGACGTCTGTCGACGACGTCTGCGGCGCAGTGCAATAGTAGATATCGTAGAATGAGGGAATCAAGGGCTTTGAAAACTCATCTCGTGCTGACAGGATGCAGAGCAGTGGTCGGCTAATTGTTGTTGGTGAGCGAGAGGCAGAAATGTTGTGGGCGGACTAGCCGAAAAGACGCTGTGACAAACGCGCTTTTAACTCAGAGAAAGAGCAAGGTTGCCAGGTGACGGTGAAACAGGGATTTAGGCATGACGATTGAGGACATCATCGTCATGGTAAGTGAGTCGCACTAGATAAGTAGAAAGATAATGGAGAAGAGGCATGTTGCCCGCTATGGATATCATAGAACTACTCAGCTCTATTCAAGCTATGGTATGGAAGACACACAATACAATAGGATGCTTGATGAGTACAGGCAAGGCGGGTGGAAAGCTTGAGGCTTAATCGAAACCGACCCTGAGTGATAATAATGAATTATCGGAAAAGAATATGTAACGTGGCATCTCGGAATGACTGCCGTAGTGCTTCTTGTTGCTGCCTTTTGCTAGATGTCAATGTCCTAAGAGAGCTAATGTCGCGTTCTGTGCGCCCGCACCAACAGGTCCGCAAACCCCACTTGTATCAACTCTCTGCACTTCCCTAAGTGTACAAGGCATATTAAAAATTGTTACAGTAATAATGATATATGGACTGGTATAACCAATCGGCTGAAATTCGCAGCCGCCGTTCACCTTTCCGCCAACATCTCACAGCTCTTATCTATGAGATCAAGCTGGCCGCACTGCCGCTCCACATCGCCGCCCGTATATTATCCATCCCCAGACCCTCATTTCCAACACCTGGAATAACGCGGTGAAGCAATACATCGACAGAAGCAGTCCCCACAAGCTCTCGAAGCTTCCACGTGGCACCCTACAGAATATGACGAAGGCGTGGAGGCCGACTCGGATAGCACACATCAGGTCTGGAAAAGTACGGGCACCGGAAAGAGGACCAAGCGGATTATGTGACGAACAAGTATGGGTATAGCGTAGAGAAATTGAGGCCGACGGAAAACCTTGTGCCTAGGCTTCCACCTGCTGTTTGCGCTCGGACAGATGCTGCGAAGCAGAAGATAGAGACGAGAGTAAACCCATTTCTGTTTCAATAGCTGACCACCGTCATGTATCTCGACAGCGCCATCAATGAATAGATCGTTTTCGCCGAATGCAACCACTCCCCTCGAGATACCCTCGGAGTCCCAAACCTGTGCGCACCGCTTGCCTGATGCTGCTCGCGATCGAAGACACCGTTGCCTCCTAGGGACGGTGTCAGAAGAAGGCTATGTGGCCTGACTCTGAGAAAATGCCGCCCGAACACTACCACGGTAGGTTTCTTCGGACGTGGTCGAATCCCAACAGCGCACTCAGGACCGATATACTGTTCTAGGACCACATCTTGGGCATCCGCATCCTGCGGTCAGGGTATGGTGGCTGCGTGAAATGCTATGAACGTTCATTCATGATCGACCTGTCAGAGGATGAGCGGTTTATTATGTGTGACTGGATAGGCAACGCCAAGGTTAATCGGGTGGTAGGCCAAGGTGGTAACAGATTTCTCTAACACGAACATCGAGAAAACCAGCAGGAAGCTGAGCGAGACTGTCAACATCTCAGCCAAAGCCTGCGATTGGAGGAGCATGTGGTAGTATAGCAGGCAGAGTAGACTCTAGGGACAAGTTCTCGAAGTTATCAAGGTGCCGGAGAGGGCTGCAGAGGCATATGAAGTGAGGAGATGAAGAAGTCCACTGGGGAGAGGCTATTGTTTTCTGTGATCAAGAAAATACTTCAAGAGCGCCTACGCCCTCATGTGAGCTATCCACGGCTCTGAGGAGGTGCTTTGTGTGCGGAACTATCTATGAATACATCGACTCTTCTCGGATAGGCTGCTCGAGCCGGTCGTCAATCATGGTATCAAAACCCATATTTGATCAATCTGAGATATTGCAGCAAATGCTGAACTTAGAAGAGTAATAACTTCTTCAATTGTATGCTATTAACGCTTGCAGCCTGCTATCCGGTCATTACCCATCAGTCTGATATGCAGGTTGGCCACCATTAGCACAGTTGAAATCAAGCCAGAGCCAGTGCCCATGTCAAAGGCTGGATGCGGGCCGAGCCAAAATGGCGAGGGTCGGATAATGTGATATGCGATGATCGACAGCTGTACACCATGGTTTCGCTAACGTATCATCAACTTACGAATGCGGCGTGGCAACTTCAACGATGACGGCAATGTCACCATCCCACACCATATCAGACGCAGTATTTGTTCATTGAATCGACATATACATGATTCGTTACTAAGTCGAATGATAGGAGGGCCTATACTCTGCAACCACGTTATATGTGCATGTGAATCGGTCTCCGCTACTTCACGTGACCTATTATTCAACGGAAATAGTCTTAGGAGATAAAGCCTGATTGTCGTCTTCATCAAGTTTGCGAACATAGCCCAGTCACTGCCACTAATTTCGCCGCCACTTGTGTAGCTTGTCGAATATTCTCAGAAGAATCATTTCTCCCCCCTAGATATGATGTAAGCTCGCTCTTTCCACGCTTAGCATTGCTATAGACATCTCGGCATTATCTACTCTATCCGAACCTAACCCACGTCCACCCCCAGCTTCATGTATAGTCATCTGATTTGAGAAGCGTCATTTTTCTCGATCCGGTACTACTACTATAGCAAAGGGCGTGTGCTGTCTCTGCTTTGTCCCAACGGCCGCTCCGACCGTGCTACCGACGCAAGGGGTGACCCACGATAACCTTAAGTGAACGTCACATCAATTTATTGATATGATCGGATACGGTGGAGCACGTTCCTGCTAAAGGTTTGAGGGTCGTGAGAAATGGAGATCGAGGGGTCGAGTGCTAGTCGCCACGGAGAGGCTGTGGGAAAGGGAATTCGAGCGACTCGGATCGAGCGGCTTCAACGGCGTCTTTATATTGCTTAAGTGAACCAATATTCGCCCATTTATAGCAGCTCTCAAGCCGCGTATTCAACATCGGCGACAAGAGTGGCGTAAACGGGTGGTAAAATGACCCACGGAGTTGGCCGAAGTCTAAGTAGGTTAGCGGCGATGTTTAAGATGATGATGTATGCCGCCTTGGTGAGCCTCATACTTGCCAATTTCATAAGGAGTTATCGACCTGTGGGAAAGGCCGGTTCATGTCGAAGCTTGAGATGAACGTGATTGGTGTACTGATGCATTACAACCAGCAACATGGACCGTTTTTCTCCATGATGTGCTCAATAGTGTCTTGTTTCAACCAACGCCAGTAGTTCACCAAACGTGGTAGTGCGATTTGATGTGTGACTTGGCTGATGAGGAGGATTCATGCATCATTCGAGGTATCCTTGCGCAACTGTTCATGTTCCATCCGATCTAAGCGCTGAGGGCAATGGAACTTAGCGTCGGATGATTGGCAGACCGGGTCCAGTGGAAGGGCTCGAGGCATGATTCGTAGGCGAAAAAAACGCAAGCCAACTTTGTGGTAGAGTGAAATCGCTGCTGCTCGTTGCGCACTGCTACCTGTTCTCAGTGCCTTGCTCCTAACTTCATAACATAAAGTAATCTAGTATATTTCTCGAGAAGATATGACCTCCCGGTGGCCTTTTGTGAACAGTGTGCGGAGACGTTGCGGTATTGCGGCGGTGCGGTTCTTGGTGCTTGCGGGTTTATTTAGCGGGGTACGCGCTCCTAATAGGACATAAGAGGATTTCCAAAGCGCCTAGCTTATGGAAATGAATGTAAATGGCGCATAATAAATGGTGCATGATGAGAGGGGCGGTATGAGAAGTAGGCCCGTTTGAGTTCTCTTGCGGTTGCGAGTGGTTCGGGTCTGCTGGACTGGTGTAGAGCTTGCCCGCAGATTTGCTGATCATATGGCGCTTGTCAAACTACCGCCCAGACAGCGTTAGTTTGCAGGCATCAATTAGCCCTTCGTGTAATCTACCGCAATTGGATCAATACACAGATACATACAGTCTTCCAGCAAGTATTTTGCGTCGCCTCCAATCCGCACGTCCACGTCCACAATGCCGTCTCCTCCAGAATATACTGCGGATCTTTCTGCATCATCCCCCGAACCGATACCCAAATCGCATGCCTCGTCGACTGACCCGCAAAGCGAGATGCCATCGAATCAACTTCCAGTGTCTTCTTCAGTTGCCGAAGCGCAGCAAGAAGTGGCCGCCGTGTAGCCCAAAGAGCTCACGACGGAGGAGCTGGTGTTGCTAGAAGAAACCAGCCACACCCCGGCGCAGGTTGAGGGCATGTCATCGGTAGAGCGCACAACACTATTCAGAGAGCTACGAATCATTCAAATGGACGTATTAACGGCCAGTGTGAACAGGATGAAGATACACAGCCAATCTTCGGCCAGTCAGATGGGAACCGACACAGCTCGACTGGGGCGCGGTGAAGAGGAACAGTTGAGCAAGCTGCAAGAAGAGGCGCGACTTAAGGCAAAATTTGGGCAAAGACTACGATCCACCGATGTGGGAGGAGCAAGAGGTCAGGGGCAATACTTTGTCGCCTGAGACGCTGGAGTGCTCGGAGAATGAGGAGGAAGACTTCGACTTTGAGCTGTCTGAGGATGAGGGATTCCGACTTCACTGATTCTAGCGACAAAGCACCCGATGCGGATACTGAGGCGAATGGCGATGTAGCAGGTGAGCACAAAGAGGGCTTTGACGAAGGCGATGATGGTTTGGAGGAAGCAACTTCCTGCGCAGGCAACGAGGCAACAAATAAAGATGCTTAGCATAGTGAGCCTAAGATTGAGGACGATGATGGAGATCACGGAGAGGGAGCTTACATTTTGTCAAAGCCCAGCAGGCAGTCAGCCATAACTCACGGATGGAACAATAGCTTAACCTCATACATACAATGTGTCCTATCACTGAAGACCTGCATAGACTTATTATGCCTTGAGTATCTGCAAGCCAAACCGTGGTGAGGAATCATTGGTGGTCGGTACTGTTGGTGGAACGACTCGTTTTAATAGCTTGCCATACAAAGAAGATGCGGCGACAAGCCTCTATGGCGTCTTAATAATATCATAGAGATAGGTGGGCGACGGCCGAGCGAAACACGCATGGTAGGGATCTCTTCTTCAACGTACTGGACCAGCCAGTGACAGTCAACGAAAAGACGGTTGCGAGAGTGGAACGATTTCCTTTCGACCTGATTCCAAAAATTCCCAGAAGCCCCGAAGGGCAGCTGAAGCCGATGATATTGGTCAAGACTTGAAGGTACCCGGTTGAGCCAGGCAGTCTCTTGATTTTGATGGCACCAGCACTGAAGATGGAGAAGGGGACTAAGTTGAGGTGACTTATGTAGGCGCCGTAGCTCGCACTGACCAACAACAAGTAGCACGTCATACCCTCAATCTGACCTCACTGTCACCACCCTACAGGCTGGCATAACTTCGGTACATGTCTTGAATGCCGTCGCTTAATTGATTAGTAACGCTCACTAGCGTCTGCCTTGTTTTTCTATAAAACCCGCCCGCCTGCCCCCATTGCTTCTCTTCTTCTTTATGGGATTCGCCCGAGTGTCAGGACTCTCTTGCTTCTCTTGCTGGACGCCGGCGTTCCCAAATCTTGGATTGATATCCTTGATTCTTTTTTCTTTTTTTGAGGGGGTCCTCTGAGTCACTGGGCTTGCTCATACTCAGGGATTGATGTTGCTGCTATTACACTACCTGCTTCTAACGTCGAACCCGACCTTTTTCATTGAGACTTCTCGCTTGCGAGTTGCTTGAGGAAGAAGCTGCTTTGTCTTGCCAGTCTTTGGACCATTGAGCCGTTGCGACGCGTTAAACAGTGGATGTACAGGCTATGCTTTTGTCACCTTGCGATGCTTGAAGCTACCGACGCGGCGACCGTTCATTCACTGTTTGTTTCATTGTCCCTGGCCTACAACTGACATTCTTGGATTTTACTTCGTGGCAGCTTATCTACCCGCCTTAGAGCTACCCCGTAACCTCCAACGTTTTGGAGGGCCGCACTCCCCACCATATAACTTGCCCTCTACAATCTTTCGCGACCCCGGTTTAGCTTTTCGATCTCCCGCTTCGTCATGTACTCACCTTAGTAGCAGTCAGTGTCGAAAAGCACAGCAGAACTTTAGGTTCCTACCCCGAGAACGCTAAGCCTTCACGCTCGCGGAAGCCTCTCACCGATATAAGGTCAAGCTTGGGAGCCACCGCACGACTGCTCACCGGCCTACAAGACAGTGGGCTGATGTTAGCCAAGGGGAGAAGGGGTAGTTGTGGCAGTTGCCTGCGGATGAATATCTACGGCGGAGAGACGGAGACGCGGGCTGGTGCATTGTGGTCTACATGATAGATAAAGCAACACCGAAAGTGGTACACTTATACGCGCTTTCCTACTCAATATTCGCGGTAACATGGCTGCAGAATGACTTGCGAGCATCTCCCCCGTCCTTCTCAGTCGCGGAACAAAGCCTCAGTGTTTACAACACTGTCTAAGACATAGCATACGCATTATTAGAGTACCGGCACAAGTTCATGAGCTCTGACAAAGTTCCAGGAAAGCGACGGACACATCTTACTGATATCTATTTTGAATAGAGAAGTAAGGCGATAGCTGAGATTACCTCTGCACATGCTAAGCATGGCGTTTACGTTTACTGTAGGTGTCAATGACTGAGTATTCCTTCAGAGATACAATATCTCAAAAATCTTGCCCACCTAATGAGTCGTACTGATTCGGCTGGGGATATTCAAACGCTCCGGCTTCAAGTGATTGTAACAATACAGGTGGTGAGCTCGAGTCTCCTTCACGTCCGATTATGTCATAGAAAAGACGTGGGCATGATAAAGTCAGCCCGCAGCCTTAAACCCCTCCATCAACACCATCCACCCACTAAACTTTGGACAGCAAATCTACAAAACTATCAAAACTCTCCAAGATGTCCTTCCGTCGCCGCGTCAAAAACGCAATCCGCCGTCTGCTCGGTCGCCCTCCGGCGATCACCGCTGCTGCTGAGGCAGCAACTTCGACTGCACCTCCGCCGCAGTCACCACCAAGTCCACCGCCGTCGCCGCCGCACTGCCAGATGCACTGCCGGAAGTACCCGTGCAGGGAGATGCATCGCCGCTGCGCGGAGGGGGAGTGGGACTACTCCAACTTCCCGGAGATGGCACTGTGCCATTGCTGTAAGTCCATTTCTTACCAACTACCGCTTCAAGTCTCGATACTAATACATTTTTGCCAACAGAAAGTCATTCTCAACCACCACCACCATTGGTTGCCGCCTCTTTTGGTTCTCTTCGCTCCGGTCTCCTGTCTCTCAATCACTTTCTCTCCTCTCGCCAATCCTCCTCCATCACAACCTCGCCGATGAGGTGTTGTCGCATACGGGTCTCGGCTTCGGTCCTCTGTTCCCGCCCTCTGGGCTTAAAGAGCCCCCAGCAGTAAGTCCGCGGGTCAACGCACCGTTGGGGTCTAGTAAGCCGCGACTGAAAACAATGGCTGAAGCTAAGACGGACTTGAAAGAGGTAAGTGACTGTGTTCTAGTGTCATTGACTAACAAGGCGATTCTATCAGGAGGAAGTCTACTTCATCGAATGGGAACTTTTGTTGGAAACGGAGGATATTTCACCAATTAGTTATAGATCAAGTCAATGTACATGTCCAAGCTATATCATTTATCATTCCTTACTCAAACCAAAGTGACGGGCAATCCGCACCATTTTCCCACTGTGACTAGACTTCCGGGCAATGCATCAGCACAGACGTACATGCTGGTTCCTCTACCTGTCTCAAGTGCCCTTCAGCGCCGCCAAGAGTATCCTAGGCTTTTTCTAACCAAGAAGCGTCCGTCATACTTTTAAGCTATTCTTAAAAATGCCTATCTCCTTCGAATTCCACTCCATGTACTTGTTTCGCATATTCCTGTAGTATAGATGAGTTGTAGCGTGTTTGTGATCGAGATCCGAGGATTGAGGCATTCTGATTGCGAGCTCGTGGTCACCCCTTCGTTTGTCGGTGGAGGGAATGGAGCAGTCGGAATTGCGTTGATGTAAGGCCAGGCAACTGGAGATATTGCTTGCTGCGAGAATTCCGTGGAAGAACGGTTCGTTATATGGGAGACAATGGCCTGCTTTTACACATGTCAGTTATCTCTACGGCACACTGAAAGGGTTCTGGAATACTCAGCTGCGTTATCTTGCTCTACAAATCAAGCTTTACTCCAAATGGATCACAAGCTTCTCTTAGTTTCGCCTCTGGAGAGGGTACTTATCTCTGACGGCTCGCAACGCCGGAAGCTTATGCCAGAGTCCACCGTCCCGATCAACGGGGCGGCCCAGGTCGTATACACATGCACATTGCACACCCTCCCGCGCGCAGTCAGTTAAGACCAGTTGCAGGTGAGTAGCCCCGTAGTCTCTTTCTCGGGCAACAATACTCGAGACATGGGAGTGTATCCTTCCTGGCTAGGGAGACCCATTACAGGTTGTGATCCCTCGTCTTCGTTACTCGTCCACCTCTTCCTCTTCCCCATCGACCAACTCGCCTAATCGCGACGCCTTGGTTGATGATACTTTTCGCGCCAGGCATCTTCGATGCGCTGTTCTCGCTCGGCCTATCAGTAATGTTAGACAACTATGAGCACATGGAGAGCTGTCCAGAGCACGTACGGAGCCCAGTGTGGTCCACCACCGGTCGAACGACCGCTCCTGCGCCTGCGCGGCCCTGACCTTTGCAGAAAACTCGACGAAGACGCGAATCTCGGTTTCCTTTGCAGCTTTCTCAGCCCCAAGTCGGGGGCTGGCTTCCGGTGTGCCAGCGGCACGCATTTCAGCCATGCGTTCATGGCGGCGGACCAAGGAGGCGATGACCTCGTCCAGCTGGGCTTTCAAGTTGTTGGAGTTGGTCATGTTTGGTAATGAGGTCTAGAATACTGTGTTAACCATGCAAGATCGAGGATTCAATTTTCAAAATTTACATACGTGTTGTGGTGTCTTGGGAGCTGTTTCCGACGTGACTGAGCTCAAGTCAACGCTGCCCGCCGCTACTGCACGTGACGCACAGTCCTGTTAAGATTGCACCTTCCCCACCATTGCTGCTGCCTCTCACTTCCTGAAATATCAGCTCTTTGCACTCACGAACCATCAACACGCTTTGGCTACAATGCAACTCCAATTCAACAGGTGAGGCATCCTCTTCAATCCAACATCTCAAGCTCGATGATGATGCTACTTTCAACGGCGATTCACACATGAGAAAGTCGAGCACGGTCAACCGATGGTATCCGTTCTGGTGCGGGGTCTCATAAGTCTCCCATTGTAGGGCCATCCTGATGAGCTTCATCCTTTGCATGTCAATTGCAGCGCAGTACGATCAATGGTAACGCACTCACAGGTTCCTACACCAAATCACAAGATCCCACCCCCTCGATTGAAGCTGCCTTGAAGCCACCTCGAAAGCGCCATCAACAAATTAAGTCTCCCTTCATCCCGATCAAACACATATGTTGACTTCTACCTTCATGATGAACTCCGCTACAAGTCTGAGCATGGGAGATATTTGAGCTTTTCGATCAACTTACGGCACAGTGTTCAATGATAACACCATTACAGGCTCTTGTCACTTTCTCCACGATCATATCGAGTTTTCACGTCGCTCCCGGCTTTGTTTTGCTGGTGTAGAATTATAGAATGTTATCAGTACGTCCACTGTCCTTATCCCCTCCCACGCATAATGCACCATGATGATCCCATATCTTATGGTTGTAGTTCTTTATTGCAGTCGTTGTTTGAAAAAGCTTCCCGGTTGTTCGTGATCTTTTGTTTTGAGTCTGACATCACATCCTTGCTCTTTTATTATTATGCAGATTGTCATTATGACGCTAACTTTTGATGCATTCCAAGTCATCTCACCAGTGTTTGTGACTGAGAGTCACAGTACAGACTCGAGAATACTGTTGCCGAAACGGAGAAGCTAGCCATGGGGGTCTTACGTGCACTTCACGTTCTTGGCTCAATGGAAGTAGTCTACCTTCTATGTAGAATGAATACATAATACCTATCATTGCTGTAAGAGCTCTAGTTCGATACTGGACTTGGATTATATTTGGCTACTATCAACTACTCCATAAGTCAGCGAAGTCGGTACTGTACGAATACGCCATTCACAAGAACGTCCACGACAAACTACGACATGTAAAGTGCCAGTTACGAAATAATACCTCCTTATCTCGAGACCACCGAGCTATAGCTTGAAAAAAAACAGATCTAAAGCGAAGAAGGGCTGTTATTGCGCTGGTGTTGAGCGGGGCTGCAAAATATTGATGTTGAAGCATGACATGATGTTCGTCCGAAGTCTGATGAGTTCTGGTTTTCCTGCTACGCCTGCGTGATCTGACGTACCCCCAAAACTCCTCTAGACAGCTAGAAATCGATGCGCATTCGAATTCCGATCGAAAACAAGATGTACAAACAACGGAAATCGAAGTTGGCTTTGGACGGGTTGACAGGCGGTAGTCTTGGCGAGAGAATCTCACTAATTGTACTGAAAACATTACCATGAGCAAGTTCGACAACACCAAAACCCGCAAATCAACTACGATGGCTGTGCGCAGAAACCAGCCAGCATATGCATGCAAGAAATAGATCTTTAATACACAATCTGAGAGCCCAGACGCATGTAACATGGCGGGATCACTGGATCGTGGGCAGAGAAGGGCGGCGTGCTCGACGCCAGGCCGCCAACCTCATCAACAACACACCACCAAATTGACCACAAGGACCCAACCAGGATCATGCCCTGTCATATTGTGTGGCCGCCATCGGACTAGTAAGTTCTTTTCTCGCCCTGTAGCACCGTGTTGCACGTATCCTCAGCCGCGAACAGCTTTTCCGACACCGAAACCTCCATCCAGCAGCCACCGCGATCCCGATCGGATGCACATCAGAGCCAGGGTACTTGGAGATAGCGCTATGCGGGACAACTGGCGACTCATACCCGTCGAATAATAGAATCCACGCGGCCGCTGTGCACAAGGCAACCCCCAGCGCCCGAAGCAGGACACGAAACGGGATCCGCGAACCGGTTCAGCTAGGATCCAGGAATCCTAGAGGCACTCACAATATGGTTGAATGAACAGCGACTTGTGTAACTTAATGAGAAGTTACGAGGCCTATCACGCAAGGGGATATGTCGAGCGAGCCAGGTGGATGCGACTTGACAACAGCAACGCAATACGCGAAGACGAGCGATACACAACGACGGTAAGGAGGTGAAACTGATAATAAGAGGCCGGTCGCAGAAGGTAGCGGAGCTTGTTGACAGCGAGCTTCCAGCAACGCAGATACTAAGATGTCGAGAACAAGCCCAATATTTTTGGATCTTGGCGAGGACTGATCGCAAACCAAAGCTCAATAGTTGCATGCGGAGGTTCTCATACCACTATATCACAATTTGTCTGAGGGTAGGAAACTTCGGCCATCGAAAACGCCGAGCACTGCGCTCGATATGAAAAGGTTAAGGACAACGGGGACTTGAGAAACACGGCAGCGGCACAAAGGAAAAGAGATGCTTACTGTGCGTTAGTAGTAGCAAAGACAAGCTGTCGACGAGAGAGGAGCGCACCTCACCAGATCTACCACACTGTCATCCATACCTTTCGCAGAGACGACGACCCACGGCGAAGCCTTCTCCGCCCTCAATACGATATCTACCCACACCGCATAGACATCTTCCACCCATGAAACCTACTCTAGAGAGGGCAGCGCGAATACCCATAGAGTTTTGGCAGACACGGAAAGTCAAAGCGTACGCGTGGAACGAGGAGGGAGGATAACCAAACACTGAGGATAGTCATTGGCCAGGAGGGTGGTTTCAATAGGCTAGAGACACGAATGGCAGGATGAGACACGATCACATGGAGACGGATAAGAGCTACGACCTCACCAGTCGGCAGCGAAGTCCTTCCAGAGTCCCTACATCCACGACTGTCTATCGAGTCTGGAGGATGAGTTGAAAATGCCTGGTTACGAGGATCGCCGGTCTACCCAGTCTTGCGATAGTTGCAAGGTTGGTGTGAAAGAGATCGAAAAGGTGCGACAAAGAAACTGACAAAGAGCAGATGGGGGATACAGTAAGTGGGTAGAAGAAAGTGGAGCACAACAACAAAATGAACAACGATCAAGTGTGTCTGCAGGATCGGAGGAGGATATGCATGGACATGAGGAAGGTGCTGATGCGGTAAGGACTGACAGAGAAGAAAACTGGAGGGACGGAGCGAAGCTGACGACTTAGGAAAGTGACAATCATCTCCCCGCCGCCGAATTCCACCGGCCACGAACCGCAGGCTTCGAATCGTCCTATCACCCTCGTCTCTTCGCGAGCGTACAAATCTCGTTCTTGTCCTCCACCCTCACACTCCTACACACACGCAGACGTACCTCGCCTCGCCATCCACTCACACACTTAGCGCTCCTACACGGTGCGGATCCAGTCGTACCGAACACCCCGCCTCACAGCACACATACAATCCCAGGGCCTTATTAGGAGTAGGAAGGTGCGGCCACTTGGCAGAGACTCCTTATGCTGGAGTCTCTGTAAGGTGTTTGGTCGTGGATCTGACACTTTTCGGGCTACTTAAGGCGCAAGGGGACCGATAGCCTAGTTGTGAGGATACGTTGGTGGATGTGGCTGTGAAAATGGGGGACAAGAATTGGAAGACGTGGAGGCTTATGAAAAGACATGAGGTTGAAGGAAGAAGAATACAGGCGGCGAAGAAGAGGAGTGGTAGGAAGGGCATGGAGGGCATGATATACAGCACGCCATCGGCGCCTGAAGAACGGGGAGGCAAAGTTTAGAGTTGAAGGGAGGTGTTGCATTGAAGCTGGTCATCTGATGAAAGAGAGAGAGAGGAAAGCGGGATCGTAGATCATGATGGTAGGGGACTAGGGGGGTAATATAGGAGGTAGAAAGACTGGATAGAGAAAAGAATTGAGAAGAGAAAGTGATATCGCAGGAACCTACTTGGGGCCTCCAAAGGCAATAGGAGAGAAGTACTAAGATCATCACGACAGGCCGCTTCGAAAAGCTGATACTGCTTAATGCGGCAGCTTTTGTGACTTACTCGTAAGCTGCAATGACATGTCAGCCGAACTAAGAGTTAGCAAGATATCGACGGTATCATGATCAAAATTGTAGAATCAACTGAAAGACCCTGCGACTTGTCCAAGACATCTCCTTTTCCTAGTGAAGATGCAATGGGAATTGAGTCGACGGTAACGAAGCCGATATTGAGAAAGCCGGGGCTGCTTCAGGAGGACTTAGACACTTCTAGGTGCAGACTTGTTAGGGGATGGTGTTGCAACACCATCCTGACGGCACTGTTGGACTCAGACTGGCGCACTGTCCCTTCTTCCGGCATTCCTTATTGTCCGTACGAAGCATGATGGACTATTGTCTGGCTTTTGACTGCGCCGACTCGAACAAGCACCAGGCATACCAAGGATACTGATAGTTTTGGGTGCATATTAGGCGCCGCAGCCGAGCTTCAGTCTCCACTGCACCTCTGTAGCTGCATGTGGTCATAGGATTCCAACATCTTGCGCCCGCGTATAATGTCCCCGACAGGCGCAACTTTGATGATGTTTGCCAGCAGGCACATGCAAAGAGACCGAACAATTGGACACGGCCACTTTTACTCTATGCTCTTTGCTCTTGGTGTGCACTTAGGCATACTCAACGAGCTCGCCAAGTCTACTCTTGCTCACTCATAACGCCACCGCAACATGTGTTGTAGCAGACGAGGGTGGGGTCCGAGCTTCAGCGGTGGTGATAGAGTTGGTAGTTTGTTCCGGTGCGGCTTAACTCACCACCCCGAACTCAACAACAACACACTTCCGAAAGCTGCCATTGCGATGCAAGCACTCCGTAACGAGGCTGATGAGGATCATCAAAGCCTCATGTATGACTTATACCCGCGGCAACGATCTAGGTCGCGGCGGCGACGACAGCAACAGCGAGGTCGGCAAGGATAGCAGCTCCTCCTGAGCTCCCGTGCGAGTGCAGCGAGCTCAAGAGGCTGCCGTTAGGGCTTATCAACACCAATAGCTCATACGGTATGTACCGACTTTCTTCTTTGTTGTCGCAGGCGCTTCATGGGCACGACGATGATGACGAAGCTTTTGGAAGAAGGTCCACGTGTACAGCATAATCGCATGTAGCGAGGACAGCGCGGCTTCAGGCGATTCAGAGCTTGCGAAAGCTTGCTTGTCGCACCCTCTGCGCACTCATCATCCTCGCCCAAGCATTGTCGGAAGATCGACGGGGTGGGCCACGATTGCTAACATCCTTTAGCAACAGTTCGCCTGCTATAACACTTGAGTGTGCATACATCATGATCTGCGACAGCGAGAAGTATTTCGATAGCCCTGTCGAGGGGCAGGTCGCGGCTTAGTCGAGCTTGCGGACAACAACCACAACGGCAACCCTGAGTTGACGATGGCGGCTTCGGATCTCGATAACACTGGAGGCATAAGAGCGGATTCGATCAACCTTGACCAACAGGCTGGCTTGCGCAATCCATTGCCGGTCTCCACGGCTGCCAAAATCATTACCCCACCTGAATACTCCTGACCGCGGCCATTTTGCACGCCGCTCTTGCACTGAATCACTGGCGAAGAGGTTCGTAAGACTTGTTTGCGTGCGTCGCATATCGTATCCATACTGACGCATCAAGCTCGGTAGGCAGCAAACAGTAACATGCCCCTCCGTGGTCATGCCCAAAACTTCTCCCATCATGAGCCACAAAAGGACGATTGCAAAACCATTTGACGCGCCGGGTTTCCGCGAAAGAGAAAACAATACTAGACCGGTGAAGCCTCTTGGGCTATGGAATACCGGAGATCGGTATAAGATTAGATCGCGCCTAGAGGATAAACAGAGACTCTTTACTCCAGCGGAGGGGCAGTCGAAGCCCTACAACGTCCACTTCATATCCGAGGAGACTCGTCTGAGCCACTGCTCAACGGCACGTCTGTTGGTACGTCTGTTGGTATAACCAACAAGGACGTCGAAAAGATCATACAGTCGGGAAGATCTTCAATCCGCCGTATACGATATTCCGTTGGGTTCGAAAACTAAAAGCCAGCGGGAGATAATAAAGCGTTGTAAAGCTCGTAGAAGCGGGTTGTAACACCCTAAACTTAGGCGCACGAAGCGCGGAGGCAAAACCCCCCGGAGGGAGCGGAAAACTACCCCAGTGCATCAAACCCTCCCAAATCGGGTTGCACTTCAAAGGGGTGGACAGCAATGGACGAGAACTACAACGCGGTAGTTGTAAACGACGGGTCACGTCATGCAAGACTGGCCAATACACCAGAGGCCGGTCTTGCATAAACGATGAGGTTACTTCATGCAAGACTGGCCAATACACCAGAGGCCGGTCTTGCATAAACGATAAAGTTACTTCATGCAAGACTGGCCAGTACACCAAAGAACTATCCCGCAAGTTCAATTCCAAGTGTTACTCACGACAGGTGACCCCCACCTGTGATGAACAGGTTGAGGACGACTGTATAACAGCGAATGGCGATAGTCTTAGTCTTAAGGAGACATCGATGAGGCTTTTCTTTCCTCCAGGTCGGTCTAAACAGTTCCAAGAGCGGGAAAAGCGGGTGACTGAAGAGGCAGCATGACTCTGATGAACCTCGACACGTGGGGCTATCATGACAAGGAGCCGTGTTGAACACAAACCCCTTCCGTGGGAGGAGAGTTTGATCCGCATTTTGACTCGAAGTCATCAGCCCTCCTCTGCTCGCTGATGACTAGCCCAAGATGCGCCATCCAATGGCGGCTTAGAATAGGCACCCATAACGACCGACTATTCCCTGCGTATGGAACATGCTGTCCATAATGCATTCGAGGAGAGACGGTCCACCAGGCGGTCTAGGTAGATGTTGTATTCCGGCGCAACGCATTTAGGGTTGGTCGATATCTATATTTTCCGCAGTGAACGGTGCGCTGACTGATCTTCAGGATTCGACGTCGTCGTCCTAAAAGAAGCCTGAAGACCGGATATCGGATCGTAGCGGGGGCTCGACGACTTCAAGACCATACCCCAGAGTCCACTGAGACCATCTCCGAGATAATCAATAATATGCCCCAAGCGAATAGAGAAGGTTATGAACACGGAGAAGGCCTAGCTGTCCTACTACGACGAAGCAGCACGGCATTCAAGAGCAGCAACACTGAGTCTGCCTTCAAGCTTCAGCGAACTCATATCCCTCGGCGCGGAATTGTCACATCCTCATGAGGCCACCTCTTACTGATCGGTTGTGCATGACACTGCGCCCTGAAACTGAGAGTTTTCCGATTGACCTCTTTTCTATACGTTGCATGTAGGACTGAATAAGGATCAAACTCTGGAAAGAATCAACCCGGACTTTGTTCCGTTAGACAAGACTTGCGCAAGCATCTTTTGTCTAGTGGCCGTTGTTCTCTCTGTTGGCCAGGCAAGGTCTATAGCCTTTGGTCTCGAGAAACTTTTCGATGGCCGATACGGATTGGGTAGACGAGGATAAGGTGTTTCGTACGTCCTCCTCAATAAGGTCCCAGGGCTTATGGCATACAACAGCTGGCTTAACGATGTCGACCATGGACCGAACAGAATGTTCAGACCTTTTTGGAGAGCAATTGTTGTGAACAAGGAAGAGGCCATCCACCTTGTTTTGTTGATCTTGGAGAGGTGACCCACGCCTAGCCTCGTCAAGTGGAGCCGGAACATTTCCATGTATATTGTAAGTCCCGTCTCTTGTCCCGATAAGGAGCCTTCGCTGACCCTTTCTAGTTTCAATGATAACTCGTGTGATACGCTCTTCCTCGATGACTCGCAATATCGTGACTATGAATAGATCGCGGGGAGATAGTGATCGATTTTACTAACTGCGTAGGGTACTTGGCTTTGGCGAGGATGGTCGATGGAAGCATCGGAGCCTGAGATAATGTATCGAAAAGATAAGTGCCAGGCACCTAATTGGAGTTGCAACAACTAATGACGATGTAGGTAAGCATGGCCACATCATTGTAACGATACCTACGGGTAGGCGTTCTTTGATAATCAGGCCAAACGGATGTAGTCTAGGTCACACCGTCGATTAGTAGTTGCTGTGCGAGCGCGCAGCTGCCAGCGCTATATCGCAAAGATTCCTAGAGAAATGAAGGGTTTCGGCCTGACCGGAGCGCAAGGCGATGCCTCGGTGAATCATTGCTACCGTACACTTCATTTCCCGTGGCCTCCTGGGTGTCGCAAGCCATACCTGGCCCGACGGTGGCATGACATCGCCGATGGTCTCATCCAACCGCGTCCCGCCAAGAAGCCATTCCAGTTCTGTCGAAAGGCCATACGGTACGTGTGTGTCAGTATGGCAGCGAGGGTGGCGTCCTGTGTGTCCAGTAGGTACTTCGAGTGCCTGGATGTCCGGATCTAGCGCAAGATTGTTCAAGTTCGACTTTTCAGAACTGTCGTTCAGGTCATTGGCCCTTGCGGTTTAGGTTCCGAGATCTCCAAGTAGATACTCAGCCTACTCAAGGTTGGTCAGCATATCTAACGCCTTTAGTTGCGATACATCTAACAGATGCAGTGGCGCTTACAGTCTGTACATGTTACCGCACAGCATCGCCGCTGCCGTTCATACGCCTGAGGTCGTCCGTAACATTGTAGGCGCCTCGGGTGATCACTCATCGCGACTCAAGCAGCGGCAACCTAGAGAGGAGGTCATAGAACATCTCTCAGGGTCGTCGCACTCGACTTTACGCCAGTGATCGCAATTTTTGACGCTGCGGGTAGGACAAGGTGGGGTGGGGTGTTGACAGCGGTGAGGGTAGAAGCTCAAGTCGACCAACAAGCGCCGCTGCTACTGCTAAAGCACGTTCGAGGCTGTCACTGTGTCAATATCGATGTAGCCCGGCGTGGTTCCAGCTCTGCAAAGATTGTGCGTCATCTCTATCACTTCGACAGAGCAGCGACAGGCGGGGGTTTGCGAAGCCCTTGTGAGCAAAGGTTCAGAACATGAATTGAGCTTAGAGGCCTCAGAGACTTACCTGAGGGGAAACAGAGCGTTCTCGACGCTCTGCGGCATCGTGTGTCTGAATTAACGCTCAACCCATGTTAGCAAAGCGAGCTGCGGCGAAGGAGCTACTGGCCCATAGTATGAAGGACACCATGCCCAGCGACGAGAACATGACGAATGCGATGGAGAGCGTCAGCAGGGAAACTGAAAGCTCTACGGCCAGATCAGGTTGGCCGTGTAACTAAAAGGGTCGGGGACAATGCTTGGAGCCGTGGACAGAGGGGTCCAAGATCCGGTCATCTGGACGGTGGAAACTCGTCCAGGAGACGTGAGGAAACGAGAAAGGGAAGCCGCGCGGGAGAAGACATCTCCTACCGGCGCTACAGAGTGCTTCGAGGACGTCGAGTGAGATGGACTTGAGGGTGAGGGCGTTGCTATGGACATGGACTTAGTCGGTGATAAAGTCACCCACCCCCCCTGGCCCGTGCCTTCTCCGCGAATGCACAACCCACGCCACAATACGGGTTGCAACTGCCAACTTGACCCAACTGGCTGCCCGGGGCCTTCTTCAGCGACTGAGGATGGCGGGCAATTCCTATGAGATAGTCATACTATCCTCGAGTCCGCCTGCTGCTGAGCTGTACGCCCCATCCTCCCCGCCCAATGGCTATCCTGCTACGAGACGCGTCGCAATGTCACCATCCTCCCATCTAGCATTCTCTCCGCCCGTCAGTCCGAGGAGACGAATCGCCGGCGCGTCCAAGACCAACCTACGTGCTGCCCCCATCCCCGACGGCGCCGTCAGGGGGTTCGCCACGGTTAATAGCCTCATTCGCTCAGAGCACTTCGCAAACCAGCTGTACGACAACTTGACTGAGGGACAGCACGCGCAATCACGTCGAGGGTCGCTAGAGGCTGCAGAAGGAGATGTTCCAGCTTCGAAGAAACCTCGCGGGCGCCCTACGAAGAAGTCGACAGCGGGCGACAGCGACAAAACGAAGCCCAAGCCCAGGCGGCGGAAAGCGACGGCGGACAAAGCCAACACCGCCTGCGACCCAGAGCTCCGACTCCCAGCGTCTACAAAATCCCCTTTCTTTGCGGAACAAGACACAGAGCCACAAATTGAGCCCCAGAACGAAACTGCAGAAATCACACCGGGACTCACAAAGTCGGGCAAGCCGCGAAAGCCGCGCGCAAAGAAGCAGAAAGCCGAGAGTGCCGAGACGGCACAAGAACCAAAGCTGAAGAAACCAAGAGTTACAAAAGTAAAGGCGGCTGCGAAAGACGGGAAGCTGCAGCGGGATGATGCGTCGCTCGTATCTGCACATTTCCGCGACAATGCGAACAGGGGCGAGGATCAGGCTGCAAATGAGCTCGGAACACTCAAATCGGTGGAGGCCCAGAATATGGATGTTGAGAGTACATCAACATGGGAGGTACCGCCAAGTCCACAACCGAAGAACAAGGCTCCTTCGAAAAAGCGGCCGTCAAATCCCATGGAGGAGGCACTGCATCTAGAAGAAGCCGTAGCGCGAAGACGAGATTGGACGCCACCACCGCAGGATACTGCAGTCATCACCCCGTTCACAGATTCAGTCGGGAAAGAAAACAAACACTCGGCGCAGGACACTAATGGTACCTTTACCCATATGCTCTCCAACTTTGCCTATGCACAATCACCATCTGCGCCAACTATGGTAGAAGCTGCGGGCTCAATTACAAAATCTATGGGTTTAACGAAGCGACGACGAGTCGAGCTCGTCGAAGTCCCTAGCAACCAGACTAATTCAAGAAACTCATCGCCTGAGAAGGGCAAAGCGCCCAAGAAGAAGGTACGCACAATCACGGACCTGGTAACCGGACAATACGGCCCCAAAGATCCAAATTTCGATCCACAAGCCATGACCAGCGACTTCTTTCAGCTTCGAACTACCGCAACAAAAGTGCCGTTGAACGATACCTCTGCGCTGGACGCCGATGCACCACCCAAAAAAGCGCCTCACAAGCGTTCAAAATCCAAATCTGATACCGAGAATACTAAGACGAATGCGAGAGCTAGAAAGACGACCGCCAAGGTTCCTAAGCCTAAGGCAGTTGCAGAGAAGCTGCTCAGTCCGACATCTGCAGTACAGCGCCTGGGTAGACAGGATGTTCTATTCGGGACTTCGAGTCAACTTGCACTCGAGGAATCGCCGACGATGGTGCGCCAATTGCAGCTAGCACTCAAAGAATCTGAACATGACGCAGAAGCGCCGCCCAGTTTTCTCTTGCCAGCACCACCACGATGGCCAAGGCTCGGAAAAGTAATCGGTACAAGGGGACTATGGGCTGCGAGTACTAGAGATGACGAGGGCGGTATGCTTGAGCACGTGGGTGATGTGTACATTCCAGAGCCTGACCGGACTCAAGACATCCCATTGCTCATGGATAGCACACGTGATGAGTCTGACGCTGCTACCTTCCTTGATATCGATGACCTTAATTCTGCACCAGCAATCCTTATATCATCCGATCTCCCTACACCTCCACATGCCACGTCTCGGGGCTCCCAGACTGTCGAATCAGGGGTTGCTGATCATTCAATCAAGGATGTTGTGTTCGAGGACATTCAAGGCTTCGAGCAGGAGCCACCACCCTCGAACCAGAATGTCGACTCTGAGATCAGCTTTGCAGACATTGACGATTTCGACTTCCCGCCGTCAGCGCAGCTGCGCATGTCTCCGTCACCAAAGTTGAGGCCGCCAGCGTCAGCGACCGCTGACGAGAGTTCTAAGAGGCGCCATGGGAGAACTCCTAAAGCAGCTATGCTCAAAGGAGCGTCCTCGCAACCCGAGGCGATAGCGATGACGCCATCCAAATCATCGAGTCGCTTCATTGACATCGAAGAGATCCTCGACTCCGAAGACGAAGCCCTCGAAGCCCTATCTCCCACACCACCCCGCAAACGCAACTTTCAAGATCTAACACCCTTGCCGCTATTCTCTTTAGATCCCTCGCCTGTGAAAGCTCCCTTGAAACCTAGCACCAACACCCTAGCCCACACGCCCGTCTTCCGCATCGATACCTCCAATCTCCAATGGGTACATATCAAAACAGAGATCTTCAACCAAATAACCACACACATCCGCGCGATCCCACCAACAAATAATCCCAAACAACCCAGCTGGCATGAGAAAATTCTCATGTACGATCCTATTGTGCTCGAGGACTTCACTGCGTACCTAAATGCACAAACCAACATCCGCACTTACAGGAGAGCGACGCAGAAGCAGATCAAGGCTTGGAACCAGATGTTAAAGGGTGATGGGCAATCAATCTTGAGTGTCGATGAGAGCGGCGATGAGGTCCTTGCGATTGAGAAAGAGTTGGAAGCCTATATGGCGCAGGGGTGGTGTGAGAGTATGAGTGTTTGTTGCATTTGGGGGGAGGGAAGGGGCAAGGGGGGAGCTAGGAAGGGACTCTATTAGCGTGAATACAAGGTGAGCTTAGAAGAAGTAGATGGAAATGATTGTGAATGTCATCAAGGTATAAGGCCCTGAGTTTACACGGGGAAGTAATGATTGAAACGAATTACGATAGCCTGTCTTGATGTGCAAGTGAATTGGATTTGCTACTAACGGTGAACAGAATCCATGACCACAATACGAACTTATCAGAGGCTGACCGGTCACTACTATGGTGAGTGTACGCGAATCGATCGCGCGGTCACGTGGGGTGTACGCCAAACTCAAAATGGCGAAATGATGAGACTAGTTTATACGCAGTGAGCACATCCATTGGCGAAGTCACGCTCGACTCCGTGATAATTTCACGGGCGACACCACGACCTCATCGACTCTTTCAGGCTGGTCTACGCCGTCTCCCTCCCGATCCCGGCTTTATATCTCGCAAGGCATCTCTCCCTCGCGAACTTGTGTTCTACAATTGGCTCCGGATACCCATTTTCCTTCGCAATCTCCTTAGCCTTACCACCCGCCGCATACGGATTATGTATCGCTTTTCCCTCGACGCCCTCCAACTCCTTCACCCACGTCCTGATAAACTCGCCGTCTTCATCGAACTTCTCGCTCTGCAGCCACGGATTAAAGACGCGAAAGTAAGGCTGTGGATCGACGCCAGTCGATGAACTGAAGCCCCAACCGCCGTTATTAGATGCAAAATCCCCGTCAATGAGGTGTGAAATAAAGTACTGCTCGCCCAGGCGCCAGTCGAGAAGGAGGTGCTTGGCGAGAAAAGAGGCGGTGATCATGCGCAGACGGTTGTGCATGTATGTTGTTTCTTTGAGGGAGCGCATTGCAGCGTCGACGATGGGGTAGCCGGTGCGGCCTTCGGCCCAGGCACGGAAGTGCGCGTCGTTGTACTCCCATTCGATGTTTGTGTATTCGAACTTGAAAGGTTTGTTCATACTGACACATTGTTAGTGGAGAGGAAAATTTGTTGAGCAACCGGGAAGCATACCAGATATACGGCCAATGCACGAGCACGTGTCTGTAAAAGTCACGCCATGCTACTTCTGATATCCATCCTTTGATTCCATCAACACCAGCGTCGAGGCGTTTGGTCGAGTTCACGTCCCTCGCCATACGTACACTCGTCCGTGCAGCTAGTGTGCCAGCCGCATGATGCACACTCACGCGCCCAGTGCTATTTTTGCTAGGAAAATTGCGAGTTGCGGTATATTTGCCGACTTTCTCGGTCAAGAAGTGCTCCACTCTATCGATTGCCGCTGCTTCACCTGCTGGCCACATGTGATGGAACTTGTCCTTATCCTTCTCTGTCAGGTTCTTGCATTGTGGCAGGCCCGGGATCTGGGAGTCGAAAAGCCTCCCAAACTTTTCTCGGAAACCGAGAGGGTTCTTTCCAGGCATGGGGCGCTCGTCGAGTAGATGCGGATGGGCGTGTAAATGTGCTACCCATGCGCGATACCAAGGTGAGTACACAGCATACTGCTTTCCTGTACCCGTCTTCAGACTCCCTGGTGGTACTACGCAGTCATCGTGTTGCGGATCGAAATTGATTTCTTTCTCCAACATCAAGCGCACGAGCCGCTCTTCTCGCCGCAGCTCATCGGGCTCGTACTCCAAGTTGCAGAACACGTTCCTCACCTTCCACTCCTGCGCTAAATCCACTAATCGCTTTGTCACGTTCTTCCTCTTCTCCACTTTCTCAATGTAAAGCGGTATGCCTAATTCCTCTAGCTCCTCTCCTAGCAACTGTACCGATCTGAGCTCGAAATGGCACTTGGCAGGGCTCACTAGATGTGCTTTCCAATCCTCTGGACTCATAATCCAGACGCATATCAGCCCCACACCCTTCGCCTTCGCCAATGCTGCTGCCTGCGAGAGCGCTGTGTTGTCGCGGATACGCAAATCACGCTTGAACCAATGCACGACCGCATCGCCCGTTCCGCCCGCCTTGCCAGTCCGAATCTCTTCCCGTCCGTTTCTTGTTTCTTCGAGCGTCTTGTTCAATATTTCAATCGGCCGCGGTATCTCGTCCGCGTTATACATCGTACATCTTTCACTGCTCATTTCAGCAGGGTAATACCGTCTATCCACAATTCCAACTCTTTCCTCCGGCCGCGAATGATCGAAGCTTGATTCCTCCTCCTTGAAGCCTTCTCCTGGCGCTATGTTCGCATTGACTCCCGCCACGGACTCGGCCGGTTGTGCGCCTTTCGTGAATGGCTTCGACAAAGGTTTAGATATTCGAGACCGCTTGTTGGGCGCGTCGCCAGCGTTGTCGGTATAGTCGTTGGCAGAGGCAGCATTGGGTGGAATGCCCGCTTTGCGTTTGGGTGGCATAGTAAGCGCTTCGGTCTGTCCGTTCACAACTTCTAAGTAGGCAGCAGAACTTGGGATGCGACAAGGATTCGGAGAAACCAATTGCCTCAGAGAGCTGAGGTCATTGTAAACAGCGCCGTGCGATGTAACGAGATCTAGGACTCAGTATCTACACAGCTCGCCAATATGTTGCCTACGATGGTACTGTGAAGAGATGAAGAAGGAAGGAAAACAACGGCTTCTCTCCTCTCTGTTCCACGACGCGTTCAGTTTGAAGATCGCGCCCGCGCGTTTCGATCTATGACGTGAATGGTACCTGGATCGGAGGGTCCAGATCGCCCCAGATAAGCGAGCCAGGGTCCCTGTCTTTTCCTCGCCCACCCTTCCTCCACCCCGACAACCACTATACTGCAGTATTGAACTTTGCTTCAAGGCTTATTCAGCTGCCCATTTGAACTTCGACCCCGGATGATCATCTCTTAGTCTAGGTCCCTTTCCGTCCCCAAGGTAATTCTCCCTAGTCGTGCTCGCCTCATAGTCATCCCAGAATACGCCTCTCCGCCTCAGCTCCGGCAGTAACCACTTCACAATGTCCTCGAAGTCACCCGGATTGACCGCGTACGAGAGATTGAAGCCATCAATCCCCGACTCTTCGACCCAGTGTTCCAGGAAATCGGCGACAGTGGTGGCCGATCCGATGGCTCTGGCGTGTGCTCCTCCTATGGCGAGCTCTCGGGCTACTCGTGCTTTAGTCCACTTGACATTGTCGGTACCAGGGACCGTTGCACTCCATGTCGATACGAGGCTCTGGATCGCGCCTGGTCTCGTGAACTTCAGGTCGTCATCGTCGTTGATCAGAGAGAGATCCGTTCCTGTCCAGCCGCCGAATAGGGTCAGGGATCCTTCCAGGTCGGCGTACGATAGGTATTCTTCGTACTTCGCCTGGGCTTTCTCGTCGGTTTCGTCGACGATGATGGATACACCTGCAATAGTCTTGACACTGTTCGGATCTCGGCCTTGTTCTGCAGTAAGTCTGCGGATGTCTTCTACTGATCTACGAACAGCTTGCGGATCCATTCCCGCTAGAAACAGACACTCGGCGTGTTTGGTTGCGAAGGCCTTCCCGGCACTGCTTGATCCAGCCTGGAAGATGAAGGGTGTTCGCTGTAAGGATGGCTCGGTCGTGAGCGGGCCTGCTGTCCTGAAGTACTTCCTGCTCACAATCAGCTGTATTCCGCAAACGTAAATCTGGATACTTACCCTTCGTGGTTTATGTATCTTACTCGCCCAGGCATAGTGTACTGCGTGTCGTCCTTGACAACCGCGTCATCCCTCCACGACCCCTCCCATAGCTTGTAAGTCGCTGTCAGGTACTCGTCCGCCATTTGATATCGCTCATCGTGGGGGATCTGCGTCTCCAGGCCGACATTCTTTGCCGCACTCTCCAGATGGCTAGTCACCGCATTCCATGCTATACGACCCTTCGTCAGATGATCAAGAGTCGCAAACCTTCTGGCGAGCAGAAACGGGTTCTCATAGGTTGTTGAAGCGGTAACACCAAACGATAACTTCTTTGTCACTGCTGCCATTGCTGCGATCGGCAAACTTGGTTCCTCGTAAGCCTAGTTGCCATGCCGTATCATACTTGAAGCACTTACAAGGGGTCTGAAATAGGAAATTGCGCGGCGCCTGGCAATCCAGGATCGATGCTGCCTGCTCCTTTATATACACCATAATGGCCTAGTACATCTGCGATGAACAGTCCGTGGAACTTCCCCTTCTCCAGTATTTTCGCGAGGTCAGTCCAATACTCAATATCCGTGTACTGCGTAGTACGATTGCGCGGATGCCGCCATAGGCCTACATACTGAGTTAGACACAGGACAGCACTGACACAATTCAAACTCACCTGAAGCTAAATGTCCCGGCGTGCTCATGGTGAACGCATTCAGGATCCATTGCTTTGGTTTCGGGGCTTTCGAGTCACCCATAGCGGAGGAAGATGTAGTTTGACTCGGCCACTGTCACAAAGACGAGGCTTTCTACATCTATGTATTGACCCCAGTTGTTCAGAAAAGTGTACCTTCTACTGCAACAGAAGTGTGCACATCATCGCAAGCGTAAGGCACGTCAGCGCACTATCGCGTGCTAACGATGAAGGATTCGGGACGCCTACTACAGGATTTCCCGTATGTATCCGAACCCAAAGCCTTGTGTGTCAGCTGCATGCGCTGTATTCCAGCGCTGTTATCCGTCGTTTCATAGTAAGGCTGTGAAATATTTCGTTTGTGGTGATCCTTCGCACCTAATCGCGTCCCTGGAGCACGACATCTGACTTCGGAACACTACTTCCGAAAATTCAACCATTTACCCTCGAACATCTTAGCTGGCGCTCCCAGAAACATTTCAATTCATATTCTAGCAATCATCTTCTCTACTACGGACTAGATATAATTGCATCAAATCTCCGATTCGTTTGTTAGGATGGTGGACACTCGCTCTCGGGCGTCCCATTGCATCGATCACTGCAAGAACGTGGATACTCGAGGTGGATGACTAGCAGACTGCCCAATGATGCTCTTCTCGGCGATTTCTCCACAATTTCAGCTGCGAACCTCGTTCAGGCGCCCCAATCTATCCAGTCAAGCCCTGCGATCAACAAGGAATGATTTGAACTCCATGTCTTAGAGCGTATGGCATCATGAGAATGCATGAAGATGTCATCCTCGCTCCTGGCAATTTTTGCTGTCACACACGATGTAATATAAATCTACCCCCGATCCTTCTTGTTCGGTCATCCCCACGTGGCACTTATTCTTGAGCCTCTCAACACTTTTTACGACTGGAAAATGTCAGATGTACAGGCACCGCTGCCTCAAGGCGCAGGATATGGGGTTGTCGTGGGCCTGGGTGTTACTTTTGCATTGGGTAAGTAGCGCTCTAGAAGAGAGCGGAATTCTACTCACTAATGTCTTCAGGCATGATATGGGTGACGAAAGCAATGAAGAAGTCGTTCAACGAAGATAATAACTCGACCGAGACGTGAGTACCAGACTTTTGCTTCCCAAAAAGGCCCCCTAACAAGGCAGCCTAGGATTCCCTAAGGAATTTGTCAACTACGTGCAGTGTATAAAATCATTCATCGTCGTTCAAGCTGATGTTTGATATCAGCTTTATGGTTGCAAACCGCAGTGTTGGTACCGGACTCACGTCTGCCGTCGTCATCGCTTCGTGGCTCTACAGCACCGCATTACTCGCAGCCTCCTCACTGACGTATCGCTACGGTGTCGCTCTCGGCGTCTGGTGGGGTGCTTCTGCAAGCACTATGATTTGTCTCATGGCATACCTGTGCATTGAAGCCAAGCGCAAGGCGCCGAATGCACACACGATGCTTGAGATCATCAAAGGTCGTTACGGCAGCAGTGTGCATATCCTTTGGATATTTTTAGCTTTGATGAACAATGCTTTGACGTTTTCGAGCATGCTTCTAGGTGCGAGTACGGCGATCACAAGCTTGACGGGGATGAATATCACCGCTAGCACCTATCTATTGCCTCTAGGCGTAGCGGTGTATACATATTTTGGGGGGCTAAGAGCGACGTTCTTGACAGACTATGTGCACACGTTCATCATCATGATCGTCCTGGTCTGGTTTACAACGAAGGTAAACAACACACAGCACTTCCAGCTTCCGCAGTTAATTTAAGTAAAGGTTATCGTCAGCAAAGAGATTGGATCGATCGGTGCACTATATGATGCAGTTGTTCAAGCTGGTATTGATCGACCAGTTGCGGGTAATTACAAAGGGTCATACCTCACTATGCGGAGTGAAGAGAGTATCTACTTTGGCATTTTGCATGTTGTGTAAGTGAATGCTACACTTTAGTTGTCCTATATGCTTATATATGCACTAGTACGAACTTCGGAGTCGTTATCATGGACACGGGGTTCTGGCAAAAGGGCTTCTCCGCCGATGTAGCCGCCGCAGTTCCAGGCTATATCCTGGGGGGCATTGCCTCATTCTCAGTCCCATGGGCGTTCGGCACCATCGTCGGGCTTGCCGCTCTTGCTCTAGAAAAGGCTCCTTCCTGGCCAACATACCCTAACCCGATGAGTTCCGAAGAAGTTGGTGCTACCCTTGTCCTCCCGTATGTCGCTCAAGCGGTCGCTGGGAAAGGCGGAGCTGCTGCCATTCTCCTCGTTATCTTTATGTCGTGTACGTCTATCGCTTCCGCCCAAATGATTGCGACAAGTTCCATCATCTCATTCGACATCTATGGCACATACGTCAACAAGAAGCCCACTGACAAGGAGCTGATTCGATGGTCGCATATCGGCGTGGTATTTACCTCGCTCTTTATCTCATCGCTTGCGACCGCTTTTCATCGTGGCGGTGTTGACATGACTTGGACTTTGTACATGATGGGTAATCTAATCAATCCAGGAATCTTTCCAACAATGTTCGCACTACTCTGGAAAAGACAAACGAAGACGGCAGCTATAGTATCGCCGATATTTGGTATGGCGTGTGGGCTGTCAGTGTGGTGAGTACTCTACCCGCTATTGCTGAAGGAACGCAACTCTGACAAACCTAGGTTCGGTACCGCATATCACTATTTTGGAGAAATAACAATCAAAACCACTGGCGCAACGATGCCTTGCTTATTCGGCTGCATCACTTCTTTCGCCGTGCCACTCCCAACTACGGTCGCAATCTCGCTACTCTGGCCGGCGGAGTTCGATTGGAATGTATTTGCGACTGAGATAAAGCGAGTTCGTTCCGAGCATGGCACTGCACTACACGATCAAGAGGAGAGGGAAAGTTACTTTACACCCGAGCGAGTGAAATACATGAAGCGCATGAGTCGATTGGCTGCTGGGTGGGCAACAGCGACTATTTTGGGACATGTGCTGCTGTGGCCGGTACCCATGTTCGGTGCAAAGATGACGTTTTCGAAGGGCGTGAGTGTTTCTTTCTATCTCCAGCTTTGGTAAACGACATAAGTTCTCTGACTCACACCAGTTCTTCATCGCTTGGATCGTCATCTCCCTAATATGGCTCTGGTTGACACTCCTTGTTTCGAACTTCTACCCGCTCATTGACGGGGGTGCAAACCAGATATGGACAGTAGTTCGAGGTAGGAAAGGAACAAAAGGCACGACAGAGTACCAGACGGATTCGGGCAATTCTACACCGCCGACGGAGCAATTCAATGCCACTCCCAAGGAATGCTAAGCAGTAAAGATGACAAATGACGTCTTTGAAGGATGTAGGTTGAAGATCCTTGTGAAACATTCGATCTACCTGTATGAGCTGCACCGGTGCCTTGAAGTCATCGAGGGCCACGAATGAGTCCCTATAATTTGTAAGCAACGTAGTTGCTTGATACGGCGCCCTGGACGTCGGCATCGCGGAGTCGCCCAATCAGCCGCGCGTAGTTGAGTTAGCCAATAAAGGTTAGACTCTCTACCAATGACAATTCAAAATGTAATTCTTTTCCAGACGTAGTCACCATATTGTGCAGGAATTTAGGCAATCTCTCGATGCGACATTTTAGGTATAGGCGGTGGGTCAGGGGTCGTCAAGCCCCCAGTGGGAACCTAGCTGCACCGCCTTGTTCTTGAGACTCTCGATTAGGGCGAGGCAGACATGGTCGAGATACGGTTACTGGACCCCACACAAAGCAGTGCAATTCCCTTCGAGGGTATGTGCATGAAGATCCGTCACCCCGCACTGCTGTGAAGACAGTCATAATTCCTCCACCCTGGCCTGCCCGATCTGGACTGGAACATTTCGAGAAGACGAAAGTAACCTTATTTGGAATTGCGAGGTTTCGGCCCGTGAGATCCCTAGGGGATTTTTCCGCCCTTCTCGGAACCCGAGTACAGTGGTTGATACGATGTTGGTAAGATGTAGGGGCTCCGGGTCACCAGCAGCGTATTTGTGTCAGGGGTAAGCGAGAAGTGGCCGAATGAACTGCGCGGCGTGCGAGGATTGTACGAGGATGACAATAAGATGGAATCAGGAAGTAAAGTGAGTAATCACGAGAGTTACTACAGTGACCAGAGAAGTGGCTGTAGGAGTTGCGACTTTGCTTGCAGGTTGATGGTGTTGGCGGGGCGGACGTGGTTGTCTGAGTGGGCGAGCACGAGCGGGACAAAGTGACGCCAAACGCCGAACTTCAACAACGAACGCCCCCACTCTCCACCCTACGGCTGCTGCGTAGTTCGTGGTGATGGGCCTTGATCATTAAACACCGCCCTTGTGGCAACTTATCGTGAGCCTCCTGTCTCGATCCTACACGGCGTCCCACGTGGAGTACCTCATTGGCGAATTGGATCACCAGGAGCATCGTTCCTCACCCGCACAGCCACTTAGAACAGAACAGCATCGCCTACGTGTTTTGAAGAGACGGTCATACCCTCTGAAGTCAATGTTCAATGTCTCGCCTGATGAGCCATGTCCCACCGACCTACTGATCTGTCCGAATTGCGTGTTCGCGGCTAATTACCGCATTGGGTAATACCTGCTAGCCTACGACGAAGCTCGACTGGAACCTCCTTAGGCTCACATCTTTTCAAAAAGCTTTTTTTCCAATGAACCCACACGAGCGGTATTCCTGGAGGCTCGATCCACCCAAATATAGATTGGGAAAGGTCCGACACGTTCTGGCCGAGCCTCTTAATGTGGCTTCTCAGCACTCGCAAGATGCGAACGACCAGTTACCGCCGTTAGCGAGAAGACGAGAAGGATCATGGGGCCAAGTTTGAGCATACAGTGTTTCAAAGCAAGTGACTCTGAATAATCGGAAGCCAAGTTAAACAGTGCAATTATCAGCTTGAGGTCGAGGGAACAGACCATATATAAGAGTTGGATGAAGAGCCTTTGGTCGTTGGCACAATGGACAGAATGGACACCACCTTTTCGCCTGTAATCATATTTCGCCTGCCCACAAGCATCATCGGCCATCTTACAAGCATCGCTCTCGCTACATCAAACCGATCTACCATTATACATGAGCCAGTCGTTGCTTCGACTCTCACTGCCCTTTTCAACATCTACATTCTGATCAGAGGATCCTTCCTACTGATCTCTGGCTCCGAACTACGAGATCCTTTCCACATGCCTCGACAGTCTAATACCGGATTCGATGTCGCCAAATCACCTCCCTGGCGCGAGGATGGTCCCAATCCCGAGCCAGACCCAACTGTGGATTCTCCCTCAGCACCGCCGTACGTCCCATTCAAGCACCATTTACCTGCCCATATAGCTGTTATACGGAACCTAAATTTACATTTCTCGTACAATTTTGACTCATCTGTTCTAGGATTATGATCCTTTCCCGATCCGGCGACTCGCTAGCTGCGCCTTACTTTCAGGTACCGGACCCTGCAGCAAATATTCAGCCACAAACACCTACGTCATCTTCATGGTATGCATCCTCTCCGCATCCTTGCTTCAATCGATCGCTTCTCTAACTACCTAAAACCCACACAGTCAAGACACGTCTACGACACCACGATACGATCTTCGAAAGCGAGACAAGGTTACTAGAAAGAGAGGACCTGATAATCCTGGCCCTGAGCCCCATCCCGCACCACCGTAAGTATGCTTAAATTCCACGCACACGCGACTCACTCGCGTCGCCGCATCCACAATGTCCTGCAACAATCCAGTTTCCAGTAGGCAGATAGCTAACATGCGACCCTCAGAGTAATCATCCTCTCCTACAACAAACGTCGTGCATCCGCCTCGCCTCCACGTTCTACATCTCCGCCATCCACTGCTCACACCTCCTCTGACAACTCTACTTCTGCCACCGCCGGGGCTACAAATACCTCTACGCCCACAGCACACAAGCGCACAATGGGCTCTCGCGGCAGCAAACTCGCGCCCTCGCACGGCAAATTGCAGCCCTCGCTAGAGCGCCAGGATAAAGCGGAGATGAAGGAGCCGAGCAACTACTACTCACATCGGAGTAAGAGTATGAGGCGGAAGGCGGGCAAGGCTGAGGGCGGCGTGGATGCCGGTGGTGCTGTGGGAGGAACGGCGGGCGGGGCGGGCGGGGCTGGAATAGCGTAACGTGGGGAGCGGGGCGTAATCACTACTTAGCGCGAAGAGTACGAGAGACGGGATTTGTGTAGGGACACAGTAATGGGTTTGGCGTCCGGTTTGGTTTTACATCAGGATTGGCATTGTGCATTTTCCTTCCTTTGAGATTTTAGTCATCTCCACTCGTAGATTCTAATCACCTTTCCTCACTCATATCAGGCTCAAATGTGATCATGAAACATTAATTATTCCTCTGGCGGCATTATAGTTTGACCTAACCTATCGGCTCCTTGTTGAACTTACCCCAACAACCCTGCAGATGCCTCCTTACAACCGTAGAGTTCGAGTTCCCACCGCCCACGCGATAGCTCTCTGGTGGGCCATTATGACTATACACCACACCCCCAAGATCAACAACGACCTTCTGCAGAATAACATTCGCCTCAACTAACCACAACTTCAATGTGTGCTTTCCAGGCGCCAACTCGCCGTGATTCGTAGTGTTGTACCATACACTATCTGCCACTGCCTTGCCCCAACCAACGGGGAAGTCTGGTTGTTTGCGGTCAATAACGTATTGGCGGCGTTGCTCTGGCTTGTCATCCACCTGGGCGATGTATGCGAGCGGCTTCTTGGGGTTGATGTTATGTGTTGGGGAGAGAATGAGTGTTACGTTGAGGCCTTTGGCGGCGGTGGTAGGCGTGAAGGTAACGAAGTCGTACTCAAGGCTGGGGGCAGTGGATGAGGTCAACCCCTCTGCCAGACCGTTATTCAGCTTGACAGCAGAAAGTGTGCGGCCGTACTTGGGAAGAACCATGTAGCTGAGGTTTCCGGCTGGGGAAGAGCGTGTGTAGTGCTCGGCCTCGAATGCGAGTTGGCCTGCGGATTCGACGAAGCCAGCTGAAAAGTTGGAGGGGATGGAGGTCTTGTTGACTTGCACAATGACTTGCGGTGCGCCGCCTTGCGTGCCGTAATTGGTCGAAGAGCTGATGTTCAAAGCACTCTTCTTGCTGAACCCAACAGGCACTTTCGTCCAATCAACATCCACATACACCCTCAGATCCTCATCGTCTGGCTTCAGAGTGCCGGACTTTTGAGAGAGCGTGATAAACGGATCAGCAGAGATGTTCCAACTAAATGGGCCAGTGCCCCTGGAAACGATTTCAATCCAGCGCCTAGGCGTAAAGGGCGTGATATCTGGTAGGTTGAGGGACGAGGCCCCGTTACCGTGCCACATGTCGTCACCAGGGATAGTAGCATTGCTACCTTCGACTGCGACGCCCATATCACCGGCCAGACTGCGCTCGAGTGTCTGCACCCAGCGGAGGTCGGGGGTCGATTGGCGCATGGGCTGTTGCCTGTCGTCTCAGTTAGCATTGCTATCAAGTAAAAGGACGTAGGGAAGTTTAGTAGAGCTTACCAGTATCCTTGATAGCCGAGGTGAGTTTGGTCCATCATGTGATTCCACTTGCCGTTGAGTTGCGTGTGGTAGATTTTGGTGAGGTTATGATCTTGGTTCATACCATCGATAACGCGCTGCATCCACCTATTCGCACTATTTCTGCCCATCTGCGCATAGATGATATTCCTGGCACCTGAGATCTGGATATCTACAAAGTTCCCACCTGCAAGCACGCGATGTAGGACCAGTTCGTAGAAGGCGGGTTGCTGCTTCGCAGGTAGAGCGCCGTTGACCTTTTGCGCCTTCTGAGCAAGAGCGGTCCAGCGTGCAAGAATGTGGTCTGCTTCCTCGTAGTTGATGATGCTGTAGGAGGAGGGCTCTACCCATTCGAATTTTCGCATGTTTGCAAGTGCGCCGTACTCGTCCAGAATATCGGAGATGGTGTGCGCATGCTCCTCGTCGAAGTTACGCGCGGCCCACTCTGTAACCCATTGAGGCACCGAAGTCTCGTCGTACGCATGGATATCGTAGGCAATGTCGAACCAATGGCTGATAGCCATCTCGGCGGGCTTGATGTCGCCCACGTTGACGATCCAGATACGGTCTGCTTCACGGTCCTTGGCAAGCTTCATTTGCTCGTAGGTTTTCTGGAGTTGAATGGTATCGAGCCACTTGAAGTTTCGCGAGTCACCGACGTAGTCGAAGTGGTAGTACACACCAGCACCGCCAGACCGCTTCTTCTCGTCGCCAACCGGAAGCCTGCGGATATTTTGCCAATTGTCCTCTGTCCACAGGAGGGTGACCCAGTCGGGAACTTTCATTCCATCTTCAAAGTAATCTTGTACTTCTTTGTATAAACACCACATTTGTGGCACTTCTGATGCATTGCCGTGGATCTTGCTTAGGATATCCTGCTGCCCAGCGACGACCGCCTCGAGCACACTGGTCTGGACATCCGAAGACATGGCAGTATCGTGATACCCGCGCATACCAACAGTAACAACATTCTCATATGGTGCCGCACGCTGCGCACCTTCATAGAAGTACTTGTATAGGGTAGCGTTATTAGTCGCCCATTGCCAGCCAGACTCGGAGCCTTTGGCGACCTTCGTCCACTCCTGGGTAGCGCGGACCATGGGCTCTGTATGTGATGTTCCCATCACAATGCCATACTCGTCAGCAAGGGGCTGATTACGCGGATCGTCCACGTTGAACATCCCGTTCCACATGGCAGGCCAGAGATAGTTAGCCCTCGACCTCAACAGCAGCTCGAAAACATGCTTGTAAAAGTCGGCTCCGAAAGGTGCTCCATAGGGAGAAAGCGGGTAGATCTTGTTCGCCCAGCCGGTAAGAGCTGGCGCTTCGTCGTTGATGAAGAAGCCACGGTACTTTACGGTGGGAGTTTTCTGAACTTTGGTAGTCTTCAGCGCATAGATGGATTCGTGGGATTTGGGAGGTACGTCGGCAAACCAGTGCCATGGAGAGACACCAATTTGCTCGGATATATCATAGATGCCGTAAATGGCACCCCGACGATCGCTGCCTATACAATTTTAGTATCTCGCACTTCCAAAGATTGAGAGGGCTTACCAGCAATGACAAGCGCCTCGCTAGTCCCATTCCCAGCGTTCTCCACGATAGCACTAACATAGGCTTCCCATTGACCCTCAATGGCACTGACATCTATTTTTCCGCTCGCAATGAGGCCATCAATGAGACTCGAATTGCCAATGGTACCCACGATGATCGTTCCTCCGGTAGCACCAGCTGCGGTTTTGTTTCCACTGCTACCAACACTCCAGTCATCGTTGATGCCAGTGACATTGAAGATCGTAGACGCATTCGCCGTACCCTTACCCGATGCCGTCAGCGTGCCATTGGTTCCCGTAACGCGTCCAAAGTCGACGGCAAGATCATTTGCAGCACGAAGCACACCAGGCCAGTCTGCAGCATCGGCAAGGATACGGACTGGAGAGCTGCCGGACGCGAGAAGAAAGCTTCCATTGCCACCTTGTGTACCGACAGTTGGTTTGCGGAAGGATTCAACTGCAGAAGCAGAACCTGCAAATGCGACTGACAGCGAGAGGAAGCCAAGCGCGGTGCGAGAGAGGAGCTCCATGATGGCGACGTTAGTACAATCGCCGCGATAGCAGTAATCCAGGAGAGTTGAAGATGACTAGAGATCCCTCAACTCTCCCCCACTGTGTGATATACCGAGATATATAGCCATCTCCATAGCCACTTGGCTATTCCCTTAATAACTAGTCATCGTGCATCACCTGCCATTCCCATCCCTAGTAACTTACCCTGACCAGAGATCCAGGAACACAAGGTCGCCATGCACGCCGTGTACCGGCCCGATATGACGAATCCTAGCACGGCCGGGTATTTCAGATGGTTAAAGTTGATGAACGACATCATCCAGTCCTATTCTAGCTGCGATCCTTCTAGAAGTCACGCTTGGCCGCGGGATGGGGACCAGTCGCCATAGAATACCCCGAGCCCATGTAGATGCAGGCTGTGGGTGAATGTGCATGGAGCAGTGTGATAAATGAACACGATGCAAGGCACCGTACAGATCAAAGTCGTCTCTGGGTCAATCGGATGTCGGGGAAATTGTTCCGGGTACTTTCAATGCTCCTGCTGCGTCCCCGTCTAGTCACATGCATCTCGAGCATCAAGAATGATTATCAAAGGCATCATAGAGTCTTGGACACGGGTCCTCGGGCTCAAGGAGAGAGAGGTGGAGCGGTGGGATGAAAAGGCTAAATGCGCCATCCCCCGCAATCAACTAACGTGCATGTGGCGTAGTGCGCCTCTCTAGTGCCAAGCATCGCGAATTTTGAAGGAACGCGCCGCCCGAAAATTATCCAAAGCAACCGCATTCCGTTAACCGTTTTCCGCTACCTACCGACCCAGTCACAGAGGATATTTGCGCTCCAAACCTCGGCAAACAGAACCTCGCGATCAAAATGGCCCAGGGCGCAGTCAAGAAGTCCAAGCCCGTAGTGGCGAGGAAGTGAGTTTACCCCACGCGAGTCTGGGAGCCTCTTTGCTTATTGAGATGGGATAAATACTTACACTACCCCCAGACCGACAAGAAGCGGCCCTAAGCCTGGCGCCAAAGTCATCAAGCCCAAGAAGACGCAAATTATAACGCAGAACAAGATCAAGCACAAGAGTTCTTGCGGGCTCACGGCGCAAACCGAGAAGCTTCTGGCGTCAAAGGCAGGGCATCTGGAAATCCTCAAGGGCGGGAAGAGGGATAAGAAGGATGGTGGGGATAAAAAGGGAAAGAAATGAAGGCACTTGGGCATACAAATTGGACTTTCAGAACGCGGCATTACCAAAGAGGACTGTGGTGACTACTTGCGCCTTGGGGATGCCAGATTTACAACTAGAACGTCTCGGGACCTGCGTAGGATAACGTAGACACTGTTTCGAAGCGGCGACAAGACTGGTTCGGGTATGGAGGCAAAGGGTACTTTAGCACAACTCGGCTCACCTCAAGCCCATGAAGCCCTCGCAGAGCTGTATGCTTGAACTCGCATCACAAGGATCTATGGTCGAACGACCATGGTTCAGGCCAACAAGAATGAAAGTTTTCTGCAGCGAGCACAAACCATGGCTCACGGTATATAACTCCTGAGCACCGCAGCGGCCTTACGCCGAATCCTAATCAAAGCATTATAATGAAGACCTTTCAACGAGCATAGCTTTAAATGATGCCTGCCCGTGCCGCTTCACCACCACCAGCTTCCACAACCTCTTCACGCGACTTCCCCCTTCCCAGACCCCCCTCACCCACACCCATTCTTCGTGCGACGTACCGTTGAGCTACAATACCGACGCCCAGGTTGAGCGTCTCTTCCATCCACTCGGATACCCATTCACGTGGGTCCACACCTCCGCTCTCGATAATCTCTTGAATCTCTCGTGGTAATTGGAGTTCCTCGCCCGCAGCCTCTGTATTCGCAGGCGCGTCCAGCCACTCGACCCACTTTGAGGGGAAAGACTGGGTAACAATCTTGAAGCTGATGCCGTGGATGGGGTCGTGTAGGTAGACGGCGAAAGCCACCTGCTCGTCCTCTTCTTTTTGCTCCTCCACATCACTCTTCTCAGCTGATGTCGATGAACCGAATAGGTCTGCCTCTGTCGGAAAGCTGATGGCTTGTATAGAGATAAAAATGTCGCTGCTCCGAACAGGGTTGGTCTCGCTCAGCACTTCGGTAGCGTGCTTGGCTGCCTCTTCTACGCCTCCTCTTGCGGCGAAGAACTCGTTTGCATACGCCTCAGCGCTCACTCGGGCGAGCTTAGTCCCTTCCACAAGTCCCTTGATGACACTCAAGTCGCGCTTGTCTGTATGGCGCCACCAGGGGCCATCATTCCAGCCGCCACCCCCGCCTCTATACCCGTCTACTGAGCCACGCTGTGTTGATTCGGAGCCCCGCTGAATGACCATGAGATCGCCGCCCTCCACTTGCGCCATGACACCGGCGAATGTCTGGTAAATCAGAGGGTCAAGCGAGGGATAGCCTATAAGGTCGTGGGTGATGTGGATTTGGAGGCGTTCATGTTGCGAGATGGGCGGCGCGAGCGTGTGAATTAGGTTTGTGAAAGTTGGAAGGGCGCGCTTGCCCAGCTCTCCTCCTGTCTCAAGTTAGCCTATAGTTGGTGTGGTGTGGTGTGCATATAGACATACCAATGCCACGCAAGGCGCCCACATTGCCTCGTACTTGGTCTGCCCATCGCTGGGCTTCCTGGTTCTTCTGGATTTCTTGATAGGCGGCTTCTGCTTGCTTCTTTGCTGCATCGGCAGCTGCTGTAGCTGACGATATCAGACCACCCCATCCGCCTCCCCACCATGACCCGCCAGCCTCCTTCGGCTCCTCCCTTGGTTCTGGCGCTGGTATGGCGGGCTCCTCGGCCGTGGGCGTGAAGCTTCGGTGGAACGACCGGGTACTCTCGCCTGACTTCCTCGGCGGAGCAGGCCTATCTTCACTCGTGCGCGCGGATTCAGTAGAAGAAGGGGTGACGACACCAGCTCCACGACGGTTACTCGACGCGGTGGACGACGATGAGATTTTGGGTGTGTTCGGGCGGGCAACCTGGAACTTTTCCAATGCTTCTAGTTCCTCCAGCTCCTTCAAGGCGTCGGCTTCTCGCTCCAGCTTCTGTCGTGGAACTCTCGAAGCTTTGGCATGCTTCAGCGGCGGAGCTGGTGCCTCGGCCACCATTTCCAGCTCTGCAAGCTGTTCCTCGACTGTTTTAGGGGGCATGGGGAAGGCTATAGGTCTGGGCTCGCAAATCACAAAGGCAATGAGGACTATATAGCCTCAAAAGAAAGAGGCAAAGGTGGGTATACTGTGCAGGTTCGACAAGCTCAAGCTGGATGCATATGTTGTTTAGGACCATCATCCTTGGATGGCATTCAATCTAGCGCGTCGCTGTCATTGGGCGCCCGAGCAGCCTGCCAAGCCCAACATGGTTCGCTTTTGCTGAAGCAGCCACGACCCCGAGACAAAGATCATCACACACTGCTGCCCGTACTATTCCATTTGGATTCTTTCTTTTCCTTGGATCTATTCAGCCCATACTCACGGCCATTTGCGCATCTTCTTTGCGTTGGCGCATGGTTTTGTTCATCATCTGTTTCCTGCAGGTTTTCCGTCTCCCTGACAGCCTTGCGATCTACGCTACGCCTCCCGGGACTGTACATGGACACACCATTGAATTCACATCCTAAGAACCCATCTTCGGGCATTCTCAATCTCTGATTGCATCTATGCCGCCTCCGAGGAATGCGCCCACGCGCTCATCGCAACGGCGCAATTCCTTGCAAGATGACACGCCTGTGCGAACCCGTGCTGGAAGGGGAGCAAAGTCAGGCCTATCCAGGCCAGACCCGCCAGAGATTGTAGCACCAAAGGCGACTCCGACGAAACTGAGTCCCAACGTCGCCAGGAAAGCCACTCGATCAGCATCCAACATTTCCGGTCAATCGTTCGAAGCTGCGCCTGAAGTATATGCTTCGTACGAGGACCCGCTCTTTATGGTGTTTGGCATATCACACGAGTTCTTCGACGGTCTCAAAAAGCATCATGGTAAACTTCCAAAGCAACGAAAAGTCATTATTTCCTCTCTTCCACAGCAATCGCCTAGTTCAGATGATTCCGACTCATCTGATGAAGAGAGCGTGGAAGAGAGTGAGGTCGATGCGCCAATCGTGCCACAGCCAGCCCCAAGGGGAGGTCGAGGTCGCGGTCGCGGTCGTGGCGGGCGCGGTCGAGGCGGGAGAGGCAGAGGCAGAGGAGGTCGCCCAAGAGGAGGAGGAGCTGTAAGAACGACTTCTCCTGTGCGAGCACGCCCATCTCGCAATGCTGCCCCCATGTTTCCACTTACAGAAGAGGATGATGACCAACCGTCCAATCAAACGATGAATGCCAAGCCGCTACGCCGTATACACGGTTCTGAGCCCTCACCAGACTCAGACAGCTCAGAAGTTGAAGATGAGCAAGAAATCGATGATGGGGATACTGACGATGGAGAGCCAATGGAGGGCGTTCAAAATCAATCAACGACACCTGGCGGCTCACCGCCACCCAAATTTCACGCTTCAATCATCGGAGGCACATACACGCCCCATCACACGTCAGCAACGACACTAGGGCTAGACTCGGAGCGCAAAACAACTACCATCAACAAAATACCAGTTCCACGGATATCTCTCCCAACAGGTTCGGCTACCCAAACTCCACGAGATGGGACTTCCACGCCAGCAACTTCAGCAGTATCTAGACTGTTGGACCCTGACGACGATGTACTGTCAGACTCGGATCTTCCGGAAGCCTGGATCGAACATGCGCCTTTGCCCACTGAGGCCGAGTGTGAAGATAGGGCTGATTATCTACTGCAAAAACGGTTCAAGCCCATGACTGATGTACAAGCCATCGTTGCAGCGCTTACAAAATTTCCTGCATCTCAGCGAAGTACCGCAAATCTCTATGCACTGACCCAAAATGCTCAAAGTATCCTCAAAGCCTGGCAGGATGAGTATCTCATGTTAGACGCAAGGGTAAGTAAAGCGACTCCAATAATCATTTCCAGTCACTAACAAGCCAGACCGCGCCTCATATGCACCCACCCAAGAAAGCATGCAATGGAGGGCGAAATCCTTTAGCTACTGATATCTTTGAAGACCTGAAGGAAGCCGACCTCTACGGCTACACCTACGACCCGAAAAAACTACCAGGCTGTCAGAATCCTTGGGCGCAACGACCAGGCGCTGAGAAGAGTGGTGGCAGAGAGCTCCGCACACGACGTACTCGTGACATGCTCGACTCAGCTGCAGCAAGCGAAGAAGAGGAAGAGGAAGATGAAGAAGGCCGTCCCGCGAAGCGACAACGGAAGGCGACGCGGAAATTTGATGGTACCGACTCTGGAAACGGGACCAACACGCCCAAGAAACATAATGGATGGGGCGGTGCACGAAAGAAAGGCGTCAGCAGATTTGCGAACACCACATCTGAGACTCCCGAGCCCGAAGGCCGACTTGCGAAGCGTGCGAGGACAGCTGCTACCAACCTACTTCATCAACGCATTCAAGAGATGCGAGAAGAGTCGGCCTTTGGGAGCTCAGGCGACGAAGGCTCCTCTGCAATGGATGTGGACGACTATTCGGATGCAAATCCAAAGCGAGGGCGCCCAGCCGGCAGCAAGAACGTGGCAAGACGTAGCGACTACGGCGTGAAGAAAGGGCCACGCAAAAAGACTAGCGAGACTGGCACGCCAGCTCCATCGGCACATGGCCCAAATGCTCCGCCCCCCGCACTGAACTCTCTGAGTGAAGGTCAAGGTCAGTTCACGATTGATGCTCAACCTTTTCCAGACACACCCTCACTGGTAGCAAACTCTGCTGAGACGGTTTTCCAAGCCACGCCACAACATTCTACTCTTCAAGAAGTGCCTCTTATACATCCGAGCGAATCGACTACGCCCGATGCATATATGATTACAGCCCCTCTCAGCCAATACACCAACAACTATGTCGAAGAGTCGACACCTACATCAGGTTCGAGACGAAAACCGCGCGTTAAGAGCGAAAAGCGGAGTCACTCAATGACGATCTGGTGGGCAGAGCGGAAGGCACGCAAAAGAGAGCAAGATGAGAAAAACGGCACACCTGTGAAAGCTCCCGCCTCAAGGTCGAACTCCTCAAGCGGAAAGAAAGGTGGCAGAACATCGGGAGACTCCGTAACCGCTACAACGCCCCAAGCGACACCTTCAGAGGCACAACAACAGCAACAGGAACCCTCCCCGACTTATCATCCCCAGCACCCACCACCAGAAGCATATGCTCCGTACGCCACTCCGGGGCCATTCTCAGGCCCTCCCCAACACTACATGTACGTCTCCGCTCCACCGGCGCATCCTATGATGATGCAGTATTCGCCACTTGCAGCCTTGCCGTCGGGCTCTTTTCCCGCATACTCAGGCGCGCCTCCACCGAACTCTCAATATGGCCCTCGAGCACTTGCCCCAGCGCCAATGCCGCTCCAGCATGTACCAACATACCCAAGTCCATATGGTCCGCAAAGCCCTGCTGGCTCTGGGCCCAAGAGTAGTGGACAGCCGCCGCGAAGCGGACCGCCCGCGTTAGCACCAGCGCCACCTCAACATTACAGTCCTTACGCGCCGATCGGTGCGGATCGACAGATGCCGTTCAAGGTTATGGTCCCGGGCCCCACAACAACAGAGGAGAGGAGAGACAGTCGTTAGGTGCGATTGCCTCCAGAAAAGGGTGATGATGATGATTGTGTTTGGATTCTTCTCTGATTGTGATGTATATATATATATTGGCGTAGGGTAGGAAAGAATTCCTGCATATTGTTTTCTCAGCGCGGACAGTATACTGAGGTAGAACACCTTACTAGTGTCCTAGGACTCATTTGTAATAGCATGTTTTGTTTCCAAATATCGTAGCAACATTTCGAAGAATATATAATATATTCTGTCAACGCACCATGCCGTTGTATATAACCACAAATCATTAAGGGACGAACGGTACTCTAATTTACGGACTGCTCTAACCACACCATCCCAGTATCGTTCACCAGTTCTCCGAATCATTGCCTTGGTAAGTATTTGCGTGTCAGGTCGGGGACATTTGAAACATTTCTTTCCGGTAAGGCGTCCACGCCGGATAGGGAATGGCCCCGGGCTTAACGATCGTCGATCCTTGCGCCACCGGTGACCCCAACGAAGGCCGGCTTCAACCAGCAACATCACCACCGTCTCTGCTCAAAACACACTCGGATATCCATTGATGGTTCAGGAGAATGCATCCGGAGTTGAATGTTGATCCTTGGCCGAAATAACCCTAGCATCGATGAAGATTGCTGCCCTGAATCATTTGTCAACTCATCACCTTCTGTACCTCAGTGGCTGCCTAGCGGCGCGCCCATGAACCAACTCAACTCTGCACCCGGACAGTAACCTGAATCAGTGTGCTGAACGCTCAAAATGACGCAGATAGGCAAGTGCGATACATGTCGTCAACGGAAAGTCAAGGTAAATACATTTCAATGCGCACACAAAATTAGCAGCAGATCGAGCTTCTTCCTCTCGTTAGCACATCTCTAATATATATTCAGTGCGATGAAGAAAGACCGAAATGCGGCGCGTGTCAAAAGAGGGACCGGCCTTGTACCTACTCATACGGCAAGGCCACCGCATTCGTGGTGCAAGACCCAAACCAGCTGACAAAACACGGCAAATCGAAGACTGCACCTGTCGTGTATACGCTGGATTCTTCGGCAGACGAGCATGCCTCATCAAGCTCGCCGCCGTCCGATCTGCGAATCACGGCTGAGAGGGAGGCGGAGAATGGACACGGCTTCTTCCAAACCCTAGCACCAAAATCCAAGCCAAGGATACGGCCGTCAAAAAAGCAGGCAGCTCATCAAAAGCGAACACTCGAGAGGTACCTCCAAAAATTGCAAGAAGATTCCGCACTGGTGCCCGTAGGACCTTCATCACCTGAAACCACGCTCATAGCTAGATATATCAACATGCTCGGCTCGGAAACTTCTGGCAAACAACCACTCTCAATATTGGGGACGTGGATCCAATCAATACCATCGCGCATAGGATCTAATCACATGCTCGACCTTGCAGTAGAGTTTCTTGTCAACAGTTATACCGTGTATTGGGATGACACCTTCTCAAAACGAAAGGTAGCGAGAGCGTCAAAAGCAAAAGCCCTAAAGGAATTACAGCTTGTCGTAATGAACGCGCAGGGCGTACCAAGCTACGAGGTTCTCCTGGCTACGAAGATGCATTATGCTGCAGAGGTAGGCTCATTGTTTATAATCTTAGTGATGAAACTATTTGCTGACATGTGTTAGGCACTTATAGGTATCGATAGTATGTACCACGCCATTCACGCATTTGGGCTCGCAGAACTTCTTAAGTCGGGAGCGGTTTCCAACGTCGATGATGATCACTTCTGGAACCTCATCGACAACACGTACATTGATGATGTATGCGTCTTTTCAATTCCTCTAAGTTGGCACCTCTAACCTGTATCAAGGTTAATGAGGCCATTCTCGCTGGCCGAAAATCGGTCTACGACAATGAGTTCTACCTGTCTTCGACATATCCACCAGCATTTGACTCGGACATCATATCGCTCTCTGCATTCCAAAGGGCCTCCATGGCGATTATGCACGCATTCATACAATGCCCGCGTCTGGGCCGCCTCATCCGACATGCGATTACAAATCCAGACGACAAGAGTGTTCTAGCCGCGGCCGTTTCACACGCTGAGTCCCTATGGCAGCTCGATTTACCAAGGCAAGTATCGGAGCTTTTGCGAATTTCTATCACGCGGGTATTAGTTCCCCCCACACCAGAGATAGCAGATCTTCTACCCGAATCGCTAGAGTTTGATTCCGTGCAAAGCATGACACTCTGCACGCGGTATTGGATGCTACAAAATGTGCTGTGCGGATTCGCCAATACACTTCACCGCCGCTTCCCCATAGAAACAGGTTTATCCTTACTTCCAAGTACGAAAGTCATACGGGATGTCGATGTCGACGCAGCATTGCAGCTCGCGAAAAGTCTCCCCTGGGCTGAGTCGGTCTCTCAAAGATTACCGCTTGTTCCCCTTCGATTGCACACTCCCCTTCAAATATCCGTCGGTCCGTGGCATAGAATCATTCGCGACCTTGGCAGTTTCGAATCCATTAGCTCTGACCTTGACATTGAACCTGACCCTGAAATCTCCTTCGAGGTCTCGCGAGCAAAGTGTATGAAAGCCTGGATCATGGACCATTGCAACCGAATTCATAAACAATGGGATGTCGCCTCCATCGACGAAAAGGCCCTGCTCGAAGCTCTAGATTCGATGGCCGGCGAGAAAATCCCAGACTGGCTACCGCTTCGCGTGCGCTTCGAAGCTGAAGATGGCGAGATGGTGATGAAGCTCGACTATGAGAACAAAACGGGTAGCTATCAGGAGCATTATAATATCGGGGAAAAGCCGCCAAAGAGGAAGCCCTTTCATCCGGCTACGATAGAAGGACGATGGCATAGGGAGAGTCTAGGTGTACAAGAACTCCCGTTGCGGACTGTCACTCCTCGAAGTTCAGGTGCATCAACAGTCAAGTCTTTCGGCACTACGCATGGAAACGCATTCATGGCCCGAACCTGGGAGAAAAGGCCTGTGGACTTCCTACATGCTACGGGCAGGAACATATGCTCCACGTCCGGATGGTGGCCCAATTCGCCGACCACGTCTACGGTTCCACTCGATAGCACGCACAACACGCCTGCTTTCGTGCAGGCCCAACCAGATTACAGCAACTCCGAATCTCCGCCGCAATTAGGAAATGAGAATAGTTATCCCTACTTGGCGTCGAGGTGGTGGCCGGAAAGGCCAGATACATTGACAAATTCGTCGGCGGGGACGCCTATTGATGCGTCTACGTCGCCTGCATGGTCAGACACAGTGAGCGTCACTTTTGACAACGCAAAGAAGAATGCGTGTCTCTCACCCGCTTGGTCACATCACACATAGGTGCTCATCTGGCATACAAGAAGCTCCGTTGAAGAGAGCATGCTATTTCTGGACAGCTACTACCTCCTCCTCATCAACATGGAGTGTCAGTTCAGCATGCATCACCTCAGCATATCCACTTTACCTAAGTGCCTTTCAGCTACTCATTCCTTCCATCCCTCCGCGAAGTCCAAGTTCTCAAAACCCCCGATGCCCCCGTCCATACATATCAGGGTACTCCTGCCAAATTCCACTCATCTGCTGCGCTCCACAAGCCATACATCTGAATTGATACTGCATCTGCGGATACGGCGACCGTGGGCAACCGTGCACGACGTTGGGCTGCCCGCATTTGGGATTTTGGCAGTAAAAGGTGTAGCTAGAGGGCTGCGTGGAGTTAGGGTTCATGTTAATGTTGGCTTTGGATTGGTTTTGGAATGTCGTTAGATTCTTAATCTTCTCCAGTGGTAATGGGAGTGGCCTTGAAAATTTGCGTTAACTTAGACTGCAGCTCTTAGAAGGTACAAAATATGTGGAAAAAATTGAGGACGTACTTTTATACTAAAGGTGATAAAACGTAACGCGATGCAATGTGTTGTTGACTGTGAAGGAAACTAAGACGCATGATTCTAACAATGATCCACAGGGCCAGAACGGGCACTGTAGTTGGCTCCTCGTTGCATGTGTCGCTTTTGCCAATGCCACGATTCAATTCGGTTCGCAACTTCAATTCTTTTACTCGACGGAAAACTAAACCTAGGCTTCATTCTCCCTTCTCCAGCATCCACTTAATCCCCGCCACGGTTTCCTTCTCCCACTCAACACTGACAGGTAACTCAGGACATGTAGTCCAGAAGCCATGTGGCAGTCCCTGATATACTTGGTCTTTCACATCGAGACCGGCGTTACGCAAGATATCAGCGAAGACAATTGCTTCATCACGCCTTGGATCCCAGCCACAGATTGCAAAATACGCCTTCGATGCCACGCCTTTCCACTCCTCTTCTAACAACGGACTGTATCTTTTATCGTCTTTCGGGGCTCCGTACTTCTTCCAGAAATACTCTATGCTTGATTTCGTAAGGCCAGGCGCATCATCGATTTCGTCTACAGACAGGATAGAAGGACGTAGGTGTTCAGGCCGGACATCAGGATGGCACCAACTCCCTGCCCAAAATACCAAATCGGTGATCTTCGGCTTCCCTTTGACAGCCTGGACGTGATACCGATGCGCGAGGCCAGCCGTGAAATTTGCGCCAGCGGACGTGCCACCTACAAGGAACCCTGACTCCAAATCCAAGTCTAGATTCGAGATAGCGGGTGATGTGGTGATGTGCTGAAGGACGTCCCAGCAGTCTTCAAACCCTACTGGAAAGGGATGTTCGGGAGCGAGCCTGTACTCGATGCTGAGGATGCAGAGTTCTACTTCTTTCGCAACGGCGCGGCATGTTTTGTCGTCTGTCTCCAGGGATCCTGTTACGAAGCCGCCGCCGTGCATGTATAGGAATAGTGGTAGCTTAGAGGCAGCTGTACGGCGGTAAGAGCGGAGTCGAATGTCGTATCCATCGCGGGCTTTGATGGTAAGTTCTGTGATGTCGAGTGCTGGGTCTGATACGATGTCTTTGCGAGCCCTTGTCATGCGTTCGATTCGGGTATTTGGTGGAAGCTTGTTTGGAAACTATCGGGATGAGCGTACGATTCTTTTGTTGTGATAATCCGAGGAATCAGACGTTAAACTCACATCAACCCATTCAGGGTGCGGAATCGAGTATTTGCGATATTCTTCAGCCATGATGCGCAAATTCAACACTGGAATGCGGAGCGGGGTGATGTTTGCCACACGAGGAGGAGCGTTGTCTTGCTCCTGCATTCAGCGATCTGCTATAGCCGAATTGCTGCCGAAGCCGTGAATGTCGCGAACCGTGATCGCAACGCAACGAACTTTCGATCATCTCCACAACGCCACCTTTCCCGTCTTATTATACTCTACTTTCGGCAACTACCCATATCGTTGCAACGGTCTCGTCTAATCACATCATCGCATTGTTGGCGGCGTCACACTAATTCTCGTGTGGGTGGGGTTGATCGACAGCCCAGCCGCTCTTGCATCTAATCTTATCAATCGTTTCACCCACACGCATCAGATTTGTATTAGATTCATACCTCCGAACATTTGACTCTGTGCTAGTTCAGCGAAAATTCCGTAGCGATGACACTATTCCAATATCTTGCTTTGCTGTTGAAGGGAGATGACGGCATACGAAGCAGTGTATTTGTACAAGACCAGAACATGTGTTTGAGCACTCTTGTCTACAACTATTCCCGATCGTTTTATCGTCAGCTTCAGTATCCGACATGACGCCCGAGAAAACTTCTGTCCCCAGGCAAGGCACGCATGTACCTGCCAACTCTCACACCCAACAACACGGAACGGAAGACGAAATCATACAAATTGGCCATGAGCTAGAAGATAAACCCCAAAAGACCCCTCTCGAGTCTGCGACCCCTGGTGTCAAGAAAGTCGAACGCTTTAGCCATGTACTCTACCAGTCTGGCAAGTCGGGACGCATGCTCTTGTTCATTCTTGCGGCATCCATCGGCTTGACTATGTTCGGATATGCCCTCGACCAAGGCATCACTTCGCAGTTTACCGTCATCGCAGCCTCCGCCTTCTCACACCACGCTGAAATCGGAGCGGTCAACACCGCAGCCTCCATCATCCGCGCTATATCAAAGCCTTTCATCGGAAAGCTATCGGATATCACGTCGCGACCTACGTGCTACATGATTGTCTTGTTTTTCTACGTCATTGGCTTCATTGTGGCGGCGACATGCCATAATATTGGTGCGTACATCATCGGCATCTCGTTTACAGCATTTGGAAAGTCAGGCCTTGATCTCCTGGGAGACATTATTGTAGCGGACTTGACACCTCTAGAGTGGCGCGCGTTCTGGAGTGGTTTGCTCAGTAGCCCTTTTATCATCACAGTTTTCATCAACGGATTCATCGCCAATGCTATGATCCCTGATCACTGGCGCTGGGGGTTGGGCATGTTTGCGATCATGATGCCCATCCTTCTGGTGCCTGCCATATGGACATTATACGGCGTACAGAGGCGAGCGGACAAACTTGGAGCCATCAGCTTCGGCGAAGCAGGCATGGCAAGAAGAGAAGGTGTCAAGGTTCGCGGTGGGAAAGACTATTTGAATCTCGCTTGGCGAGGTGTCATTGATATCGACCTTGCGGGCTTAATCTTGCTCGGCTTTGGCTTTGCCCTCGTACTACTATCGTTCAATCTGGCAAAGACAGCAAAAGGTGGTTGGAGTAACCCGTCCATGGTCGCAATGCTAGTGGTTGGCTTCGTCATTCTAGGCATCTTCGCCTGTTTCGAAGTTTTCGTCGCCCCAAAGCCCATCATGACAAGTCGCATCTTCCGGAACCGAGCCTTCATCTGCGCGATACTCGTCGATGTCTTCGGCCAGATGGGCAGTTCTACGAGATCGAACTACTTCTCATCCTACGTCTACATCACCAAGAACTGGTCCAATTATGCGTGGAATACGTTCCTCAACATCACCACCCTAGTTCTATGTATATTCGGGCTTTTGGGTGGCTTGATCCATCGATGCTCACACCGCTACAAATCCCTCATGGTTCTTGGTGCTGTTTTGAAACTCATCGGGAATTGCATCCTCATGACTGCCGACTTCCGCAGCACACAATCTACAGGGGCGCTCGTTGTGTCTCAGCTCCTCCTCGGCTGTGGCGCGTTCACAGTCATCGGTGCCCGCGTCGGCTCCCAGGCTTCCGTTCCTCACGAGGACCTTTCTTCCGTCATCGCCATCCTGTCTTTGTGGAGTACGCTTGCTTCCTCCGTAGGTTACACAATTGCGGCCTCCATTTGGACGGATAAGATGCTGCCCTTCATGCGCGAGGAGATGCCTGGCGTTCCGGAGAAAACGATCAAAACAATTTACGGGAGCATTAAGACGTTGAGGACGAAGTATGATTGGCAAAGTCCGATTCGAAAGGGGGCGCTGAGGGCTTATACAAGAGTGAATGGCGTCATCTTCATCACGGCGATTGTACTCAACATTTTGCCAGTTATCTTTTCGCTCTGCATGCCTGGTGAGTTTCACTTGTATCCAAACAGAAATGGAGGTCGTTACTGATTGATGAGTAGACTACTACCTCGGTAAACAGCAGAATGCTGTTACAAACACTGGTGTTGATGGACAGCCTGTCGAGATTGAGCCTAGGGTCAATGTGGAGAACAAGGGTGGCCTCTTGGAGAAGGTGAAGATGTTCTACAGACAGGATACCTGAGAAAACTGGAGACCTTTACTCAATGGAACAGCAGCCACGTCAGGCTGTATGCTAGATTGTCTCTTATGATATGATATGCCGGATTCTGGCAGTCAATTTGTGGCAGGGTGTAGTGTATGGTAAGGGAAGGCGACTGGAGGCTGAATATTGATTGAAGGCATGTTCTTTGCCATTTAGGAACATTGTAGCACTCAATCGATCGCTTGACACTCGTATCGCGTCAATTTTCATCATATATTTTAGGCTAAGCTGAGTGCAAGCACATACATGTGTGCGCCATCCGACAGTCCAATCAATGCCAATTCATGTAAACATTCCGTCAATATTTGCTCTCGATCTATTCCTCAACAAGCACATCCTTCTTCTCCTTCGGTGGCCTGAATCCACAGTAGCGACAGCTGTCTGGGTACCCCGCCCATGGACTATTCGGTATGGGAACGCCACCGTTCGCCGTCCACGCATTGACTGCCTGAGGATTTTGCCTCGCCTTCGGGTTGACACCAACATCGATTGTCGCATATAGACCGTCCTCTATCTTGTTGCCGATGAGTGAGATCTTCAAGACGGGATCATCTCCACCCTGCTTTGCCATATTGAAAAGCGGGTCTGCGGAATTGGTGGTGACGGCTTGCTTGTTGACGTTGTATGGGGAGGTCTTTTCGACCTGGCCGAGAAAATTCTGATCGATGTAGAACTGGCCAACATGTGAGATGGTACCGCCTTGGATGGTGTTATTGGGTAGAAGCTTGGCGCCATGATGGACGATGGCTATGTATGTCAGTGTCAAGCAGTGGTGTGCAACAGAGCGGACAGGCTTACTGTGGAGATGGTTTGTACGGCCAACATAATGCCCAGGGATGACGGTGATGAATTTAGCGGTGCCATTGGAGCCAGTGAGCTGTAGACCGCGGAGCGCATTCGTCTTGATGGCAGTGGCAGAGCCATCACCATTCCCCTTCGCCTGTACACCGGTGTAGACACCAGTGGCGTTGCTACCCCAAAGTTCAACGTATGCATCAGTGACGGGCTTGCAGCCCGAAGTATCGATAATGTTGACGTCCAAGTGGGTAATGGCGCCCTTCTCGCCGGTCAGAAGGTCTTCTCGGATAAGCTCTCCACTGACCCCTATGTTTTGTCAGTCTTCAGCGTGAAATTGAAAAGCCACCTTCATGCTTACAGTATGGTCCCTCAGTAGATTCAGGATCAAGCGTGCAGGCCGCCTCGACACCATAGTTTGCTTCGACCTCAGCAGGGTCACGACGAACCAGCTCATGCGCCTTTGCAAATCCAGCAGCGACTCGAAGCTCGTGGAGCCTAGCCTCACGCCTCTGATGCTGCTCTCGTACCCACCCACTTGCAACAAGATCCCGTTTGCATGACTGAATGCTTCGGCGGTTGGGGTGGTCAAGATGAGCCTGCCTCCTTAGGATCTCTCTGTTGGTGTTTCCACCGGGGTGTGCGACAATGCCCGTAGCCAAAAGAATGGCTGCAAGAGCCTGAGAAAGCTGAACCATGGCAACTGCAGAGTATTGAAGTGCAACGAGGAGCTCCAAGCTTTCAGTTGTCATCCTCCTACCTTATTATACACTTGCTTCGCCGCGTGGCAATTCGGCTCTTGAACTTGTCATTCTCACTTCGCCCTTCTTGCCAGGACGCGACTAATGTAAACAAATCTTAGTGATTTTACTTACCCCAAATTGTTCTGGATGATGTCCATAATCACGAGGGTGGTGATAGGTTGCGGCAATTGCTCGATTTGGCTGCAAGCGCCTCATCTAGATTAGCGTTCATTTATTCCCCAATGTGGGCAGCGGTGGGAAGAACGCGGGGAATCAGGGTACGGCCTTGGTGTCGCATGGTCGGGAAAATAGATCTTCGGGAGCCTCGAGATTAACCGATCGTTCGCGCATCATAATCGGTAGTTGGGGATGTGGTGTAAGGTACCGAAAGTACTCGAACATGGTTTTATCCAGGGTCAATGGCGTTAGACGACCAAACATGTCTGTACAAAGTATTGTGGAGTGCCCCCTTTGAACTTTTACCATCACTTACAAAGTTCAATTGTGCGAATCCTTTCGGCTAATCACGTCCGAGGCGAAGAATGAGGCGGTAGTGTTTATGTGGCGTTAACATTAAACGTCTCATTGCCAAGACATCATATAGGCATGCGTATAATGAACAAAGCAAATGAGGTGCCGCGTATTGCTCAGCGCATTCGTTCTAGCATCTTGTAGATCGGGCCCATGGTGCCGACGATGCAAGTTGCGCATGTCGTATTGATATCTACAGGGCTGATAGTACAGTAAGCCTAAAACTTTATAGGACGGCTAAGAGGAATCTAGAGCTCGTGATATACTTCTGAAATTAGGCGTATACATGAGTAAAATTGTACGATATCAATTATGGACAGTCATGTTTCAGTCATGATTAAATGTGCAACGAAGAGAATCAAAGATGAATAATGAACGATAATGTCATTGACGCTAAAAGTTGCTGTTTCTACCAGCCATTAGACAAACATTACTCCACATGCCAAGAACGTGAAATGCATTGTAACGATGCAACTTAGGTTTTCTGGATCATGTTCGACGATATGACCTCGAAGCAACAGCAACATGCTCATTATTGATGAAGAATCTGATTTCACCACGCATTTACATCGTCAAGAAGCTCCTTGCTCGATTGATACTACTCTTGCCGCCAGTCCTTCACTGCTGCCAACTTCATTAGCGGCTCGTCTCAATGACTTACAAAATGTGATCTCGGTGCATATGAACGACATGTGAATCTGAGTGCAATCGGTCGAAGTAGAAATCCAGTACCAAAGTTAAGAAAAATGACTACAAAGGCCAGTGGTAAATCTTAGAAAAATTAGTCAAATGGCGAACAAATCATCTCAAAACTATCTCCGAATGGGATTCTTGCTCTCATTCCATGTTGCAACTTCATCCTGGGTTCATGGCGATTGTACCAATCGCTATCGAAATGAATCCCTTCTGCGCGTTCTCCGTTGGGTGCGATTAGTCAAGTACTATTAGTCGAGTACACTTCAATACGGTTCAGTACCAGTGTTACAGTATCGTGGCAAACACCGCCTTGCGAATTACTAATGAACTCTGGGTGAGGTTTAGATTTTTATCCTCTTAGTCGGCTTTCCTATCCGCTGACCGCACCTAGAGAAAGTATTATATGCGCCTGAGTCCTAGGACAAGATAGGTTTCTGAACTCTCATCAGGCTACACTCGACAAGTATACATACTCGGCAGCTTTTACATCTTCAACAAATTTAACCGTCACGATGAGACTTACGTCTGTTGTACTTGTCGCGCTCGCCACGTTCGGTGCAAAAGTGGCTGGAATCTGCGGTACGCCTGGGCCTACGCACGAGCAGATGCAAGTCGCTCGAAACTTGCATGTCCACGAGATTGACTCCCGGTCCATGGGAAAATCTCTTGCTAACAAAACTGGAATCAACATCAGCGTGTAAGTCAAAATACGTTGTCATGCCCATTGTGCCCAACCGCTGACTCGCCGATCGAGGCTAGATACTATCATATCATTGTTGCCGACTCCAAGTCCAAAAAGGACGGTGGTATTAGTCTTTCTGTTTTAAAACGCCAAACGCAAGCCCTCAACGATGGGTACCGACCTCACAACATCACTTGGACGCAAGCGGGAGCCGATTGGACTGTTGCACCGCAGTGGGCAAAAAACCAGGACGAGCGCCCTATGATGAAGAAACTTCGTATAGGAACATACGCCGATATGAATGTCTACCTCTTCCCTTCGATTGACAGTATTGATGGCACTGAAGTAGGGGCGGGGTCTTCTATTCTCGGCTACTGTTCCGAGTTTCCAAAAGCTGTTGTGCCAAAGTCAGAAGAATGGTATCATGATGGCATTCTACTTCGATCGGACACGACGCCAGGAAGTGACACCGTTTGGAATATGGGCAAGGCACTCGTACATGAGGCTGGACATTGGCTGGGATGTAAGCACCCGACAACACACAAATCTTCTTAATACTTCTTGGAAAGTTACTGATCTTTTCTCGATAATAGTGTATCATACCTTTGAAGGCGGTTGCGAAGGGGACGGTGATGGGATCGACGACACTCCCGCAGAAGACATCAAGTATGCGATGAGCGGAATCAAAGGCTGCGACAAAAACAGGAATTCCTGTCCTGGAAGCGGCAAAGATCCGGTCACCAACTTTATGGACTATTCCGACGAGTGAGTTATGCAACCTACACTTTAGCATGCTTGTTACTAATCACCACTGTAGGTCATGCTGGTCGCACTTCACCCATGGTCAAGAGGTTCGCATGTACAGCCAGTGGAGTAAATTCCGTGCTTCGCACAAGAAGCCCTTGACGCGCTATTCTCATTAAATGGATAATGCCTTTGGTAGACTTCACGTCCTAAAAGTACTTCATGTCTCCTGTTTAGTAAAATGGTGCATATTAGTGTTTATTTGGATTTTTCCTTAGAGGTTTGGTACTTTACCATTCGAATACCCTATTACGGCGTCTTGTGGTTTACTATCTCGATCATTAGTTTGTTTAGTTTCCCATATAATTTAAGATCTCGATCTTGAAGCTGCCGCCGTGAATACTGTCGAGAACAAGAGCGTACCCGCGAGGTCAAGAGCCGAGATTGTGATATGCGGAGAGCAATAGAAACGACATGTTCTTCCATCGCTTGTGCTATTCTATTCGCAACTCTATTTACCATAGACCGTTGGTGGCTGTTCCAGCATCTTTAGTCGCCCAGCTATACGACAAACCTACTCCTGTCTGATACAACCTTGATTGCTGCCACTGAGCCTCAGAATATGCCCTGGATATCCGGAAGTGAATATAACCGGTGCCGTTGTGCAGGCCATATAGCGCTCAACGAGGGGATATTAGGATCCACGTTCTTCCTGCTGGCACCTATCGAGTTCTATGCTCCGGTTTGTAAAGACCCAAACCTGAGCGTTTTAGGCATGATCTTGAGTTTTGCCCGGATTTGGGGTATAATTCACGGTGACATCTCTAATGGCCTAATTCGATGGTGCTGGTGGTGAGAGTCGCGTCGCATTGTACCAAATCCAGTTCGCCATCCCTGCCAATGACGTAGCCCTGCCGTCTGAACCCACTTCCGCCAAACCATTGAAACCCCACCTGCCTGCACCTTACACGTTCTTCCACGCAATACTACCCGAGCCCTCGCGCGTAAACGGCTCTTACTACCACAATCGCGCACTATGGCGCTGCCACTCGGTATCTTCCTCGGCGGCTGCGTCGTCGCCATTCCGGTCGTGACGGGCGTTGCGCAAGGCGTCGAGCACCAGAAGAAACAAAACGAAGAAGCCGCCAACGAGTCGCGAATGTGGAAGTTCAATTGCCTAGTCTCCTGCGACGATCCCGACGAAATCGCCCAAGACGAGGTAAACAAGGGCATACTCGTTGTAAGACATGAGAAAGTCTGGGTTGTGCCTAGGGATACCGAGAACAAGCCTATACCGCCAGGAGAGGCTTTTGACATGAAGGGAGTCCAGCTGAGCCCGGAGCTGGGGCCGCTCCATGCCTTTGCAGGCTTTTATATACAATATCCAGACGAGAACCGCAGTCCGCCGGAACGAGGCCTAGTATCCACGATTAGTGACGATCCGCCCATGTTGAACTGGATATACTGTGATCGCGAGACATATGAGCTGCGCCACTCAAACCGCACCGGCAGCATTGAACACCACGTCGGTGTTTGGGACTGGAGCGAAGACGAAACACGCCTCATCTTCGACAGCTGGGAAGGCTTTGTCGTAATCGACGAGTGGGACGGCGCTGACTCGGACCCCTCCACGCCCTGGGGTAGAGAAGGGCTTCGATGGGCCGTCTACTTTGACCGCGACGACAACGGCCTCAAAGGTCGCCGAAAAGGGCGAGACATGTTCGAGATCACGTTGACAAGGAGGATCCAGAGTGCCGAAGAGCAATTGAAGCAAAATGAAGCGGCGGAGAAGAAGATGCAAGTCAAGAGTAGGGGAGGACTTAGTACGCAGTTCTCTGCGCCACAAAAGGAGAGGAGTAAGGACTGGGAGAAGAAATACGGCGAAGAGGCGAGGTTGGCGCTGGAGAAGAAGTTGGCTAAGGAGAAGGAGGAGGGACAAGGTCCGGCGTGGTGAGCGAGTGCGCAAAGATTGATGAAAAGAAAGAATTATTGCATTAATGGGTACGAACTCACGACAGCACCACGAGTTCTACTCGGTCCACTGGTGCCAGGTCGATCTCTCCCAAGCCCTCCGCCAACACCCGCAATCACATATTCGATATAATTCACGATCTTAGGCTTATCGTCACCTTCGAGCGCTGAACTAACTGGACGTCCGGATCGGCTTCTTGGATGGATTCTTGACATCACTGCACTCAATTCGCCGCAGTAAGGGTGAGCAGCGCAACCCGTAAAGATATTCCGATGGGACGTCTTTCCGATAGCTGTTCGACGCATTGGCCTCTCAGAGCGCATATTTGCGAACCTCATATTGGCGACAATTATACGTGAGAAATCAGTGCGTATCTACAATGATTACCAGCGACTCGGAGCGTACGACTATGAATGTCTACGTCAATCGACTCGCTTGCTGTGAATTGGAGAGTGCCCGTCTTGTCCAGAGGCGAACAAGACAGAAGAGAAAGGAAACACAAAACTTGAAGTAGTTACCGAGCACCAGTCAGTTAGAGATAGTCTAGTTATGAACTGCCAACGGAGCAGCCAATGACCCTGCGCTTTTCCAACAATGGTGCAATACTTGTTTACAAGACTACACAAACAGACGTGATAGGCATGAAGACACTGATGTTCTTCGTTTCACTACCTACTGCTCCATCATCCGCAACACAGCCTTCAAACAAGCAGTATCAATACCAAAAGCTCATCCGCTCAGACACCACCTCTACACGGTTAAGGAACCCACGACCCTTGACTTCCTTCCCTGCCGTAGGCCGCCACAACATAGTCTCAATGCTTTCTTGACTAAGATCTGCCATAGTGCGCTTGTACATGCTTTCTAACCACTCCTTGATATCTGGAGTCTCCGACTGCGGACTCGTCGACCTAGAGGCCTCCGTGTCATCGACAGGCGTAGTCCCTGCTTCACATAGTGGTGGGCTAGGCAGGCTTGATGTCTGCGGCGCATCATTCTCTGGTGTCGGTAGCGGGGCGATGTCTGTGTCGCAAACGTACAATGATTCCGCTGTAGACGTCGCAGGGTCTGTACACAACAGCGCTCGATCATCTGGTCCTTGATCTTGTTTAATGGCTTCAACGAGGTGTGAGAATGCAGGGAGGCTTTCGTAAATGCATTGCTCATCGGGGCCTTCAGGAGTTGCTGGAGGCGTATTGCACAATGACAACGTTTCCCTGTCAGAATCGGACAAATCTGTCGTCGATTTGCTGTCTCCTTCACCGCTCCTTTGTTGAGTCTGAACTTTTTGCACACTGGGTGGCGGTCCCACGGCTTTAATTGACGGAGTAGTTGGGTCCTCAATCACTTGGTGCTGCTGATTTGACTCAAGCTGCCTCTTCGACGCTCGTTTGTCCCGAGCCTGCTTCCGCTGAATTTTGCGATTAAGCACTATTTGCCAGTCGTCAGAATCCCATTGATAGGCTGCTTCTAAGACCTTCTCCGATTCTATTCCAGTCCTTGCATGATCCACTACCGGTACGAAGTCGAATATTGATGATCCAGGCTCAACGGCCTCGATGGTATTAGTCATAATCACGTTGCGCTCTTCCGCTGACACGCATTCATCCACTGGTGTAGGTGAGCGGAATATGGAGTCATCAGTTTCCACTGCTGAGTCGTCCCTCTTCTCAGCTGCTTCGTGCTCGATTGCATCTGAAGAAGAACCTTGTAGCTCCGTCGTAGACTGGTGACTTAATACTGGAACGCTAACAGAGGAGATACTTTCTTCGACAACAGGCTCCAATGACTTCTTCGCGTTCTTGTTTTTCTTCGACCTTCTCTTCTTCTTTTTCGTTGACCGGACTGCAATAAGCGACTCATGTGGCTTCGCAACGTCATTAGTTGCATTGGAAGCAGGTATCGGGCCTGTGAGTGCCTCGGACACATCTCGGCTGGTCTGCTCTTTTCCATGTTGAGCCTCATCGTCGTACTCGGCGAATCTTCGACATATCAGCTTGATATGCGTATCAACATCCGGATTCCTCTGTTCTTCTCGCCGGTAAAGCTCCTTGCGAGCGTCTATTCCCCTCGTGCTGCGCTTATCAATATCAGGTATCAAGTTCATGTAAACGGCTGTGTCGGCCAGGTGGTCACTAAGCTGAGTTGACTTAAGGCCCTGGCTGGTGATCATTTTGAGCTTGTGTAGGGTCTCCGATGCAAAAAGTCCCTGATTTCCTGGCATAGATAGCTTTTCTTCGAGAAGTTCAATACTCTGATTTGCTGCACACAACGACCTCGGGATTATCTTAAAAAGCATCGAATATACTTTTTCAAGGGCTACTGTATGTCGTATTTCAGCCAGACGGACGGCACTCCATAAGATTTCGTGTTTTTCTTGACAAACACTGCGCATGTGTAGTCGACCTATAATATGCTTTATCTGCAACTCCATTTTATTTGCCAATCGTAATCGGTCTTCGCGATATAACATCGTCATTCGCTCTAGAACTTCATAGGAGATATTGTCCAAGCCCGCGAGCCGATACAGTGGTAGGTGGTGCTCGATAACTTCGTCCTCGAGAACAAGCTGTTTGAGAAAGAAATCGACAAAGCTATTGAGAAAGTTGACCTGGAGAGCGCTGCCGTACGCAGATATTTCATAGCGGCCATCCCAAACAAGGCACTCGCCACTCACGGTAATGAAGTCATAAAGGAACTCCCTTACACGATGGCCATGACCGCATTTCAATTGCCGTCGAAGATCCGGCATTATTTCGCGGTCAATCATCTCGAGATCGCGATCCTACTCGTCCATTTCGCGAGTTCCTTCTATTGCCTCCGTAACAGGATGAGCATCTTGTTGGGGGTCTGCAACTCCCCCGGGTCTGGGGTTAGGCTGATGTTGGGCTGAGCCGCTGCCGGGTTCGAGACTGTGTGGTGAACCCTTCTCGCCAGTCGCTTGCGCAGCCTTCCTGAACATGGCATTCCGGTACATCTCTTGTATACGCAGGTGGGTCATATCAGTGACGGGTAGAGGCCAGTACTCAACAGCAATATGGCGACACAGCTTCAGTTCCAGCATCCCGCGTTTCTCCTCCGGCGCTTGCGCTAAGAGGCGCACTATGAATTCGCCCACGGGCAACAGTCTTGACTTGATGACTTGGGCGTGGCTGTTAGTCCGCAAGCGTGGGTTGTAAGGTGGAAGACTCTCTGGCGTTGTGGCCTTGAGGCTGCACAGCTTTGCATGAACTGGCGTCAAGTAGGTTTCCATCTGTGCCTGCTCTGCCCGGGAGAGGGTGATGAGTGGCGGTGTTGCCTGGCTATGTTCGCCATCTCGAGCGTCGGTTTGCATTTCCGAGTCGGTATCAAGTTTATTGGTGGGACTTTCGAGTTCGGGCGCGGACTGAGGCGGACTTTTGCGTAGTGGGCCGCGCTCCTTGGATGTGTTAAGCTCTAACGACTGGAGGGCGTAAATAGCTACAAGCGACAGGCTATCAATGGGGGGTAAATCTGTACCAGCGAAGGATAAGGGCGGGTCGTGAGCAGAGGCTGCAGGCTGGACGGAGCTCGCGTCGTGGTTACCTACTTCCCAGACCCCATTGAATTTGCGAAGAATGGAGGGTTCGTCTGCGTCTGACGCCTCCTCGTTGGCGCTTTCTTCTACAGCAAAAGGTGGAGTAGGGTCGACCTCCGCGGCTGCCTCATACATAGTTGGAGTTGGAGCAGTAAAGTCCCGCATTGTTTTGGGAAGATGAGCGAGAGGGAGAAAAGGGCGCGAACAAAAGCATATTAATTCCCAGCTGCTGCTTGTGAAAACTACACGTGCTGCAAATGAGCAAAGCGTGACTATGGTGAGACTTTGAATTCGGCAGATATGTGGAAACGCGCTTGCTCTTACTTGTCAGTTAGCATGACAGGTCCCTCCACTGAATGCGCGTGACGTATGAGACAATCGTGAAGCATGTCGAAGAATCGTAAATAAGACACAGAAACCTGTTGACGTACATAGCATGCGGCCCAGAGTATCTCTCGTTAACTTCTTGGTGTATAATATTGCTACATGGTGTCCAAAAGGAAGAATGTGACTTTTTTGGCGTATGGAAAGGGCATAGCCGCAACTTTGCCTCATCATTCACCCTCATGGCTTCGCCTTCTCTGCCCAGCCTATTGGTATGAGCGCCGCTGCGACCTGGCCCACTCCACGCTCAGTTGCAAGCAAGTTGAACTGTGCGGCTGCATTTCTTGTGTCTTGAATCTCGAGCCGCAAGCCGAGGCCGTTAAGGTATTTGCGAACCGCAGGTGCGATGGGAGTGACGTTTGGGCCGGTGCCGATTATCAGAAGATCTGTGAGCAGTCAGTCGCCCAATTCCAACTGTGTAGAGGAACATGGATGAGACATGCCTGGCTTCGGATACACCAACTCCAACACACCCCACGCGCTCTCTTGTACTTCCCACTGATTCTTCGCGTTCAGAAGCCTCCCTGTCATCGCATCATCGCCAGCCCCGCCTTCGGCAGCTGTTCCCTCCTTGTTACTCTCCTGCAACCATGGCCGCCACCGAAACGCTTCTCCACCTATTAATATCAGACCGCACCCAGTTATGCGCATCTGGTTGTTCAACGCAAAGCCATCGCTGGTGCAGGCGTCGATCGAGGTCGCCGGCGCTGCGGTATTTCGCAGCACATCGAGTGCGCTAAAGTCAGTTTGTGTATCTTCATCGCTTCTGGGGCCACGGTCGCGGGTCTTGGGAGGCCTGGACTGGAGGAGGGCGGGACGTGTAGTGTGTAGACATCGAATAGAAGCTCGGCAGCTTGGAATAGATGCGACGCGTCTTGAGGTTGTGGAAATAGACAATCGTTGTGAGGTAGGCTTAAGGGAATATGAGAAAGACCGCGAGCAACATAGTAGATTTCGTTTCATTGTGTTATGCAATTGTTGTAAATAGGAATGTTCGTACATGCAAAGATGTAAGGCTCCAACGCTATGCTCGTCATCCAATGCTAATGAAATGTTGGAGCTTGGACCTTCTTATGGCCCAAGCACTATGACCTCTCACTCTCAATATCCCTTTGCCTCTAGCATGTCCCTATCTCTCCAAAACGCGTTGCTGATCCAGTCGATGCTGGCGCACACGATACGAGAGATGACGCCTTGTTAATCCTCCGCGAGCCTGGTGGATGCATGAAAGTTGCATACCCGAAATGCCTTCGAACCACCATCAGCAGCCCACCTCAAGTCTCCGAGCGCCATAAGTACCCTGCCTTTATCTTCTCTCTCATGTTTCGTGTTCCAGTCACTCGTCCTCCTCCTCACTGTCTGAGTCGAACGCCGATGGTAGCTCCTCGCATTTCATACCCTCAATTCCTAGCCTCTTCATCATTGTCTCTGTCTTGGAGAGCTGCTTTGCCGGGGCTGCTGACATCTTGATTGAGGTCGTAAGCTGCGAACTGGTGTTTACTTGCTTCAGCTCCTGTTTCCGGAACTGGATCGGTTCACTCTTTCGCCCACCGTCGCTTGGAGAAGACGCCGTGGTCCAGCTGGCCGTCTTGCGCTGTCGCCGATTCTTGGTTCGTCGTATATGTTCAGGGTTCTCGGCACCAACCGGCTGATCAGCACCAAGGTACGCCCACTCGCTCGCCGGAGGATCATAAGATGCTGAAAGTCCACTCCCTTTGCACAGCGTTGAAGCCTTGAGCTCACCGGGCGGGGTGGTGCTTGTAGTGGATGCGGTGAACCGGGTCCAACTGGAGAAGCTCACAGCAGAACAGCTAGGTGGTGTAGAGGAGAGGATGCCCCATGATCCAAGGAGTTCGCGCAATGTAGCATTGCTAGATGTTGAAGACTTTCGCGACTGCTGGTGTGGCCATGTGCTGTTGCGCTCGATGAAGGACGCTGCTGCGAATTGCGTTGGCTCTGGTTTAACAGACAGAAGTACTTGCTCCGCCATCGTGGTCATCTTCCGATTCTGCTGGTGCAATTGGTGAGGTCCGCTTTCGATATGCTGCTCCAGGCTGGCACGTAGAAATGTAAAAGTTCAGTGGTGAGTACGAAAGAGGTGGCTTTGCTTGAGACAAATTGATATGGTATTGAGGAGCATATTTCGTGCCTGGTGAACAATAAGACAATTGGGGAGGTTGGGGGACCATTGTTCACCGTTCTCATTGTGCGCGCACTTCACCGCTGGTCCGTTCTTTCACCTTGTGCTTCACAACGTTTGGACAAAGAAGATCGCGTGGGCGGAGCGGCAAGACTTGTTGAGTGGCAAAGTAGGCGAGTATGCGTTGCTGCCACGACAGGCTATTCGCGTGAATAATGGCCTACGAGCTGCTAAAGTTGTCGCTTCAAAGTCAATGCGTTTACCACAGACAACAATCCTAGCGCGATATTTGACAGTGGCCGTCGTGTATCAGGTATCTATCATCATTTAGACTAGCCCGGGTATGCGCTCGTAAAATCTACTGCAGTGTGCAGAATTAGACTATTGTAGGCCTTCGAATCACTCGAAAACAGAAGAATGGGCGCAAAATGAGGAATGAGGAAAGAGTCATGCTGTCTACTGCAGCTGCAGCAACGCCTAGGGACAACACTCAGGCAGCAGAGAGCAGCCCAACACCATCTCTGTCTCCCACTATCTCAAACCATTGCATGTTGCCGACTAGCTTGGAGTCTATCGCTATCCATCCCATCGTCAGTATTTAATCAATCATTATGTTACCCACACGTCATTACCAAAACGCCGACCTTCCACCTCGAGGTACACATTCGCGACTCCCGCGCGCACTTCCATGCCTGGATAGCCTTCGTACAGCATTGCCTGTATCTGCCGTCGATCACCGACAAGCTGTCTTATAGGAACGCACAACCTTGCGAAGCCATCGACCGTGGCAGGCATATTCGAAACGAGAGACTAAAAGGATTCACTGTGAATACCCCAAGTGGCAGTATCCAGAGCTCCATAATGAGCGAAAGTATTGCAAACTAGTACGTAGCACCTATCAGAATACCGATTAGTTCCCACATACTGACTTCATCTGGGCTACCGGAAAACCGTTCCAGTTCCTCAAGTTGCCTGCAGAGCTGCGATTGCAGATATACCGTCATCATCTTGTACAACACGAAGCTATCGAGCTTTGGCCCCATGTCGTGCACAATATCATGTCCCGAAGCAATCTCGAGCGCGCGAAAAATATGCACAACTATCGAAGAACTGTTCAACCTTCACTACGCCTCTTACGAGTAAACCACCTAGTTCATGATGAAGCAAGCCAGGTTTTCTACGGCGAGAACGAATGGAGGTTCAGCGGTATCAATGGATGGATGGTTTTTAGTTGCTGGTTGCATACGGTCGGACCCAGGCACTTTCAATGGTTGAAGCATATCAACCTACACATTCCATTCCCGGGGAGAGATTACGTCGCTTTCCCAACTTACGGGACTACTGCCATGGTAATGCCTCACATGTAGTTCACACAAGGCATAAGGCATAAGGCTAATTGGCAACCAGTGTGAGCGTATCTGTGCTCCGGATTACCCCAGCCAGAACGTCTACCCAACGCCAGGCGAGTGCAGACGTATCGCCCAACAGCATACCCACTTTCGCACACGTATGCGACGTTTTGGTCTTCATGTCCCTCCTGAATGGTCGTACGAACACGCGCTGTCTCATTCCATCACTCTCCTGTCGAACCATTGTACGTTAAGGACCTTCAAAATAATCTTTCCGCCGACGTACTATATTTTCTGGCACTCTACCATAAGCCAATGGTATAGGCATCAACTCACAAGTCTGCACGAAAACCTGTTTGTGAACTGCGAGAAAGCGGATATTTGGCCGACTGACTGGGTATGGGTGTTCTTGAAGTATAATGCAGCAACGTACAAAATGCTGGATTCAAGTGATTACGTGAGGCTATTACAGCCGTGGCTCAGGAGATATTCAGGTGAGTGTCAGGGAATAGTTCAGGGAATTCGGGCAGATCCCAGAGGTAGCAGAGTAGTTTATGGGCTTAGCAGCAAAAGAAAAGGGGGGAGATATAGGCTGGTTGAGAGAGATGAATGTGCAAGTCTTTGTGGACCGAAGGCTCTAGCACGAGAAGAGATAGATGAAGATGATTGGGTAAACTTCTGAGGGTTGGGCGAGGTTGAAAGTAGGATTAAGGAGTATGGAAGGGTCCAGACTAGGGGTCCAATGCAAGCTTACATGTAAAAACACTTAAGCTTTACGAGTAGTCCCGCTATGTGATAGATGTGAAGTTGACAACATCCATAGCTATTGGTTTCTAGTCCGGGGAGCCAACCTAACAAAGATAGAGGACGCAGTTATCGAAGGAAGAAATAAGTTCAAGACTGAGGGGGAAATGGGAGCAATTGAATTCTTACCGAAAGCTGGCACGTTATATGTATGATCTGTTAATAATCTCTATTAATGATAGAGCAATGCTACATTGCCCCCTTTATCAAATTGCACCATTCTTCATCAAACTTAAGAACCCACATTGGTTCAGGGTTATCATGATAGTTGAGTGGACAGATTGGATCACGTGACCCACATATAGCTCATTGATTGGCTCTAGTTAGACCCACCTCCGCGTTCCCCACCCAACGTTGTAGGTCTCGTTGGTTCTTCGCGAGAAACATAGCTGTCGAGTAGCAAGCTGTGAGAACAGTAATAGTAGATCACCTCATGCTTTCGAACCCCAAACTGGCAAAGGTATCGTAATTATTCCCAGGTTAGGCCAGAAAAGCATGTTGGGTGCTGACATCTCCAGGACCGCAATAGCCAATGACGTTACTACAAGAAACCTGCTTAAGTAAGCGTGACCCATAACGCCAGCGCTAGCTGGAGGCCTACCTTCGCGCCCCCATCCTTAGCCACGACCGAACTAGTAAGAGTATCAACAAGCAGACTCTACATGTGCCGCAGTATGCTTCTCGGCTGTTAGAACGAGTCCTAGTTCATTACGAATATTCTAACTTTGCCAACCAAATAGATGGTGCATGCGAGCCAACACTCTTTGTCCGATTCTTTTCCCTCTGCAATGAGAAGTCCGCTCAACACCAGTGTAGTTGGTAGTTTATCGCTTGGTATCTGGATCTCCAATGATCTCATGCCTGATAGTTATCTTTGCACTTTCTCCAGTATTTCGAATACAACAAGATAGGCTGTGTCCAACATGGTATATCGGGGGCGGCCTTCGACAGGTTGCAAAAGGTGTCGCGAACGCAAAGTCAAGGTGAGTGGCAGTCAATCATTTATACATCATTCGCACAACGTACTCTCTTGGGCATGTAGCCTGAAATTGTTTCCAAAAGCGTCTTCTGCCAGCCCCTTAGCAAGATTACTTAGCTCCCTTATCGGGTCACCTGTGCGAGCACAGCGCGGTCGTACTATCTTGTTGAAGACAATCGCGACAGTCTGACAAAGCCCGCTCTATTGACCATAATTTCTGACCAGGATTCTTTAGTGCGACGAGCAAGCACAGGGATGCCTCAAGTGCGCCGAAAGGGGATTCTCTTGTCCTGGATACGATCGGACCGTAGATGCCTTCTTCCGCGATGAGACGGCGAACGTCCAAGCAAAAGCAAAGAAGGCGAAAGCGAAAGCGATTGCTGCCCGGGATGCACGCGATGCCCGCAATTCGCGGGTGGCATCCTTACTGGTCCAGACTCCGCAGAGTCCCGGAATGTATATCATGCCTTCCCTTATCGATCAAGGGATTGCCTTCTTCATGTCTCGTTATACCTTGGGGGTCGATCAACCACCAATACATTCAAAAGAATATCATGAGTACCTATCAACAGATGGATTTCACCCTCTTGTTGCTACAACAATGACGGCTTTGGGCTTAGCCGGCATTGCGAACATTCACATGGACCTAGGCCTGCAACGTGAGGCAACACGTTGGTATCTGAATGCTATCAAAATGGCAAATGCAGCCATATCATCCCCCAAGGAAGTCAAGGCCGACACTACACTGGCGGCTGTCAATCTTCTAAGCACTTTTGAAGCAACATCCAACGATAGTTCGCTAGATGCATGGAGCAATCATGTTGACGGAGCCGCTTCTCTGGTCAAGATGCGTGGTATGGAACAGTTCTCGACCCCGGCCGGACAACGAATGTATATTCACACCGTTACTCTGCTGACGATGAACTGCATGGGAAAAGGTGTTGCCCTACCGGAATATATCCGTGAGATGAATCAGGAAGTGTGGAGTCACCTGGACCTCAAGGACCCTAGAAACGCGTTCTTTTTTCTCCACATCAAAACCATCGATCTTCGAGCTCGAATCATCAATCAGCAAGTAATAGAGTTAGCGGACATTATACAAAGCGCACTCAAGCTCGATGACATCGCCATATCAATCTTCCAAGACGCGGGATCGGATTGGGAGTACGAAGAAGTGCCCTGCGACGTTCAATGGGGCATCTATGGGGACTGTTACCATGTCTATCCTACCTGTGCCGCTGCGCAGACCTGGAACTGGGTGCGTTACAATAGAATCTACTTCCACGACATCATTCGCAACAGTATTCTGGCAGGCATTGCAACATCTCCACCAACACTCACCGCGTCAGAGTATTACGAACAGTTGGCGAAGAGCACAAGGACTCTCTACGCAATGCAGTCGGAGATACTGGCAAGTATGCCGCAATTCATGCATGATGTCCCCATGTTTGTGCCAGACAGGACCAACCCCAACAATAGCTCGCTTTTTCCAGGTTCAAGCACGGCCATAACCGATGCCGCTAAGTCAGACACACCAATATCATCTTCCTTCACCCCTCAGGAAACACGGTCACCAAGTTGCAACGCGTCGTCACCAAGCAGTTTAGGTGGTTCTAGAGGTTTCCATGAAAACTTTCGAGCCGAGTCGACTCTTGTCCCTTACGATTTTATCGGCAACGGCGCGACCACAGAGCGTATCCCTATTTTGCGTGTATCTGGCGGCTATTCGACCGTCTGGGCGCTGTATGTAGCAGGTGCTATGCCTATAGCATCGCCCAAGAGCCAGGACTTGGTATACACCTACCTGAATCGTATTGCGCGAGAATTTGGTCTTAATCAGGCGAAACTATTGTCCAAGGCGTTGCAGATCAAAAGACACTTAGACAGTAGTGGCGTAACGCCCTTTGAGATATGTCAGCAGTATGTTCCTCCGGATGGGGGACCAGATGTTCCAGATCATGGAACAGATAGCAAGGTGAGCACAGAACTTCTAAACGATGCCAATTCTCAGGCTTGACTATCCTCACCTGGGACCTTGCAGCCCGAAAACTGAAGAGCCAATCTAACCAAAGCAGGTGGTCGAAATGCCCGATGTTTCGAAAGACTCACTTTACGATTCCTTGGACACGCCACTTTGAAACGTGGGCAAGGCCGGCACCCGATCCGAAAGAACGATGTAGCACACCATGAAGGCTACAGCAGAGCACGGATGGATTCGCAGCCTCGCCTTCGAACGATTCAGTAAAATGGAGTCCCAAACTCAATCTGGGGGGTTCCAGAACCACTATCACCTCAGACGAGACATCCCCTCGTGACTATGAATGCCGTTGGTCGGGCGCGTGCGACAGAGACTTATCCTCAAGATCCCAAGCCTATGATTGTAATTAATGAGGAATATGACTACAATACTAAGGATACCATGGATGATGGTTTGCAGAGGTGCAAAATAAGAGGTACGACGAGTAAAAGGACGAAAGTGAACTCATTGGATAGAGGTATTAACTGGGAAAGAACATTCCCATGTGTTCTCGATGAGCCATGAAGCTCTGGGCACTCGAGCGGAGCATGCGGTATATGTAGACTTTGACGAAGCTTATACCGAGTGAATAGTAGTAATTACCAGCTTTGAAAACGTCTCTTAGGGTACTCTACACACTATCTGAACCTCCCAGAATGCAGGCATATTAGACGTTAATCTAGATCGCTTGATCCATTCTAGCCCATCTCGATACGAATAGTCTATGAAGCGAAGTTACCAGGTCTGCATATGTCCATGCCATCTTTGCAGTAGCATGCGGCTTTGCTAACTCATTTCCATCCCCTCTCCCTTCATGACTCCTGATCCCTCCGCATCCAAAATCTGCTTCGTCTCAAGACAAAGTCCTTCGCTACCATGCCTCACCTGCGCTCCTCTTATGCCCGTAGCTCGATTGCCAATTAGTGCGAAACACCATCGCTCATCTCCTCGCCACCCGACGAACTCCCCACCTCCTCACCCCCGCTACCCTGTTTCTTCTTAACGCTCCGGGTCAAATCCGCTTTCATAAACTCCGCGAACGTTGTGGGTTTGAAATCCGCCACTTCCGGCCGATCTTTCAACAAGTGATGCGACAGCTGAATGCCCGGCTCCTCATAATACCGTTTACGAAAGATGTGGGCAAGCATATCGACGATAATCTGCCCTCGGTTACCGAGCATGTTCGCCAACTCCTCCTCGCTGTATTGCACATATGTGCACGGGATGCCGGTGATTTCAGTGAAGAGGGTACATATTTCGGCACCAGATACTATGTCCGAGATGGCTGCTATGTTCAAGCGGCGTGGTGTTACCATGCACAGATTGAACAGCGTGCCCATGTCATCTGTGATGTTTGTCCAGGGCAAGGCACAAGACGCGGGGACCGTGGAGCCGAACGTGTAGTGTCCGTTTTCGGGGTTGCAGCGTAGGAATATGGTCCATTCTTCCATGTACAGCGCTGGCTTGAGTAGACTTGACCGCGCGGTTAGTTCTGGGTAGTTGGTTTCCATGTATTGCACGATTTTGGCTTTGCTGTGGAATTGCTGGAGGCCGCGTGTGTCTTCGGCCTCGCCGTACGCGGGGCACAGGCTCGAGAGTACAAAGAGTCTAAGGCTTTTGACTGTCGCTGCCACGGCGGCAATCATCACTTTGCCCTCTGCTAGTTCCCTCTGCCCCGCGATCTCCTCTGGGGTCTTCTTCCACACTCCAGCCAAGGACAGCGTCGAGTGTTCAGTTATATGGCGGTAGAAGTCTGTGACCGCGAATATACCTGTCGCGCCCCGAAAAGCTGCCTCCATCGCGCCCTCGTCTCGGTGGTCGGCTACTTGCACCATTGCGACGCCTTGTGCCGCCCAGCTCTGGCTTCGTTCGGAGAGGATGTTCCTGGTTATGCCGCGAATTTGCATGTGGGGGTGGCGAATGAAATGGCGTGCGATGGAGCTGCCCTGGCGGCTGTTGATGCCGAGGATTACGATGAGTGGTTTGTTGTCGGCCATTGCGGTCGATGGTGATGGAAGGTGGTGTCGAAGATCGATTTCGAAAGCTAGTTCTAGAGAACACGATTTAAAAGTTACAAAGTTGAGCTGTTGAAGACTGAAGGTCAAGAATGTATTAAGGTTGTTTGCGCCAAGATCGAGTCGAAGCCGGTCGATGGTGAAAGTAGAAGGGGCTGCGCGGGCCCCGCGGACCTCCTCTAGATATCAACTCGTGAAATGTCGTGGATATGATAGAGAAGATGGTAGAGACTGAAACAAGATCCGATAGGAATATGCTATAGGCGTAGAAACTTGTATTAATATGAAGGATAGGGCGGTAAACTTACGTGGTCTAGAATGCTTCTACATGACCGCCTACTCCTCCCCACTCCCATCCTGGCACAAAGTAGACTGTTCATCAACCGACCTCTCCTCATCTCTAAACATCAGCACAACACGCTCTGGTACTTTGAAACGATCCAACTCCTTCCGCACCACCTCCTTATTCTGATTCTTCATATACCTCACCGCTAACCCCCACAACCTCTCGCTATTCGCAATTGGCTCCTCGACATATGCCTCCAACTCGTTATTCCAGTCTCCCCTCGCCCCCTCCATATTCCGAAACGCTATGGCAGCGCGTACGTAAATGAGCCCAACAACACATTCCCCTAGCAAATCAGTCAAGTAGTCTTCAAACTCGGTATCCATGGCTTCTCGCATTATGCGTATGGATCGCATACCCCAGTATGCTGCTTCGCCCCATTGTGCGAGCTGGAGGTGTGCGGCGATGGTGCGCGAAACAAGTTTGAGGCGCAGGACAACGCGGATAGTCATTCCTGTCTGCCCGGCAAACCGGCCATGCTCGATGCCTTCGTGAAAGAAGACGTCGGCTAGGACACGCCGTGTGCGGCCGTGGATTAGAATGTGAATTGCAAGGAACGCTCTTCTGTACAGGTCCAAGGCTTCCGCGCCGTTGTTAGCGGCGAGTGCAGCATCGCCCTGCGTCATGAGATCGGCAGCGCTCTCGCAGCAATGTTGTACTGTTGGAATGGGTATTGCCATGCGGCGCTCTAGCTCTTGTTTAACTTCTTGCGCGTAGCCGGTGACTTCCATGTGGTACAGGCCCTTGACCTGCTCGAATGGCAACAGCAATCTCTTCTGCAGCGCGAGGCTGATATCCTTCGTGGGTGTTTGGTCTCCGTCTCCTGCTGTTTCCTTGGAGTCTGGATCCCGGAGGACGAAAGTGGTGGATAGGCGGTCGTTTAGCATTGGATGGGATAGCGCGCTGTAGTACCACGTTCGCGTAAACAGGTGAAGATCATCCAACAGGACTACGACGGTATGTTCTGGAACCGCTTGGTGGAATGGCGCTGATATCTGGACCAGGGCGTGGTGCGAGGTGAACGCGTCGGCGCGGTGATCGGTGCACAGGATGGGGACGAGGCCTTCGGTGGAGATATGATTTACTAGAACAGAGACGAGTTAGCATGCATGCTGATATAACCAGGCAAGGTCAAATGAGAGAGACAAGTGTGCTGTGTTGATCATCAGCGCCATGCCCCGTGTGTAGTCTTGTACGAAAGAAAGGGCGTTTACTTACGTTTCCCACCCGCCCCAAACTCTAACATGTCCCTGCCATCCGTCGCCAGAAGGTAAACGCGATACATACCCGCACTAGGCCATGGCGTCGCAATCTTGACAAAGATATTCTCTCGTTTCCACACCCTCTTTGACTCTTGATACACCTGTTTGTTCACCCTCCAGAGAGCCAATTCGATATTGTAAACTCCGCCATAGTATCCCTGCGCTTCGAGCGAGTGGCTTTGCACGAGACGATCAGCGGGCTTGAAGTATAAACTGTAAATGGCTTCGCGGAGTTCGAGGGGAAGACGTAGTAAGGGAAACGGTTTCTCTGCGGTCGAAGCGGGCCCGGACGCCATCGTGGTAGCAATGTCAATTGAAGCAGCTTAGGCGCGTGATAATTTAATAATGTATAGCGAACTTAGTAGAATGTAGATGGTATCAACCCCAAGAACTGCTCAGTCTCGTCTGCATCCTAGTCAAGTGAGACGTGATGGGCGAACGACGGGTGGCGGGCGAACCCCACTATAGCTTAAGTCCGGGACGTGCCGAGGCAAGTGGCAGAACAAGGAGCTGGAGCGTACTTGGTAAAGGCAGCGGAGAATGTGTTGTAGCTTTTGTACTCATTATAATTTTAACATATAGTACATAGTCCTCGACGTATGGTATTCCAACATGGTCGTCAACAACCCTAGCATCCATGCAGAGCGCCCTCATCAATTAAAATCTTGGAGTGGAAACATGATCTTTTTCTCAACTTACAGCCCGATTATCTGCCTGCATTTTGTGCCGCTGCAGCTTCAGGTGACGAAGCAGCGGATGGTGCAGTTGTAGACGATGGCGGCGCCCCGCCACCCAACCATCCAAATGCACCGGCCTTCATGTCCTTCAATTGCGCCTCTTGCATCTTCTTCTCCTCATCGGCCATCTCCTTTAGCCACTGGTCTCCATTTTCCCTGATCTGCTTGTCTAAATGTTGGAAGTTTTGCTTGTTGAAGTCGCGGTACATGTCGATCATCATCTTGCCCTCAGCCATGCCCTGCGAGATATTCTGGTCACCAAGCACCATGCCTTGCTTGGGCGCATCGAGACCCAGACTCTTCATAAACATGCCGCCTGCGCTGCCTTTGCTCTTTCGCTTCTGCTCTGCGAGATCCTGTTGGAACTGCTCGCGGAGTTTGGCTTCGCGACGCGCGTATTCGACGGGGATGTCCTTGCCTTCCATTGACTTGAGAACTTGTCGTACGTCAATGGGTGTGCCAGTCTGCGACATCATGGCGAGGTATTCGAGGAAGGGGATCAGGCCTACGAGGCCCTTGTCGCCGGGCTCGCCCTTCCATTTAGGAAGGACAATGGCGTTCTCGGGTTGGAGTTTTACGTGCGAGTGGTCGGTATCGATCATGATGACTTTGGAGAGGTCGCGGTTGAGGTAGGAGAGGTCCTGATACTGTCAGTAAGCAGTCTCTTTCAGAATATCCAAGATTTTCAACGTACCTTGATGTACTCGCCCTTCTCAAAGCGCGTGGCCTCGCGGAACAAGGGCCACATGACGAGACGGAAGGGATCGAGTTTGCGGATGATGGGGTCGGCGTCCATGGATTTGACCGATGTGAAGATGACGAGCTCATATTGTGAGCTGAGGTAGCGCAGGAAGTAGTCGAGGCCAGGGCGTTTTGCTAGTCGGTAGCCGTGTTGGGTGGTCCATTCCGAGTGCAGCAGCAGGTCTTCAAGACTCAGCACCAGAGTGAGTTCTGGGGCTCCGCCAGGAATCCTGTCCTTGTCGGGGAGCAGCTTCTGAAAGGTAGGCTCGGTGTAGTATGCCTTTTGTCCATTGATGCGGGCCGCAGCGCGAGCGTACATCTGGCCAAGTCCCCAGCCATTGGGCGCATCGGCGTTTGCCAGCGCCTCCTCCTCACTCTCCCAGTTCCTGCCCATGAAGACGGCACCCGTTGTGCCGAAGAGCAGCAAGGCAAGGTAGGACCAGTTGGCAACACGGACTCGCCGCCTGTCGGTGCTCGTCTCGTAGGCGGATTTGGGGAGCTCGCCGCCTTCGCGCCCGCCTTCACGCCCGCCTGAGCTGCCTGGTGCGGGCTCTTCTGAGGGCTCGTTGGGGTCTCTGTTGGCCTTGGCCTCGGCTTCAGCAAACTCGGCGGCGAATGTCGAAGGTATGCCCTGTCGTAGATCAGGGAGGGGTTTTTGCGGCTGTTGGCTCTCGGGGTTCTCGGTGGTGGCCTCGGTGTTGCGCTCTGGTGCTGCGGCCGTGTCGAACTCGGGCTGCTCTGAAGGATGTACGGGATTCGGGCGCGACTTGTTCTGCTCGTCGAATTTAATGGGGTCTGATTGCTTCCATGTATTGTCCTTTCGGCTTTTGTTGCTCGCGTAGGAGCGCGACCATTGTGATGTTGAGGATGCTATGCATGATGTGCGCGGAACTGCAAGAGCAGGGCGGGTGGTGCGCAGCGCGCGGAAAGCTGCGCGTGGGAGCATGGTGGGAAATAGATAGGCAACTACAAATTATAAATAAAAGGCACGTCTACAAGAATCCATGAAAAGGCGTGGAGCGGGCTCGCGGTGGTGTCGTGACGGTCCTGGTCTTGGTCCCGCTGTATCAGATGAAATAATTACCCTTGCCCTTGCGCCAAGCCTTGATGACGCCCTGTCCAAGTCGGTTCAGATAGCCATCGTGTCCACAAGTCTTCGAGATCCTCAGTCTTCCTTCACCCGCCCTGGATATTGTCTGCGCTTCACTGCCTGTCATAGGTACCAGAAGAGCCAGTCTCAGTCCCATGTCTCCCGCACAGGCACGTTCTTGGGCATGCGACTGACTGCAAGGCCTCTGCGGCGGAATGCGCCTATACCCCGGGGAGCATCCTGTCAGCTGTCATGCCTCTTTGGCCTGTGGATATGCTGCTGGGCGATGCTCGCATGTGGCATGACCGATGAAGCTATTTCTCTGCTCAGGTGAAGACGAGTTCTTGTTCTCTGACATTATGTTGGTGCGCATGCTAATGTGCTGACAGACAAGAGACACGCGACATCTTCTACCATGGCTACGACAACTACATGAAGCATGCCTTTCCCGAGGATGAACTACGCCCACTGAGCTGTGCACCCCTCACTCGCGACCGCCAGAACCCCGCCCATATCCAGGTCAACGATGTGCTCGGAAACTATTCTCTGACCCTCATCGACAGCTTGTCCACTCTCGCCATCCTCGCTTCTACGCCCCCGCCGTCCAGAAATGGAACGAACCAGGCGCTGCAAGACTTCCAGGACGGCATCAAGCTGCTAGTCGAGAACTATGGAGACGGCACCCCAGGACCCAGCGGTCAAGGAGCAAGAGCGCGGGGCTTTGATTTAGACAGCAAGGTCCAGGTCTTCGAGACGGTTATCCGTGGCGTGGGTGGCTTGCTGAGTGCGCATCAATTCGCCGTCGGTGACCTGCCCATTCGCGGATACGCAGCGAAAGCGACGTCTAAAAATGGTCTCAAGGGCATACGCTGGTCGAATGGCTTCGTGTACAACGGTCAGCTGCTGCGACTGGCCACGGACCTCACAGACCGTCTGATGCCAGCCTTTCACACCCCGACCCAGCTACCCTACCCTAGAGTCAATTTGCGCCATGGCGTCCCCTTCTACGCCAACTCCCCCTACAACATGGACGCTGAACATGGCCAATGCAGCAGAGACCCACACGAAAAGGGCACCGAAATTACCGAGACATGTAGCGCGGGAGCTGGGAGTCTAGTGCTAGAGTTTGCGACGTTGAGTCGATTGACTGGTGACCCTCGTTATGAAAGAGCCGCCAAAGACGCTTTCTGGGCTGTGTGGCACCGAAGGAGCAGCATCGGCTTGATCGGGGCGGGCATCGATGCGGAGACTGGCCAATGGGTTTCTCCCTACACAGGTATTGGAGCGGGCATCGATAGCTTCTTCGAGTACGCACTCAAGTCGCACATCTTGCTCTCTGGATTGCCCTACGATCTAGCAAATGTAAGTACGGATGCGCCCGAAGCCTTTCTTCTCGCTTGGGGAGATGCGCACGAAGGCATTAGGCGGCACATCTACCGCGGAGCACAACATCAGCATCCCCACTACGCCCAAGTTGACCTATACACTGGAGCCATCCGAGCCTTCTGGATCGACAGCCTAAGCGCTTTCTACCAAGGTCTCCTAACCATGGCCGGCAAACTCGACGAGGCCATCGAGACGCATCTACTCTACACAGCTCTTTGGACCCGGTACTCGGCAATGCCTGAAAGATGGTCTACCGCAACCGGCAACATTGAGCATGGTCTACGCTGGTGGGGAGGACGTCCGGAGTGGATCGAATCTACTTGGTATCTTTACCAGGCTACCAAAGATCCATGGTACCTGCACGTTGGTGAGATGGCGCTTCGCGATATCAAGAGACGGTGCTGGACTAAGTGTGGATGGGCGGGCCTGCAGGATGTGCGCTCTGGTGAGCTGAGCGATCGCATGGAGAGCTTCTTCCTTGGCGAGACCGCCAAATATCTTTTCCTGCTTTTCGACCCCTCCCATCCACTGAACACGTGGGACGCACCATTTGTCTTCACTACCGAGGGCCATCCGTTAGTCATACCGAAACGATTACGTCCTTCCAAGGTAACGCGTCAAAAGCAGCCTTCTCCTGAATGGCAGCCAGCCCCTGAGACATGCCCTCTTCCTCCAGCAACTGTACCGTTTAGCATCTCGGCGACAGCAGCCCGATCTGACATCTTCCACGCCGCAAGCCTGGCTCGTCTCCATCTCATGCCCACTATCGAAACACTAGAGTCACCCCTCGTCGAGTTTAGTGCCGACCATCCAAGCATCTCTCTGTCAGATATTCAATCTCCCTCCAACTACACCTACTATCCGTGGACATTGCCTCCCGAGCTTATCCCTCATAATGCTACCAGTTCACCCATGGCGGTTCGCACAACCTTTGATCTCTCCTTTCCGAACATGCCCAACACCTTGCAGGCCGGTGCGCTACAGAGGGTGCACGAAGGTATCTTGGTGAACTCAATGAGTGGGCTAAGACTTGGAATGGTCCGCGAACATGACAAATTCCCCAGGGTCGAACTGGATGAACATTTTCGTATCTACGCAATCTCCAACATAGCGCTAGGGCGCGATGAGAAGGTCTTCATGTCTCGCTCGACGATTGACAATTTCAATCCCCTTGACCCTTACTTCACTCGGACGCGGGATGCGCACACCCTTGATCTGGTAATCGATGTACCTCCACATCCAGTCACCCCCGCTTCTTCAAGCGCTTTGACAGATCTGCTCAACGACGCGCTCGGTGACATGAGAAATTTATCACATTTCGACATTGCGGATACTATTAGCCTTGATGACGACCCTAAGTCGCTGGATGATGAGCCTTCGTATCTTGCAAACTTCCTGTCGTCGCTGCAGTCGCTACTGTCTGCCCCCTTGCCAACGTCGACTTCACCTCCATCGCCACCCAAACCCGCGCAGCAAACGACGCAGCGTCATACCATTGTCGGTACTCTCCCTGTAGGCCCTGGCGCAGCACCTCTTCCTGATACGTCAGATCCTGAACTCGCGTATAGCAGTGCCAACCCATTGGATTGGGCGACCATCTACATCCATCCAACCACGCTTTGCGATGAACGACTGCCTATTGAGATACCCAAGCGACATCAAATTATTGTCATCCCGCGCGGCGCCTGTTCGTTCTCTGCCAAACTGCGGAACATTCCCGCTTTCCCTCCAGACAGTGCAAGTCTTCAGCTCGTTGTAATCGTTAGCTTTCCAGAGTACGAACAGCCATCCGATTTTGCAGACCAAGATGCCGCTCAGTTTGACCCGGATAAGCCAATACAACAAGCACCGCCCAATCCCAGCCCTCTTGTCCAACCCTTCCTCGACGAAGCGCAATACACTCCCTCGGGCCTTCCGCGACCGAATCCCATACCACTTGTCATGATCAATGGGGGCGATGAAACCATGGCATTACTGAGGCGTGGCAGTGCTGTAGGTGTACGGCGGAGGTACTATTTCCGCAGTCAAGGTGTGAAGATCGGGAATTTGATCGTGCTGTAGGCGTGACGAGAGTGTAGTACAAGGTAGACATGACATGGATGATTGGCGATGATTCATAACGGCGTATGCGGTAGGTCTATGCAGACGCAGGTCTCGTTGAATCTAAAGACAAAGAAATGTCATTATGATCAAGTATATACTTTGATGGAGAATGGAGTATACATGTATTCTTGATTATGTATCGAATCTGCTACACACATGATGACCATCTTGATGCCCTTGACGTTGCCGTCCCCGTGCTCTACAAATCTCATAAACCGAACCAACCAAGCAAACTAAACTAACCAAACAAACTTTATAAACTTTATAAACCTTACGAACCTTACAGACCTTGTAAACCTTGTGAATATTATAAACCTTCTAAACTTTATAAACTTTATAAACCTTACAAACTTTATAAACCTTACAAACTTTATAAACCTTACAAACTTTATAAACCTTACAAACCTTATAAACCTTACGAACTTTACAAACTCACGAACATTACACACCTTATAAACCTAACAAGCCCACATACCAAGTATACCAAACAAACCAAACTTTCTCAACCCTTCTACTACAGACCCCAAACTCTCTTCACAGCCCATAAATAAACGTCCACTTCTTATCCGCATACCTCGCCTCGTCCACCCTTTCCTCCTCAATTTCCTCGGCCGTCTTGCTAGCCATGATCTCCGCTTTTCTACTATTCACAGCCTGCAGCGAGAATTTGTATGCTGTGTATCCGACCAACGCTACAGTTATGAAGCCGATCGTAACGTATGAAGGGAAGAGATAGTGGGGTGCGTAGCGCCGCTTGTAGAGTTGGCTGCCGATTACGCCTGCGAGGTTGCCGAAGCCGTTTACGCCGAGGACGAGGGAGCGTTTTCCGGGTTCTGAATTAGGGTGGGTTAGTTATGCTCGGTTTGGTTTGATATAGTTTGGTATGGTTGGTTTGGTATAGTTTCGTTTGGTTCAGTTTGGTTTAGTTTGGTTCGCTTGCTTCAGTGTATCGAAGGGAACAGAAGGGAGGAAAGGCAATTTAGGTGTAAGAAGCTCGCGAGGTATTGACTTACCAGGTGTGTTGCCACTTAGCCAGACTACAGTCAGTGGTGGGGAGATGTAGCTGCCCAGGAGCAGGATGCAGAGGCCTGCGTACTTGGCACCGCTTGAATGGACGGTCACCGTGATGATAAGTCCGACAAGGGCAATGAAGATGCCGCCAACTATGTGGTAGCCTCGCTCTTTGCTACAAACATCAATGTCAGAGAGATTCTCATGGTAATGAATGCTGAGTCCAAACGTACTGATAGTCTGAGCTGAGGGCAAACAGATACAAGCCAGTAGCGCCACAAACGTATGGTGGCACCGACATCTATGAAACGTTAGCAGCCTGTTCCCCTCTCGGTGAACAGATGGTAGTGCTACTAACCAAATTCGCCCGGATGGACGAGTATCCCAGCCCCTGAACGACCAAGGGCAAGAAAACGGAGAAAGCCTGACTGGGTACGCTGGCACAGATGTTGAATACCAGCACATACCATAGTTTCCAGTCTTTCCCCGTCTCTACGATATCGCGTCTCGTAAGTCGTTGCCTCTCCCCACCATCACTACCGTACTCATGTGCCACATACTGGGCATTGTCCTTGAGGATGCGCTCAGCAGCGAACTTCTGCTCTTCTGCATTGAGAAACCACGCGGATCCAGGACTACGCGGAAGCCAGAACCACGCAACCACGGCAATGAGGATAGTCAGCGTGCCTTCGATGATGAAGAGGTACTGCCAATTGTGCAAGCGAGTGCCTTTGAGGTGGAAAACGCCGTACGCTAGGCCAATAGATTAGCATAGTAATGTCTAGACGCTGCTGTGTGGACACGGTATGCACCTATTGATCCGGAAAAGGCGCCTGCAATGGCATACTGGCCGTAGAAGAGGCCAACTCGGACTGCCATGTCGTAGCGGCAGTAGAAGAACGAAAGGTACGCTACGGCAGTCGGGTAGAAGCCTGCTTCGAACGCTCCGATCATGAGTCTCATGGCGATGAGCGCATTCCTTCCCCGGATGAAAGCGTGTGCAACTGTGAAGACGCCCCAACCAAGCTAGGCCAGAACGTTATCACTCATGTCATGTCCAAGACAAGAAAGTCCACCTACCATTATGATTGTAATCCAGTGTTTGGCTCCGACCCATCTTCCCACGGCAGCGGACGGAGGTTGGAGGAGCACGAAGGTAATGAAGAATAAGGAGACGGCTAGATTGAGATCATCTGGAGAAGCGCCAATATCCCTCGTAAAGCCTGCCAGAACAGTGAGCAACTTTTAATTTTTTTCCCAGCGTTCCGAATCGTGAATCGTACCTTGTGTTTCCGCATTGCCGACATTGGATCGATCCAAACCGTTGACTTTGGGAGGCGAGACAAGTCAGTACATGGACTACGAGAGAAGAAAAGGGTAAAATCAAGATCCAGGTACTGTCAGAGTCCTTCGCAGGGCTTTGTGATTGCTAAGACTCCGCGGAAAAACTCTAGGGGCATATCCCGCAGGTTTACGTACAAAGGTATAGGAGAGAGAGGAAGGGTAAGAGGGCAATGTCCATCTTTCGGTTCACCCGCTTTGACATCGCTTTGTACTGGGGGCTCTGTGTTGGGTCGATCGGAGGGCTCGGGGCTTGCTCTTCCATGTCAGCGGCGTAAGATATCTTCGAGAAGGAAATTGGTATGGCTGACAAAGAGGACTGATCAGTCTTTGGCATTCCATGGTGTCCATATCTCAAATATAAATGTTTTCTTTTCTAAAATGATAGCGCACGTCTTCACTGTCTTGAGGTCACCCGTGTCCACTGTGCCGTTTGCCTATCTACTCACAGCCGCCATTGAGGCTCTTCCAAATCTAGATCAAGTAAACTTAAACGAACGATGGGGTCGTGTTTGAGCCTTTTCCTAACTTGCTAGAACCAAGTCGTAGCCTTCTCATTCCTGGCGAATCTCGCGGTAGCTGTACCCGTAGTCCAAGTATGCAAAGTTTGGTTCGACCAATCGCTTACTCCCAAAACAGGGCACTCCCTTGCTCGTCTTGCTCACACATGACACATGGCAGTGCCTTTGGATTTAGCGAGTATTATACCGCTTCTCGTTCGTTCTTTTAGGTTAAGGCGTGCATATTACGGACGGCCGGTTCGATCCGCCGGGTCATACAACTGCCCCCTTCCGGCGAACGCACCTCATACGGTGCATGGTCCTGCAACTGTTCCCGGGTAGTATACGGCCCGTGGCACCTGTTCAATATTGTTGCCAACGAGGTGCTGAAGATCGAGCAAGTAGGGCCTATCGTGATTGCTTAGGGAGACAGGCCCTAAATCAATAGGCGGCCCTCTGATTTGACACTGTCCCTCTGAACCCATGTCATCCTCTCTCGATCCACATGATTGTCGCCGGAAAAAGCTCGCTGAGCAGACGGCGGCGGTCCGAGGAATTGGTCGGCGCCAACCTGTAGCGCTGCATGGTTGCGAGAACGACCAGTGATAATGCCTTGTTGAAGGTCCAGCTGACTTGGCGACAAATGGTGGTCAATCAGAGCTCTCAGATCTTGCAGAATCCTGTAGCAGTCCCGGGGATAATTCGTCCCAGTCTTAGACGCTTGCTCAAAGACACATATGGCGAATTTTATTTCGGGGGCATGAAGATCTTCACCAGACGGCATTGGTGTCGTATGGCCATTGTAAAGCCGCGTATGTTGGCCCTGAGTGCAGTGAAGAAGACGATCCAGGAGCAATATGACAGCGGCATTGAAGACGAAGTGCAAGCCAGCCTGTAGGAACTTCCTTGGTGGCCGCGTGCGTTGGGCCAATATCAGATTTCTATGCGCCGCCGCGGAGCAGGCCTGCAGATAGCTACGGTGCGTGTGCCGCTCGATTGACCAATAGCGACCTTCAGTGCGCTCGTTGATGGTTTCTTCCACGGCAGCGAGGAAGATTGGCCGGGTTGTGAGCACAATTAGTTGATTCTGTGCCATATGCAATGTGCAGCAGGCCGAATCCTGGTCGTCAGGGGTTTCCAATACGGATGGAAGCTGCGACTTCCAATCATCGAGCATTTTTAATGCCGTGTCGACGGTTTTTGTTGAATACTTGGATTGTCCGTCGCGAGCTGCGATCTGGTAGGTCTCGCAGACAATAAAGCCAGATATCCTCGCAAGATCTATATGCGCGCAAAGACCTGCGGCCGACGGCATCGAGCTGTAAACATCAGCCTCAGTACACTGGAACGTTACCATGTACACTCACTCAGCGTCACAAGGCCGTGGAAGTTTGATAGCCTCGTTTTCTATCGTTGGAGGTCGCCCCATCAGTACACTCAGCCATCTGTCCATGATGTAGAGGTTCCATATTACACGCTTGTTAGTTTCACTACTGTATTGCCCAAACGCGCCATTGATGATAGCAATATGGACTGCTAGGCTCACATACATGTACGCTGTATCCCTCCGATTAAGTTCGATCAGGTAAAAGCCCATGAGCGCTAAGACTGGCACATCGTCAAGCGTATACCGAACATTGTCCAAGGGGTTTCCTAGAAGTTTCCGTGCGCGTGTGAAGTACGCCTCTCCGGCGTGCTGTTCCGTATATCTGAAGGGAGTATGGCCAACGGACGACGCCAGCGCAAAACAAACATGGTAGAAAGCCAGATTGCGATGTGTGTCGTCGGTCGTCATAGTGCTCAGCAAAGCCGAGTTGGTCCCATGCGGCGGCAACAAACTCATTTGGTGGCCCCACCAGTGAATGCCCCCTGACAAGAACTTGCCGTTGCCATCCTGGACGTACTCACGCAGCTCATCAAGCATAAGTCGCATGTCTGCCCGAGCAGGTAACCACGAAGTGTTCACGTCTGGGTTCGGAAGTGGACGTGAGTCGAAGGTTTGATACTTGCCTAATGACGCGAGGAATGAGGAGCCTGCAGGCGTCTCAGGTTCATAATTCATAGTGACCAGCCGTCGCATGAACCGCTTCAGATGATCAAGGAAGGTCGCGCCAGAAGTCCCGCCTAGGAATCTCATGATTTTCTCACCGTCCACAAGGAAACCGCCCTCTGTCTTTTTGGCTTCCTCACTCTCTGATAGTGCATCTCGCAACGCCTGAACTGTGGAGCGCGTCACGGGCTCGCCTTGATCAACCCGGCAAATCAGATCCGCAGCCTCATCTGGCAATGCGGCGTGAAGGGTTTTTTCGAGCGCAGCACATCGCTTTTGCAGGCGGTCCAACTCGTTTTTCACTATGGTTTTATCCGGTTCGGGGGCAGGATACTCGCACGCCCGCGAGCTGCTGCTGCATCTTTGACAGGGCTGCTCTCCCGAACACCGCGCGCGTTGGGAGTTACAGCGGTTGCATCTACGATACACGAGTCAGTAGAGAGATCGGCACAATTTGTCGATGCGTAGCTCCAACAAGCGGGCGACACGGGTAGCAACGAGATTCTGATGAGCCATGTGCATGACTCAATGGGTGCTGTCGGTAGTGTAGATTGCCCTTTGCGTCCTACAGTCGAGAGAAGGCCGGGACAATGGTGTCATACTTACGCCCTCACGACGCGTTTCCGCTGCTCTGGCGCGACTTTGTGCCGGCGTGGATTGACCGGTAAGCGTCGCGGCTGTTGAGAACCGTCCTCTGAAGACGAAGCCATCATGTTGGACTGCATCCTGGGCAGGATTCAGGTTTGGCGTCGTCTAGTTCGTCGTCTTATAGACATGAGAGAAGTGGACGAGGAACACGCGAGGCGACCTGCTGCAGCTTCTAGGCGCCTGCCGGTCCAATGGCCACTCGTGTCGCGTCCTCGACAGACATCTGTGCGACGGTCAGGTACCAACTCGACAGCATGAAACCCCGCTCACAAACATGGCGAACAGAGAGGTCGTGATGCGTCGAAAAGCAATGGGCGGCCATGGGAAGTTGTACTTCGGGACCGGACACACTCGGCATCCCGCTAGGTCAAAACATTCCGTCTGGTCTTCGACGGCCCTTTTGCCTTCCATCTCAAAACACACGGACGTAGCAAGGAAAAAGCAAAAACAAGAAAAGTTAAGAAGCGCCCGTGCCTCACGTCAAAACAGGACGTTGGACTCTAGACGAAATGGCGTCTCAATCTCACTAGACGTACCCGAAGACATGCCCAGATAGGCTGGAGATTTCAGCGCAACCATCATCTCTCGTACAACAAACAAGAGGAGCTATTTCTATCCTCTGCTTGGCATCATCGTGGGTTCTTTTCGGGTTTGTCATCACATTCTTCGACCCCTCTCGTAAGTTACCATGCGTACAAGAGAACCTAGCCTAGACTTTGGCCCCTCGGAGAAAGAGGTTTCGACCCAGATGCCCGGCGCTACATTACCATATACCGGATTAGGCATATACAGCAATTGAATGTCTCTCTCGGTCGCCAGACGACTTAGAGTCTGCCACATGAAATATCAACGAATGTCAACAGATCGATCTCTCTAGTATCCATGATCAAGGAGCATCTCAAGCCTCTCTATATGAGGTCGATGGGCGGGAGTAAATATTGTCTGGAGAGCACGAGGGAACGACGATGGTAATGTGAAACATGCATACATATGCAGAGATATACATTAAAGGTAGAGACTTTCGCATTAAAAGTGTAACCGACAATACCACCTAACTAAGTAAAAGAGATCAAGTCTCATCTTCGCTCAACGACACATGAGAAGCATAAAAGTCGCTACACAAACGCAAAGGAACACGTAGCTAAGCGCAAACAGCAGCAAGAATACGCCAAAGTTGGCGGTTCATTATCCATCTTCATTTCCCGTGCTCGAGGTCCACACCCAACGTCCACTGACAACTCATGCGAATCATGTACTTGAACAGCTCGGCAATCTTCATGCCCGTCCAGGTCCTGTGGAAGTGTACCTTTAGCTTGCCGGCCTGGTCGGGCCCTTCGCTGTAGATGAACCATTTGTCCGACATGTCTTTGGGCACGAAGCCTTGGTATAGCGAGTATACCTGCGAGGGCGGGAGGAATACGTCCCACGGTCGTATTTGGGAGTTGCTGGGGAAAGCGGTCGTAGGCATGGCGGTTGGGAGGACGCGAGGAAGGTCGTTCGAGTCGCTATGCTTGGGAGGATCGCGCACGATGTGGTAGGTGGGTGGTATCTCGATACGTTGAATGTGTGTGATTAATTGCGGTTGTAGCGACTTGATAGGTTTAGAGATTTCGCAGATATGTCGTCTAGGTGAGGCTGGTGGGGTTGGTAGAGCTGCTGGTGCTTCTACGGATCTTCGTTGCAGTTTTCGATGCGCTGGTTGAGAGCTCTCGCTGATAGGTTTTGAAGGAAGTTTCGGGGAGAGCGTTTGGCCTCCTTCTCTCCTCTTAAAGCGTCGGAATATGGAGCGCGTCCTATCTAGCGACCGTGGTGTTTCTGTTTCGACGGTAGACATCTTGGCACCTTTCAAGCCAACCCAGCCTTGAGTCATACTCGAACAATTCGCAGGTTCAAATCAGGGGGGAAGAACCGATAAGTCGAGCGAGCGAAGAGAAGCGAACGAACAGACTACACCGGGAAACGGTGCAAGACAGCTGTCAATCGTTAATTCAGCTGTACCCCGCCGGTGTCCTAGGGCTGAGTCCAGCTTACTTTAAGTTTCCACATCCACCACGACTCCTGCCAAGCGCAGCCTGCTGCATACTCAACGTAATGTGCAGCGCGGCCTAGATGTTGCTAACATGCCGCTGTGGATTCGGAAGTCGTCGAACACGGCATGGTTGATGCTTGGTGTGCTGGTTGCAGGGTGAAAGGTGCGACATGGCGCACGATCGTCTCTGGGCGTAGTATGGAATGTTGATCTTCCGGAACGGGAGGGGTTGTCAGAAACGTCATGCATTTAGAGCCCCTGGGACCACAAGGGCACGGTCGTGATCCGAGGGCATGGAACTTGGGGTGGCCGTTGCTTTGTGAAACCTCATGTTTGATCCGTCCCAGTTCTCTCTTCGTCGTGCTTGTTGTGTATTCTTTTCCAACACTCGCGGAGAGTAAATTGCGATTTTCATCGTCGCAGACCCCACTCCAGCTCCTCCAGACCTAACCCTATCCGCTATGCACAGCCGTCGATCCTTGCAAGCACCCTACACTTTCGGCTCCTCAAAAGCCGAACGTCTCAAGGAACCTCTGAAAAGTCTACCAAATAATTATACTCTTCTTTGCCTTGGAGATTGACGATTGACAATTGGCAATTGGCCTTTCGTGGGCTGAACGAAAGAGTGGCACCCTCAATCTGGAATTCCGTCCTTTTCGATCAAGCACAATAGAAGCTGCCACGATTCTTCACAGAGCAGTAATTGTATGCTTTATTGGGATTTCGAACGTCAGCACGTTGAGGGAGTAATAATTTTAACCGACACCCAGCCCTATATCATGCATGCTCCTAGATTCAAGAGCCGGGTCTCGACCATGCATCCTTACGTGCTATCGAGCACTTGTCGACTGACATTACGCAGCCTTATCTTTGAACAAGGGAAAGATGTGGCTGCCGTCAGCTTACCCCCGCTGTCAGCGCAATCAAAATGCTGTGTGACAAGATTGCATGCAGGGCCATCTGCAATTGGGTTACAGATGAGAGACCCCACTGAACCCGAGTGAGCGTGGGCGGCCCTGCTCTTCTTCGAGGAATTTCCTAGGTGTCTTACAAACCAAATTGGTATCAAGTTGTGACACTAACGGCTGCACCAGGGTATGAGGGTTTCATAATCTTTACCATATTTTATAGAAATTCTGTTTCGATCTGTTGAAGAGCCCTCATGTGTACACACCAAGCGAGTCTAGCATGCAAGGCATTGCAGTATTCGAACACAGTTGTCCCGCCTGCCAGTCATGGTTCGTTCACGTGTTTTCCATCTCCAGGTCATCAGATCAGACTTAGTCCTTATATGTGATCGTCTTCAACCACAAAAACTCTTCGATCCCCCAACTGCCGTTGAAGCGGCCGAACCCGCTTGCCTTCGCACCGCCATGCGGCAGCGCTACCTCGTCATGAACACTCATCGAATTGATGTGAACGGCGCTAGGGAAGGGTCAGCTAATCTCCATTAGGTCACGCTGTGCTGTTACTTACCCGCTTTCGATTTGCTTCGCAATTCTCAAACCTCGCCCAAGGTTCTCGGTGAACACAGCGGCGGACAGTCCGTAATCGGTGTCATTGGCAATCTGGATAGCCTCTTCGTCACTGGAGATTTCGATGACCGATACCGACGGACCGAATGACTCTGTATAGAACAAGTCCATACCCTTCCTGACACCGTCGACGATGACCGGTCGCATCCTTGTGTTGGAGACCTCTTTCGTCTCCGGGTGGAGCTCATCCTTGTTAGGGTCGCCATGCACGACTTGCGCACCGGCTTTGACTGCTTCGGTAATCAAATGTCGGTTCTTGTCGATACCTGCTGGGGTTACGAGGACTGGGGCCGGATTTTCTCCACCGAAAATCCCCTCCACGGCGTCTTTAAACGCTTCAATGAACTTTGGTTTGATATCTTTATGTACCAGAATTCGCTCTGAGCTCATACAAATCTGTCCAGAATGCAAGAATGCGCCAAGGGCACACTGGACAGCTGCGTTCTTTAGCTCAGCATCGTCAAGCACAATGGCACTTGCTTTCCCGCCCAGTTCCAAGAGAACGGGCTTAAGGTTTTTGCCTGCGAGAGAAGCGATAATTCGGCCCACAGACGTCGATCCCGTAAAGTTAATCTTCTTGATAGCAGGATGCTCGATCAATGCGGCAGTAATCGGGGCGGCGTCCTCTGGCCTATGAAAAAGGACATTGAGTGCCCCGGCTGGTAAGCCAGCTTGTGTAAGGATGTTTCCGATGGCCCACCATATGCGGGGACTAAGTCTAGAGTCGAACGTAAGTAAAGAGCTCGGGTCAGGTTCCACATTCGGGTTTACGTACTCGGATCCCTTGAGAATGCAGGTGTTCCCTGCTGCAAGAGGATAGAGAATCGCGCGCATACCGAGTAAGTAGGGTGCATTCCTGGGCTACGTGAGTACTTGCAAGTCTTTGGCATCGAGAGTGGACATACCAGGGCGCAATCCCAAGCACAACACCGTATGGCTCCTTCACAATAAGCGCACTTTGTCCCTCCTCTTCACACGTAGGAACGTGTCCCATGACCGTCCCCAATCTTCCTGCAACGTCTCTCAGCATGTCGGCCGTCTTTGGCACGATGAAGCCTTCACTAAAAGCTGACACCGAGCCGGTCTCACTGTTCATTATCTCTGTGAGCTCAGCCGTCCGCGCATCGATGATGTCGGCGGCTTTCGTGAAGATGGCGCGCTTCGCAGCAGGCTTCATCTTTGACCAAGCAGGGAAGGCACTTTGTGCTGCTGATACAGCAGCCTTCACATCTTCCAGCGAGGCCGAGGATGCCTGCCATAGTTGTTTATGGGATACAGGAGAAACGACTTGGAAGGTGGTCGTAGTAGTGACTTCTTTACCGTTGATGAGGAGTGGGACGGTGTAGGATGGGTCCACTGGGGCTGCTTTCGTGTCGGCCATCTTTAAATTGATACTAATTGCCTAAGTCGCGGGCTCCCTCTTATATAGTGTTCTCTCTCAGTAAGTGCGTATTGATGGTATCGCGAGAAGAGCAAGTAGCTTAGACTATATGCCAGGTGCCTAGTTTCCAAGGGTCTCTAATAGCGCTCGTGTATGCATGTCATGGTCAATTTGTTGGAAGCCATTAGTGGAGATCTTTTCCCGCGAATGACGTAATCGCTCCGAGGCTGCTTACTAATGCAGATGCTCCACCACGACACTGACAGCAGAGAGCGAACGGGCTATGTATGAACACTGGACAGAATTTCAAGCTATAATATGACAATCCCACAGTCCAGCCTACCACAGGGGTATCATGTTGCGAGGTTTTCATCCCGCGTGTGCTGTGCTACACGCTTACTACAGGTCGGCTCGTAACCAGAAGGCCTGAATAGCCTGTTCTGAGGGCTCTGATCTGCCCTCTCATACTAAGATGCGAGCCGACTTTTTGTGAACATATAGTTCTAGATCCTACTGAACATTCTGTCCGAACTCTTCTCCGCCATGCAGGCACAATCCATGATTATTCCGAAGGATTTGGCTTACGTGTGACTGTATCCGTAGCCCCCGCAGGCATGCATGGAGCTCACAAGTTTTATTCATTGGTAACGCCCTTTACCTAAGCGCAAGGTCTAGAGTCAGTATACTTAGATAGACATGTGTTGCGCGTGATTGATGGCTGCCAAGACATTGCCTTCTGATGATAAGACCAGAATATTTCTTTTTATGTTTAGAGTGCCAGGGCCTTCTTGTAACTACGCACGGAAATAGAACTCGATCTTTCGAGATTTAAAAGCTAGCATGAACGCATGTGCACATCGCACTGCCAGACGATGGTTCAACCTTCATTACTGTATAGATCAACTTCATCTGAAGACTGCGAGGATTCCGTCGAATCATCGTTCCAGCTTTCACCGAAATCATCTTCGTCATCTTCTTCGTGTTCCACTACTAGATTGACACCACTCCTTGAAAAGAACCTGACCAGAGGTTCCCAATCGTACATGAGCCAGGGCGCGGGTGATGGAACAACAATGCGAACTTCTTCCAATTTCTGTGTGTTGGTGTGGTAATTGGCTGCCATGTGCTCCAAGGCGGTCAGGCAGTTCTTATCGTCAGTGTACTTTCGAATGACTGTATTGTAGGTAATCAGGGACCGCGGCAATGATTCGATGAACGTTGCGGATGCATCTAGTCTTGCGCCGATAATTGATGTAAGAGGACAGCTTAAGTGCTTCAGCGCTACGAAGTTCCGAAGGTCGTCAAGAAGAGTGATAGTACCGCGGGTCTCCTCTTCTGCGCGAGCGTCGCAACTCAGATGGAGGCTTTCAAGAGAATCTCTCTTGGGATGGAGCACCATGGAGAGCTTCGTTGCACCCAACTCATGATGTGCGTTGAGCTCGTGTGATATACACTCTAGCGTTACATCGTACTTGAAAATTTTCAATCTTCGTGACGATGCGACCAGAACACCCAAAGTATCCATATGAAGGAAGCTATGCTCCAAATTAAGCTTTTCAATTCGATTGCAGTCCTGCGGGATCATACGCTGTAGTACTGTCGTGCTTCTCCCTCCAGTATCGAGCGCAACAAGATCTCTTAGATGAAGTAGTCGCAGGGAGTCCAGTCTGAACAATGGCGCAAGCTGACTTGTATTGTAACGACTTGCACCTACGCGCACTGACTGCAGATGTTCGAATCGATGCACACGTCCGGAAGATGTTCCTATGGTGGCTTTTCTGATAATATCAATCCACTTTGGACCTGTGTGATCATGCGATCCAGTATCCTCGATAACCAGAGACTTTATATTAGGGGCGTGCATTAGGACCGCAGAATGCAAAACCTCGACCTCACCATCGAAGGAATTACAGTCCACAGCCCAAGTTTTCCAGTTCGATATACTCAGCAATCGCATCCCTTCTTTGATAGTCTTCTTGTCTTGGGCTGTTGCAACATAACGGTTGCGGTCATGATGGGCCCCGTCCCCACATGTCACATCAACATATCGCACCAACTCCGCGAGTTGTGGCTTAGCCACCATCGTGCGGAGAAACAGGTATGGCTCGCAAAAATGGCTGGAATATGTAGCATAGAGTCTTTCGGCAACCATTCGATGAAAACGGTGGTTTGTCAATGATAGGCAGACAAGCGTTGACAGTTGGAAATCGTCAATGTCGATTCCTGGTAGGTGGTCTAAAATCTCTAGGATGAGTTCGTCTGGCAGGTCATTGATTGTAGTGGCCGAACCTAACGGCCTGGGCGTATGGACATGTGCAATGGCATGGTTGCTTATTTGCCATCTGGACCTTGTTGTTTTGTACGAGGGCAGTGGTGGAAAGTCGCGTCTACTGAACATCGTCATAGATAACGAACCAGTGGGCGCGTTATGTATTGATTAGGACCTGTAAGGCTAAAGACCTCTGCCAAGTAGGAACCGCGAGATTACGTATATCATGGGAAATGGGCCCTCAGAGTCGCGCTAGTTATGCCCGAGATCTTCCAGCGAAGTAGCGAACACGAAGATTGCTGAACCCAAGCAAGACTCAGGAGTAACTTTTAAGGGTCGGAACTTAGGGTAGGGTGTCGGGTAAAATCTAGGCCAAAGTCGATGTCCCGTTACAAGATAGCCACGAGAGCAGGATTTGGCGCTAGATAAGATTAGTCATCTGTATCCACTGCGACGCGGCAACCGGCCGCCGTGCCTTCATACCTAGGTAGCTCCATCGCGTGCAGTTCCTCATGTCGCTCCATGGTATACTGGAGCCTATTCTCATTGGGACTACACCGTGTCTCGTTATCTTTTAATCTTCACATATATACAGCCTACTACGATAGCTCAACTAGGGCGTAGGCGCTTTGAAAATCCTCTTATCTACGCGTTAGCAACGAGAGACGCGTAAATGAAGATGAGATTTCAAATGCACATACAACTACTCATACCATTTACAATATGCTAGATAGGCTGGCCATGTTATGAAGAGGGCGCTCTCTTCATCTAACGTCCAGTAGCCAACACCAGTGCGCGAAAACGAATAGTTCGTATAGCTCTGATCAGCGCAAAGGTGATTGGTCCGCCCGTATATTCGGGGCTCATGCGACAAAAGGTTGGCCAACATCGCATACGGAAATCAAGCGAAACGCGTGTTCCAATTATACACCTAATTTTAACCTTACTGAGTAGATTTTCAGTTATCCTGGAGCACTTTGCGAGAGATCCGTTCTCTACCAAGGATCCGGGCTGTGCAGGCATACGCGTGGGGCTGGTCGGCTGAGTCCCCACCAGGCGCAGTACGCTCTACCTTTCGTCATCTTCTTGGAAATGTAAGACTATGCGAGAGACAAGCCTGCATCTACGGAGGATCAAGCATCTCACACCAAACAATGCCTCGAAAGCTTGTTGGACCATTCGGAGAAGCTGACCAAATCCGAGTCAACTAGCGAAATCCGATTGGTGCAGCGTACGAGGTCCGAACCTCCCAGCCACAATCCAGGACGACAGCACCGCAGAGTACACCATTTCGTCCGTCTATCGTAATGGAAGATCCACGTAATATGTCGATGAAACTAAAAGAAAGTCCACTATATAGCATGCAGGGCGCACTCTCATCACCAGAGCATCAAAAGAAGATTTCAAAAGCGCCTACGCCCCACCCAGTGTTACCTGTTGACCAGAGCTTCACCTCACACTCAACATCGATACATACCGTTTTTGAAGCGACTCCTCGAATAACATCCCTTTTTTAGCTTACCGAACGCCCGATTTACCCACTATGTTCTCTCAAGCCGTCCCCGCCTCCGCCTCTAGCCATAGCCTCCCAACACCCACAAACGGAGAACAACCCGTAGTGGGTGGAAGTCTCATGAAGGGAATGGACCGACTGATTAAGGCGATCGAGCGGAGGGTCGATCGTCAGATCCTATCTGCTCAGATTCGAGCCTACGGCTCATCTTCGGAATCGGCCGCCAAGCCTAGTCATCAATAGGGCGTGCAGGGCGACCCCCGCTTCGAGAGTACTCGTACATGGCTGTAAGAACAGCAGTGGATACATATCAAACTTTTCCGAACGAAACACGATCCTCACCTGAATCAACCTCCAAAATGCATCTCTACGACTCTACCATCCCATCTGGCAACGCTTATAAGATTCAACTCCTCCTCTCGCACCTTAAAATCCCCTACAAGACAACAAGTCTGAATATTGTATCCATACCATCAGAATCCCGTAGCGCGGAATTCCTTGTATTGAATCCAAATGGCCGAATTCCCACCATAGTTCTGGACGATGGTACTGTCCTCGCTGAATCAAACGCTATCATGTTTTACTTGGCCGAGGGCACGAAATATCTACCAGATGACAAACTGGAAAGAGCCAGGGTCTTCCAATGGCTATTCTTCGAACAGTATTCGCATGAGCCTTATGTAGCAGTGTGCAAATTCCGGACGTATTGGGCTCCGGGAGGATTTGACGATTTGACTGAGCGGGAGATTAAAAAGTTGAGAGAGCGGGGACAAGATGCTATCGATGTCATGGAAATTCATCTGAGTGGACGGGAATGGTTCGTGGGAGACGATTACAGCATTGCGGATATTGCTCTTTATGTATATACGAGTGCAGCAGAGGCCATCGGGTTTAGGGTGGAAGGGCATGTGAGGGCGTGGTTGGAGAGGGTCGAGAAGGTGGAGGGCTGGGTGAAGATTAAAAAGGATCCGACCGGGAAGTGTCCGTCCTAACAATTTGCGGACTCTACGCTTGGGTTGTCTCTTGGTGAATGAATACTTGATCTTTTATATCACCCTCTTTTCTGTTTTTGTGAATCCTTCCGATTGATGTAGCAATGTTGTAGATAGGAACAGTCGACCTAGATATGCCACTCGCTCACCGCTCATCTGCCATCACACGCACCTCAGAGACTTTTTACTCATCTCTTCTTTTTCATCTTTATGATTACTCTTCGGGCTCTTTCTGTCAGTGTGCAAATTTCTTTTTCAATCACTTGATACACCATTATATTGGTGGTTCAGCCAGTGGGATTGCCAGCGGTCCTGAGTTTTCAAAAAGAGGTATTTCAGTTGATGTTTACATTCTAAAGGCCTGCGTTAAGAATACTACTCGTAATCTCAAATATCAAGTACCGACTAGTTACTTTGGTTTCGGGAGACTTGCACCAAGTCTTGGGTTCCTTAGAAGGAAGAAGGAAGTAGCCTAGTTAGTTATGCTACTGTTTGATATACCACTTGTACCCATCAGACGAGAATCTAGGTAATTATACTAATTGGGACTTGAATTCTACATAAACCAAAAAGAACTCTACTCTGTATTGCGCACTTCAACAATTAAATCCCATATCACCCTCCCGGTTTCCGTACTCAAACCCATTTCTCGGGCCACTACCGAAAGTGTTTTGGTGCGATCCATCTCCACTCTTCCACGTCTGATCCCCATATCTAAACACTACTGCATCGCCGTCACCCCCCTTGGCCTCAATGCCGACGGTCAAGGGCAAATGACTTGTAACACTCAGCGTCTTTGATCCTGCATCAATTGGCTGGCGCTGCACAAGTCCGATGATTTTGTGCGCGGCATCGTACACAATGACGTCGAAAGCGTAGTCTCCGCCAATGCCATACTCGTTGCGTTGATGTTGGATAACATGCATGGTGCACCAGCCGGAAGTGAAGCCCGGGCTGGGGTCCACAGGTTTGAAGATGCTGAGGCCAAAGGCAGCGGTGCCCACTTTCGGGATGCCACACTTATAAACAATACCGCGGTTCACATTCTTTGTCTTCTCGCACAGTTTGCCGTGTTGTCCCTCCGATTGGTCGATAAAGCTTTGCACGTTGAAGTCTTCGTTGTTGTTTAGATTGTTCAATCGCAAGATTGGGTCGTGGAGGCCGTCTTCCTTGTTGCCGTCGACACCGCCCGCCTTTGTGTATTGTATGGAGACTAGAGGAAGAATATTAGCTTGGCTTTACTTCAACTAAAAGACTGGCAGGTAGATATATATGTCTCTGCCATACTTGAGGGGACAACTCACAGTCACCGATTTCTGGATGCGTGAAGAACTGGCGGCCATTTAAGTAGCAGACATTCCAATCGGGCAGGGCTACGCCAGCCTTATCGGTTTGCAAGCACTGGATCGATGTTCTACAATTTCCACCATCCGTGGTCTCCATGAAGAGGGTGCATTTGTTTGGGACACTTGGGTCCTGTAGAGCATTAAATCAGTTATCTGTACCAAGCGCCGGGAGTCGATGCTAAATCAACGAATGAACGAACTTACATAAGCATTCGCATCCTTGAGGTAGTCTTTCACAGCATTGAAAAGAGTAATGGGTCCCATGCCGTTGAAGCCTCTGGCTTCAACTGAACGAGGCAGAAGTGCCTTGACTCCCGAGACTACAGATGACATTGCCATAGGCATTGCTTGGGATCCGGGGGTAGAAAGAAGCAGTGCTGCCATGACAGGCACTGCGAAAGCGGTCTTGGGCTGTGGTAGATGCATGTTTGCGAAAATCGGGACGATGAAAGAATATCAGATAACGGCTTCTCTGTTGATCGAAGGTGTAGTGTTTGTGATCTGAAGCTTTGTTGTGTCTTTGTAGGTTGATGTATCACTGAATTGCTGGCAGGTGGAGGCTCCTTTATACTGCTCCAGCTCAAGAATATGCTGCTGGGGGCTCCCGGTCATTTCATGCCGTCCGCACTCCAAACCGCCCCCATTCAGCATGACCTCACTCCACTGTCCTGCAAGGACAATAGTGGAGCGTTCATCACCTGTTTCTTCAACACAACAGATACCTGACCTGGATTCCCTACTCTAAATTTAGAGTTATAGGCCAAGCTTTCGCGCTACTGAAATGCGAGGCTTCATTCTGGAAGAATCCGACCAATGACGTGTGGCGGAGCAAATAAGGCCTCCCCAACTGCGCCCCACGGAATTGTAGGATTAAGAAAACAAAGCGTAGCAGAGCGTAGCTCTCTCCTCTCTAGTTGCTCTCTAGTTAAGTTTCAAGTAAAAATTAGACAATGGGTCGCGCAGCAAGAAAGGGCTCTATGGTTGCGCCATCATGAAATCAAATTATATGCATAACGGAGTCTGCTCTAGTTATTTTCCTACTACAGGAGCAATGCAAATATTGCATTTTTCGCCATGATCATTTCGTCTAGTCACCATGCCCAGAATTTGCGCTGTGAAGAGATGCGTAGCTAGGTATCGTAGCCGCACAATCGACCAAGATTGCGGCTCTGTACAAGGGTACGCCATACAGGTGATTAACTACGTAGACACGCTCGTTGGTTTCAAGCATAGGCTAAGGATCCTACAGGATGGGGGCCGAACCGTGAGTGCTGGCCTTGAAACGAACTGGAGATGGATAGGTGACGAGGTCCCCATACGTAGTTTTAGACCCAACTAGTCCAGCTCTTACGATGCAAGATACACACTGTTATGCTATCAACATCGCGTTCATTGCCCTCGGCACCCTCGATGATAGGTACAACCATTCAACAATTGAATCCTAGTATGAAAGGCACAGGCACACGACGGCGTGATGCACTAGAGACGCCCAAGCTTGGAACCTCGGCGTGCAATCTTAATTGCACAGCCCTACGATCGGCGCGCGACACGACGTCATATCGTACGCAGACAGCCTTGCGGCAGAGCAAATGGGCCAAGCGTTGGGCTGGCGCGAGGCTGAACTGTTAGCTGCATGCCATCCCCATGTATCGCCTCTTATCGATAAGGCCGAGCCAGAGATTCAGCCGTTTCTTTGGCTCAATTTGGTTTGGGATCGAGCGTTACATTCACTTCTCAGTATTAATAGTACTCCCGCTCGGTGGATCCGTTATTCCGGTCGTGTTTTGGGAAAGTGTCACGGGCGCCCCTCTGCTGTCGCGCTCCGCCGTCGCAATTGTCCACTTGTCCCCAAAGGTCATATGTTCTTGCCCCCGAAGCGAGGCAGCCATGCCGTTTGCGCTCTCGCTCAAGACCATCAGTAGAAGGTGTTGGAGCAGCAGCGAACGTTCCACAGCGGCTCAGCCCTCTCGATCGCTCACCATTACTTGTCGAGGTAATACTTGCGCAAATCCAATTACATCCAAAAGCTGAGTTGTAGCAGGCAAACCCATCAACCGCGAAGAACTGCTGAAGTACACGAACGGACGTTTCCTAGCCAATGAGAAAAAGGCTACCGATCGCAGATATGTCAATCTCGACGTCGACCGGCTCTGCGCGGTGGCCGCATCTACCGGCGGGCAAGAACACTCGCCTGTCTATGCGATCGAGAAAATGGAAGGAGGATTCAGCAAGGCCCTCCTCTTGCGTAAGGAGGACGGGAGCGAAATCATAGCAAAATTGCCCTTTCCAATTGCCGGACCGCCGAAATACACAACAGCATCTGAAGTAGCTGTTCTTCAATATCGTAAGACTGCCGAGCCCATCAAGTTGCTGTTGTGTCCAAAACTAATGAAATCGCTGCTGGCAGTACATACGTATACTAAAGTCCCAGTTCCTAGGGTTCTAGCCTGGAGTTCTGATCCGTCAAACTCGGTTGGCGCCGAGTATATTATGATGGAAAAGGCCCCTGGAGTGCAGCTGTACAAGGTATGGGGCGAGATGAGTGATTGGGATCAATTGTGCGTTGTCAAGCAGTTGACGAAGCTTGAGGGCGAAATGACTCGCATTCGCTTCCCCGCCAGCGGGAGTCTTTATCTCTGCGAGTCCATGGGAAACGACGACACATATATTGTTTTGGACCGTGACGTTGATCCTTCTGGGCAGTTCTGTATAGGACCGTCCTGTGAGCGAGGGTGGTATGCTCAAGGCAAGATAACGTCTTTGCCGTCTCGTCCCAGCCAAGGACCATGTAAGTCGAATGTACGAATGATGTCTTCTTAGCTGACGCTTTTTAATAGGGCCTAGTCTATCCTCTTTCGGTATTGCGCTTGCAGAACGGGAGATTGCGCTCATTGAACAAAACCCGACGACCGCTACCTCTGATCCACCCCGTGGATCTTTCGATGAACAGATCGCCGTATTGAAGTTGACTAGAGACGTGATGTCAAGGTTAGATGGACCTTCACTTGTCGATAAGGTCTCCAAGCCGGTCTTGTGGCACACTGACCTCCACATGGGCAATATTTTCGTCTCTCACGAAGACCCGGCTAAGATCGTCTCAATTATCGATTGGCAATCGATTGTAATCTCGCCTTTGTTTTTACAAGCTCGCTTCCCAGTTTTTTTACCAGTTGACGAAGACTATGCCTTTGGAACCACGGAGTTCCCTAAGCTACCGCAAAACTTTCACGAGATGGACGCAGACGATCAAGAGTATGCCGAATATAAACTGAAGGAAGCTAAGTTAGCTAAGGTATACGAATTAAGCAGTGGTTCCCAAAATAATCAGGCCTACAAAGCCTTGCGCATACCATCATTCTTACGGGAGCTCTTTACTCGGTGTGGAGAGGTCTCAGAAGAGGGTGTAATACCACTTCGGGCCTGTCTTATAGAGCTGTCCAAGGTGTGGAATGACCTAGGGTTTATTGATCAATGCCCAGTCAACTTCAGCGAAGACGACCTGCAAATACACGAACAGCAGTTTCAGAAATACCGCGATTCTCATAAAGTCCACGAACTCGCTAGGAAGATTCTCAGCACTGATTTCGAGGGCTGGGTCCCCCCGCAGGTTGATTTCGCGGCGAAACAACAGCAGAACAAAGAGCTGCTCCAAGAGGTCATGCACAAAAGCAACGAGTACAACAAATCGCCAGAGGAAATTAGGAGTATTTGGCCATATCTAGAACGTTCATAGGCCCAGTACCAGTCAAATTGAACTACCTCCCGCATCATTGCGATCAGTAGCTTGATTTGCCCGGAGATTTCACCCACCAAGGTCGTTCGAGTATCAAACTTTTAGTTTGGAACAAGTGACTTCAATCTGTATCGCATTCGATACGGTAGCAAGGGATAGATTAGAGACTTATATTCGTTTAGCACTATAATGTACCCACATACAGCATAATGCTGTTCTGGAACGAATCGAACCCTTTCGGTATGCAGGCGGTCAGGGATACGTTCACTCTCCCTGGGCGCAGTTCTGCAAGTCATTACCGGTAGAAGTGGATGGCTACCGATCATTCAATACCGAAGACGACAATAACCTATTCTGCACGATGTTTTGTGCTCCGGCTATCGTTAGGGCTGCCCAAAGTGTTCCTGTCCGACCAGTGATGGAGAGAACGGAGAGGCTAGAGGAGCTAGACAGCATGTTTAACATGAATGTAGTCCAAAGCGATCAAGATGTTAGTAATGGGACGGTACATTCTGACTTAGGTCAGCTCGAAAATGATCTTCAAGATGAAACTGATAACCTTGACCAGGTTGATCTCCTCGGCTTTGATCACGACTCACCTGAAGGTCTCGAGCTTACCACTCGACTTGACCCCGATATCTTCGAACTAGAAGATCATGACGATTCTTGTCGCCCTCCTAGGCGAAGAGAGCTGCTATGGGACTTTGACAATTGTCTCCGTTTCTGAATAGAGAAGATGACGGACACGGCACTTCGAAGAATCTTAAAAAGATAGCATTACAACCCTGATGTCTTCAAAACGCAGACCGAACGATTACATGATGAATATCCGGATCCTCCCGAGGCATTTGCCTTGGACATGCCATCCGAGTGGCGGAGCGATATTTCCTGGGTGGAGGCAGAAGATCTGCGCTGCGTTTTGGGTAAATGCCACGGACAGTTGGATGGTTAAGTTGCGCGAATTCTCAAAAGGGACATTTGCAGGATCCGCCGACGCTTGGTAGAGCTGTTGATCGGTGCAAAAGAGTTTGACGAGCGGATTTGTGGTGATTCGATGTCAATTGAACCATCAACTCTTAAGAGACATGAAGACGGCTCTATAGGGGTTGGGAGCTGGGAAAGGTTATACACGCGTGGAGTTATCATAGTTATATGTTTAGTCTCGATTGAGGCTGATTGCACATTGGCAGCTAACGACTAGGCGTTCTGTGCACCAGACATTTATTAGCGGGTAGGAACCAGCAAACGCTGTGCCAAACCCTCCATGCTAACCCCAAAAGAGAATCGAATCCTAACTTTGCCATCAAAAACATACCTCAGCGGCATTATTGTATGCACCAGCATACTATCAAATTTTAGGATATAGCAAAATACATTCATTCTCTCAATAACTATAATCAGAGGGTGTCTAACGTTGCGCGATGCGTTGGTAGGAGATTTGGCCGCTCCCCGCCAAAAGTTTCATTTGGCTAGACTTGTATTCTGCTAATCTCCTCTTTTGCCCCACCGAAAACTTTTGCACCCATTGTTTCTACCTGTCTCAATGCCACCTCTTCAGCTCTCGCTGTCATTGCTGAACAGATATAATAATTGTAAAATGAAATTCCAACATCAATCAGCTGAATCAACTATTCAACTCATCGCATCGGTGGTTTAGTGGTAAAATTAGCCGTTGCCATCCTCACAGATCAATTCGGCTAGCCCCGGGTTCGATTCCCGGCCGATGCAATCAGATGTCTATCTTTTTTTGCGATTTGAATGGTGGTGGGTGGTGTTGTGGTGGAATGAGGTGGTTGGGACGGGGTCTCTGCCACAACTCACGAACGCTGACCCAACGCACCGAGACGGGCGCTTCTCTTTTGCGCCTAGGATTAACTCGTCGCGTCCTTTCTCTGCGGTATATTATTCTGCTTTTTGAAGGGGGGGTGTTGCGGTTGAAGCGGTCGCACTCGGGTCTCTCGATCACTGACAAGCACTGAAACAATGCGCAAGGTTGACAGGCTTTTTTGCGACGGAAAAAGACTCGTCCTTCTTCTTCTTTGCTACTATATGATAACAATACATTTTTGTTGCTCAGATGGATGATTGCACCTAAGTGCAGGCATTTCTGAACGGTCAATGGAGTCTTCCACGACAGTAACTTTGGTTATTTGGACAGATTTCTCATACAAATATGGGCATCGTCTGCAACTGTCACGAAGCATCATGCCGCCGACACAAGGTGGTTCAGTGAACGAACTAGAGCTGGACCGAATACAGAGTAGAAATAGCCACCCAGCCATGATCTCCAGTATCTAGCCACGTACATAGAGACAAACTTCGCTATGCAAGTAGACATTTGCGAAGCATCTACTGGCACAGTAGCTAAGTCTTCATCGAACTTTTGGCTAACACGTGCTTAGCCCCCTATGCGCATCGTGCCAAGAGTGACTAGATGTGTCATTTACAGTCTGCAGAACATTTCAAGCATGCGTCGACACGAATCTCCCAATGATTTTGCACTGCGATTGATGATCCAAGTTGCGGCTGGCTGTGGATATGGGAATGGCGCCAAATCCGAATGCAGGCTAGCGCCACACGAACGACGCAATAAGCGAGTCGAAATTCACGCTCTTTCCCAACCAGCTTTGACGACGACGACTCTCGACCTTCGACGCAGATACTCCCAAGACAACCCCGCCGTCTACATACTCATCAGTCACCATGGAGAACGAACGCGGCGAGCTCGTTGACCGTAAGGACCCTCTCTCCTTGTACAATAGTTGGCAGCGCACTTTGGGCCCCCACCAGCCCAACGCACACGATTATTGCCCCAGAAGTACTGCTAACATCACTCAGTTTACGTCCCCCGCAAATGCGTGAGTGCCCGAGAAACTCGCTCGTAACCTTCGATGCGCGATGCTAATACCTTCAAGTCCGCTACCGGACGCATCATCAAGGCCAAGGACCACGCCTCTGTCCAGCTCAGCGTCGGCAAGGTCGATGAGAGCGGCCGCTACACCGGCGAGAACCAGGTCTACGCCCTCTGCGGCTTCGTACGCGCCATGGGCGAGAGCGACGACAGCTTCAACAGGCTCACACAGAAGGACGGCTTCCTCAAGTCGGTCTGGAGCGCGTCCCGGTAAAGGGCTGGATGGAGATGGAGTTGAGGTACGGCAGATCTATGGCTCCCACGCCGGAATTCAGTTTTACTGGAGAGCGAGGGCTGACTGAAGCAGGAATTCGGAATCTGAACTGCCTCTTTGAAGGCGCAGGCATGCATTTCACGGCGACTTAGGCCTTCCTTTCCTTTCTCACCAGGACTACAACGGTATCATGAGGAATGGAAATCAGTTAAGACATGAATACCATCAAATTCACGCAAGTCTACATGTCTGCTTTATGGTGTTCGCACGCGACATCTCTCGCTGGCCGAGTGATGAACGAACGGCGTCCCAGTGCACAAACGTGTCGAGCTCTAGGCGCACATCCCACACCTAACGAAAAGCAGGGCTCATGGTGGATTATTGTCTAGAGCTAACATGGGATACCTCCACCCACCACTACTTGCCTCATGCCGCAGTCTAGTCACCCTAATTAACACGATACGGAGCCAGCAATCTTGACCTCCGTGTGAGTTGTCAAGATGCCTTGATGCCCGAGCAGTTACCGATCGCATCGACTTGTGCCATTAACAACACATGACACGACACGAAACGCCTCTCGCTCAACATTCGAATCGAGCAATGGAGTCTTACAAGACACGCATGGAAAACTAGCTTCTCCTCTAGATTTGTCGTATCCTGTCCGACACTCATTGCAAAACCCATTACACGTGCCAGCGGCGTACTTGCTCCTCCCAGCCGCATCAGTCCGACCAAGCTCCGTCACAAGACCAGCTACACGCAGATCCACCATGTAGCCGCGATACCTGCCCATCGTGTGAATTTTCCCTTGTACTCTAAGCCTAGACTTCCATCCCATCACGCCGGTCGTGACACGTATACCTCATGTAAGGTTCTGCTGTGTACATCCTGTCGTGAAACACACGACGAGAAGGCTCGATAGGTCACAGGTGGGGTATCGCCCTGAAGCGGTAAGCAATCACGATAGGCAGCAGCCTCGTGTGTGTACGGTATGGTATGCACGCGTTGATTGCCTATCTTATGTGGAGAAGTCCATTCCCAAGGCTCCGGGACGAAGCGTCTAGGCTGGGTATTTCGCGGGCTAACGCGATCGTTGGGTAGTAGAGGCTGGCTTGCCTCGGTGATCCCTTTCTGTAGACTTGCGCGCGTGACATGTATCTGTACAGACGGGTGGGAACAATATTGGGCTTCACCGTTCGTTTGTTCGTGCGTGCGTTCGGTCATTACCACTAAGCTGGCTACCGATAACACATCACCTAGTCATCAAATCTTCTCTATCAATTGACACATTCAGCACACGACACGACACGCTCATCTCACTTGATTATAATAAGCCTCCCGCCCACACTTCTGCATGCTGGGATCCCGAGGATCGAAGGAAAAGATCACCCGTGCGTGGCAGCCGCTCATCCGTCCGCTATGGGAATGTGCGTGAAGCACACCGATGAGCAAAAGAAACTTTGGTTGTGTGGTGTGTGGTGTGTGGTGAGTGGTGACGTACCAACGAGGTATGAATAGGTGTAACATTGCATTGCCTGTAATGTGGTCATGGAATAGCACCGAAAGAAGAGTAGTGGCCAATTGGACCGTAGTTGTTGTAATTGCACTTTGGACAGTGCACTTTCGACGATAGGAGATATTATGGAGCATATACCTAATGCAGGCATTCATTGATAGCGGGATAGCTTGCTTTTGTAATGTTTGTGTTTCTTTTGCGCGAGTATCGCTGACACAAACTAGCAGATAGAGCATGTAACTTTTCCTAGGGCGCAGGCCATGCATGGTCCGCTAGTTTGATGACTCGCCTGGTACGACGCGAGGCGAATATCCACGTCAAAGAAGGACGCCCCAATTAACTTGATGAATTGCAAATCAGTCCATTGAGCTGACGGATTTAGGCTGTTACGTAAATACCACAACCCGTTCCCTTGATCTCTACAGTTCTCTCCCAAACTTCGATTACTGAACCCATCCCAGTGCTACACCGGTGTACAAGCCCCTTCGCTACCAAAGCTGCCCTCCCACCCATCACAACGTGGCAGACCCACACCTCAACCTCAAGTTAGGCGTCCCGCATCCGGGGAAGCGGGCGGTACTTGTAGCATACAAAGTTCCGACCCTGGGCCTTGGCGCGCATATAAGCGGTGTGATTATGCAAGCTGCGGACAGCTCCGCAAGCCAGTGCCTCTGAAACAACCGCTATTCATCTCGCTTCGACACCGTGACGTCAGAATCAGGTTCCACTATGGACGTATGTACGCGCGGTATATGTGTTGTAGTGGATGAATTAGCGTTTCGGCATTTTGCCGAATGTCGATCCAGGCGACGGGCCGTACGGAGTGCCGGAAGCTTGTGAAGTAGGGTCGGGAGTGAGGACTCGTACCCGTTTATTATCCTCTTTGTCGAGAGCACCACGGACTGCTGATACCGCTTTGCTTTCGTTTACTTTCCAGTCGTCGCCTTTGCGGACGGGTTTCGTACGATCCTTCTCTGCTTTTTTCCGGAGAACTTCCTGGAGCTTCTCGTCTCGCCGTTTACCCTGTACACAATCGCAGAGGCATCCTTCGGTCGGACAGGCCCCATCTGACAAGGTAGGGTCGATGAACCATGTCGATAGACAGTTTGCATGTCCACCATGCCCACACAGCGAACACCATGACCAAAGTGTCGCGATAGGCGGTCCCCATTCTGCTGGGGCCACGGGCGATGCCTCATCCTCATGATCCGAATCGGGAGCCGGATTCGAAATAGTCGAGGACCGCTTCCGTCTGTCATGATAGGTTGATCGGAGTTTGGCTTTTGCCTTCTTCTTCGCAGTGATCGGCTCGAAAGCTGGATACTTGCCCCAGCAAATAGGACATGGTGCCTGTGCTCGCTTGCATGACTCGCAACGCATCTTGTTGTTGGGGTTATTGATTGGTGACTTGCAACTGAGGCACAGTAGCCCAAGTTGGGTGTCTTTTAGCGCCTGTTCGTAAACGGCAGGATATGCGGGATACGCGAGTCGGCGAAGGGAAGCCGCGGAATTGTACAGGGAAAGACTGTGTAGCTGCGCATGATACGTATGCAGGATGGATTCTGCTTGGTAAGGATTAATACCGGCGGCAATTAATTGACTCAGCTGCGTTGAGAGAATAGCTTTTGCTTGCGTTGGTGTCAAACCAAGCGACACGAAGGTATCTGTGAAGGTGGTGAGAACTTCGCCAACGTCTACGGCAGTTGCTGGAGAAGGGCTGTGCGTCTGCGGCAGTAGTGGTGCTAGAAGTAGAAGTAGGAGCGATGAAAATTGTGCGTCTGATGCGCTTGAGTGGTAAGCGAGCAGATGATTCAGAAACCCGATGACAGAGTAGGATGATCCCTCCTCAGCATCAATGTGCAGAGCTTGGAAGTCAGAGAGCGACAACGCATTCCCAACAGCTGGATCAAGTACAGGAGGCACACTATTCGTGGTAGGGGGCAGGGGTGCAGGTGGCTTCCAGCCCTGTGGCGATCTAACCTCGTCGAAGACTTCAGGTACAATTGTTCCACTAGCATCCATATCAGTGCTGTGCTCCAGTGAGGAAATGGACGTGTCGTCGAGGCTGCTGGCGTATGCTTCAGACTCAGAGCTATCATGACGAAGCAGCTGATTGTTGCGTCGCAAATGCTGCATCTCCTGCACTGCTCGCTCCCCGCTGCTGAATTCGACCAAGTGGCCCGGATCCTCACGGGTTGAGCCTGGTTGGACACCTTGATCTAAAGGCACGTCGGTTCCATCCCGAACTATATCCAAAGGGATGCCAGTTGGTGATAGTGGAATACTTCCCTGTTGTTGATCCTCCGTGGACGTGATTCTAGGGTTGCCAAAGCTTGAATTTTCTGTACTGACTTGCCAACTCTCTGAGAAGGAGTCTGTGGTTTGCAAGCGCGACTTGTCACTCGCAAACGAGCTTGGCATGGAGTTGCCGCGTTGCGAATCTGTGGAAGCGGAGAACATGGCGAAACTTTCTCCCGAATCGTGCCTCTCTAACGGAGGCGGGACGGTTATGCTGATCCCTTGTGGGTTAGTGGGTTCAAGGCTCAATGGTATCCGTGGGGACGCTCGCCAACTGCTGACCATAGCACGGCGTTCATCGAGGCCATCTGTAGCGTGGTACCAATTTGGCCCGTTGAAGATGGCTTGTGAAGGTGTAAGCGTTTTGTTTCCACCCAGGGAACTGCCAGCATTAGTCTGTGGAGTAGTGACAACAGGCGGCGGCAGAGTGATTTGCTCTTGATCAAGATCCAGAAGATCGGGCCTTTCTGGGTTGTTTACAGTGGAGTTGGAGGTTGTCAGTGGGCGAGCGAGAGGGGTGGTAATATTAGACGTGCTTTCACTGATGGGCGGAGTTTGGGCTAAAGGCAGCACTGGACTCGGTTTCTCGAGTGTACCGAGAATAGCACGCACTGCGGGGTTTGCTGGAACTGACCACCGCTTGTCCTGTGCCTCTAAAAGTTCAAGATTACTTTTACTGTCCATGTCCGCTGACGCTGACGCTGTAGGCTTGCGCAATCTTCGTTCTCTGTGCAACTCTGCCCGTCGCCGTGTTGCACTGGTAATGGACGCGCCAACTACTCTCCACGTCTGTGCAAGCCTGTATAGAGCAGCTCGCTGTGCGTACTCTGCGTTTTGCTCAAACACTCGGTCCAGCTCGAGAAACGAGAGCAAGTCGGGCGGATCAGAAAGTGGTATCGCTTTGTACTTTTGAGCTAGATAAGCAAAGATGTGAACGTTGGAGGCACCTGGCAGTGTGCCCCGAAAGGCCAGTTGGTTCGGCTTGAACGACTCGCCATGTGTGGTCATGGAGTCGCTGAGGAACATGACTTTGGGTGCAGTGTCAGATGGAGGGGTGCTGCTGAAGGATTTGGCCGATCTGTTGCTTGCCGTGCGGCCATGATGTCGCTTCATGGATGAGGCGAGAAAGCTGTCATCTAGACTGTCATCTGCCGAGCTTCGTAGGCTGCCCTTCTCTGGACTACCGCGTCGGGCACGTGTACTACTAGCGTAAGCATCCTCGGGATACGCTAAACCAGCCGAGGACCGGCGCCGTGGTCTTCTTTGCGCCACGCCGCCAACTTCGCCGCTTGGCGATACTGCAAGAGCCTGCAAGTTACGGCGATCCACCGTTTTGGGAGCATGGTGCACATCGTTTTGCTGGAAGACGCCTTCCTTTCCCACCGTCCACAGGGTGTCACGCGAGTGCCAAAGCATGTCAGAGGGTGCGCTAGCAAATTTGTTGATCTGGCGAAAAGGCAAGTAGGGCCGACGAAAGTCCCAGACGTGGATGCCGGGATGCTCACGATCGTAGGACGTGGCTATCTGGGTGCATTGGTAGGCGCCTTTCTCATGATACTCATCAGACCAGTATGGCGGTCTCCATCTCGCCTTGTAGACGGGGTAGGGCGTGGTCAAGACCCAAGCCGCCTTTTGGCGGCGGCCGACGAGGGAAAAGTCCCAGACCTTGACGGTTCGATCGACGCCGGCACTGAGCAAATGCTTGCCATCGGGATGCCAGTCGATGGAGGTGCAGATGCGCTGGTCGTGGGCGGTGATTTTCTGCTTTGGGCCTTTATTGTAGCGGAAGTCCCAGCGCTGGATGGTGCCGTTGTCCGTGCCAAAGGCGAACTCGACAGCGTCGGTAGGGGACCATTGGACGTCTCGAATGCCACCGTTGACGCCAGCGTACTGATCTCGACTGCGGCAGGTGGTGACGTCTCTGCGCATATCGCGCAAGTCCCACAGGCGAACGGTGGCATCGTGGCTTGCAGACAGCAGCAAGTGGCCCTGGTGAGGGTTGAATGCAAGCTTGTGTACCTGACGGGTATGCTCGTGCAATCTAGTGAGCTCCACGCTGGCACGGTTCAGGTCGTAGAGGATGACTTTGCCGTTGGCAGCGGCCGTGGCGATGTGGGAGCTGAATTGGCCATGGGACCACTTGACGTCGTGGATTCCGAGGCCTTCGCGCTGTCTGACATGTGAGTCTGCATAGTTGAGGACGGCAGCGCGCAGATTGGTTTCGTCGACAATCTTGGCATCTTGCACGCGTACTGTTTTTAGGATTTCCTTGCCCGCCAGGACAGCATGCGTCCTCTCACGGTTGATGTCCAGGGCCGAGATGTCGAGGCCTGTCTTGTGGCTTGCATCTTGCGAGTAGCCTGTGCGAATGCTGTAGGGGACGTCTCAGTGAGTGGCAGGAGCAGAGAGAGAGGAGAAGATGTTGAGACGGGAAGGAGCGGTGGATGGAAAGGGCAGGCACGTTGGGCAAGAGGTGGGAATACATGGCAGGTGGTGAGTGGACGAGCAAGGAACAGCAATGGGCCTGGATGCAGAGGGGCGTAATCATGGATAGACGACAGACAAGGACATGCCAGTGATGGTGGTAGTCGACGTGTCTCTTTGGGCGACTACTAGTTGTAGAGGCGCAAAGGAACATGGGAACATGGGAAGCAAGGGAAGCAAGGCTGCTACAAAACATACCCGGGAAGTCTCGGCACTAGCACGTTTGGGGGCCCGCCCTCGGCTCGACTCGTCTGCGCACTGGGTGGACGCGACCCGTAGGCGGTAGTCAAGGGTTGGGCTACAAAGCGCTCAAAGTACGAGCGGGACTTTGGCTTGGGGGGCGGTGGTGGAGGTGCTGGGGGAATGTTTGGCGACGCGACAGGAGCAGCAGCAGCTGACGTGCGGCGGTCCGTCATGTGTTCCAATGCTGGTGTTGGTGTTGATGAGCTGCTACGGCTACGGCTACGGCTACGGCTACGGCTAGGTCCAGGGCCTCATGACAGACGACAGTGGCCAGCGCAGCCTTCTTGCGGCGGTGAGAGGACAGGACGGTGTGGGTGTGGGTGTGTGAAGCGAGGAGAGGTGAGTAGTAGGCGGCGCGGCGGCAGAGGTCCCCCCTCGATGCACGATAGGGTACCAGTACTACTAGCACCCGTACCAGTACCGGTACACAGGACGTGGTGTAGTGGAGTAGTGTGTGGTGTGGTGTGGTGACAAGCTGCTGCAGGCTTGTTTGGGGGCTTCCCCCTGGATGCGTGCGTGCGGCGAGGATGGGATGCAGCTGCAGGCGGCGCAGGCGCAGGCGCAGGCCGGGGTGGTGGCGTCTGGACTCGATCTTCGCTTCAAAAGCTAACCGCCAAGGACATGGGTGCGGCGACGCCACCACCCAGCTCGCCCACCTCTCCATCACCCGTGTGTGTGCACCATGTCACCGCGTCTTCTCCCTCTCTGTTACCGTCTCCGTCTCCGTCTCCGTCACACGTCTTGTTCTCTTTCCCATCTCGTCCCTCTGTCCCTCGCTCTCTGCCCCAGGTGGTGAGCCCTTGCACTCGGGTCTCACATCGCCCTGCAGACGACCAGGAAGCTACACCCATCTTCAATCATGGCCATGGTGGCCGACGACGCCCAGGTCGAGCGCCTCCACCAGCGAGCTGTCGACCATTCGAGATGGGCCCATGCCGACACGCTCGTCTCGCTCGTCACCCTGCTGCAATATGCCTATCCCATCGTTATGCTGTGCTTCTTCCTCGTCGCCTTTACCCTGCGTAGCATTGCCGCCTCTAATTCTAATGCTAATATCTCGAAACCCACCACCCTTGGCCCTGGAGGCAAGCCGCTGCCCGCGACCGATCCCACCCGCAACTTTGTCAAGAAGACGGCCCACGACCATGTCACACACACCCAGAAGCGGCTCTTCGAATGGGTTTCCCTGGCCACGGCCCTCACCTTTGTCGGCAATTCTGCCGTCATCATTGTGCATGCATTGGTCAAAGAGAAGGAGCACTATTGGGCTGGCAAGGCGGCTGTGGTATGTACAGAGAACACAACACATGGGAGCTTCGTGGCTGGCAAAACTAACGCCTGGGTAGATTTATCTCGTAGGCTCCTTCTTCGTCTACTGCCTGTTCCTCATCTCCCTCCTCGATTCGAAGCCCTCGCCAACCATGGCCCACCTGGCAACATGGACCTTGGCTACCGTGCTAGAAATAGTACTGGTAGCCTGCTCTTTCGCCATATACACGCATGCCCATAATGAGCGCACTGCGGGCCGCACCAACACCCCACTGCGCTTCCGCATGACGAGCTGGGAAGCGGCTGAAGTGGCCATGGACTTGCTCCGCATCGTATTGCTCCTCGCCCTAATTGGCTTTTATGTTGCCTTTGTTGTATTGCCCCAGCGCAAGGTGCTAGAAGAGGCGGGAAGCTCGAGTGAAAGTACGGCGCTGCTGGGTGGCGCTGATCGAAATGGCCACGCGGAAAACGGTCACGCCAACGGCTCCTACGGCTCAGTCCATCCGGTGGGTGGCAAACACCAACACACAGAGGGTGCACCGCCCGCCTGGAGTCGACCCACAGGCGCACCTGCGCGCAGCTGGTGGGAATACATCAAAGGCTACCATGTCTTCTTCCCGTACCTCTGGCCTTCCAAGGATCGAAAATTGCAAGTCGTCGTCGTTCTTTGCTTCCTCCTCGTCCTCGCTCAGCGCGTCGTCAACCTGCTGGTTCCCGATCAGCTGGGGAGCATTGTTGCTCGTCTTGCACACAAGCAACCCGGCAGCCCCTGGACCGCCATCATCATCTTCATCTCGTTTCGTTTTCTGCAGGGCGGCAATGGTCTGCTGGGCGCTGCACGAGCTGCCCTCTGGATCCCCGTCTCGCAGTACTCGTATCGCGAATTGTCTGTTGCGGCATTTGAGCACGTGCACAGCCTCAGCCTGGATTTCCACCTCGGGAAAAAGACGGGTGAAGTCCTGTCCGCGCTTGGAAAGGGAAGCTCCGTCAACACCTTTCTGGAGCAGGTGACCTTCTCGGTGGTCCCCATGCTGATCGACTTGGTAGTCGCCATTGTCTACTTTCTCGTCAAATACGATGCTTACTATGCGCTCGTCCTCGCCATTGTTACCTTCTGGTACATCTATCTGACGATTCGCATGGCGCAGTGGCGCGCTGAGATTCGCCGAGAAATGGTCAATGCGGATAGGGAAGAAGATGCCGTCAAGAACGATTCAATGGTGTCGTACGAAACCGTCAAGTATTTCAATGCCGAAGCGTACGAGTTCAACCGCTACCGTGAGGCCGTCAAGAAGTACCAGAACGCCGAGTACAAGGTCATGTTTTCGCTAAACGTGATGAATATCACACAGAACATGGTCTTCATGCTCGGCCTGCTCGTGACCTGCTTCATCGCAGCATATCAGGTCGCCACAGACCAGCAGGACGTAGGCAAGTTTGTCACGCTCATTACCTACATGGCTCAGCTTCAAAGTCCTCTTAATTTCTTTGGCACCTTTTACAGAATGATCCAGTCTGCCATGATCAACTCAGAGCGCATGCTTGAGTTGTTCAAAGAGCAGCCCACCGTGGTGGACAAGGAGGATGCCATTGTCCTGGCTTCGTGCGAAGGCAATCTTCGCTTCCAAGACGTTCATTTTGCCTACGACCAACGCAAGCCCGCTTTGACGGGTCTCGACTTTCACTGTAAACCGGGCACAACCACTGCATTTGTTGGCGAGTCTGGAGGCGGCAAGTCAACCGTGTTCCGCCTCCTCTATCGATTCTACAACACCACATCGGGAAGCATTCAGGTGGACGGACACGATGTCGAAGATGTGACCATCGAATCAGTGCGCCGCCACATTGGTGTTGTTCCTCAAGACACAGTCTTGTTCAATGAGACGCTCATGTACAACCTCAGATACGCGAACCCAGAGGCAACGGACGAACAAGTGTACGAGGCATGCAGAGCAGCGAGCATCCACCACAAGATCATGACGTTCCCGGACAAGTACGAAACCAAAGTCGGTGAGCGCGGGTTGCGCCTTTCCGGGGGTGAAAAGCAGCGTGTTGCCATTGCTCGTACCATTCTGAAGAACCCCCGAATCATCATGCTCGACGAAGCTACTGCGGCGCTTGACACGGAGACAGAACAGCACATCCAGGAAGCGTTCACAACCTTGGCGCAAGGGCGTACCATGCTCATCATTGCCCACCGACTTAGCACCATCACTCACGCTGACCAAATTCTCGTCCTGCACAAAGGCAAGGTGCAGGAGAAAGGAACCCACGAGGAGCTTCTTGAGCGCAATGGCCATTATGCGGCCATGTGGAAGAAGCAGATACGAGCCCAGAGAGCGGCCGAGCAAGCCAAGGTACTGAAAGACAAAGCCGATCGCCTTCGACGAGAGTCCAAGGACGGAACGATTGGGCTTGACGATTGCAGCAGCAGCCATTCTGCTTCTTCGTCTGACGACGAGAGAGCGAAGAAACTCCGCTCTGGACCTCAGGAGGGTTCTTATCGAGCCGAGGGCTCTAGCAAACCCCATGGACACCCATAGTCTCGTACATTAGTATTACCAGAGTCGCCCCAGCTTCCGTAAAGGCGGCAAGAAAAGTCGCATGAGAATGCGACATCATAGAGCGATATCATAGACCTGCACTGCTGGTCATGCATTTCCGACCCAGCATTTACCATGAGTGTTAGAAGCAGTGTATGGGCGATATCGACGGCCCTGTTGACTCGAGCTCGAGCAGCATATAAGCCGAAACCGCTGTCCCTACCTTAGAATTCCCTACGGCCCAAGGCCCTTTTCCCTCAGCGATCCAAAATTGGGAGGCTCTCTTTTCACGGCGTAAGTTACGACATTGATTTTTCGCTGTACATGCTTCGAATTCTTGCGACCATGTTTGTCCCTACCGCAATGGCGTAACGATGATGGATTTTCGACGTTCAACATGGATTGATTGATTGTACGCGTTTTTGGTGGTAATGTTGAGCGAGCCAGCGGGTGGTTTTTTGCCTCTTTTTTTTTTAATACATCGGCACGGGAGGATACCAAAATTACGGATTACGTCGACACGGTGAAAATAGTTGAGCGTTTTGGGACCGGGTGTGTCTGTTTATCTACAGCGTCGTGTCGTGTCGTGTCGTGTCGCGGCGTATGAGATGTGATTCGATAGCAGCGTGGGCGGTGTCGTGATTCGAAGACTATGCCAATCTATGGCGCATTACATTGAATAGAGGTATTGCAACATTCAGATGTTCATTGCAAGGTGCTGTGTGTGTGTGTCAAGTGGAGTACTCAAGGCTGGGAGGCATGCTGGTGCTCAGAATCCATAGTCCCTGGAAGCCTCGGTAAACCCAGAGCTGCACCTCTGCGGCGCAGCAGCAACATCTTGTCTCAGGACCGCACACGATGTCCGCTGTGTCGCTCAGCCCGCTACCGACACCCTGGGAAAGGCAACGTGATCATCCATAGCGTCCCGAATTGACGGGTCGCTTCCAACGACTCCTCGGCTTGCTTACTCTATGCCCTCTATATTGTTGCGGCTCAGGTCCACCTACACCCAAGCGGGTCGACCCCGCCATAGCTGCGTATCGCAGTCAGGGGAGGCGTCAGTTTTGGAGAGCCCACCCGTTATGTAGCCTGCAGCAAGGAGGGGCCGGCAAGTTTATTAAGCGTTTGGGATCCATACTGTTCGCAGGCTGGCTGGCTGGCACTGTTTTCAAGGGCGGCGACGACGGCTGTGGCAGGCGGCAGCGAAGAAGCGGATCAGCCTTTTCGGTACTGGCCCGGCCTTGTTCAACGCTTCTAACGGGATACGCCCAACCCAACTACCTCTCCTCGTTTTCTCCCTCCTGACAAAGGCGGTCTCTTGGTCCCCCCCCCACAACAACTCACTCTATCTTATACATAAGACCGTTCTGCAAAGCCTTCAGGAAACTTCTCTCACGCAGCGAGCGCTGGCTGCTGGCGGGACTTGCGGTACTGTTTACACGGAGATTGCCACGAGCGGTCTGCGATTGTGAGGAGTGTCGATACCCAACAAAGGGATTTCACTACCTTCACCAACCTAGTTACCCCGTGGTCAGATACGGGTAGTGCGAAGCTACAAACACCTTACGAACCCTGAGAAATACTCCGCGGACCCGAGCATTCTGTCTTCTCAAACCCGCGAGACTGGGCCGCATACGAAGCTAGTGGGTAGTCTACAGAGGAGGGAACAAAAACATGTCGGATGCTCTATACGCTGCTGAGCCAGCTGACATCGACGTCGTAAGTGTGGTATATATTTCCCGCTTCATGTTCTCCTACTCCATGTCCTGGACTTGCTGCGTTTCGATTCTTTGTTTTCGAGTCGTGTAACACTGTTGCGTTGCGAACTTATTCACATGCTCCTTCACACTGGGACTTTCCTTGTTCAAGAAGGTTGGTGGCGTTACGCCACCAAGTTCTACCCCCCTGTCCTAAGAATACATACTGTACTCAAAGTCACTCGTCACTCATGTCCCGATACACGTTCATGCCTCCATGAATAGAATATCTCTCGCAATCCATCACTAACCATTACAGGACACGGAATATTCCGACTTCCAAGAAGAGGACGACAATGATGCGGACCGCATGTCCTATGCTACGTACGTACAATATAGTCATGACCTCTTGGTCTGAATTACTTTGCTCATATAGACAACTCAGGGGAGGCTCGTTAGCATCAAACATCACTAGATATCGGTACGAGAATGGAAGACGATATCATGCCTACCGTGCGTACATGCTTGACTATCGAGTGTAGAAAACCCACCAGCGCTAATGATGACATATATAGGAGATGGAACCTATTACCAGCCCAACGACGCGCAAAGCCAATCCTACGAAGCCATAGTGTCAGTAGTCCCCCGCTTCCTTTCCCCTCCTCCCCTATATACTAACACAAACGCCCGTGTAGACACCATCTCTGGCTCCTAACCCTGCACGACAAGCTCTTCCTCGCGCCCCTCGCCAACCCCGCGCGTATCCTCGACATCGGCTCCGGCACCGGCCTCTGGGCCGTCGACATAGCAGACCACTTCCCGCACGCCGAAGTAACCGCCACGGACCTGTCGCCCATCCTGTACACCAGCGCCCCACCAAACCTAACCTACGAGATCGACGATGCAAATCTCCCCTGGACGTATCCGCCCAATCACTTCGACTTTGTACATATCCGCGGGCTGACGGGGTGTATACGCTCGTGGTCGAATACGTACGCGCAGGTGTATGAGCACTTGCAGCCCGGTGGGTGGGTGGAGCACCTCGAGTTCAGCGTAGACACGAGTGCGGATCCGCACGGTGAGCGCGAGGCAGATCGGATGTTCACCGCGTTCTCGAACAGCATGATCGGTGCGGGAGAGAAGACGGGCATGACGTTTAGTATTGTGCGGCAGATGGGCCAGTTGATGCATGAAGCTGGCTTTGTCGACATACACGATGTCAAGTTTATATGGCCTATTGGTACCTGGCCTAAAGATGCTCACTTGAAGGACCTTGGGCGGTGGGGAGAGCGGAATTGGAGTGAAGGGATTGAGGGCTGGATCTTGGCGCTGTACACCAGAGTGCTGGGGTGGACATATGCTGAAGTGCAGGATTTTGCGAGGGAGTTTAGGAGGGTGATTAAGAATCGGAAAAATCATCTCTGGCATGAGGTAAGGTGCGTGTATGCAAGGAAACCGTTTGACCATGAGATAGTGAGGAGGGAGGAGAAACGAGATGGGGGTGAATAGAAAGAATCTTCGTTGGACAATGTTCATATTAAATGCCGTTGTCTCATGCTCGTTGCATTACTATATCGCGCGCGCTTCCAAGAAGCCCAGGTATGCTCGTCATCGATTCGCCAGGCGCCCAAACTGTTTAATCATTGCTGACTTTCATGTCCGGTGGATATAGTACAGTCATGTCTATGCCTCACTCGCCATCCTCAAAGGAATGGGAGCTTGCTGGCGGAGGATACCTACTCGTCCATATCGACATCCTGCTCATTCGCGTTGCCATTCTGCCGCGCGTTTGACTTGGGCACCGAAGCTTCCTTGTCGATCATTTGCCGTGAAACAGATACGATGTTGTCTTCGATGAGTTGCTGGCCGACGTCGGAGATGTCTGTGGAAACACGTTAGCCTATATCTACAACAGGTCGCCCCAAGACTGAACGTACGCTTCTTGGGATCCACCTTGCCGACATATCGCGTCTTCAGTTGGTCCTTTGTGAGTTCCGTCTCCTCTTTGACACGCTTCTCGTAGCCCTCGGCCAGCGAGACGAGCTTCTGTAGTCTGTCGTTATTCCGTGCGCCTTCGCCTTTGAAATCGTCCATCAACAGTGCCTCTGTCCAGACGTGCTTGTGCAGGTTCATCAGCATGTTCTCCTCGAGTGCGGTCTTCCGGTAGTTGATGCCTATGGAGTAGTAGTGGCGGTTCAGGCCATGGATGAGGGCTTGGATCGAGGGCTTGTTCAAGTGGCCGACGTTAGAGGTAGTTTGGCGGGGCTCGTGGCCCATCATGAGGGTTTGAGGGTTGATGAGGCGGAAGGCATCGATGACGACTTTGCCCTTGACCGACTGGATGGGATCGACGACGACGGCGACGGCACGCGGTGTGAGCTGCTCGAAAGACTGCTGTGTGTTGATGTCGACTGAAGACAGCCAGCAGCCGAAGCCGGGATGTGAGTGGTACCAGCCGACGACTGTCTCTTGTCTGTATCTGGTCAGCGTCTGCGCGTAGACAGAGCCAGGGTAGTAGACACGCACCTTCCTGTTTGCCGCAGCATATCCATCATCTTGGTCTGAAATACCGGGTCGACCGCCTCGACAGAGACACCGGTACCTGACTGCGGCATGGCAAACACGTCCACCACGCGCACTGTGTAGTCGTCGACAAACTCGCCCAGCATCAGGCCCATGACCTCCATAGGCACACCAGCCCGGCCGTGCCGCAGCATCTTGAGTAGCGCAAGAGAGGAGATGTATACGGTTTCCGAGTTATCGATCAGGTTGGTGTCTTGGGCGGGACCTCCCATGCCACCCATTCCTTGGGCGGCGGCGAGCATTCTACTTAACCGATCCATGGCGGCGTGTGGGGTGCTGAGAGTGGGTTCTTTGGGCGTGGAGCGCGTCGAGGATGGGACCAGGTGGAGTAGGGTAGAGGGCGTAGAGCGTGTTTGGTGAGGCGGCGGTGATGATGAGGTACCACTACTCTACGTACGCACTCTCTCTTCGGAGCTCTGTCGCGACCGCTGGCGGCAGGCGTGTTGTTCCGGCACCGGCACTAAGCAAGGGTAGGTAGCCCTGGCGGCGCAGCGCAACTCATCATGACCACCCGAGCTTTGTTTGCCGAATGCTCCACCATCTCTATCTTTCATTGTCTGGGGCTCTTTGACGCTCCCCTCTTATAGGCGTGTGCGACGACACCCTTGCGCATCGCAGACACCCTCCGACTCCCACTACACCCCCTTCGAAGCCTATTCACGTTGCGCAGTCGCACCGTAGCAAACACACGCCCCAGCGCATCTTCAGGACAAGCAACCCAAACATGACAGACATGGCGGGCAGCGATTTGGGTGCCTCCAACAGTATCAGCAATGGCAACACGTCGCGAGCCAAGAAGGTGGCCTACTTCTACGACTCGGACGTCGGTAACTACGCCTATGTCGCGGGGCATCCTATGAAGCCCCACCGCATACGCATGGCGCACAGCTTGATCATGAACTATGGCCTCTACACCAAGATGGAGATCTACGTAGGCAGACAACATCTCCCATAGCATGGCCAGGATTGCTAACCAGTCGTAGCGCGCAAAGCCCGCCTCCAAGTACGAGATGACGCAGTTCCACACCGACGAGTACATCGAGTTCCTGCACAAGGTCACCCCAGACAACATGGAGAACTTCACCAGAGAACAAAGCAAGTACAATGTCGGAGACGACTGTCCCGTCTTTGACGGCCTCTTCGAGTTCTGCGGCATCAGCGCTGGTGGCACAATGGAGGGTGCCGCACGCTTGAACAGAGGCAAGTGTGATGTTGCTGTCAACTGGGCGGGTGGTCTGCATCATGCAAAAAAGAGCGAAGCTAGCGGTTTCTGCTATGTAAATGGTGAGCAATTCCTAATCCTGCGTCTTTTGCCATGCTGACCCCGCAGACATTGTGCTCGGCATCATCGAGCTCCTGCGCTACAAGCAGCGCGTCCTCTACATCGACATCGACGTCCACCATGGCGATGGTGTCGAAGAAGCTTTCTACACGACCGACCGCGTCATGACCGTCTCCTTCCACAAATATGGCGAGTACTTCCCCGGCACCGGCGAGTTGCGCGACATTGGTGTGGGTAGCGGAAAGAACTACGCCGTCAACTTCCCTCTTCGCGACGGCATCACGGACGAAACGTACCGGAACATCTTCGAGCCAACCATTGAGGCTGTCATGACCTACTATGGCCCTGAAGCTATCGTGCTACAGTGTGGTGGTGACAGTCTTTCGGGAGACAGGCTGGGCTGCTTCAATCTGAGCATGGATGGGCACGCTAACTGCGTGCGCTATGTCAAGAGCTTTGGTGTGCCAGTCATCGTTCTCGGTGGAGGTGGCTATACCATGCGAAACGTTGCGCGAACATGGGCCTTCGAGACTGGCGAACTGGTCTCGGAGAAGATGTCGAAACAGCTGCCTTTCAATGACTATTACGAGTACTTTGCTCCGGACTACGAACTCGACGTGCGCCCCTCCAACATGGAAAACGCGAATTCCCACGACTATCTTCATAAGATCAAATCAGCCGTCATCGACAACATTCGCAGAACGGGCAAGCCTTCGGTCGAAGCCTTCACCACCATACCCGATGTGCCCGCTGCGTTTCGCACAATGGATTCGGATGCTGAAGACGAGGACGATGACCTTGACGCTGATGAGAATGCAGATGTGCGCATGACTCAGCGCCAACGGGATCAGCAAATCGAGCACGACGGTGAACTCTACGATGCTAGTGACGATGAGGACTACAAGAACAGCCTGGGTGTACGCGCTCAGCCTGGAGTGAAGAAGAGGCGGCACATTACCGACTACCCAAACCCCAACGCCGCGGCGGCCGACGATCTGGACGGCTTAGAAGAGCTGAACGGTGAAAGCGCTCTCTCCACTCGGCAACCGTCCGCTGCAGTGAAATCACGCACACAAACGCCGGCTGCCGCTGAGCACGAGGCTGACGAGGACGGCGACATCGACATGGATGAGCCCGCTGCTCCGACTGCTGCTGCAGTTGCCTCGACACGGTCACAGTCTCCAGCTGGTGTGGTTACCCCGCCAGAATCGCCACCAACAGCTACATCCGGATTGGCACCTTCGTCGGCTCCCGTTGCAGATGTCGACATGGATGACAACGCAACCAAGGAAGTATCTGAAGCGAAAGAGGCAGGCCAAGCAGAACGAGACTCGGAGAATGTCAAAGGCGAAGTTCGGACAGAAGTCGCAAAGGACTAGTCACGGCTTGTAAGCATGTGTTCAAAACATATTGGCCAAGGGTGGCAGGTGCATTTGGTCGGCGTTTCACTCTATTTTTATTTTTTTCAATTGCAGCGGACGGTGTTACGGTGTGACAGGCATGGACTGGATGTCTAGGATACCTACTCTATTTATTCTGACTCTTTGTGTTTACGCCACGGTCCGTCCCCTTGTGGGGGCGGCAAATCAGTTGATTAAAATATGTTCAGTTCTTATTAGCACGTGTGACTGCAGGTGGTCTGTTTAAGCAGAATCACGGCCCTCCATGCTATACAGATTATTAGCACTGATGTCGTACGGCAACACATCCCACCCTGTCCAACTCCCCTCATATTTCCTCACATGTACATCCCTTAACGTAATCCGAGATCTCTTCTTCTCCTGTCAGCAGTCTGACGAGAAAAAATAGTATATACCCGAGTAATAGTATTCGTCGTTGTGCTACATGTATACACAGCTTGTTTCTAGTTGCTATGTATGTGCTTCCTAATAGATATGCCGATGTGCTACTGCGAGAGCAGCACTAATATAGCCATGAACTAGTGGGGAGAGTTTGATCGTATCTTTGAGGTAAACGTCCTCTCGATCTACGAGAGGACAGCCAGAAGATGCTCAGAGCACTAACGCCATATGATCCAGATCAATATCGAGCCCGGCACTCAACTGCGGAATTTGTGTATATTTACTCTCATCCAGCATTCTTCTCGTCAATTGCAAAGCCTACTCAACATTAGCATTCGCGACTTTTTCAAGTTTTAGGAGCCTAACTTACCTCTGCGTACGAAGGGTTTTCAGCACGCTTCATTGTCTCCAAGAATGCCCATGTCATTGCGCCGGTTGCTTCGCCTTGGATGCTTGCATCTGCGCTTGTCTATGCTTATCAGCGAATCTGGTCTCAAACACACCAGGTTCAAGTTCCATACCTGGTCATCTCTGCATCCTGAAAACATGGTAACCATTTTCTGCTCACTCCCATACTGCCCCGCAAACTCCCCCTCCGCCAGTCCCTCTTCGTCCTGCTCGCCCATATGTTTCAGTCCCTTGAAAAAGCTGCTCGCGCCTGCAAGAAGTTTCTGCGCCTCTCCGACCTTCTGGTACGAAAAGCCACCCGAAATGATATTTCGCGCTTCACCAACCAGCTGTGCGCCAGCCTTCAGGTTGTCCATGAGGCTGATTTGCCCATCGCTGTCAGAGCGATAGACAAAGGGAAGCTCAACAGCGGAGCCAGAGTGGCAGCAATCCATGATGATGAAGAGGGTGCACCCAGGCGCCATGTATGTTACGAGATGTTCGTGCAACAGTGTACTTGAAATTTGGCCGCGAGATTCGAAATCAACAGGGACAATGGAGTCGTCGATTCCGGTACTGCGGTTTCCGTCCACATCTCTGATCTGTCCGCCATGGCCGGAGTAGTGTAAGAACAAGGTGCAACCGGGCTCTGACACTAGCCAGTCCATTGCTGCTAAGATATTGTGGCCTGTAGGGTAGTAGGGTGCGTCGTAGGGGACTTCAGGTCGATCGGTAAGAATGACGCGGTCCCGATGGGCGTTGCTGTAGCCTCTGTAGGAAAGAAATTCGGCCATGTTATCGACATCTGAATGGCAGCCTCGCAGCTCGTGGCGGCTACCGACGTAGTTGATCCCGATTAGGAGGCTTTTCTTGCGTTTGTAGGACATGTTTGCTCTATGTATAGATTTTGTGATCGTTTCTGTGGTCTTCTGGCTCCACAACCACCTTTTGGGGACTCTGTGTTTATCCTGTAGAAGTTGACGGTGCAGGGGCTATGTTGAGTTGGAGGGGTAGTGAATGTCCTCGTTACCGCTTTAGCTCTAGTGTTTATCTACGTGCATAACGCGTTCGTGCCTGGCCAACACAGAACACCCCCATTTGATTACGCAGCCAGATTACTCCCTGCAACGCATCTATGCAGGCCACTGTTACATGACGTCATATTCCTGCTATTCGCTTTGTATACACAAACATGGACCGCGATATCAGCCCACCGCCTGCGAAGCGGCGAAAGTTCGCAGCGCAACGAGCATCTCGTATACAAACATCGCCATTGCCCGCACCCGAAGCGCTCCCCCCAATTGATTCAAATGTCTTGCGCATCTTCTCGTGGAACATCAACGGTATCGCACCGTTTTTGCAGAAGCCAATAACGTCCTTCTTCCAGACATCGAACAAAAAAGCTCAGGGCGCAAAGGATGCTATACCCCCCGCATCTCTCCGAGGGTTCCTGCAGCGACACGGTTGGCCAGCTATGTTGTTTCTGCAGGAAGTCAAGGTCGCGACTAAGGACACAAAGACGCAAAATGATGTCAAAGCTGCTGTGAAGTCGAGATCGCCTTCAGAAATGACGTCGGGTCACAATGGACCTACGTACGAAGCCCACTTCACATTACCTAATGACCCGTATAATGCACGCGGTCTGCGAGGGAACGGCAAGGTGTACGGCGTGTGCAGCATACTTCGCAGTGACCTTCGGAAAGACTTCGATGTCAACATCCGAACAGTAGACTGGGACCAAGAAGGCCGCATTTCCGTTGTCGAAGTTACATCAACATCAAGAAAAATGGCAATCTATAACATATACGCTGTGAATGGTACCGAAAATCCCTACCGTGACCCAACAACAGGCGCTATACGAGGCACCCGACACGACCGGAAGCTGGAGTTCCATCGACTGTTGATGCAAGAATGCATGGATCTTGAAAAGGCAGGCTGGGAAGTGCTTTTGGCAGGCGATATGAACGTCGCGCCAGATGCTCGTGACGGCTATCCCAAACTACGCACATTTCCTCAGCAGCATATTGTTAATCGTGCTGATTTCCACGAGAAGCTCCTAGAAGGCAAAGGCCTGAATGGCGTTGATGTGTGGAGGCAGATGCATGCGGAAGAAAAGAGATATACGTATTTCTCGCGAGGAAGAGAGTGGGGTACGAGCTGTGACAGAGTGGACTACTTCATTGCAGGGAGAAAAGCTTGGGACGATGGACACATCAAGGCTTGCGGCATCCTAGACAGCGAAGCAGAGCGAGGTCCAAGCGACCATGTTCCTATCTGGGCGGATGTTGAGCTCGAGCGGAATGACAAAGTCGAAATAGGGGCTTGAAGGACAAATCAAACCGTGGCTTCTTCAATTATAAATCACTGCGTCCCCGCCAACTCACAATGACTAAGTACTTCGCCTGCGCCAAGTACTGCTTAGGATACAGAACTTGACCCTATTCGCCGAGCTGCTTTCCGCCGCGTACGATCTCGAACTGCGGCAAGTCGCCATGCTTCCCCTGCCATGCATGACGATGCAACGCGAAGGATTCGCATTCTGGCTCTGGTATCCTCGGGAATATCCCCATCTTTACGATGATCATAGTCGGGTAGATCTCAGCAATACTCAGGAGGGGGCTGCGTAACCATTAGTATCACATTGTTCGCCCTAATGCTCTTCTCCACTCCTCATATACTCAGAGCCATGAATTGGAAGGAACTCACTTCCCACAAGTCCCACAGAAGCACCTCTCAACACATTTCCCACTTGCCGTGGCATAGTCTCGGTACCTTTTCAATACACCCTGGGGATCATCAACAACGACCTTTTCTTTCTCGATGGCCAAGTTTGACGATACGTATGAGCCAGCGACTTTTCTGCAGTTGGCGCAATGACACAAGTGTCCGCGCTTTCTAGTAAAGAGTTCGTTGTCGTTAATGGTGATCCGGATACTGCCGCAGAGGCATGTTGCGCTAATGCCGTCACTGAATTCGGACGTGTCGTGTGAATTTGGGTCGCCTGTAAACTTGGCCGTGCTGGTGGCCATGGTGGGTGTCGTTGATGAGAATGGAGACTATTGGTCTTCTCAAGTTTTGTAAAGTTTTGAGAGGGCGAGGAACGTACTCTTGCTGAGAAATATGATGCACGCCGGCTGCGGGGTTAAGCGTATTCGTAAGCTTAAGCCCCCCACGTACCACGAAACGGTGCTCTGGGGTAGCTTCAGAGTATGGACGTCATCGCGCCGAATTTCCTAGAGCTCGACTTTCATCATGTTGCCCCACGTTTCGGAGCTTCGAGCTGCTCACTGAGCTTTCACGAATACGAGCTTCTACAGGTGTTGACGAATACCCAATTAACTACTTCACACTTGTCTGGAATGCCGACAACGGCTTTTTTGGTACTTAATCGCGACTTCTCTCGAGCTAGATACTGTTCACGTACCTTGGACCTGCTTCGAACACCACTGCATATCTCCCATCCAGCTATTCACATTGTTCTACTACGCAGATCACCTATACAACAGAAGTTCTGATGGCAAAACCAGCTCTCAACCCTCTGGCTATTTCCTCATGGAAATTGCGAAGCCGTTTAAGAAGTTTTTGGACGTAGGGCGCGAAGTCACCTTTGCATCAGCTGAAGGCAAATAGCCGCCGCATGATCCCCTCGGTGTCTCCATAGCCGCATTCGTCGGGAACTGCTACGAGCGGCAACGCGACCTTGACCTTATGGAGCGCATGAAGAAAGAGAACGGACTCGCTAGCCTACGGAGGTTCTCCGCGATCAGCGACGACGAGCTCAAGTCCTATGGCGCCGTGTTTATTCCGGGCGGTCACGCCCCTCTCACAGACCTTGGAGACAACCCCGAACTGGGTCGCATACTGTTGCACTTCCATCAGAATTAGAAGCCAACAGGCGCACTATGCCATGGACCACGGGCATTCCTCTTAACCAAGTATGGACCGCAGAAAGAGTTCACGTAGTCCGACGTGGAGGAGAAGTTCATGGAGGTCATGGACAGAGGAGCGATCGATAAAGCGGAGAGTTTTTTTGAGTGAGAGCGGCGCAGAGATGATTGAAGGCATCGCAAAGAGCTTGGGAAGCATCACCGTTGACCGTGAGCTAGTAACCGGGGATAACCCAATGTCGGCGGATGGGATTGCGGACAAAATGCTAGAGATGTTGGCTGCAGAGTAGCTGGTTGGGGCTTCGATATGCGTGCGATAGAACGCACACTTCCCATAACGTCTAAAACTGTGGTGTAGGAGTGTAGTTGTTCCGCGGTAGCCCTCCGCCGTGATTGCGCTTTTTCGGAGTGGGTCTACAAATTGTGCTATTGCCGAAGAGGCAGGAGAACAAGGCGCCAAGTCTTCCTGTCATCCACTACGCTCTAGTAACACATTTGCGCATCCGCCACACACCTATCAAAACGAGACAGCTGGTTCTTAATGGTCACATCGTACGTCCGAGTTCGCTTGTTTGCTGACGGGTACCTGCAGGGGCAGCGCTTACATCTCTCCTGAATATCTGCACAAAGTTACTGTTTGCTAGTGGAATGTCATCTCCACGACTCGCAATAGGGTTTGTATTAGCCAATACCGCCTGGACTTCTCACTAACAATCCCATGAGCCTGGATTCATTATCTGGGTTCCCGGTCGCGACATCCATATCTGGAAGGTCCTGGGATATCACGTCGTGATCGACTCTGCACGATATAGTGCCCAGACAACGAAGGACCGGGATTAGAGATTTGGGCCTGCCTATTCTACCAAGTCGCCAAGCCTCCATGCTACTAATTTCAACACCGCGTGAGAGCTTATAACGAAGTCGTGACCAGGAGAGGCAGGGCGCCGTAAATTTGAGCTGACCGGTGAGCGGTTTACCGTCCGCTCGCTAACTTGTTATTTGCTATCGCGCAGTAGATCCTATGGGATGTCTCAAACATCAACATGGAGACGGCTCGTATCAAGTGTGGCTTAAAATGTGCCTGTATAAGAACTGGCAAGAGGGCCGTCTTATTCGACATCTGCGCGGCTTGTTCTTCGTAGCTCTCCACTCGTTGTCAATATGCGATCGTTTCTTCTCGCTTCCCTCGCCTCTTTGGCCGCCATCAAGAGCACCTATGCTCATCCGAGACCTGGCTCAAATACGCTCCATCGGCGAGCCGTCGATCTTGACTCATTCCGTGTCAAGGTCGCCACCGTCTACAAGAACGCCACAGAAGTCGCAGCAGATCCGTCAATCCCTTCGCTTGCAAAACGCGCCAGCCCTCAAGAAGTTGCAACGGCCCTGGTTCAGTCCACGGTGCCTGATGCTAAATTTCGTCTTGTCGACGATCACTATGTCGGAGCCAACGGCATAGCTCACTTCTACTTTAAGCAGACCGCTAATGGTCTGGACATTGACACTGCGGACTTTAATGTTAACGTAAGTGCTGCAAACTTTCTATTCAAATGATGAAAGATCATTGAGATTGCGCAAAAAATGGACCTTTACTAATAGTGAGCAGATTGGCCGCGACGGTACTGTCTTTTCGTTCGGCAATTCTTTTTACAAGGGCGCTATCCCTGCAGCACCGAGCGTGAGCAAGCGCGATACTGTGGAGCCCGCCAATGCCCTCAAGTCGGCAGTTAGCATTCTCCAGCTCCCAGTGTCTGCTGAGTCTGCCACCGCCGAACCGAAAGAGGCGCATGAGACATTTGCTATCAAACAGACGAGCGGAACTGTCTCCGAGCCCGAAGCACGCCTTGTTTACGTTCAAGATGCTGCTGGCAACTTGAAACTGACCTGGCGGGTTGAGACTGACATCATGAGCAACTGGCTCTTGACATACGTAGACGCCGAAAGCGGAAATCAAGTACACGCTGTCGTTGACTATTCGGCCGACGCAAGTTACCAAGTCTAGTAAGTATAAAAAATGGACTACTATTGGACATATTGCTAATCCTTTCAAGCCCATGGGGCCTCAACGACCCTACTGAAGGAGGGCGCGTGATTCTCGACGACCCCTTCGACAGCCAAGCCAGCGAATTTGGATGGCATAGCACTCAACAACAATTCTTCAAGACTACTCGCGGAAACAACGGTGTCGCACAAACCAACTGGGACAACAAAGTTGATGGCTTGCTCGGCTTGCCCCGACCTTACAGCGAGAATCTGAAGTTTTACTACCCGTACTCGCTGAATGAGACTGATTATAAGAAATACGCCAACGCATCGGTCACGCAGTTGTTTTACACTTCGAACACCTATCACGATCTGCTACACGAGCTCGGCTTTAACGAACGCGCAGGTAACTTTGAAATTAACAACAACGGTCAAGGAGGTCTAGGAAACGACTTCGTCTACCTCAATGCACAAGACGGCTCTGGTGTGAACAACGCCAACTTTGCAACACCTCCTGATGGTCAAGCCCCCCGAATGAGGATGTACATCTGGACCAACACCCAACCAGTACGAGACTGTTCGTTCGAGGCTGGTGTTGTTATCCACGAGTACACGCACGGTTAGTCTAAACCAGTACAGTACAATATCTCGTTCCCTTACTTACCAAAACAGGACTCTCCAACCGCCTTACCGGTGGACCTCGCAACTCAGGATGTCTTAGTATGCTCGAATCTGGCGGCATGGGCGAGGGCTGGAGCGACTTCTTCGCGACCGCTATTCGCCTCAAGCGCTCCGACACCCGCTCTACCGACTACTCCATGGGCGCATGGGTAGCGGGCAACCCGAAGGGCATCAGGAACTACTTGTACTCCACCGACACGACCGTCAACCCCCAGACCTACGCCGACGCCGACCTGTATCAACGCGTACACCCTATCGGCAACATCTGGGCGTCCATCCTGTACGAGGTCCTGTGGAACCTGATCGACAAGCACGGCAAGAACGATCGCGGCACTCCCGAGTTTGACAACAACGGTGTTCCGACAGACGGCAAGTATCTTGCGATGAAACTTGTCATGGACGGTATGGCGCTGCAGCCTTGTAATCCTACGTTTGTCCTGGCGCGTGATGCTATCATTGATGCGGATAAGGCGCTCACTGGTGGTGCGAATGCGTGTGAGCTTTGGACCGGGTTTGCGAAGAGAGGGTTGGGTGAGCTGGCAAGGTACAGCGCTACTAAGCGGACGGACAGCTTTTTGGTGCCGGAGGGTGTTTGCACTGGCTAAGGAGGTGGAAGAGAGCTGTGTTACGATACCGCATGCTGTATGATCCAGTTACGATACGTAGTAATGCTAATGAACTCGGGTACAACATTCGACCGCCATGTGGAGTTCTAAACTTGAAACTATGATGCTACGTGGAGATACTGTTACACGAGTGATTACAGAGTGGAGATGGTCTTGCCCGTCCTCGGGGCAGTCGCTTAAATGAGTTCCTGTCAGCACGCAATCGTACTCGTACTCGTACTCGCAATCACCTTACCTCAGAACTCTAATGCCCCAATATTGGCTTACAGCTTGCAGTACGATTGCGACTAACAAGAAAATCATACCTTCAACAACATTCGCACGCTAATACGTAGGATGCCACTCCACAAGCACCCCTCATTACCTTGTACGAGACATCCAATCGCGGCTCCGTCGTATGTTCGATCGGATCAATCGTTGGTTGGTGGGGAACACCTTGGCATGCAATCCTCCCTTAGTGAGAATAAGCTGGAGGCGTCCCGAATCAAGCTAATTAACGGCATTGTTGGATGCTGGATTGGGACAGCTATAACATCGGTGTCCGAACGCGAATGAACGGCCACATCTTTCTAGCCGCCCTTCTAGAATGTGCATGGAAAGATGGTATATGCTGTCAGACGGCAAGCATGTGGACTCTTGTGTGATGGTGGTCGCAGTAAGCGTATGGCATCTGATGCCAGGCTGGACCCTGTAAAGCAGTCACGGTCATCGCGTGGCCTGCACGTGGAAAGTGCGTCGTTTTTGCATAGATAGCGAATACGGTCTGCATTGAGGCGAAGGGTAAGAATAGCGAGCCGGACGATGTAGGGCATGCAGGGAACATGGTATGATAAGGACAGACTTAGGCGACATGCTGAACGTAATGGGCTTGCTGCGAATATGCTGACACTTTACGTACCCTTATTTGACTGGCTTAGCCGTACCATCGTGCTCCCTTGCATCTTCATCTATATCATCATCCCATTCGTCTCCCCTTACACCGCTCTCATGTTCACCTGCAGAACCCCCACCAACAGCAGGTGGCGGCGCGTCATCATCGCTCTCGTCCTCAAACGCTGCAGGGTCTGCCAAGGGCTGACTCTCGGGATCAACATGTCTGCTCGACGCTCCGTTCCTCTTCGGCGCTCCGTCCACGCCCTCATCTGCAGAGACGGAAATGCCATTTCGCCCCCACTTATTCTTCGGCTGTACTACGTTGTTGCTCTGTCCAGCAGCAGCCTCTTGATCAAAGTCAAAATCGACGCTCTTTCGGCCCACAAAGCGGCCTACTAGCCATCCACGCCCCAGGTCATCTGAGTCCACGACGCCACCGTGCCGGAGCTTGACGCGCTGGCGTGTCCAGTATACCCATGCAAAGTCAATCATCAGCGCTGTTTGGATGGAGCCCCATACCCAGCTCGTCGGATCTGCATAGCTCTTCTCATTGGCGCCGCGGACAATCCAGTTTAGAACATACATGAAGCGGTATGTACCGAGCGTAACGAGGTAGAAGGAATCGATGACGGTAGGGACGGTTGTTTGGCGGAGGAGAAGGAGCTGCGGAACTACACAGACGGATTCAAGGATTTCAGAGAAGACCCACAGCATCTAGAAGACTGAGTCAGCTTCTGCTCCAACAGATTGAAAGGAAGTTGGTAGGGTACCTTTAGAAAAGTGCTATGCCCTATGACCCAGTGCTTGAATAGAAGATACCAGAATGGCGCTACTACGACACTGCCCAGCAGACCGTACATGCCAAACTTCCACGCCTTTTCCCGCTCTCGTGTGCGGGCATAGACGCTCGTCATCAAAAAGATGATATACAGCGAGGAGAGGGTGTAGAATATCTGGCACGGATTAGCCCTGTCCCCGCTCCTGTACACTACTTGTGCGTACCTTGAGCGAGAAGTTCCACGTATGCCAGCCATCCTGTGTTGCCGATGATGTGAATATATCGAGATATCGTGTGGCGAAGACGAGCGCGTAGAGGGCTTGGGTGATGAGGGAGACACCTATACGCGTAAGCTTGCGCACGAGGCTCATGACAAGGCCGACTCACCCTCCGCGCTGCTATTTGAATGAATGGCCCATATTAGGATGATTTTGGAAGACGTGTGCGACACGTCGCCGAGGATGTGGAAAAGGTTGAACTTCATGTTTGGTGGGTATGCGACGACTACAGAGCACGAGGCCAGCCACCTGTGCCGGCCAAGAAGGAGAGACGATGATGTGAAGGTTTACTGACACCGACAGACGGATCCACGAGATGTGGATAGATCTATGGGGTCGTAGTTTTGGGCGTGATAGCTGTGAATAGCTTGTCGTTGGTGCTGCCTTGCTGCGTCGCAAGCTCCAGCTGGAGCTCGTACTCGATGCTTGGCGGACGCGACATCACGCCATTCCTCTTCGAGCTTGACCCCAGCTTTGGACCTACCTGGAGAAGACATCTTGTCAACCACTATCTTCAGTCGACAGTCATCCTTTACCATGGGGAGAATTTCTATCAGGCGAATGGAACGTCCGCTCCCTTCTACTTTACAAAATAAGGCTGCAATTGACCCATAGGGCACAGAAGACTCGATCCAACCGGCTATTACCCTATACTAGCTGCAGTACACACCAAACGCGACCAGCAGTATATGGCGAGCGGAAAAATCATGGCGAGCAGAGGGCATCTCTACCCAGGATAGAGCAGAGGGCGGGGCCTTTGATAGTATTTCAGCAGCAAGGCGGCTTAGCCATCCACGACAACGCATAGCCCAGGATGACTAGAGACAGAAGGATGGCTACGGTGGGGGCTCGAGCCGTCGACCCTCTGCCGCTGGTCCTGGGGTACAATTCACTTCCGTTCGGCGAGGCTCGAATTGGCCGAGCTGCATGCTGGTCAGCAAGGTGGTGGTGGTCATTGTGGTTTGGTCGTGAGTCGCATCGTGGACGATCCTCGGGGTAGCTAATTAGCAAACCGAGTGCAACAGGAAGGCGCGTGCGGAGGTGAAGGATTGGGGGCCCACTCGGGCGAATTAGCGGTCATTAGCCTGCATTGGCTCCAATCACAACTACCCCTTTCATGCATTTAAGCGCCTTTGCTGTCTTGTCTCAGCTGCACGCCTCTCAACATGGGTCATTTTGCTGCATAAAGACGGCACAGTCCCAAGGCGTGCCGAATGGGAGGACACGGCCTGACGAAATTTGTCGTCTTGCGCGATGGAATTCCATCCTTGCCAACAGCATCCCATGGCGCAGCCAGCACAGACACGTTTGTCAATATCACGCTGCAGCGAAGAGAGATTATCCTGATGGGTAGCTTCGACTGGGCCTCTCTGGCGACCTTAGAGACCGACCTTGGGGGCCGGCCTAACGACTATGTCTACTCGCTCTTCCTTGCACCATGGCTGGAGACTTGGTCGCGGGCAAAGCGTAGCACCATCTGGCAAGCAACCAAACGGCGGCGAGGCTGCTCCAACGCCAGCCGCGATCGTCGCCGTTACCGATAGTCCCAGTAAATCGTTCCTGGCCAGAAACTGGGCCGGGCACTACCGTAGACAGGCTGGGATGGGACTGGCCAACTCGCAGCTCAAGCGCGAGACTGGACAGCCAGGGTACTATGCCGCCAGACCGTGAAGAGCCAGGTAGAAAGAGCAGGGTGAACGTCGGCGCTAAACGTGCAGTCAGTGCGCAGTAGAATCCTTTGAAACCTGCAGGCCGGGGGGGATGATAGAGTCGACGCACTAGAGGTGAGCTGCACTGGTGGCTGCCATTCCATCGACAATTTGATAAATATGTCTGTCGTGCTCTCCCGAGCCCTGTCATACATCTGCTCGAGCTTGAACATCACCGTGCACGGCTCCTTTTGCCCAACTGCCGCCCTGGTTCGACTGCTGCTGGCCATTTGAACTACTAGAGGCGCAGCACTAAAGTTCGCTCCCACCACCCGGCAGAACTAGTCACCATGTCTCTACTTGAGCGTGCTATTCCTCCACCTCATCTCCACCAAGACAAATCAACATCGTGGCCGTGCTCCTACCAACCTCACCACTACCCCGCGCCAACTTCTTCGCCTGGCCCAATGTCTCCTCAGTCGCTTCACTACATGTCCCGCATACCTGAAAGCCCGGATCCTTCTCAGGAATTCCACAACTTGCCAGCATCTGGCTGGTATGGCCCCTCTATTTCGGCCCCAGAATGCAACAACGAGGTATGTCTTTCTCCGGTGTTGCTACATCGGTGTGCTCACATGCTTGCCTAGGCTAGCTACACCTCATACTGCCAATATATGCCTCCACATACCTCGTCAATCACCCTTTCTTCGCCGAGGCTTGCCCTACAGTATCCAAGGTTACCACCATCATCAATGTCTGCTACCCCAAATGATCCACCAGCAGTCACCACTTCTCCAGTTTCCGCCTACTCTCGAGACTCTGTATTACCCGTTTCTGCTCGCTCGTCGGAAGAGCCGCAACCCGATCTGAGTCGTGCTATACAGCAACCAAGAACACAGTTGAGAGCACATTCACGGCTTATCGACCGTCCTCATAGTAGCTCAGGCACGTTGCATTCCGCTCCAGTCGAGGTATCGTGGTCCATGAACCCCCTCGGCATTCATTCCTCTCATGATCCTTATTTTCCGACTTTCCCAACAGCAATGATTCGCAGTCCCCGCCTAAGCGAGCCGCTGGTAGAGCTTCCCTCAAACCATTTGACTTCACCACAGTCTCGACGTATGTATACGCCCATCGCTCCCCAACCTGTGGAGGTACCAAGGTCGCATGGAGTCAAGAGGTTTCGGGAGGAGGATGACGAGGCTGTGGATGGTGTCAAACGAAGGCAGCGGTCAGACTCCAACGCATCTGTACAGCCAGAGCTGAGCGAGGAAGACAAGCTACTCCTGCAGCTCAAGGAAGAAGAGTCCATGCCGTGGAAAGACATTGCAGCCCGCTTTCAGTCCGACCTGGGTAAGACTTACCAAATTCCAGCTCTCCAGATGCGCCTCAAGCGACTTCGAGAGCGGATGCGTGTATGGACCGACACAGATGTTAGAGCTCTGCGCATGGCACACGAGCACTGGGCGCAAAACAAGTTCGACATCATCTCACAAAAGGTAAGTAATTGCATCGTGCATTTCATGCAGACAGACGCTGACCGAAACAGATGGCTGAATTCGGCGCTCAAGAGAAGTGGACAGCCCGTCAGTGTGCGCGCAAATGGGCCGAGCTCGACCCTACGCCAACACTGTACGCACATTACGAGCAACATGTCCAGCATGGCTTTGCTCCTTACGCAATGAGTCCGATCGAGCCACCGCACGGATTCTCACCCTACATGAACGTTCCGTAGAGACTCTCCTTGCGACTTCAAACCCCTTACATTACTGTCATGGCGCGGCGTACGGTACGGCTGCATGCAGGCGTTGCACATATCCATTCTCATGCTACTTTGAATACCCCTGGCCGGTTGTTTTTCTTCGCTTTATACCCCCGCTTTTGTATATATAATTTTTTATCTAGCCTCTGACCACTTTATGCTTACCGGATGCGATTTTCGTTTACATAGCGCAAAAAGTCCAACCCATATTTCTTTTTTCTCGTTGAATACTAGCATAATTCACACTGAGTGATGAGCTCAGAAATCCACTCTTTCCTGCATTGTCTTGCTAATACTGCACCGCAGCAGTAGAAAGGCCACCAATATGTGGTCTCCTAGCCCGCTACGCCTTATTATGCGAGCAACGCCGCAATCTATACTGGAGCGCGCCGCAATCACACGTCTATTGACACTCGACGCTTTTGATCTTAAGCGCCGCCCGTCCTCAACGAAATTATCGCTGCTTCTTATTTTCTTGCAGTATTGCGGTTTATCAGCGCGACTCACCTATTGGAATGCAGTATCCTTTTGACGCTCACTATTGCCCGCAAAAAATCTTTAGTGGCAGGTGCCGCAAGAGTTATAACCGCCTATCAGAGGTGGACGGCTGGGAAACGGCTGGCGCATGGCGGGTAGTGTTGTCTTGCCTTACTGTGCGGGAGTGGCTGTTTCGAGACGCCCTCGATGCTAAGCACTGCTGGAAAGCATCACAAGCGCAGTGGAGTGGTCGCTAACGATGTAAGATTATCTCGCTTCACGTCGGCCTTGTTTCTTCCTTCTCATATATTAAGCTCTCGACCTGTCCTTCTTGTCGCAAATAGTCTAGCGTTAACCTTGTTCAAGCTCAACCAGGCCTATCAGTGCTATTCTGAAACCAAAGATTTGAGTTTCTTCATGCTGATCATGCGGCCCGTCCTTTTTTTCGGATAAAATCTAGCTTCAACTTTAGTCAAGTGCACCTATGCATTTTGATCTGTTTCAAGGCTTGTTTACGAGCTCAATCCTAATCTTCTCCTGAAGCTCTTCCTCCTCCTCGGGCTGCATGTCCCGACTATACCGGGTATGAGACATACACGATTCCTGCGCTTACTGCATCTCTGAGCGTTGGTTCGTATCTCGACCCAATTGAAAGACAAGAGAAAGTTGTTATTTTACTTGCGATCACAGACACTTCGTTGCTTCTAGGAAGCGACTAGCACATGTCGCTAAAGATCTGACGTGCATGACTATTTCCGCCTACTTCACGGATGAAGGGAAGAAAGGATATCTTCATGGCCGAGCCGAAAATACGGACCGGTGTACGTATAAAAAAGTGAGTCGTCTGTGGCTTGCTATTGGGAAAACCGAATTTCGGCTATCTATTCGTCTACTCTTTGCCCTTGACTTTCTGGGAGGGTGTCACAAGCCCTAGTAAGCTGACATTCGCTCGCATCATAAGCCCAGATCATGTGGACGTGTGAACAGTAGTTTCCCTTGGCACAGAACCAGCTTACTCTGTGAGAACGGAACTCGGGGCGTATGGCCTACAAAGGGCTTGTTTGCAGGCGTAAGCGGAAGCGGCAGGCTTTGCGACAAGCTTAGTAGCTTTCCTGTTATATGTGAGCTTAGGAATTTGGTATCTTCTAGAAGCTGCGAGAGAGTGCTTATTGTCTCAGGCGTGTTGTGACACCGTCAGCTTGTTTTCGAATAACTTTCGTTCCCCACGCGTGTGCCATTACGATGAACCTGTTGGTACCTATAGGCATGCTATGGCTTCTTGGCAGAGCATTGATGGCCTAAATGGTCATGCATTTCGTACTCCGAACGCTGCAAGTGCAATAAACATGGTACAGTGGCTAGCCTTCTCGTAGTCGCACCATCTTGGGGCCTACGGGATCTACTCCGCATAGCCGACCCGCGTAAAGATAACAGGATCATGCTCACAGGAACACTTCCTCTTAGACCCACGCAGTGGCCGGCATTTGAGATTGGCCTTCAAATATGAAACATCACGCGTATTGGAGCTTACTGGTATTGCCCACAAAAGACATGCAAGCATGACATATCACGCGTTAAGCGAGTTGACCAGGGTACCGTTTTGAGACTACGCCCCACATGAGCGAACCAGTTCCGTGTGCTCGGTCCTAGGCTATAGCTCGACTCAATAACTTAAAAAAGTCCGACTGAACGTATACCTACCTTTAGCCGTATCTCATGTGGCACAGTATGGCTCAGAAAGAGACGGACTAGGCTTGATGTAAACACTTCGCACGTGCGTGTCAGCCTGTAGGTCTCACTGATCACCGATGACACTGCAGTCCTCCAAACCATGCACTCTGATGCACACTGTCTGGACAAGCTTCAGCGCTAAATCGTAGATCGATCTTCTCGATAATGCGATCGAGTAGTCAGTAGCAAAATGTCTAAATAAGTCTAGTTAGAATAAGCATTTCGATCAGGAGCTGTGCTTTGCATTCAGACATTCGGAGAGATTGACCCTGACTAGACACAGGGGCCTCCCCACCGTGTGCCAGTCCGTCGGACCGAGTATAAAACAGACTACAGTCTACCAGACTGTGTCGAATCGACAGTCAGTTCGGGACGTTTCAGCATCCGTGCTCCGCATGCGCAACGTGGTTTCGATTTATCCATATTGCCATGGCGCGTAAGCCCCACCAACTTCCACTCCGCTGTCTTCTCTTGACCTTCTTCAAACCTTCTAGTGCTTACCGATACGTGATCTCGGAATCCGTGCAGCTGAGCTCGCGAGGGTACCCGGCGTACGCATCAACAAAATACGTCGGTTCGAGGCTTACGCTACCCTGTACATGTGGGGGGACAGAGAAGATATGACGACTGAGGCTCTCTTCGGAAGTGTACAGGACTAGGCGGATGTGAAAGCTTACCCGGAACGCTCGCTTCGACTATGGCTTGAGTGTTTTGCCGGGCCGTAATGGGCCATGCTGAAACAATGCATGTATGAGGTTCTGTGAGGGCAAATTAGCGGGCATTAATTTGACCCCTTTAGGAAATATCACACCAAAGGCCTGCAGAGTACATTCGCAGCTAGTTGATAGGTTTTATTCTCGGTGGCATTGGAACTTAAAAAACGTATCGTGCAGCGAACACTAAAGCCCAGCGATGAAGCGTAGGTGTGTACGGGATTTGGAGCAACGGTGTTGATCGTTCCGTCACCTCCTTAGTCATCGATCGTGCGTTGCTATCACTGCGTTCATTACCTCCATCAGGCAATTCCCACCGAGCGACTCATTATTTTCAAATACACATGAGAAGGCAGTCTTCATAACTTTGTAAAAAGACTATGCGCACAGCACTCGCCAGATTGACGCAGCTTCGCCCACATCTGTCATCTGCCAAAACAGCGCACAAATTCCATACGTCATCGCCCAACATGACAAACCTTACCATCAACACCAAATATCGCATGCCGTCTGGCCACGAGATACCTGCGCTCGGCTATGGCGTTTATCAGACGCCTGCAGATATCACATCTGAAGTCGTTCAGCATGCGCTGAAGGTTGGATACCGACACGTCGACTCCGCTGTGGCGTATCGCAACGAAGCAAACTGCGCTGAGGGTATGAAGAAGTCTGGCATCCCAAGAGAAGAACTTTTCTTCACTACAAAGATCCCGCCAAAGAACCTGTGCTATGAGACAGCAAAAGAGCACATTGAGAATACACTCAAAATCACAGGCTTCGACTATGTTGATCTATATCTCCTGCACAGTCCATATGGCGGCAAGGAAGGGCGCCTTGGTGCGTGGAAAGCGCTTGTCGAGGGGGTCCAAGCCGGCAAGATTCGGTCGATTGGTGTGTCGAATTATGGCGTGCATCATCTCGACGAGCTGGAAGCATGGATCAAGGAAACAGAAAAGAAAGAGGGACCTGGTTCCGGCGGCATTTTGGATATAAACCAGATAGAGCTCCATCCATGGCTTGCGAGACCGGACATTACAGAGTGGTGTAAGAAGAGAGGTGTGCTCTGCGAGGCATATTGTCCCATTGTGAGGGCGACAAAGAACGATGATCCGCTGCTGTTGCCGCTGGCCAAGAAGTATAATAAGACACCGTCGCAGATCTTGATCAGGTGGAGTTTACAGATGGTCAGTAGTTTTTGCAATCCCTTCCTACTTAACATGCACTAATGATGAAAGGGTTTCGTGCCGCTCCCGAAGTCTGTCACAAAGTCACGAATTGAAGAGAACGCGCAGGTCTACGATTTCGAGCTTACGAAAGGTGAGATGGAGAGCTTAGACACTGGGGTATATGAAAGTTGTTCCTGGGATCCTACGACTAGTCATGATTAACGACATTTAATGGTAAACAAACGTAAGATTATAACATTATTGTCTGCTTGCAGGCTGCATCCTCCTACTATGTAGTCAATTTTGATAGGCTGACATATGCTTTAAGTCTTTTGACATGTGGGTTTATATGTTTCGAGTGTGAAGCCAATAGAAGCCTGTAGGAGTCGTATACGGATGTGTAGTAGGCGAGGGATGTTCAAGATGATAATGATCTCGCTTGTGCCAGCTCGACGCGGTCCATGACGTAGTGACGTACATCAAGTGTGCTCCGACAGGCTATTTGGACAATATAAGCTTTCGTGTGCATGTTGAACCTTATAACCGCTGCAAGCCGGCACCAGTGATCTGTTGAGAATTTATTCACCCTGGGCTGGGTGGCTGCGCGACTTGTGTCCTGATGACCTCGACGCGTTGCACAGGAAGCTGTGGAAACTATGGCCAATTTTGAGTTCCGACAACCGACTGCCTTGCTGCCGTCTTCTAAGTTCTAACACCGTGTCTTGTCTCAGTGCGAAAACTGACCAAGAATGTTCGAGATGAATAGTCATTCGAGGTGGGGGCTTTATTCCACTAAGACGCGGGAGATGCGCCGGTTTTCGCGACGGTTCGCGACGGCATGAAAGCGGGGCCCTGCGAAGTCAACCAATTTTCTGGAGGTATCAACCGAACACTTCGCTCCTCATTTTTAGAGTACCCGAGTTATTCAATACCTCAATTCACCCCTTTGTTACTCATTACCTACCGTGAGACAACACTGTCACGCGTTATAAGTACGGCCACAGCGAACAGCCAACATGCAGCTGAGTAGCAGAGCCCTACCCGATCAAGGTATCTTTTGATAGCAATTCGCATGAGACCGGTGGTTGCTCGTCACTACTTCCCCTGCTTCCACCCCCAGGAAACGTAGGGAAGCAATGGCGAGTGATCTGAGAAATACGGTCCGAACTTGATCAGGTTAAACCCTGCGAAAGGACATCATGCTTTGCTCCCCTATGCCCCAAGGCTGCTACTAATAGCTCTAGGTCGCCCTCATGGAACCTATCGCAAACCAGCACGATGTTGCGACCGCTGAGAAAATACCTCAGTTTGCGTCAAACACGACAGACGGACCACAACTGCCCACCACCGCGCAGGAGTCGCAGGTAGATAATGGAACACGCCTTGGAAGAATGCGACAATCATGGCAGGCTTTTGAGAAGCAGCTTGTCTCATACAATCTCGAAGCACGTGGGATCCAGCGCGTCGAACTAGACGAGCGACAGGACTTGCGCCTATTAGGGTACTCCCAAGTCGCCATCATGTGGTTCTCCGTTAATCTTGCCGCTAATAACATCACCCTTGGCATGCTGGGTCCTGCCGTCTTTGCGCTCGGCTTTGTGGACGCATGTTTGTTGAGCATCTTCGGTTCGTTCGTGGGCTGCCTAGTCATTGCCTACATTGCGACGTTTGGCCCCAAAAGTGGGAATAGGACCATGATTTTTTCACGATACATCATGGGGTGGTGGCCCTCCAAGATTGTGGTGGTTCTCAACATCATCGTTCTTCTAGGCTACGCGATGATCGACTGCGTCGTTGCAGGCCAAATCCTCTCGGCGGTGTCGGGAGGCTCCATGTCGGTCGTGGTAGGCATCATCATTATAGCCATCATCGCGTGGGTCATCACTACTTTCGGATACCAAATCTTCCACTATTACGAGCGTTGGGCTTGGCTCCCACAAGTCATCGTCCTCTGCATTCTAGCTGGTGTAGCCGGTCCACACTTCAACATTTCGTCTGCCTCCCACGGCGATGACAATCCAGACACCACAATTGGGACGCGCATCAGCTTCTTCGGCTTGACCCTCGCAGCGGCGATCACCTACGGTGGAGGAGCAGCCGATTACTTTGTGTATTATCCCGAGCACGCATCTTCCTGGAAGATCTTCAGCATGACTATGATTGGGCTAATGTGTAGCTTCACATTTGCTTTCGTCCTGGGTGTCGGGCTGGGGTGCGGTATGCTGGCAAACGCTGACTGGGAAGCTGCATTTGCCGTCTCCCAAGGCGCTCTCATCGTTGAGGCGTATAAACCTCTTGGCGCATTCGGCTCTTTCTGCGGCGTTGTCGTTGCTCTAGGTCTTGTTGCCAACCTTATTGTTCCGACATATTCTTCTGGTATCGACGCACAGATTCTCGGTCGCTGGGCAGGCGCTGTACCCAGGGTGGTCTGGAACACCGTCGGTGTAGTAATATACACTGTGTGCGCATTAGCAGGACGCGAGCATCTCGCCGTGATCTTTACCAACTTCACATCTCTCATGGGATACTGGGTATCTGTCTGGATTGCCATCACTCTAGAAGAGCACTTCATCTTCCGCCGCAAGACAGGGTTCAACTGGGAAGTATGGAATCAGAAGAAGAAGCTGCCATTAGGCATTGCAGCTTTTGTAGCTTTTGTGGTCGGCTGGGTGGGCGCGATTATGTGCATGGCGCAAGCTTGGTACATTGGACCGATCGCTAAGCAGGTGGGAACACAGGGAGCGGACGTGAGTGAACCTTCAAGCTATGCGTGGAAAATTATTGGACGAGTGCTGACTAAATTTAGATGGGCAATTTTGTTGGCTTTGCATGGGCTGCGCTTGTGTACTTTCCGTTGAGGATGTGGGAACTGAAGAGGTTCGGACGATGATCGATATATCCTACCACTCCAACAGAGTCATCGTTTAGCGATCCAACTCGTATGGAGTAGCCTGTTCTCCTGAACGATGTTCAAGACAACCCCCCGCGCTGTTTCATGACGACAGTATGAAAATCATACTACTCTCCTGGTCTGGCCTCTATAAACTAGACAGCGCTCTGGGGCGCACACTATACTTGGCTTATGGTATCTGTCATGTTCTACTCTTTCATCATGTTTCTATGTCCCTCGTTCGATGCGTCTGTAGATGTTGTTTGAAAGCCATCGCAGCAGCGTTGCGGAATACAATCGCTGAGACCTAAGCCTGTTTCTTATTTGAATTTCACGCTGTTGACGTCTTCTCGTATGCAATAGCCTGGCTACCCAAAACCCTCTATGTTTCCAGCATTCAAACTGTCTCGTTTGAATGGGGCTGGTTTGTTTTCGCTGTCATCTCACCTTTACCTGTCGAGATGATGCGTCCGATATTCTGTCATTCCCCAAGCAGGTTCCGTTGCGGATGCACACCGACGTTCCTGCCTTCTCACGATCAGAGGCTTGGCGTCGCGGTGACTGCCACTTGTCTCTCACTTCGTCACGATCAATACCCACCACCTCACCATATCCTCTATATCGTCTCTATCCTCTCAGCACGGCAATGACAGAAAATCTTATCAGCCTCGTTGACGAGGACGAGAGCGTGATTCATTATAACACCACCTTACGCACCAGTATTGGTTCCGTCGGCACAACAATGGCCACCAGTCGCTCCAATCCGGCTCATCGGGACAGCTTCTCAGATCTGGCGATTCTCATGAAGGCGAAGAAGCCATATACGCCAGTAGCACCACCTACTTCAAAACCGCAACTGTCATTTGCGACCAACCGTGTGTTTTTCTATACTCACTCTCTTATGGGAGTGCGCTAAAAGTCTTTCAGGTATGCAATTGACTAGTCCAACCGCTGCCGGTCGTAGTCTGCTGTCACCGTTGGCTAGTCCGTTTCCAGCTCCCGAAACCGTGGCAGAGTTCCTACGAGAGCAGGAGCAATCGTCTGCTTCGGCCTCGCCTCCCTCTGTATCTGTGTTTCGTAAGCAGGGCATCGAACGTCTAGATTCTCTGACCGATCAGATCAACAATTATCCGATCCACGACGACACTGAGGGTCAACTATACCCGCGCACACCGTCACCCCGATATCAAGAACCGCTACATGTCCCTAAACTCCAGTCGCCTATCCACATCGGTCCTGTCTATGCTCCAATACCGAAGAAACCCCTCCACACTGCCCTATCAGCTGAACCACCAGCTGAAGATGCTGTTGTCCGTGTGACCAAGCGTGTTTGGGACTCGATGGACACTGAACTCCAGATGCTAACGGCGCAGAAGCGAGCGCTGGAGGTTAAGCTAGCGAGCATTGAGCGCAACAACGAGTCGCTGCGCATTGATGGGCACGACGTGGGAGCACAAATCGGCAAGCTTCGGTTCCAGAACGAGGTGAACAGAGACCAGAAAGCCTCCATGGGTCGATCCCTAGCCTCGAAGGAAGTTGAAATCAAGATGCTGCAGCTGGATAACGATGGTCTGGCCAAGAAACTCTTGGAAGTAGAACGCGAGGTGCAAGACCTTGGTGGCGTGAGAGGTAAGTCTGGTGACTTCATGGCGAATGGATCGAGCTAACAGCTGGTAGGTGAGCTGGAATACCTTCGTCATATCAAAATGTCACTGGAGAAGGCTCATGAGCGCTCTCTCAATAAACTAACCGACAGCAAACACCGCGAGCTCGAAGACGCCAGGAATGCCATCTGTAAGCTCGAGGGGCAGTTGAAGCATGTGACTCTCGAGCGAGACGCTGCAATGACAGCTCAGACCAATGCTGGAGATCATATGGCTCGGGCCCATAATCTGGCTGAAACGCTTGCTAAGAGGGAGCGAGTTGTCACCGACCTCCGCCAGAAGCACCTGGAGGAGCACATGAAGGTTACCAATCTCGAGGATGAGGTCGAAGTACTGAGGGCCAAGGTCAACCAGGAGAATATCGACGACTTGAAGGAGAAGCTGCGCGAGAAGACAAGCCAGTGTGACCGTCTACGAAACCAAGTCAAGTCGGCTGAGCTGCAGCTCAAAGCTAGCCAGGAACGTGTTCTCCGCGCCGCAAACGATGGCGAATCTCTCCAGGGTGCCGCACACCTGGTTGCGCCAAATCCGAAAGGAAAGCTGCCGAAAAACGTCATTTCTTGCTCCGAATGCTACGCCGGAAATCTCCCTTGCGACAGCAATGCCCGATGCCACAACTGCACTGAACGTAATGCCAAGTGCGCCCGCTGGAGATGCTCTCTCAAGCAAAAACTAGGCGAATGCCGCATGGCTCCCTGCAAGCTGCCACACGATATCCAGGGGTGGTTGGTTTCTCAGGATGCAAGGCCACAATGGTGAATGGTGGTAGAGGGTAGTGAGCGGTGGTAATGGGTGGTGAGCATACGATGGGGATGCGAAGTACTTCAGGCTAAGCGTTCGTGTGTCCACGTCGGTAGTCCGGGCAGCGGCAACGTGCAGGCAAAAGCGGCTCTTTGGGCGTGGGGAAGCGAGTCCGGCAAAAGGCGTGTAGTAATGGCATATGCATCATTTTGCCTGCATCTTTCTACATAGCCGTAGAAGCATTCCTAAGCCAACAACCCTAATATAGGTGCAGATAATAAACGACAGTCTAGCAGCACACCCATTTTTGCTCAAGGAACAGATCTCGTGCATCTCGTGTCAACTCTGATAGCGCATGACGACTATCTTCGTCGCTTTGATGAACAGGGATTGAGCATCATTCGTGGGATGGGGAGACTCGTCTGAAGCGTTAAGATGACAGGATCGTGGCCTAGTCTTGGATGTTGCTTGGCAGGGGACAAATCGGCATTCTAGACGAGTGGCGGCGGAACATCTCTTGCCAAGACGTGAGCGGAGAGAAATAGCCCGAATGGACTGCCGACTAGATTGAAGGGTCATTGGCGGGACTCCACGTGAATCCAAGGTACCTGACAGTTTTGCGGGGTAACATTAACCTCTTCTTCATATCGTATCGGAACATTTGTTAAGGCAGGAGGGCTGCTAGAAATAGGGTCTTGACTGGTGGTCTGTAATTTGTCCATGTGCCAATTCAATATACGGAGCGGAAACATTTGTCGAGGCAACCGGGGGTAGATTGGTGTTGAAACAGTAGTGCCGCCGTGTAATATCCTGCAAACGGCTTTAACTATACCCTGCGCTTGTCGTGCGATGGCTTTTATCCTCGACTGATAGGTGGATTATCGCGGGTTTCATGGCTTGTAGGCCTAACAGAGACTGAGCGACCGTCAGGAGGCCATGCAAACACCTATAGGAGGTTGGCGCTCCTGAAACTAATCTAATGGAGTCGCACGGAACTTGATCGCTTGACGACACCATCCTATATCGAAGGCTTGGAAGTTTCGTTTCTCTTGGGACGTGAGAGGGGAAGCTTAAATTTAAAGCCCTATTTCCTCCTCACACGAGTCCTATAAGAAGCGCGCCTGGCTAATAATTGTTGAAAACTCAGTCAAGGATATCGAATCACTCTACTTCTCGTTTTATACTTCCTATACACGAAGCGCAGGCGCATCAATCTTGCCATGGCGCGTTTCTTTCTCCTCGCGGCCCTGCTAGCGCCCATCTCTTCCGTCTACGCTCAGTGTGGCGCAGGCACACCCAACGCCAAAGTAACTGGCTCCGGTAACTCCTTCACGGCATCCAGAGGCTCTACCAACCTCTACACCGGCTCCGACTACCGCCTGGCGATCCAGACAGCCATCGATGCCATCACCAGCGGCCAGCGCGTCTCCGTCATTGCTTCCGGCTCCATTGGCGCATCGACCCTCACCATCCAAAGCGGCAAGACCTTCGAGGCATGCGGCACCATCAATGTTGCCCTCAAAGCTGGGCGCGGTGCCATCGAAGTGACGAACGCTTCCGGCGTCAAGATTCCCTATCTTACCATGACCGGTAACCCCTACTTTGGCCTACGCTTCTTCGGCACCAAGGACCTTGAGCTGGGTGACATCACGTTCGATCTCAGCGGCGGTATGGGCATCCGCTTCGACCGCGACCAAGCCGCCAACACGAACGTGAAGATGGGCACCATCAACTGCAAGAGGACAGGCAGTCACTGCGTCGAGACATGGAACATCAACCAGCTCCAGATCGGCTCGGTCATCGCGAAAAACGTTGGCGAGTGCGGTTTGCTGCTCCAGAAAGTGACCAATGCAAAGGTCGGCCTCGTGGACGGTGACAACGTCGCCAAAGGAAACGGCTACGCTACCCTTCGTTTCGCAAACCAGGCCGGTAAGCTCAACGGCGGGTACAACACCAACATCTTCATCGACAGGGTGAAGTCCCGTGGCGGTGGTCGCGGTATCTTCTGCGTTTCTGAATCCGGTGCTGCTGAGATTGGCACCATCGACTTGGCGAACAACGGCAACAACGCGATCCTGCTCGAGAACTGCTACAATGTCAATATCAAGGGAGGAACCGTGAACGGTGGCGGACAAGTTAGGCTAGCGGCCAGGTCCGAATTTGCCAACAGTAAGGATATTGCGATTACGCTCAAGGTCGATGGCACCGACGTCGTAGAGTCTCCGTGCACGGCGAACAAGACCAAGTGGAAGCTTACGGGCACCGGAAAGAAGACCATTTGCACTTGAGTAGCACTTCACGTGGACCTCTGGCAGTTGTCGGTGCGAGTGGGCGTGATTGTCGCTCCTAGGCCAGCCTGGACCTGTTGTTAGTGCCTTTCTTTGTATATACATTTTGTGAAATAATGCAACACCTAGCTGTGCATTCAAACCCAATAGACTGAGACCATTCTTGACTTCGAGAGCATGACACGTCAACCCGAATATTCGTTTGTGAGATCTGGGGGCCACAACCCGATTAAAGGCCCGACTGTTGCATATGAAGGATTTTCAAAAGATGCAACACGTCCATGGTGCGCGCGCTGTGGATACCCATTTTGGCGCTGAGCCTGACAAGGCGGAGTCAAGATCGATGGACGGCACGACGGCATCCCTCACGCTCGGCCCCCAGGGCGTATGCTTACCTACTAGGCTACGAATATCCCAACCACCACCAATCAGCGCTGGCTCAGTCGCGCCGCGATGTTATGGCTGGTTGTGTCTAGAGTGCGCATCGCCTGCCATTCTTGTATTGATTCCCTGTCTGTCTTATTAACGTCCCAACGCTGACCTTGAAGTTGCATAGACGCTAGTGATAATGAAAGTGCTAGCGGTTGTGTGCGGTAAGGCCTCTTATACTCCACAGCCGCCCGAGTCCCCCAGAAGATAGGTCCTTGGTCGTGCTTCCCCATCTTCATCATGTTTCGCGTCTCTTTTCCTGTCACCATTCTCCTCGCCTTTGTTATCTTTCAAGAAGTAAAAGCAGCTTGCTACTTTCGCAACGGCACTGCAACGACAGCCGACTTTTCGCCATGCAGCAATGATACCTCGAATGCATTGTCCACTGTGTGTTGTGCGACATGGGATACTTGCTTGCCAAACGGACTATGTCAGTCATATGACAAGGTCATCTGGCGCGAGTCGTGTACCAAAAAGAACTGGGACGAAGGAGGGTGTCAGGAAATGTGCTCTAACGAGGTAAACTGAATGCCAGTACTACACAAACTTCAAGGCTGATAGAGGGTAGCGCGAGGCCCAGAGAAACAGTAACGTCAAAGTAACGTCCTGCGACGGAAAGGGCAATGTTACGTCCACGACGTGGTGCTGCGGTAGTAGTGACGCTTGTTGCACCGCCGGAAGCGGTATATCGGTATATACACTCGCAAGCCGATTCGGAGACCCTATTCCTACTCCAGTTCCTTCGTCATCCACGTCTGTCGCTTCATCTTCCGCAGCGGTATCGACCTCGCCGCCTGCGGCTTCCAGCTCGGCGCCTACTACACCCAACGGCGGCCTAACCAAGGGGGCAAAGGCAGGAATCGGAGCTGGCGTCGCACTGGGAGTCATCGCCTTGATTGCGTTGGGTATTTTCATCTACAAGGCGATGCAGTGGCGGAAGCAGGCACAGGCAGCAGCACCACCGTATAGTTATGCTAGGGAGCTCGACTCTGGACCAGTTGAGGTGTATCGGTATCAAGAGGGGGCGAAACCGGCGCAGTTGTCTGGCATAGAAAGCGCAGTGCACGAGATGCCTAGTTCCAAGGATATGCAAGAGGTATATGTGGCGCCTTCGAGCCCGGATACGGCGCCCGTGCAGACTCCTGTGCACCGCTAAGGGACTTGAAATAGGGCAGATTTGTGAGGATATGATGATATCAAAGGCTTGGATATGTTAGCAAGTTGCAATTGAATAATCAACATGTATATTGTCGAGAGAGATATTGTGCGGGCTGGGGTGTACGAGATCTACAACCAATGGAGGCCGATCGCATCTCCACATCGTCATCTTACACCCATCATCCATCATACATGCAAAGAGACCTTGACAACACCTAGTGAGGCGAATAAGTACCATTTGAACATGTTGAATCACTAAATGGCTTACGTCGGATCAAGACGGTGTTTCAAGAATGTCGAACTCAACAATCTACTTCCCACACCATGACAAACCTCCGATATGCTGCTGACCCTTGATGCGTCTTCCTGCACGCGCTTGCATACGGAACTCCAGTCTTGCCTTATATGGCCCGGTCCGACGCGCAATCCTGGGAGGGCGTAAAGAGGATCCTATGAGATGCAGCCTCGACAAGCACTCAACTGCCGCACGCAGTCCACGAGAGGTAGCGAGCGGTATCCAGCACGCATAGAATGAACAAGTACCTCACATCGCCCTGCTTCATTCTTACGCGCCTTTGACCATCTCTCCATAGCACAGCCTCGACGCGCCATGTCTGAGAAAGCAACCATCAACCCCACACCTCAAGCGAGTGATGGACTCGACGCAATCGCCACACAAGAAGCGATCGAGGACCAGCGAAGAAAAACCGAGCAAGAGCAATCGGGAGGGGCACTTCAAGTCCGTCTCTATCCACAACCCCCCCTCACAGACACACACATATATAACTCTACAAAAAACTAAGCCACTCGTAGAGATACATCAACGCGCCCTCAGCGATAAACTTCTCCTTACTGCTACAATGCTCCTGGGAAGCCGCAGCCGTGACATTTCAGTTCTCACTCACCAACGGCGGGCCCGCCTCCATCGCGTACGGCAGCATCTTCGCGGGCCTAGGAACGACGCTCGTAGCCCTTTCTCTCGCAGAGATGGCATCCATGGACCCGACGGTCGGCGCGCAGTACCGCTGGAGCGCTGCGTTTGCGCCGAAGTGGAATCGCTTCTTCGGCCTTATGCAGGGATGGAGTAAGTAAACGTTGGTTTTTGGGGGGGTGGGTGGATGTGAGGAGATGTATACTGATTTTTGCGTCTAGTCACGGTGTTTGCGTGGATCTGCTCGTGTACGTCGAATCCGGCACTGATATCCAACATCGTCGTTGGCCTTGCGTCGTTTAACAACGAAGCCTACGTCCCGCTGCGATGGCATTCCACGCTGATCATGTGGAGTCTCACGGTGTTTCCGTTTGTGGGCAACTTCTGGCTTCCGCGGTTCATTAATCCGCTCGAGACGGTGGGGGCCGTGTGCCATGTTGTGTTCTTCTTCGCTAGTATCATCACGCTCGCTGTCATGGCGGACAAGAGCTCGGTCGAGTATGTCTTTCATACGCTCACGCACGATGTAAGTGGATGGACGAATCCGGCTGTGGCCTGGGGACTGGGCTTGTTAACTGTGACGTACCCTCTCACAGGTAGGTGGTTGAAACTATCCAAATTTCCCAACTCAAGTCCTCCAACTGCCGAAAAAAAAAAAGATTAACACTCCCACCAGGCTTCGACGGCGTCCTGCACATGTCCGACGAAGTCCAGCGCGCGCGCCTGCGCATCCCCCGCTCCATGATCCTCTCCGTCATAATAAACAGCACCATGCAATTCCTCTACATGATAACGGTGCTCTTCTGCATCGGCGACGTAACCCTTGTATCCGCCTCACCACTGCCGATAATACAAGTCTACTACCAAGCCACCGGATCGCGAGCAGCAACCAACCTGTTCGTCGTGATGCTCCTATTCATCATCTTCGTGTCCTTCTTCAACGTCTTCGCGTCCGTGTCGCGTCTCGTATGGGCCTTCTCGCGGGACGACGGGCTCCCGTTTGCGCGTGTGTTCGCCAGTGTGCATCCACGGTTTAAAATGCCGGTTAATGCGCTCTGTCTCATTGCTGTGTGTCTTGTGCTGCTTGCGCTTATTAACATTGGCTCGAGTACGGCGTTCAATGCGTTTATTAGTCTTCCTGCCTTGGCGCTGTATATATCCTATTTTTTCCCTATTTTCTTCCTCTCCTGGCGCCGCTTGGCGGGTCGACACTCAACGCCTATTCCGTGGGGTCCGTTCAAACTGGGAAAAGCAGGTCCGTATGTAAACTTGGGCGCCATGTGCTACATACTGTTTATCCTGATCTGGATGCCGTTTCCGGCCATGTTGCCCGTTGATGGGCTGACCATGAATTATGCTGGGCCCATCGTGGGTGCTGTTGTTGTGGGCGCTGCCTTGGACTGGACCTTGAATGGGAGAAAGAGATTCCAAGTACCTGTCGCAGGACACGAACTCTGACCGAGCGTGCACTCAAGGCTAAGACATTTTCCCAGTTCCTCTGCAATGTAGCATGGCAATGAATATGAACTGAATCCAGTTATTAGACTAGACTGGTATAAAACACCTCCAATGAAAAAGAATAGTGTAGGAGGAATAGGAAGTTAGCCGTAGACACAAAAGGAAAAAAGAAGCCCAAATATCCGCCCACTGGAGGTGCTGGGACGGCGACAAAAAGGTAGAACACAGGAACGTCAAATCATCCCACTTCGCCCCCCAAGCCTCATCAATCACGCATCTCCTGCTCGAAAGAGCACCTCCGAGCCTCGAGATAGCTATCCACTGTCAGTTCCCTGGACCAGGGCGCATCGACTGACAGTCTCTCCCTATGCAGCCACTGCCGAGCCTTCTAAGCCGGTGTAGCGCTCTTCTCCCTGTCTTTCCCCCGGGATAGCAGTCCTCTCCTGCTGCCCTTTTCCGGCCTTGGACTCACGCTGCCCACGGCGCTCGTCGCATCCGCAGCTTGGAAACTAGTCCGGACAACGACCATGCCTTTGCCCACGCCAACGTTCTTCTCGCTGCCACTGCCTTGGTCATCGACCGTGAACTGCGCGTCACCCAGTTCTTCGTCGCGCCCAAAAGCTTTATGGTCCCTGACGGTGATTTTGAAGAACGAGTCGGCGGTGCAGGGAACCTTGAAAGATTCGTCTTCAAAGGCTACGCTCCCTGAAGTGGTCTTGATGTGGTCTGTTTTGTGGACTTCCTTCTTGCCCAATTGGACATGGACGCGCAGGTTGGTATTGGGTGGGAAGCCATCTGCACTCACGACGGAGATGTTTGCCGTGCCTTGTTCGCCGCCGCCTGCGCCTGGAGCGCCTTCGCCACCAAAGCGGCTATGGAAGCTCTGCGCACCCCAGCTGCGATGTCTGTTATGGTTTGATGGGCTATCCTTGGACGGGCTTTCTTTGCCGCCCGTACTATCGCCTTCTACAGAGACGATTGGAACGTCAGCAGACGCGCGAGGTGACGAGTCAGGGCGCTCAAAGTCCTCGTCCCCGTTTGCGCCGCGAGACTTTCTGCGCTTGAAACCGCGGCCAAGGAAGGTGCCGGCACGTACTACGCCACCGCCAACGAAAGCAGCGCCCTTGCCGACACCTTTAACAGGCGCGCCGATGACTTTGCCGGGGACAGCAAAGGTTCCAGAGAAGGTAGATGAGCCTTGTCGAGAACGCACCACATAGTCTGGCTTGAACAACATCCGGAGGCGGATCACGCCCGACTTGCCATCCAGGGTGAGTGTAACTTCTTGTTGCTGGAACGGCTCCAAGATCTCCAAGTTGATGGTCGACTTGCCCAGGAAATCTGCTTTGTCGCCAAAGTCCCAGTCGTAGACGTTGACCAGGAAGTCGGCTGCGGTACGGCTTCGCACGGGCACCTCGAAGTACTCGTTCCACGCCGGGTGAAGTGTCTTCTTTTGCGTCTTCGTCTTATAGACATCTTTTCCGTTCAGGAGGAACTTGCAGTAAGGATCCGAGTAGCCGTTACGATCGGCGGCTGGCAAATCGGCGGCATCCAGAACATCAACGCGCAGGGTGCCCTGGTTGTTGAAGGATTCGCTTGGATCGAGGCGCATATAGACGGGAAGGTATTTGAGACTGACGGTAATCTTGTTCTCGCGACCGTGCTTGTCCTTCAAGATGAGCTGAGTGGGGGTGTACTAGAAATGGTTAGCTAAGCTCGATGCGAAGCAAGATTTGAAATTGACTCACCAAGCAGCTCCGTAGCGTATCGATGGTGTTTCCTGTAAGCTTAGCAATGACATGGTCTTCGTCACCGTCGCCATCTTTGTCAATATGTTCAATGATGCGAAGGGTGATCTTGGAAAAGTCCAGCTCGCGAATCATCGCATCGCCCACTGCATCACTATTAGCACGGTACCATAGACGACTTCTTCATCCATACCTTCGTTGAAGGTCATGTTCTTGCTCTTGATCTTGGCACTGGAGTAGCTAGCATACGCCATGTCATCCATAAGGACATCGACGTAGCCGCCTGTTCCCGCAAACTCGCCGTCAATGAGCTTGAAGACTAGGAGACCAGATTCTGCTTCGCGTTAGCTCCTGCTCTCGAAAGGGGATAAGAATACGGAGTAATAAAGCTGTTAGGTCGGGGCCAACCAACTCAACCAGCCATAGAACCTCGTATCTTCGAAGTTGCGGTGCAGCTTACCATACTGCTGTAGGTCATCAGCAGTCAGTTTCAGTTTCTCGATCTTCTTAGTCTCCGGTATGTGTTCGTCTTGGTGCATTTCATTCTTCTCGAGTTGTTTGGCCAGGTCAGCCTCACTGGACTTTATCGAGGAGAAGGTGCCTGCAGTTTCGGAGCGAGTAATGGCCGAGGTGCCAGAAAGGGCTCTCTGATGTAGTGATCCCGCCTTGGATCCTGCAGTCGTCGTGGAAGCCGGACGCGCAACACCATTTGGCGTGCTAACAGTCTCTTCCTTCTTCTCTTCCTCGTCCTCTTCAGGATCCCATACTGGATAGGTGGGGTAGAACGAGCACGTGTAGTTCAGGTTACCCTTCGATTGTGAGTGTCCGGCCATTCTGAGGGCCCCCGAAGAGGGCTGTTTCTGCTCATTTATAAGGTAATCGCCAGCCTCGTTCTGCTTGATGTAGTCGCCGGCCAAAAGCTCGACATGGCCAAGAGAACGATCTTTGCCGAGATTCTCTTCATCCATGACCTCAAGCGTCAGCTTCTCACGCACCGTGTGTACGGGCACGTAGACAACTTCATCCCAATCTGGATTCAGATTGTTTTTGAAAGTCACGGTCCGGCCCTTTTCAAGACCGGAGAGCAGGACGCGGACATAGGGATCCGACTTGCCCAGCTTCTCCACGTTTCGCAGATCACGGGCGCTCTGGAAGTGCAGCCTCATGACACCGATCGGTGTGAGGTAACCGCCAGATGATAGTGCACCCTTGAGAGCCACAGGCTTCCAATCGAGCTTCATCTTTACGCGACCAGTCTGAGCTCCAGCGAGGTTGAACCATTCGTGACCCTTGCCCATGAGGTCCAACATGTCATCAATGGTAATTTGATATGTTCCCAGGATGGGGTCTGCCGCAAGGTCGCGGTCATCCTTGATGACGATTCCGAGTTTGGCCTTTTTGCGGTCGGTGATGAGCAACTCCTTGGACGCATCCGGCCAGATGGGCTGGTTGGTCCGCTTCATGGTCCTCGACGTGTGGATTTCTCGCCCGTTGAGGAGCAGGATGGCATAGGGGCTGAGCTGCCCGATGATGCTCTTGCTACCATCCATGTCCTTGGCCTGCTCCACTGTGAATTTGCAGATACCGGTACTTGACTCTGGTGGAGGTTCTTTAGTGCCGTCCTCCAGGGTTGCGCCTCCCAAAACCGGGAAGAAGCGCACGTCAGCCTGAACGATGCCACGCGCTCGGCCGCCGGACATGACCTCAAGATGCAAGTTTTCGTGGTCGGCATCTTCTTCGAGTTGCTCAAGCGCAAACGTTGCGGTACCAAGCTCCTTGTCCTTGCGAATATCATTGTAGTCGAAGAGGTTGATGGTGAGCGAATCCTTCAAGGAGGTAACAATGATGTTCACAGTCTCATTCCAGCGCGGGTTAGCATTCTCATGAACCGTCTTGGTGCGTGCGAGCATAGCGCGGTTGTTGATGGATACAGTTGCGTACGGGTCAGGCGTTCCAGAAAACTTGTCGGGATTCTTCAGCCCCTGCGCACCGTGGAAGTGGACCTGCAAGACGCCGATGGCCTGGTCCACGGGGTTGCCTGCAAGCATCTTTGCGATTTCGATGGGAAAGACGTTGGGATCATACATCATCGGGCCGAGATTGGCGTGTATCTGCTCCATGATGAAAGTCTCCAAGCCGGGGATGAAGTTGATGTCGAAGCCAAACGTCTCGCCGCCAAGCGGCTTGCAGACATAGTCAATGGTCGGCCGCTCCAAAAAGCTCATCTCGACCTTCTCAATATGCGGGAAGGGCAGTTGCAGCTTGAACTTGAGGCGCATCAGACCGGAGAAGGCCATGTCCTCGACGATGACATCTAGACCCTTGCTGACAAGGCCCTTGCCGATGCGGATCTCGAGCACCACTTTGGGGTTAATTTTGTTCTTGATCTGCCTCGATGTAAGATCGGCCGTGTCATTGGGCGTAAAGCTAAACTTCCAGTCCATGAGGACGATATCGTCTTGGGTCTTGGGGTATGTCTTGACGTGCTCCAAGCGCGGAGGCTTCGTGCCGAGGACAAACGTCTTCATCTTCAAACTGTCGAGGAATGCAGGCGTAGACGTGGACAGCACCTGGTCGACGGAGCCCACAATGGTGTCACACAGCACCGGGGCGTAGATGGGCCAGAATTTGACGAGGAAGCTGTTGATCCACTCTAGGCTCTCCGTGTCCGTCTCCAGCTTGTTCTTGGCCATCTCGCGGTTGAGGTCGTCACGGGCGTTGCGGCGGACGCGGCGAATCGAGGTGCGGTAGTAGGTGCCGCAGACAGCCATGAAGAGCATGATCCATCCCAGCCCACCGCCCAGGATGCCCACGACCCACGAGGTCAGGCAGGCGAAGATGATGATGCCCGTGTTGTGGTACCAGTCGCCGAAGAATTTGTCCTCTATCCTGCTCTCGAGCCACGTCTGGTGGTCGGCGAGGGTGCCCTCGTCTTGGTCGGGGTCTTCGGAGCCGGGCATGCCAAATCGCGGCGCCCAACCCACGCGTTCCCATCGAGCGTCGTCGTCTTGACCGGGCGCATGGCCGTTTGCCTTTATCGAATCTGGGTCTGTGGGGGAATCTACGGCGCCCGCCTTGGAGGGTGGGGGGAGGTCGTACTTGGTCGCTGCGCTATTGTCGTCTGCATCCGAGACCAGGGCCGTAGCATTCTTGTTCCGCTCGTGGTGGAAGCCAACGGGCACACGCGCTCTTGCCTGTGCCCGCTTCTCTGCTGGACTGGCGTCGGGGTCGAACTGGAAGGCCGCGCTGCCGCCGGCCCGGGCTTGCTCGACGACCGACTTCTCAGCCTGTTGGGCGGTGACGGAAGAATTGGGGTCTTTGGCGGCTTCAAGCGCGCCTTGCTGCTTGAGCTCTGATTCACGCGACTCGGTCGCCATGTTGGCGTGGTGGAGCTGAGGCGCGGCCCGTCCAAGCTATGTATCGGGCACGAAGCACGGCGTGCAATTGGGGGGATAGCAGTCGAGGATGTAGGAAATGGTAGTAGAGAAGTAGAGAAAGAAGAATGCTACTAGAGAGAGAGCTAGCTGAGGGGAAGAGGGCGGCTCGGTGTTGTTGATGTCGGGCTTTCCACAAACCTGCTCTCATTAGCCTCCAGGCTTATTGGACCGAGGGTTGGTTGGTTACCGCTAACTAACCTCACCAATTGCGATTCACTGTAGGGCACAGGCACGATGCAAGAACAAACGAAAGCTAAAAGGATAGTCGGGGTTGGAGGGACGAGATGGAACTGCTCAGCTGTGAAGCTCGACTGCTGAGCCACGGGCAATCAGGCCGCTCCATCAGGGAGCTTGGGACGGGCGATGACGACGATCCGGCGGCATCCTCGTCGCACGAGTGGAGCAGAATGCACGGCCACAGGCTATTATGTCCTGCTTGCAGATGGGCAATACTATGGGGCATGGGAGATTGGGCCCAAATGGGAAGATAGCAAGATGAATGGGTGTCGATAGTCCGACTCTAGTGTACCTCTCGTCTTCACCATAGAGACGTAGCTGTATAGTCGTAGTGAGGCGCTGCTGAAACCCCTGAGCCACATCATCTCGCCCGCGCCACAAACCTTCCAGGCCCATACCACAATAGGTACGTACCACCCATGTATACCACCACCCATATTGTCGCAGACCCTGAATACTGAACTGCTGAACTGAACTGAACAAACACAGTAGAGTCCCACATTCAAAACCCCTTCAAGAACTGCACAAGCTGCCCCCTCACACTGCGCACTCTCATCAGTATGGAGCATTCATAGTCGGATATCTTCGCCCGCTGACGCCGTCCTGCACGCCCGACACATACCTGTGTGCCCCCCTACGGTCCCGGTCTCTATCTCTCTCCCGATCTCTCGACCTGCTATCGTCTCTCGACCTGTCCCTCTCGCGGCTGCCGATTCGCTCATCCCATTCGTCTTTAACGCGGTCGTGGCTTCGCGTTCGAGCATTGTCACGCTCGCGCTCACGTGGGTACGCAGCGTCCTCTGTGGATCGCCGGCGGCGCGCTCGACTACTGCCTCCCACATCATGCGAAACTGCACGGCCTTCGCGGTCTCGGTCGCTGCGTCGTCGCTCGCGCTCACGGCCGTCATCTCGAGTATAAGGGGCTTCGCCTTCTCTTGAAGGGCCGACGGGCACAGAAGGAGACCCCCATTTCACATTCTGTGGAACAGGGCGGTAGCTTGGTCTTGGTGGCATGCTAGGCCTGCGGTCGTAGTAGTTTCGCGCTTCGAGTTGCGCAACATGGGTTGCAAACATGGGCGATTGAGTGGGCCCATAGACTGGCAGAGGAGAAGTAGCTTTGGAGCCCCTGCCCTCTGCTCTGATGTTGGCATCAGGCTGGTGCGAGTAGCGCCGCGGTCCCTCATAGTAGGCGGGGAAGTACTCGAGGGGCGAGGTGGGTGTTTCGTGGGATCTGCGATGTCGCAGTGGAGGCGTATGCCGTCGTGAAGGTGGACGATCCGAATCCGAGTCCGAGTCGGTCGTGGATAGGGAGTCATCTCGTCGCTGCGGGTGAGGGCGCTTGTGCGAAGGATAGCGAAGCGCCTGGGGAGGAGCAGCGGCAATGGGGGTAGCATCTTCGTCGTCTGAAAGGCTGTCGTTTTCGTAGCGTCCTGGCATGTTCTTTTTCCTGCTGCCGAAAGGGTTCAGCATATGCCTAACTCTCGAAGCGACAGCCCTCCCATGGTCTTCCACAGGGCGCGCCGCTTGCTTCGAAACGTGCCGCATGAAGCTCGGCCGTGGCCTACTTCTGCGATACATGGGGTCCTCAAAGTACCTGAACGCGCCATGTTTCTCGTCCGCAGACGTGCCCTCCCCAGACATATCCGTGGAGATGCGCGGTCTAGGCTCGTCGGCTACACGTGCGCCATTCGCCTCTTCCTCTGCCTCCCGCCTAAGTCTGGCAGCGACGCCCTGATACCATGTTTCCATGGCATCGTCGGGCCTCTCTGGAAAGCATTCCTTGGGCAGGATCTTGGGAAATGCATTGCCTGTCTCTGGATCGATGACGTCGTCCTTTTCTACCGCCTTTTGGAGAAACGGCACATGCTCTTCTGGCCCAAGCAGCAACTGTATCGTCTGCCATGTCACAAATCCTTGCTTCTTCAGTGCGGGTATAGTAGGACTCCCGTACCCGTCGTCACTTGGCGCGGGCTGTAGACTGTGAAATGCGCCGAGCGAGCGGTAAATAAAGGCAATGGACGAGGGAGGCGTGTCTGTGAAGAGAAGATTGTAGTCCCCGCCGACATGGCGGTACCAAGCTGCCAGCTGCGAAGGCGTAAGGTCGGGCGAGTCGCTTGGGTCGAACTTCTTGCTCTGTAGTCGCATGCATCAGCTCGCCAGTTCAACGCACTGCGTCTGGCCTCTCTCTCTCTACGACTCACAATAACCTCTGCAATGCCCTTGAGGAGGCGGTCCAGCAATGGCGTTCCGCACTTGTCCTTCTTGAACAGATAGCCCCAGTAATCGTAAGCTTCCCTATGTGCAGCGTCCGCATGCGCTAGATTCGCTGCATGCTCTTCGTGCGCCTCTCTGTTTTCTTTGGGCTCCAAGGTCATTTTGCCAAAAAGATGCGACAATGGTCGGCAACGCTGCGCTCACAGAGACGGGCATTCAGCTCAGTGTGCGGACGTGATGCTTGTGGAAGATGCGGTGAAGCCCCAAACTGCCCCGCGGGAGTGCCTGTGCAACACAAATGGCCGGGAGTGGAACGGAGGGAGTTGCTGCTTATACCGCTGCAGAGTCATGTCTTCTCGCCCTATCAGCAAGTGTCATGGCTATGCGCCAGGCAGCTGACTGGCCTGCTGCGCCTCCGTTGAACCTGATGTGTTCGCGGTTGAGTGGCTGGTGCCAGCGGTGACATGCGACATCACGGTTCCCCAGCCGCACTGGGGGGTTATGGTGGGCCGCAAAGCGGAGCAACGAACCGTAAGGCAGCAATCAGGCAACTGTTTGGTACCTGACTCAAAATGAGGAACATGTCGAATAGTCTACTAGACTCCACTTTTACGAACAAGATGGAGAACAGGTTGAGAAAGATGCATATTTATCTACTCCTACTACTCTTACTACTACTACGCGCAAGACATCGGGATACGCGCACCTTTACGTTCCCAACCATCTTGCCCAGCTCACTCAAATGCATGCATGTCGGTCATCAATCAGTACTCGCATAAATAAGACTTGTATCCCGTAAATCTACTAGAAATCGCAGGCAAGACGCCATTTATCCATTTAGTGCTCAAGCAGCCTCAGCGAACCCTGCACAACGACATTCTCGAGAATCGAGCCGGGGGGAACGTCGATGGTGGAGCCTTCTGTCGCAACGATGATGACAGTGCCCTTGAGCGTCACGCCGCGGCCGAGGTTGACGGGACCCGTAATGGTCAAATGGTCAAGCTCAACAATCTTGGGAATCGACGGGATGCGGGATTGGAAGCTCGACACCTTCTTGAAGTCGCTGCCAAGCTTGATCAAAGGCGCGGGGCCGAAGCGGTTGGGGTCGATGACCAGCTGACCGTGCTGGAGCGTGTACAGATCCGACTTGACCAGCATGAGATCAGAGCACGTCTTGACCGGCAAGAAGCGTCGGCGGGGGACGTTGACACCGTGTGCGTTCTTGAAGTGCTTGATGGCAGCACCGACAGCCGTCTCAAGCTGGAGCACGGAAATATCCGCCTCACCCTTCTTGTCGGCAGGAATCGACTTGCCGTTGGGGATAATCTCCATGGCAAGCTCGTTGGCCTCCACAACGCGCTTGATGGCCGCCAGGTTCATCCAGATGTTGTTGGTGTTGAAGTACTTGAATTTCTTGATCGACTTGAATTCGTTGACGTGCTCCTTGGGAACCTGGGCGATTTCGAGCAGACGGACTGAGCCCTCGTAATCGATAATGGTGCCACCCTTGACGTCAGCCTTGGTCTTGTCCGTCAACTCCATGATGTATTCGGCCTTGGAGTCGACCATGTGCTGCAAGATGCGCAGGTCGACAACGGCTCCCAAGTTGTCGGCGTTGGAGAGGAAGATGTACTCAATGCCGCGCTCGAGGAGCTTGTCGAGCATGCCAGTGTTGTACAGAGACTCGAAAACGTCACCGTGGCCAGGAGGGTACCAGTTGGCAATGTCTGACTCGTTCTCCTTGGGCGCGGGTAGTAGCGAGTCCTTGAGAATACGTGGGTACCTCGACTGGTTGAAGGTGAGGATGTCGATGTTATGGCCCTCGTACTTCTTGATGATGCTGGCAGTGTCCGTGTCGGTGTTGAACGAGTTCATCAGGACAAACGGCACGTTGACGTCGTACGTCCTGTTGAGGTACTCAATCTGGCGCACTGACAGGTCCAAGAAGGACATGCCATCACGGACCTCAATGACCGACTTGGGGCCAACGCAACCCATGGAGGTACCGAGACCACCATTGAGCTTTACGACGGCCAATTTGTTCAGGTATTCGACTGCCTCGGAGTTGGACAGGTCGTCGTAGTTGACGACTTGCTCCTTCTTGGGGGGCGCGATGCGGTTCCAGTCGATGGAGGTGCCCTTGGCCTTGTCGTTGAGGTAGCGTCGGAAGAGGGCGAAGAAGTTGTCCATCTCCGTCTCAAAATACTACATTTGGTCAGATACAACTCATGGCTGCCGGGATCGGCTCATTTTGAGGCAAGGGTAGGGGAATTGTTGCTCACCTTCTTCTCAGCGGGGTCTGTGACCGTGTCCGCGAGCTTGTTGAGGGCATTTCGCATTTGCGAGGCCGCAACATTGGTGGATGTGTTTTCAAAAGCCTGAGGAGTCTCCATGTTAGCTGTATTTTCCTTGGGCCGTCTTTATCAGACGACAGCGTGTGGGGTGACATTGATTCTGTTGGAGGGCTCCATTGTACGGTAGCGGCAGAAGCGACCCGAGTTATGTAGGTGGATCGCCAGGTGGCATGACCTCGAGGACCAGACTGCTCAAAGGGAATGAGAGGTGATTCCACCAAGCAGTCCAGTCTCGAGGGCCGTTGTGTGAGGAGTTGCGAGGGCTGCTTGCGATGGCTGCCAGCGCTCCTTCCCCGCACATGGGTGCTTCGCCAGTTGACAATGATGCCGGAATCGAGGAGGGCGAGGAAAGACCAAGTTCAAGTTGGCTGTCGAATGTGCAGTTTGCCGAGGAGGGAATTGTACTGTAGGCTGGAAGTTGTAGGAAGGACATGTCAACTTACCACATGGGACTGCGACTTGCCGTGATGGCGCTGCGAGAAGCCACCCTCATCACCGCCAGCTGCGGCAGAGGGCTTCAGGTGGGAAGGAATCGCGCGAGATGCCATTGTGTCTGTGTATGTGGAGGAAAAGTGGAAAGTAGAGGTGGAGGGGAGCAGATCAGGGTCGAGAAGCGGTCTGCTTTATCGACGTCTGTGCTGGCTGGCGGCGGTAAACGTGGGGCAGTAGGGTGAAAGCGCACGCCAACGGGAGTGAAAAGGAATCCGGTGAAACTCGGTGTGACGACTGCGAGGCATGACACAGGACTTATATATATACGTGCTTGGTATTGGTATGGCTAGCACAGTGCCGCTCACCTGCAAGAACCAAATGGGAAGCCTCAACTGCAGCAATCGAAACATGGTAATGGCAGATGGGCCACGCCGATCCACGCCCGATTCTTTCCTACGTAGCCTGCCATGTACGAGAAAGCTGCGTTGAAGAGCCATCCATGAGACACCCGGAAATGGGCTCTGCGGCAGTTCAACGCAGCCCTCGGCTTAGCACACAACTCAGAACCTCACGATATGCACAACTGTTGGGAAGAATGGGGAAACAATTTTCATGTGGGAGCTATGACCAGGAATTTCTCTCGAGCGCCCCTCGTTCTGGCCGCCGCACTAAACATGTAGCATGACATAGCGTGCTCAACCACATGCCCGCCATTCGCCCAACCACTACTACCCCAGGCCAAAAGCTGGAGTGTGGCAAGCGTGCCACTCGACGCTGAACTGCATGTGGAGAGCAGAGAAAATAAATCGGAGTCGATGCCGCAGCTGAACCCTGAAGATGGCGGCCTGTTTGTCGGGGGAATGCGGTTGCGAGGTGTGGCGTTCATTGCCTCCCACGCCCGCGGGCATGTCGCTTGGACCACGTGGGGTCGCATAATACATAATACACATCCACCATGAAGATTCTATGCTTGCCAACTCAGAACTCAGGGAAAGGCTGATCCTGATGATCAGTCCTGGCTCGACCGTACTGGGCGCGTTATCTCGACGGCAGGTGCATCGGCGAAAGGCACCGCCAGCGGCTTTTCGATTCTGAGCCTGATCCATGCATCTTGGTCCTCCTCTCTTGTGAAGAACTTCTGCTTGAGCTCTTCTATGAGCCATGCTAGCAGGCTCTCGATTGTCTGATACGAAGACTCGGAGATGAGCTGCGTCGTGTTAGTACAATCTGACTGTGCAGGTACCGACACTTACGTTGAACAAGAGGGCCTCCAATGCTGCATAGTCATCGGCTCGAGCGTCGGATACTTTATCAACCCAAACATTGAGAACCACCGGCTGCTTTTGTAGCCTTTCGTTAGAATTGACGCCGATTATGCACGGGATGCGGACGTTGCGCAGATATAGCACATTTGAGCGCACGTTTGAATCACCAATCGTCGAGGTGATGTGGCCAGCCCCGTCTCCAAACATGCTCCCTTTCAAGTAGCAGACATTCGTTTCGATGGCATATATGGCTGTCGAGCCCGTCACGCCTCGCACGCACTGCAATACCGTGTCCGAGAGCGCAGCAGTGGACAGCCAGGCCAGCTTGTCGTCTTGAAAGTGTGCTTGGATGGCCTTGCTAAGCGTTCCATAGTGCACGGTGCTATCGTCGACTGAGTCTGTCGAGGATGCGGATGTGAATTGCTTGCCCAAAATCAACGTGACACTGACCAACGCTCGTTGCTTCTTCGGACGGCCCCATACGTCCTTGCCAGCGTTGACGACGACTTCCAGATTCTGAACGAGGATCTTGTCGTGGTGTATACTTTGAGCAACTTGGGCATCCCATTGGGATTGCCGAACAAGCTTGGCCATGGTGGGGGTGCAGTTCGCTGAATACTTGGACGCTTTAAGAACACGAATAGTCTGCTGGCTTGGTTTGTAGGGCAGCAAATAATAGGAAATCACACCGGGTTGTGAAGGGGCCGAAGGACTGTGTACTTGATTAGCCAAACACAAAGGCCACTGACCACGAGATGAAGGCTTCGTCCCTCGTATAGCCCAGAAGGTTCGTCGTGGTAGCCCAAAGGGGAAGTGGGATGACGCCCTTGCCCTTCCCTCTACGGGAGGCCCGTGCGGACACCGAAGCATCTGGAAGCTTGCGCTCTCCATGTATTTCTGCAACCCACCATCTGCTTCTGCCTTCGTGACCACGAGAACCGCAGCCGAACTTCCAATACCCTACGAATCCTCCCCACCGCTCCCATCATGGCTGATGCACTAAAAGCGGAAGGCAACAAGCTCTTCGCGGAGAAGAAGTTCGCGGAATCCATGTAAGTCCCCCGCATATCTCGCCCGACCAAATAATTTTCTTACCCACGTACAGCGAAAAGTTCTCACAAGCTATCGAGCTCGACCCCTCGAATCACGTCCTTTACTCGAACCGATCTGGTGCATATGCCTCGTTGAAGGACTGGCAAAAGGCGCTGGACGATGCGACCAAGACCACGGAGATCAAGCCGGACTGGGCAAAAGGCTGGGGTCGTAAGGGAACGGCGCTTCACGGCGAAGGCGACCTAGGTAGGACATGGTACACATGAAGGAAACGTTCCGGCTAACAGTAAGCAGTGGGGGCAACAGACGCTTTCGAAGCAGCCCTCAAGCTCGACCCGAACAACGCCCAGGCAAAGTCAGGCCTCGATGCCGTCAAGCGCGCCATAGAAGCCGAAGCCATGGGCGATAACCCGAACGATCCCTCAGGAGGCCTCAATGGCATGTTCAGCGACCCAAACATGATCCAGAAGATTGCCGCCAACCCGAAGACGGCCGGCCTCCTCAGAGACGCAGATTTCATGAGCAAGCTGGAGCAGCTGAAGACCAACCCCAATCTGATCGGCGATTATATGCAGGATCCCCGATTTCTATCGGTCATGGGTGTGCTCCTGGGCATTGACATGCAGTTTGCTGGGTCAGGTGGGTCAGGTAGTAGACCTTCCCGGGAAGAGGAGATGAACGACGGAATACAACCAGGGCAGCCAGGCGAGCGACCAGACGGGCGACCATTATACGCGCGGCCAGGACCAGACAAGTTATATGACGAACCTGCACCTGAGCCGGTAGAAGAGACAGAGGAGGACAAGGCTGCGAAGGAAGCGAAAGCCAAGGCCGATGAGCTAAAGAAGAAGGGCACGGAGCTCTACAAGAAGCGACAATTCGACGAAGCTATTGAGAAATACAATCAAGCTTGGGAGACACACAAGGACATTGCCTACAAGACCAACCTTGGAGCAGCCAAGTTTGAGAAGGGTGATTATGAGGGGTGCATCCAGGCTTGCCAGGAGGCTGTTGAATATGGTCGCGAGATTCTTGCCGACTTCAAGATCATCGCCAAGTGAGTCTAAGCTCCAACCTCGTATCCAGACGGCGACTAACATGATGTAGGGCATTTGCTCGAATTGGCACTGCGTACGAGAAGCTAGGCGACCTCCCCAATGCCATCAACTACTACCAGAAGGCGCAGACCGAACACCGCACGCCCGAAGTCCTTGCTAAGCTCCGAGCCGCTGAGAAGGCCAAGATCACGAAGGAGAAGGAGTCCTATGTCAACCCGGAAGAAGCCGAGAAAGCTCGCGAGCTTGGGAATGCCAAATTCAAGGAGTCGGATTGGCCCGCTGCGGTCGAAGCCTACTCCGAGATGATCAAGCGCGCACCAGAAGATCCCCGAGGGTTCTCAAATCGTGCGGCCTGCTTCATCAAGCTTCTCGAGTTTCCTTCCGCGGTTCAAGACTGTGATGAAGCCATCAAGCGTGATCCTGACTTCATCCGAGCGTACCTGCGGAAAGCTCAGGCCTACTTTACCATGCGAGAATACAACAAGTGTATCAACGTGTGTGCTGAGGCTCTGGCGCATGACAAGGATGGCAAGAATGCGAGAGAGATCCAGCAGCAGGAAACGAAGGCTTTGGAGGCACAGTACTCTGCACGCGAGGGTGAAACAGAGCAACAGACCATGGAGCGTATTCAGCGAGACCCAGAGGTAAGCCTATTTGATATTCCGACATCCCTTAACCCTGCTAACTGCTCGTAAGATCACTGGCATCTTGCAGGATCCCATCATGCAGAGCATTCTGCAGCAAGCCAAGGATGATCCAGCTGCGCTACAAGAGCACCTGAAGAACCCCGGTATTCGCTCGAAGATCCAGAAGCTGGTTCACGCTGGTGTCATCCGCATGGGCCGATGAACGGGTTAACAGAAGATGAGCCTTTCTGAGTCCCTTTCCGTGAATCGCCGCGGTTGATGGTGGCCAATCTGAAGACAGCTGTATCATTAACATCCCATAACGACGGGTGACTAGCCGCATGAACGAAAACATGGAGTTTTAGGCGCATCTGCATAGCGTAGGTAGTTGATAACAAAGCCAATGATTTCTTCAGAGCCTCTGTCCACTTTACATGTCGTGTAGGTAAACAATCCAAGGGCGTCAGGCTAGACATCCATGCGATCGGTTTCCGATCTGTGGCTTGACAGGGTTAAGAGCTTCGGCCTCGCGCTAAGAGGCCCCTCGATATGTCACCGCCAAGCTCATACTCACCATGCTTCATGCTCCCATTCCTAAACATAACCATATCTAGCATCACCCCCATTTTTCTGTCTTTACCAAGGTCTTAGAGGCGCTCTTGATGTTGTGCTTTGGTAGCGGACCTTAACATGCCTCATTCAGTATCAGCAATCGCCTCACCGGCTTCTACATCATCCGAGAGCGCATCTGGGCGACGCAAATCTCGCGTTTCAGCTGAACATACGTTGACCCGAGTACGAGAGAACCAAAGGAGACATCGCGCACGACAGAGGGATCATGTCGCAACCCTCGAACAAAAACTCGCAGAAACCGAACAACTACTGACAGAGGCGAGAGCGGAAATCGCCGCGCTCAAAGCGAAGCAAGCGGCCCCAAATGCCGCCTACCATCTCAACCTGCCCAGGACGCCGGAGAGTTCTGCCTTCAGCAATGGAGACGCAATTACTATCGCGGACACAGAACCAAGCCCAAATAAGCATGCGGGGCAAACATTGATCCAACCAACTAGCGACCCACAATTGGCGTACCCAGACATATCAGATCTATCCTTCCTAGGCGTCACCATCTCCGGCTCACCTTCAATCATCACCGACATCCTTTCCCTCTCTCCCTCTACAATAACAACAACAGACTCTGCCATGCTCAGCAGTGGCCCGCCCCCTTGCTGCTCTGATACTCCCAGCTCACCACCTCCTGACGAGCCTACGGACCCGGAGTGCCCGACGTGCAAGACGCGCCCTCCGCCTGACCCGTCGGAGAGTACGACGCTGTGTGCGCAGGCGTATGTTATGATATCGCAGCAGAATTTCCGCAGTTTGGATCCGGAGACGATTCGGCTTTGGCTGGCTCAGGGCTTGAGGAGGGCGCGGCGGGAGGGCGAAGGGTGTAGAGTGGAGAATGGAGCGCTATTGAGATTGCTAGACTATATTAGCGGTATGTAAGAAGGGAGTACAATATAGCTGAGGATGGATAGGTTTTTTGTAAGGAGTATGGGCTTGGCGTCTTGTAGCGGGTTTATGACAAAGGGGCCTTTTTACGATATATTAAAGTGCTCCTGGAACTGAGAATGCTGCTTTTTTACAGTGCTCCTGGAATTGAGAATGCTAGATATTCATGGACTTTGTATCAAGTAATAATGGTACATGATTGCGTGCCTTTCTTTTCATTTCAATGTCCTTTGGAAGATTCAGTGCTACAATCGCTGATAATTTGTCCACTGCATGGCAGTTGCCACGCAGGGCTTTTCGGTGACATGTCAAGCTTACAAGTCGATTTTTTATGATTCCCATGCTGTCTCTCTCTCTCTCTCTCTCCTTTGTCATCTTTGTCTTAGGCTAGAGTTACGTTGCCCTTAAACTCTATTCCTTTATCCTTGACTAGTGCGATGTTATTAAAGTTCCTGTCCTCTGTATCCTAAGCTTCTTGCAGACTAGTCGGTTAGTAGGCGTTCGTTCCAAAAGGGCAGGTTAATGTTCGTCGTAGTATGAGGGGGTGAGTTGGAGCGGCCGGCAGTTACAAATGGGCAAGGCGTTCGGATCGCACGCATCCGCTCTTCTCCATGCCCATCTACGCCCATCTCCATCCTAGCGTGCGCTTTGGCTGCCCCTTTTGGACAGTCGCCGACATCAGAGATTTCGAGATTTCGATCAGGCATGGTGAAACTAACATGCATAACCCGTGTTGTGCCGCAGTTCGGCCGACAGAGAATGTATCAGGATCCTAGGATCGCCATGGGGGCTAGAGATGGGCTGCCACGCTACAACGGGGGCCACGGGACTCAGCCTTAGCGCATAATACGGCTTTTAAAAGGGCGAGATGAGAAGGGAACAAGAAAATCGCTCCTCAACTCCTAAAGAGGAGACGCAAGACCTGATTAACGACAACCGCAATGCGAGGCCTTGAATAAGTGCAGGTGTTGCGCATTGATGTTAGCAGATACAATATGCCAAATGGCGCAGGTTTGTAGTCTCAATCAAGTCCTCGCTGGAAGAGTGCAAGCTAGCTACTCTTACAGCTGACGCGTGAGCACTAAGTACATGGATATCGTGGGTTGTCGTCTGCAAAGCTGGCTAGCAACGCTGAGTCAGACATTATCGAGTGAGGGGCACACAGGTTTAGCTATGCAATTTGACTGCAGATCATGAATCTAAGGTTCAACTCCTTCAACCTCGGCTTGGTCGAGTCAAGCGCCCACTGCGCTCTTGCCCATTGCGGCCATTTCTGTCACCACCATCCTTGCACGAACAGACGTGCAACGCCACGTTGCCGATCTTCAACCCTGAACCTCCTTTCCGCTGCCTGACGACCCTGGCCCCAACGACAGTCTTGGTCGTTGCCTCCGCAAAAATACCCAGGATGCTTCGGTTTTCTTGCTTGCAATACTTTAGCGCATCATACTGCTAATAAGCAAACGCGGCAACTGCTGAGACGTCTGCAGAGAGCGATCGACAGGGTGAGTCTAGGGCACCATCCAAAACATACAATAGCCTGCTCAATCACGAATGGATCCACCATATCTTCTCCCGGCCTTTTTATTCTCATTCTGCCGAGACTTGCACTACACTTCTACTGATAATGGAGGATCGAAGTGGGCAGGTGTTGAGTATCGCCATCTCATTCTTTGTCTTGACTTGGGTCACCGTTGGCCTTCGGTGCTATGTGAGGTGAGACTCATCTTCCAAGTTCAATAACAGGACATGTTACTTATTCAGGTTATAGGATCTTCATGGTAAAGGGCTTCGGCATAGATGACTTCACCATGGTCGCAACGCTATGCTTCTTTACAATATACTCGGTGTGCCAGATCGCCGGCGCAGCCAACGGTACAGGCGTACGCCGCGAAAAACTCTCAGATGCAAGCGCACAAACGGCTCTCCGCTTCTGGTTCCTCTGCGAGGTCTTCTATACACTTACCACGTGTATGCTGAAAATCTCGGTTGGCTTCTTCCTTTTGCGCATCACCATCGTTCCCATCCACGTTTGGATCATCCGGATCATCATGGCCGTCTCAGCAGTCCTGGGAGTTGCATATACTTCAGTGGTCATCTTTCAGTGCAGACCCGTCTCATTTTGGTGGGATCTAAATCCGAATCATACTGGTACCTGCCTGTCATCGACATTGGTCATGAACTTTACCTTTGTCGTTTCTGGTCTCAATGCATTTGCGGATTGGACTTTTGCGCTCCTGCCTGTCCTCATCGTCAAGGACTTGCACATGAAGATGCGCATGAAGGTTATAGTAGCCTTGGTTATCGCGGTGGCAGCCATGTAAGTGAAATTCATATCCTCGTAGCAACCTCTCTAACCTCAACCATAGTGGTTCGACAGCAACCATCGTCCGCCTTCCTTACACCAAGTCACTTAACGGGTATAAAGGCGACTTCCTCTACCGGACGACCGACTTTGCCATTTGGAGCACAGTCGAAGTAGGATTGGGCATAGCAGCCGGCTCCGTTGCGACACTGCGGCCACTGATGAAACAAGCTTTTGAAATTACTCGCTCCGCCTCAGCGCTGCCGTGGAGCAAACGTTCCAACAAGTCAGGTCAGCTGCAGTCGGGGCAGGAACTTAGCGATCTTAAGCCATCCGTTCAGAAGTCCATTCAGAAATCAGTCACAATCACAACCTCGCGAGCTCGAAGGGAAAGTGCTGGGTCTGACGAGGAACAATTTTTGGCCTCAAGTATACCCTCAGAATCATGGCAGCGTCAACAGGGTCTGCCCGGCTACATCACCTCCAACGTCATAAGCGACCGCGTGGCGCCTTCTACAGCAGAGAAAGGTCGTGGGCACATTGCGGACCTGGAACGAAGAGGTAGTCCTGGTGGAGCCAGCGACATGACTATTGACAGCAAAGACACAAGAAACGCAACAAAGGGGTACGGAAGTTTTCTAGCATGAGAAATTGAATAATAGTGCTCCATAATAGACATCTCTGCCTAGCTGCCGCTTTAGGTACTAAGTCGTTCGCTGTCACAAATTAGCATGAAATGTTTGCACTCTCTTGAGTGACAACACAAGTGATAGGGAGCTCAGCTACCGAGAACTCCCCAAACGAACAGTCATTACCGGTAGTAAACCATTCCCCAGATAGTATTCCCACGCTGAGTACAGCTTGTCCCATCTCCGGTCGTCAACACGCACCGTGCCATACATATTTCTGTTACTATACTTATAAGCTTGCCTACGGGCTCCGTGCACTAAAATTCTCAAAACAATAAGTATGTTGGCAATAAGAAAGTCTATAGACATCCGCTAGCAGGCGTTAGCTCTTCCACCAGTCACTATAGTATAAAGACATCTATAGTGTCACACCTTTTAAGAACAAATATTCAATGCTCTATAACCAATTTATCGAGCGCGAGCTCTCTAAGAAACTATATGCTACCAATAGAGAGCTCGCAGCAGACTTACCCCTAGTCTAACAAGCTTAGCCGATCGTTGAACCCAACTCAATTTGAGGAAGATACTTGCCGGGGGCTGTTGACTTGAGCGCATCCGATGCAGCCACTAGCACAATCGGGAGATCGTCTTGTTTGAGGTAGTTTGGGAAGACAGTGGTTAAACAAACGTTACCGGCGTGATGAACGTAATAGTTGTCGTTTGACTTATGCAGAGGGAAGACTGCATCGATCGATAGGCTCATGTGATTCGGCGTCAGTGCTTCTGGGCGGACACCCTTGTAAGCATCTTTGAAGTTGGTGCCTTGTAGCCAGTCGTTGGTAAGGAAGGCATCCCTCATCGCAAGCAGGAACTCTAAAGGAAGCTGCGGCTCGAGGTTATATGCTTTCTTGGTGACTCGATAATGGACGATCATATCGTGTGGTGGCACACCGTCCACGAAATGCGATGGGTACATTAAGCGCTCGTCTCCGCTCCAGACCATACTCGAGCAAATCTTGAACTTGCAGCAAAACATGCAGTCATGAGCTTCGGTGTCCCTGTCATGCTCGTCTGAACAAATGCAATGATTCTGCCTGTTGAGAATCGAGACGCCGAGAGTGAGCTCTTCTAGCGATACAAAAAGCTCATCAACCATCCTAAGAGTGCTCTTCTCACGACGGAAGGTTTCGAATGTGCTCTGCATGGCCATAGCTATTGAAGCCTTCGGAAGCTTAGTGCGGACCAACGGTATAGTGCCGTTGACTGTTCGAGCCACGTTGGCAGAGAATTCCACGGTTTGTTGGAAGGTTGCTCTGAATTTGAAGATGTTTTTACCACCGAAAGGTCCTTCGTGAAAGTGGAAGGGAGCCATCTAACCGGCGCTTTGAAGATCCTCTTACCGCGACGCAAAAACAGAACCATAGAACTGAGTCCAGCCACGTAGCAGCGATGCTGCTGCCTACAGCAGCACAATAAGAAGCCAGCAATCCTTTCGCGCGGACCATTCAGTGCTTGCTATAAAGAGTTGATACTGTACTATGGAGCCTACATCACATTTTAGATACAGCATTGCGTTATAGTATAACTACCTCCAGTGTCATTCAGAGTGTTTGCTATAAAGAGTTAAAATTGTACTATGGAGCCTACATCACAGTTTAGATACAGCATTGCGTTATCATATACCTGCCTCTAGGGTCATTCAGAGTGTTTGCTATAAGGAGTTAAAACTATGCTATGGAGCCTACATCACATTTTAGATACGGTATTGCATTATGATACACCTGCCTCCAGAGTCATTCAAAGTATTTGATACAAAGAACTGATACTGTGCTATGGAGCCTACATCACATTTTAGATACGGCATTGCGTTATCATATACCTACCTTTAGGGTTATTCAGAGTATTGATACAATGAATTGATACTATGCTATGGAGCCTACATCACATTTCAAATACAGCATTGCGTCACAAGATACGATAACGAAAGCAGCAGCTTGCGCATTCAGTCGAAGAATGTCATCATTTTCAGACCATGTATATCCACACAAATCATTCGTTATGATACACTGTGTTCAGACATAGGCGAAGCTTGGGCTTCGTGCAGGACCTTGATGTGAGGATGTGCGGCAAGCCACTCGATGAGGATCGGCGTGTCAGTCGAAGGTTGTAGTCGCAGGTAGCCTGTATCGCTGTTCTCTGGCTGGATTGGTAGGCCAGAAGAGCCCGTCAGAAGCTTTGAAACCTGAGCTAAGTTCGCCTTTGGTCGTCGAACTTCCTTTGCAACCCCTGGCGGCGGTACTTGCGGTGGCTTTCGCGCGGACCATTCAAAGTGTTTGCTATAAAGCGTTGATGATGTGCTATTGAGGCTACATCACAGCGCTGAACCTAGCAGTGGTTGGCGATAACACTTTGAGGGTGTCAAAATGCGGCATTGCGTCACAGGATACGACAACGAAAGCAGCAGTCTGCTCATTCAGTCGAAAATATCATCATTTTCAGATCGTGTATACAGTAGACGAGTATTACTCATATTGCCATGATTTTTCCTGACTCTCGGCATCCATCGTAAAGCATAGGGGTATCACCAGTGTCGTCTAATTCAAAGCACCCTTCTCGTTCTTCTCATCCCTAACGTTGTGAGCCTCCTTCACACTCTCAGCATCACCGATCTCACGACCACCCACGTATTGACTCTCCTTGAGATTGTTGAGTGCGTCCTCTTCGGCGTCAGCCTTGCGGAAGGTAAGGTAGAAGCCGATACCACCAAACATGGCGATGACAGCAACAGATCCATAGTTCCACACAAGAAGCGGATCCTCCGACAAGCTAACAAACGCCTGGCCAAGAGCAGCGGAGACGGCAGATGTGGAGAGCGCAATAGCCTGGATAGTAGACTTCATATTCTGTGGCGCTTTTGTGTATGCGTACTCTAACTTCGTGATAGAGGCCATAATCTCGGACATACCAATGAGACCGTAGGGCACGGCTTGCACCCAGACAGAAATGTCGGCGTGGCAGTCCTTGCGGGTCTTGCTCAGCTTGTTGATATGGCTACCACAAGCGGACATTTTGTAGATGTAGTACTGGATGACACAGGCGGAGACCATGGCGAAGGAGCTGAGCGCGAAACCAGCGGTGATTTTTTTGATGGGAGATAGTCTCACGCCTGCCTTCCGGAGTGCTGGATATATGCCGAAGTCCATGATGGGGATGAGGATGACGATGAAGATTGGGTTCAGTTTCGCGACGATGTCGTTAGGAGTCTTCCCCAGGTTCATTGTGTTTGCTTGCGACACAAGGTTGTTAGTCATTTGGTTGTATGCTAGCCAATATAGCGGGCTTTGAGGTCTGAAGTCAGCATATATTTCACGTAATGGGCACACCGATGCTACTTACTACCAGAGGAAAACCTTGCAGGCGAGGACACCACGTTTAACCTCGTCCACCCAAGCATCGTCGAACGTCATCCAAGTGGGAACGACCTCACCACGCGCACGAATCTCGCTAGGCTTGATTCTAGCCCAGAAACCGTCGTCCTTGAAAGTATTTTTCTTTGGAGACTTCTTGATGCCGAGGCCAATGAGCTTGAAGGCCTTGCCCATGACGGATCCAGTAGGAGGAGAAAGGCGGTAGTGCTTCTTCATTGTGACGAGAATCATCGGGCAGAGAAGATAGCAGATAGTCGGTAGAGTGTAAGAGAGCCTGATCGAAGAGTTAGTTCGGACATTGATCTTGATCGTGCGCTGGGGCTTTTTCTTAAAAAAAAAAGCAAAAAAGATGAAAAAGGCAAAAAAAAAAGAAAACCCAAAATTTCGAACTCATCAAAACATAACAGACAGGTACAAGGAAAGGCAGGGATTCATTACCAAAAGCCCACATAGTGTTCAGACCAGACCATAGCGATAGAACCACAGATAGAGCCACAGTTGATGAGAAAATAGAAGTATATGTAGATACGCGCGGTGGTGGTGGCGGGATCAACGATTTCTTTGCTGCCATTCTTCTTGACACGGACATAGGCCTTCTGATCTTTGTATTGTTCGGCAATGAGCGGAGAAATGTTTGATTTGAATCCGCCTGTCCCAAGACCCATAACTACGATACCGACGGAGAAGATGGCGATGGCGACGTTAGGCTTGACGATGACGGCTGGAATTGCAGACATGATGAGAATGATGTGACCGATAACAGCGAGGACGTTAGAGTACTGGATGGTGGCATAGCGACCCCAGTATTCGTCAGCCAGCCAGGCACCACCAAGCGGCGTGATGTACGACCAGAACTGGTTGAACATGGTCAACCCTGTTGAAGCGCGCTGTCCCATGTCCAAGGCTCCTTTGAGATTGGTTAGTTGTTTAATCTAGTTCGATGTCTCTGTTGAGAACATACCCGAGCCAGGTTTCTTGAGGAAACCAGCACCAGTCTTGGAACCTGGAGGAAGAGGCTTCTGGATGAAATTGACGACTGGGATTATGGTTAATCTTCATGTTCCACACAGCAAGATGACATATAGGTGGCTTACAGACAGCGCTCGTGCCGTAATAGGAGAAGCGCTCAACGAACTCGACGACGGCAACAGTCCAAGCCTGCCACGGGATAGAACCAGCGACTCGAGGGAGAGTGGCCCATTCCTCCTCGGTAGGAAACGGTCCTAGAAGACTGGTGCCCTCATTATCGAATGAGTCGGAAGTGGTGTCGAGAGGGATAGGGTCGAGTGCAGTGGCGCCTTTGGTGATCTCAAGGCTAGCCTTGACATTGGTAGTAGTAGCAGCCATTTCGATCGCAAGATGAACTGGCGTTCAACTGTCGAGGCAAGCAAGTTAATGATGGGGGAATGATCGCGAGGGACACTCAAGCGATCACAGACTGGCCGTTTTCACAGGGAAATCAGCTGGCGAGTGAACGAGCACCTGAGGTTCTATCGGTGTACCATACCCCTCTTCATATAGGCATGATACCAGGGTCTAGATTATCACATTGGACACGAGTTGCACAGGGGTGGGGCACTCTGCGCGGGCCATCGACTTGTCCTACCCTCGAGGGTTCAGGGCGTTTGCTATTTTGGCCTCTTATCGTCGCCATTCTCATCCTAAAGGGCTACCAAGACCATGGGATCACGCCTGGTTCGGTCGGGAGATTGCTGTTACGAACGCTTACATCTTTACCGCTGGTAAGCGCGTTACTAGAGGCGTCCAAGCCCGTGGTACCAAGCCCAGGCCCCCCGGGGTTAGAATCGAATAGGAATGCGTGAGGCATGAATCCTTGCGATCAGCCATGCACCACGTTGCCACTTCACGTCGGCAGGCCATTCAGAAAGAATTGCCAAGGCGTGCGAGGAAGCAAAAGATAACAGTTTGTCGAAGCTTCCACGCAGGTCTCATGTGCCAAGATGTGTTCTATTTCTTGTGCTCTCACCTGCCCGTTCAAGCCTACACTAGCCCTATTCTAGCGTCTTATAAGTTGGTGAGGATGGTAGCCAAGGGCTTGGAAGATCCAAAACCCAGGATAACAACGTTACGATGTGTCCACCTCCTTCTACAATCGTGTTGACGCGGTAAGATAGCGTACGGCGCAGTACGAAGGCGTTCGGAGAGGACGTTGTGCTGAAACCTTGGAATGGCGTTTTCTTAATTGGACGTCAAGTCGAGGCTAGTCTGTCTCGTTTAGCGGAGAAATGTGGAGAGCGGAGTAACACGACACCCATGACCTCCACACACCCACACTGTCATATACGTTTGTTGATGAAATGCGTTGGGATTAAAAAACTGCTATCAAGAAAGAAGTCACACTTCGATATACAGGACTATTGTGTTCGCCGTCACCTACCATCGACAATACCTTCTCAATAGAGTCATTTCCAACAGTAAAATCAACCGCTCATGACGCGAAACCAACGGGACTCCGGACGTTTATCCCCTCGCCACTCTCTAGGCCATGAGGGGCAGCACCTGGGTTGAAATCCTTCGCCTCGGCGCGAAGACGGTGAGAGCCAGTGCCAGATTCAGACGCCAGTGCGTCGCCGCCCTGGAGAGGCGCGACTGAATGCTGAAAATTATCCCGAGAAATAGCTGGCTGTGAGGACCCATATTGATAGGAAGGGTCGTAGTAGGCTCCAGAAAGATCTGAGCCCGCCTGCAGCGAAGTGTACGAGAGCGCACTGCATAACCCGGTCATCGGATCGACGTCCCCGTGGCGGTACGCCTGCTGCATGGCAGACGTACCGAACTCTTGGCCCGGAAAGAAGGTCTGGTCGTGCCTTGAGACTCCCATCCACTGTGGTGCCATTGGCGATGGTGTACCATGGAAATTGGATGTCGGACCATATCTAGCGTCATAGCTTGATGGCATCCCATAGGCATGGTCGACACGAGTCGCGTGGCCTTGCCATGTCTCGTATGCTAACCTTGATGTAACAGGGTTGGGACGTCGACCCAAGCTAAGCTCGCCCAGACCACCTGAGCGGTGTCCGCGAGGCTTGCTCTCGCCATTATCTTTAACCTGTTGCTTCGGAGCACTAGAGCCTTTTTTCCAAGCCTTGACCTCTTGAACGGGTGACTGGCGCCTTTCCAACACTATTAGCATATCGCAGAACCCCTCATGTCATCAAGACTTACTGTATGACATTGCTAACCTGCAACAGTCCGTCTGAGTTGCCCTGCTTTGCATTCCCCACTGGCTTTGAACTTCCCAGTGGGCGCGGAAAATCGCGGCTTGGAGCAAGCCCCATAGAGAACAACGGCCACGTCTCATGGCGGATCGCATGACGAACAAAGATACTAACACATAGCTGAACCATATTCTTCACGGGATCGAACTTCGTGGTTTCGGCAGCCGTGAGGACGGCCGGGTTAATGAGCGCTAGGCGAAGACAATCCATAGTCGATGGGAAGTCCTCGTAGAAAGGCTAGTCCATCGAAATTAGTACAGTGGATAGACAGGTAATACGCGTTTCGATTGGGGATACGTACGATATTATCAATGTTCATCTCTGCGACGCGAATTGCTTCCTGCCAAGCGGAATGCGACTGCTCGTAGAAGACAGTGTTGAGGAAGGGGATGAGCTCAGACTGTGCCCACTTTTGATCAACCCGCTCAATCATGTCTACTGATCTCGAAGGGATGAGGGGGAGGTGTTCATAAAGTCAAGTTAGCAAGGTGGGTGAGCGAAGGTCAGTAACCAAGTAGTAACAGATGCGAGGTTTAATTGACGTGTTTAAGAGCAGGTCGGGTACGCAATGACGATTCACAGACCCTCGTGACTCTTTATATTGTTGGCAAAGTCTTGTTTCACCTTGGGCACCCGTCGGGCAAACGTGCTTATCCGCGATAAGACCAAACTCTCATGCAATTCGCCGACTAGAGTCCTTTCACAGCTATATCATGGCTCCATACTTGCCGCCTGGTTAAGAAAAAATTGTGCGATGCCGAGCGCCATCGCGGTGAAACCATGGGCATCGATGCAGTGGAAATTGAACGCCGATATCTCCATAATAAAGACCTAGGTATGAAGCCATTAAGACGGACGCCCCTGTATCAACGTGTAGGGTCTGCTACCTCCTGAATCCTCCAAGCACTTGTCAACTTAGCTGCGCTTCGCGAACGACTGAGTTCCCGTGGGACATCAACACACAGACGGTGAACTGGCAGACTATTCAATATCACGCTACGAGGTCACACGCACCAACACGCGAAGCACTCGAATCTAGCATACACAGAAAGAGTTACATGATCACAAGAAAACAGGTGTAGCTCGTCCTGGGGTACTCCTCAGCTCAGCATGGACCTACTCATCGGTTCCTTCAGGCTGTAGAGATGCTTTGAGCGGATTTGATCGATGTGCACAATACATTTCGCACTTGAAGGGCAATGCACTGAATGTCTCCCGGCTCTATAATTGTGGTTGTGGGAAAGTCTTTCCCTGGTGGCCCGCGCGTTTGCTCCTGCGACTTTACCATGGGAAAGTGCGTCACGTCCGTGCCCTTTGCTTGTACGTCGCACCTTGGCCCATAAATAAAGGACCACGCTCCAGTTTCGATTTCCGGTTGTCGACCTTTCCAACTAATACAACTCTGACCACCTCCCCGCGCAACTCAAGCGATCGGTGACCATGGCTCCTCAAACGTACGATCCGCACACTCGACCTCATATTCTTACTAACATTCTTGTAGGCGTGCATCGGCCAAGGGCCATGTGTTCCAAACCAAGAGTGTCAAGAAAGGCGGCCGCGGGAAGAAGTCTGAGAACAACAAGAAAGCGGACCTTGACCAGAAGAAGCCCACCGGGGGAGCCGCGCGTTGCTGTTTCCTCGAGCTACCTCCTGGTAGGTACTCTCCAATATAGATTTACATAGCAGACATGCTGACAGAGCTCGCTAGAGCTTCGCAACCGCATCTATCACTTTGCTCAAGAGATTCACTTTCACCCACATGGCGAGGTACCCCCGCTTCTCGTCAAGACCACCAAAGCAACAGTTCTGCAACAACCCTACAGCGCACGCAAGTTCTTTGCCCTTACACAGGCTTGCAAGCAAATACGTTCAGAGTTTCGTCCCTTGTGGCTACGCAAATCCGCACTCCGTATCGAGATGAAGAACGTCCGCCCCTTCATCACGACATACTATCCGAAGACCGAAGAGTACAAGAACGCTCCCAGTCTTCTAATGGTTTCATGGGATCATGGAGATGGCGAAGACGACGACGTTCTGTCTGATGTCACACTTTTGTGCCACTTACGTGCGCACTCCCCAACCTTCACCGCCGAGTTTGTATCGCGTAGACTGGTGGATTTTGACCTACCAAACGTTGATTGTTGGGACTGTGGACACAGCATTCATTGTGACTGTGGCATCGATTGCGAACACGAGGATGCTCGCGACGAGGCCATATGCGATTTGATAGGCGATCACTTCTACCTCAGAATAGTGAACAAAGTTCTCGCTAACAGTAGCGAGGCATGGCTGAAAGGCGTTCGTGAAGATACTCAGAAGGATATGAAAGTCGAGTTTACCTTCGATACAGTCGATCAACGTGCTACTATCTACATCCGTTTCCTTAAGGGTGGTGCTCCAGCGCTCTTCGACAAGAAAGACATGTACAACACAGCCATTCGCTATCTTGAACAGATGGGCATGTTGGATCTGGAACACCGCCAGGATCTCGACTTCGTCGTTGGAGAAGCAACTGACAAGTACACGCGCCATTTTTATGGCTGCCATTACGCGACTCCGACTTACAGCCAGATCCACATCTCCGGTCGCGATCTCCAGTCCCCTGACAGCACGACAGCCATGGGTTCTCAAGCTGTCTCTACAACTTGAGTTCTTCTCCAGCTTGAGTATAATGTGGTCGGCATAGACGCACCAGAGCTTAGATGATAGTTCAATGAGAGGCTTGAAAAGCTTCCGAGTGCCTGATAAGATGTGGTATCGGTCTTTTTGGCGTCTGCACGGTAGAATGGGGCTTTTTTCTTTCTCTTTACTCAGTCACGAAACACACATTTAATCCACTCTCTCAAGGTTACACGCCCAGCATGTCTCTTGCGCCACCTTTCGGAGCTAGTCGATCCCAGCGATCTTCGCATATAATGAATGTGCACGCATCTACCCACCTTTGACAATCTATAGAAAGTACGCCTAACTCTTGAGGTGAAGATTCTCTATGTAAAGCACTTTGTAATCTGGTCAGCTGCATCCAACAATTTCCTCTGCTCCAAATTAGTCATGCTCGGTGTGACCGACTTCAGGCCTTTTCAACTTGGCATTTACCATATAGTATATCGTTTCTGACCTTGTTGTCACCGTTATGGCGGTCGTTGTTTCCACATATGCTCTGCCCACGAAGAGCACTGCGACGCTTACAGCGGTAAATACGTGGTTGGAGGGTGCCTCTCGTGAGGCGTGTATCTTAGATCAAGATTCATTACCCCGCCTTGGTGCCGACCATAGTAGAAGTTGAAGGATGATGACTGCGATGAAGACGCCAGGAGTGGACTGGTGAGGTTGATGCAAGCTGACTGACAGGGATGTAACCAAGAGAACGCACGGGCCTTGCTTCTACGGTACCTATCGTGCCCTCTCCCACTTCCCGGCTCACAATGAAAAAGCTACAATCCATGTCTGCCTAGGTTTTGTTATTATGTACCTCCTAATACAATCTAGGCCCCATGGAGCTCTTGAGGCACGTCGCAGCAAGCTAACGCCAAGCAAGCCTCCGAAACACTCCCCCAAACCACTCGCGCTGCATCAGCCGCACATCAAACGTGAACAACCAACAGCAGCAAAGAGATGGGAAAAGTCAAGCTCAGAACAGTAAGGCGAAGCTCAGATGATCTCCTGGGTTCGACTTGGCTACTTGACGATGTTTGGAGTGCTCCCTAAGCTGCTCAAAACTCAAGAGGACCACATTTATCATCGACTTCTCCACACAGCTCGATCTTCTTTCTTCCTCTACCGTTCGCTGTCTCCATTTCTTCTTATTCTTCTTCTGGCAGGCCCACCGTTAATTCCCCCCCTTATTCTCTTCATCTTCCGTGCTGCGCACTATCTCATTCATCACTAAACCTCTAATACAAGAAAATGCAGAAGTTTCTTACCTTTTCCGCCCTCCTAGTGCTCACAGCAGCCCTCCCGCAGCGTAACCGCGGCGGCGGCCGAACACAACAAACCGCCCAACAAAAAGCTGCTCAGGTCCCACAAGGTATCTCTCAGGCCCAAGATGGCTCCATGATCCTCGATGACACGGTTACGGTGAAGTAAGTCTCTTCAATCTCTCCCCTTCCATTACAAGAGTAATACTAACACTCAAAAAGTGGTCTACCGCTCCGTTTCAAGATATCTGCACCAGCAGCACAGTTCTTGCCGGCCTCTGGAGTACCCGGGGCTGCAGCGACATCGTCTGACGGAACGTTGGGAGTGAATGTCCTACTCCACGGCGACGGGGGCCAATCCTTCTTCGACATGCCGAATCAGAACGTTCAGGCGAATACGATGGGCGTAGCATTGCTCGCTCCGAACGCGAAACTGTTCTGGGGAGGGGGTCAGGGTCTCCAACGGACGGACGGCGTTGCGCACTCCCAAGCAGTCAACGACTTCATTCAGAACGAGCTGCCACAGCGCGTCGCGATGAATAAGAGTAACGTTGTATTCACGGGTGTTAGTGGGGGGAGTTTGATGTTGAGCGGCTTTTTCATTCCGGCACAGATGCAGAACTACCCTAACAGTGCCGTCGAGTTGAACTGTGGTGGTATGCCGCCACAGGTCGATTTCCAGAACGCTGCAACCGTTCTGCCACAAACGCGCATCCATTATCAGTCGACCCAATCCGAACTCGAATCCCTCCAGGGTAGCATACCACAGGCGGTGGCAGCGTACGAACAGCTCGCTGCAGATGCGGGGTTGAACACGGCTCAAATCAGCCAGCTGCAAACAGTAGACAATACGCCTGAGGGAGGACACTGCGCGTTCGATGGACAGGGTTTCGTGTCTGGAGTACAAACTATGCTGACGAGTTATTCGAACGTTATGCAGGGTGGAAACGGCGTGGTGCAGGGTTTGGGGGCGCCGAGTACTGGGACGGTTACGAAGGGTGTTGTTGGGAACGAGAATCTGCAGTTCGTTGCCGCTAGGAAGAGGGAGGTAGAGAGGGATGCTATGATACAGATGAGGTGGGCGCAGGATGTTGTCGAGGAGCCGGATTTCGATGTGCTAATCTGCGATCGAGCTTCGTGTGAGTAAACTGCGACAGGGACCAAATCTGTGGATTTCAGCATGTAAATGGGTGCTTCTCAATACTTGAAGTTATTCAAAATGCTCCCGCGTTGTTCCATAATTCTCATAATGGCTTGGTCAATCACATCAGCAGGAGTGCGAACTGGTGTTGATCGTCGTAATGTTCATTTGACTGGTATTGTGAAGATCATCCCATTGCTAGCTGTGCAATGTCTACTTCCAATTCCTTCACCCCGTAAATGCATTTTCGCCGTGCCCGTGGACCCATGAATGTTGGAGAAAGCTGGAAAAGAGACACCTTACATAACGACACCGGAGTTGGAGGCGATACGCTGGATCTTGTTAGCGCAGTCCTTCGCATGCTGCAATTATACGTACCGGCCACAGCTCAGCAGCCTCCTTTGCGACGGGTCCGGTAATGGCGGAGCCCTTCATTTCACCCTTGGGGTTGACAATGACACCAGCGTTGTCCTCGAAGTACAGGAAGACACCGTCTGCTCGCCTCCACGGCTTGCTCTGTCGGACGATGACGGCGGGCATGACCTTCTTCCTCAGCTCAGGCTTTCCCTTCTTGACGGTCGCCATGACCATGTCGCCAGCGCCACCAGCAGGCAGACGGTTCAGGCGCGCACCAATACCCTTGACGGAGATGATGTACAGGTTACGGGCGCCGGAGTTGTCGCAGCAGTTCATGACGGCTCCGCTGTGCTTCCATTAGCCTCAGTTCTCATCGTGTATGTATTGAGCGACCTCGCAAACGGGAGTAGGTTTTGGGCGGAGCGATCGCATCGGATTTGAACGTACACAGGCAGACCGAGGGTCATCTTGAGCTTGTTTCCAGAGGAACCGCGACTGCAGCCAGTTAGCCATGTCCAATTTCCTCCCATTCAAAGCCGTCGCAACATACCCGCGCTTGGATGCCATTTCGAATGATTAGTTGGGGACGAGTTTCGTTGGGCGGTGTCGGGTGCGTCGTCGCTGGTGTGAATCGAAAAACGGGAAGTTGCAACTGCACAATTGTCTGTGGGCGGAGGTCGCTTCAAGATATCTCCGCCGGCGCTAACCTGGGACAGACTAGCGTCAATAATGTCTTGGCGGAGCTGAGGCGTGGCGTGAACACGATACCTAGGTAAACTCTTAACACTAACACACTTTACACCAACATGCTTCCAACAAAGATGTCTTGTTCGTGATTTCGAGCTAGTACTAATTATGAGATCTCTCTGGTCCATCCTTTTCGCACTTTCTGCTTGACGTCATCGCAGTGAGGGCTCGAGCTTGGTGGGGGCAGCTCGATCGCGAACACGCCGAGACACATCAGAAGAACCATCTTCAGTCTCAGCAGATTGTCTGCTCTCAATGCTCTGCCATATCATTCAATCCTCATCGTTTACTCACATTGTTGACATGTAGTGCCTACTTTTCCACGGGCCTCGAAGTCTCATATACCGAATTGCTATTATGACGTCCCGCAGTCTAATGACACAGCAATCCATTAATGAGCTTGACAGACTTTTTAGCTCTTCGGCTCAGCTGCCTCGATCCGTGTAGCTTGAGGCAGGTGCGATAAGTGCCAAGGTATTTTCGTCAGAATTGCATACTAGCAATATGTGTCGCCTCCACGTCGATGAATTCCAATTCTTCATTTGACTGTTCAACATCAGCACCCGAGACATCCATTTTTCCTAGCGGGAATCGCAGTGCAACGGCTAGCGCCACCAAGTGTGAAACGGATGACCTGCTCCCAGTAAGGATGCAGTCTTTTTGGGCTTTGAGAAGGGGTGAATGCCGATACAAGGAGATGCAAATTTGCTGTGACGCTATCATAGCTATCATGGCCATCACGGACGGACTCTTTACAACTGGATCTTCAAGTTCCGACTTGAGACTGCGTTTCTAAAGCGCCGAACTGTATAGCTATGGCCTTCTTGTACGTTCCAAGTATATACTGAACCATCTTTCGTCTTGCGTCAACACTGAGATGGGTAATATCGAGGCGCCACTTGAAAGATACGGTCTGGATGGCATTCGCAAGTAGGGAGCGCTTAACATTGTCAAACCGAAAACATTCGCAAATGTGGTCTTGTTGAACGGGGCTCATGATGCCCGCAATTGTTGTCTTCGGTCACTCTACGCTCCTTCAAACAATTCTCCGTGTGACTGAACATCCACTCCTAGCGTCACATGGCTTGGAAACTGAAGGTGAGCAGCAAACTCACCTGGATTTGCTGCCCTTCGGTAGTTGTCTATAACCTTCCACTCTTGCCTCTCCGTGAAGGAGGATTGTGGTAGGAATCCGACTTCACAATCACATGGATCCAAACTCCTGGTACTTATAAACCCCTTCTACCGCCCGTATAGTCTTTTTTGCCCCTCTACTACCAGCAACGATCACCAGGTATTTCATTTATTAACCAGGCTTTCCTCTTGAGGCTTAAATCGACAGTCATCTCTCGACACACAATTGGTAAGTCCGGCCCAGGAATCTTGAGTTCATTGTTCTTGACTTACATGGTCTTCCACTAGCCTAGCCAGTGCATATACCCGATACATCATCACTATGTCGAATTCGCAAAACCTATCCACCCCTAATCATGCATGGAACCCCGACATGACCTACCGCCAGGACAGAGATCGAGCTCTTGGTCCCACAACCAACCTACTAGAGGATTATGCAGACGCTAGCATCGTGACCTGCTGGCGCACGTATAAGAAACATAAACAACCCAATCAGAGGTGGGGCCAGGAAGTCGATGTTGCTGTCAAGACCAGCAACACTATTGTAAGTAACCCTGCTTCCATTGAACACAGATCCGTGCTCCCTACAAGAAGTCGATACGCAGCTAACAACTACTCAGGATCTCATCGATAGTAACGAGCGCGCCCTTGACCAAGTCATCTGGGGTATTACACACCCCAGCGACTGCCATCCAGGCGTTAAGTCCATCGTAGAAAACCCTGCACTGGTTGACCTACTCTTGATTCGCCATTTCAAGGCTCATGGTGGTCTGGTGCTTCCTCCACTGCAAGCCGCACGTGAACTACAGGAAGCTCACGAGATTGTAGCTAAGGAAGAGATGGCTTCTGGTAAGACTTGGTGTACAGGTCGTACCATGATGCACTATCCCAACTGGTATGTTCATTGCTTCGAAGTGTAGACAGGGGTGAATGTTGACTATGCTAGGCGCGATACTCGCAAGACGACGCCTCCTCCTGGCTTCACCTCTACAGCTACAAGAGGTGGTAGTGCACCATCTACGCGCGGCGGTCTGATGGGTTTAAATCATGGCGGACGCGGCGGTGGCTTCTGCGGTCGTGGTCCTGGACGTGGTGGACACGGCGGTGCCTCCTAAGTGTTAACCCCTTTACGGCTTTCTTGAGACGAGCATGGGGCCGGTGTCAGGGACGGGAGCGAGAAGTTTTGTTCAGGGATGATAACGCCGTTACTGATCTGAGATGGAAGATCCAGCATGAACATAGTATGTACCTACAGGTCATCGAAGGCCTCCACAGTTACACATAGCATTATAAATACTTCCCAAGATTACACATGTATTCATCAACACCCCTATCAAGACTCAGCCTATCAGTGCGCAATATAACGAAAGCCTCCAAAGAAGACTTTGCTTCGATCAGATTGCTATACCCTCTAGCTTAGGCGTCAACTTCGAGACTGAGTTCAGCGCATCCTCCTTGATCAGCTCTGCGGCGCCTTCGCCGATACCATATGCAACCATTTGCGTGTGTCCATTGTTCACTATCGGCACGGAAGACACGTCTGCAACACGTAAATTACGTACACCTCGGACTCTCAGTCGCGAGTCAAGAACGGCATTCTTGTCATCTGGCGGACCCATCTTGCACGTGCCGGAGGCGTGGTAACCTAGAGTATCAATCGAGTTAGCAAAATGGCAGGACGGTAGGGCGAAGGAGCGCCATAACAGCAAGAGTGGATAGGAGACGTAAGTGTTCTTACAAGTGGTTGCATGCTTTCTAACATACGGTTCCCAATCTCCTTGCTTCGTAAAAGTGTGGTGCGTTAGGTTCGCCGGCCAACTCCCCTTGATCACATCCTTGGTGCCCTTCCCGTTCATAACAATCTCATTCGCAAAACGACATGCTTCGGTGAGGACTAGCATGTCCAGCGGATGATCCAGGTAGTTGTGATCGACAATGGGATTCTCTAGCGGATCCGTGGATTTGAGTACGACACTGCCCCTGCTATGCTGATTGAAAAGAAGCGTGCAGAATGCAAATGTGTGTTTGTGATCAACCGGGAAATCGTTGTATTGCGCTGGTCCGCCGTATAGCTCAGTGTTCCAGAACTCAATATTCGGTTGATCTTTCGTCAAGCCCATAGGGTCACGGCCTGGTTCCCTCTTTGCGTTTTGCCAGAGCTCCGAGTCTTTGAGGCGCTCATCGAGTCGTGTGAAGCCAAAGATGCCAAAGGGGAAGGTGGAGAGCATACCCGTTTTTTTCTCCTTGTACAATTGATACGTCGAGGCAATGGCGTTGTCGTGGTAGGCGAGATAGTCATTTGTTAGGGCGGGCTGGGAAACTTCATAGAAGATGAAACATAGCTGTTGGTGTTCGTCAGTGACTGGCACGAGAGTGCAATATAAGATGATAAACGTACCACGTGGTCCATCAAATTCTGCCCAACTCCAGGAAGATCCACCAGACACTCGATGCCGTGCTTCTCCAGCTGCTCCCGCGGGCCAAGACCTGACCGCATCAAGATCGGAGGACTGCAATATGCACCCGCAGAGACAATAACTTCTTTCCTAGCCTGATACTCGACCTTCTTCCCAGATTTCGAAATCGTAGCAACGCCCCTCGCGGTGAGTTCACCTGCATCTCGCGATAGGAGAAGTTTATCAACAGTCACCTCGGTTTTGATGGTGATGTTATTCCGCTTAGATCCCTTGGTGATGAAGTCCGCAGCCGTTGATCGGATACCTTGATGCACTGTTCGAAGTGCGTCGCCACATCCAGTGGAGATCTTGCCCGTGGTGAACATATCTGGGTGGTAAGGGAGTCCTTGTTCAATCATGCTTTCCTTGACTCGTTCTGAGATGGGCGCGAGATCGTGTGGTTCTGTATGTAGGGGGCCGTTGGTGCCGTGGGCTGATTTGTCTGCCTTGTGCCAATCTTTCTCGTGAAATGTCTCTGCCTTTGTCACGGTTAACTCCGTCAAGCATAACAGTTGGAAGTTTAGGAGGAATGGCTCGTACCTTCTTCATGTACTCGAACATCTTGTCCCCAGTCCACTCATCCAACCCCCAATCATCGTAGTCTTGCTTTGTCCCACGAATGCATAATGTGCCGTTCACGCCACTCGATCCTCCGAGAAACCGTCCCCGACTAGCTTTCACCTGCCTATTGTCGAGTTGCTCTATGGGTTCGGTGATAATGTTCCAGTCTGTTTCACCCTCGAGGTTTTTGTTCCACCCTCCCACCATATGCACATTTTCGAGATCCTTGTTATCCGGTCCAGCTTCCAACACAAGGACTTTGACATTAGGGTCCTCAGCAAGTCGTCCTGCTACCACGCAGCCGGATGTCCCTCCACTAGCTGGGTGTCAGTCAGACCTCAATGTTCGGGAACGTGAAATGTTTTCTGCGTCTTCGAAGACTGGTTTCGGTGGGAGATGCGAATGTCTTACCCGCAAATGATGTAGTCGTAAACCTCGGCCGGGTCAATAGAATCTACGCGCTCGAGAGACATGGTTGCTATAGTGTTTGTTGATATCCTGGATTCTATGCACTGGAGCACGAGAGACGATGATATCCACTTCGCGGCATGTTCGAATAAGCCCTTTATGTACCGAGTAGCTCAGCTGCGTGATGAACGGAAAGTATCCGCGCTTATTCTTATTATCCGACCGCCTGGTTTGCCGGCTCGATCCTCCGTCGTATAGGAAAGCATGCCTGATTTCAGGCCACTAGCACGAATAATGTGTGCTCAGATGAGGAATATACCCCATTCGGATGGAAGACTCATGTGTACATCCTCCTTAACACGCTGACAGGACGGAATGAATCCGAGTTTATCTGAAATCCACATATCGTCCCTGATCCGCTTAGCATGCATGTCTCATGGAGCGAAAACAAAAGCATCCGACCAGGTTGGGGCGCAACGAATTAAATCGCCTGAATTAGATGTACTAGGCGCCAATGATGCGTTCGTTCCGCACCGGCGAGTCGACTAGCCGCGACCCCGCATAGTGAATTGCGGGGTTGGAATGTGATGTAGATCTCGGGTCTTCCGCATCTGTTTGTATGTCCCGAGGTACTGCTTTGCCATGTATCTTCTCTTTCGTGTCACTTTATGTCGTCCTTGAAATGTATCGAATTAAGAGGCATTAGAGACTCTGTTTTTTTGTTGTGTTTTGACGTCTTGGAGGCTTGGACGGAAGTCGAGACTAGGGAGAGTTGGTGATTAGTAAAGTGTAGATTGTGGTGTCTTGCACTGCGGTAGTTCCTCCCCACATGCGATTAAGTTGGTCCCTTTCGCATAGCGATGTGTACATGTGAACAAGGTAACGATGCCACTGAGGTACAATGGTACTTGTATATAATCGCGCGTCTATTCATCCAACACATGCCGTGAACGCCGCGCTCGTATGCTTATGCAAAACTTACAAACAATCATCTCTGTCTTGTCTACTGATCGGCCGTAGTCTTCGTCTTGCGTATTACTCCCACCTTCTCCTTCTCGCGAATTTCTTTTTCTTTTCTCAGCTGACCCTCCTGTAGGAAGCTCTCAACAATCCTCAGCACACCCGCGATTACGAATAACACGAGCAAAACCAGATCTAGAATGTGGATGCCCCACCACCAATGCTGCACGCCTACTCCACAGCTTGCAAATCCAAACACCCACTCGCCTTTATCGCCCATTGAGGGGTCAAACCATGCAGAGAGGAAGCCGGCATAGCCGGAAAATTCGCCCATCATGCTACGAAGCGTGATTTCGCGGATGTGCGGTGCGTCGTTGATTGTCGTACACTCGTTCTTCTCGTTGATATCGTAACGAAGCGGCGGGAAGCGGCGAGCCTTCCATTTGGGTGATGCGTCTGGTTCTGGTGATTCTGCTGTAGGCTCTGTACTCGGTTCGGAGGATGCGGTCTCGCTGGCTTCGTCGCTGCTCGTGGTTGCAGGTTCGGTCTCGTTGAGTGACACTGCATCGACATCGATATCGTCTACATCGGCAGAGGGAATGGGCATACTGTCGTTCAGCGTAACGGCAACCGCAGGCCAGTATGCTTCCTCCCTCTTGATGCTATCTGCCTGGCATCCACCCTCCACCCCAGTCTGCCTAATCCAATGCAAAACATCACATCCCTCATGGTCATGACCATTGACCACAATCCCCGTCCTACCAAGCCCCCCGCCTGCCGCATATCTATTCTCACTCATCCCGAAGATGCCCTCCAAAATAATCTTACCCGCATGATCGCTCAACATGTTCTGCTCCTTGACACCTTGGCCGTCTTCGAAGAAGTCGAAGAACGGGCTGTCGACACAAATGCCAGATTCTTTCTCGAATGGGATGTGAGTGAGCAGGATGGTGGCATGTGTTTTGTCGGTTATAGAGCGTGAATTCGCAATAATGTGATTCATGAAAGAGTACGTCTCGGTTTGGAGTTCCTCTGACCAAGCAGGGGTGTCGAGGTTCATGGAGTTGAGAATTACGAGGCGGAGGGCAGGTGGCGGGTCGGTCGTGGTCGAATCTTCTGTGGCTGTAGCGGATGCATAGCCATCTGGAAGAGTAAACCATATGTCCCAGTTGACGCTCCCAAAAGCCTTTTCAAATCGCTCAATGCGTGACTCGTCTATGTCTCCAGCATATCCGACATCGTGGTTTCCGGCGATGTTGATGATGCGCTTCTCCCAGCTCTTGTCTGCACCCAGGACTTCTGTTGTGCCTCCCCACGCCGGCTTCCTTTCTGGCTTGCTCTGTTCTCCTTCCTCTGCCGTGCGGTGTTCTTCTCCGTCTGATTTGCTTTGTTCTCCTTCCTCTGCCTTCCTCTGGTCTTCCACCTCCACCTCATCTTCTGTACTCGCATCATCACGCACCGTCTCATCCCGTGCACCTCCCCGCCTATCAATCTCTTCAACACCAAAGATATAATCCGGCACCTTCTCCAACCCCCTCATAACAACATTCCAATACCGTCCAGCTCTCTTCTCAAACTCCCCATCAGTAACCCACTGGCTGCCCAGCAAGTCCCCCAGCACACTAACATGCGTCGGCTCCGTCCACCACCTCAGTGTCCTCACAATATGAGCAAGATACCAATCATTGCCCCACAGATCAACCGCCTTTCTCTTGCCCTCTAGCCATCTCATAGCATCTTTTCCTACCCCATTTACTGCTTCCGTCACGATACTTCTCGTTTCGTCCAGGGTCGTCGCATTGCGAAGATGGGGCACGAGATCCTCGACAGAGGGGAAGATGCGCGCATGGGGATCAGGTAGTGACGAGTCGCCTTCGAGTTGCGGGTCACCGAGAGCGAGGAGCCTGAACGGTGCAGTGGCGTGAGCGTGGGTAGCGGGAGGCGAGGGAAAGGCGCAACGGTGGTCGAAGCTGGGATAGAAGTAGAGCCATGTTGTGCTGAGAAGGGCTAGCGGCGCAAAGAGCAGGGCAATGCGAAAGAAAAGGCGCGAGAGCTGCATTGAAGCATTCTCAAATGGGTGTTAAACAGGCAAAGCGAGGGAAAATGAGAATATTCACATGTTGAGCGCGTCGAGAGGACATGCAAGCGTGGAGGGCGGCACAGGACGCGGAGATTAGGGGCATGACAGGGATCAGTTGCAACCAATCGCACGGCAAGGAGGTGCTCGACGGCTCACGAATGTGTTCAGAATTTGGAGCTGTCAAGCTGTCATTTACTCTCCCACTCCCCCAGCCTTCAGCTGTAGCCTTGTAATACGCCATATTTTGTTGCTCAACTCCAGACCTACAAAGACACTAAGGGACGCACTGTGTCGCCACCATCTAACCGAGCAAATCGCCCAGAGCACCACCAGGCTTGGACCCTGACTGTGGTGTTTGAGCTGCAGGTGTGCTAGAGCTCGATGTGGGAGCGCCCCAGAGACCTTGACTAGTCTTCTGCTTCGCCAAGTCGCCCATGGTAACCTTCTGCGTCGGCGTCGATGTCTTCCTAGGCGCTGAACCGAGCAAAGACGCAAAGGCATCACCACCCGCCTTCTTGGGTGCCGCGCCGCCAATCTTAGCACCTGGAGACATGACTGAGGGCGTAGAGGCAGCAGACTTGGGTGCGCCTTGGCTGACAGACGTGAAGTAATTTGGCCCCGAAGCTTGGTATCCACTTGGCTTGGGTGCTTGCGTAAAGCTCGAAGTCGCTGCTGGAGTAGAAAGGGAAGGCGGAGCGAAGCGATCTGAGGCGGGCGCCGGCGAGACCGTAGCAAACAAGTCCTTGAGGTTGTTGTTTTGCGCGGCAGATTGTGCCTGTGGTGCGGCGAATTGCGTCGAAGAAGTGATGGTAGACGTGGACGCTGGTGGCGCAATGTTGAACGCTGCACCGGTTGGTTTCGCTGCGGGGGGTGCCGGGGCTGCAGACTGGAAGTCGTCAAAGTCATCGTCGTCGTCCCCAAAGTTGTTTCCTGCTGCGGCCGCGGGTTGCTTGCCGGCAGAGGTGAAAGCTGGTGCAGGCTCGTCATCCCACGCAAGCAGATCGGCCACAGGCTCAGGTGCCTTTGCCTTGGGCTCCTCCTTCTTCGCCTCTCTCCTGGGGTGGCCCGTTGTGTTCTCTTTCCGCCGTGGTGGTGCACTGCTTGAAACTGCGCCCTCGTCGTACTCGTCGTATTCGTCAAAGCGATCGCGTCGCTGTTGTGTGTCTGCAAACCCGGCTTCTTGGCCCCCAAAGCCGCCTCCATCGCCATATACACCTCCGCTGTAGCCACCAAAGTCTGTTGACTCGCTACCAAAGCCGCCGTATCTACTGCCGCTGCCGCCCCCGCTACCCCCTGAGAAGCCTCCACTGCCAGAGAAGCCGCCCATGCCCGCTCCACCCTCGACCCCGCCAAACTTGTTGCGGTTCGCTCGTGCCTTTTTGCGCTCGGTTCGAATGCGATCGACGTCAGCAAGAAGTTCGGCGAGTTCCTTGGCCCTGTTGCGCACATTGATACCCTGATCCTTGCCGTTCTGGTCGATGAAGTGGAATTGCCTGAGCATCTTGAGCAGTGAGACGTGGGAGCGCGCATCGTCGATGACTCGCTCTGAGCCATTCTTGATGAGAAACTCGAGGAGTTGGAGGGCCTAGCTTGTAAGTAGGCGCAGAGAAGGGGGAGCAGTTGCTGTACCTTGTAGATCTGCCTCCATTCTTCCGACGACTTCTCTGTGAAGCGCTTGTAAATCATGGGCATGATCTCGTTCAGCAATTGACTACGGTGGTCAGCGGCAATATTGTCGAGGTATAGGAGAGGCGTGCGTACTAATTGAAGGTGGCATTGGCGATCTCCTGCAGCGAACTCGAGGATGCACCTTGGGTGTGTCACTAGGTGTATATACCACTCGGAAGGTCTGGCTTACCCCATGGCTCATTGTTGGTTGCCTCGCGCACCTTGGCCTCCATCTCGGTGTAGTTCATGACGGCTGCCGCGCATTAGCATTGGCCAGCTGGCGCTCTCCTTGGGCGGATGCGTACCATTCTGAGCTTTGCGGAACCCCGCCTTGAGGTCGTAGAGCGTCAGATTGCTCACTTGGTCCTTCAAGTTGTTGAGATCCATCGTGGTCGGGTAGGGTGCGTTGCTTGGTTACAACGGCGAGGCGGGTGTTGTGTATTGATGTGGCAGCTTTATTGAATTCGGGCTCGGCAACGAATCGTCCGGGAGTGCCTCGTTGGTCTCTAAAAGTCGACGTGAAAGGCTACTGGCTATCTTACAGACTCGGAGAGTAGCAGCACGGCCTCTTGCGATGAGTGAGAAGAATGCACACGTTTGTTGCCCGGACAGGAGGCGTGTTCAAACGGGGTCGCGAACTCCGAGGGGCTCTGGACCACGTGACGCTGTTTGGGCTAGAACAGGAGGTTTGTGCTCAAGCTTCGACAGGTGGATTCCAAAGTTTTTCGGCACGTCTGTTACGTCTCCTTGGATTCCATCACACCAGCAACTCTCTCACACGCTATTCTTCTCGCCAATTGTACTATAGCCATCTGTTTCCATATACTGCATTGCACAGCTGCCTGGTCCCGCCCTCCTGCTTCCTCCTTCGCAGCACAGCATCTCCCCGAGTGCAGTACCCCGATTGTACATTAGCTATTCTTTTTTGGAGTATCGCAACAGCTTCACAGGTACGAGAATGGATTCCCTGCTCGTCCCGCCCCGAGTGTAGAGTTTGTGTGGCCGCGCAATGGCCAGACACTCGCAGAGCTGCTGCTTGTGATTCACCCATGAAGCTGACGGTTTGGGTAAAGCTCCGCTCGCAGCACCCCGCGCCCCGCCATGGCCCACCTAAAGTCTTCTGCTGCCACTCTCTCGGCCTTCCGCTCTGCTACTTCGATTCGCGCCCCTCTCAACAAGCGCTTTTTCACCCCTTCGGCGTTCAACATGGTCAAGAAAGCCTACTTTGATTGCACCTGGACTGGCCCAGACGTCCAAGTCGACGACCAGGGCAATGTCACCAAAACGGGCGACGTCAAGGGTAGGCTACCAATGCCCCTCCCGAGGTCGACCCTCGCGTACAGCACCCCATTGCTAACATGCTGCAGAGCAATCCGGCCGCATCAACTTCGAGCTCTTCGACGACGTGGTCCCCAAGACGGCCGAAAACTTCCGCGCTCTCTGCACCGGCGAGAAGGGCTTTGGCTACCAAGGCTCAAAGTTCCACCGCGTCATCCCCCAGTTCATGCTCCAGGGCGGCGACTTCACCCGTGGCAACGTGAGTCCTGTTTGACGTTGGGCTACACAAGGAGGGGCAACTGGCTGACAGACAGTAGGGCACTGGTGGCAAGTCCATCTATGGCGAGAAGTTTGCCGACGAGAACTTCAAGTTGAAGCACGACCGCCCCTTCCTCCTCTCCATGGCCAACGCGGGCCCCAACACGTACGTCTGTTGCATCCATGCCCAACACTGCGCTAATCTATCCCAGCAACGGCTCCCAATTCTTCGTCACCACCGTCATCACCTCATGGCTCAACGGCAAGCACGTCGTCTTCGGCGGCGTTCCTGATGGCGATGTCGACTCATACAGGGTGGTCCGCGCCATTGAGGCCTGTGGCAGCGGCAGCGGAAGCATCAAGTACAAGGACGGTCCGCCTACCATCACTGCTGCCGGTGCCGAGTAGATGATTGGGGTCACGGAGGAATCAGATGCAAAGGCAAGCGGCTTCAGCTTCTTCTCTTGGAGCAGCCACTGTAAACACGATTACGACTTTTCAATGCAGTAGCTACGAATGACAACCCACTCAACTCTCAACCATGTCAATGTGCTCAGCGCCACCCTTTCTTTGGCAGCCCATTGACGTCCTGCGCGCTTTTATCGCGGTTCTGCGACATAATTTGGCAATGGAGGGGCAGCTCAACGGCGGCCCCGCACTAGAGGCGCGCCCTCGTCATCGCCGACAGCACCCGCGCCGCCGCAGCAGCGCAAGCCTCTCTCCTATCAATCGTCTAACGGCATGCCCACAGATGCCGACGGCTCCGCTGAAAATGGCGTGTAGCCTCTTGAGGTCCGAAACCGCACGTGTTCTGATGTATAGGGCGCGATGTCGACATTTGTTGCGTTGACTCACTGCTCCTCGCAAGTCTTTTTTTCTTTCTCATCTCATAGCAGAATTGAGAGCATCAGGTCCAGCTACCAATTGCACCTTGCACTTTTGAATACTTCTACCAAGAGCACACGTTCAGGTCTGGCCTAAATAGCTTCAGCAGATCATCTTGAAGACTTCAGCCACCGCTAGTTCGCACCATGTCGGCGCCTTTTCACCCTGCAACCTACGGTATCCATGCTGATGACCGCATCAACATCTTGACGGACGTAGCCCCTCCAATACACACATCAACCACGTTCCGATACCCGCACAATTCAGACGACCTTAACCCCATTCCAAAAGACCTCGAAAACGCATATGTCGGCGTCCAAACCCCATTAGTCTACTCCCGCTTAGCATCCGCCAACATCAACCGCCTAGAAACCATTCTATCACCGCTAATCTACCCTGGTTCCAAGGCAGAAGAACTAGAACAGCTAGCAGACCATGTCGTCAGCTACAGCAGCGGCTTGAGCGCCTTCCACGCCTTGCTCGTCAACATAGTGCCGAAAGTCATCGCTATCTCTGGCGGTTACCATGGGTGCCACGGCGTAATCGACCTCCACAAGAAGATGCACGGCGTCAAAACCGTAGATCTACACGCCGACGATGCCGCCTGGGATCAAGCAGGTCTAGGAAAGGGTGACTTGGTGCACCTTGAAACACCCTTGAACCCAACGGGGGAAGCCTACGAGATCAAAAAGTACGCCAACAGAGCGCATGCGCGTGGTGCGTTTCTCAGTGTAGATGCTACCTTTGGGCCGCCTGGGCTGCAGGATCCGTTTGCGTGGGGCGCGGATGTGGTTTTGCATTCTGGCACAAAGTATATAGGGGGCCATAGCGATATGTTGTGCGGTATCCTTGCTACGGCCAAAGGAGCAGACGGGCTGAAGCGAGCCAGGACGCTGAGGGTAGAGAGGATCTTTCTCGGCGCCGTGCTGGGCAGTTTGGAGGGCTGGTTGGGTGTGCGGAGTATGCGGACGATGGAGTTGCGGGTGCAGAGGCAATCGAGCAATGCGGAGAAGCTAGTACGATGGCTTGACGACGCACTGCATGGGAAAGGCACGGAGGCTGACGACGACGTGGTGAAGAAGGTGGTTAGCAAGGTTGTGCATGCAAGCTTGCAAGAACAAGACATGGGCTGGTTGAAGAAGCAGATGCCCAATGGCTTCGGCCCCGTGTTCAGCATCTACACGCACACGTCCTCCCAAGCCCGCCAACTCCCTTCAAAACTCCGCCTCTTCCACCATGCTACTTCGCTCGGTGGCGTCGAGTCGCTGATTGAGTGGCGCCGCATGTCAGACTCTGATGTAGACGAGACTTTGCTCAGGGTCAGTGTTGGCGTGGAGAACTGGGAGGACTTGAAGAGTGATCTTTTGGCTGCTTTCAAGGCGTTGGCGGAGACAGGCGTGAGCGCGGAGAAGAATGAAAGGGGAACCAAGGTAGGGCATGTGCAGCTTGGGCAGGAGGGGGCGGAAGTGCCCGAGGCTGGCGCGGGTGCTGTTTGAGAAGTAGGATGATGCATGCGAGGAGATGTATCGCTTCAGCGCAGATGATCTTCAGTACATCCCATAAGGAACTAGAACGCTATCCAGTCCTAATAAGCTCCACATACCGCTCGAAACAAGTAGCATCCCTCCCCAACCTCAAATTAAACTCCTCTTTCGTCATATCCCTCATCCTCTTAGGCCACGCCCTCGCCACACCATGCTCATCCTCCCTCCTTATCTTCAGCCCAGCGTCCAGAACCAACCCCCTCAATCCCACTACCACCTGGAACTTCTCCCACATCTTGTCCCAATCGAACATGACACTGCCGGCGCACTGGTGGAAACGGAAACCATCTGGATGCCACTGCGGTATGGTGTAAGGGTTCGGGACAGCGAGGTAGCACGCAGTGCGTTTATTTGCGGCGTACCACTCGTGGGCTTTCTCGGGGTCGGTAAGGGACAATTGCATCTCCTTATTAGCGCCTGAGAAGAAGAGGAGGAGCGTTGCATGCGGGTTGATAGGCAAAGGTTTGAGCAGCGGAGAGAAGAGGTTGATGATAGCCGCTGGGCCACAGTAGGCGCGATCACACAGGTTGGAGACCTGCAATAACATGATATTAGCAAATGACTGTCAGTAATAATATGCGTGTCTTACCTCGATCCGGTCAAACTCCTGCGTTTCCCCCCACTGCTTCAACCTCCCAGGCAGGTCCCGCGCATCCAGACACGACAGCTTGAAGTGAACATCGGAGGCGCGGATGCGACCGCAGACCTTGGACAGCAGCGACCGCAGCATGAAGAATTGCGCGCCCAGTACGTCTTCAGCTGCTACCTGCTTCCCTTGCATAACGTCCTCGTGGCTCCATCCATAGAAGGGGCCCGCATCGTCGCGAAACGGCCACATGTCCGGGCGCTGATGGAACGTCGGGTTCGGCGTATCGAACTGCTGTCGCGACGTGCCGAAGGGCAGTAAGATGTCGTCGTTGAGGAACTTGGCAATGCAGGTGCGGAATGCGGGGGACTTGTAGTACCAGTGGTTCTGCTTGTAGTCGATGCGTCGCGGGTTATTGATTTGGAGAGCTCGGCCTTCCTTTGCGAAGGTTCGAGTGACGCCGGTGGGGAGGAAGAGGTACTGCCGTAGCTTGAACCATTGTTCCTTTGTCAGGACGATGCGGATGGATGATCCAGAGTCGAGTTTGAACGTCTTGCCAAGAGGGGAGTGGGGAGCTTTGGCCGCGATCTTGGTGCAGACATCTTCGACTAGCGGGAGGATCTTCTCGCAGACTCTGGATAGCATGGAAGAGGGGATGAGCGCGGAGTACCAGAGGTGGATGATGGCGGGTACAGCTTCTTCTTGCTCCATGTAGCCAGCGATGAGAAGGAAAATAGCGGTCCTCGCTACAATGTCCAGGTCGATGTCGTTGGACACAATGGTACACTTGCCAGTGTGTTTCTCGGGAAGATTGGCAATAGTCTTAAAGACATGACGAGAGTCGCCAGACGCAGCGCACAAAACGTCCACGTTGCGTGACAGATCCTCCAGGCCTTCGTTCTGAGCTAGATTGATCAAATCGAGAGCCGGCTCCTGGCCCCAGAGATACTTGAGCGGGCCGAAGATATCCAAACCGCTCTCCGACCCATCTGCGAACTTGGGCAAACGTTGCTCCTTGGCGTAGTTTGGCAGCCATTCCTTACTCATAAGCTCGTGATTGCAAGTCTGCTTCTTGTGAGTAGGCCAGTGTGCTGCCTGGCAGGCCTTGGAGCAGTACTGGACGAGTCGGCATTTGGCACATGCGAAGCGGTCGGCGGATTGGGTGCATTGCACGCCATTGGTGCTGTTTGCGCACAGCCGGGGGTGGAAGTAGGTTGAGGACATCTTGGAAGTTGAGCGTCGTTGTCGTTAGCTCTGGGGGGCTCGTGGTAGTATTCCAGAAGTTTGCATTATATAGAAGCGAGGGGTCTCACTCTCACCACCGAGCGCCAGGATGTCGCAGAAACAAACCGTTTGTTGTTGTTTGCATGAGACTTTCCCTCTACCCTCTCACCGACTCTTATTACACCACGAAAGCCCTCAGCTTCACAACTTTGAGTAGCTTCTCTAGAAGGTATGGTAGTTATTCGCCCTATAGACCGCGTGTTGACTGACATCACAAAGCTTTCTATCATTTCCAAAGCGAGTGGAATCCGCCGTAACAGCCAAGAACATGTGGAAGGCGGTGTTGGAAATTTTGCGGCCTGAAAAAAAGAAAGAGCGCAAGGCGAATGAGCTGGACGCAAGTAGGGAAAAGGAAGAAAAGGGACTACATTATCAACGCTCTTGGACCACAATGTCGAGCTCTACGAATACGTGGAGAGACGTAGGGAACGAGGCGGAAGGTGACGTTGCTGGTCTAGATCGGTATTGCGACCAACATATTGAAACTGCACGGAAAGAAGACATCAAGGAAGAGGCGGAGAAGAACGAGGTCGAGGACATCACAGCGCTGCCTCCCATGCCACCACCCCCGATTGCAGCAGAACCGGTGAAGCCCAAGAAGGAGAGGAGGAAACTCGTGAGGAAGAAAGCCAGTGGTATAGTTCAGTAATAGGGAAATATGGCCGACAGCGTGGAGATGGTCGAAGTATCGCGCCCGCGATGAGGAGGATCAGGCAAGGCGCGTGGAGAAGGAGAACAATATGGCATAGCGCGGGTTATGAGGAACAAATTGATGGATTATACCTGTACCTACTTTGAGTCGCCACAGGCTCATAACAAAGAACTTAAGAACATTGAAAGTTTGCTGCGATAGCGATCGATGGTCACACTGGCACATCAGGAGCGTGAGGAGAACTCCACATCCGCAAGCCAACTGCGAACATGGTTCGGAGATGTTCCCTGGGCCTGCTCGAGTAGAAATGGAGATGTAGAACGATGCGTTGAAAAGGTGGAGTAACAGCGTGCGTCGCCCTCAACACCGAACGATTGAATAGTGGAGCGCCGACGCTTTCCGCACCACCCACGGCCCGTATCGCCTCCCCATCAAAAACATGCGTGTCCTCAGAATCCGATACCGGTGCGCGTGGTCCCGTGCAGGCCTGATGTGGAGAAGTAGCGCTGTAATGGAAAAGAAAAGCTTTCGGGGTGTCGTTTGATTAAGAGCGATGGCGGCTGGGTAGGTTCGGCTTAGTTGGATGCAGCAAATTGGCCACAGATGGCGGTGCGAGCTGTGCTTGGATGCGCTAGGAGAGTTTGAGATGAGCGCGACGCAGACAAGGATCTGCCGATTGTGGGGTACGGCAGGATGCGGTCACTCTTGAAGCATTCACGGGAATAATTGACAAGGCAATTGGCAATTCTGGCAGACGAGGAGCAGGAGTCGAGATGATACTTTGTTACGCCCAATTGATGCTGAGTCAGGAAAACGCGACATGTCTTGGCGCGTTCCTCGCTCAACCACGCTCAACAAGTCCTCTCTCTGCCTTGCAGATCAGACTCCCACCCAACAGCGCGCAGCTCTGGGTTCTGCCATCTGCGACACGCCGATCAAGGCGATTTGCTCCTCCACCCTACATCTAACGACATAGCCCAATGGTAGCGTGGCCGATAAGGCATGCCCGGATGCGGCGCCGCCAGTCTGGAGCACCGCCAATCCTAGCGCGTGCCGACGCAAGCCGAGCAGCGCCAACAACATGGCGCGAGTTCTGTGGATTACCATGATGGTCATCGGTAGTATATATGTCGTCAGGCTGCACTTTGGACAGTCACAAGGCCCAATTGTACCCCATTCGAATCACGTTGCTGCGTAGCCAGGCTGGACCGACGTGGCAATTCACCCAACCAAGTGCAACTATAACCGATCCGTGACCTACAAAGAAGTCGTCAAATCCCCGACTGGAACACCGATAACGACTTCTACACACAATCTCAGCCATGGCACTCCGGATACACCACCTTCAGCGCCTTCAAAGCCTTCAAAGCCTGGCCCGTTCACAGACACCCCGAACCTTCTCTTACACTGCTCGATATGTCCACCAGAGCTCACGGCAAAACGTCTCTCTGCCGACGTCATCACCAGTGACCGCCTCCTCACAGATCCTCAACACACAGACTGCGCCACACGAAGCCTCCACTAAAGCCGTCCTTGGCCGTCTGCCAACCTCTACAGTCCTTCGCTCGTACCTCATCACCGCCATGTCTTCATCTCCAGTGTTGCTTTCTCTGTGCTTCGGCATCTTGCGGCGCATGCTCGACTCCAAGTCGTATTTCATGAGCGTTGAGCACAACCCTGTGCTCGCTACTTTACTCAAGAAGACTTTCTACGCCCAGTTCTGCGTGGGCGAGCAGAAAGAAGAGGTAGTCCGTAACTCAGAATTCGCGCGGAATGTGTTAGGATATGGTGGCGTCTATTACGAGTACGCACTGGAAGTGCTCGCCGGAGGCGAAGCAACGGCTGAGGAGACGAAGCAGGAAATCGAAGTGTGGCGGAAGGGCATGTTGAAGAGCGTGGATATGGCGATGGACGGTGACTTTGTTGGCTTGAAGTGCGTATTGGAAGCCCACACTCCTCGCAATTAGCTGTGTACTAATGGAACAACAGATGGTCAGGCCTCGGTCGCCACGCCCTTCACCTCCTCCAGAAGCAACAAGACCCTACGCCGGAAATGCTGGCCGCTATGACCGCCGCCTGCGATGCCGCTGCCGCAAAGGGTGTCACTCTACTCCCTGGAGCCGAGGAGGAAATCACAAACATCGGAATCGAGAAGTGGACTCTTGCTCTCCAGAAAAAGTACAACGCCCCTGAACATGGCCGCGCCCTTCTCTACATTACCTACCAATGCTACCTCCGGGGCATTTCGCAACGCATGGCGCAGCATCTGGAAATCGCATCAAAAGAGGGCTACATCGCCGGTGTGAAGCTTGTTCGGGGCGCATATCTGACTTACGAGCCTAAGGAGCTCACCTTCGATAACAAGGAAAGCACCGACGCAAACTATGACGCCTGTCTCGACGCCGCCGTACAGCAACAATGGACCGACAAAATCCCCTCGCCATCACCCAACACCCCCTTCCCACCCGTCAACATCGTCCTCGCAACCCACAACCTCGCCTCCGTCCAGAGAGCCAAGCAGATCCGCGCATCCCAAATGCTCACCACCGCACCCGAGAAGCTTCCGCGCCTCACGTACGCACAGCTTCAAGGAATGGCAGACGAGATCTCGCAGTCGCTCGTCCTGGACCCGACGATGAAGGCAGACAAGCAGGCTAAGGTGGTCAAGTGCATGACTTGGGGTACGACAACTGAGTGCTTGAACTTCTTGCTACGAAGGGCGAGCGAGAATAAGGAGGCGGCGCTACGGACAGTGGATACCAGGAAAGCAATGGGAGCGGAATTGTGGAGGAGAACGAAGGGTGTATTTGGACTGGCTTAGTCGGCTTCTCTCCTAGGGGTTTGATGATTTTTTGAAACTGCATACATAGCATAAGCACGGCGTTGGACTGGTTGTCTTTTCAAAATGGCGGAGCATTGCGTCTTTTGGGGTTTATACTGTTTGTCTACAGTGGGCTAGGGTTCGTTCACTTCATAGCGATATCACGAAATAATGTAAACGACATAAATGTCACGGTTCAATATGTACTTCATGCATACAAAATCGATATCTTTATCAATTTTTTGAACAACCTATTGTAGATTCATGATGATAGTACAAGGTCAACGGCCGTTACATTCTTCTCCACTATTTACACGTAGATGTAGCAGAACGGCCCACCAAAGGTACTACTCGCTTCCTTGATCGTAACATCTGGCACACCGACATATCCCAACGTGATGACATCGTCCAACGTCGCATTCCGACTCGGAGGCGAATTGTTCACCGTGATCGTCCCTCCAAGCGCATACAACCTCTTATCCAGATCCAGATTCTGCCACGTCCAGTACGTCCGATCAATCATTGCGTGGTGCAAAAAGAACGCCGGGTCGCCTGGCGACGCAAACAAATCACCGCCCGGGTCACCGCCAATGGTAAAATGGCCGCCAGTGTGCACGCCCAGAAAGCCGTTTGCGAAATCGCCTTGCATGGTGGTCGTGAAGTTGAGGAAGTCTTTGCCGTTCTTGATGAGCGATGCCACGTCCGAGTCTTTAGTCCAGCCCTGTGATACGATCTTGGAGATGTCGCGTCGAAGGCAGCGCGGGTTGTAGCCTAGGCCCGTGAATTCGGGGTTTGGTTTGGCGTCTGCTAGGACGGGGGCGACAGGTCCAAGATTGACTGACCAGCTGTGAGGCACGTGAGTACATAAGCTTTTTCTTCTTCTTCTTGGGAGTGGTAAGATGGGGTACGTACTCCTTGAACGGTCCAGACTTTACACAGCCTCCTCCATGGCTTGGTGGAAGACTGATGCCACATGCTGCTGGACTGGGGATGCATGTGTTGTTGCGTCCAGCGACAAATGCTCCATCGCCCGACAGGCTGAGAGTACTCCCATCAAAGGTGGGTGATTTAAGAGGGTCGTTGGCCCACCAAGGCCAGTTGTAGTAGGGCTGGTAGCCCTTGTAACCGCACTCATTACGAAGAACTTGCTCATAGGTCCAGGTAAAGTATCGATGCCATGTCAGAAAGTTCCCCTACAGGAGATCAGAGTGCCGTACATCTCGAAAGTAGACGGAGAGAAATACCGTCCCATGTATCGCCAAGGTTTGGTTGATGTGAGTAGCGACGAAGTCATCGTAGCGATTCTTTGCTCCAGCGGCAATACCAGCTGGTGTCTTTGCTGGCTTCTTCGCCAGACACTTGACTGCGTTGATGTAATCTTTCTTCTCCCATGACGCTAGCGTCGACCTGACATATTGTTAAATCGTCCGCTTATGCAAGATTTGATCTGTATGTACCATTCTCTCCGAACAGCTGCCGTCTCCAAGGTACATTTCTGCGGGTTTGGATACCCATTTTTGGCAACGTGGTATCCGAGGTTGACAGCACCCTTGGCCGCAAGAGCGTCGCTCTCGAATCCGTTTCGGGCGTCAAGAGGAGCTGCGCCAACAACTCCGAGGAGTGCAGCCACCGATATGCTCGAAAACTTCATGGGGTTGTGCGTTGTGAGAGCCTGAGGAATAAAGGTAGGTGTTTGTCGACAGCGGTAAAGTATATTTTACCAAACTAAGTGAGATCTGAATGTGGGCATTGTTATTTAAGAGTAAAAGAAATTATGATTCGGTCGCATAACGATACTAGACGCGGCTGCATAGAGCAAATGGTCGATTCCACGTACGTTCAATGCATCTGACATGCGTTAGTACGATTGTTAGTGGTAGACTAGGCCAAAGAGAGTCTTTATACGCAGCCTTGTCTGATTTTTACACGTGGAAGAGCTCATGTTACCACGATGCCCTCGTGTCACACACGTGGCAAACGCCCTAGGCGTGCCAAAGTTCGGTCCTTTAGAGCATTTGGGAATACTGAAGTTCGTCCGAAGGCTCATGAATGACCGAAATGCAAGTCGGCAATGCATGTCGGCAATACATCACTGCCGCTTTCGAGCAGTTGCCGCATGTGTGGCTGATGGAGCTGGCCATTAAGCCTCGCAATTTGCATCCCGATGCAAGGATGTATATTAGAAGCGGCGAGACTATTTTTTTCAAACGGGCAGATTGGAGGCCACTAACGTCCGTTGGATGGGAGGAACCGCTAAAAGAACGGTGATTGTATTCCGAGATCCAATAGGACGGGCTACCAGTCGCCCGGCTACAGATCTCGACTCCGATCGTCTGATAAGAGATGGGACCGCGTCCGATCTCGAAGTCCTTCCCGCCCATGGTGCCGGCATCATCGCGCCGATGCTTGGCTAGGCAACTATGAGGCTCCCCATGAGGGAAATCCTACACATTCCTTCCGAACGCGCTCCTAGGGATCCATAGCAAGGGCCGTGTTGCGGTACTTCGCTTCCGAGATGTCGGGTCGATTTTACAGTGCATCCCGATAAAGGATAAAAAAAAATCTTAACCCTAAGCACAGTATCGCTTGCTAGCCAAATAAACAAGAATTCAACGAGAAGCTCATCTACAGTGATTGCACAACTAAGGCGTAGTAGGCGTGATGGAAATATTCTTCAGCTCATCTGAGACTCTTGCAACAGCCAAATAAAGGGCTAAGGTAGTCGATTGTTTGCTGCCAAGTCGTTACTCACGCAGGGCTTAGTTTCGGCTTCCAATAGGATCTACTCATCTCACGGACTATGACCCTTCGGAGCGTAACCTTTTTAATGTCTTCCCCGATGAGCTGGCAGAGAAAGACCGGAGAAGAAGGGCTACTATATTGGATCTGCAAGCCATTCTGCAAGCTGACATATGCAAGGATGGCGCGTCTTTTGAACCGTAGACAAGCCGACGATAAGTTGGCTAACTACGTTAAAAATTCTTCGCCGACGATGTGTTATAAGGGAACATGGAAACTCACGTTTTAAAGCTGCGATAACGTCCCGTGGTACGGGCGTAGACCCAAAGTCCAAACCGCAGTCAGGACGAGCGCTCGAAAGAGGGTCACCACATCCGCCTGCGAAAGATGTACGAAGCTCGCTAGTCGCAGTGCGGGCTGGGAAATGCTGGAGGTCTAGAACATCGGACTTCGATGAGGGCGCTGCCTGCTATTAGCGACGAAGTAAAACCTGTTATTAAGAGGCGCGATACGTCGAAGCGATACGATATTAACCGGAGTGACATGCAGCACGAGCATGGAATGAGTACGCTAGCCAAACGCTAAGATCTATGTCGCTTAGACGTCAAATACGTAATCGGTTCGCTACACCACAACGGCTCAGCACGTTCTCCCTATCCTCGCATCCATCGTCCGCCTTACACCCGAGATTTGGGCCAAACGTCTTCGTATATGTGCATATGTGCACCACCAGTCCCTAATTATCCGGAACCGAACCGAACTCGCTTCCACTTGTCAGGTCAATCCGAACAGATCTCACACATGCGCTATCATCGTGAATGTACTCCTGCTCGGTATATCTTTCACGATTTGAGTCCTGCAAACGCATTGCCAATACCCATAACCAGAAATTCTGCGACCAAATTCACGATACCTACTACAACGTACTCTCCTGTTTTCCACATACTCAAAACTCATCAGACGGGATTATCGCAGAATTCGAATCAGTCTTTAAGCGAAGTATCCAAACGCTTGCGAGTGTCTGAAACATCATAGGCAAGCTGCTGTTCACTGATTGCTTGGGTGTCTCTCAAGTATTTACTGGCGCTGCTCTCAAGCCTCAGGTTTGCGGAGCAAGATTCATAAGGGTATTAGAGCGATACCGGCTAATCTGCATGAAAGCCATTTGCCTGCCATCAATCGGACTTGAGCGAAACTTTAAATCGTGGCACTTCATGCGATCTCTACAAGAGAAAAAAACTGTTGACGATCGGTATGTTGACATAAAAGACAGATAGCTAAACGTCTAATCTTCAAATACTCTGAGGCGACGGGAAATTTTCCTAATATAGCCAAAGTAGCCATGAAAAGCTCTGTAAATCGCACAGAAGCTTCACGGCAGAACCAGGGCCCGCTATGTTCATACGTTCATATGTACGTATTGGCTCCTTCCGCTAACAAGCGGTGGTTGTAACCTTCTGGGTGCGGATGCATACTTCCTGCTTCTAGGGGCTAAATTACGGGCTATGGGACGAGCTCAGGTTGCGCATGACTATGTAGCTATTCTCCTCAAACTCTATTTTGATCCCGCTATAGTTCTTTCTCGCTAGCATGATTCGCATCAAAGAGTTGGCCTGACGCTATATCCGAAACTAGTATACGTTGTCTGCTTCACCTCCCGCGCCTGCTAACGAATCAGGTAGTTTTGCTCGAGATCATGTTTCGGTTCACCTGTGACACAAGGAAATAGACTACATCTGCGGGCTGCACGTCCGTACCTGCAAGCCATACGACCACAACTGATGCATAGCGCTAGGGCCTCTTGGGGTGAGAAAGGATGTGGTGAAGGGAACTGTAGATCCTACAATTATCCTTCCATGACTTTCATTTCCTCGCTAGGAAACTAGTCCAAGTGGCTGATCCATCTCCTGCTCTCAAACTGCGCTATAATCGCAACCCAGATTGAACCTCCTACGGCCGCTTTCCCCAAGTATAAGGCCGAGCCAGATACCACTATCCCAGAACATATTCAATTGAAATATTGTCGTTCTACCGATATTCTTAACAGCCCTTGCCATGAGATCAGAATGGGAGGCCCTGTCGCGGAGGCAAGCACCCTTAGGGCCTCCACTTACACCAGAAGAGCTGGCTTTCAACAATGCGCCCCAGATTCTTTCTATCACGGGTTCATTCTTCGCTTTGGCGGCCTTTGTCGTCATTCTACGATGCTACGTCCGCATCTCTATGCTTAGGGTGTTCGGGACTGACGATTATGTGATGCTTTTTGCGATGGTGAGTGAGCCCGACTACTTGTCAACATTCTCTTACGAACCCTATGCAGGTATTGTGCACAGCGACGTTCGTTTGCTTCAAGCTCCGAACAGACTACGGAATTGGGAAGCATACGACGGTACTTGTACTAGACCCACCCAAATTGATGGCACTCACAAAAGTCCAATATGCTGAGGCCATTATTATCATGGTTGGCATATCGGCAGTCAAGATATCGATTGCATTCTGCCTTTCGCGCCTTTCAACCCAGCGGACGTATAAACGGATACTCTACGGATCGGTCATCTTCATTGTCTTGATGACCACGGCCTGCGCCGGCACACTGATTTTTCAATGTTTGCCGGTTCAAGCTGCCTGGGACACGAGGCTCCGTCCTCCACCAGTCGGGACAGGAGACGCCAAATGCTACAATCTCACCATATTTCGTAACCTAGGTCTCATGAATAGCTGTAAGACACAAATTCTCTCAAAGTCTGTATATCTATTAACATTTATAGCATTCAACATTATCACCGACGTCCTTTTCGCATGCCTTCCAGTACCTCTAATCTGGCAACTTCAGCTCAACTTTCGAACTAAAGTTTCTCTCATAGTCATTCTTTCTCTCGGTTGGTTCGCGTGTGTCGCTGCGATAATCAAAGCGGTCAAGCAGTGGACCGTTCTGACAGAGCCGGACTGGACCGTAAAAGATTCCTTCAACGTTTGGAACTACATCGAGTTCACCGTCGGCATAATTGCCGCCTCCTTACCGACTATCAAACCCCTTTTCAACTGGTTCTTGGAAACCGCGCGAGCCCTTACCTCGGGCGGACGATCAAAGGGCCAAAGCTATGGAGTCAGCGGAAGCTCACGAGGTTATCAGAATAAAACATCGCAATGGAACAAGGACATCGCAATGGACAGTTTTCCAAGGGAAGACGGGTCCTCGTCAACCAATTCGCAGAGTCCGTACCACGTTCGAATTACGGCACAACCAACAGGCCGCGCGGATAAAGAGGCATGGGAAGCGCACCGGAAGGATAGCGATGAAAGCATTATGCCTCTGCAGCCTCATCGTGCAATGGGCTCAAACGGGATCGTCATGACAAGAGAAGTAAGCGTTGTATGACTCGGTCCGTGCGATCTCGACCTCAACACAAATTATACAAGCGCAGGAGTGCTATCACTGTCTCAATTATTTTTGTTCCTTTGCTACGAAGATTCATACTAAACCTATAACTCCTTCGACTTCAGTTGTGAATGTAGTTCATAGGGGTAGATGTGAAGGCTCCGCCTAATCTAGACAGATTGAGACCAACGGGACTGTCATAGGATCGAAAATGCCTTGGCAGCTGAAGTCCGTCCACGGAATGACATGAGCCTTTAATTCAACCGCCAAGTCCAATCATATAGGAGCCCAACCGTCTAAGTCCGGCCTCTGAAGTCCGATCCCTTGTCACAACGCCTCCAGTGGACCTGGCGACGCGGAAATCCCCCAACAGCTAGAAAAGCTGCGACGCAGCGTCATTGAAAAGTGATCTCGCCTGTCTCTTCGTGCTCGAACCTTCGAGTAAGGTGCAATTTCAAGCATCCTTCGTTTATCGGCTAAGCCAGGAAAAGTATTTCCTCGGCGCTTGTTCATTTCCAGGTCCACCTTTGACGCTCGTTCGACATGGTGGATATTTACATGGCTAGCTTACAGTATTAGGCTCGCAGTCCGTCAAAATCCTGAAAAATACCTGTTTTGATGTTGATACTCTCAAGTTAGCACGCTTTCAACCTCGTGTACCTTGATGAATGACATGTAGCAGCTATGACTAGTGCGAAATATCATGAGATCTGGTAAAAAGAGCCATTCTTGGAGTGTCCTCGACTTCTCATGATCGGCAACCAGCGTTTTCCTTGTTTTCCATACTTTCCCCCTACCCTGACCCTTGCTCGTGTCAATTACAGGTAGTAACGACGAAAGCATATTCACCAAAATAGCACTGGAAGACCATCGGCCTCCTATTTCACCGAACTATTATTATTCTACCCTTCCGGCTTTTTCACTATATCGGCGTCCATTTAACCAACTCGTTGCGTCCTCAGCCTCTCAATTTGCCCAATCCAATGTCACGCCAAGTCGGTACAGTACCGAAGACAAGCCTGATCCCAAGAAGTTAACCATCGTATGAATCCGCATTTCATCTCATCCTGATCGGCGGAAAGTTTCAGTTTGGCCCCCTGACTCGAGCTTCCCGTAGCTCCTCCCTCCAACCGAACTCTCGGTTACAGCTAGCTGGATGGCAAATACGAAAGGTCTACGACTCAATACTGTAAAACTGGTGTGTATTAACAATTCATGTCCTCAGGATTTGAGGTGAGATTGGGGTCAGCGTTTTTGATTACATCACTAATCCAATATCCCAAGGGTTGCTTGGAGATTAGTTTCTCGATTCAAACTCTTGTCTATCCTCCCACTCCAGCTCTTCCATCAACCCTGCAAAAACGTACGAATGCAACCATCCATCCATTCAAAATCCGCCTTATTCGCCCCACCGCCAACAACATGCCCCCAAACACTCTGCACAACACACACCCTCGCATCCCTCATTGTACGTGCCTCCCGCTCATTCACATATGGCCGAAAATACTGATCCGTCAGACAAGGCATCAACAGCACCCTAGTCTCGATCCGCGCCAACGCATCCTCCAACGTTGTCTCCGCACCCACTCCCCCCATTCCAGTACACCTTGTAATATCTCCCCGCTGCCACATGCCCAACATAGCAAGTAAATCGTCCCCGGACCAGTCCACATAGTTCGTCCCAGCAGCGACTTCATCCCACGCTTCCCTCGTCTCAAACCCCACGTCCCGCCAAAGTTGCTCGTCAAACCACTCCGCGCTCGTCAACCAGGCTGAATACGCCTTCCCAAACGCCCTGAGACCGCGCGCAGAATCCGCTGCATTTTCTAGCGCGGCGCGCGGCCCTTCGAGGAACTGGATGTTATGCCCGCTAGTCTTCGCGGACGAGCAGATGATGACTGCGCTGCGGGTGAAAGAAGGGTAAGTAGCGAGGAAATGGTAAGTCAGTTGTCCGCCCATGGAGAAACCCATCATGACATCTACTTCTTTGATACCCAAGTGTTCGCTTAAGAGGCGGTGCTGTGCGGCAACGCAGTCCATGTATTCGATTGTGCGGGCAAAGTTTGGCGTGTTGGATGGACTGGCCGACTCGCCGTTTCCGAAGAGCGCGATGACGATGATTTTGTGCGACGACAGCGCGCCGCGGGAATGGGTTACTGTGCTCGAGATTTTGCCGCGGAAACAGCTGTGTATAACTGCGACTTTGGTGTTTTGCGGGTTGAGGACTTGGTAGGCTATGCGTACGTGGGGGAGAGTGGTACCATTGTGGAAGGTGAAATCTGGAATGTCAAAGTATTGGATAGGGGGTTCTGAGGAGGTCGAGGCCATTATGTGATAGTTTTGGAAGTTTATAAAGTCATAGAAGATTGTTCGATTAATGTATGGGAGAACTATGTCGAGCGAGGATCGACTTGAGATAAGTCCGGATAGTAACGTCCGTCATCGGAACTGATTCCGAGCCCCACTTCTTTTACTGTAAGCCTGCAGCTTTTATACTATGATGAATAAATACATTTATCTACTCGTCCCAAGCTAAACACCATCGTCAGTATATAGACTAATCTACCACCCTACCAGTGTCCTATTCTAATCCCTATCGTAAATTAAGTTTCCAGGCGCATTTTAGACTTCCACGGGCCATGAGAAAAGAAATAGAGTATCTGGGATGCAAACGCATGAGCTTTTCCATTCGTGTATCTAATGTCATTCCACATACCTCCCAAGCCCACACGAAACTACCATCTAAGCGAAAATATGTAGTGGGTGATCAGGCAGGTAGTGACCCGGGTCATTGAACCTCAGCCCCTTATCAAGTGCCGAGATGGATTCGAGCTCCTCCTTGGACAAATCAAAGCTTGTGACATCCAGATTCTGAGCGAGACGGTCCTTGTTATTTGACTTGGGGATGACGGCGATGTTCCTAGCAAACAGTCAGTTTAAATCGCTTCCACAGGTAAGGGGACATGTCAAACATACCTCTGTGTCGCCCACCTGAGCAGAACCTGTGCGGGGGTCTTGCTATGCTTCTGCGCAATCTTCTTGACGGTCTCGGCATCAAACAACAAGCTCACATCAGTAGCTCGCTGCCTGAAGGCCGGGGGCAGCTCCAAGAAACTCTGGGGCCCGAATGACGAGTACGCAGTAACAGCGATATCGTGCGTCTGTGCCATCTTGACCAGGCCAGGCTGTGTAAGGTACGGGTGGTGCTCGATCTGGAGGGCAGAGACGGGGTGCTTAGCGTAGGTGAACATGTCGTAGAGGGATTGGGCTTGGAAGTTGGAAACACCGATGGATTTGGCGATGCCTTGGTCGACGGCAGCTTCGAGGGACTCCCATGTCTCACGAACGGAGACATTGGCAGGCTTGACTGTCTTCTTGTCTTCCATCCACCATCCCTGTGCTTTTGTCAGTGCTGTTGCAGAAGCTTTGGTGTTGGAAAGAACGTACAGGGTATCGTGTTCCCTTCTCGGGGTCAACGTATTCAAGAGCGCATGGGAAGTGGATTAGAAGCAGGTCAATGTAGCCTAGTCCCCATGCCTCATTTTGCTTCTTGATCATAGGAAGCGCATGCTCCTTGCTGTGATAATTATTCCAAAGCTTTGTGGTGATGAAGACCTCCTCGCGCTTTACAAGACCCTCGTCAATTGCGCGCTTGATGCCCTCGCCAGCCTCTTTCTCGTTCTGGTAGTCGTACGCTCCATCGAAGAGCCGGTAACCAGACTTGATCGCCTTTTGCAATTGTTAGTTGACCAATTCGCAGAGGAGTAGAAATCGTGAAACTTACATTATAGACAGTATCAGCAGCGGTATCCTTGGGGACCTTCCAGAGACCGAACCCCACGAGGGGCATCTGGTGGCCGGAGGCGAGCTTGATAGTATCTTTGGACATGTTGAAGGGGAATTGTTATGGGTATCAGAGAAGAGGTGGAAGATCAAGTGGTAAGAATATGCTTAGAGAGAAGAGATTGAAGTAGTTGAAAAAATGTCCCTGCGTTTAGAACTGCTCTGTCAAATCTTTGTATAGAGCGAGTAGAGGGTCCAAAAGTGGAACTCCCGATGCGGCCTCTGAGATCTCTCATTGGTTTTACGTCACGTCCCGAATAGGAAATCATAAGCACCGATACGTGGTGACGCGCCACTTGGCAGCTGGGCACATTCCAAGGTTGCCAATGACTACCAACGTGGCTGAAGGCTGCAAGGAATCGACGCTAAATCCACAGTGGCCTGCAGTTATTTCCAGCGCTGCCAAATCGTTCAAGCTTGTGTGTTGGTGTTTGTTTGCAGCCCGAAGATGTGCCTCCCTACCCCGCTGCGTGCACAGTGGGGATGAAATAGAGCCGAAGTGCTGCCGGTGGCTATCTTTACCGAGGAGAGAACGCCATTAAACCCTACACAGACCCCCGACCCCAAGCTGTCAGCTTTCACTGCGTATGGGATCAGGGAAGATGGAGGTCTCGGAACCAGCCGAAGATGCTGACAGTCCAACGGTAACCCGGCCAAAACGGTCCCGAACAGGTTGCTTGACGTGCCGTACTCGACGTCGCAAATGTGAGTCCCAACCACTGCCACTCAAAAGGTTAGTTTTGATATTAGATAGGTGACGAGAGCAAACCAACATGTCAGAATTGCACATCGAAAGGTTTCGAGTGTCGTTATGCTGCCGCTTTCCAGATCTTAGGCAAGAACAATTACACGCCAGAAGTGGAGAGCAGTGTGAAATATGGAAATGTTCGGGTCAGTGTGTCCTATTCCTCTCACAGCGGCCTGCATATTCTTTATCAGCTGCAGAACTGTTTGAGAATGCCTCGGTTGCGCTTTGATCCTGTGCATACGTAAGTTTGATATTATCGAAGTGCTAACCTTCTCGTAGTTTGTCGGAGACAATGACAAACAACCAGCAGATGAGAACGGAAATATTTTGGTTGTCAACACTGGAAAGAATACCGAGACTAGTCCTAGTCTCAGCAGTCGCACAGTCTCGATCCCTCAGGGCAGGGAACAGCGTTTGACGGGAACTGAAAACCTACCCGGACCGGCTGAGCTACAAAATGTAGCGAGCCACACCCCGTCGCCGAACAGCTACGAGTTTGCGTTGCATGGCCTGTTAGCACTAGGTTCTGGAAACGGAGTCAACGACGGATTGACCTTCTCCCCAATGAATGAGCCACTCAACCAACTAGTTACATCGGCATTCGATAGTATACCGATGCTGGGTGACCATGTGGCCCTAGTGCCGAAAGCAGGCGGCGGCCATAGAATTGGCGACACGCAAGTCGGTGAAAACTGGCAATCGACAAGTCCCAGTCGAGTTCAGGTCGACGGGAATGTCTACAGCACGGTTGCAACAGTAGAATCCCCTTTTGCTGCAACGCCCGGAAGCGAATCGAGCTCCATAAACCGCACCATAGCGATTGCAGGAAGTAATAAAGCGGCGAGTACACATCAAACGAGAATTTCGGACTTGTCGACGCCAGGGTGGACAAACACATCTGATGCAGTGCCACGGGACTTCGTATTGGAATTGTTGAAGTACTATCGGTACCACATTGCGCCTTGGGTGAGTGACAGAACGAGACATCTAGAAAACCAGCTGAGAATGAGAAGCTAGACATTTGCGACTCTAACCAATGTTTTGGTGTCGAAGTTCTGGCACTATCGGCTGAAACGACAATGGTCCGCTACGGAGTACTGGCGCTCGCTGATGCAATACTGAATAGGAACGGCACGGCGCAGATACAAAAAATAGCGGATGACAATAGGGAGTCGACCGCTGAACAAGATGTAATACAATGCGCACTTCTGGACGTGTTCCACATCCTGAAAGATGTGGTGACTGACCTTGGGAACTTCTGGCTGCAGGAAGCGGAGGCTGGCAATGGGAGGAAAGTCATCGACACGTTACTACCTCAACTCAACAGCGACTCAGCACTGGCTTCTTGTGCGTATTGGCTAGCGGTGAGGCTTGGTGAGGATATTTGCTGAAATTGTACTCTTCTCAACTGACTATCAAGTAGTACTGAGCTGTGCACTGATGGCTTCAACGCCAGTTCGCATTCCGCTTCCATTTGCAGCTGAAAATCTCTTTCGATCAACCGGAAATGATAGCATAGCGCGATGTGCGCAAGATGTTATAGCCTTGTGTGTCGATGCAGCCATGTTCTCGCAGGGCGACGAGGACCGGTGGCTTCAGCAACGGTATGGCCTGAATCGGGTAGAGGTTTGGAAAATGCTTGTTCAGGGCTTCGTCCATTGGTACATGCACCGCCCACAGGAGTTCCAGCCTATCATCGAGCTTTATCCCAGAGACGGTATGAGATCCGACCATGATTTCCCAACCATAGTCTTCACAGGCGGCGCAGCCATCTTAGCCAATCAGCTTTACCACACTGGCATGTTGTTGCTGTTACAAAACAAGCCACGCTTTGCCGATAGGCCCAGCTCACACTCGTCTTCCATGTCGACACTATGGTACGTAAGACCCGCGTACTCTAGGGCCATGTTATATTGCATGCCATATTCTCTTGTTGCTTGATACTGTTGCTTCTTTACTAACTGTACCGGCACCTTTAGGCACGCACATAGAATCTGCGGTATCGCGATCCAGAACGAGGAACCCGAATATTGGGATCCATGCTTAGTCGCTTCGCTCATCGTTGCCGCCCGGACTGTAACGCACAGAAGTCAGCACGCTGCTATCGTTTACACCCTTGAAAATGTTCAGAGACTGACTGGATGGAACCTCTCGCGCTATACCGATGAGCTGAGGAGCGAGTGGCAATTAGCCGACGGATGGTGAAGTTGTAGATTGTGATCTGAAATCGGACAGGATGGGTCGGGATTTCAAGCTTCTAGGCGGACCTTGTAGCCCCAGGTGCTTTCCAGATCGCGGATGCGCCATGTGGCAGTCCATCCAGTAAGGACCTCAATATGCCGAATGGTCTTGACGACCAAGGCCTGTTCCGAGGAGTGACTCAATAGACGTCCAGCGATCCACAGTGGTTGGATGGCGTTGTTTAGACAGCCCTCGTGCGGGTTGGTCAAGGAGATTCCGCAGATGCGCTTTACGTGCCACATTAAGGAGGCCGTATGTGATGATCCAAGAGCTATCTTTTGCTTTGAGTTGGCATTGAGAAGCAAGACGCAAGAGGTGTGATACAGTTGGTTTGACGAGATAGCGGCCCAGTGAGCGAAGAGTATGTGCGGAAATGGCATGGTGTTGGTAGTCACAATAGGTAGCATCTCTTTGGGGCGGTAGAGCGCCCAGTTGCAGAGCTGCACCCAAAGTTGGGACCACCGTTGTTGGAAATTGGGCGCATCGCAGCCGTTCTCAGTCCCCAGCTCAACATACTTGTTGCGATCAGAGATGAGTTCGCAAGTCTTTGCGCAGAGATAGACAGCAAAGTTGGCGTACATGTCAGGCGACGGGGCATTTCGGAATAGAGACTCAGCAGTATCTTCAGTCATTCCGACGGGAAGCCACTGTGATGGTTTGAGTAGTGTGCTCTCTGTACCGTCCGAGATTAGCGCGCCACAGACGTCTAAAACACATTAATTCAACTCAAGAAATGTATAGAGAACACCCACCCATTCGTGCGTAGCACCAAAAGACTGCCTGCAAAATATCGTCACTGAAGCCGTTGACGCCGAAGGCCTCGAACACGGCCGCACAGCCTTCCAGATGATGGCGCCAGTCCTGGGCGCTAGCAGAAAACATTTCCAGGCAGCATAAGATCACACAAGCTGCGATGACCTGCGTGTCTCGGGCTGATAGAAGAGGCGTCAAGAGGCGAATAGCTTCTTGGTAGAGCTCCAGGCTATCGAACGATGACTGGGTTTTCTCTTTGCGTTCGAGCTGACGAGCGCCAATGGCCAGGATAGCGTACAGCAAAGGGGGCGATTCTTTGGCGAGAGCCGGTAATTGAATGCCGAATGCACGCTTACTATCGAACATATCGAGCTGTAACTCATCAGTCGTGTCTCTGCTTTCCGTTTATGAATGTATAATCTGCCTACCCATGGTGCCACTTGCGACATGTAATTCTTCAAGTATTGGACGCGTCTGCCCTTTGACAGTACCTGTTTGATATTGACGACGCCAGCCGGCTCGTCTCCATCGACAGGGGTTCCTGCACGGGTAGGTGCAACTGAACGGGCCGTGGTAAATAGCAGAGAGCGAAGAGCTTCCTGCGATGCCAGGTAGTCCGGATCGTGCGCGAATTCATCAAAAGGCCAGCTCGATGCAGTAGCTGGGGAGAGAAAAGGATCCATGTTCTCGAATCCATAGCCATCTACCCCCGGTCCATTCTCGGTAACTGGGGTGGGAAGAAAGGTCGACACAAAGTCGGCGGGGGTGTTGACGGGACCGTCCTCATCAAGGCGGCGTCGTTTGCTTGCTGGTTCATCCGGCATGTGCAGGTGGTGATATACGGCGAAGTGAAGGCTGGAAGAGTTTGGAATTGTGTATGCGGAGTCGCTCGGGGCAGGGAGCGGAGCAAAGCATGTGCAGGGGTGGTGACATGAATAAAGAAGGTGGGGCAGTGGGGAAGCGAAGGAGCTAGCCGGCCATGTGAGCAGGCGCCACCGGCCCTGGACCTCCCGATTCGCGTCCACCACCACAGGCATGGTAAAAATACAAATTCTCTCTGATCTTCATCTGGAGGCTCCAGCGGCGTACGATGTCTTAGAAATTACTCCAACAGCAGATTATCTTGCGCTGCTCGGGGACATTGGCTACACCAAGGACGTCGGCTTGATCGAATTCCTTCGAAAACACCTGGCTAAATTCAAAATCATCTTCTATGTGCTCGGCAACCATGAGCCATATCACTCGTCTTATGCGGCTAGCAAGCAACAGCTTCTCACGCTCCAGGCTGAAGCCGAACAACAAGCAAGTGGGAAGTTCGTCCTCCTTGACCAAACGCGGTACGATCTCTCGCCAACGGTGTCTATTCTCGGCTGCACGCTCTTCTCCAACATCACAGCTGCTCAAAAAGACTTTGTCAGTTTTGGACTCAATGATTTCTACTACATCGAGAATTGGACCGTGGAGGAGCATGTGCAGAAGCACGAATCCGAGCTTCGTTGGCTCAACGCCGAAATTCAGAAGCTCATGGAAGGATCGGACCGCACGATCATCATCATGTCACACTACTCTCCGACCGATGATGCTCGTGCTATCGATCCCAAACACAAGAGCAGTACTATTTCATCTGGCTTCATGACTGATCTGTCCCAGGAGATTTGCTTCTCCTCGGAACGTGTGGTGGTGTGGGCGTTCGGACACACTCATTTCAACTGTGATTTTGAACACGAAACTCATCAGACCAGACTCGTTACGAATCAGCGTGGTTACTACTTCGCGCAATCGAATGGCTTCGATCCGGGAAAGACGGTCGAGCTTTGAAGGGCTCAGACCCAGTAAATTAATTGGCCGTAAGCATCTGCGTCCCGCACAGTATACATGTTCCTCCAACAAGACGCCCATTAGCCTTTCTGTCCCCGGGACACTGTAGCAGAGAAACATCTTCGTATCCATATTGAATCATGCTATGAATCTATCCTGAACATTCTACCCTAATAATTACGCCAGCAATGCAGTTTTCCAATTTCCCAATTTCCCAACGCTCATAGATCAACAAACTCGCCCTTTAGCAGAGGGTCGTCGCGCAGCTGCTGCAAGTAGCTCTCGACCTTGGCCGTCAGCGCTGGTACGTCGAAGCCAAAGTACTTGTACGCAGCCTTGCCCGGAAGACTGTGGCCGAAGCGCTTGATACAAGCAGCGGCATCGGCGTATCGCTCCCAGCCATTGGGCGCATACGGCTCAATCACAACCGCTGGGATGCCGCGGTGCCTTCGCAGTGTGTCGCGCTTGTACTCGGTCGACTGAGCCTCGAAGAGACGCTGGCACGGGAAGCTGACCACGCGCGCCTTGATCTTCTTCGCCTTCAGCTCCTGGGCGGCTTCGAGCGCATGTGACAGCTCAGCGCCAACACCGATCAGCGTCACGTCCGCGTCCTCGACTTCCTCCACCACGTACGCGCCCTTGGCGACCAGGTCTCGCCGTGTCTGCTTCAATTGGGGCAGCGTGTGTCGCGATGTCGAGATGATGGTCGGCGTGTTCTTCGCGTCGATGGCCGTGATCCACGCGCCTGCCGTCTCCTCGCTGTCTGCAGGGCGGATATAGAGAAGATTGGGCATGGCGCGGTAGAGGTTGGCCAGCTCAATGGGCTGATGGGTTGGGCCGTCCTCACCCATACCAATCGAGTCATGTGTGGCGGCGTGGATGACCTGGAGATGCTGCAGCGCGCCCATTCGGACGGCCGGGGCTGCGTAGAGGTAGAACATGAAGAAGGATGAGGTCACGGGGATGAAGGTATTAGGGGCAAAGGCTGCCAATCCGTTCGACACGGCGCACATGGCGTGCTCTCGCACGCCGTAGTGAATATATCGTCCGCTGTAGTTGCCCGTGATGCCGCACGTTGTCTTCAGGCCAGGCTAAGAAGTAGTGTCAGCGTACGGTTTGCGATATGGACCACCAGAATACTCACGTTTTGAAAGTCGACCTTGCCCTTCCAGATCATGTTCACAGAAGGCGACAAATCCGCGGTGCCGACCATGAAGTTCTTGATCTTCTCCGCAATCGGGTTGAACACAAGCCCTGACGACTTCCTCGTCGCTGTGGGTGCATCTGGAAAAGAGGTTGGGATGAGCTCCTTCCAGTTTTCGGGCAGACGTCCCTCAATGCGCTGCCTCAGCTCCGCGCCCTCCTCTGGGTATTTGGTCTCGTACTCTTGCACCTTCTTCTCCCATGCCTGCACCAGCTCCTGGCCTCTCGCGGGAATGTCACCGAAAAACTCACGGACTTTCTCGCTGATGACGAAGTGCTCCTCAGAATTGAAGCCGTATGCCTTCTTCATGTTGGCCACATCAGACGTTCCAAAAGCCGCTCCATGAGCAACTGCGTCTCCTGCCACAGCGCTGCCGAGACCGATGACGGTGTGGACGTTAATGAATGTGGGCTTTTCAGTCGATGCGCGGGCCTTGTTCAGAGCTTCAACAAGGCCTTCAATATCGAAGCACCCGTCTTCAATATCGATAACATCCCAGCCACAAGCCGCCATCTTGGTGTTGACATCCTCGGTATTGGTCAGATCGACACTGCCGTCGCATGTGACCTGGTTGTTGTCGTAAATAACGGTAAGATTGTTCAGCTTGAGATGCCCAGCAAAGGAGATTGCCTCCAGCCCGACACCCTCCTGCAGACACGCGTCCCCGATCATGCACCAAGTGTGATTGGAGATAACATCCAAGTCTGGCTTGTTGTAGGTTGCTTGGAGGTTCTTGGATGCCATGGCAAGCCCAACTGCATTTGCAATACCCTGTCCCAAGGGGCCTGTGGTCACCTCAATGCCCTCGTGCTCGATCTCCGGATGGCCTGGACATAGCGCATCGACACGGTCCGAGTGGTATGATTTCAGCTGATCGAGGGTCATCGCCTTGTAGCCTGTGAGGTGGAGGAACGTGTATTGGAATAGACATGTGTGGCCTGTTATAATTAGCTCTACCACTGACGCAGAAGATTGGGTTTCAAAGCTCACCATTTGACAGAACGAAGCGATCACGGTTGAAGTAGGTCGGCGTATGCGGCGCATATCGCATGACATACTTCCACAGCGCAACTCCAATGGCCGCCATGCCAATCGCTCCTCTTCAAAATGGTTAGCTTCTAACCTGTGATGCTGAGCAGACAAATTACCCTGGGTGGCCTCCATTGAACTGCTGGCACAGATCTGCTATCAGCAATCTGAAGGTTTTCAGGACGTGGTCTTGCTCCTCCGACAGTTTTTGCACTGATGCTTGTTCCAGCTTCTCCTCTTTCTGTAAGCCCTCCACGACATTCTTGCCGTAGTCGGTCGAGCCGTTGACTTGTGGGGTGTCGCGTGAGAGATGCATATTGTACAGTCTCTGGGTAACAAAAGTTAGAAGGCGTTGAAGAGTTAGAAATTTCTTAGCAACGAAGCGCCTATGTACTTCACGTCGCTTATGCATATGCAACCACCCAAGTGTTTTCGAAGCGGATGCGATGGATTACCGGAACGGGAAATCCGGGGACGTAAAAAGATCACGCTCCCAACGCGCGGTGGATGCTTTCCACGGGTCTGGACTCCCATTGGCTGGGTGTTACGGTGGGCTTCCAAATACGGTAATTGGAGGCACCGCCCTCCCATTTCGATGCTCCCGCTGGCTCCCTCCCCGCCATTTGCCACCCTTCAGGGTCAGCTGCACAACGTTTAGATGGAAATTCTTGGGTGCCGCTCGACTGCCGGAGACTACACGCTAACACGTGAAGCGTTCTGGACGCGTCCGGGTCTACGTCCTTGTTGACTCGAAGACTTCTTCACACCTTCGAAAGCTTTACACTACAAACTATAGCAACATGTCTCCAGCAATTGTCCTCGACCCTCCCGCATCCGATGCACTCCTTACTAAGACCTCACCTCAGGCTACCAATGGCATGACACGAACGACTATCAAGACGCCGCTGCCAAACCCGTCATTGCAGGTCACCGCCGATCATAAGTTGAAGCAACAAGAGGCACCAGTTTATGCGCCGGCAAAGGGCGAGGTTCTACTGCACATTAAAGCGACGGGCGTATGCGGGTAGGGTGCCCATGCTGCACTTTAAGTGATTCTGGTTGACGCTGGTGCAATAGGTCCGACATCCATTTCTGGAGAACAGGAAGGATAGGCTCGCTCGTCGTTGAGGGAGACTGCATCCTTGGCCACGAAGCAGCAGGCATCGTCCTACGATGCGGTGAAGGCGTCACAAACCTTAGGCCTGGTATTTCCTATTCCTCCCTCGTACTACTGCGAACATAGTCTGACAATGCCACAGGTGACCGCGTAGCAGTGGAGCCCGGTGTTCCCTGTGGCGACTGCTTCATGTGCATGGACGGCCGGTACAATCTTTGCGAAGACGTGCAGTTCGCAGGCGTCTACCCATACCACGGCACCATCCAGCGCTACAAATGCCACCCAGCAAAATGGTGCCACAAACTGCCCTCGAACGTCTCCTTCGCCGAGGGCGCGCTTCTCGAGCCGTTGTCGGTTGTCATGCATGGCATCAAATCTGCTGGCTTGAGCTTAGGCAGGGGAGTAGTGATTTGCGGAGCGGGCCCAATTGGACTCATTGCGCTTGCTGCCGCCAGGGCATCTGGAGCACACCCCCTAGTCATCACAGATCTTGAGCCAAAGAGACTGGCGTTTGCAAAGCAGTTCGTCCCTTCCGCTTCCACATACCAAGTTGATCGAAACCTCGATGCACAAGGGAATGCCAAGAAGATAAGAGAACTCTTCGATTTCGAGAATGTGGGCGAGTATGGTGCTCCTGAGACGATCCTGGAATGCACGGGTGTGGAAAGCAGTGTGATTACAGCTGCCTATACGGCACGAAGGGGCGGCACAGTCATGGTCATTGGTGTAGGAAGAGACATCATGAACAACCTGCCGTTTATGCATTTATCGCTTGCTGAGGTATGTCCGGACAATAGATCCAAAGCGCGTTATTGCTAACATCAACTACAGATCAATCTTAAATTCATCAACCGCTACCGCGACACCTGGCCCGCTGGCCTACAATGCCTGTCGGGCGGGATCCTAGATTTGAAAGCTCTCGTCAGCCACACGTACCCGCTGGAGAATGCGCTCGATGCGCTGCATACATGTGGCGATCTGAGTAATGGCAGTATCAAGGTGCAGATTGTTGATGAGCAGGAGAATGTACTATAACTTCATGCATCAATGATACCTCAACAATTTATGATCAACTCCTAATTAAAGCCCTTCGCTTTGTCGAGCTTTCGTCCGTTGAAGCTTTGCTTGTAATTTCGTGCTCTTTGCTGGTTGATTGTCAGGCAGGTTGTATAGCTTTTGAGCAATCCGCCAGGCCGAGAGGCATCACCGAGCTGGCAGAGTTTTCTAGGATTCATAACTAGTCGGTCCTTCAACACACAGTTGGATTGGAGATGGTCAGAGAGACCATCAGATTATGGTGTAATAATATATCCTAAATTACTCCTGTTGCGTCTCCTAGATACTGGAGAAGAGTGAATACTTGTGCTAAGTGGTGTTCGCAAACATAATCAATCGACTCGAGCTAAGTAAACGCGTGTTTAGTTGTGTGAGCTCGAGTGAATTTCAATAGTCTGCATGTAGTTGTTCAGTCTCCAGGAGATGAGCAGAGAGTGTGTTTTATGTCGCAGGTGACTAACGCTCTCAAGCTTCGAGTATTGTGCTTCCATCTAATGCTTCCCGCTTGTAAATCACAACTTAGCTCGTGCTGTTTTTAATGAAACCCCCTCCTACGCACTTGTCGTGCGACTCAGGGGCTCGTCCTGTCGGTTCCTGAAACGCTTTGCCGCGCATAAACACTGATGTGTCGACGATCCACCATTCTATAATTCATCTAGACTCCGCAATATGGCCTTTTTCAGACTTTGAGCAAAGAGGAAAGAAGAGGCAGGGAGCCCTTCGGAATCGGTTACGGTTTCAGGGGTTGAGTGGGTAATGGCACGCGTTCCTGGTCTAGAAGAAGGATTGGGTTCGCACAACGACCCACTCAATCTACAGACTTTTCGTGGCCACGCTGGTCGGTTGAAAGCACCATGTGGCAGTGTTCGAGGTCTGCGAGCGCGCGCCCTGATCTCGAGAGGTGCGCTTGAGCTGGACACGAGCCCCAGTTAGTTACGAGGCTTTCCACCGGGGGCTTTTTTTCATCTCGCCCTCCACCGTGCCGTGGAGAGCGTGATTCACTTCGGCAAAGTTTTGCGTCGCGGTACTGTACCATTCATTGTGGTAACACCGCTTCTACGAATTGCTCGAGCTCAATAAGCTTTGCAACTTTCCTTCCATCTTTTGTGGAGAGCATACTGTATCCACCCGATCCACCCGAATACAGGTACACACCGACTTCTTCCGACTGTGAGCGTAGATAGAAGCACTTCAAGTCATCCGTGACCATGTTTCCCATGTGGATAGCAAGTTGTCGCATTGATGCGTTGCTGCTGAAAAGGGGTTCCGGCTTGCCTACATTTGGATAGCAGTCAGCGGCCCAGCATAGATTTGAAATTGCTCCTGTGATGCTTTCCAAAGGCTCCTAATATTTCCATTTTTGTAAATCTGGGGAGAGTGCAGCACGTGGTGGGTATACCTCGCGTAGAGGACACCCTAGTACAGGATTGAATGTGGGCTGATAAAACATGCGGTGAGAAGATGGAGACAGTGCCACACACAGGAACAAGCTCAATTTTAGTGTCCGGTCGCCTTGGCATGGAATTAGACGCTGGAAATACGCTTGTTCTTTGGGAATTGCATCTCTACTGGCCAAGTCGCTCTTTCAGGACAGAACAACATGCTCACCTCTGGCTTTTGCAACCATGACGTGTTTTATAGCATGCGCAGGGAATGTACCCGTCTTGCAGTAAACGAAATTGAGAAATGGATAGTGGTTGTTGTGCCGAACTCCGGAAAACATTTGCTTCCACACCACGACCTGGCAAATGTAAAGAAGCTGCACGACTCACTCCAGGGCTTCTGATTTCCCAAACTGGCTCGAATTGTGCACCAAGTGACTCGTTTGCGGCGTTTGCGATGCGCGGTAAATCTTCGGGTACGCTATCAACGAGACTATTGATTGTGAGCAAATCGGAGTAGAGTCCGCCATGGCCTTTGCACTCGATGCGGCCTCGATGCCTGTAAAACATTAACAAGGACCCACAAGCGCCGACGTGCTGGGTGTGGGGAAATTCGTGCCATGTGCGGAACTAGGGCAACTAGGCGCTGAGATGGGAGACGAAGCTGAGCACGACGCCTGTCGGTGCTATGCTAGCGTGGGTCGTTACTTTCTGGGGGCCCGCGTTCGACTTCACGTCCTCTCCACGTCCTATCTATAAATGCCTGCATCCCCGCGTTGGACAAGACCCACAACCTGCAGTTCGGGGCCTTAAACCACAGTCCTGGGTCGAGTCTCTAGCCGTCTCTTTGTTCGCCAATCTATCGCTATCTACTACTACTGTTGCCGTCTCCCCCATCGTCGCTCTTCATCATGGCCATCACCGAGAACCACAAGGCTCACAATGTGGAGGTCAACGAACACGCCCCTGTTGCCGCCACGGATGCAGAGACGTCCCAGCTTGGTCGTCTTGCCAACCAGGTGGACCACGAAGAAGGCAAACTTGCGTCGTTCCGCAAGTACCCTTGGGCCTGTCTTTGGTGCATCTACATGGTCTGGCTGGTACTGCTGGTCAGTTTCGAGAACCAGGCTGCCGGAAACGTTATTGGTATTCCGCAATTTAGGAAGGATTTTGGGCGCGAGTTCAAGGCTGCGGATGGGACCGTGAGCTACGTCGTCGAGGCGAAGTGGCAATCTGCTTTCCAGGGCGCACCTGTGGCATCGTAAGTACTGTAAATGGGAAAACTGGAATAAAAGTTTGGCAGCTAACATCTCCAAGCGCAATCGTCGGTGCCCTCGGATGTGGTCAACTTGCTGACTGGCTCGGCCGTCGCTTGGTCGTCATGATCTGCCTGGCTGTCACTTTCGTCGCCATTGCCATGGAATTCGTCGCTACAACCAACGCCCTTTTCTTCGGTGGAAAGTTCCTGAACGGCTTCGTTCTGGGTGCCCTCGCATCTGTCACCGTCACATATATTGGCGAGATCGCTCCTTTGAAGCTCCGCGGCATGTTGACCTGCTTGACTGCTCTCGCATACACCCTCGGGCCACTCACTGTCGCTCTCATCGTGAACTCCACTGGTGTCTACACTACTCGCTGGGCCTACCGCTCTGTATTTGCTGCTCAGTTTGGCTTTGCCGCCATTGCTAGTGCTATCGTCTGGTTCATGCCTGAATCACCCTGGTGGTTGGTCTCGAAGGAACGCCAGGCGGATGCATTGAGGGCGCTGAACAAGCTAGGTCACACCGGACCCGAAGGCGAGCAGAAATTGGCTCAGATCTTGACCACGCTCCAGGAGGTCAGGCGTGAAACTGAAGGCGTCACCTATCTGGAATGCTTCCGCAAGTCCAACCTGCGACGAACCATCATCTCGGTCATGCCTCTCTGCATCCAGGCCCTCAGTGGAATTGCCTTTGCCGCTTCTTATAGTACTTACTACATGCAGCTGGCAGGCTTTACCACGGCGATGTCCTTCAAACTCCAGATCGTCCAGCAAGTCATCTCCCTCGTCGGAAACGTCATGTCCTGGTACTTGGTTGACCGCGTCGGACGCCGCAATCTCACCTTCTGGGGCCTGTTCGTTCTCACGATTATCCTCTTCGTCATGGCAGGTCTCGCCGTCGTCGGCACTGTCCCCGCGCTCAAGGGCGCCATCAGCATGATCCTCCTCTACTGCTGGTGGTACAACGTCACGATCGGCGCTACGGCGTACACGATTCTCTGTGAGACCAGCACGTCCCGTCTCCGCGTCAAGACGATTGCCATCGGTCTCGCTCTCCAGAACGGCCTCCAGACCATGTGGTCCTTTACTCTTCCTTACCTCTTCAACCCCGACCATCTCAATCTCGGGGGTCGCTTGGGCTTCATTTTCGGAGGCCTTGCCGTCATCTGCTTGGTGTACTTGTGGCTCTTCCAGCCCGAAACTGCTGGACGCACATACGAGGAGTTGGATGAGATGTTCGTCAAGAAGGTTCCTGCAAGGAAGTTCAAGACGTATCAAACTGACACCCAGGCCATGGGTGAAGCCGTTAAGGAGAAGGACGGCATGTAAGCGTATCGTTTAGCTGTGTATTACGAAGCGAGAAATATATCATTCACATTTTTCATACCTTCCACCCAGCTTGCAAACGTGAAGTCGTGAAGACATTGTGGGTCATGCGTCCATTTAGATACATCGCTTACATGCGATTTTCAATTGGTCGTATCAAACTACTGCTGCGTCCTCTACAACTTGCTACCCCTCTCCCTCCCCGCCCACAACCCGACCAAGCCTTCTTTGCTCTTTCCCAAAACAGGATCTTTCTCTGGCTTTGGCACAAACCAAACATCTTCCTCGTGACCTTTATGCTCGCCTCCGACAGCGAAGTCCCACACACCTCCATACGGATACCCACCCATCATCATAAACTCGCCTTCCACAGGCACCTTACTAAAGAAGTCTCTCCTAGCCCTCTCCTTCTCTGGTGAAAGATCCCTTGCCTGCCCATTGGCAATATCGTCAGGCTGATGGAAGGCCAAAACACTTGTATTAGGCCTGGGATTAAAAGTCTTGTGGGACACGCCCGAGGGAATAATGAAGACATCGCCCAGCCCAGCCTGGAGATCTAGTCCCCCTTCTTCACCATCTGCCCTGTCACCAAAGGCGAATTTGCCGTAGTCCCACGTCTTGCTGTCCGCAACGCCGAAACGAATGGTTGCGCCCTGGCCTGAGATGACGACCATGCATTCGTGCGTGGTGGAGTGGTAGTGTGACTGGATGTCTGGGCCGTAGCGGGCTATCCATTGGGACTGCCAGCCGTTGCTTGCGAAGAGGTCAAAGATGTTTGTAGTTTGGAAGTCGGGGGATTGCACTTGGTCGCGGAGTAAGGCGGGGTAGTGGAGTAGAGGGTAGGGTGAATTGGGGATTAGGGGAGTAGGAGGGAGGTTGTAGGATTTCACTTTTGGAGCCACGGCCATGTTCACGTGTGTATAATCAACAGTTTGGCAGGAAGAGAGAATCGTGTTCAACTTGAAGATCAACTTGAATATAAGAGACGGCTGTTCGCGGCTCGCACAGTGATATGTGATAACCCGACGGATAGAATTAACCGATTAGGTATCGCGATGAGCGGGGTTCCAGTCGACGTCAGGTAGATGCGATGTCGGCGCAGTTGCGATTCCGAGTAGCTATAAAACTTGTATTGCCTGCTACGTAGATGGATGTAGCTGCTGTTCTGTACATGGCTCTCACGCTGGTGCGCAAAGCTGAGATAGAGTGCATGATGGCCAGGTGTTGAGGAGACGAGGCTGTTCGCGGAGAGATCTCGTCAGCATCAGCACCCACTAGATCCGTGTTACCTTCGCTCAGAGGAGGTCGATTCTTCCATGACTTGATGGAGTGATTGACGTGTCGTCGCACGGCAGCGTATCGTAGTTCAATCGGACATGATTGTGCGCTGGAAGACCCGAACTGTTTCACCTGCTGCTGTGGCCATTCTCTGGTTCGTGAGGTGATGGAGTAAGGTGCAACGGTGCTTGGACACACATGATTGCGAGGCGATGCGGTGCCATGACCTAGACGGTGCATGGAAGAGAGGCGTCTCTTCTCGTCAGCGGGGACGGGATGCAGGTTCAGACCAAGGAGGGCTAGCAGAGTGCAAAGGCATGGTGTTCGGTGGGGATGAGTGGACGGGAGCGCCGTGTAATGCTTGCAAGACGACGAATGAGATCATGGAAGCCCCCCATCCCCATCAACCACACAGTTCCCCCCGCTTGCTTGCATATCTTCGTTCCAAGTCCGACACAGGATTTCCTTGGAGAGAACACAGCATCTACCCAATAATCATAGTGACTCGAAACCCGAATCGGACCCAGCCGTCCGTCGCCCCGAAGCCGCGTCTCGTCTGCATGTGCGCCTAGCCCAGCTCGCAGCGACATTGCGCAAGCGACCTGCTCCTTTCGACGCCCCCAACCCCCTCCTCAGTGAGATCCGGATTCTGCGCCGGATGGCAGCGCAGTAGAGACTTTGGCGACACCGAGCACACGTCTAGCATTTATCGCTATCATCTATCTTGTCTTGCGCTCGCGCCGTTGGCCATCATCGCGAACTGTCCGCTTGGCGCTGCACACCCAAGGCTACCTGCGTCACCACTGCGCGCGTCCTGCCTCGCCCAGAAGGCTACATGCGACCTGAAGCTTCACGCTCAAACCAACGACGTCGGTGTCGCATGACGCAGGCCATCGCTATACTGTGCTCAAAGGGCATGGCTTCGTCCCAACAGTAGAGGCAGAGCCCGTCCGCCGCAGTAAAGACTGGTAGCGAAGCGAGCGACAGGCACAACGGTCATCGAGGGCAGGACTCGTAATTCCTTCACTGCGTAGAGCAGCCTCGCATCATGCCAGAACCTCAGCCAGACAGCTACGTGCTGCTCGAGTCGTCGTTCCTCGCATCCCCCAAACTACAACAACACAAGCAGCTCCCGCGCCGCAGCGACGAACATCGTTCTTTCTCGCGCACTGCAGCACCCCTCAGACGGGATCCATCGTACACGTATAGCGAGGCCGAGTCAGTCGTCAGTAGTCAGCAATCTACGCCGCTAGCATCGCCAGGCGCATTGACGGGGGCAGAGAACGGCCTACCACCCACTCCGCCCACCGTATCGCAAGACGGGGCAGTCGCACAGGACTCTGAGCCACCGCCCCATGCCGACGGCGTGGTAAACTCCCTCCTGTCGAAGAAGTCGTCTCTCAGCACGCCAGTCAATGCCCGCAGCCCTCCGACGCCTGATCCAAGCCCACCACGAAGCAGCGAATCCAATACCTCGAACCTCGTCCCCAGTCGCCCGCCCATGTTTGCCTATCCATCGTCGAGAGCAGAGTCCTTCAAAACGGCAAGAGAAGACCCCGTGTCCTCTGAGCCTAGCGACAGTCGATCGATAACACCAGTGGGGGATAGGCTGAGCACAGTCGAGGAGGATAGGGGACTGGGACTTGCTTTTGAGGTCGAGGACAACGACGTCACGCCCACCGAGAGAACACGAGCTTCGTCTTCCGCCGAGATTCACAATGCGGATACAATGGCCGGCGCGGAGGAGGACAAGGGTTTCCCGGCGGTGGAGGATATACCTGATCGGGAGTGGAACACAGATATGATGCGCAACGTAACCATCCGTAGAAAACGACGAACGCCAAGCTCATCGCCCCGTAAGCAACGAGCTCCTGCCGTCACTGTCGTAGAAACTGCCTCGCCCTCGCCGAGCACAAGGGCGCGTCGAAGCTCAGGTCTTCGCGAGCGCGTCGAAGCGAGCAGCAACAGTCCACATACTCCATCCATCGAGATGTTTGCGCAGTCCATTGGCTGGCCTAGCGGGGACAAGGAATTGTCGGAAGAAACACAGCGTGATGTCAGCAACCAGCGACTTTCCACCGCGTCCGTGGGCTCGACTGTTGTAGAGGCCGTAGTGATTGTGACACCACCACGGAGACGGCAGACGCTCCGTCACTCTGGAAAGAACATGGCTTACAGAAGAGACACCAGTTCACCTGCAGATCTAGGCTCAGTCACGTATTCGAACCGCAATTCTGTCCTGTCCGATGATGTTCCGTTGCATCGCCTGGTCCATAAGAGGACCAGTGTTGTCGACAGAAATAAGAGGATCAGTGCCGAGTCGGACACCCTCGGCAGTGAGCGTAATTATTCTTCTCCTGTTTCGTCATTACGGCAGAGAACCATTGATAGCACAGCGCATACACTCGCGCATCAGGAGTCCATTCGCAATGTACTGCAACCCGCAGCAGATATAATGAGCAGGTCAAGTCCCCTCTCACGATCCTATGCATCCACTGGCAGCTACCACAAGCGCATCTCGTCTGCCCCGGAACCTGTACGGAGGTTAGCACCCAGGAACTTCTCACAGTTGTCTCCGCCTGAGAGTCCGCGACCTGTAGAAGACATATTCTTTCAATCGCCTGTTCATGAACGAGAGGCATCGCCTACACTCTCACCAAAGCCATTCCTAGCATCCCCTGCATCACGTAAAGAAGGGCAACGACAGCCCCGTTCCGAATTCAAGCATGCAGCCAACGTCAACAAGTCTCTACCCGATGTTCCGATACAATATACAGATGAGCATGTACTGCAAGATGTGTTCGTAGAGGCAAGTGAGCCAGTTGAGGACAAAGAGGAGAACCATCCGCCAGTTGCGTTAATGGAAAGAGTGCGGCAACTGGTCGCTCAACGTGAGACCGACGAAGAGACTACGCTCATTACACAGTCAAGCAAAGATCCCACTTCCCCCGAGCATTTGAAACAGTTCTCGCCTCTCCAAGACAGCTCGCCGTCTGTTCGTCAAGACTCGCGTTCGTCAAAATCTGGAGAGGGCAATCGCACATCTCTGTCTCCAGATACCCATCTACGACCGAGCTTGGACCGAGTGTCAACAGAGGAAATGGTGCGTCGTAGCTACGAGGGACGCAGGCCCTCTGAGGAGCATGGACGAGTCAGCTTCGACAGGTCAACGATACGCACTGAGGAACATGCTATGGCGCGACATCTCTTTGCGCAGACGACACCCTTCTCACAACACTCGGATACGCCCATCGAGGTCAGTGAAGCGACTGCCGTTAGCATCTACCCGCACAACAACCACTCCCTCCTTGTGGTGCAGCAGCTTTCTCGCGGCAACTCCATGTTCCCGGATCAGAGTCAGTTGACTGGCGACACATTACTCACAGAGCAGGATCACCGAGACTTGCAACCCACACCAACCCCGCCATTTGTGGATGCAAGCGAAGAGCATATTGAAAGCAATGAGCATCCTCTCCCGCCAAGTCTGAACTTTGAACCATCCACGCCTCCATTGCAAATCGGCTTCGCTCAGCCCAGTGCCGTAGACTCTCCTCTCAAGAATCCTCGACCGCCACCAGAACCACCCAGGATTATGTTCATTCCTCCCACGCCGGCTGAGGAGCTCGAGCGCGAACTTGTACCTGGACCGCCCAAGCGGTCTGATTCGCATCCACAGCGCCGACTCACGCTGGTCCAACGAGCGCGTCGCTACTCTGACAACATCATACGGCCCGTGCTAGCCCGCGCGTCAAGTCGCCATGCCAGCGATCCGCACGCCCACCGTACTCAACGCGTGCCTACCGTGAATGACGAGAATGGTGCTTTGCATCCCTTCTGGCGACCGCGCGGGTTCTGGGACGACTTTGAAGACAGCGATAGCGAGAGTGACGAGGAATCAGCACTGCCATCTGGTGGCGATACCAGCGACGTCGAGGATGCGCCCATTGCACCCCCAAGGCGATCCAATACGCTGGGAAAGCGATTCACCAGTGGCTTCAAGGGCTCAGGTGGATTTCTGATTGGCAATTCCCTCGGCGTAGAACGTCACGGGACAAACAAACGCCGGCACCATGTCACGCTTCCTGCGCGCTTTTCCAAGTCGGCCAAAACACCCACGCAGGCTTCGTCGCCGAAGATCCTCATTCAGCCACCGACCATGCCTCTTGGACGCATTCCCGGTGGTGGCATCTCGAAACAGAGCTCACGAAGCAGCCTACGATCGAATAGCCTACGGTCGAATGTGTCGTATGAGCTGCCGCGGCGACGGGGAACGTGGCGTCAAGGGCGAAGCTTGCCAGGGTTGAAGAAGTACCAAGTGCAGTATATTGGGTTGAGCGGGGTGAAGGAGAAGATACGGGAACGCAAGACGGAGAAGAGGAGGGAGAAGTTGAGACAGAGCATTGGGACGCGGTATTATGTGGAGCCTGTTGTCCCTTCGGTAGGTTGATCGCAGGTAGGGCGACGATTGGAAGAGTGGTGGATCTTCTACTAATTTCTAGGCAACGACGTTGGAATGCTTTGAGCGTGGGTGTTTATTCGCTTCACACTTTTTTCTTTTTCTTATTTTTATCTTCTGTTGGCGCTCGCGATCTATCTGTCACGGCATACCACTTTGCTCCGTTTTTGCATATACCACGTTACGACGATTTTTACGCACGCGCTAATTTTGCGTATTTGGCTGGATCAGGACTTGTTACTTTGGTCATACATTGTTATCTGGGCGGGGTCTTGTACATGGCTGCTGCTTCATTATTAGTATCAGTAGGATAGTTTCTATTTCTGGAATAAACGTCCCGTGTCATCTTGGTGTTGTCGTTCCTCTGCAGTGAGAGACGCGGGTCTATTGCTTGATAATATATGATTCCCGTGTGTGGTGAGACAATTTTGGCGAAGAGATGGATGCCTGCACTGCGCCTCCAGCTCGCATAGATTGAAAGCTTCTCTCACCGGTTTTGCATGGCATGGATATATGCCTGTCTTGAGTTATTCCAGGCGCGTTGGTGTTGGGCAGAAGCCACCAATTGCGCAGCCTTGCGGCTTGCTAGTGTGATGCAGTCATGTAAGCACTCTATCTCCCGCCCGCAGGCAAGCCTAGACGAAGGGCGTAGCGCAGCGTAAATGGGCTACTCGATTCGTCCCATGGGCGCCCTGCAAGAAACCCTAGTCCGCCTTATCACTCCACACTTGTTCTGCGGGCGCTGGGGCCCGGGGATCCGTTTTGGAAGTATGGCCGCCTTTCCACGTCTCCTTTGGGACGTATGGCAGAATATAGACTTTGCGCCACACTGGCGTGGGTTTATTTTTGCGCAGTTGAGGTGAAGAGCTTGTCGGATATGATTGATTTGATTCCAGGAGGACACACACAATGGAGCTGCTGGACATACACACGTCATTGATGCTCATGTCGTCACGCTCCACCATAGGAACGACGGTTGGGCTTGGACGGTGGAGAAGCTGCCTGGCCGGGTATTTATAGTCGGAGTTTGAAGATGTGAAAGAGAGAGAAAACCAGGTACAGCGCAACATGATGGTCATGGAATCGTGGTGTTTATGACTTGCAGAGACGTTATTAGTTGTATTCATTCTCTCGCTGTCCATTGAATGTGTAGGGCGGTAGTAAGGGCGCGGCACGGCGCACAGACGGAGTAGGAGGGGCCAATGTGGGGTTGGCCGCCGTCGCTGCCTTCCAGACACGACAGACAGACACTAGGGAGGCTGTTGTCTGCTCATGTTTTCTGTTGTATTCAATTCTCTCCCTCCCTTGACATGTGTCATCTTCTCTCACCGAAAGAAAGACCTTCGAGGCAAAGCTGGTACAGAGCAGGAGAGCTACAGATAATTATAAGATTAAGCGGAGTAAATCACTAGCGGCAGCCCTTCCCCATCCGTCCCGCCATTTCAAGTCCATCGGCACTACTGCTACCTGCAGGTTCCACGACATTTGTTGGTCCCTGACCCAGCTGCCCGACAAAGTCTAAAGCTGTGTTGTGCTTCCCTTCCCCCACGACCCTCTCTTTATTTACTCGAAACGAAGACGTAGGCATTGGAGGCGCGTAGCATTGCGTTTCATGTTCCAGCAGCCCCGTTGGAGCCGCGGCCTCCTCCCCTCCTCCACACCATAACTATCGTCAGCACCCGCCAGAGCACCGCCTCACATCCAGGCACGCGAGCACTCTCCTACGCAGGAACCGCATTCGTCCTAGACCGCATCCCTTCCTCTTCCTCTGGTCTGCGGGCAGCACCATCATGTTCTCCAAGAGCCGCTGGCGGACCAAGCCCTCCCCAAACGAACAGACGCCCGCGCAAAAGGCGCAGCTCAACGACGACGACGTCAACGACTTCCTCAAGCCCTCGACCGAGAAAGCCCAGCAGCAAAAGGCCGCCGCCGCCGCCTTCCTCGCCAGCGCAAACCGACCCCGCATAGATGTCGCCCGAGCCCAGCGCTGGCCTGGCGCCCAGGACGTCCTGAATGCCGCTGTGGCCGCTGAGGGAAGGAGCCCAGGACGGGGAGGCTTGAAGACGGGCACGCGCAAGCCAGGCCTGGCCGTCAACTTTGTGCGCACTGTACCCGAGATCATTGGCCATGGCGGCGACGACTGCGACGAGCTGGTCGTCGACGTGTCCAGGCGGAAAACGTCCAGCAACGGCGCGCCCGACGTGGAAAAACTGCAGCAGCAAGGGCACCAGGACGACACGAGTCTGGGTACACGGAGCAACGGCATAGGCAGGACCATTTCGCAGGCAGAGCAGAGAAACAACCTCACGCGCACCCTCACCTCCCACGGCGAGCTATCTCCAGAGCTCGGCCAGAGGCTCCAGATGGGCCAAATCAACGCCTACGTGAATCCTCCACCCCCGCCCCCGCAGCGCTTGGGCCCCATGGGTCTGGGAGAACGCCCGCGCGTCGTTGAGCGAGCACCCACTGGCTTGGATGGCCAAGTCGACCCTACCGTGCAGCCCAACATCGAAGAGGACGACGGCTTCCGACCAAAACCGTTCAAGCGGACTCAGACCGGCCTCCACGACCAAGCTGCTGCCCACTCAGAAAACGAGCCTGCTCCCGCAATTCCAAATATACCACACTTGCCAGAGCTGAAGATGGGAGATGATTCTCCACTCGATGACCAGGCCATGTTGGTAGAGCGCTACCTACGCGGCGAACCCGCAGAACCGAATTCTTTTGCAGCGCGGGTCAAGATGAGAGAAACAGAGGGGAGAGCGCTACACGAAGCGGCGCAACGGGCAGCCTCTGGCTCAAAAAGAGATTCAGACGCGAGTTCGGTGCAGTCGGCAGAACAGTTCAGAGTAACAACACCGCCTTCGTCCTCTGCGCCCTTCGCCGGAAGAACACCACCGCAAGCGCCGCCAGTCGACACCGTGAGGGGATCACCACTGCGGGCACTAGAAGCCGATGATCCTCACCGATCGAGGAGACGTGGACCTTCTCCAGCACGACCGTCGTCAAGAGCTTCATCGCAGCATACTACAACTTCCCCGGCACGCGCCTCACCCGCTATTCGATCAGAGCCATTCTCCTCCCTATCAGCCCAGCAAACACCGTCCACCATGGAGAAACCCCCATTTTCCACTGCTAGCCAAAACTCCACGCTACCCCCTCCGTCTCCGTTTGAAAAAGGGGCATCCTACTTCCCGCCCTCACATACACAACACCCCCCATCGTCTGCCATTTCGCCCGGTGGTCAGCTTCCGATGCGGTCGAGACCAGACGCTAGTGCAAAGCCATCACAGCCTCTGGGTCGGTCAGACACCAAGATGCAGGGCGAATCAGCTTACGATGACTTTGCTGAACGCGTCACGCATATGAAAGGCATTTTCCAACTCACTGCTCAATTGGGAGGTTCAATTTATGATTATTCGCCCTTGCAATGGGTTCGAGTGGCTACCTGGTGGTTTCTGAGGGGCCGCGCGGGAATGGAAACACTGATACGGAGCCGGCCGAGGATTGCAGAAGAGCAGCCCGAACGACTGGCCCAACCCCATGTCGACCTAGCAAAGGTATTATGGATAGTTACCGAGGTGCTTCCGAATCATCCTGGCCTACGGAAGTATGGGCCTCAAGGGCCTGATGTGCAGGCTGAGCTAGCGAGACAAGCCGGAGATGCTGCGAGTGCAGAAGCCTACGAGATCCAGAATGCGATAACACATTACCTGAAATTACTTGTTGGGTCGATGGTCAAGCACCAAAGCATGCCACCGACTCAGGCACTCATCCAAGGCCAGGACCAGTCAATATGGGAGGAGTATCCTGCGTTTGCCCCGGACGCGGCAAGCGTACTCGTCTCAGGGCTTCCGCCAATGACAACGCAGGGCGCTCCACAGCGGCAATTCAGCCTGTCGCAGTACATCCCGCTTGCTGATACGAAGAACGAATTCTGCTACTTCCGGATGTTTGTGAAAGCCTCGCTGAGCACTGATGATCCCAACACAGACCGCGTTCCCATGTCGACTGTCATCTCCGTACTGCGTTCAAAGGACGAGTACCAAACTAAACTCGCTATTTGCAGTCAGACCAATCTCATCAATATCATCGTCTCGAATTCGGAAGGTGGAGTGACCTGGAACGACGTCAACTGGAAGAAGCAGTCGCAGCAAATCAGCGTTCAATTACGGCATGGATTCACGCTCAATATCCAGCTTAGCGAAGGCGATTGGCGCAGCCTCTGGGCTATCGTGGAACACACCAATCGGGTCGAGTCAGATCTACGAGAACGGAGAGACGAGCGATTCGCGTGCAAGCTGTATCTCCGAGAAGCTGCGTACAAGGACCCGGCCAATCCGTCTGCGTTCCCGCCTGAACGGGTGCCAGGTTGTAAACTCATGGTTTTCCGGAGAATCGAGCGCAGTAGCGAAGGCACTGGAAAGCGAAAGTTGCACCGAGGATACAGAATGGCACTGGTCACGGGCCAGCAAAACAAACAAGTCAGTCTCGTCAATCACGAGCTAGGAACCAAGCAGGAGCCGATGAACTTCGAGTACGTCACCGAGCCCGATCAAGCACCCGCTATGAGACTGCACTTCCGCGAAGAGGGTCCGGACAAGAAACCGAGATATTGTACCGTGCACCTCGTGTTCCAGGAGACGAATGATCGCAATCACCTCTTTGGTACTTTTACGTCTATGAACATGGCCGAGGGCGAGATGACATTCGCACAAGTTCCACTCAAAGCTTTCCATATTGAAAGTGCAGATCAGGCCGAGGGGTTCAGCCAACAGAGCAGCCGCCTCTTCGAGAAATTGCAGTGGCAGGAGGCCAAGGTGATGAATGAAGATCCGGAAGCTACAGGACTGGAGTCTGCACCAACCGTGATGAGCGAGAGCTTGAGGATTGTGTGCAGGCATAGTGCTGGCATTGTCTCTGATCGCCTGAACCTGGGTCCAGGTGAACTCCTCGTCCGCCTCCCGGTCGACGGCGCTGCTGAACTCACGCTCCTCCGCGAAGCCCAACAAGATATGGCTATTGCGATTGATGGCAGCCGGACAGAGCGCGGTATCCCCGAAGCCCTCGCCGAGTTACTCAGAACTCTGACGACCGCGTCTACCATTCGGCGATTGACTTTCAACTCGTTCAAGGACCTACATGACTTCCAGCTTGCTGTGACTGGATTTGATGTCAAATTCGACGGCACTGCCTCCACGTTCTCCATCTCCCGCCGCCGCATGGTAGTACCCATCTACAAGCAATGGACCGCAACCAGCATCCGCCTGCAAATCGTGCAACAAGACAATATTGTCCAGCTCCTCGCCTTCTTCGAAGATTTCTCCCACGCAGACGCCATGAACTTCCAACTGCGCACCATGGACGTCTTCGAGAAGACAGACAAAGGTAGCAAATTTGGCCTCAAGCTCGTCGATGCCAAGTTCGCGCTGCCTGTTGAGGAGAGGAGAGGCGAAGGCAAGATGCAGAAGGCCGAGGGCAGACTGACGGGCTGGTCGGGGGTCAAGAGAAGGTTTGTGTGCTTGGATGAGGTTGAATATCCTGGCGAGCATGATGATATTCTGATTCAGTTTGACTCTGCTGAGAGTAAGTATTACATGTGGGTATGTGAATTAAGTTGTTGCTGACGTATGAAAAGTTCGAGATCACTTCGCTGCTGCGCTGCCGGCGGCTACGATAGAGCACAAGCTGTTTACCGTCCGGAGAAAGATATAGTCTTTCTTCATTCCTTTCGACGCCCGATTACGCCAGGATCGGTCATCCTTATTCGTCGATCATACATGTTCCATCACTTCTTCTAGGCCCGGCAGCGCCTAAGGTCTTGAACCCCATTCATCCCACACGGGCTCCTCTCCAGGTAAAGATACACATTTCCTTCCTTTCTTTTTTGTTTCTTTTATTGCCTACTTCGGCGCATTATCTGGAGGCAAAGCTTCTCCTCACCCACCCACCCAGCTGCCATGGGTTGGGAACTGGTAGATTTCACAAGTTTTGTTAGGCGTTACGAGGCGGTGCATTACGATATCACTTTCGGGCGGGGTTCTTTTTTTCCTTTCTTTTCTTTCGGCTGCACACTTTTAGCAAAAGATTGATCTCTTTTTGTTGGCTGTGGCTGCGTTGTATTGCATGCATAGGGAAGCGGGGGGTGGGTCGGTTGGAGCGAGTGAGTGAGTGAGTTTGTATAGAATTTTGATGAAGAGTTCCTTGGGCTGGGCTGGGCCGTCTCCATTCAGGCGCTGTGGGGGGAGGGAGAGAGCGATTAGTACCCCTGGAGGGGTTTGAATACCAGTGAGAAGGGTGATTGAAGACAATGAAAGATGAGATATTTACTGTACATGCTGCTTCTATCGAAGATGGATTTTGAATTTGCCCCCGTAACAACTTGTATAAGAGGACCTTGGACTTTGGTTTCTTTTCCAATTCGCATCGCCATGTACGACACTATGGTATTTGATCCATTCTGTAGCTGACACGCTTAGTTAAGCTAGAGGCATTTCACTGCATGGTAAAGCAGTCCACTTGGACTAACTCTCACATCCAGTTTAAGGGGAAAAAGGAAGTATTATGTGCACAATCTTGCCATCGGAAGTCGCCGTGTTCAGCACGCCGGTCGCCTCCGATCACACACAGTTGGGTACTGTCCGGATATAAAGTCGATTCAAATGGCCATATAACTTATTTATCCTTGTCTACTGGTAAATACTCCTCTTACCTCTCGTGGTCTATATCCGACAATCGTCTTCCGACCAGCAACAACGTGCACACCAACTCACCATGTCCGCTCCCGTCGACACACCACCGCCATCTAAAACCCACCTCCTCTCCACCCTCCTCTCCACCATCGAAGAGCGCATCATCCCGCTGACCCAGCAAGGCGTCTCATCAGGCTCCAAGCTCTTCGGCGCAGCAATCCTATCCCGCACCACGCTGCACCCCTACACAACCGCGACAAACAACGAGCGCATCTCCCCCCTCCTCCACGGCGAAATAAACTGCATCCAGCAATTCTTCACCGCCGACTTTCCCGACCCCACCACGCGGCCCGACCCTGCGCGAGACTGCATCTTCCTCGCAACACACGAGCCGTGCAGCTTGTGTCTGAGCGGCATCGCGTGGTCGGGATTCAGCGAGGTCTACTTCCTCTTCTCGTACGAGGAGAGCCGGGACTTGTTCGCTATTCCGCACGATATTGAGATTTTGAGGGAGGTTTTCACGGTCCGGAGTGGGCTGGGGGAGGGTCAGGGTGGGCGCGCGCCGCTGTATAATAGACGTAACAAGTTTTTCCACGCGAGGTCTTTGGATGATGTTGCTGGTGCGATGGAGGAGGGGGATGATGATGAGAGACGGAAATGGGTGGTGGAGATTGACAGGGTTAAGGGTCTTTATGGTGCTTTGAGTGACGTGTATCAGCAGGGGAAGATGGCGGGCGCGGAGAGTTCTAGTATTTGGAAATAGACTGTGGGGGGCATTGTTGTATTACTAGAATAGGTCTAAGATGATTTGATTGTAGTAGCAAGCCCTGGAGGAGCTGTCGGCGGGGAAGATGCGACTTGAGCATTTTCGGTTAGCACTATCGATAACAATTTTCGTCTAGCCTCATCTGCCCCTCGCATCACTTTTTCTTTTGCACTAAAAGCAGCGAATTATACGAGATACGCCGTGTTGGAATCAACATAGCTGTCTGGAGGATAGTATTAAGCGCTAAACGTCACTCGTTTGGCCTTGAAAGCATTCCGCTCGACCTCCATCACAACAAGCTCAATACGCTGTCCACTCGCCTCATTCATTGGCCTACACCATTCACTTGGCAAGCGTTCAATTGACTTTCCTGTAGACACCCGGTCACTGTTGGTGCTGGTCAATCTCATCAAAGCCTTGTTGTTTCCAACACGCTTTGGCTTCGTAGCGCTTTCGACGCCTGCAAGTCAGGATGGCTTCTCAAAATGAGAGAAATACAATCTTTCTCACCGAACAAGAGGCGGAACGCATCCGTCACACTGTCAAAGAGAGATCTAAGAATTGCTTAGAAAAGGTCGGCCATGCTCGGGAGCCCAGGGACCAGTTAGCCGCCCACCAACAAGCAACTGGCGCGGCACTCATGGCAGATATGGGCGGTGCACCAGATCCAGACATGACGCACACCAAAGGACGAGGAGATACCATACCTGTTGTTGCCGTGGGACAGCCGTATCCGCCATGCACAGTCTCTCTTGAAGACTTACAGCCAATGAAAATGGCCGATCTTCTCATGGATACACATCATCGAGGACGCAAACTCACTATCAAGCGTTCAAGTCCGGTGGTAACGCTTGTGGCCAGATCATGGACTATGGTGCAAGATGAAGAGTTAAAAGAGACGGAGCGGCTGGAGATGTGTTTGCACAAGTCAAGGCACGACGAGGACGTACTGGAATCGGCCAAACACTTCATAATCAAGGAGCCATACTTTACCCTTACCGACCAGGGTGAAGCCACCATTCGAATAGACCATCCTTCGGATCTGGTTGTTTATCAAGAAGAAGCACATGGAAAGACGCAGGTCGAGGATTCTGCTGCTGCAGAAAAGCTAGCTACAAAGTACAAGACACAGGGCAACGCCGCACTCAAGAAACAAGACCTTCCGCTAGCTCATGCCAAGTATACGGAAGGTCTGAATGTTGCAAAGCAACCTCTTCTGTCAGACTCGAATCCCGATCTGGCCCGAGATATTTCCCGCAACCGCGCCTACGTGAATCTACTCTTGAACCAGTTGGACGAAGTGAAGACTGATGCCCGCGCTTCTCTTACCGGAAAAGATGACCAGCGATCCAAGGACCTCGATAGCAAAGCTTTCTACCGTGCAGGTTCTGCTGCATACAGTCAAGGCAGATACCAGGAGGCAAAACGCTTCTTTGAGGAGCAACAAAAACTTACGCCAGACGACAAGGATGCGAAAGTTCAACTCAAGAAGATCGCGTCACGTCTTCGCGAACAAGACTCGGGAACTTACGATTTTATGAAAATCAGCACCGGGCTATCAAAGGGACGTCCGCGCGTGGATGCGGCAACATTCATCAAGAACACCGAGATCAAAGACAGCGCAGGACGAGGACGCGGCTTGTATGCGACACGAAGCATAGCTCCGGGCGAGATCGTCATGTGTGAGAAGGCTTTCTGTGTTGTCTGGGGCCACGAAAGTGAGGCTCTGACGGCAATGACTTACGATGTTCGTGACGACAAGATCAGGGTATCACCCGTCGGCTTGGGCAAATCGATTGTACAAAAGCTCCTCAGCAACCCCTCGCAGATCGAATCAGTCATGGACCTCTATGGCGACTACGAAGGCGATGGCAAGGCTGTGTCAGAGACGGAAGAGGGCGCAGTCGTCGACGTCTTCCGGGTACACGATATCATGTCCCGCAACGCTTTCGGCCCTGGATCCCAGCATGGCGAGGAAGGCGCGCGCAACGCCAGCACCGGTCTTTGGATCCATGCCGCCTACATCAACCACTCCTGCATCGCCAACGCAGAAAAAGAGTACATTGGCGACCTGATGATTCTGCGCGCCGCGCGACCCATCCAAGCCGGAGAAGAAATCTTCCACAGCTACGACGAGTCCCAGGACTACGATGCACGCAAAGCAGCCCTGATGACGACTTGGGGGTTTGAATGTAGCTGTGCGTTTTGTGCCGCGGAGAAGGCGGATGGCCGGGCTGTCCGGGATAAGAGAATGGAGTTGGTGGGCGAGGCGGATGCTTTCGTGGAGAAGACGCCTTGGGCGGGCGCGAAGAGACTTACCATTAGGAAAGCGCAGCGTCTTGCGCAGTCGATTGATGAGACATATGATGGCGAGAGGTACAAGGATCTTCCACGGACTGCAGGGGGGAGAATTCAGGAGTGGCTGGCAAAAGCAAGTCCACGGAAATAGGTGTGTAGTTGAGGTAATGTAGTCATTTGTGATTATGGTTTCTGGGAGGCTTCACGGGCCTAGGATTTATATCACGGAAATGATGATCTCCTCATTTATAACGATTTTCCATGTGTGTCAAGAAACTGAGTCAGAAGATAACGGGAAAGTGGACGCCTACGCCAAACGTGAACTGTGCGTTGTGTGATTTCCAAACCAGACCCCCGCACGACATCCAGGTATCCTTTATACGGCAGACTCAAATCTCACAATACAATCACCACAATGTTTAACAATGCGTTCGTTTTTATCCATTCCGGAGTCTGGGTGTTCTCCGGTCAATCGCCTTCAACAACCGATGACGCTTCTGATGAGAGACCAGCCTTCAAGCTACCTCGAAAAGTTTTGATAGTGTTTTCGATCGACAACTGTCTCTTGAAAATGTGCACGAGAGAATCTTCGTTGGCACCCCAGAGAACTTTTGAACATGGTCCCTCCAAGATGGATGGGACTCGACCCATCCCGCGACAGCAGACTCTCCCAATAGAGCCTCGAATTCCCCTCGATTGCGAGATCACGAACGTGATAATTGATCCAGCCAAGACCAAGCTTCTTATTATCGATATGCAAAATATAACTCTGAGTAGATCGTTTGGTTGGATTGGGGGTTAACGGAAGATGAATTGAGAAGAGTGACGCCAGTGGAGGTGAGAACATTTGGACTCAGAGCCAACAGCGACAAACCAGATTATGGCCTATCTCAAAGGCAAGGAGTTCGAGCAGACCCCGAAACCTTTCTTCGTTGCGGCGAACATCCTCAACTGCAAAGCGCTCTCGGGGCTGATCTCAGAAAGGCCAAGCTGGAAGACGGGACAGAAGTAGACGCAGAACGAAAGATGATGAGAGGCACATGGAACACCAGCCTTCATGAACCCCTTCCTATCGTCGAAGTCTTGTGATGCCGCATGATGTTGTAGAAGGAAGGTGCTGGATATGTTGAGAGGCTCCAAGATAGAAGATGCACTCTTTTGGGACTAGTTTCAATCAAGCTCAGGTAGCGCGATGCTAGCCTTGTGAACTGCAGGGTGTGGCTGCTATAGTGGGATCGGCGGATTGCATGGGTAGGTGAGGATCATACACTAGACAACCTTGGACATGGGTAACCTCTGGCCGGGCGAAGAACAGTGCTAAATGTATAAACCTGGCGCACTTGCAACATAGAAGCACTAAACATATGAGGTCCTGTATTTGTTGTGAGCGTTAGTCAGAAAATAATTCGTGCAGTCACCGAATGAAATATATCTCACACATAGTAGTGGGTACGAACTTCAAGTAGAGAAGAGCAGGCTGAGAAGATGAAGGAACGGAAAGTCCACCACCTCTCAAAGATTTCACATGAGTGACCAATTGGGGGTTATGATAAGCTCGTGGATTGCAATGAACACATATCGTCATCTGCCTTATGTTCCCAGATCCATGCCAAAGAGAAAATGTCGGATCTAACCAAGCGCCAGTAAGAGCGAATCTTTCACTCTCAAGTCGCCATATCGAACCCTTTCTATCCCAGTGACATTATAACCCAGAAACCCGCCACCTTATCAAATCGTGAAATGACACCCATATAACGCCGAAGCCATGCTGATGAGCCGAATTGTGCGTATTCCAAGGGGACAATCTTCGGGGGAAGAAGTGTCGAGGAAAGTAGCAGGCGGCTGCGCAGGGTCCACCTAGGTGCAGCAACAGCCGTTCGGAACGCAGTGGCAAGGTCCGTCCCAACCCTATAAATCAAAATTAGCTTCGAGTAACGTGGAATTGAAAGGTAATTCAAGCTGAGTGTGTACTTACATCGCAAGGGCACTCGACACAGGGAGCCAGGACGTGGGTAAGTGAGCCATTGACGGCGACAGCGACGTCCTTGAAGGAGCGCTTGAGCGAGTCCTAAATATGCGTTAGCAAGATGAACGTACCTGAGTGGGCAAGTGAGGTAGTCAGAAGGGTGTATGAGGTAAACGTACAGTTCCAGGGACAGCTACAGCTGCCATGGTGAAGAGCGCGCCGATGAGAATGGTGATCTTCATGTTGACTTGTTGACTTGTTGTTTGTTTGAAGTATGTGAGAGACTGTTTCGAATTTCCAAGTATGTTGAGTGAGGCGGTTGAGCGATAGCAGGATGTGTGTAGAGAACAGTATCTGCGTTGTGGCGGGGGATTTGGGATACTTATAGGTGTAGGGGGGGATAATTGGCCGCTAGTCTTTCACCTGAAGCTCAGGTACTCGGGCCCACAATTCCCCTGGTAATCAAGCACGGGGCCCGAGGGACGGTATCCACTAGCTTAGTCGATTGCCAGATACTTTTACCAGCAACGCGTTTCACACTGGTATCACGAAAGAGGATTCTGGTATTTGGATTAGGAGTTATAAAATCTTGCTTCTGACTGGATGGAGGCATCACAAGACCTTCTGTTCTCGTGTATCGAATCGAGACAAGGTCTCAGTGGTCGAACTTGGCTTCCCTGTGGCCTGAAGCCGTGCCCGCCTCGCCCTTTGCATGTGCATTCGCTGTATGCTCCTTGATTAGCTTCAGTGGTCGATACTCTGCATTCCACATCTGCTCGCGGATCCACTCTTCTAGATCATCATCATTTGTGGGAATATCCTTCTCCTGCGCAAGGTCATCTTCGATAGCTTTCTTGATTACACTCTTTGCGATCTGGACACTGATCTCTCTAACGTTCTCGACGTCGGGTAAGAGACCGGCTCCTGAATTGTTGACCACTGGAGCAGCTGAAGCGAGAGCCTTGACGGCGGCGACGAGGAGAGCGGGAGTCATCAGGCGCGTGCGACTGAGAATTGCGCCGAGACCAATTCCAGGGAAGGTCACAGAGTTGTTGCACTCGGCTAGTAACCATCAGTAAACAGACATTTCAGGTTCAAGACAAGACTTACAGATTTCATACTCCTTCCCATTGTGCTTCACTGGTGGGAATGGTGAGCCTGTAGCCACCAGGGCCTTTCCGTCGGTCCAGTCATACAGATCTTGCGGCTTTGCTTCGTGCAGTCTAGTTGGGTTCGATAGCGGGAAGATCACAGGGCGCTCCACATGCTTCGCCATCTCTCGAATAGCGTCTTGCGTGAATGCTCCTGGTTTGGTAGATGTGCCAATGAGAACATGCGGCTTGACTTCCTTGATGACTGATAGAAGGTCGCCGTGTTCCTTGCCTTCCCACTCTTTGTCGGCTCTTGCGTAAGGGAGCTGGGCTGGGGTGAGCTCGTTTTTCTTGCCCTGCAAGAGAAGCCCTGGTTTATCAACACACCTGGCAGTATGTCAGTTTCCAGTAACGAGTTCTAGCAGTTGGTGGCAACGCACCAGATCTGACGTCCTGCCTCTTCTACAGACTTTCCGGTATTCTGCGCAATGGCATCCTTGATCTGATCGGCAATACCAGTACCTGCTGATCCCGATCCAAACATAACGAACCGAGCTTCGTCCCAATTCACGCCGCTGACTTTGAAAGCTGCCATGATAGCGGCAAGAGTGACACACCCAGTCCCCTGTACATCATCGTTGAAGCAGGCGATCTCGGGCGTGTATTTATCGAGAATTCTCCGCGCGTTGTTCAATCCAAAGTCCTCGAAGTGGATGTATGCTTTCGGGTACCGCTTCCTGCAAGCGCTGACGAATTTATCAACGAAGTCGTCATATCGCTCGCCTTGAACGCGGCCTTTAGGCAAGCCAAGATACAGATCATCATCAAGCAATTCCTTGTTCTACATGTTGTTAGCAAGATCAAAAAGCGACTGAGCATTGCCAACACTCACATCGGTACCACAGTCGAGTACTACGGGCAACGTTCTCGACGGATGGATGCCAGCGCATAGCGTGTAGATGACCAATTTAGCCACACTGATTAAGATCGCTCCAACTCCCTGGTCTCCGATACCCAAAATCTGCTGTCCGTCGCTCACGACTATCACATCGATGTCCTCGGGATTGCCCCACTGTTTGATGTCGTCCTCTATACGGTCGGCATCATCGATATTAAGGAAACAGCCTTCAGACCTTCTGAAGAGCGTAGAGTACTCGGCTATGGCATCACCTTCGGTCGGGGTGTAGATGACGGGGAACATTTCCTTGAGGTGGTCGAGAATGAGCTGCAACGGGTCAGCGATGACTCGATTCGATGAACCTATTGCCTTCATGCCTTGTAGTATAGGACGTGATTTTGCTCCTTCAGACTCGCCATGAAAGTGTTCTTCGCGAGATCGTTCGGACGAGAGCTGTACTGGGCGTACGCGCGCCTGACCTGCTCGTCAAGGGTTTGCATGTTTGAAGGTAGGAGGCTATGGAGTTTGAAGGTATCACGCTCTTCTTTAGTGAAGGCCGAGCCCTTGTTGAAGTATGGCGTCCGGAGGAGCGCATTTCCCTGGCTTCTATATCAGTGTCACATGGTTCGACTTCATGAGGGTGAATGTACGGTCAAGGTTGTCTCTTGTGGCCCGGACGTCGAGAGGGGCAAATGCCCGAATTTGCTATTATCTTGCGGCTTCGAGGTGGTAGACATGCTTGTGGTGTGCTGTTGAACGCGTGGGGGAGATGAGATAGATGACCGTTGCAATGCTCGAACTGAAATTGAAGGTCTCAGGTGCGATAACATGGGAGTCTAGTAAGCACTTATTATACGATTAAGAGCAAAGTTTCAGTCCGCAGTGCCGAAGCTGCCCGGATTTCCATTATTTGTTATCTAGTACCTCCAGCAGTACAACAGGTCGCGCGTCGCGTTTTTCGGCGCGATGACGTAGGGACCGGTTTTCATGCCCCACCAACGCCTTATCGATACGCCCGGGTATAACAGGCCGAATAGTCCTAAGATTAGCCATCTGTACTATGTCATTGACATCTAGACACGCAGCACGATTGTGCGATGACTAAGTGGTAGATTTATTACTTGTGAAATGCCTATGCTTGTCTAGTGCAGCTTGTACGCGCAAATCGTCGCGACAGACTCGCGAATCTGCCACCCCTCATATCTCTTAGCTCTCGAAGCCGTATCGTTGCGTGGAAAACAGTACTACAACAAGGTGTGTACGAGAAGAGCTTATGGAAGAGAAGAAACGATAAAATCATATTTGCGTTGCAAAGCTAAGCGTAATAGCCTCTTGGATATTGCAATCTCCGACTATCTCAACCACTAAGGTCTTCATAGCTCAGCATTCTACCTGTCGTACCTGTCGTACCTGTCGCTACCTTGGTCGAGGACTAGTGAGATTATTCCCGATAATTAGTTCAGTACCGCTGATTACGTGCATATTGAGGGGTGAGAGTGAGGATCTTTCAGTGTTATTTATTCCGTGAAAGGAGTCGAACATAGGAGATCCTCAAACAAAGGGGAGGAAGACCTTGTTCAACGGGTTTGATGGAAGTAGGATGCAACAAGAGTAATTTTGGCGTAGAATAGTGTGATCAATTTAAATCTAGTGATGTTTTGAGTAGGTTCGCTAACACTCTGCAGTATCTCAATTTCCTGCATATCCCTTGTGGAAGCTCAAAGATTGCCGCTTACCCCAACTCTTTGTGGGATTCCGGATACAGAAGTTGTGGCTGCCTTCTTTGTTCACAGCTCGCTTTCTTCAACCTCCTTCATTAATACTGGCATTACCATTCTTCGCGCTCTTAACAAATACCTCTAATTGACACCCCTTTCGTTCAAGATTTCTTGGATACTTCTACAAAATGCCCGTGATATCCGACTACTACACACGCAGCCAAGCTTACAAAAACGCTCGTAGACATGGAAGCATCAACCACCCGCAAGACATCTCGTTTCTTGATGAATGGTATGTCTATAGCGAACCCGTACCTACCCGCACCGCGCGACCGATACAGCGGGCCAGCAGAGTTATAATAGCCAAAACTATTGAGCCTGAGTTCAAAGAAGAACGATATAATTTTCTTGATCTCATCATGCGCAAAGCGAGGCCCTGTCTTGTCAGTAGTCCCCAAAGTCCATGTCACGTGTCCCAAGCAAGACACCGATTAATGTTGTAAAGGCTGCAGCACTAGGCTTATACCTTATTTTGCTACTTCTCTCCCGAGCACGGTTCCTAGCTGCGTTCTTAATCTGCGTGCCGGCCATCTCCTACACCATGGGTCCTTCTCGTTCAACGTATTACCTCGAAAAGATCATGCCTAATGCACGAAACGCAACGCAAAGTCTTGATTTTGAGGCATTAGAGAGAAGACAAAGCATCAGTGGTACGTCCGTTATTTTGCCGCATTCATGCCCTCAAAAACTCATGACTCCCTAGGCACACCGACTAGACACATTCCTGCTACTCCGGCGAGTTGTGATCTACCGGATCTCATCGACCAGAGAACATGTTTAACCGACGCGCTCAACGCAGAAGACCCATGCCGAGGCAAAGATCCAATCTATCAAAACAAAAGGACGATTAGAGAAGCGCTTGCTGATACCTTACCCCGACTGTATCACTCAATGAGAAAAGCACTTGGGTTCATTTGGAATTTGGTCAAGTTCCAGGTGCAGTGCAGTTTGCTCGTGACTGCATTCAACCTGGCTGCCGCCTTCCATCGCGGCGATGTCATGGACCTCCAATGGGTTCCTCACTTCCCAACTTCTCTGGAATCACTCAAAGAATTGACAATCAATTGGGAAACCCCGGCCAACGGATACCTCTTGCATATCTACAGCTTCTGGTGGGGATGGATTCATGGACTCGGTCGGCTTGTTCTTTGGAAACTACCAAAGGCTTTAGGCAGGGTGCTGTGCAACGTTGCGGTTAAGGGTGTGATGATTTCTGGGGAATATGTTGGACGAAGTGGCCCGGGGAAGGATATTACCGACGCTTGGGGACATGGCCTGCATCCGGTGATGCGAGAGCGCATGGGTGGGAAGGGCATATAGTGCACCTGAGAAGTCCTCAGGAGTTGGGTGGTTGCAAAAGGCGAACGAAGTTCGTTCGTCGAACACGGCGCATGGATAGTCTTGAAGGACGGGGACGTGAAGTTGTATTTTCAATCATCACTCAGCTAAACATTCAAGTGGTTTTGCTGTCACAATTCAATATCAATCTCTTACCACATAAATTGTCGATATTCCTAACAGTTTATAACTTAATCATCTCTAAGTCTCCATCTTCTGTGACTGATCACGCACCTATCTAAGACATAATGCTCGGTATCAAACCCACGGTGCTAGCCTTCATTTCCGTGGCATCTGCACACTCATGGCTACACTGCACCGACCACAACAACACCGGAATCCGGCCAGAGATGGAAAAGGCTGCAGCGGAGACGCCGTATCGCCAGATAGATCCACTGTGAGTAGCCAATTCCTATAAAGAAGCACGAAGTTCAGCGAGGCCGAGCGCCGTATATCTAATTAGTATTCGCGCAGCATGCCCTGGTTTGCCGACCTTTGCCACGGCTGGCCCCGTGCAAAGCAGAACCCCGGAGATTGGGTTGATGAATCTAGCCACTATATCTGGGATCTCAGTCTCGCCGCTAGTAAAGGCGATACCCATGCATGTCACCCCAGTCAACGTACTCCAACTTACCACCTCACGCCCAAAGACCCCAAACTCGCCTTCCATTCCGCCCCCGCACCCATGGCTACTGCAGCTGCAGGTAGTGAGTTAAAGCTCATGTTCGGCGGCAATGGTCATTCCCGTGGACAAAACGCTGGCGGGAACGGGGATGCAGGACGGGTGAGTGTATACTGGAAGGGTGAGGCTGAAGCCGATATTATAAACGTGAGCGAGTTTACCGAAGAGTATAAAGTGCAAGAAAATGGATTTGCCGAGGAGAGCTTTGCATGGCCGTTGGATAAGACTGTTGTAGCCCCACCTGCTCTGAAGGATAAAGGTAACTGGATGACATTGAAGCTGTGAGTAATTCCCACCTCCAGTCAAATTTGGACTTTGGAGTGTAATCGAGATCAAGAAGTGCTTTGCTAATTTTAATATAGACCTGAATGTATGGCCCCGGGACGACACATGATGGTCTGGGTGTGGTCGTATGGGGGAAAGCCAAAGTGGACTACTTGTTTCGATGTCATGATCCAGTAAGAGGTAAACTACGAGGATGTTGCGAGCCTGTGGTAAAGTGACAAATTCTTGTCACATTTAGTTTCATTCAAAGCTTAGGGGGTGCTTTGTGGTAGATCTAGTGTCACACGAGATTTGTTTCGGAATGTTCTTGAAAGAGCGAAGTTCAGTGTGCCTCACTTGTCGACATGTGGATAATAGCCAAACCGCATTCCGCCAAGATACACAAGCACAAACCTGTCAGCTTTGGGCTATGACTCCCAACGCGCGAAACCTTGCTACTTACGAACACACCGATAAGACATCTTAATAGCCCACGGAGTCGGGTACGAAGCATTTCGAGTAGCATAGCATACTCAGTCCCTAGTCTACACCATCACCCCTTTCATAGGCTTTCCCGTACTCCAATCTCCCAAAGCAAAAAGTTGACATTCTGCTCAAAAAGCTCGTCCTTGTGAAAGCTACCACCAATAGCGTAGTCGAGCAACAGTCGCACAAAGTAATCGTCCTGCCGTCTCACAAACTGACAGAACTCAACACGGTCCCGCCCCAACGTAGATTGCACATAGCACTGGTTCATCGTGAACTGGTCTGCCTGTGCAATGCTTTCGGCATCCTTAATGGAAGGGCTGACGACGCGCGACAAGATGGGCAATAAGGCAACAGGATTTGGAGGACCGTCGAGTGACACCAGATACGCGAAGATGACCTGATTATCGATCCGAAGGTTTTGTAGCGATTGATTGATCCGATCTTCTTGTTCCTGACTCATGCGTATGTCGGCTAATACGACGATAGTCCTGGATTCCAAACGCTTTCGGTCGACGTGATACGCTTCTATAGAGCTCGTCTGTGCGCCCTTCCGTGTCTGCGAGTCTTCCTCCACACCATGCACATCAATCTTGAGTGCTGGCCTTGCGTTGATTGAGATCAGATGTCGATTCAAATAGGCGACGAAGTGGTTACGAAGGCTGTGAGTGGCCGTAGGAACGTAGCCGGATAGAACGGCAACCGTAACGTCGTCCGTCGGGAGCTGATTGCTCGTCTTAGTCGCAGGTCGCGTAGACTGTGTAGCCTCAAACCCAGGGCCATGGGCAATGAAGGCTTTAGCGAGGTCCGTGCCGAGACGGTGCGCTAGCTTGTCATCGCCAAATACATAGCGCTGATAGTCCTCGATGGATAACGGAAAAGTCAAATTATCCGCGCTCGTGATTTTGTGAAGAGAAAAGACATGGTGAACCATTGAACCTCGAAAGGACCGCTCCGGCGCAGAATCGAAATAGTGTTGCTGAAAAGCCCATGGGCGAGCATTTGAGGTCCCCTCGATATGATCTTGGCAACCATGTACCGTGTTCGTGTAGCATCCAAAATGCCAAGAAGGGGGCTGTGTAAAGAGATCTTTGAGCTATGCCTGGAATTGTGAAGATCCGAGGGGCAAATACCTCATCACCTCATCATACGTCATGTTAGACCAGTCCGAGATGTTCCTGATGGTAAACTACCATACTACTGTGTCGATCAATTTGGTTGCACCGAGATTGAGGAAACTGGGTCCTCACATCGAGCCGCTCCATTGCGCAATTCTAATCGGGGCACCAAAGCGGACGACGAATTTGCCGCTGAGATGCATCTACGCAAAGAGCGGTGACCTCGAGAGCTATCGAGTGCTTAAAAATGTTGCCCCCGCAATGAAAATATGCGACCTTGAACAACGCGCACATGCTCTAGTGCTATATCTGCCGAGAATTCTGCGCGACGTTCCATTCTCTTGAGCAATCATCGTGGTGCTTCGTGCACCTCGAGTCGAATGAACTGACCGTGATGATAAATGGGGGGACGTTTAGCATCGGCAGGATGTCAAGATGATGCACCATCGACAGTGGAAACGAGGACTAGATATGCAAAAAAGGATGCGATGAGTTGTCCTACGTCGATTATGCGGTATAGAGTACCGTGATTGGCCTTGATCGATAAGCAAGAGAACATCGAATCCTGACGAAGGATTTGAAGAGGGTCCGTCCTGCGTGCCGCAGACCACCACGACTTATTTTTGCAGACGTGCCTTATACCACGCTTCGATAGCGACTTGGGTCTCGCTCTTATGACTGGATTTACCAGGTGTCATTATATCCTGGATTGGGCCAATATGAGCCTCTTTGGGCGCACCAACAAACGTCACTTGATTCGCATCGCCACCACCTTCTACCCAGCCTCTCTTCAGCTCTTGTTCCAACTCTTTGATGGAATCCGCGAGCACCTCGTAACTGCGATATGAGATAAAGATACCATTGACAACCTGATGCGACCCGCTCCACCAAGATGCAGGGTTCAGACAAGGTTCAGTCCAAGCATCGCCTGAGACTGGCCCCGGGTCCGCTTCTGGATCGGCGGGATGGGCCTTGTCGAGAAACATAGCGGACCATTTACGGAGACAAATCGGCGACATCATGTCCAATGCCTCATTGTTGAAGCTTGGGTAGTCTGTGCTGAAGCCGGCCCAAGGGCTGTACAGAAGCATTCCGCCCAGCGGCCGCTCAAGATTGACGGCGGTGAAGTCTTCCTTTTCGATCTTGTCCACGTCTTTCGCGAGGATGCTAGCTGCTCTCCTAAAGATTTCCCTATGATTATGTTGATAGTACTTGCAAATGCATGGGCAATACTCCTCCCCTGGGATATAAAAAAGACATTGAACACGCGCATCCGCATCGCTCTTCGATAGCTGATCCTTTAATTTAAGCAAAGTACCCGTCCGTTCCAACTTCGATACATCGCGCTGTGGAAGTAGGGGAACCATTCTTGGATGTCGGTCTTGACAGAACAAGAAGAGTATATTTTATGGGTGGTTGTGGGCGTCTGAAACCAAGAAAATGCCAGATAGAGAGTCCTAGTAGCAAGCGAAGATAATATACTACAAGAGTACGTGCTGACAGAAAGCATGAGCGACATGACCGTGGTTGGCAACCTAATGTAGGCACATTATTGAAATTAAAACTCGGCAAGTACTAAATGGTGCATTAGACCCCTGGCCAACAACACTGAAATGGTTAATGTTGCGTTCAAAAGATCATGAGAGAGCCCGTGCGTCGATGTATGGCTGCGGCACGGTGGGCAGGGATATATTCGAGATCGCCCTTCCAGCCTTCTTCAATTCAGTTTAGGGATATCCAGCAACCCCCATCTCTTGCTTAGTTTGATATCTAACTGCGCACTCGACCGACTCGCATTCCCCTGCCATCATGTAGGCGGCCAATGAAGTGCTCACGTTTCAGGCGCGCAACTTGTAACTGCTAAAGTGAGCTATCAGACTATCAGGTGCAGTTGGGCGAACTGGCTGGTCTGGAGGCAAAGCAGCCACTCCCCTGACCGTAGTGTAGATGATAGTAGGGCAGCTGGAAATTTGGGTCAAACACCACGCATCAAGCTGTTACAATGTCAGATCTTGGTATTCGAAATGGATAGTTGATGTACTTACGAGAAAGGTGTGAGAGCCCGACCTGCCTCGAAAGGACGGCAGGCCGGCAAGCTTGATTTGACACTAAATGCCTACCGTGCCGCGGTGAACTAATTCTCCCTCGTCCAAACCTCTCGTCGTCTTTGGTGATCCCGATTCTGTTCGTGGGCCATGCGAAGCCCTGTCGTATTTATCAATAGGTGGCGATTGCCACTCAATCCTCCATATCCTCGCCCTCGTGTCCAGGACTCCGGCTCCGCGCCCTTGCTGCGCCACGTCCGCTTTGTCTCCGATCGTGGTCTCGCGCGCGTCCCTTGCCAGCTGGCGGTGGTCGCACGAAAGCGAAGTCGACGGTGATGTTCTGCTCGAGGAGTTCTTCGCCGTTGGCGCCCTTGATGGCAGCTTTAGCTTCGTCGAGGGTGGGATATTCGATGAGGACGTAGCCCTGCCAATGTTAGCTTTACTCACGTAGGCTACTTTCCTGATTGCGATGGTGGTTCCCAGCATCTTGACTTAGTGCATACCTTGACATATCCTGTCCTGCGATCTAAATTCATGTGCAGATTCTTGATAGCGCCAAACTCGCCAAACATGTCATGCAAGTCCTCTTCTGTCGCCTCCTCGTGCACATTCGTGACTATGATGATCCAGCCTTCGATAGAGCGGACTGCTGTTGCGCCAGCGGCTGTGCGCGCATCGCTGGCTTTGGGGTCGGCGGACGTGGGCTCGGCCAACTCGAGTTGCTCAGACTGCTCAGCCAGGTCGGGTTGATCGATGTCCATTTCTGTGTCGGCCATGGCGGATTGGTGGGTAATTGGGTAGTGGGTGCGGTGGTAGGGGTGGATGCTGGGGGAGAGGTGAATGTCGCGGGTGGTTGTTAGCTAGGGTGTCGCAGAAAAGTCGGGTTGCTGTGGGGGAAGCGTTTGCGCTAGGCTGGGTTGCTTTTAGCTGTGCATCTTCACCTGCACCAGAGCTTCCAAGTCTCCACTTCCTTGAGCTTATCATCTCACTTCTACGTCAGGCGACGCATGCTTGGGCACCGCGGCTTTCTCAACGGTTTGCAGGTGTCCGGTTTGTTGGATGCCCCTAGAGCAATAAAGATGCCGAACAACGTCCTACCCGTCACGGACTACTATAAGCTAACCACCGCCCCGCCGACGTCACCCTGAGGTTTTCATTTATATCATAATCCGCATCCACAAAAACATCCACAGACCAATTTTTGACAGGCATCCTCCACTATGCTTCACTATCTTGACAGGCTCGTCTTCTACGCCGATCCCACCCTTCCCGCTTTCTCCTCACTCGCATACCTGTATTTTCTGATCTTAGCCTCCGCTCTACTCATCTCATTCCGCTCACGACAATATCAACAAGAGCAAACCGCACATTGACATGGCGGAGTTCACAACAGTACGAGAATTCATCCCCTTCTTCGCGTACACAAAACTGAGTATGAAAGATTGCCATGATCGGGTGCGGCAGTATGGGAGGAGGAATGGCGTTACTCTTCGCAGAGGATGGCATGCAAGTCGCGCTTTCAGACCCTTCAGAGGAAGCAATGGACGCGGTAATTGCAAAGGCTGAGCAATCAGGGTACAATGGCAGGATGACGAAGCACAAAGGGACGTTTGCATGAATTCAGCACAAGTCGACAGTACGAAATCCACTGCTAACTACCTCACAGACTACGATTCACTGTGCAAATCCTTGTCATCGCCCCGTCTCCTCATCTTCTCCTTACCACATGGTAATGTCGGCGACAAAGTCCTCGAGGGACTGCTACCCCATCTGTCTCGCAACGACATCGTCCTCGACTGCGGAAATGAGCACTTCGCCAATACCGAACGCCGCCAGGAGAAGGTCAAAAATACGGGCATTAGATACGTTGGTTGCGGTGTCAGCGGAGGCTATCAGGCTGCAAGAGCTGGGCCATCCATGTGTCCTGGTGGCGATGTGTCTGCGCTGAAGGAACTTCTGCCGTTGTTGGAGAAGGTGGCAGCGAAAGACAAGGCCGAGAAGCCATGCGTTGGCATAATCGGAAAGGGTGGATCCGGGCACTACGTCAAGATGATCCACAATGGCATTGAGCATGGCATGATGAGTGCTATCTGTGAAGCGTGGGGGATCATGCGCAAGATGGGCATGGAGTATGAAGAGATTGGCAACGTCTTCTCGCAATGGAACTCAGAAGGCGAACTGGTATGTGTTCCGAACACGTTGGATCAGAAACAGTGCGTCTAACAACATCATGAACAGAGAGGCACATTTCTCATCTCCATTGGAGCCGACCTCTCACACAAACGCGAGCCCGGCAACGATGGCAAAGCCAAGGAAGATCCAAACAACCACCCTCTTGTACTCTCAGAAGTTCTAGACAAGGTAGTCCAAGATGTGACAGGCGAAGAAGGCACAGGTATCTGGTCCAACACCGAAGCGATCGAGCTTCACGTCCCAGCCTCCACACTCAATGTCGCTCACGCACTGCGTCTCGCATCCGCCTTCCGCGGCGATCGCGAAAAAGCAAACGATGCGTTTGATGGGGGCTTCCCGCCCGCTCAAATGGATATCAATGATAAGACAGCTTTCCTTGAAGACTTGCGGAAAGCTACGTACGCTGCATGTCTAGCAAGCTACATACAAGGCTTTAATATCATCGCCCGGGCAGACCAAGAACACAAGTGGGAAATCGATTACTCGCAAGTCTGGCAGATTTGGCGCGCAGGCTGTATCATCCAAGCAGACTACATCTCGGACGAGATCCTCGCTCCAGTACTCAAGTCGAAACCATCTTCAGATGACCTCAACCTCAACTTCTCATCGCGCGTTGCCCAAGATGTGCGGCGCTGTTTTCCTGCGCTTCGGCGCGTGGTTGGCAAAGCAATCGAAACAGATCAGGTTGTTCCGGCAATAAGTGCAACACTAGAATACTTCAAAATCATTAGTGGTACGGATTTGCCGACATCGTTCTATGAGGCTGAGCTGGATTACTTTGGTAGTCACATGTTTGATAAGAAGGGCGACGGGGATAAGGAAGTCAAGAAGCCGATGGAAGGGAAGCATCATTTCGAGTGGAAACCTGCGACGAGTCAGAAGGAAGTCTACGGGAAGAACTATAAGATCTAGTGTAGCAACTTCGCATTTTCCAATTGCACATTTATACAACTTTGAGGATTGTCACTGTGAGCGCGGCTTATTGAGAGTGGTAATGATGCTCATTTAGAATACATCCATGATTCATCAATATCTAGTGCGTTTGTTCGCCAGCGGAAGCCTCTTCGTGCTTGTAGTGAACATTTGGTCAACTAGCAACCGCTTACAGCTCACTGCGTTCGCTCTTAAATTCTACACCAAATTAGCACGATATTTCAATCAAATGTAGTCCAGGACATCACTCACCCTCAAGCCAATCAACGACAAAATTCTTCAAAAATTGCTGCGCGTACACGACCTGTGGCGGGGGAAGTGTCGGCGTAGTCTCATTCTCAAAGACGCCATTCTCCTCCCAATGATGAACACCATGGCTAATCAACAGCCACGGCTGCTCCGTCGTAGTATTCTTATGCTCCGGGTACCAGAGCGGGGTTGCGGGCCGCCATGGATCAGCATTGCCTCCAATGTGGGCAAGGCGCGGATAGTCGACGCTGTAGTTGCCGTACTTGTTGACCTGCCAGATATCTGGGGGCGTGGTGATGTTGAACTGCGCGCGGCAGAAGAAGGTCAGATATTCGAGATCGAGGGTGCGTGAAACGAGGGGCTTGATATCCGGTGGCGTGTTGCCGGTTTGAATGTAGCCCCATTCGGTGCAGACTTGGTAGCTCCAGCTGGTTGAACCGTAGTCTTCGAGGGAGGTGTATGATTGCAAAGCGGTTGCGTTCAGCTGTGTGAAGTACGCGTCTTGCGTTTTGTTAGAGCGTCGCCAGCCACCGAGTTGGGTTATGTTGAGCCAACTAATCGCGTTCAGGGTAATGTTTTCAACATGTATATCAGAGTCATAGCCTGCTGCAGAGACGAGTTTCGAGACGGCAGGACGAAGGTTCTCGGCCAATGGCTTGTCTGAGGTAATGTTGTTGCAGTAGTTGAAGAAAGACGCAGAGTTTTCTTCGGGATCCCAGTTGGTACTCTGCCAGCCGGCGATGCCAGTCAGTTGGTTCGCAAAGTCGCGGTTGTCTGTGACATTGCCCAGGCCGAAGGCCTCCTTGAGTGGCTGAACCTTGTCCGAGTTGGTCTTGTTCAACAGGATGTTATCAATCACATCGATGAGAAGCTGAGTGCCCTTGACGCAGTCTGGGGGGCCGAACAGTCTGACGGGCTCGAAGTACTGCCAGTAATCATAAATGGAAACTGTTACTCCAGAAGATGAAATAGCACCCCAGAACGTATCCGGGTATACAACACGTAAGAATGCAGACTGGGCTCCCGCGTACGAGCCGCCATATACAACCCAAGGCGTCTTGGGTGCAGTAAGATCTGCATCGACACCCTCAAATTTAACGTTCCTAGCAAAGTAGTCGATTTCCGCTAGAGCCTGCTCAGTCGACAAGAACCGCAAATTCTTTGTCGTGAGATCTGAAGTCGGGAAACTCTTGCCATAGTAACGGTGCTCAAGGATAACACCTAGCCCATTGGTCGCTTTGATCACCTGGTGAACAATGCCTTTCTGCAGAAATGGGAGACGGCCCGCACCATCCGTTTCGCCGCCGAGGAGAACGAAGACGGGACCGCCGGGCTTATAGTAGGTGGCGTCAAACCAGTACCTCAAGTTGAAAGTTCCGTTGCTGTGTGGCTCATATCTTGTCTCGTTGTGGAAAAAGTCAACAGGTACTGAGATGTTGCGCTCAGGATAGAGGAGTGTAAGATCAGGCTCGTCTGCGCGCTTGTGTAGACTGCGATGCGTTCCTACAGCTCTGCCCTTAGATTTGTCAGCTCGTCGTCAATGAAGGCATGGATTGCCCAACCCAGTATGTCTAGATACTTACTAGATTCTCCCTCTCCCCTAAATTTCTCGGTGGAGTTCGCAAAGCAGCGACCTCGAGGGCGCACAACAGGCCTGCAATGGCAATTGAGAAACGCATGGCGACAGTGAAGCGATGCTGAATCCTGTGCAAAGCGAGGCACGACAGGCGTCCGACTAAATACTCACGCAACGTTCAGGTACGCGACGGATGACGACGGCCATTAAGCTACTATCCGGTCGACCAGGGTAGCTTCATATCATGATCCATGCTGCCATGTTTAGGGAAGGTGGATAAAGTAGTTCGGTACTACGAGGGATGGCCCCATGCTCGAAGGAGAAGGAGATTTGGAGATCGGCGGAGCGGGACCGTTGACGGTGGCGGGCAGCAAGCTATTCGGCTGGCTTTACGAGCCGCAGGATTTAAGGCCATCGTTGCGTGCAAGGGATAAGTAAGTCTAGCGCGTCAATGTTATCGTGTGCTGGAGTGACGTGCTATTGCTACGAGGTTGGGACAAGGGAGGGTTGTTGCGCCCCGCTTCCCAAATCATGGGTAAAAGCAGCCAATCGGACAGGTCTGGATGGTGCTTCGACATCCACGCACGCAAGCCCACGACGACGACCCACAGTAGCAGTCTAGAGAGCGAACATGATCTGTTGATCATCTCTACTGAATGATGAAGACTCGCAGAAATTGTCACGTACGAAAGTCCTGAGGTCAGTCTGTAGTGACGATGAAATATCAATACGGCTGAACTCGCTAATACACTAGAGGTGAAGAAGGCGACGGGTGGCCCGGCTGCTTCATGTTTCCCCATGAAAGTTGATAATTCCCAATGTTGACGCGCTTCATAGTAGATGGAACCAGTCTGCAACCACTGACCCATTATTGATGTCCTCTTCCATGCTTCCCTCGTAATACATGAGCCCATGAACAAAGGCTTCACCGATGACTTTATAGTACTTTCTCGCTTCATCCTTCTTAGGGTCAACTTTTCCATCCCTCGGCGGCCTGGTATACCATTGTCTCAAAATGAACGGGGTCTTGCCTCCAAAGAGGATACAGACTACGTCGTCCCTCTTCATGTTCCATGGGCCTAGACCAAACCTTCCGTTCCTGGTGACGAAGAAGCGACGGTTAGTACAAGCATATTCCATTGTCTTATGATATTCCTTACCTTCCTCGTCATGTGGAAGTTTCTGACCAGGAATGATTCTCTTTCTCCATTCCAGTGGCTCGGTTGACCAGCCGTCCGAAGTTATAGTGCGATTGAACGCCAGTCTCGATTCTGATTCTGGGTCTTCACTTAGAAGACTACCAGCAACTCGCTCCCAGCTGCGTAAAGCCGTGTCCCAGTCTATGAGGCGGGCCCAAATCTCTTGATGAAAGCGCCCTGTCCTATCGACTGTATCGATTGTGTACCCTTGAAGAGAGAGCGTTCGTCGTGGGATATCGACCTGGAAGATAGGCGGATGATTCCCCGAAGCTGTGTAACCCTTGTTAAGGGGTGGATGAATCGATAGTGCTGGAGCGTCAAATGACCCGTCATGGGTGAAGCGCCAATCACGGCACCAGCTCACGCCTTGCAACTCGGCTCCGGCTGCTAAAACAACAGCGTTCAGGGTTCCGCTGTGCTCAAGACAAGAGACTGTAAATTGTAAGAAAACTTCCTCAGGGGACTTGTTGTAATCCGGTACGATAGGCGAAGGGTTTTCCGCCTTGAGTAAGCCAAGGAGAGCGTAGATTTTGTCAGATCCAAAGGTTGCTGCTTGAAATCGAAAGCGGACAGCAAGTCCAAGGAGTGTGTTCGATATCGGCTCATTAGCTATGTCTTCCATTCGTAGATCTTGGATATTAGCGGCGAACAGTGGGGCGTCAAACATGCCAAATTCATCGTTATGAAAAGGTGTGTAAGTGAGCAACTTGTGGAGATCCTCCCACTCCACTTGATGCGGGCCTCGCTGCATGACAACATGACGTCCAACTACAACCTCTTGTATGATCCAAGCCCTACCCCACCATTCGTATTCCAAGATACGGTCTAGTTCTCGTCGAATTCTCATCCAGTGAGGCAGTTTAGTACGGGTTTCCCAAAGGGTGTTCATAGCGTCTGTGTCGGCAGCGCTAAATTGCCGCACCAGGTCAAGTGTTGGAGAGGTCGCTTTGGTGTCCTTGCCTAGCCAGACAATAACCCTAGAGGCTTTTGCGTATATTTCTCGCATCATCCGTACCTGAAACCCCTTCTCTGAGTTGTCATTTTGATTGATGCACACGGCATCGATCCATATGAGTCGCTCGTACTTCGGATGGCGCAATTCCGTGAGAGCGCTATATAGGTTGTATGTAATGTAGAATGGCCTTCCATCGACCTGGATGGAATATGGAACCAAGGTAACACCCCAAACATAGCTCAAAGCCTCAAAGTCCATGCTTGTCAAGGGACCACTCATAAGATCGCACTGGATCTTGTCGCCAACGTTTCCTGCTCTCAACCTAACCACCCTGATTGATGGCGGGTCATTGAAGAGTTGGGAATAAACCTTCGAGTTCTTGATGAGCATCCTCTTCCTTACCCTCGGGTAAATGACTTCGAAGATTGGATACCTGTATAAGGTGAACCATAGCACGAACAGCATGAACACCACTAGAGCCCATATCCCCAACACCATCACAGTGGTAACTAGCAATGTAGTCAAGCTTGCGATGAAAAGAGCGGAAATAATGATGAGGGTCAAAACCACTATCAAGTTCCCAATCAGAAACGCTATTATCATGTACGTGTATTTCGTAGGGTGTGAGCCGGTTGAGACGTACTGGCGGAAAGCATCTCGGTTTGCCAAGCCAAGTAACTCAACAGCGTAGACATCCCAGAGATCAGAAGATTTGTCCAAGATGGACATGAAAAGCATGAACGCGTTGAGAATATCAATCCTGTTCTGATTGAGCTGGTGAGAAACATAGGCCCAATTCAGCCTTGTACCAATTGGATACTGGGCCCAGAAACCTTTCGATACGTTCCGGATCATGCGAGACATCGTTGTTCAATCACAAGGTTGTGCGGATCCGTGACAGAATGGGTGTGGGCCTGTCGCGCTTGTCTCCCCGCTGGTGCTCTGCTGCTGGTGGTTGCTTGGCAAGCACGGCCGTCTCCCAATTTCTGAAAATGCGCACTCGGTGAGCGTATTGACCTGAGTTGAGCAGCGACTAAGAATTAAACCGGATTCTACAGACCGGGTATAGAAGTGAGACCAAAGCAAAGGGTGAAGCTGTGCGGGATTACGCTGACAGCTGGCTGAGCGTTATATTTAGCCCCCACTAGGCGCCTGACAGTATTGACACATGTTTGGTGCTGATCCCAAACGCATATATCACAGTGGTTCTGGTAGCCTGGCATTTGGTACATTTAGTTGATGTAAGGAGTCAGAGTAGATGACGGAGCTAATCGTTTCAGATTGGTAAATACGCGTTAGATAAAGGTTGAAGCTAGCCTATTTCGTATTCGGATTCCCACATATTTTATTGACATTTAGCGAAGCAACGCCCAGAGTGCTCAACATCTTCAATAATACACCCGCTACACTTTCGCTTCAACACTAAGGATTAGCTAGCAAGCTCAGCTGGTTCTACTCGCCCATCGTTGAAGTCTTTCCTTTTCCCATGTCGGTCGAGAACCAGCAAAAGATCATGATGACCGGAAGCCGAAGCTATATCATACGGCGTCTTTCCTTCGGTATTTCGTTGGAAAGGGTTTGCACCTCGTTCACACAGAAACGAAGTAATGACAGCGCGAAGGTTTAGGTCCCACTTGTATGAACCTGTCCAAAAGGTGACAGCCTGATGCAGCACCGTTCGGCCGGTCGTCTCGAACGGCATATTTACGTCCCACCCATGTTGGAGTAAGATACCGAAGATTGCAACTATCTGGGTCGGAACCAATTCCTTCTCAGAGTCTGACATGGTTTTCATCAACCATGAGCGGCTCATCAATTGGCCGGCCAACGTTGACCAGGAATCCAGCTCGGACGGCTTCGCGCCATTTGCAACCAGAAATCTAACCATGTCTACTCGCCGAGCACCTACAGCAAATGTCAAGGGCGTAAGGCTTGTTGTGTACCCATACGGGACTTCGTTGATGTTGAAACCTGAGTCCAGCAGGCGCCGCGCCATATTCATCTCGCCGAAAAGTGCAGCGAAATGCAGCGCTGTTACGCGTTCCGAACGGACACGCTTGCGGAACTTTGATCGCCAAGAATCCTTTTTCTTGCTGAGAAGACTGGCCAAAGCTGCATGATCTCCGTCGCAGACAGCAGTTTCAATTCGATCTCTAGGCTGACAGCCAACCTTGTCGAGTATCTCCTTCCGAGATAGTGATTGGCCCTTGGAGACTTCGCTCTGGCTTAGTCCCATCTCACCAAATGCTACTGGGTCTGCCGAATGATCCTCACTTGGTCTTTCTTTCTTCGTAGATCTCCATTCGCTTACTTCTTCTACCGACAAATGAGATTTTGCCGTCGTGACCTGCCGACCCTCCACGCCCGATTTATCTAAGAAGATGTCTTGTGGGGGTTGCCGTGGACTATTAGCTGGTGATTTGATTATCGAAGGCACCGGGCTATGGAAAAAGTTCTCCACAGGCTGTCCAAAAGTAGACGAAGAGCGCCTACTTTCGTTGCGCGTTGATCCCCGATCTAAGTCTTCAGAGGTCTCTCGATTCAGTAAGGTTGAAAATTCGAGATGCCCCAGTGTCGTACCCATTGAACGCTCAACAGTCTTTATGACTTCCTCTCTGCGTGCTTCTGGTATCATGGCAAGGCATGACTTAGCACGAGCACGATTGTTGAGCAAGAAGTATATGTGTGCCATGAGCACAGTTGACTCCAACGAGGCATCGCTCTGCTTACCCAGTAACCGCCTTCGAGCCTGTAAAGCTTTCTCACACTCAGACCTTGCACGTTCGACCTGGCCTATTCGGAGATATATCTGTGATAGTAGATGTTTCGCGTCGTAAATGCACCCACGATGTATATCGGAACTCGCTGGCTGTTGAACTAGGCTCAAAAGAGCTTCTTCGGCATCCACAGGCCCTTGCGTATGATAGGCACAGACAGCAAGCTTATAGTGCAGACTGAAGATATCGCAGAATGCACGCCGTTCGGTTGGCAGCTGCTGTAGTACTCGTAATGCTTCTTGGAGTAGGGAGTTGGCATCCTCCCATTCTCGCGCCTCGAAAGCTACGGTGCCGGTGTCTAGTGCTGCGGTGGCAAGATCGGTGTCCAGGTCGTCATCAGAATCCCCTAATTCACCGACAGCCTCGCATTCTTCCACGGTACGCTGCGCAGGATACATGGAGTGGGTCTTAGCTTCCATGTCTTGAGGATTCCAACGTTGCTGACTTTGATGCGCAGAGCCCTGATTATGCGGCCATTCTGCAATTCCTATACTATCACTTGTTGCACCTTGACTCCCAGCAATAGACTTAGCGGCCGATCTTGTCTCATTCGTAGTTGTACCTTCGATGATGACTTCACGCGCATACTGCATCAAACGGGCCTCGATTTGACTGGGTCGTGATTGCGGGCTCGCTTCGAAAGATGTTTGCAGCTTCTTAAGCATATATTGTAACTTTTCCAGTGCTTGAGAAAGGCGCCGATCGGCGCGGGAAGATTCGGGGTTTCTAAGTTTCCTGCAGGTGGTATTAGCTTTGTTAAATGATATGTAAAAACAATGCTCACGTCTTGATCAATAGTAGCGTAATACGCAGGCTGTCGGTGTGCCTACAAATGTTTTCTTTGACGCTTGTAATGTTGTCTCTGTTTTTTTCCAGCTTCCTCTGACGCCGAGCCTGACCTATCGAACCAGAACCTTCCCCACTAACACCATTGCAAAACAGCTCCACTTCTTGTATTGTTTGATCGGCCTCCTCTACTAGGGTTATGAGACAGCTCCAAATCTCGTCATAGATTTCATAACGCGGAGGCGGCCCTGCCCCAGCCTTACTCACTACTTCTTGCAACTCGGAATATACGAGGTCACATTCAATGCCAAAGGACTTGACCTCCCCTGCTAGGTTCTTGACCGTTATATCAACGATTCCGGCGTCTTGATCGAGCTTCGAGAGAGAAACCCCTAGTTTCCAAGCTGACTTTCCGAGCGCAAGGATAGCGGTGGCTGTGTCCTCAGCTGTTACTGGGGTGACCACCATCGCTTCTAATTAATGCGTATGTATGGGCTGTGACAAACGCACTAGATTGATACACGCCGTAATGCGCAATGGTACCAAATCAAACAGGGGGAGTTGTAGAAAATAGGAATTGCTGGCTGCGGCAAGAAGACATTGTTCAAGCGGGGCATGGTGCAAACCTCGGAATTTGAGCCAACAATAGATTGACCTTGGCTTGAATCAACTGCATTGATGAATGTAGTACGACCGATACGGAACTACACCAAGCCCCTTGCGTAGTGCAAGGCGCTCGCGTCTTCATCTGACTGGTCCAGGCAACGCCACGGGCTTACCCGAATCTCATTTCGGGTATGATAGTTTCAAATGAAAGAATCGTGCTTCAAACGCAGCCTTGAGCGTAACATTGATGAGAACTCCTAGTTATCCCATCAAAAAGTCTTGATGTGCAACTACTCGACTCGCAAAAGCACGGGGATTTCAGCGATACCAAACATGACCCAGGTTTCTGCGAAATGGTACAGGTTGCGACGAATAATACCTTTGAACACAATGTTGTCAATATGTTTATTGGTTTTGTCTTCTTGCATACTGCAGCCCGTGCGCTTGTGATGGTGGTGGCGAAGGAGGAGGACGACAATGGGCTTGCATTTCAGCCCCCTACTGACTTGGTTGTGGTCGAACTCATTACACAAAGCTGAGCTCAGCCTTCATTTCACTGTTGCATCTTCCTCTCGCTTTTTTGCTTCTACAGCGTCCCTGGAGCACCCTCGTCGTTTATCGAGTTAGATTTTGTGTAATCAATCAAGAGTTATAACAAATTGACGGTAGTTACCTCGATTGGAAGGGACTAACACGCTCCAACAATGGACTACCCTATTGCAGAAGCTCGGAAAGGTCCAACACCCGCAAACCCGCAATCAACAGCTTACCCGGTCATGCCCACGGGGTGGAAATACAAGAACTTGAAACTCGGCCCCATTACTCTGCCTTGCTATGCATCGCCTGAGTCGCAGTTGATTCTGGTGTCGTTCGTGTGCTTCCTGTGTCCAGGTAAGGCTGAGAAATGAGATGCTGTTCTCCTGTTCTGCTGGCCGCTAACAATATTAAGGCATGTTCAATGCCCTAAACGGACTTGGTGGGGGAGGTCAGATTGAGCTTGATGCCAATGCTAACAACGCTGCAAATTGCGCGCTCTATGCTACTTTTGCTGTGGTTGGTTTCTTCGCCGGCACTGTCACCAACGCCCTCGGCATCAAAACTGCGCTCTCGTTTGGTGGCCTTGGATACTGCGTGTATGTGAGTGCATATCTATGCTTCAATCACACGAAGAACATTGGCTACGTTATCTTCTCTGGCTTGTTACTTGGGTGCTGCGCGGGCATTCTCTGGTCCGCTCAAGGCGCGATCATGATGTCGTATCCACCAGAGAAACTCAAAGGTCGCTATATCTCCTGGTTCTGGATAATCTTCAATTTGGGCGCTGTTGTTGGTAGTGTGGTAAGTCGAGACTGTTTAGCAAATAGCTAAACAAAGGAAGCTGATCCAGACACTAGGCTTCGCTTGGTTTGAACTACAACCAATCCGAGAATAAAGCTGTCAACGATGCAACTTATATAGGCTTTTTGGTACTTACGTTCCTTGGAGCGTGCCTATCTTGGACATTAGTCGACGCTAAGGACGTTGTGCGTCGAGACGGCTCTAAAATTATCCTTATGAAGCACCCAACCTGGAAGTCGGAAATATTCGGTCTTTGGGAAACACTTCGGAGTGATCCCTACATCATTCTACTCTTTCCAATGTTCTTCGCGTCCAACTGGTTCTACACATACCAGTTCTCCGACGTGAATCGTGTGCAATTTACCACGCGTACTCGCGCCCTTAACAACACGCTTTACTGGCTAGCTCAGATGTTTGGTGCTCTTGCCTTCGGGTTTGCACTCGATTTTCCTTATATCAGGAGGACTACACGAGCAAAAATTGCTTGGCTTGTCATGTTTGGTCTTACCTTTGCGGTATGGGGCGGGGGGTACGTTTTCCAAAGGCAGTACACGCGCGAGGACACGGATCGGAAGGGCTATGCCCAATATGACTGGACGTCAAATGGCTATATCGGACCGATGTTCCTGTACATCTCTTACGGCTTCTATGATGCAGCATGGCAGACGTGCGTGTATTGGTAAGCTATCCTATGTCGACTTGGCTGTCGAGCTTCACTGAACTAGCTAGGTTTATGGGCGCTATTAGCAACAACAGTCGCAAGCTGGCCAACTTTGCAGGCTTTTACAAAGGAATACAGTCAGCAGGAGCAGCTATAATATGGCGTTTGGACATGATGGGGAGTCCATATATGAACCTGTTCGCTTCATGTTGGATTTTGCTGGCCGGCAGCCTGGTCATTGCGCTCCCGGTCATGCTCTTGAAGATCAAGGACACTGTGCCGGTTGAGGAAGATCTCAAGTTTACTGACGAAACTATCGAAGACGTCATTGGCCATAAAGGTTTCTACAGCTCCCCTGCGCCAGAGAAGGTGTAAGCCATATTTTGGAGGTTGGTTTCGTACGCAGACTTGTGTTGCAGGATGGGGTCGAGATGTAAACGCCTAGCTAGTAGTAGATATAGAACAATCTACAAATGTTATCATCGATTGTAGACGGTAAGGCTTGACATGAATGTTCGAGTGTGGTAGTACGACGTGGTGCGAACTGTAGCAAAAACTGAGGGTCTGCTTGTCGTGAGAGATTGTCAAAATGACACTGGATAGGGGGATAGGATAACTAAGAGCTGGACGGTTGAAGTCCTTGCAGGAGGCGTAGCAGGTGGAGCAGGATCTGGGTAGAGTTTTGGTTTTCTATCGTGGAAGACTACGTCCAATTACCCCGCCCGGATCCGATAGAAGCGATACTACTGTTAGCGCCCACAGAATTTGCATCTTAGCTAGCGGCGTGAGCAGGCCATCCGTAAATTTGAATATATTATCTCAATTCGTTCAAACCTTCAACAAGCAGCTCAGTGAGCAGCATCCAGGTGAGATGGCCGAGCGGTTAAGGCGCTAGCTTCAGGTGCTAGTAACGAAAGTTGCGTGGGTTGTATGTACTACTGAGTTCCCTAGTTCGATTACAACTGCTAACACTTCCTAGCGAGTCCCACTCTCATCATCATCATTCTTTTTGCTCTTCTATGCCTCTTCCCTCTTCATAGAGGAAGTCTCTGCAGGCGTGGTGATTTTTTTATTAGCAACTTCGGCTGAACCTGGTTCGTGCTTTCGGGGGGCTAAGAAAGTAAGAGCGGGGCAAGCTGGACGTCCAGGGTCTACTCTTGGCATCGTCCACCTCCCTAGAGTCGGTGCCTATCTTCCTACAACGTAGAGCATATAACGATTGGGATTGCACTACAACCTTTTGTTTTTGATGGTATAACATGCTATAAGGTGCAGGTATACTTCCCGCAAGCTAAATTTATTTTTTATAGTTTGAACCGTGGAACGCAGGAAGCCCCTCATTCCTACCCGGCAGGGTGAGCTTGGCTCCTCTTGGAGGCCTCATGGATCCGCGGCTGATTACCTCGCGTCTGGATCTCCTCATTGCTCTGCGAGTCGCCTCGATGCTTTTGTCCATTAAATTCATGTTGATCAATAGCTTATCGACTGCCGCCGCTCCAGAGAGCGGCTTTTCGCTCTGGTTGCGTATGCTTTAGTAAAGTCCCGATGTCGAGTGCTTGTACAGAAACCCCTCAAGTGATAGGGCGCTGCTCTCAAAGTTCTAGAATGATAGACTCCCGGGTCGTGTTTCTCTGGCGACTCTATGCCATTCTTTTCTTAGTCGTCGCTGTTTTTGCGGATTTCTCAAACGCTATCGAAACGCGATGGCAAGCTTTAGCGGGTAAGATCTGAAATTCTATACTATGGCACTTTCAACTGACAGTGTTATAGAGGTACATCAATCGCCTGGTGAGATCAGAGCCCAGCATGTCCTCAGTCTACCACCACCACAGTCGCCCATATATCACTCAGAACCCTCCCGAAGACCATCAACCGATAATTCTATACGACCCACGAACCCTACCCTCTTTCCAACCGAGAACAATATCCTTCGCGACCTCCACAATGCCCTCTCGACCATGCAAGACCACTACTTCTCGCTGTGGCTAGGTACATGGATGACAGCCATCGACTGGACAGGCGCCGTGATGGGTACCTACGTCTCAGCAACACTGTCTTCCTTGTCGCGCTCGATCGATTACACCATGCCGGGTACATTTGATGTATCACGGAAGCTAGACGTCGAGGCGCAGATGGTGGAGAACGAGATAAACAAGTACTTCGCGCATAGCACAAGTTACTATTTCGGTCAAGACCATTTTGCCATACGCATGCAAGCGTTCGACGATATGCTCTGGGTGGTTTTGGGGTGGTTGGAGGCTACCAACTTCATTTCCTCACACTCTGCAACTCATTATGAGCCCGGCGCTGGGTTTGGACAAGGAGAGGGGAGGCAAGGAGAATGGCACGCCCGCCAGTTCATATCTGCATTTGCCCACCGCGCGCGTGTCTTCTACGAACTCGCGGAGAAAGGTTGGGATTGGCGCCTTTGCGGCGGAGGGATGACGTGGAACCCGCGTCTTCTGCCGTACAAGAACGCTATCACCAATCAACTTTTCGTTTCTGCGAGTATCAGTATGTACCTAAACTTTCCCGGCGACGATATTTGCAGCCCTTTCCTCTCGCAGCACGACGCAGTCAATTCGTATTCGGACAAACTGTACGACGACTGCGATGAGAGTATTCGCGGTCGGTACGATCCAGTGTACCTTGCGAATGCGGTCAATGGGTACGATTGGTTGAAGAACATCGGCATGACGAATGACCAGGGCTTGTATGTAGATGGCTTCCATATCAGCGGGTATCGCCAGAATCATAGCAAGACAGCGTGCGACGAGAGGAATGAGATGGTCTATACATACAATCAGGGCGTAATCCTATCCGGACTGCGAGGATTATGGGAAGCTACAGGGAACCTAACGTACCTCGAGGACGGGCATGAGTTGATCCGCAACGTCATCAAGGCTACGGGCTGGCAGTCGAGGAGTACGACTGCTAAACACAAAGACACTCTATCATCAGACTGGCACGGCCTGGGCAGCAACGGCATTCTAACAGAGCTCTGTGACCCTTCTGGACAATGTAATCAAGACGGGCAGACATTCAAAGGCATATTCTTCCACCACCTCACTGCGTTCTGCACTCCGCTGCCTACCCACCCCGCTAGACCTGGCAAAACGTACGCCTCTACAAGAGAAATACACACGCTGCACCAAAGAAGCTGCAACGAATACGTCGGCTGGGTCGTACACAATGCCCAAGCAGCCCTGCGTACCAGAGACGAACAAGGCCGCTTCGGAGCCTGGTGGGGCGCTTCCGATTCCGCCTTCTCTGACCAATCTGGTAAAGAAGGCAGTGAAGTGCAGAAGAAGGACACCGTTGTCGTCCAGCTGCCGCATGGTGCAGTGGACTACCACAACACACGCACCAAGTCAGAAGAAATGTACTCGGATCCCGAGTATGCAGAACCAGCGGCCCAGGATCTGATCGCTGCGAACGAAGCTCAAGGCGACCTTAATCATCGGGGGCGAGGCAGAACGGTAGAGACGCAGGGTGGTGGTGTGGCGGTTGTGAGAGCTATGTGGGAGTTCCTGCGTCGTACAGAGAGGCGGGACCTGTAGACTCTGTTATTGTAAGATCACTATACTGTGGGGAGAATCGTGTATATTGGGTTCCCGCGGCGTTAAAGAGCATGTATGATATCCTATTTCGTAAACGAAGCTTCTGTTGTCGTTTGACGAATTTATATATTTGTATAAGAATCGGACTGTCCTCACTATGTTCTACTAGGGGATACCTAGATTCGCGAACACGCTATTATATTTCCAACATCCTTTTTCTCGGTACTGATTGAGTACTCAGTAGTCAACCCCATCAGCACAATGTCCGCACCATCCACAATCTTTATCGCAAAGCCCCCAGTCCTGATCGTCGTCCCAACCTGCTCGAGAATGGTCTGCCCAAGCATCTTCGTCATAGTTGTCATCTGAGTCTTCGTCCTCTGTGTTGCTGCCACTATGCATACAGTCTTGGCCTGAGAACGAGGGCATTTTGCGTGTATCCGGCTTATTTCGGGAAGATGAACCCTATAATTGATGTTAGAATCCGAACAATGATCTCTTCTGCTAAAATATGAGACTATGAGCGTACGTTCTCCATATTCAGCGTAGCCCCCACAGCAGACCCAGCCTCAGACTTCGCCCGAGCCAGCATCTTCGCATGAGGCTGCGACTTCCTATGCTGTGCCACGGCCTGCTTACTCCCAAACGTCCTCTTGCACACGTCGCAACTGAACATGGTACTGTGAGACGGTGCGTTGCAATGCTGCTCCATCGCCCTATGACTGCAGAATTTCTGGTCGCATTTACGGCATTCGTGCGGTTTGCGTGATTCCGGATCGGTGGTACCGGTGTGGTTTTTCAGCGCGGATTTAGAAGGGAAAGGCTTGAAACAGATGGAGCATTGGTTCGCCATAGTGGATAGCATCTTGTTTGAATCGACTTTCGGAGCGAAGAGTGAATGAGCAGCATGGAATGTTGGGCGTAAACGATATTTAGATGTTAGCCAGCACCCCACTGTTGTGTCACTATGCCTTTCACAGCCTTGCCATGAAACCTGTTCTGGGAGCTCGATCTCCCAATAGTATAACAGCACAGTCTCCCCGCTTGGAGGGGGAGCTGATGTACAGACAAACACAGGCAACCTTTATAGGACTAGGAAATACGTTTAGTAGTAGTGTAACGGCACTATAAACCTACTTCTTTGCACGTCCTAATGCTCTAAGGGAGGCTACAGAATAGTATATACCTAGATAGCTACCGTCCTTCGGACGAAAAACAATACCAACCAACTATGAAATCTGTCTGCTGTTCCTAGTCGATTTTTTATACATATATACCTACGTCTTCTAGCACGAGGTTGCCAACCCGCTAGTCAATCAAGCCTCAGGCCTGTCTTGAATAATCTAGACCAGTACCATTACAACCGCTTAACATGTCCTTGGGGATTAGGTGCTGTTTAATTCTTTTGTCTCATTACAACACCTTGAGCTTTGTCCAATGCTTCAAAACCACCCATGAACTCGCCATGAGTAATGCAATCCATCGTGACATTATCATTCCAAGAATCAAGCTCCTTCTCAATACTTTCATTGTCCGACGCACTTTTCGTACTGTCGTTGTCATACCCCCTGTGTATCTTACCGCGTGCTACAGCCAAGCGCTTCTGCGTTGCTTCGCGAATTATTGCGACCCAGAACGAGCCCCCGTTTCCAATGCGGCCTTCGACTAACTGATCGTCTTCTACAAGACTGGTAGTTGCAGAAATCTCTTATTAAATTCGGCGCTATTACCAGGGATGAGCATGCTAATATCAAGATTTGAGTCCTCTGTGATACACTTGTCGAGTCCTGCAAACCACACGCAGTCCGAATCGCGCTTGCCTCAACCACATATATATATTTATTGAATTTTTGCGTCAATAAATCTCAGAAACAGAAGCCTTGTAGCATATATTAGGTCATATCTTGCGAGCTTTTATTTCCATGTACCTATGCTAACCTCATTAGCATATTGATGGGATCTCACATCATACATGGGCGAGGAGGTCTTCGTCCATCTCATCATTTGAATCATGCCTATATTCCATGATACCCATGGATATAGATGGATACACGCTATACTAGTTCCTAGACGCTCTCCTTCTTCCCCTCGATCCACATCATATCATCGACCCTAGGGTCAGAGATTTTTACCGATCCCAATCCTCACCCATTACATGATACCTAGCTCCCCAAAGCCTTTCAATATATCCTTGTCCACCCTACTGAGCCACTCTTCTTGAAACCGCTGTTCCCCGCCTACAGCTTGGATAGCCTGCTGCAAGTGCTCTCGTACAAAAGCGACGAGATTGAGACGATGTACGGGGTCGGAGTAGATGAGCTCGCGTTTGCGGATGTCTTCGGGAGCTTCGGGTTCGGTTGGATGGTATGGTTCGGGTGGCCAGTAGAGAGAGCTAGGTTGATGTTAGTATGGGGGTGATTGAATAAATGTAGAATCTGAGAAAAATGAAGTGAGAAAATCGAGATAGCGCATTACGTACTCTTGAGTCCGGTCATCCATACCATCCAACAACTCCCCAAGAACATCAGTCCACGTGACGAACAAGTTCTGAAGACGTCCAAGTGCCCATGGCTGACCCGTCTCCAAGAACCGCGTTAGCACAAGCGTCATGAGTTTCTTATTTGGGGTATCCCCAATGTTCTCAATATGGCTAAACCACTCCTCGAGCAGCCAGTCGAGCGTCTTCTCCAGGCCCTCTCCACCAATGCTCGATAATGCTTCCAGCAGTACGTTAGGAGATGCGAGGCCGATGCGTGCGAGCACGGTGAAGTAGTCGGTCTCCACAACGCCGTCTACTGCTTGTGGAGGTAGTTCCCGGTATGGACCGTGAGACTGATGATGTGTCCAAGCGCCATGTAGGCCTTCGAGAACCTTCGCGAAGAAGCCAGAGGATATCAGATCACTAGTAAGGATCTTAACGGCATTTTCGCCACCTACGCCCTCTGCACCGCGGATGATGCATTGTACGAGGTGTGTCATGATGCCATTCGCTTCGGGTTTGAGGTTGCCAAGGAGGTCAGCGAGGGCTTGGAGGATTGCTGGGCGGAAGTTGTCGGCGAGAACAGAGGCAGGGGCGAGTAAGAGGTAAGCTTCAGTGATTTCTATAGCTTTCCTGAGAGTATCGTTGTCCATGCTGAACAGAGGGAGGAGATACTGGAGCAAGTTGAGTAGCTCGGGTGGTGTGGGCTCTGGAGCAGATGGTGTTTGTGCAAGGATAGAAGCCCACAGGTCGAGTGCATCTTCAAGGAGGTAGACTTGTGTCTCGGATCCCGGCTCGATAGCGCTCTGGATGATGGGAAGAAATGAGATATGGAATGAGCGCGAGTCGGCTTTCATAGCATTGGTTAGGCGGGAGAGGATGGTGAGAATGGCTTGTTTCATCAAGTGCTCCTCGCCAGACTGTTCCCATAGTGGCGGTAGGAGGGATATGATGCTGTTTGCGTAAGGCGTGATCTAAACATTGTCAGTGGCCAGATAATATATTTACTCAAGTGTAACATACGTGGTGCTCTAGTCGCTCCACTATGACACTAATGGTGTTCAATAGCGCCATCTTCGTCTCCGGTAGCTCAACCTCTTGCACCAATGCCATCAATCTTTCGAGCATGACTGGTGCATATGGTAAGAAGTTGTCGGCATGAAACTCCCACTCGTCCGCAACATCTTTGAATTTCCTGCCCGCAGTGACTCGTACGACCTGGTCGTTCAAGGGGTCGCTCTTGTCCAGCAAGTGCTGATAGATCTGGTAAACGATTGGCTTCTTATCTTTGGCCACCTTGATAGTTATCCACTGAGAAATGATGATAGCAATCCGTCGACGGATGATGTTATAGCCTGGCTTCTGTTTTCCAGCTTCAACGACTAGGGTACTTGAAATGAAAGAGTCGAAATCTAGCTGGTCGTGGAGTATATCGGCTGCGAGACCGATGGCAGTATAGACGGAGTCCTTGAACAGGATGTCTTCGTTCTCTGGGGCTGCGGACTGTTAGCTAGGGCACTCCACTGCTTATTTGTGAGTACTCACTCGCGACGGTATTGAAGACTTGAAGTAGAGGTTGGACGATCAAATCTTTGAAATTCTTTGAGAGATCTAGGAATAGCTTCTCGGCGCAAGGACGGATCGCAAATTCCCAATCCTCTGCGCCTTCATCCATCTTCTCCCATTCGTCGGGCTCTTCCTCCCACATTCGAAGATCGCTGGGTCTGAAGACAAAGAAGCGTGTGACAAGCGAAGACATCATCTCACGAACAAGGTCATCAGTGAGAAGCTGTGACTTGACCATCTGGGTGGCTTCATTCTTCTCATCCTTTTCTTGTTGTTGCTTGTAGCGGAAGGTCTGCGAGGGGTAGAAAACCATCTTCACGCAGGCACGTATGAGTAGCAAGCCCTTCAGGCCTAAGCGTTCGATGATAGGGGCGTCATCCTCGGAGTCGCCATCTGTGCCTATTTTCGCACTCTCTATCGACTTGGAGCCCCAGGTCTCGCCCAGGTTTGAGATGAGGCTCCAGTAGTCGCGTACGAGGCCGAGCGAGTCAGGCAAGAGCACGAAGCCTGCTGGGTGTGTGATGGCCATGTTTAGGTGAAGCTTCGAAAGCTGCATCAAGTGTTTCTCGATCAATTTTCGAACAGGTTCTGCGAGGGGTGAATCTCCTGCGGTGACATATTGTAGGAACTCTCCAAAGTGTGTGCGAGTCAATGTCCAGAACCCTTGCACATCCTTCTCTCTGGCTGGGAAGTCATAACCTGCGATGATCAGTCGCCGAATGATTTTGATTGCGAGCAAGCTGTTCTCGATGCTCTCAATTGCCCCGCCTTCGTCGTCTCCGCCATTGCGGAAGAAAACTTGCCAGCTCTGGACTTTGTTCACGTAGATTGTGCCTAGAACATTGAAGATCTCCGGCGCCACACTCTGTAAGCTCTGGCGCGTGCGTAACAAGCGACCTGTTGACAACTCCTTGACGATGTATAACAGCACGAGGAGGGCTCGAGGGAGTTGAAGTCGGTAGGCGTTTGGGTCGGTCGAGGCGCGCAGAACTTGGAGTAGCTGCTGGAATAGGTCTGGCCTGGCAGATGTCAGCGAGACAGTATGAACTCGGGCTTTTTAAGCTCACCAATCGTTTGGAAACTCGAAGCGAACAATCTTCGCAACGACCAGCGCATTTTGAAGCGCCAGACGATGGTCGGCCTCACCAACGGCACTCTCCAGCAGACGCGCTCGTATGGTGGCTTTGTCCTCTTTGATGACTGCACTATCGCTGTGTCAGACTATCCATGTTCTCAAAGTAGGGCCAAAGTGCATACTTGGTGGCTGTCTTCCGCCAGTATTTGTCGATGCCATTCTTGAGTTGGATGATGGCGAGGTAGCGGACTTCGAGGGGAAGAGACTTGTCGAGGAAAACAGACTGGACTGTGTCAGCTATTGGCATGGAACGGTAGGGAAGCTATGCGTACCTGAAGTTTTGGGTAGAAGCCTTGGGCCTTTTCCCATTCTTGCAATTGCTTGGTCCCCGTCTGTATTTGGGTTGGGTCTGCCGAAGACGCCGAGCGCAGTACGTGGTATAAGATGCCTTCGGTAAGGGGATTCGCCTCCCCAGGCACCTCTATAGCACTGAACTCCGTGTTCATTGTGTGCTATGCGGAGGGTCGTCGTGTATGTGAAAGCGGTGATGGTGGGGCAGCTATGGGCGGGAATTTGTTTCCAAAGGACATCCCGAGGCCATGCTATCACGGGAAGCTGCGCAGTTGTTCGAAATGAAGCAGGATCTTGCCCACCCAGGCTAAGAAAGAGGAAGGCAGCAGGTGGGAGAGATTGGCTGTTGTGGTAATTACATGTATTCACATGTACGAGGCGCGAAGCTTCGAAAAAGCTCCCCGCGTCACAACTCCGACCTCCGACTGCAATTGACGCCTTGAGGTGCCCACAACAAGAACGTGACCTTCGCAAGCACACCTGTATCGACTTCGATTTGTGCAACTTCAACCAAAACATATACCGACTTACACGTGCTATGGAGAGAGTACCACTATCGAAGACGCCGCGTAAACCTGCCTCGTTGAGCACCCGGTAACGCCTCTCGACGTCGAACCTCGGCCCATCCCATCCATGGGCTACTCTCTCACCCCATCACGCTATCACGTTCAGCAACCTCCAGATCTCTCCGCATCGACTTCCCCCGCGCTTCACTCTACCAATGCTCCCCGATGCCCGCCGCAGACTTCGCCGCCGCCCAGGAGCGCATAGCAGCCCGTCGCGCCCAGCGCGCTGCCAACCAACGTGCCCATCATGAACAGCCACCCGTACGCGCATTGTCGCGCCTCCCTTTTCCATTTGGGGGACTGAGCTCTGCGGGCCTGAGTGCCTGGGACGCCATCAAGGGCCGCTCAGGCACGAGGCCCGAGTTTAGAGTTGGCCAGGTCGACGCGGAGTTGCTAGACGACGAGCTCCTCTCCCTGCTCAAACAGCAAGTTGGCGACGCGCTGAAATACTTCGGCACCCACATTACTGATTCATACGAAGCCGAGATACTGCTGGGACTGAGACTGGTGCTCTTCAAGCTCAGCATCTGGGATCAAAATGCCTCCTACGGCGCACATCTCCAAGGCCTGCGCTACACAGACGCGCGCTCGACAGCATCGAATCGGCCGCCGCCCAAGCCGTGGCAGAAAATTGCCTACGGGGCGATTACGGTTGGAGGGAGATATGCGTGGACAAAATGGGAAGACCACCTCCTGTCATCCTCTGAAGACTACACGCGCCCAGAATCACATTCCCTCAAACTTCTATCCCGGATATCAGAGCTGGCGAACTCAGCACACGACATTGCCTCTTTGGCCTCGTTCCTCGTCTTCCTCGTCAACGGTCGATACAGAACCATTACAGACCGGCTCCTACGCCTTCGCCTGACGCCTACAAGTCACTCTACCTCCCGCGAAGTGTCGTTCGAGTACCTAAATCGCCAGCTCGTTTGGCACGCCTTCACCGAATTCCTTCTATTTCTACTACCATTGGTGGGCATATCGCGCTGGCGAAGAATACTCGGGCGAACCTGGCGGAAACTGCGTTCCTCCCTTCTCTCCCTGCTCGGCCGCGGCCAGAAACCTTCAACAGATGATGAGGACGAAGAGGCTGGAAAGGGGGGAGAACTCGGGTTCCTCCCTGAACGCACATGCGCCATCTGCTACCGCGACCAAAACCCCACCACCGCCAGCGAAGCCGACATCATGGCCTCCTCCGCGGGCGGAGGCGGCGTCGTCGGATCCGCTGCAACAGACATTACGAATCCGTACGAGGCGATGCCATGCGGATGTATATACTGCTTTGCATGCCTAGCTCAACGGATCGCCAACGAAGAGGGCGAGGGCTGGACATGTCTGCGCTGCGGCCAGGTAGTTCGCGAATGCAAGTCATGGAACGGCGACATAATCGAGCCGCAGCAACAACAACGCACATTCTCCCGCTCGTCGTCGGAGCGGCCCACGACTGGAAAGAGCGTCGGCTTTGCTACGCGCGACAACGCCTCATCCTCATCCTTCACAGACGAGAAAGAGGCCCTGCAACACGTCGATCCCATCGAAGACGTTTCAGGCTCAACGGCTAGCGAGCTGGCATTTTCAGGCGTCGAGCACACGAGGGGTTTGGATCTAGGCGACTCGCTCTTCACCGAGAGCTCAGAGTGGGCACGGGCTAGTGACGAGCAGAGTAGTAGCGAGGAAGATGAGCAAAGCGAAGAATACGATGAGGATGAAGAGGAAGAGGGCGAGGAGCTCGGAGGCTATGATTATGATCAGTAATATCCGCACTACAAAAGACGATGTTGGAAAAGATGTGAAGAGTGCCGTAACGATATCCGTTTTATCTTAATAGGAATGCAACTATTACTTCCTCTATGCTGTTATAATTATACGCGCGCATATTGACAAGTGACTGTTTTTCGTAATAGACTTGATAATGTTCGTTTCGTGAGATTTCCGCTCCTAGATAGGTACTATGTGGGAGGCAATGTCCCTTTTCCCCGCCGCAACGCCTCGACGCATTCCACTCCTCCTCAATCGCCGCGCTACCTCTTCGCGCTCGCGCTGATTGCAAAATCCTCAGGACGAGATAATCTGCCCTACGTCCGTACAAATTCCGCAAACCTCGGTAGAGCAGCCATCTTCTCCTCCGGACTCGTAAGCTCGTCAAAGAAAATCAACTTCATATTCTTGTCCTTCTTACTCTTCTTCTCTTCCTTCTTTTCCGCTGGCACAGCCTCTTTCGTAACCTCGCCGATGAGATAGTCGATCGAGTCTGCTATCGCATGCGAGTCTACGCCATTCTGTCCGTGCGAAAATGCGCCAGGCGGGGGTGCTCCAAAGCCGGGGCGAGGAGGCAGTATACCTGCTTGACCAGGTATGCTGCCTGGCCGCGGAGGTATGCCGCCAGTTGCGGAGGGGGAAAATGGTGAAGGATGGCCGGGGAGACCTTGTGGTGGATATCCCTGTGCAAGTGCGCCAGGCGGGAAGGGAGATGGAGCGCCTAGGGGTGGCGCTCCATAGGGTGATTGTGCGACTGGCGGCGTCTGTTGTCCATCTATTAGCATCTTTACCTCGCCATTTCCCATCGAAAGGAAATATACATACAGGGTTCGTCACAGCCTCCAGCTTTGGTTGCGGCAACACGCCGTTCTTCCTGTCCACCCGGAACTGGTCCGCCCTGCTCTCGATCTCGTCCAAGCTCTCCGTCACCTTTGGCCTCTTGTTCGGTGGCGCCTGCCCAGCCGCATACAGCCCGCGAATGGGATTACCCGTTATCCGCGCACGCTCTTGCTCCTCGGCGAAATGTGCTTGGGTGACTTGCTGGTTATGCTGGTCTATTATCTCGGCGGGCACGCCCTCCATGCCGAAGATTTCAATCTCGAGGCCTTGACGGCCGGGGTTGGCGTTTTCGACATGCGTGAGGTTTTCCTTGTGGACTTGGTTCATATGCACGGAGAGACCTGTCACCGTATTAGCACTTGCACTGTAACGTCTCGAGGCCAGATATTGGGCCAAGGGAAGGCAGTAACATGGGCGTGTGTACCTCCAGCAGTGTTTAATCGTCGTCCGCAACGGTCGCATTTGAAATGTTTGGCTTTTTGGTGAGAGATGAGAATCTTGAGGTCGTCAAAGTCGCGCTCGCAGTAGTAGCACCATGGCCGCTCGAGCTTCTGGTTCAGGTCTGGGTATCTCTTGCGCTTCTTCGTCATGGCCGCGGTCGAATCGGGGAGCTTAGATAGGGTACAGCGCTTGCAGTGTTTCGACAAGTCGGTGATATAGGTGGGTTGAAGAGCGGCGTTGGTCTCAATCGCGGTCGAGTACGTCGAGGTCGGTAGGTGAAGCTCGCGATTTCGAGAGCTGGAGAGGTCAGCCTTAGCGCGGCCCGGTCTTGGCAGCCATATCGACATTTTCCTGCGAAAGCTCCGCGCCAAAACCTCATCACCTTCACGTCTCGACGGCAGGCAGTAGTACTACTCTTTGATGCAAGAGACTCACTATATGGTCTATACGTCATGTTTATATATAACCCGCAACCCGCACACCAGCCACTTGGTCTCCGACATTCCTACAAGTCCCTTCGGGGAGCATCCCACGTCTTCGCGTCTTGCGTCGATTTGGTGCTGCGGCTGCACTCCAGTGCGTGCTTTCTTCGTTGCAAGAACAAACAAAAGGTCCTTCATAGTTCACACTTCCTCGCTCTTCGGAGACTCTCCACGAAGAGTGTGACTCCTTGGCCACCTACATTCATCCCTCTTCGACCAAAGCCATCAAGCTGAAATTAAGGTTGTTGCCTTCGCTTGCCATCATGCTGCGGATTATATCGAGGCTTTTGTCGGACAGAACGTCTTCATGTACCGCCATTGGGCCGTGATCTACCGGGCGCTTGCGATCGCCGTCCAGCTGATAGAGATGGCTGTTCGTATGCGACTTGACGAGAGTGATGTAGTGGAAGTCCACCTCATCTTCAGCATGAGCTGGCGCTTCCGTATCCCCCTTCGTCGCCACCTCGGCGTACGCAAGCTCGAGTTCTTCGCTGTGCTCTAGCATTAGAGCGAGCTTGTCTGGCACAAGAGGCAGGCCAGCTTGCAGAAGCTGCCCAATGAGCGACGCATCGTCTAGTGTCCATCAGCATCATCTTATGCGCATCATGTGTAAAGGCATACCAATCTTACGTCCTGCGTCCCCGTTACACACAGCGTGCAGGATTGCGTACAAGCCACAAGCATTGTTAATTGTCTGCTTGAAGAATACCACGTCTTCATCTACCCCAGAGCCTTGATAGTCAAGCAGCTCGGCTTCCTCTTGGTCAATTCTCTCCTCGTACGCCGCCGTCGTCGGGAAGACCAAGATCAGAGCGTAAACAGGTCGCGGGAGGAATGCCAACAGCTCAGGGTCGTCCAGCGAAAGAACATCGTGGAAACTTAGTGATTTGGACAAACCAAGCTTGTGGATTAGCTCTGTGAAGACCTCTGGATTGGACTCGAGAGGGATGAAGTGCTTGCTGTATATCTGTGTAGACGTCGTCTCCGTTGACTCCATTGTCGTCTGCAGATCCATTGATAGAGTGCAAGTGTGTAATCTAGTTTATGCGCTATAAATGTGCAGTATCCTAAGAAGGCTGAAGGACAACAGCTCGCTAAAGCGTTTCAAATCGCACGCTAGGCTTTCACCTGGAGCATTTCAAGTTTGTCTCCGGTCAGCCTCAGCTCTTATCATCCATTCATATTACTGTGACAACCACGAACACCAGACTGGCGGGACCGATATAAGCCATGGGTGCCCCTGTCATCCTTCGTCCTTGGATACATAAATTCGTCACACCAGAAGACAAGTTATGGTCGTTACACCACTGCTTTCACTGCTCATTCAGCTTTCTCATAGCTATTATGCACCTTGAACTCCACCATTGGTCCATCCCTCCCAAAGCCGAAGGCATCCCACAGCTGAAACTCGTCTTCCCGCTCCCTTCCTACCCCTAATCCCAGCCTCCCTCCCCCACAACCCGGCCCATCCGGTGCAAGTCGCATGTCGAGCCCCCACAGCAAATGTGCCAAGGTAAGCTTCAGCTGCAGATACGCCAAATTCCTACCAATGCACTGCCGCGTGCCGATACTAAAAGGGTTGAATGCTCTACGTGCAATTGCGATACTTTCAAGTGAATTGTTGGCAGATTCGATCCAGCGTTCTGGACGAAAGGCGAAGGGCTCAGCGAAATAGGAGGGGTTATGGTGGATAGCGTACATGGGAACGCCTACAACTGTGTCTGCGGGGAGGTACTCGCCATCGATATCCATGCCACCCGAGAGGACAATGCGCGGAAGGTGGCTGGGTACGGGTGCAGTGCGTCGCAGTGTCTCCTCGATACATGCGTAGAGGTAAGTACATTCATTCAGGTCACGTCCACTCTGTATTTCGACCGGTGAGGCAAATGTGTCCCTGTCGATAGTCATTTGAGTGCTAGATGATGATTCCACGTATAAACGTGACATACCGTACTTCGGTGGTGGCCTTCTGAAGGGCCTCGGGGTTGTGAACGAGGTAGAAGATGGCTCCTGCGAGCACACCACTGAATGGATCTGCACCAGCGTTGATCATGTTCAGACTTTCTGTGCCAAGGTCTTCGATTGTAGGCTGCCAGCCAGTCTTCTTGTCTTCGACGCCGACCAAGCGGGATAGAAAGTCGATCCTCCCTTCTGCAATATTCTTTTCAACCTCACTCCTTGTGAGCCGCGCTTGCACCTGGCCACTCGCATAATCGATGAGGCGGTTGTTATCCGCCACAGAATTGCCTCCGACCAACTCGAAAAGTCTGGTGCGCAGTAGCGGGCGCACGAGGACCGCTAAAGGTAAGTAAGATATCTGACATACGTATCAGCAGATGCCATTAAAGTTGCAGGACTTCCTCATACCCAGTACATCAGCATACTAGCAGGCAGAACTGAATTCGCCAGGTCTCTATTTCGCCTCTCTTGCACACTCTTAAAGTCACAACCGAACACCAACGCACCCATGATGTCGAATCCAAGATAAGTGCTCATCTCACTCATGTTCCACTTAGCGCCCCAGCCGGAGGTAGCCGGCTTCAACGTCCTACAAAATCGTTCTACAATGTTGATGATAAGCGGTTCGTTGGCTTTCATAGAATCGCCCGAGAACGCTGGGCTCATCCATCGTCGCTTGATGGTATGCTTCTCTCTCTCTGTTTCGGTGAAGCTGCTGTAGGATCCGGCGGCGATGTCGAAGGTCTTGTACCATTCGCCTTTCTTGACGTTGGCGCTGCGAGGGCCGTAGATTGTGCTCAAGGCCGATGCAGTGTTGAAGGAGAGTGTGTTGGGAGCGATGCGGACGATGGGTCCTATCAATGAAAATCAACGTTCCGAAGCAACTAGTATCCAGGCCTGCCATACCATATTTCTCGTGGTCTTTGAGGTGCCAGATATGCCGATCTCCAGTGTATGCCTGCCATAAGAGGGGCCAACCGCTGAGCTTGTAGCTTAACGGGCCTGGGTATTTGGCTAGTGGATGAAAGAACACGCGGTACAGACATAGAGCTACACTCTAGATGTTTCATCAGCAAGGAATATATAAAGTTGACGATAGGTTCCTCACGTAGACTAGAAGACCAGGGATAGCGTAGGTTGCAGCGCTTGACACCGTAGGCACAGGGACAACTTCGGTAATCATAACTAGACGCGAGTTCGTGAGTTGGAGCTTAGAAAGGAATCAAAAAGTATTCACAGGAGATGCGCGACTATTCAGCTTAATGAAATCTTGTCGAGAAGAGCATGTTCAGCAAAGGTATCGACGGTCTTTAGACGCCGCTCCATGCTGCAGTCGCCCATGTCCGCTTCGTGCGTTTCAATATTGCTGGCATTGATAAGGATAGTATTGTAGATTGTCGTGTCAGTGGACGCAAACGGCTGGCCAGTCAAGGTACTGCAGCAACCCCACGCGACTGCAATTGAGGAGGATGCGGGGCAGATAGCGCAGACGACACGCTTGCGCCAACCAGAGCCACATCAATCCTACTGCCCAAAACTCTTATCTGAAAATTCATTCATAAACCGTGAGAGAATGGGACGTAAACTACTGGAAAAACGACAACTCAAGCCTTCCACCAAGCCAATGACGTCAACGTCGTCTGCACAACAACCCTCTACCTCTCGAGGAGATTTGTTGTTTACTTTACAGCAAAGAAAAAGAAAAAGTAAGCGTAAGACACTCGATCCATTGAGGTATTTTTACTTACACGCTTGTTATAAGTCGTCACTTTTAATCCTCTCCTTACGCCGTCAGCGTTGCTTGATCCCAAAGTTCTTGAGCGCAAACAGAAGAAAATAGTTCGACGATGAAGCACATTATAGAGTGAAATAAAAGCTATTGATAGAGTCTCTGTATAAAAGTAACGGGAAGTTCCTTCTGTCTTTACCTTCAAGGAGATGCAACTGTTATTGTAGAGGGCTTTTTGTTCACGCAAATCCATGCTAAAACTGCACGTGAAAGCCATACTTGCCATATAGAAAATCCGCTAGACTTCTTCTCATCTCCGCCCGACTGTCCTATAAAATCTTATCATGAAAATCATCCGATTTCGTCATGGCACCTGTTTCAAGCTTACTCTCGCCAAAGTCTGGTCGTCTTCCATCCTCCTCTGTCCTCCCCATGAGTACATCCATTTCCGTCCATCTACAAACCTCCGCCAACCCCGGATGCGATACCCAAACCACCCTCATGTCGGCTCCTCTTACCGACTCGACACAGCTATCGAGTCTTCAAACACGAGGCATTCCTCCGGTTTTAATTATGGCTCCCAATCTGCTACAAATTCTTGACTTAGGCATTTAAGAGCAAGTAGGAAGATATCAGGAGTAGGCTTCTTATCGCAGTGCACAATTTCTGGATCGTCACCGAAGGCTTTGCAAGATGTTCCAACAAAATTGGCGCAGATGATCGGTATGTGGGATAATTTAGGATCGAAGAGAGGGTGGTCGGCAGAGCTCGCTAGGGCGAATTTGACGGGGGAGAAACATTGGTGCTAAGAGTCGAGAGGAGGGTGTCCACTCCGGGAAGCAGCCTGCTATTTGTGAAGAGTTTGTATCAGCCTATTCTTTCGTCTTCCATTCGGATATTGAGAGGGGCACCTGTGCCCATTCGAGATGGTGCGTGGCTCCCTACCATATGTTAGGAGGGGACTGAGATAGTACACCATATGATGAGCAATTACGGAGGTCCCCCGGCTCTACTGAACAGCCTTGATTCTCCATGGATAATTAGGCCTTCCGTACTCTTTCAAGATTGTTGTAGGTATCAGATTAGATATCCTCGGTGTTTATGAGGGTACCATCGACATCAAACATGCAGGCGCGAGCGTGCAGGGAGCTCGACACCATCTTGTTCTCACAATTTGGATTGTGGAGGGAGTCAGTTGGTTTAGAGATGTATGCAGCGGGGGTGTGACCGTCCACGAGGTCCAAATCCACTTGTTACCTCGACGCTAACCGCTTCTGGTATAAACGGCTATCTTTCCATCGTGATATATCAGTTAAACAGAGAAACAGTGTGATAAACAGCGTTAAAATTAGATTACACTCTGCGGGAAAGGTTATGGAGCCGAGGAGGCCTGTTTCTCTGCCGAGATTGAAGTTCTGTTGTGATGCCGATTTTTCATAAATTTCAAGAATACTTAGAACTAATTAAATACTTAAAAATTGAAATAACCTTTGAGACATTACCAAGAGCCAGTGGAAAATTGAAGGGACTGTAGAGTAATGATGGATGCGTAATGATATGTCTTGTTCAATAGTTAGGACGGGAAGCATGCTTAAATACGGTAGAACGAAGTGGAGCCCTATGGGACAAAGTAACAACAGACAGAATACGTTGACAGAGTATCTTTGGAGATCTTACGAAGACTAGACATTTCGATCAAGTATTTTTATCCTTTCAGAATACATGCTACCGAACGATTACAATACACTATACACATTTTATCCCCGCTATGGTCGCCCAATCTCTCCTACCAATGCAAATCCGCAGAGCAAAAAAGCTTGCACACACCATGAACGCCGTAGAATAGTACAAACCCCCCAGAACTCAAAATCCCTGTCCCCTCGCGTTCGGTCGTACTCGTGAACTTGCTCCAAACTACTCAAACTGATTATCCCGATCAACCCAAACATCCTCCAACTCGGCAAAGTTTTGGAAATGTAGTGGTCTATGCGCACTATCGTAAAACCTGACTGGAGTATCAAGTCGTACGTGTACTGGTTTCTTCTCTACCGTGCCGAACGTGCTGCCCATGAAGCTGTAGTTCCAAATACCGTTATCGGGCACTAAGAAGTAACCTCGAATCTTGTCGGACAGTAGGAGCTGGCACTTCTCGCCAAACGATGTGCTGAAGCCAGTGGGGTTATCAGACATGGTATCCTTGTTGTCCGCGCCCCACTTATAGCCATTGGGCGTGAGGGCCCACGCAGCCAGCGAGACAGAGCCTGGGGTGAAAGACACGGTCATGGAAACAGTCTTCTTGTCCCAGCTAGCGTGTGCATTCATCAAGCGTGCGTGCTGTGTGACATCGCTAGCCTGCATGTAAGGTGGCTCGTTTCCGCTCACAGTGTGGATGATTCCGAGTGGCTCGAGGTTGTCGAGGTACTCGTGCTGCGGCAGCTGCTTGGGCAGTTGCACATCGCGCGTGTTGCCGACTTGGGGGATCATGACAATGGTGCAGACCTCCTTGATTTGGTTGTTGTCTGGAGGCGACCTGCCGTAGAGGTACCCTGCAACTTGGACGCGGAGGTCGGCGATGGTGATGAAGCGCTTGAGCACGTTCTTGGGCATGACGTAGGTGAATTGCTCATCTACCTTGACGTCTTCTGAGTTGATGTAGATGTTGTTCGCACGGGTACGCAGATTTGAGGTTGCTACTGCCCTCGTCCGCCACTCGGTCTTCGAAGCGAAGGATGCTTGCTCGTATTGTGAGGTTGTCGTAACCACCATCTCCTCTCCATGCACGTTCATGGTCTTGGTGGTGACAGCAGTCAACTGCTGCTGCTCTTCTTGCTGCTTGTCGATCTCGGCAGCCTGCTGGCGCTGCATCGAAGGTGCTGATATCTCCATACCCAGGATGATGTCACGCACTTCACTGCTCGTGAGCGACGAGGTGTTAACGTTGTTCTTCTTGCCATAGTCATTGAGAATGAGATCTCGAAGCTGGACTTCGACCTTGATCCAGTCCTCATCCGCTAGTGTGGGCCAGATGTGATGCTCCTGGGTGATGACGGTCTTGTCGGGGCGCAGAAGCAGCTTCGTCTTATCCTGGTTGACATGGAGCGCGCGCAAGATGAGGATGAGACGTGAGAAGGCAGTGTAAGAGGAAATCGTCTTCAGCCACTCGTCGTACAAGTTGAAGAGAACCATCTGGGGTCCAGTCGCTCGGAGAATCATGTCACCAAGCTTTTCAACCTTCATAGCCGCTTGAAAGGGTAGTTGGAGCTCAGACGCACGGATCGAAATATTAGGGAAGTCGAGCAAATGGACTTCAAGAGGATCCAATAGACCCTTGCGCGTGACGATCAGTTGCTTCGGTTGCTCTTCCACAGGCAGGGATCGAATGAGAGCTGCGACTTCCTCTGCAGTCTTCCACTTCGCGAGTTGACCAAGACGCTTCTGACCTGCCCAGACGCTCGTGTGAATGATCTTCAAGAACAGCTGTCCAGTACGAGGGTTGAAGATAAAAATCGCACCGTTGATGGGCTTCGTAGTCAAGTTACCCTCAAAAGTCTTGTGAATCGTCACACGGTAGACGTTGGTGTCGTCGATGAACAGCTGGATCTGATTGCTAAAAAGCTCGGAGTAGTTCTGAGAGTTGAGGAACTCCTGGGAGCTTTCAGAAGCGTACAGCTGAAGGCCCTTGCGGATACGCTCACGGAGGACGTAGAGAGCTGGGTTGGCCTTCATGACCTTGGCCATGGCCTGCTGAATGAGCTGCTTGAGACCAGGGAAATACTGTCCATATGCTGAGTACAGGTTGTATGCCAGGTCGATGCCGATCATGAGACCAGTAGCGGAAGGATATATGCTCATGCTATCCTGAGTGTAGTCGAGATACTTGGCTCGAACGTAGCGCTCGATATCGTGCGAGTCGTAATCGCCATAGCGTAACTGAACATCGACCCAGAACTTGTTTGTGGTAGTGGCGCTCATGGTATCCTTGGTGTCGTACAACATCGACGGCGGCGAAACACTCCACTTGTGGCTGGCGAAGAGCAAGATGTCAGCGCAGGAGCTGTTCATCTTGTACGACTTTCGAGGATGGATCGTCTCCTTCTGCACCGTCTCAATGCCGAGAGCTTCGAGTTCCTGGTCGAAGACTTGGCACAGATCCATAACAACCGACTCGTGGATCTTCTGCCACAAATGGGCTCGGAAAATCTGGATAAGCGAGATCTTGAGAGTGGGGATCTTTCCATGCAAGAATATGCCTGTGAGGTCGAGCTGGACCTGGAAACCAACGTAGACGTTGGCTCGATTGATGGTTGGAGACCACCAGAGTGTAAAACGACGGTTGGGAATTTGATTAAGACCGGATCGCTGGGCGTTGGTGAGCTTCTTGAACTTCATCGATTCTTCGAAACCTGCACTGGAGTTAGCATTGATAATTGTAGTTGGAAAAGAGGGATTAACGTACCAGAAGCTTTCTCCCAGAAGAGACCCTCCCAGGAAGGGAATGCCGTTGCTTTGAACAATGTATGCTCGAGAATGGTTTCAACACCACCAAGAGCCTGAATAACATCCGTACGATACGCGTTGAGGTTCCACAGCTTTCCGTCGTGTCGCTGGCTAGTCCACCAAAAGGGGTTGCTCTTCATATGCTGGTAAATCTTGAATTCGGTCCTAGCTCGGAAGCCCTTGTCAAAACTGAGTGTACTACGGTCCTTTTGGAACAGCGTGTTAATACGAGGAAGACCTCGATCCCAGCTGTCCTCCAAATCCTCAAGCGTCAGTCGTCGATTCTGCTGCTGCGCTTCTTGGCGTTTCTGTGAGTACTCCATCCATACGCGCTGTGAGTCTACGAACTCGGATTCCCAAGGAATGATGTAGCGGAAGATGTTAGGAATCAGTGTCTCCTCGTCATGGGACATACCGGCACGGTAGTGCGTTACACCAGTGTCGGTTTGCTTCGACCAACGCTTATCGCTTGTGGGTATGAGAATGTGGGACCCAGAGATCATACCAAGACCACCAAGCTCCTTGGGAGTGTAGAAGACAGCAGGAGGGAAACGCGAAGGCATCTTGGAGTTCAGCCCAATCTTGACACGGGTCTGGATTTTGGTCTCACACTTGACGATGGTGTCAAGTAGGTTGACCGTCGACACTGCGGCTTCACGGTAATAGGTGAAGAGGGCGATAAGGGTCGTGTTCCATTTATTAGCAATCTTCGTAAACGTGGTCGATCCGGAAGACATCAGAATCTGTCGAATACGATTGTTGAACTTCTGGATGTCCTCCTCGGTCACTTGCAAGAACGCATCCGCAGTTCGCTCTTTTGTGGAGTTGTCGACGAGAGACCACACGCTGTCCTTCACAGGGAATTCGCCTGCCAGATTACGGATCTTTGGCAATATACGAACCTCGAAACCTGACATTGAGAAGAGTAGATTGGGGTTGTCGCGACTGTAAACACTGGCAAAGGTATCGTCCCACTCAATCGTCGTGACCGAGCGTGGCAAACGGTTCTTGAGGTCCCAGAAGACTGCGCGACCAAGGTTGACATCGTGGCGCATCAAGCGCATTCTCGAATCACGAGGCCAGCACTTCTTGTTCTTGTATCCGATGACGTTCTCGAAATTAGGATCCGGGTTCTCTGTTAGGAAGCGTTGAATCAAGTCTCGAGATTCGTCGGCAGTGAACCTGAAGAACACCCAGATACGGTCGATGTATCGCGTGTAGAGTCGGATTGGATGACGAACCTCCGCCTCCTTGTCCTTGAACTGAAGAAAATCATTCGGGCTGTCAGGCGTGCCAGCAATTTCATTGGCGCGCTGCAAGCCTAACAGTAGAATGTCGAGCACGAGTCCGTAGAACTGGAACACAAAGCCCGAGAATTGTAATCCACGAATCATGCCATAGGCGTTGACGTGGTTCATATCCTTGTAGTTGAGCTGGACATTGTTCTTTGCAGTGATGTAGTCTGCTAAGTTGTGGTCCATGATAAGTCGTAGCAGGCGGTTGAGCATCGTAAGATCGATCTTCTCATAGACTTTCGACAATTGCGTCTCGATCATGACGTTACACTCGCCATTGTCAGATTCCCAGACCTTGTCGAGGTTGTTAATACCTTGTGCCCACTTGTACGTGAGAAGAGGGGGGACTTCTGAATCGGAGGGCTTGATCCAAGCAGGAAACAAATGGCGCTGATCAGCTTGATACCACAGATACTGATCGAGATAGGCATCTGTAATCTTCTCCATGGGTTCGATGTCGTAGACGGGGTTGATGTTGCTGTAGTTGTCATTCATGTCGATGCCGACTTCCTTGAAGGCGCGTTGCGTGAGCAGGAAGCGCTTGATGCGAGCCAGTGTCGTTCCTGGAGAGTCATAAGCTTGCTCGATCAAAGCTAGCTCCTCACGCTGGCTCTGGTTGAGTCGGCCTTTGACAGAGTAAGCTTCCCTCAGTCGCTCCAAAGCAAGAATGAGAATCTTCGTGTCGTGTTTGTACGATACACTCGGGAAGGGTATCGGTTGGAACTTCCTTGCTTCGAGCCAATGCACCATCGTCGTGTATATGGCGACAGCCTCTTCAGATGAGACGTATGGGCCGTCCTTCATGTAGTTGTGCTGACGCTCTTGCTCGGCCTTGAGCCACAGTCTTGTCAGTCGCCCCAAGTTCTTCTTCGCCACAGTCTTGTCTACAGTAGCGCCTCGTCGGATGCGCTCACGGTTGTAGTGTGCAACTGAGATCCACCAATCTGCCTTGCTCTTGACATATCTTAGAATGATATTCTCGATAGGTGCTGGTAGGCCGGGAACCTTCCACGGGATATTGCTCTTCCAGCATCGCCATGCTTCTGACAAATGCTGCAGGACCGTATTGACTTTATTCTGCTTGATACCCTCGGGCATCATATCCATTAGATCACTCATAACGGCAGCGCGGAGTTCCAGGTCGAAGTGGGACTCTACTCGCTGTTTGGTCACAGTCTTGGCGACACCCTTACTATGCCTACCCTCGAATTGGCGGGAAAGGAGGTTACCAAGCCAGCGCTCTAGCAGAGGAATGATACCTCGCATAAAGAACAGCCAGACCCTCCACGCGGGAGCCCAGAAACCGCAACCAGGGCCCTTACCGACAGGCCCAGAGTTGAACCGATAATAGATAAGATGCTTCAGATCCTTGCATGACCGAATCTGGTGCATCAGCTTGTACTTGTATCGATACATGCCGGTCAGTTGACCAACGTGGTTGAAGGCGTAGAGTATGCCATCAGCGAGTTGAAAGGCATCGATGTTACCCAGACGATATTGGACCTGTGCATCAACGATGAGCTTGGTCAATCTAAGGATTTCTCGCATGAGATGGAACGCGTTTCCGAAGCGTGACTTCTTTCGCTCCTTGGTGGTGAGCGTCTTGACAGGCTTCAAGTTGAAGTTGTAGTCAAGATGCAAGTATGTGAGGTTCTTTCGGTGAATGAGCAAATTGAGCATATTGTAGCCTTGTCGGCAGACCTGCAGACCCGCCTCAACCCAATCGATCTTGGTTTGCTGGAAGAACTTCGTGCTCTTGAGGGTCTTCATGAGATCCTGCTTGTTTTGTGCCTGTGGCGGCTTCTTGTGAAGCTCGTTCAAAACAAAAGTCTTCAGCAGCTTCTGATACGAGACCCGGACCTTCACAGGCTGACCCGCAGGCACGTGTTCAAGGTACCATTGCTTGACTAGAGGGACGTCCTGTGCCCGCACCATTCGTCCTGATCGCTTATCGAATGGATGTGGTGCCCACCATAGCGCGATTGCTGAGGCGGTCTCAGGGGTCGAGAGCTCTTCATCAGCCATGAATGGTTCCACCTCGTCCGGTAGCTGAAAGTCGTCCTCATCATCCTCATCGTTTCCATGGCCGAAAACCTGGTCCTCGTGGGGTACAGATATGTTCTTTGGTGCCACGGCTCGCGATGAGATGGGGTTAATGATAGGATCGAAGTAGTAGGCAGGAAGACTCGGGTCTTCTGCTCGAATGTAGACAACCTGCGGATGGGAGTACCAAGCTAGCTTGACACTTCGTGGTAGCGAGTTGTAGAGGAATGGGTATGAGACGCGGTACTCGGTCCGGATCGGGGCACGGAAGATGATGCGGTCGATGGCATTGAACTCGCCAAAGTCCTCGTCATTTGGATCGATGTCCTTGTAGAGCGGCTCAAAGCGGGGTCCTCCAGGTATCGCCACATTCAGTGCCTTTGCCGTCTGAAAGCTGTTCATATCGAACATATGAAAGTAGTTCTTGTCCACGGTGTCGCTGAGAAGTTGTCGACTCAGGCGGTACAAGGTGGCCATCTGGGGCAAGTCCAAGTTCCACTTCTCGTAGCTCGGTCCATTGATGTGTGGTGTATCGAGAAGGGCTCGATGATCATAGAACCACTCGTAGACCGGCCCGTCTTCGTCTTCGTCAAGCTCTAACTGTATTGGTTCCAGAGGTTCCACGTCTTCGATGTTCTCCGAGTAGGACAGCGGTGGCTCTTCGTCGTCGAATGGCGGGAATCGCATGCGCTTGAAATGTCGGCGGTCGCTCTTCTCCTTTCTCATGGCTAGCCACATGGCCGCCCACTGCGCATGGAATACCGGCTCGATGACGCGAGGAACTTCGTTCACTAGCGTCAAGCAGCCATTGGTGTGGTACAGGACCTTGACGTCTCGCCTGCTCTCCCACGGCATCGGCATGTTCTCGAGGAGTTTCAGAACCGCGTGGGGCATGAACTTCAGCGCACCGAGATAGCTTCGCTTGTCGGTTGTGAACTTCTTCTGTGACACATCGCCGATATCTCGGAAGACCTTGCGCAGGTGCTCTGGTGGCAAGTCTGCTTTTTGGGTCTCAACAAACCCAGCCTTCCGTTTCTCGCCAAATCGCTGGCGCTGCTGTCGCAGCCAGTCCTTCTTCTTCTGCGCGAACTTGGCGATTTGCGGGTCGATGGGCGGTCGCATGCCAGGAGGCCCTACGGTACCAGGAGGGCCTGGAGGCCCAGGAGGTGGAGGCGGCGGCGGTGCATAACCGGAGCCGGGAGGGCCTGGTGGAGGAGGCGGTGGAGGAGGAAACGCCATATTGAGAAGCGTGTGGAGGAAGAGCTTCTCAATATCAGTAAAGTGGACGATGTTGATAATTGAGAGGAGGTAGGGGAAACGTGTGTGAGGAGCTACAAGGAGTCCAACAAGGAGTCCATAGCTGAACGGTGTCTGGTATTCTACAAAAAGAGAGGAAATACTAACCTCTCAAATGAGCGAGCTCTGGCCTTCAGTGCACGCGAGGAGTGAGCACAGTGCGTTGCGCTGCAAGCTTAGGAGTCGAGTCCTAAAGCTTTGGCGGACAGAGCCGCAGTCGAAGGAGAGAAAGTCGCGTCGGCGCACAAATTTCGAGTCGATCTCCGAGTGCCGAGTGTAATGAATGACAGGGCACGAGATGCGCAGATGCTCGCGCAGCGCGTTGTTGCGATCTGGGGATGGAGTTGCTCTCCTAGTTCGTGGCGGCGCATCTTCGATGATATCTTTTCGCGACAGCCAAGGCGGCAGGCAGGCACGTGATTTGTGAGCGCGCCTTCCTTGGCCAAGCTGCTCGTTAGCGCCCTCGCTTAGAGCGCACGAAATTCGAACAACCTCAGAAGCCACGACCGACCACTAACGATAACAGCACGCCCAGTGGTAAGTCTCGCCAATCCGTGCTGCTATTAAATTTTGCAGGACCTCTCGCTAATCATCAACAGACTCAGGTACGATCTTGTCGCAACGCACACACGCACCAACGCCGTCGCTCACATCTCACAACAGATAACCAGAACTGAATTCCCGGGAAATCCATCACAATGCCGGACTCCAGACTCACCTACGTATGTCCCACCACAACTCAGAGCGCTCAATATGGCGATTGGGGAATATGGAATGCTTGGAAGCTGGAGCTGACAATGGACAGAGGCGACGTGCGCCGTACAACACCAAGAGCCAGAAGGTCCGCGTGATCAAGACCCCCGGTGGTGAGCTCCGTTACCTGCACATCAAGAAGAAGGGCACTGCCCCCAAGTGCGGTGTAAGTTCGACCTTCTAGGACATCGGGAGTCATTTTTAACAAGGCGTAGGACTGCGGAACCAAGCTTGCCGGTATCCCTGCGCTCCGTCCTCGCGAGTATGCCCAGATCTCTCGCCCCAAGAAGACCGTCCAGCGTGCATACGGTGGATCGCGCTGCGCCAACTGCGTCCAGGACCGCATCGTCCGCGCTTTCCTGATCGAGGAGCAGAAGGTCGTCAAGAAGGTGCTCAAGGAGTCTCAACAGAAGAAGCGTTAAGCAGCGGTATTGAAGGTTGAAGGGGTTTAGCATGTCAAAACTGGGTCAATCGGTGTTCATGTGCATTATGGGCAGTCTCCTGGTTCGGTCGGCTTTCACGATATCAAGACGATTTTCGCGTTGTCCGCCAGGGCAGTAGCTGAGTAGGGTCACGAATGCATCCACAAGCTACGAAACAATTTGTCTCCACGAAGTACGAGCGTAGTCCTCGTCTGAGCCCCTGACTTCGTTCTTATGATTTTTAACCGTGCACAATGGAGATTCGGTATCGTTACTAACGTCGCGTAATGGTGCCTCTCGGCCCACGAATCGTGAACCCGTTACGATAGGGGACGAGCTGGTGGATATGTGATCAAGATCTCTCCAGGTCTCATAATGGGTGGTCCTCGCACAGCAACGAATTTTCTTTAGGTGCCATTCGGTAACCAGACAGGACTAATGATTATGAGTATATGTAAGCCAAGATGTGATAAGCTGATCTGAACCATTGAAAGCATCAATAACGAGGCTTGTATCTCTCGTACACCCAGCAGGCTTCCAGGACATGAACAGGCGTGATGAGGCGTCAGAGGGAGTGATATCGCGAGTATGTTTTGTTCCTCCGGCCTACTTGATGCGCCCTGATTATTTTCACGTGCACTCATTCGTGAGCTCGTCTCGAGTAATTTCGCACTCGGCAAACGTCCCGAGAAACGACGTTTGTTTAGTTTTCTTTGACTCAAGCGTGGCGGAGAAAGGCGAGATTGAGGCTGGAAAAAACGGACAAGCGCGACTCAGTGTGGGCGCCCGTTTTGTGATTGGTGACTCGAGACCTTGTCCCTACCCGCACTCGAGCCCATAGTTCGGCAGCTTGCTGCATCAACTCTTGTCATTTGCGATAGCCGACGGGAAACACATGATCTGGACAGCAACCGTGCAATTGAGTCAGAGAGTGCGCGTTGGCGGGGCTGGAAAATATCCGTACTTCAGCCTTAGAGCCCACCGAGGCGCTTGGTCTCCGGTTCCGCCTCTCCTCACCCCACTAACCATCAACTTCGCGCACAGCGCTGCGATATCGGTGTCGCCAGAGAACACAGGATGAACGGCTTGTCGTTGTCACCGACGACACCGCTGGCGCAAGGGATCTCACATCACCCGTTCGCCAGCCCTACGAGTGCGCACGCCCGAGGATTCAAACGCTCTGCTTCGACCGATGACGAGAATGAAAATGGCACGTCGTCGCGGCGCAACACTGCCGTCAAGCGTGCATGCAATGAGTGTCGCCAGCAAAAGGTAAGCTTCAGCAGAGTAATTGGACTCTGATAGTGCCAGTAGGGAGGCAGTTGCTTGGTCTTGGTGCGCTGGCGCAATCAAGGCATCGCCCGCTATCCTTTCCTAAGCTGCAGAAAGAGAATCTTGTTCTCGATATTGCCAACGCGCATCGATCAAAGGACAAAACTTCGTGCCCCGCTAACATTTGTCTCACAGCTCAAGTGCAACGTCCAGCAGGATCCCTTCGTGAGCTGCGCCCGATGCCAAAAGCAAGGCCTACGATGCGTCATCGAACCCAACTTTAAGCGGGTAGGCAAACGCAACCGCAATGCCGAAATGGAAAAGGAGATGGAGTACCTGCGTGATAGGCTCGCCCTGTACGAAGGGCAACCGATACCGACCCAGCCAACACTGAATGCTCCGCAGCCAGCGTCAGATAACCACAACTTCACTCCCGGTCCGATGCCCAAGCTGGAGGACGACGCCTTCTTACAGACACAACACACACAGGTGGCAGCGACGTCACTGCTGGACCTGCGCAGCGGATCGCCCATGTTTTTCGCGCTGGGCACTGGCGAAGTGCGGCTTGGCCATAGCGAGGTCAACGAGCTGTTCACCGAGTATTTCACGTTATACCACCCATTTCTACCCTTCTTGGATCAGGTGCGCTCCCCTGAAGAATACTACTCCCAGGATCACAAGCTGTTGTTCTGGGCTGTCATCGCCGTTGCAGCGCGCCGCAATGGGCCACGACCCTCACTTCTCAAAGACCTTGCGAAACCATTGAGCGATCTGATCTGGGACTCCATCAGGAACCAGCCGAATCACCATGTCGTCAAAGCCTTATGTCTTCTCTGTACCTGGCCGCTTCCCGCAGAACGGACTGTGACTGACCCAACATTCATACTATGCGGCGCGATGATGCAGGTTGCCATGCAAATAGGGTTACACCAGCCTACTCATCCACAAGATTTCCAGCGGGCAAAGGTGCGGCTAAGGCAGGAAGACATTCATGACCGACTACGGACGTGGGCGGTATGCAATATCGTAGCTCAGACGTACGTTTCCCCTTCCCACCCGCCCACAGCAACAACTGACAAGGTTTAGGGTATCCACAGGAAATGGGCAACCTTCCATTACGCTTTACGATTCGACTCTAGACTTTAATGTGGATGACGAGGAACATATGCGAATAATACCACCGACACTGTTCGTTCGTCTACGCCAGGAGATAGCAGCGAGCAGAATCAACAAGCTCCTATACTCAGCAAATAGTCACAGGTTTGCTGAAGGCGCCGCGACAAGCTATATGAGCCTCGAAGCGGATCGATTGAAAGAAGAGCGCGTGAAGGAAGACCGTGGCTCTCTGGACGGAGTGGATAACGGTATGTCAAGCATGGCCAAGCCAAAATTGGGCCTCACTAACGCATGTGAAGATCTCGAAGAACTGTACCATTATGCAGTATCGTTGCACCTCCACCTATACTCCTTCTTCAGCCCCGAATCTCGACTTGAACGGCGAGATGACTTAGTCGCCTTGTACTTTGCAGCTACGGCTTACCTCGAGCGCGTCTTCAAACTACAACGTGAGGGCAAGCTACCTCACGTTCCACACTATATTATGCAAATGGCTCTTGCTGCCGGATTCGCATTGTTGAAGCTCCTCAACTCTGACTTCGCTAGCAAACTACCTGCTGATCGCGGCCGGCAGTTTGTCCTGCAAACAGTAGATGCATTACGAAAGGCTAAGGTTTGGCCCAACGACCTTTTGGACCGCTTTGCCGAAGTCCTCGCACAGCTGTGGAAAGAGAGCTCTCGAGGACGCAGCCTCCACAGCCTGTCACAATCACCATCCATTAGCAATTCAGGAATGGCGACCATGTTCAACCACCACAACCATCAACAGCAGACCCAACAGCAGCAGCAACAAGGTCAAAGAAGAGACAGCACTGGCATGATGGATGATCCGCTTGGTCTCATAATCCGCAGCCGGATGAGCATGAGCGTAGTATTTGATTGTGCGTGGCGCTGGCGAGAGGCACAGGTCAGCGGTGCCGCGGAGCAACTGGATAGCATCGTTATGACCAACCCTACGAATCCCGATTCATCTACGAGCTCGACCCCTCCACCTGGTGTGGTTGTCGAGAATCCTGCTCATGGCCTTCCGAACTTCAACCCACATCTTAATACTCTCAGCATGCCGCTGCAACTACCCAACGGCTTAGCGAGCGCAAACAGTTACGAGTTCTTTGACTCCGTGTCTTGGATGCTGGAAGCGCAGACAGACTGGAACTCGTATGGAAATTCCGGGTTCGGGAACGACTTTAGTACCTAGGTGGCCCTAGAGTGACTAGCCTTACCACAAGCAGTGTTGGTTCCATCAAAACCGCCTTATTCAGGGCCTGCCCAATTGGTTACTTCACGATTTTCTAGTGCCTTCGGTTCTTTATGCATCAGCATTCTACAACCGATTCACCATACGATCCATCATACTCGATATCTAATCGACGTCTCCATGGTGTCGGTATCCATAGACTGAAGGATCTTCGGGTCTAAGGATAACCTAATACCTCTCGCAGACTATGCGTTTAGAGCCATGGGAGGTGCCAACAATCTCTAAGTTTTTCGTCGTCCCACGGACTGAACGTTTGCGACGTGATCCAAGACCACCTACAACACGCAAAGAAGCAGCGAATATCTGGATTTGGATGATCAAGCGCATCATGGAATTTAGCTAGCTAGCAGCCTAGCATGGCAATCTGAGCTCTTTGCCCCAGTTAGTATGTACCAGATGAACGCCATCACTGAAAGAGCATGTTCATGGGGAGTTCGAGAAGGGCTACTCGTCATGATCCTTCTACTGGACACACGGCGGTACTGTTTCAATACACTTTTGTTCTTGTTCTGTATTGACCCCTTGTAATTATTTCATTGCTTCTTCCCCGTATTTTATTTCTGTCTTTAGTCTTAGCGTGGCGTTCAAGGACCAGCAGCCTAGGAGGTGTTGTTTGGCTTGGTGTAGTACCCCATGCGTTTTCACAATTCTACTGTAAATTGGCATGCTGGCTGAGGTACATGTGGAGGGATTGACGATAATGAGAGCCGGGCATAAATAGCAGTAGCCGCTACAGTCAATAGCCTGACCAACAAGTTTCTATTCCATTTTCTGTTCCTTCGATTAGATCAAGAATCATATTTCTAATCGATATACCAATTCTGTCCTGGACCCACAACTTATTCTTAGCTATCGCAAGCCAAGCTAAGGTAGGAGTCGTGGATCTATAAGCTTTCGCTGCTCGTTGTTCGGAGACTTCTGCTGATACGTCCACTGCGTCGCCAGAATGTCTCCGCTTACGCTATACAATGTCTCCGCGCTCCTAATATCCAACACCACTAGTTATACTGGACCAATGTGCATACGGTGGAATAAGCCCTAGGCCCATTAAGCCCGAAGGTGAGCAGGTACTAGTCGTCAAGGAAGCATTCCTTCGACAACTGCTACGCTAACAGATGATCCCTACTTGATGACCACGCACTTAGAAGATAATATAAAAGTGCCAGCTTCCCCTGTTTCCCACGCAGGAAAGCATCATCACAGACGACGCAAATAGAAGAAATATACTTAGCCCTAACCTCGCGAGTAACCTTTCACCATGGCTGCCCCACACCAGGATCCAAGCGCAAGCGAGTTCAAAGAAGCCGTGAACGCCCTATGGCAAGAAGACGATGTAGCGAAGAAGTATGAGAATGCCGAAAAAGCAACGCGGCCCTTCGGAAAGATCCTCGTGGATAAATCTGGTCTCGCACATTTGAACTCTGACGCTCATGTCTTTGATCTTGCAACTGGGACGGGTGCCGTTGTTAAAGAGCTGTATGATGCAGTGCCGAAGGAGAAGTGGGGGAAACTGAAGATACTAGCGGCTGATGTCAGCCCGCCTATGTTGGAGTACGTGAAGAAATGGGCAGAAACGGAAGGCTGGACAGGAACAGAGACGCAGATTGTGGATGGCAATGTGAGTTTCGGTACAACCGTGCTTGAAAAAGGTACATACTGACATTACGCGTGCACATAGAACATTGACCTCCCCGCAAACACATACACGCACATATTCGTCTCCTTTGCCATCTTCGTCATGCCTGATGCGCTGCCGAAACTCTATGAGCTACTCAAGCCCGGCGGTTTTATCGGCGTAACGACGTTGGCCTGTCTGCCATGGCATTCACTGCTCGCTCGTTCCATCGCCAGAATGGCCGACGCACCCTACAGTCCGTCGTCCTCAGATCTTGAGGAGAAGCTGTTTTCCGGCCGACCGTGGGGTGATCACAAGTACGTTGTATCTCAACTCCGCGAAGTGGGGTTGCACAACGTCGATGTAAGCTCTCTCCTCCCCCCTATTATTCAACACGCGTGCATGCTGGCTGACTTTGCAATTTGTCTGAAGGCGGTGCGAGAGAAGAAGTCGGCGCAGGTTGGCACACCAAAGTTGTTCATGGAGTCGATGAGTTTTGTGCTTCAGATGGTGGGTGCGTATTGGGAAGAGGGTAAGAGGGAGGAGTGGTTAAAGGAACTGAATGGCATTATGCTGGAGGAGAGTGCGAAGGATGCGGGAGGCGAGGAGGAGCAAGTTACATTGGAATTCGATGGTATTGCTGGGTGGGGGTGGAAGAGTGGTTAATAGGGCATACCGGTGACTTGAAGCGCAGGTGTGAGTAGTAGATATGTATATTTCTTAAAGTCCTTAAAATATCCTTGACGTACTGGTCTTAGCATTGTGGCTAGTGCGGTGTCTATAAATACCGTTGGAAATACCCAACCACAAAACTATCCATTGCACTAATTTGACACCTTAGCTTTCTTCGACAGTCATTATGATGGCCTCTTTCACCATACCATACTTTGTCGACGAAACAAGCCTTCCTACTACGTTGCCCACGGCGGAGGAGATCGAATCTTCGACAGAAATCCTCAATGAGCGTATGTCGGGGGCGTCCGGCAAAGAAGTAGATGGGGTAATGGATCAAGATACCTACTGCAACCTCTTGGCGCGAACTTTTCGATAAGATCCGGAGCAGAGAGAGGTGTACTTTACTCAGTACAGGTGTCGTACAAAAGGAGCACGACTGAAGAGCATAATACTGACGGTGCGAGGGTGAACATGGCTAGCAAGGACTGAGAGATGGATCACGCTTCGAGTCCAGGTGATGGATGTACATAATGCCAAGACCACGCCATGCCCTTTGCGACCGTCCAAGTGACGTTCATTCACCCCTCGTGGCTTCGCAACTCAACCAACCTCAAACTCCAACGTAATGCTTTTTTGAACCTGCGCCGTCACTCATTTAGTCTTACATCTTTCTTTAGCAATCGTTCAGCGAGCGTTGGCGTTTTCACTGCCCAAAGATGCCGGGTCAACGCCCCCTTCTATTGAATCGAGCCTCGTCGGACATCTCTGGCGACCGCGACATAGCTGAAGAAGACGCCCTTCTCACTGGTCGCCCAACTCAGCGCACCGCCTCTGGGCCGCGATCATGGAAGTTCTGGCGCGAAGTCGGGCTCTTCGTCTGGGCCGTGATAGCCACGACGCTTGTCATCTTCCTCGCAGTCTTGTACCAGTCGTCTCAAGATGCGAAGCACCACAGGCCGCACCCAACCGGGAAGAGGAACTTGATATTCATGGTCTCTGACGGCATGGGTCCAACGAGTCTCAGCCTGACGAGGAGTTTCATGCAGTTCCAGAACGGCGCGCCCTTTGGCGAACAGTTGGTTATCGACCAGCACCTCATCGGACAATCGCGGACGCGCTCTTCCTCATCCCTCATCACCGACTCGGCAGCTGGCGCAACGGCCTTCTCCTGCGCGAAGAAGAGCTACAACGGCGCCATCTCCGTCACACCCGATCATGAGCCCTGTGGCACGGTGCTCGAAGCGGCCAAGAAGGCGGGCTACCTGACGGGCTTGGTTGTTACGACACGCATCACGGACGCTACTCCAGCATGCTTTGCAGCGCATGTCAATATGCGCCAGGAAGAAGATCGCATTGCGGAGCAGATGGTGGGTGATTTTCCGCTGGGAAGGGTGGTGGATTTGATGTTGGGTGGCGGACGGTGCCATTTCCTTCCCAACTCGACCGTCGAGTCGTCGTGTCGAGCGGATGGTAGGGATATCGTTGAGCTAGCGAAGAAGAATGGATTCAACTACATTGATGATCGCGCGGGCTTTGATAAACTGAAAGGCGGTGCTGGAGTTGAACTTCCTCTGCTGGGTCTATTCGCCGACACGGACATTCCGTATGAGATCGACCGCCGCAATGAGAACGACGTCTATCCCAGTCTCCACGAGATGGCTGAGACTGCTATGAAGGCCCTCAGCGAGGCGACGAGGGACAGCGACAAGGGCTTCTTTCTCATGATTGAGGGTTCCCGTATCGACCATGCAGGCCACCACAACGATCCCGCTGCTCAAGTGCACGAAGTCCTTGCTTATGACAAGACATTTACCAGTGTACTCAACTTTTTAAAAAACGACAAGACGGAAGCGGTCATGGTATCTACATCTGACCACGAGACCGGTGGTCTTGCTACTGCTCGTCGTATGTACTCTGCGGCCCATTCGTCCCAACTTCTTATCATAAGCTCTTACTAACCTTGATCAATAGAACTTCACACCACGTACCCCGAATACGCATGGTACCCCTCTCCCCTCGCAAACGCCACCCACTCCGCCGAACATCTCGCTCTCCAGTACGCGAAATATCTCATCTCCTCGCCTTCGGACGAACAGAAGGCCAATTTCATCCGCGACTCCATCAGGGACGGCTTTGGCATCTACGACTACACCGATGCCGAAGTCAAGAACCTTGTCGACGAGCCGCTGACAGCATTATACCAATACGCTGACATGATCTCGCGGAGGAGTCAAACAGGCTGGAGCACCCACGGTCACAGTGCAGCAGACGTCAACATCTACTCCTCCGACCCTAAAGCGGCAACGGCACTCGTAGGCAACCACGAGAACACTGAAGTCGGCGACTTTCTACGCGAGTACCTGGGCGTCGACGTCGATGCCGTGACCGAGGAACTGCGGCAAAAGGGCGCGGGACTCACCGTCTCGGACGTCAATGGCACGCAGGTGAGCTGGATGGGCAATATTCCCGTAGAAGGGCAGCGCCTAGATGGGCAGAATCATGTCGCGAGCTACGGCGGCGACTTTAAGAAGAGACATTTACAGCATGGAAGCGCATGTGACTGTGGGAACTGACCTGTATCCCAGGCTTAGAGAGTTTTCGTTTCGACGTCTTATTTTAGCGAGGCATTTTCCGGCGTTTCCGTTTCTTTTGCACGGCGTAGACTGGGGATATTTGTTTGTCCATATAAGGGTCCTACATGATCGCTGTCACCTTGCAGCACTTAGTACATATCGGGTGTCCGCTCTGTGACAGGTCAGACAGCCAGTCTGCACCAGGTGTTGCAAGGCGATAGTGATCACGTAGGACCTAGAAGAACAGTTGTATTTTGAGTACGTCTTTTGGGGAGGTATAAATTATGATAAAACAAAGTCATTCCTTCCTAATCGCCTCGTACTTGCGTGTACCAAACAAAAAGGCAAGAACAGGCTTTCCCATTTTCTCTCCAAATCAGACAGCTCTATTCATGCCTCGCTTGTCTTGTCTGGTCTTGACGCTGGCTTCAAGGCAGGAGGCACTCCAGCAACGCAGCGCTCCACATACTCTGCTCCAACGCATCCAGCTTGGACAGTCCATTCTCGCCCGTCCTCTCTTCTAGTGCGGGTCTCTTTCGCTGTCTGAGACCCGTGTTTTGTTCTTCCTCGCTGAGTGTAGTGGGCTGGTCAGTAGTAGTGTGCGACTCCGACGGAATATGGTCATGAATACCACGGGCGTGAATATCGATGTCGCGTGGAGTTTGCTGCCCCCATTTATCTGATTCAGACTGCCCTCGTCCTCGCCCTACTTCTGCGTTCTGTTGAAGTTTTGTATCCATCATCCATCTTTCTAGTCTTAGCCTCATATGTTCGCCTACCCTACACACCAAAGCAACAAGGTGCAACGCCGCCAGCACAGCAGCGCCAGCAGACGAGAAGCCACCGGCGGAATGCAAGCTCCAGTTTATCCTCTCGCACCGCTCTTTCATGCCAAGTTGCGGTGGTCGAGCCTCTTTGCCCTTTTTCCAGTCCAACGCAGAGTCATGGAAAGCCCAGTCGGGGTATTGCAGCGCAGCGGGCGTATAGCAGAATGCTCTGCTGGGGGCGATGTTGCTGAAGAATGAGAAGATGTGGAGAGATAGGATGGTAATCATCATGGTATCCCAGATCGTTTGGAGGATGAGGCGCTCTGTTGGTGTTAGGTGATTGGAAAGGAGAGGGTGGTAAGTGTGTGGCTTTGTCGGTGGCGGCGGTGATGATGTTGCGTTCTGATTGCCCGATGAAAAAGTCTCAGAGTGGTCGTTGTGCGGAGGGATCTGTGTCCTAATGTCTGCTGCATCGATTGAAGAGCCTTGTACTTCTCTTACAGAGTGGGACGTGCTGGCCTCACGTCTATCATTGTCATCGCGCTCTTTCTTTCCGTCGGCGATGTCCTCACTCAAGTTTTGTAATCGCTGTGCTCTATCTGTTGCCTTCTTCGTCGTATTCAGTTGTCCGTGGTAATATCCGACACACAACAGAGCGTGCACCAGATCCATTGGTACCTGCTCGCACGTCAGTTTTCCCTTCTATCTTCCACGCTGTTGTACCGCTCTCTACCCATGTACTAGGTCTCGACATCGCGCCTACTTACAAAGACAAAAACTACAACCCAAACCTCCAGCTTCAGCCCACTCAACTGCTGCCTCGTGAAATCCTCCTCCCAGACGTGAGGCATATCGAACTTCTCGACGACCTGTGTGGTGGAGGTATGCCAGATGAGTAGCATGAGCAGAAGTAGGGCGGTGATGCTTGTGAGTGTGTAGGTGGTGATGTACGTCTTGAGGAGTGCGCGGCGGACGTCATTGGCGTGTATCGAGCTCGAACCTGTGGTCGACATCCTAGGCGCATATCAAAGATCTATCGTGTATCGTGTATTAATGCGAGAGTTTAACGGGTGGTGTGAAGGGTCGAATGGTGAGCGACTTCTGTCTGTCTAGTGGAAGGAAGCGACTATCGGTGCAACAGACCTAACTGAAGGCACGCCTGGAAGATAACACAAAAGACACGTTGAAAGTGGGAAAGCAATCATGAACTGAATACTGAGAGAATTGTGGATAGATTGATAACTGGAAGAGATGCAGGGTCGTCAAGCGTGCCAAGTGGGTATACCTTTACGTGAGACGAAAATGCATCGATAAACCAAACGCCGCCGCTATGCTTTTGATGTCAACAAAGGTGACTATACTTCTTCTGACTGGGTCTGCAGCCACTCCCCATAGTACACGCACGTCCTCGCTGAGATTTCGCCCTCGTCGCCGCACAAATCGAAGACCGGGCAATTGCCGCAAGGAGCGTCGACAAACCCGTTATATATCTTGGTGTCGATGGCAGTCAAGACCGTTCGATAGCTGGTGCCCGAGATCTTCTCTAAGCGGCCATCGAGGACCATCATCTCCAGCAACTGCTCCATGTCATCTTCCCTGACAATTTTGCCCCTGAGGACCCCCTTGGCATTTACCCACTCGGCTACAGAGGCAGAATTTGGATATTGTGGGCTGTTCTTGTGGACGAGCTTTGAGGTGTTTGGGTCACTCGACGGCTGGTGGGGCTTCACAGCTGGCGCCTCCTCAATGTCGCGCATGCCCTGCGCGTTTGCCTTCTTCTGCGCGTAGTCGTTCCAGTTCCCTGGAACCTTGATGCATGTCTCATTTTCGACATACTGTGCCACTGCGCCCGAGATGGCTTGAATGAGGGCCGTGTCAAAGTCGCCTTCGGCTTGCCATGGTCCACCAGCAATGTCTTCCGAGGGCTGTAGGTGCTTCAAGAGGTACATTTTCCGGTTAGGGAACTTGACGCTCATGACGGACTGCACCAGTTCTTTTGATTCCAAGCTCTTCAGACATTTTGTCAGGACTTGTTGTGTGACGTTCGTGCGTGCTCGTAGCGCTTTGGACCAGATGCCTTCGGCCTGGACCTGGTCGATGTGGTGGTAAAGGAGGCGTTCATCGGGCGTCAGTCGCCGCAGTCTAAACACATGAATTAGCAGCGCTCACAAGAGAGGAGCCAACAGTTGTAGCCTACTTGTCGGCGTCTGATCGGGACCGCAGTTTCCAGCAGGGCTCGCCCTCCAGCGTCATGAGCTTCATAAGGTGGCGGTCGCACAGCTCTTGCAGCAGCATGGTCAACTCGCCCATGGTCTCAGCGATCTGCATGTTAGACAGGTCGCGCTGGAAGAAGACGGTGCCCTGGGCCTTCTGCGCGCATTTGTCGTAGAGTGCGTCGGCGGGACTGATTACATCCTGCATGCTGAGAGCTTCTTCCTCTTTAGGCACCGGCAAAGGCGCAGCTAATGAGGCCATGTTGGAGACTACTGCAGGTGTGCACTAAAGGCTATCGATCGATCATGGGCAAGGTGTGCTGCGAAGAGGCGACGACGACGTGCGCGCGGCCCACTAGTCGTGAATCACGAGAAAAAAGTTGGCGATGCGCCCGCTCACGTGACGTGCTGCTCCGAGCGTTTCTTCCCAAGTTTGGCGCTATCCTTCCCCACGCCTCCCGCCCGCCGCCCATCAATCAATCTCCCGCTCGCTTACCCCAGATTCAATCCGACGGCGTCGAGCCAACCAACCCGCTGGCGCTTTCACCAACCAGACACCCACCGGCGCAAGAGCTTCATCAGCATTTGCCAGGTTTAGATGGATGGAACTCTTATCCTGGCAACACACACCCCGGTTAACATTTGTCGAGGCCGAGGCAAGCCACACGGCAAACGTTAGACGATCCTTCGCGTCGTCGTCGTCGAATCCAAGCTCATGTATACCATCCATGTCAAGAGTCACAACGTTTCACTATGCAATGCACTGTTAGCTGGCTGCTACCGTCTTGCGCAACCATCGCTTGCACCTGTTGACATGTCAGTGATTCCGCAAACAAACGCCGTCTTAAACACGATACTGCGCCGCGATTGCGTCTGTCTTCAATCTTCAGACAGACGGCAGGGCTTGTCCAGGATGCTCGGCTACCATCACCCGAACGCCAGCACCCACACCCTCTTGATACTTACCGACCATCCCCGACGTCGACGCTTCTCCGCAATGTGACACGAAACACGTGGAGCCGCCGCATTGCTAAGCGATCGGGCCTTTCGATGTACATATCTCGCCAATCACTCCATGTCCACCATGCCATACGGAGGCCGGCTGGATAGGGCCCCATACGCCTAGAACATGGAACAATATCCCGATCCTTCGGGACGTGCGCCTAATTTAGAGGCTTTGACCGCCGCCTTGGAGCACTTTCTCCGCACTGGAACATCCGGGGACTACATACTTGTGGGTCGAGGCTCCTATGCAGTCCGTCAAGGATAAAGTGACCCCAGTTCCCCAGGTCTCATCTTCCCCAGCTTCTGCTCCTCCACCCTTTCTCCTATCTACGCTCCCTCTCCCACCCGCTGGGCATCATCGAAACCATGGCGAGCGAAAAGAACTACACTGAAGAGGTTACGACTGCGAACCCTCTCTCCCATACTCACACCGCAAGCAGCCATGGACTTCACCACGACCACATTGCCCAGGAGGCTCTCGGAGGTCATACAGCAGACCTGGGCAAATCATATTTCAGGAGCATGAATTTTATCGGCACTGTTATCGTGAGTTGCAAAGGTGTAGCACAGTACTCTGCGGGGTTGCTTACATGCATCAGGCAACGTGTCTAGCACAGATATCTGGATACCTTGGATGGGTCCTGCCTGCAAACACCCTCTCCCTCATCAATGCTGCCATTGGCCCCTCTACAAACATAATCTGGGTCGGCATCTCCTGGACAGCAGGCTTTGCCATCGGCTTCACCCTCGTTGGTCGCTTATCTGATATCTTCGGACGAAGATGGTTTTTCATTGCCGCGTCAATTCTCGGGCTTATTGGAAACATAATTGGAGCGAGTGCACAGAGCATCAACATGCTGATTGTACGTTTATGTCATTATGGACCGCTTATACTTGACTAACTTTATAGGCTACAAATTCCATCAATGGTCTTGCCGCAGCCGGCCAACTTTCGTTTCACATTATCCTGGGCGAGCTCGTCCCCAACTCCCTGAGAGGTCCCGTAAATGCCTTTGTGCTGTCTACCTCAGTCCCTTTCGCTGTTTTCGGGCCTCCCGTCGCACGATCTCTATATCAGACTACTGCGTTGCAGTGGCGTTGGTGTTACATTTTGGGCTGCATTGTCAATACTTTCGCCATTACCTTATATTTCTTCTTCTATCACCCTCCAACATATGTAAGCGAGTCCTTCTCCAATGACGCACAGTATTGGACTGACGACATTAGGAAATGCTTCACGTCGGTGGTAAATCCAAACTAAAGCAGCTTAAGACTCTGGACTGGTTAGGCATCTTCCTCTTCTCGACTGGTCTTGTCGTATTTTTGATCGGCTTGAACTGGGGTGGCTCCGCGTATCCCTGGAAGAGCGGACATGTGCTTGGAGCCTTGATCGGTGGTTTCGCAACCTTGGTTATCTTCTGTTTCTGGGAGGCTTATTCCGGACTCGAATACCCCCTCATTCCCATGCGACTCTTCAAAAACATCGCGTACGATGCCAACGTCGCTTGTGCTAGCTTGGCTGCCATTGTTTACTACGCCAACTCCATCATTTGGCCGACCATGGTCAGCTCGCTTTTCACGACCAATATTACCGAGATCGGCTGGCTCTCAGTGAGTACCATGATGCTAGATTTTATGTGTGATCTCTAACTAACGCCAAATAGTGCGCTGTCGGTGGTGGTCTCCTTCTTGGCCAAATCCTCGGTGGCGCCGGCGTTCGATTCCTTCCTAAGATGAAGTATCAAATGACCGTCGCAGGCATCCTTACCACAGCTTTTGTCGCTGCTGTCGCTGCATCGACCCCTAACACTAGGAATCAAACCACCGCGCTCCTATTGCTTGGCACGATTGCAGCAGGATACATCGAGAACCTCACTCTCTCCTCGACGGCCTACCTTTGGGATCCTGCGGATATGGGTCTCGTAACCGGTGTGATGGGTGCTATCCGTACCGGCCTATCCGCCATCGCAACCAGCATGTACTCGTCCATCCTCTCCACCGAAGCCGCCAAATATATTCCCCAGAAGGTCATGCCGGCTGCGCTCGCGGCTGGACTACCCGCAGCATCTCTCCCTGCCCTTTTCACGGGTATCACACTCAGAAACTTTACCAGTGTGCCTGATATCTCTCCCGAGATCATTGCGACCACAAGCGATGCAGTCAAAGAGGCGTATTCTCTGGCTTTTAGGACTGTGTACCTTTGCACTCTTCCCTTTGGAGTACTTCTTATCATCGCTGCCATGTTCTCACCCAATGTAGAGCAATACCTTACAGATGAAGTAGCTAGGAAGATGCATGGGAAGAGCGAGAAGACGGAGGTGACGCGAAAGGAGGTTGTCGAAGATGTATAAACCCAGCTTTACGATGCTTAATGAGGGTATTCTGGCCCCTATTTCTGTACATGGTACATCTACATATATGTAACGCAATAACGATTATATTATATGGATATGTCTTACGTTCCAATCATTTCGACTTGAGGAATCCATCACAAGCATTAACAGGATTGGCCATAACTACTACATGACGTCCGTCTCCTCCCGCGCTCGTTAGCTTAGTCGCTGCGAGAAAGATTGAGACCCAGTGCTCAATAGGACCAACATTGCCCTTTGCAACTTCTCCTGAAAGATTTTTTTTCGCCGCCGCCCTTGCGCCATTTTCATTTTGCCTCTTCTTCGCTTCCAACCCCTCCTCCAACCCTCGAATTCTCTGTCTTTGGCCCCCAACTAGCCCTGTAAGTCCCGCTATGATACTTGCTACCACCCCATGTCTTTCCGTCCCTCTTCCCGGCCTATTCCGCGTTATGGCTTCCAAGCTCATCTTGACCTCCCCTTTCTTCGACTTATCAATCTGTGCAATCATATAATCCACGGCATGACTACAAAGGTCGTGTTCATCCTTGAGCTCGGCGACTTCTCTACGGGTAATCTCCAGTTCAGTAAGGCATGCTTCCGCATTGGCCTCGGCAGTTGCTTATCCCTTAATTGCTGTAGTTTTTCCTGTACCTCCTCTCCAGAACCATCTCATCACCCCTCGGTGGATTTGGCTGGACGCACACGTTGTCGTTTTGATGGAGTATGCCTTTCCTCCTGAGACTCATCGTTGAAAACCCGTTTCCGAACGTTTTTCGGACTCATATGACCCACTTCTCTATCGCCAGGAGGATGAGTCTGGACCCTCTTGTTCAGTTTTCCATATCTGAGTCCTACAGATGCACCGCGCTCTCTGCTGGTGGACTGCGCTTGGCTGTCGAAGCCTATCGGAGACTCGGGGCCCTCTTCTGTGAGATCTTGGACGTTATCCGAAGATATAGTCGTTTGATGGTCTGGCCCATCGTTCTAAGAGATATCAGCACAGTAAACCAGCCATTTCGAGTTTCAGATTTACTTGCTTTACTACTTCTCCAGGCTCGAACCAAGACGCTCCGACCGAATCTTACCAGCTTCGTGGTGAGCTCCTGATACACTAACTCGTCCGCGGTGGCAGTGTGCGCATTTGCCACCAACCTGCTGGTCCAGCTGTGGGATTTGAAGGACTAACGGAAGCGGCTTTGGTAACCAAATCAGTAATTAGCAAATCCCATGGTGTAGAGTTAGGTTCTGCTTGAGCTCATTTCCCAAGTTACACAGACTAGGGTGGGATGCGTTTGCTGTTCCCAATTTTTTTGAGCACGAGAGATGCGCCTTCGGGAAACTACATGATTTGATATCAATGCATGACAGAGTTGTTAATAGTGAGAAACACTTCACTTAGGTGGCATTCTGAAAAGGGATGAACGTGGATCTTAACGCTAACTTAGCAGAATTACATTGCATGAATCTTTTATAAGCTCTGCTCAGTAAAGGCACCGCAATTAGTATTCTAAGAGTGCATGACCAGCGTGATCATGGACTTTGCATTGCTGCTTTGTGCGAGAGGGATTCATAGAAGCTAAAACATTACTTGACCCCTACACAATATTGCGAATGCCACGCTCATTACTCCCGCCTCAATTTCAATTCTTCGGACACTTGTGTTCTAGTAAAAATGAAGTATATCGGTCGCCGGTCGTTCCTTGTCTACTAACATATAGAGACGTGTTTTGTTGTGTACTAGATTCGTACGTGCGCTTCCGAGTTTTTAAGAGTGATATATGTCGACTGTGCGTTTATGAAGGAAGTGATGAGTTTAGACCAACTCATCGCAGTAACAAGTCGATAAAACTAGAAAGGGTCTGTATTAGTCCAGCCAGCGAGAGTCACTACTCCTCGAAGTTCTTAGGGATATACTGCGGCAGCACTTACTCAGTAGCTTATGCGAGATTAATTACGAGCAAAGGTTCGGGCGTTGCAATGACAGAAATAATACGTGTAGTACACGCTACCCCACACGGTTCATTGCTGGGGCAGCAAAAAAACGAGATGTACTCCAGACCTTCATTATTTAATAGACCATTTCTATGCACCCCTCTCCAGCGGCTACATTACCTCCTTTCATAATACAGTCTTACTCTAATCCCTCTTTAACCACTGCAAATTTACTGGGCTTACCACTCCGCTCTCCCCCTTCTCCAACCACCCCAGCAAGTTTTCCATCCCTAATCTCTCAAACCCAATATGGCTCTCCACACTTGCTCCAGCCGTATGGCTCAGCGCCATAACATTTTTCTTTTTCACGAGCTTTGGGTTGACATTTGGTTCGTTGGCATGGACATCGAGGCCTGCGGCGCTAATGACACCGTCGTCCAAGGCCTGACTGAGCGCGTCCTCGTCGACGAGCTTTCCGCGTGCAATATTGACAAGTCGAGCGCCGGGCTTGAATTTCGCGAACTGCGGGGTGGAAAGGAGAACTTCGCCGTTGAAGGGTGTGGCGAGCAGTACACAGTCTGACGTTTGCAACAACTCGTCCAGCGTTGCGCACCAGCCTGCGCCGATTTGTTCCTCCCGTTCCTCCATGCGCACCACATCGTGGTAGACGATCTTCATCTCAAATGCCCGCGTCGCTTTCTCCGCGATCCGCATCCCAATCCGACCAAGTCCTACGATCCCGAGCACAGTCCCGTTGGGGTTATGTGTCACTGCAGCAATGTTCTGGTTCGCATCCTGAAACTGCTCGGTATCGCAGGACTGCGCGGCGAGGAACGACCAAGCTATTGCACGGTAACACGATAGGATGAGTACGATCGCCGCGTCGGCAACGGACTCGGTGCATGCAGAAGCGCTGTTACAGTATATCGTCCCGTGTTGCGCGAGGGCGCGGGTGTCGACCCAATCGAAGCCTGCACCAGCCGAAGCGTAAATTTTGCAGGATTTGGGGAGCAAGTCACTGCGAAGTGTTAGTAATGTGACCTATGCCATCGAAGACATGATTTTGTAGGATATACATCAGTTCTTTGTCCCAGTTCCCCATTTCACCTCCCGTATTCCAAAACGGGCGATATATCCCTACAAAATCACCCCATCTCCTGTCCTTCAGCGCTTGCTTGAAATCTTCTCTCCCTATCGAGTAGGTCCGCTCAACCTTGAATTTCTTTGTCAACTCAACATATAGCCGGTGGTTCCACCGGATGTCATCGCCAAGATGGAGGATTGTCGGTCTGAAACTTTCATCTGGGTATGAGCCAGAAGCAAGAGACGAGGTTTTGTTAGGGGCTGGTGGTGGTGGAAGGCCCGAATCTTGGGGTGTTGGCGTTTCTGCCGACATAGTTTTGTGGTATAGCCAAATCTAAAGCAGTACCCACACTGGCGATATTGGCGCGACTATGTATAAAGAAAGCCTGTAAGCAGAATGACTTAATGACTAGTACGAATGCCAATGATTGCAAGAGGGGTAGTTGTCTGCTTTCCGAACAGCTTTTATAAGATTTTCCGTGGCGTGCCATAAGGTTTACACGTGTTCATGCGGCAGCAAAAAGAAACGGTAAGATACAGCCTGTGTTTCGTCTGGTAAGAAATGTCCGTTAAATATTCGCTGGTGAATGTAGTCGTAGCAGTATGCGCGTTCCGAGTGGCATGTGAGCGCTAGGACAGAGCTTCGGATCGCAGGATCGGTATGAAGTCGGGGTCACCTATAACTGCATGCGATTGTAACCACATATAGGGCGGGGAAGATACGGTTATCAGCACGCAATTAGCGCCTCGACGTGGCTTCGGCTGAACCCTGCATGGCCGATAATAGGCCGGTGGAATAAGAGGAGGTACTCACGGTTTGGCGATGTCTCGAGGACTGCCATCGATTGAGGCTTGAAACCGTCAATTGGTGGAACATCGTAAGCCAGAACTGTTAAAGCAGGATTGAGGAGTTGTGGCGGTTCCGACGACGAGGCGCGGCATCCTGGCTGGGCAAACATCATCACCAACCTCTGCCGAGAGGCCCGCGATCTTGACGAAAACAGATGAACTTTGTTATGCTACATATGTACAGTACAGATCGTATCATGATCAGGGGTATAAACACCGCTATCCGTAGGGCAGAGTTGAGGTATCCCAAAGCGCCGGAAACTACCGTCGTAAATTCATACTTATGTCAAACTAACGCTGTAAGATGACGCTCCATCCCCAAAGGTATTCCTCACATGCTCCGGTCCTCAAAACCAACGCATGATCCCCAGATGCCCTGACCCGTTTGGATTCGGCGGATTCGCCTGATTATTTGGTTGGCCATCAAGCCCATACTGGTTCACCATGTCGTCCCAGAGCGTCCAATCCATGTTTCCGCCATCAAGAAGCGGGGAGTCTGTCTGTTGGCCGTTGTTGTTAAGCGTAGCTGGTATTGTGGTAAAGTCCATTTCAGGGTTTGAAAACATGTTGTCACCGAATGTTGGGTGTAGTACGCCGCCAGCAGTGCCCGAAGTACCATTCTGGGACTGAGCATGAGGGGCAATGGTCGTGAGGGGCTGATTGGTTTGCACCGCGTCTGTTACGTCATGGCGATTTGTAGCTGGATCGAAGTTAGGGTAGCTATTGATAGATGTCCCGTCGAAAGTCATATCGTCCATGACATCAAGCAGGACGTTGTCGAGACCAAAGCTGGAGAGCTCATGGAACTCTTGCCCCGGACTGTTACTGTTGCCCTTAGAATTAGTGAAGTCATGTCTAGGCACCTTTTGTTGCTTGCTAGTGCCAGAACCGTCGCTAACAGGCGTGAAGAGAATGCGTTCTGCATTAGCCATAGACGGGCTGTTAGGCCAACTAGGCTGCAAAGCAACTGGTGTCTCACCCAACTTGGGCGCAGACGGTCTAAGCAATCTATCCAGGTTCTGTGAGCTTGGCTGATCTATCGATGGAGGGAATCCATGCGGGTAGTTGTAGGCGAACGGATCGTTTTGAAGGGCCTGACTGGCTCGCTCAAGCGCCAACTCTTTCTCCCTTGCCGCCTTTGCTTTTACAAGAAGCTTCCTCAACGGCAACCATAGACAACCTTGCTGACCCTTGCGATAAGGGGAACCGTCGTTCAGAGGAAACCACCAACGGCCAGCGGTTGCTTCGAGGGCATTCCAAGCACGCTCCACCGCTTCGCCCTTGGTTCGAACGCAAAGCTCCGAGAGAAGAAAGGCAATGGCGTGCCATTGGACGTAGGTACGGAAGAGCCAGCCCCATTTCATGGTGCGTGCTTCTGTCTCAAGTAAGATCGAATATTCAATATTTTCAAGAGAGGTAATGAAAAGTTTGTCCTTTGTTTCTTGTGGTAGCGTTGCGCCTGTAGCATGTCAGATTTAGTAAATCGGTTCCCCGACTTCTGCACGCACCTCCGTCTTTGCGCTGATGTGGATGGTACACGATCAGCCACATCTTGCTCATGACGAGCCTTGAAAGTGTAGCTGTCACCCAGCATATCGGTATAGACATGTCACAGTTCTTGAGGTACCTGTCTTCCATGCGTTCATGGCACTCGGCGATCCATTTCTCCTTGTCTGCTATTGAAAGCCCAGCAAACATCTCAGTACACCTGTTAGGCCCAGGTGGGACGTAAAGAATGCGACGGAAGATGTTCGCGACTTCGAATCGTATGAGGCAAAAGGTCATGTCCGTGAAGCCTCGCCGTTCTTCGGGAAGTTTGGTCATTTTTGGCTGTAGGTCAGTGTCGTTGACGTTGAGGGGCTATGAACAAGCATTGTTAGCGGCTGATCGACTCACAGGTAGGATGACTTACCATCTTGGTGTCGAACTGTGCTTCGACAATGGTAGGATCGCAGCCATGGTCCTCAGACGACCTCGCGTCTAGGATGCAAACCTGCCACCAAAGCCTCCTACGCATCTCGATCTCAAAGGGAGGAAGGCCAAAGTGACTGCCATCTCTGTGAATTCCAAGGGTCTGAGCAATGCGTACAACAAGACCAGTGAGTGTCCAGATCTTGCGCGCATCGTCGTTTCGGCGAAGTAGGATCAGGAATATTACAAAGGCTTGGAGAATGATGACCTCGTCGCAGTATAGGAAGTTTGCTCTCGAGAGCGCCTGTTCTAGGCCAAAGCGATACCTACCGAGAAGCGTACTCCTGTCCTCGCCCCACCTTTCTCGACAGTCCTCAGCACATGTACTTGTCACTGCGCCATAGTATACGGCGAATAGAAGCGGCTCTAGCCCTTTGCTGACCTTGTCTACTTGTGCTACGGCCTTGAGGAACGTGGGCTCAGAGGTGGGTATGTGTAGCACCTTCACCAGCGGATCCACATTCTCTTTGTACGTCTCCCAAAACTGACGCGCCTGTTGTTCTGGGGGGTGAAGCGCCAGCATATCGACGCTTGTAGAGCTGTATCCAAAGATGAAACCTTGGTGTTGTGAGGAGGTGTTCGAGGATTCGGGCGAATGAGCGTCATCCTCGTCGTCGGACGGCTCGATAAGGATGGCTTTGAGATCTTCGACCTGCCCATTGTCAGCACCTGGTTTTCTTTGCCAGGCATGGAGGAGTGAGTGACATACCTCATTGTTCAAACTCGCCCAAAAGCTGTTGTTGATGTACCGACTCCTGCCCTTTTCCACCACCAGCCTGCCAAAGCGGTTCTCCAGGCCCTCTACACTGTTGTCCACGGCCACCTGACTCTGACTCTGCATAGGGCATTCCTTCTCACTCGTGCTGCTCTGTTTCTCCTGCTCTCGCCCTGCAGCCTCTTGCTCGTGTTCCTCGACCTGCGCATTGAGACTCGACACAACGCCCTCGAGGCGCCGTAGGCGGTCCAGCAGCTCGGCATCTGCCGGCTTCCGACTCTTTCGCGGCGCGCGACCGGGCCCAGGAAATATGCATTCGATCTTTGCGCGCACACAATTGGAGCACGGGTTCTTCTTGTTGCACTTGACTTTGCGGCGACGACAGGTTACGCACGACCGGGGATTCGGAGTCGGCCCGCCCGCGGAAGAAGGTCCGTTCGAGTGGCCGTTAGATTTCGGTACGCTGTCGGTTGGACTCGTGGGGAGAAGCGCATCGTCCGACATGATACCTGAGTGACTGTTGAAAGGCCTCCTGCAGCAGAATAATAAGCTGTCAAGTTCACGTTCTGGCGCGTGGCTGAACTTTTGGGCCAAGACCCTGGTAGATTGTCGGGGGTGGAACAAGAAGAGGCACCGATGCTCACGGGCACTGCATGCAGCATGAGTCTCACTGCCGCAGTGGGGGGCAAAAAATGGGTCAGATGAGTCAAGCACGGAACTCTGCTACTGCCATTGTACGGAGAAAGGGCTCTGATAAGTGGCAATAAGATTGCTATGGTATGGTCATGCGAGGAGGTTAATAAGTACCTGAATGATATCCCCGGCTACCCACGCCTGTCGTCATGATCTGAGGCTACCGGCAAGTAGCGAGACTGGCCTGAACTGAAAGCTTGTTATTTTCGTGATCTGTTCGAGGACTCCAGGTGTGCAAATATCGACTGCCCCCTACAAGACAAGACTATGTAGAGATGCCCAGGCATGGTACATGCCTTCCAAGGTTGTTACCACGGAACTATGCCCCGTGCGTTGTGGCGCCGTGCTTAGTCAGCACACATTCACAGCCAGGTGCGCATCACCTGCCTAATCAGGCCTTCTCGTTCCCCACTCATACATGCATTGCAAGGTACAACGTGGACTCCAGCAGGCAACAAAGAAACATGGGCTTCGATATTGCGCGGCCGACAACTACCAAAGGCACGCCAGATGCATGTGGCTAAAGGATCGCCGTATGTGATCGGGGCCCAAGTCCGCATCTCCGATAATGAGAAGCACCTATCAAGCTCTGCGGGGTATATAAGCGGGTAGTATCAATGTGTAGTGTGCATCGGAAGCACGTGTATACACTAGGGCAAGCTGTCACAAGACTGACATTTAACGGTGAACAGCGACATGGGGCATGCCGCTTGTGCGGGTACAGTTCAAAAGCACAAAGTTAAGCGGTTTATAATTAGTATACTACCTGTAAGTCTATTCTATATGCGATGCTACTTGTTGAGAACATGCGAAACACACCATCGACACCTATAAAATCGACTCCACTTTGCATCTTCATTCACCGCCGGCCAATCCAACCAACCCTCCATACTTCAACGTATTCCTCGTAGCAGCCATCATGGCCTCTTCACTCGACACAGTCAATATCATAGCAGAACGAGACGGCTTTTCCTGGCTTGTGCCTCTGGCTTCAAAGTGACTGCGCAAAACCATCGTCAGCGGGCTCGCTCGATACGGAATACGAGACTGGTTCTGTGCTCGGGCACGGATGACCTCCTTCAACGCAAAGAGATCGGTGTTAATCTGGCGACCTTGCTTCTGCTCCTGCATTGTCTGTCTTGGTGCAGTGGAGGCTTGTTGGTTTTGGTCAAAGTACTCGGACCCCGCGAGGTCTACGAAGACGAATTTTCCGCCTAGACAGGCGTGGCGAGTCGTCGCAAAGCACGCAACAACTGCTTCTTCCGCGGCGACTAAGCGGTCTTGGTAGAGTTTCTTCTCTGCTTCGGCGGCGTCGATGCGCGTCTGGTTGGGAGGGCACTCTGGGTTCGGCATGTATGTGCCGTCAGAGTTGCGAATGAGGCTCGCCATCTGCTCTTCCAGATAAATATCCGTGGCGCGTTTGCCTACGGGTACGAGTTCAGACTCGCGCTCAATCACCGCATCACGCGCCTCTAACAAAGTCTTGTTCACGACTTCTAGCTCCACCACGGCGTGTGTGCGCGAGCTCTCCTCGTGCACTGACGACGACCCCGTTTTGCGCTTTGCCAGGCCGTCCAGGATCGTCGCACGTGTCTCCTCGAATGAAAAACATGGCTTCGCAGCAATGGGACGTACCCTTACTCTTCCGTTTTCAAGCATTTCAGTTTGCCCGCGAATGTGCGTGCGGCCATCAGGACCTTCGCGGACATGACATTCGGCGCCGTTGTTGAGCAGATCGTATGCGTATCTACCACGCACTTCGTACATCCGGACCGCAACGCCTAGCTCTTCTCCTCTGCTTTTCGAGTCTGCTTGCCGGTTCATGTCAAACTCAATGATGCGGTCCAGAGCGTGAAATACATCTCGTGCCGCCGCCAAACATAAGCCAAGCCGCTGGTCTCGCTCGTAGTCGTAGCCAATGATCGTGTGTGTCTTCCCACTGCCAGAGTGTCCGTAGGCGAAGAAATTGCAGGTTACCCCCTTCAAGATGTGGGCTAGTGTGGCCGCAACGACGTGTTCGTAGACAACGCTGTTGTCGTCAGCCGCTGTAAAGACGTGTGTGTAGGATGCTCCGCTCTTCCATGTCTCAGGCCGACCTGGGTTAGCACTCGAAGAAAAGGATACCGAGAGTTTCGAGTCCTGTTGTGTAGCGCTATGTTGGAGTTCGGTTCCGGGCAACTCGCTGGCTGGTAGTGGTCGCCAACGCACAAAGACTTGGAAAGGACCGGCAACTGGGTCTTGGACTGCCATTATCAAACACGGTACAGAATCGTTGTAGATTTTAGGTATGTTCAAAGACGGTCAGTTCAGTATAAAGAGTGCGCAAAATGTTGCTGCCTGAAGTTGCCTAGCCAACACGGGAAAAGCAGCTAATGAGTGGGTAACCCGCTTAGAGAGATCAGGAAGAGTAATAGGTAATAATTTGTTCTCAGAAGCACTTATTCCCTACTAGCTTGTCCAGTCAAAGCTGTACACGTGAATGCCGCCTGAGTAACCGTAAATCTCTTCTACTCGACGCCCAGCGCCTTATAAATAGCCCGTACATAGGCTCTACTCCTCTCACTTCCCATCACTGCAGTCTCCATCTTATTCATCATGTACGCAATCGTCACTTTGCGTTCCAAATCCATAATCACAATGCTTCCACCCCATCCACCCCACGCACAAACCCTGCCCTCGGGCAGCCAGTCCAGCAATGAATTGGGACCACTAAGCCCAAAGCCAATGCCAAAGCGAATAGTTTGGCCAAGGACCAGGTCAGGAGCATTCGATTGCTCTTTGAAGATGAGATCGATAGTCTTGGGCGAGAGGAGGTTTCCGCCGCCGAGGGATATTGGGGAGAGAATGTGTACAATGCCACGGGCGTTGGTGTGCCCGTTTGCGGCGCCGACTTCGCCTTTTCTCCACACCTCAGTGTTAGCCCTACTCGCATCCATGGAAGGGTTCATGAGACTCTTGAATGCAATAGAGGTAGGGTCTTTGAAACTGTCCGGGATTGTGGCGGGATCCATGGGCGGTGGTGGAACGATCTCCGCCACCCTGCCCAAATCCTCGTCCTTCGCACCGAGCTGGAAGTCAGCGTTAAGCGGCGTCGCCAACTCCTCGATGATGAATTGACTGAGCGATTTCCCGCTGACGCGACGCACTACTTCTCCAATGAGATGACCCATGGTCAAGCTGTGGTATCCAGATGCTGTGCCAGGCTCCCACCAAGGTGCTTGGGCAGCTAGCATCGCAGTCGATTTTCCCACGTCGCAAACGTCAGCGCCCGTCACGGGCTCTACCCATCCGCTCACGCCACTGGCATGGCTTAACAGATGTCTAATCTCAACGTTTTCTTTACCGTTTGCTGCAAATTCTGGCCAGTACTTCGAGACCTTCTCGTATGGGTCCAGTAAGCCGCGATCGATGCAGACAAGGGCAGCGAGACTAGTGACATTCTTAGAGGTCGACCAAACGTTCACAATGGTATCCTTTTCCCATGGTTGTGAATGGTCTGGTTTCGCGTAGCCGCCCCAGAGATCAACGACATCTTTGCCATCGATGTTGACGGCAATGGATGCTCCTAGCTCGGCTCCTTCATCTAGGTTGGATTGAAACAACTTCTCGACTTCTTTGAAGCGGTCTTCGGCGGTTCCTTGTACTTTTGCCATTGTATTTGTGAACGGTTGCGTGATGTGAAGGACGTGTGAGGCTGAGTAAGAGACTAGTCGTGATTTATGTCCCTCGGTCAACCCACAATCTGTTGAGTGCTCTATGAGCTTTATACTTTTTTCTTTTTTCTTCTCGCCCCATGTGGATGTCTGCCTAGTAAGGTACGCGGCATAACTAGTAGCACATTAAAGTGGAGAGCGGGAATGCCTATTGGCAGGTTTAACCGAATTCAGAAGTAGATCCGTTCCGTGTCATTACAAACGAGTAGTAGTTGTAAGCAGTACTCGGACGAAAACGCAGGAAAGATGCTACCTCCAAACCCCACCTCGCCATTAGTGGATGGGTAGTAGTTTGAACAGGCGACCAGCACTGTCTCACTTCTATCCGTTCCCCTAATTTCTCTTTAAGAACTGCGGAATCTGTCTTGAAAGCTAGCAATGAGGGTGGAGTAATGCAAAGCATCGAAGCAGCTGCACATGTCAAATTCCCTCGTATTGCATGCGTATGTGCAAAGTTGATGAGCTCTCAACTATAATAAGCGAGTCAGCATCGACCACATTGGAAAACGACCCAACAGATCAAGAAAGACAAGTCGCATGCTGATAAGCCCTAATGCAGGGCCTAAAAGCACTGACAAGTTAATAGCTCTGCTCATATAAGCTAGGGATCTGCAACGCGCAACGCGGTTCCATAATCAAACCGTCCTTCTGTTTCATTTGTAGACACTTTACTTGAGAAACTTACTAATAAACCCTTTCCCTTCCTTCACCAGATGCTTCACTTCGTGGGTCAAATTTGCGCTTCCACTACCTCCGCCTTGCTTTCCAGGTTCCAAGAACGCACCGCCACCTCCTCCATCGCCACCGCAATGCCCCTTGCCACCACAATCACCTCCTGGGCAGCCCTGGATGAAGTGGCTCACCTCACCACAGCAACGTCCACATTCTCCGCTGCCCATGAAAGGACCCCCCTGACCCCAGCCTACGCGCATGACGCGCGCCTTCCTTCCTTCCCACCCCGTCTTGGCATCCGTAGCATGGAAGACACCCCACACTTCCGGACCTGCTGGACCGTTGATGAGGACGAAGTTGCCATGTCCGGGGCCATACGGTGGACTATCATCTTTACTCGCCTGGAGCAGGGGATTGTTCGACTTTGCCCAACTCCTCAGGTCCAGAGGATGTCCACCAGTGTAATACAACACATTCATCTTGTACTCATGCGTCCAGCTTCCTGCACAACTATACACAAGGCCCATCCACTTTCCATCCGGCGAACACAAGAACTGCGGACCCTCATTGATCCCGCTTTTCCCCGAGAACTCGAATTGTAGGTCTGGCGTGCTTATACGGATGGGGTGCCCCGTACATTCGGTGGGGGAAACCATTTCGATGATGAAGATTTCTTGTCGCGATTCATCGGAGTGTGTTCCAAGGGGCCAGCCGGAGTATGCAAAAAGCATGGAGCCGTGGAGCGTGATGACGGTGCCATCGATGGCCCATTGGTCCTCTGGCAAGCCGGCTAGACGACCATGAAAGTTCCATTTACTAGGCTCTAGGGGGTTCTCTTCCGCTGGAGGCCCAGCCAGGACATACATGCGATGGGTGCGGTTGCCATGCTTTGGATCGTCGGCAGCGAAGTACACATACCACCGTCCATGGAGTGAATGTAGTTCTGGAGCCCACAGGTCGGCAGAGTAGGGCTGGTCTGGCGGTGGGCGCCAGATGACTTCTTTCTTGCACTTCTTTTCAAAATCGAAGAGGGAATCGGCAGACCATACCTCAATGTGTCCGCCGCAGGTAAACGTCATGTAGTAAGTTCCCTTGTCCCATAGCACATAAGGATCTGCACAGCTGCTGTCCGTAATTGTAAGAACCGAGTCGTTGTAGGGTGGCATTGCCATGTGCAATTGGCCTGGAAAGTCTGCCATGGTGTCTGCTCCTCGCTGTCTTTCCAGCCTCTCTTCCAACTGCCAAGTGCTGTTCCGCTTCTTGAGGCGCTTTCTTATCTTTTGTACCAGTTACAGATTTGAATTTCGTGAACGTGCTGATGGTGGCCGCAGTGGTTGTGGTCAATTGAGTCTCTGATCCTCTGAAACTGTGTGAGGGGTGAGGCTGTGGAGCATGTGGTGGTCACAGCCACAATTGCTCACGCGCCACGTCAGCCTTGGTTGTGACGTCATCGTGGGTCGGTCAGATTGCCGATACTGCCGTAAAAGGCCTTTTCTGGGGCAATTGGCTGCCGGGGCGGAGAGGCCAGCTTCGGTGGGGGAAGACGCAGGCCAAGCCACCTGCCCTACAAGTATGATTGATATTTTTACGCAATCTACAAGAATATCGAAAGCATTGTATGTGCGAAACATGAGTGCCATTGATTATCTCTATACCCTAATAGAACAGAGGATTCCATTCGTCATGATCTATGATGTCCGAACCCCATTACTATGCCATGTACAAGCCTCCATCCGCCTCGCAAATGTACTGCTGTCTGAAATGCCCATTTTATAGTCTAGGCTCATATCCATAACGAAGCGAACAAAAAAGGCGTGCCTTTGGTGGTGAACAGAAACTAGCGATAGATGGCAGTAACAGTACTTTCGTGTTATCTCCTGCTCGCACCCAGCATCAAGTCGGGAGAGTGAGGTATCCAAATAGGTATAAACGGTATACAAGCGTGGCTCGAGCTGCATTGCTCGTGAGATGATAGTCAAAAAAGTCGTCGCTAAAGAACGCCATGCCGTGTGCGACAGAATGCCGGTAACAGATAAAAAATTTAAGCCGGAGAAATGCTATATTGCTAAAAAGCAACGAATGGACGTGCAAGTTTGATAAGATTATAGTTCGGTCTTGAGCGTCTGGTCCGCGGTGAGTTCACCGGACTCGATACGATCAACGCGGAGGACGAGTTCCTGTTCAGCTTATTAGCATCCATAAACCTTCTTCTGAAGGCTCAAACACGTACCTTGAGCGCTCGAGCAGTCTTGAATGCCAGTGGAGGAATCCTTTCACGGCCCCCGCCTCTTATATCAACGGCCAGCATGCTTTGTCTACAGTCGTCCAAGACTTCGACAACTGGAATGGCGTGCTTCTTCAAGGCAGGATTTGAGAGCTGGTTGACAGCCGTGTATGTTCTGTTGCCGGTGTCCTCAACGGCTTGTGAGATGTCTTGAATGTGGTCGTAAATCTGCTGTTCATCGGCAGGCGTGGAGACGGGGTTTGATCGAATGAGATTAACGAGCGGCTGGATGCTCTGGACGAGAAGAGCGGTTTGATCTTCGAGGTAATTCTGTGCATGCGTTAGTGGCTAGTTTTGTTCACGCAGGGCGGACATACCTTGAACTCCATCATGCCGCTATCTTTCTGGTCGCTCATGCCGTTCATGGTTGCACTTTGGCGGTCGTAGCCACTGTAAGGCGAGCCGTAGGTGCTATAACCAGTAGTGTCACTGCTCCCTCCTCTGCTGCTGCGACTGCGATGATGCGTATACCCTGGACTGGCGCCATTGGTGTTGCCATTGACATTATGTGGCGCGAATGCATTGTGAGCGGAATAGACGGCGGGCTTTAGTGGCATTGGTCTGTCGTCGTCTTCATCCTCAAGATCTAGCTCGTTTTCTGGAGTCGGTCGTACTTTAACGTACTTGACCAGCTCCACAACGGCGGTGGACAAATGACTCGCTGCTGCATCCAACAAACTGACAGGTGATAGCCCGCTGGAGGTCGCATGATTCTTGGTAGCTGTGATGAGGTTGTTGGCGGTAGCACTAACGCGAGACTTGAGCTTTGCTTGTTGCTTCTCCGGGTTGGCTGTGATGTCGCCATTGATACTACTGCTCGGCGATTGCGCTTGTGAAAGGGGTGTACTGTCGATGTCCCCCGTGATGGCACGCACACACTTGACCACATGTCGCATGCTCTCAAGTGTCTGCTCTGATTGACCTCTTCGTGCAGTCTGTAGCAGCTCGTCGATGCTGAGCTGGAACTTGGTTACATGGACATCCTTGACAAGCCCATCAGGGGTATTGAAGTTGGGATCGCGAGCGTAGTTGGCAATGTCTGGTGATGCAAGAGAGGACAAGCCGATAGAGGATGCCTTGAGATTCCGCAACTGTGTCTTTGCCCGAGCATAACGGGACTTCCAATCCTTCAATTCAGTCTCCAGCAATGACACTTGAGTAGCCAACCGTTCCTCTTTTTCTACAGCGGCATCGCTGCGCGACGACAGCTCTTTCATCTCTTGTAGGAATATTGACGCATCTCTTCGAACCTCTTCTGTAACTTGTTGTTGCTCACTCAATTCACGCTCGAGGGCCTCACAACGCTGCCGCAACTCGCCACCGCCATTCTCGTAAGCCTGTTGGGGAGCTCGTGATTCGAGATCGGCAATTTGTGCACGCAAGCTCTTTTCCACGCCATCGTTCTCGCTGCGTAGCCTGTCTATGTCGGACCGAAGTGACGAGTTGAGATTCTCGGCTTGTTCTACCTTCTCCTCAAGGGAATAGCGCAGCTCGTCCCATTCCGCGCGTTCTGAAGCCGTGTTCCCGTCTCGTGTCTTATCGTTATTCTGAAGTCGTAGAAGCTCCTCATCTCGGTCTCGTAATTGACTTTCCAGGGAACCGAGCTTGCCCTGCAACTCTGAGACTTGTGCCTGCAGGTCCATGACCACTTTATCCTGCGCCATACTCATGCTCTTGGCGCTCTTGTTGGTTTGCCGTCTTGCGGCAGCGGCTTCTAGGTTGAATGCATCATCGTCATCTGCAGCACTATCATCGTCATCTTCCACCAATGTGCCCTTGTTTGGCACAATAGTGTTTTGCTGAAACGTTTTTGGGAGGGGGCGACCGAAAGAGTTCTCGTTGTTCGCGGATCCGGGCCGTAGCCCTCCTGGTGGGCCTGGTGGACCTCCCTGTGGAGGTGGTCCTCGATATCCTTGTGGACCTGGGGGTGGGCGCCCATTCATGCTGTTGGGCGTTCCTGTGCGGCTCGGCGGACCTCTGTTGCTTATTCGACTTGCAATACTGCCTGCTGGGCTCGCCGAGCGAGGGAACGGTTCACCACTAGTGAAACGGGGGAATCTCCTTTCGAGCTCGTAGAAGACATCGGTTGCGAGTTGGCGGAAGCGCTCTAGTGGCAGCGTGGATAGCTTTTGCCGGGCCTGGTTACGCTTGGGATGGAAATTGTTCTTGGGCAGCAAGTATTTTGGCGTGTCGTTCCCGGGCGCGCCTGGCCCTCCGCGCTTGCGGTCCTGCTCCCTACGTATTGACTCGTCGTATACGTCGGTGCTGAGCTCCTGGAACTGCACTGCCGAAAGCCTGGTCAACTTGTCCTTGGCCCTGCTCGGCCGCGGGTTCCCCTTCTCGTCATTTAGATATGGCCCCAGGTACGCCTTGAGCACCTTGAAATGCTCCGACAGTGTCTCCTCCAGAATCTGCATCTTCCTGCTGCTCATGCCCGCATCACTCATGCTCGAGGCGTAGAGACCCGTGCCGTCGCTCGATCGCCCTACTGAGCTCGGTGGTGAGGGGTTGCCGTTGCCTGCAGGGCGCATCCCATTGAGCATGCCTCCATCGGGGTTGCTGGGTCCGTAGGTGTTTGGTGGGAGGGTGGGCGAGTAGGGGTTGTCGCCGGCGATGTTCTGGTAGCGGGTGATGGGGGACCAGTCCTGGCTGGCGGTCGAGACAGGTGACAGGGTGCCATTGCGCGTGTTCATAGTGTGATGGGTGTGGGGTCGCGTTTCACCGCGCGAGATGCCGCTGTCTGCTGGCGATGTCGAGTGTAATGGAAGGTGGATAGCAAAGTTCAGTTTCGTCTGAAGGCTGCAGGTGAAGGTTCGAGGTGGCTGCTAGGCAATGGGGCTGCTGAAACCTTAGGCGTGGTGGAGGCGTGCGAGCACAGCAGGGAAGCGTATCGATATCGAAGAGAGCGTGGAGGCAGCACCGTCAGCGTCTAGCAAAAGAGCCCGCAGTGCAGCAGCGAAGAGAGCGACGGCGATTAGTGCAGCAGTGCTAAAAGGCTTTTTGCGGCTGCTGGAGCCAAATGTCGGTGATGCCCCTTTCAACAGCGGAGCGGCCTGGCTGGGGGAGCGTTGGTCTGGTGGAATCGAGCGCTAACTTAGCCGGGGGACGAATGACACAGGGCCAGCCGCCGCGTCCGAAGGCACAGAGATGTGGGCCGCGCAATTGAGGCTGCTCGAAACTGCGAGTCTGTTGGACGGGTAGCATGTGCAACGAGCGAGCTGTACCGGAGGCTCAGCAGCAAGCATAGTGGCAACTGTGGGTGTGTCTCACAGCAGCGGGCGCATCGTGTTGTTCTCCGCCCATGTTGGCAACGGCTACCCACCACCACCCCCTGCGAGCAGCACGGGTCTCGAGCCATGGCATGGAGCTTCGAGACCTTCCTGGGCGACGACGCGTAGGCAACAGGAAGATACGCGCAATGTCTCTGTCAAATTCATGGGGGTATATACAACGGACCTTGTAGTCAATGAATCATAGTAAACAGCCAGCATCGCACCTTCCCAGCGACCCAGAGGTACGCCACATGCGCCACAACGCCTATCGATTGTGCAAAGAGGACTTCAGCCTCATTATCGCACACAGCAAAGAGAACAAGTCCCGAAAAAAGACCAACATGACTATTTCCCACATGTTCATTCATACAAGTCAACACATCTAGCGCACCCTCTTAATCTTGGTAGGAGGCTGCTTTCTGCAATCGGGGCACAGCCAGTCGCCCACTGGCTCCTCCTTGATATTCACGCACTCCCAGTGGAACCACTGATACTGGCAATTGTCGTTGTCGCACGCCACCATGTCGCCGAAGCTGACGCGCTGGCAGAAGCAATACTTTGTGTCGTCCGACTCTTCCTCGTCTGCGTCACCACCTCCCACGCCCGACATGTCCTCGTCTTCTGTGCCAGCTTCACTTGCCACGCTCTCGTCATCCGCCGTAGTCGACGGCGACGCGCGTGACCCGCCTTTGCGACGCTTCTTGTTGACCCCAGGTTTGGCCGTGAGGGCGGCTTTGCGCAGCGGTTGCTGTGGTTTCGCCCTCTTCACGGTGAGTGCGTGTTTCTGCGGCCTAGGTCCCACGCTACCTGCGCGCGAGCCTGGAGTTGCTGGCTTCGGGGTCCCCGGCCCCGTCGAGCTTTGTCGCCCCAGGTTCGAGGGTGCTGCTGGGAGGGGCCCAATGTTGCCAGTCGGTCGACGACGTTTGCTATCGCTCCCGGCTGACATTTCGCGCATTTCGCGCTCCTGGCGAGCATTTGGCTGCGTAGCACTCTGCGCATTAGTGAGCCTTTGTTGATTCAACAACGCTTGGGTTTGCATATTCTGCAGCGACGGGTTCATCCTGGAATTGAGGTTTACGCTCGTCGCATTCGTAATACGTGCGATGGCGGCGGCTTGAGCGAGGTTTGGCGCGCCTCCACCATGGTTGCCCGATACTGGGAGCAGCGGTGTATTGGCGCCAGTGGTTGTCATCGACGATGGCGGCACCAGATTCCCAGGCGAGTCCCTTAGCAACGAGGGCATCTGAGCATCCGTGGGTATAGAGCCGTCGTTCTGCAAATCTCGGAGCTTAATGTCTAGTCGCTTGACGTGGCGGTCTAGCTGGTGGTACATGTGAGCAAAGTCGTGCGATCTCTTGACAAGGGAGCGCAAGGGAACGTACGAGTGCAGCAGCTTTTTCAACGAGCCCGACCTTCTCTTCCTGCAGTATTTGCGCCTTCTCGTAATTCGTTAATACGACCTTCGAGTATGAGTCTTCTTTCGGGTTCTCCACCAGGCTGCCATTCAGCTTGATGAACTTCTGCAGACTATTGTCACGCTGCGCTATGGCAGCGCGTAGTTCTTGTATTTGTGTGTCCTTGGCCTGCGCTTCTTCATAGAGATGTGTGATCTCGGCTGGCAGATTTGCAACTATTCGTGGTTAGCTTCAACCTGTGTCCATGAGGGCGTAGCGGCCATACCATCATGTATGAACTGCTCCAAGACCGTCGCGGCGTCTTCCGCAATAGCCATTGTGATGACTAGCACGGCCTCTTGAGTTCTTCGAAAGCTTCGCAATGTTGTTTAGGCGGGTAAAGAGTTGATGCGCCTATGAGCGCGCTCTTCACTTTGATGACTTCGATGGCGCTTCGATGGATTTTGGCGGTGCTATGGCACTGGTGAAGGTGTAGACAGCGCGCCTTGGTGAAGGAGGAACTACTCTGCACCGTAACAACAAGACTTTGCCGCACGACTTCCTGCTCTTGACTCTCACTAACACTCAACTATTGATATACCACCCTAAATCGCTCCGCTTGGTTAGGGAAATTGCTACGCGCAAACATATTAGGTGTCGAAGGTATCAGGCCGGACAAAGCGAGCTAGTTGCCCCTCACGTGCCTCGGCGAAAATGTTGAAAGCCTACCAATCAGAAGCGGACGACGATGTCACCTCGAACACCGCCAGCGAGCAAACGAGCAGTGAGAGCTACGACAAAGACGAAGACAACGACGACGAGTTTAATGGAAACGATAGCGGTGAGGAATACGGCAACGCGAACGTAGACAAGCAGCTCGAATTCCGCACAGACAAGGCGTGGTGGCAGCAGCCCGCCCGTCGCACTCGAAGTATTGCAAGGGTCGATTACCGTGAGAAGAAGAGTGAAACCCCACCGCAGCAACCACCACCGCCTAAAGTAAGTAGACATGTGCATCATGCCAGCGGATAGCCTAGGCGCCTTGAAGGGGCTTTGCCGTTACTAGCCATCCGTAAATGGATCGTTCCCTAAACCCCCAGCGATGAAACACAAGGACTGACGGGGCACAGGTCAGAACAACATCAACAGCCCAAAAGCCGACCCTGAAGAGGCTTGATCCCGCAACAGAGAGTTGCTGGGAGAAGCACGGGGTCGAGGAGCCGAGGCCACACTCATTTGTCGACACGTTCGTTCCGATTCAGGACGATATTAATCGCTGGACTTACGACGGGCCCCCGCCAGGGTTTGAAGAACCGACCACATTCACCCGACTGCTTCGAGGCGACCAAGCTCAAAAGAAGCGCGAGATGCGCGTTTCTGGCTATGGCCCCTCCAGTGGACCGGCTAACAACATCGTCGAAGAGTATCTATCCCCAAACGATGCCTATGTTGAAGACTTTCAAGGCTTCAAAGCCCTCTCTGATGCCGAAAAGCAAGAGGTAATCGCTCGAGAAGCTGAAGATTTCGGACTGGAGAGACCAAGAGGGTGGAACGTGTCTTTCCATTACAACCCGCATGTCGAATATCACCATTTTGGTAGCTCACATCCTATGAAACCATGGCGGTTGACGCTTACAAAACAGCTCGTTCTGTCGTATGGGCTTGAGTACACCATGGACCTGTATGAACCTAGACCAGCAAACTTTAACGAACTCGCCATCTTCCACGATCGCGACTACCTATCCTATCTCAGTAAAATCACGCCTCAGAACGCACAGCCAGAAGATCTTCAGTACATATCGTACGGCTTTGGCGGCGAATCGAACGATTGCCCAGTCTTCGATGGGCTTTGGAACTACGTCTCTCTCTACAGTGGCGCCTCTATGAGCGCGGCGTGGAACCTTTTAAACAAGCAGTCAGACATTGCAATCAACTGGTCTGGTGGTCTACATCACGCAAAGAAGAATCTCGCCTCGGGCTTCTGTTATGTCAATGACATCGTCATAGCTATCCAGCTCCTCCTCACCCAGCACCAACGCGTTCTTTACATCGACATCGATGTGCATCACGGGGATGGCGTCGAGCAGGCATTTGAATCAACGGATCGCGTCTTCACACTCTCGTACCACAAGTATGGCATTGATAAACACGGTTACCCCTTCTTCCCAGGCACAGGCAATATTAGCGAAATGGGCCCCTCAGACGCCGCCAACCGTGGAAAAGGCCACTGCTTGAACATACCGATCGATGACGGCATCGACGACGACCAGTACAAATGGCTTTTCAAAACCGTCACCGGCGCCGTCATCGACAAGTACAATCCGCAAGCCATTGTGTTGCAATCGGGCGCTGACTCACTTGGCGGCGACCGTCTCGGACGCTTCAATCTCAACATCAAGGCACATGGCTACTGTATCGAGACAGTCAAGGCCTTCGGGCGCCCAATCCTCCTCATTGGCGGCGGCGGCTACACGCCCCGCAACGTCGCGCGCACCTGGTGTCACGAGACGGCCGTGTGTGTAGGCGCAGAACTGCACGACGAGCTTCCCGCGCATATTCCCTACATTCAAGCCTTCCAAGGCGCCGATAACGGCGACGGCATCCTCTACCCTGACCTTCATAACACGAAGCGCCATGAGAATCTCAACTCGATGCCCAAGCTGCAGAAGCTGCTCGAACACGCAATGGAGAACTTGAGGTACCTAGAAGGCGCGCCAAGTGTCGTCGTGAATACCAAAGGCATTGGAGAGGAGGAGCTGATGCGGATCAGGGAGATGGTAGAGCAAGAGCTGGAAGACGAGGCTGAAGATAAACATTACCTTAGCGTGGAGAATAACAGAAGGCGGAGAGAGAGGAATGTTGGTGGGAGGGCTGAACGCGGTCTGAGGTAGATTGGCCACATGCCATCTCTTTTGTTATGCAGCTTGACTCGATATGTAACGCGAGGGGGAGCTTGTGGGTAATTATCTGGGGCAACACTAGATACTTTTCAGTTCTTGTTAGGCCTCTTGGGAAAGGGTTCTATTACTGGCGTTTTCAATGCCCACTTTTGCTACTGTAGGGGCAACTTTCCGTGGGTTTAGTTTTGTACGGTCACAAGAGTGGAGTGCACGGGTTGGATGGGTTCCTTTCGCGCCATAAGAGTGGAAGTTACCACTGATGTATTACAGTACGAAGCGCCCCTTATGTCCATTACAAAAGAGATTTACTCTATGCTTGTCTCGCACGTGACCGAGGTTGAGTATCTGGATGGGGTCGAAGCCGACGGTGAAGATTATCGTGCTGGTGATGGCAACACTATCGCCGAGCCGGATCAGACTCAAAGGTAAACAATCGGCTGTCGAGCTACGGTGACTTCAATTATGGGGAGGAGGCTGCAGGGAAGCGTTTGCTAAAGTTGGAGACGCACGAATGTGGTGGTCCAGTAGTACCTGTTGGCAAATAGGCGATCGCTGACCAAATGTTCGACGGGAATGCAACTATGCGCTGAAGAGGGCCGTTCCAAAATTTTGAGTTAATTAGACTGCCATCCAAGCCACTTTACAAAAAGTACGGAGATGTCCTTCACAATCGGAGCTAGGTCTCGGTAGAATTGTCAGCCTCGCCGACAGCCCGAACTAGAAACTTCTGCCAGACACACCGCCCAATTGTTCAACGAGCTAGAACAAAGTCCACAGTATAGTGGATCTCAAGCTAGCGCGTACGTCACGGACTAAAGTTACACCTGTTTCCTTCTCAACCTCTCTTCAAACGCTCATTACCTTCATCTTCAACATTCGTCTTTGAACCTATTCTTGCTATGTCGGACCCACTTACATACTCGTTTTACGGGACAACCATTCCAGCTCTTCGCAATGTCTGTGCCAGCGCTATTAGCACCTTAACCTCGGCCAAAGACGCCCGCTCAAAAGCCGCAGAAGGCACGCTGCCTTCGGACCAAGAAATCTTCGACTCCCAGATTGGTAACATGCTGCCTTTTCGCATGCAGCCAATCTTGCTCGCCAAGTTCCCTCTCGCGGCGCTGCAACATCTCCAATTGAACGGCTCAACCCCGATCCCGGCATTCGACCCTAATTTCTCCTCCCTCGACGATGTCATCGAATTCTTCAAGAAGGTCCAGGCCGTTTTCGACGCAGTTGACGCGGAGGCGTTCAACCAAAGCGCCGAGAAGAGTGTTGACATTCCTATGGAGAATATGGGCATTACGCTGCATATGACGGGAATGGCGGATTTTTTTCACGGCTTTGTGATACCGAACAGCTACTTCCATCTCAATGCCATGTACATGCTTTTGAGGAGCAAGGGATTCGGACTTGGGAAGGGCGTGTATGTGAACAGCTGGATGAGTGAGCAGCAGAAGAAGGATTGGGCACCATTGAGGGGTTGAATGCCGGGCGAACTGAGAGCCTCGCCCGTCAAAAGGGAAGTGTACTGAGACTAAAATAAACTCCCAAATGCTAGCCCAAATTACGCGCATGGGTCAGAGCTAGCTCGGATATACACTTTTCCATTGCATTGTGGACGGAAAGTGAAGTGGGAGTTAACACATCAAAAGAGTTTGTCACACATGGCTAATAATAAGTTTCCTACAGCCGCATCCAGAATGCTTTATTGAGCCAGTACATGCACAAATTAGTCTCATTCAACTCCTCGAATTTGCTACTAAGACAATTGCAGCAAACTGAAGCAAAACATTGCCCATCTTCCAACTTCAACGTTCGCCCTTTCCCCTACTGCGGAAGAAATGGCTGGACTGCCCCCAGCTTATTGACTGAGTCACATGTAATGCAATTATCTTCGCACTCAAAGTACCTTCACAGAACCTTTCGGACACAGAGTGCGGGTTCCTCTTGTCTAGGGTTCGGAGACATTCAAGAAGTTTCGTGTTACTTTAAGTGTATGTCTGAGTGCTTACATTCATTCTAGTACCTAGTGACTTTCCCTTTCGACCTAAACAATGAATAGGTATGTGGCCAAGCGCATGGTAACGCGTTGGGGCTACTGTTGCAGTTGCTATTGCCGTTGCACACTCTCTGATAGAAGTCCAGGACAAACGTCGTCGAGGTCTGACTTGCGTATGCGCCCTCATTCGTACGGTGCACAACTAGGCGGCAGAAGCTCCTTCGACCGCGCGGACAGGTTACAGTCAGCCATATGGCCAATCCAAGTCGCTTCATTGCCCTCCATAATGAAGCCAGCGTGACGGCGGACGAAACTGCGGCCACCATCTGCCCCAATCTGATGCTCGGCTACATAAGCAGTCTCGTGGCTGGCACTCGAGTGATTATTGATGCCATTGGTTATAGCAGAGTCCGGACCGGTCCAGATGTTGACGTTTGTATCAGTGTCCTCGAAGCGAGTAATACGGCAGTCGAGGAGGATCTCGACCCCAAGGTCTTTAGCACGTTGATAGAGGACTCCAACAAGCTGACCCTGTTTTAGAGCGCCACCAGAAGCTGATGGCCCAGGTAAAATGTGTTTCCATTGGTTCTAGTCGACGTTATTAGAATGGATAACGATACCAGCAAAATGACTTGTCACAGGGAAATCGCCAGGTTTCCGTGCTGCACTTGCCCTTTGCGTTCCTATTTCCCCCCGGCAAGCGTCGTTTCGCCTGGCGTATGCTCAGTTGCAATAGATTGAGACAATAGATGTTGGAGATAGAAAGCCTCTGTAGAGAGATGATTCAGGAGTCGGAAGCCTAGCGCACCATCTCGCCATGCGTCTGCTAAGGCAGCTTGTCTCTCAAGCACAAGGGTTGAAACACCTGTCAGAGCTAGCCCACAGGTGAGTAGAAGTCTGACTGGGCCGGCGCAGGCAATACTGACTGTGTATATATAAGCGTCTTGGTTTCATGTTGCTTGTTTCTGCGCAAGGGATGATATCCGCAAATAAATGATTTATACCTTTCAGCATTGACTTTGGGGAAGGAAGCACTATCAACTTGGACATCGAAATTAGTCCAGGAGGGAGCGTTCAAGAAAGTAAGATCATGCGGCCTCGAAAGACGAATAATCCGAGCCGGTCCAATGGAGACCAATATTCCGTTAAGTGGGCCGAGTCTTATAGAGACCGTCCAGATCAATTGGGATTATTCGGTTTTCAGCAAAGGCAGGAAAATCCGACAAGTCCGATGTAAGATAATATATGCTATGGACTACGATGCTAGGATTTGATAAAGTTTCTCAATTACAATATTGTCCGAACCAAAAGCATATTTGGAGCGGCCCTAAATGATTCAGTACGGCGAAGTGGATAAAACAAAGGTCTACCTACCGGTCAACGGTACCACTGCAGGGCACTTTTGTAGCCTAGTGCACCATCAGCGGCGGGATGGATATCTATTAGGCAGGAAAGAAAGGGATTCGAAACACTGTGTCGTGATCGGGTGGGGATTGTGCTATTTTATACAATACCGTCCTTGAGTGAAGATTATATTACTTTTACATGGTCAGCCATACGCACTATTATGAGTGCCATATCCCGCAGTGGTCCCCAGCTCAGAGCTTGAAAATATACTTCTCCCGGAGCCGGCCACCGAATTTATAGAAAAGGAAGGAGAGCGGTAGGAAGGTTAGGGAGATGGATCCGAGAACACTGTTGCCCCAACCCAAGCCCAACTTAGCGTACAAGGGCGGCGCAACGAGAGGCAAGAAAGCCCCGGAACTGTTTCGCACCAAAGTAATAGCCGCCATCGCCGAAGCAGACCCTTCAGATTCAAATCTATCAATCATGTAGAGTTGTCCTGAAGCGGTGACAAAAACGATGCCAATCCCGATGAAAGCCGTTCCTATGATGGGTACGATCCAGTGCACTTGATACTGAGCAGACCAGCCATACCAGAACAAGCTTGCGGGTACAAAGGGGCCTCCAAACATCATCATAATCATGCGATGTTCGGGCGTGTTGTGCTTCTTCGCAAGCTTGTCACTGAACTTTGCGAAGATAAGAGTGCCAATGACACATCCCACGCCCAAGCCTAGATACGAAAGACCTGCGACGCCCTGGCCAAAGCCGTAGGTATCTTCGAAGACTTGTGAGAAGGTGGCAAGGAAGTGAGTGTAAGCTTTTCAGTGAGAAGAGAGGCGTATCGCAGAGCAGAGCGGCTACCCAGGAGCCAAGGGCTGCATACTCGATCTGACATGCGCGATTTATCGAATGACCAAAGGAGAACCTCGCAGTTGTTCGGTATTCGTCGCGGGGGCCCCACTTGTGAATACGACATGGGTCACGTGCGGAATAGATAGTGACAGCTGGGGGAGTCTTGGCGCACATTGCTTGTTCTCCTCGTTCCCCCACTAACACTGCTACTAACACTGCTACTAACGCGTAACGATGCTGACAGGTCGAAGGGCTAACGGCACTACGGTAGCGCCTGTGATGGAACAAACCTTATTTGCGCGGCATGTGTCGTTACTGTCCTTCTGCAGTGAGCTACCAATTGCTACCGGCAATGCGTTGCGACCTCGACCTCGACCTCGAGCATGGCATGCTACGCTACGCTACAATATCTACGCTAAAAGGAATTCCAACACCGAGCAGTCGTTGTACGTGTCGGGGAATATCCGGTTCAACTTGAAGCCCGCTTCACCCGCCAAGGCGGCGTGCATCTGCGCATTCCGCCGTTTCCCCCCTACGAGCATGAGCGATATATCTTGCGCGACGTTGCGGTTGGCCTGTAGTAGCTCCTCGACCACGTTCACGCGCGTGTCAGGTGCCGCCGCTGTGCGCAGCGACTTCCAGCATCGGCGCACATCATCGTCGGGGAAATCGTTGAGGACGCGATGAAGTTGATAAATCAGAGCGCCTTGGACTGGGGATGGGAGTACGTCGAGAACACTGCCTGCCACCAGCTGAATCGATGTGATGCTGTCATCCAGGTTTGCTCTTGTATGTTCAATGGTCGGGGCTCGGTCAAAGACGGCGCATCGCTCGGCTGATAACCATGGATGGTCCTTCAGAATGTCACGCAGTGCGTGGCCGTTGCTGCCGCCAATGTCCACAAAGAGCGGTCTATCTCGCGTAGCAGCGGCCTGTTTCTGCATCCACGACAAGTCGTAGACCCCGTTCATCGGGAAGACTTTCGATGCGCGCCCGATGAAGCTATCAAACTCTTTGCTAAGCTTTGGGTCGCCGGCGATGATCTCATATACGTTCTCGTTCGGATGCTCTGTTGCCATGCCGAACGGGGTTACCTGGGCATGCTTGGGAGAGCTAAAGCCGTGCAGAGCCAAGTATGCCGGGAATGAGCCATGGAGCGGATGAAGAGATTGTGCATGTGCGTCAGGAAACCCGCCCCGATCTGGTCCGACTTGTAGAGGCGAGAGCGATCTGTGTGAGCGACAGAGTCAGTTTCCGGGGCCGCCAGGATGCCAGTGGCAGTGAGTAATGGAAGTGTACGGTCGAGTAGCTCTTGCTCTCCACCAATCATGTCCGCGAGGCTCGATGACGAGATTTGGCCTTCGTCTGGGATGTGGTCGAAGACTTTCCAGTCGATGAAGGCTTTAATTACTCCTATCTCCATGGCGGTGCAGAGGTAGGCGACGTTCGGACCCACTGCATTTTTCAACTGGAGATGCTGTGCTACAGCATGCTCCCCATTGATAGTCATCGTGCGACTATTGAGAGGCAAGTAGTTCAAAATGAGGGTATAAACTCAGTGTGAGTCGAATGGCGGGATCGAACTTTGTAGGCTCGAAGGACAGCAGCTTCCCTTTCTAGCTGGCGAAATACATGTGCTGTCAGCCCCTCGCCCCATGTCACTGCGCTAAAATCATACGCAATCCGAAGTTTTGCGGCGGAGCAAAGTCTGAACGCCGAAAATCCCCTACATCAGGGCCTTACCGGGGTCCGCCGAAGTAGCTTGACTTGGTGCTGTCTCAGGTAGTAAAAACATGTCCTCTTCTTGCTTCACTCCTAGATAACTTTTCTCAAAGAAAACTCATTTGTCATTCTCAAAGTTGAATGCAGTGTCTTCTTCCTTGTAGCGCAGTGTTTAAATATTGCATATCTTTTACAGATTCTAGTTCACAGTATGCAGATGCATCAACACAAGAGGTATATTTCCATGCCTACGATGCCCCGACCATACAACATGACTTGCAGCGGACATAAACGCTGCATTTTCCATAAACCATGTTTCTACTCTGGCATCTCGACCTGTCCGGTCATTCCAAAGCCTTCAAACATGTCCCCGGATCCGACCACACCCCCTTTCACTGACACCACGAAAGCTGAGCTGCCTGTTGCGTCTGGCCCTGGCTTACTCGTAGACATCCGCCACTATGATCGGACATGACGCAGCTCAAAAGACCACTTGGCCTCAGACAGAAAGTCGATTCGATATCCCACGTTCTTGGGCCGGAAGATGGCTGGAATACCCTCCCCATCATAAAACTTGTCTACTATCAGGGCATGGCCGGCCTTCGAATTTCCGAATGTGTATTCATCGGCTTTATCGACCACCCTTTGCGGGTTGCAGACCAGTTTGCCGTCGCAGTACAGCCTTGCAGAAGCAGTAGCTGCGTATTTGTTCTCAGGTCGGCCAACCAGCCGCATGACCTGAACAACATATCCTGTTGCATCCTCGTAAGCCTCACTGCCTTAATACTGTGTTAAGGTGCTGGGTATACTACCTAAACTATAAATTTATACTGAGCACCTCTACGAGCACGTTAAAGCATGCATTCAGCAGCCTAGCTGGACTGTTGAAGGCCTCCTATAACTGGTGTATCGCGAAATGAAAAACATGGGTCTATTTAGTCGAAGCTATGACGCTTCTCTATCTATCTTTCAGATATTAAGAGCAAATAGCAACTCATTGTCGTAGGGAAAAGATTTTCCGATTTTCCCTAATAAAAGAGCAAGGCACGGCGAGAAGCTTCTGATGAGTCTATTTACTATGATCCGTTATCTTTTCATAGTGCATCGAAGATCGAGCTCCGACGGCTTGAGCGGACAAATAGGCACGCAATGCAGATATCTGAAGGATATAGTCAACGCTGAGCTTTTTTTCAGCTTGTACATCGCCATTTAGAACCTGATATCGGCACAAGGAGGCATCTATGCCTATACCGAAGCAAAGCGCAAACGACCGGCGATCTTCGGTGTACTAGAGAGCCCCGGGATATGGAGATATGGAGTGGGGATTTGCACACCAACACGTTTGGTGCCATGGTGGCTAAACTCCGAATAATCCCAGCGGTCGGCATTTCAATGACGACGGTTCAATGAGAGGGGGGTAATAATGGTTTTGAGCCTGAGCTGGACACTGTATAGATTGACCTACACCATATCTTGCTCAACATCTCTCGGTATTACCTTGATTCAACATCCCCGCTGTCAACAGAGCACAGCAACAGGAGGAGCCTATTGTGATCATCGGTATCGCATGCCGTTTTCCGGGAGCTAGCTTAGTAGCAGAATATTTTAGCTATTATATATTATACTATCTTAACTATCTTTCTCTAGCCTCTTTATTACTCTTGTATATATCTAATATAGGTACACATTTATGCCTTTGCGTCTGCAATAATCACATCGGCAGCCTTCTCAGAGATCATGTAGAGGGGAAGGGCCAGGTAGGTACCTGGGATCTTAGGAAAGGAAGAGGCATCGACAACGCGCAGACTTTCAACACCGCGAACCTTGAAGTTTCCGTCCAGGACAGCGTTAACATCATCGTCAGCACCGATTGGAGCTGTGCATGAAGCGTGATGACCCCAGGACTCGTACTTGGCGAACTCCTTCAATTGCGCATCAGTCGCTGTCTGCTTGCCAGGCCACACTTCAGTGAACTTTCCGTCGAGAGGAATCAGGTCCTTGAAAGCTTTACGACCGAACTTGATTCCCTCAACAAGCGCATTGAGATCATCGTCGCCACCAACCGCGAAGTTGCGCTTGCGAATGTCGGGCACCTCTTGGGGATCTGCGCTGCGGAGAGTAATGGTACCGGCATTGTTGCGAGACTCGGCCTTCAGGGTGAGCCAAGTCCACTGGGTCCTGTCACGAGTGGCGTTCTTGAAATATCCGGGGTAGTAGCCGTTGAAGTAAACAGGCCAGCCAGCAATGAGAAGATCAGCGTTGCCGTTAGGAGTCTTCTTCGACCTCTTCGTAATAGCGATGGCGACACCGTTGGTGGCATAGGCACCTTTGTTGATTGCTGGCTGGGTCTCGTATTTCTCAAGGCAGGCGTCGTAGCCCTCAAGGAAAGTGCAACCGTTGAGAAGAGCGAGCTTGGAGGGAGCTTCGCCAATGATAGGGACTTCGTAGCGATCTTGGAGGTTCAAGCCAACACCTGGGAGCTCCTTGACAACCGGAATATCGAAGTTCTCAAGCTCATCCCTGGGACCAATACCAGAGAGCTTAAGGATTTGGGGAGTGTTGAAAGCGCCTGCAGAAAGAATAACCTCGCGAGTAGCAGTTACAGAGCCCTTGGTTCCTTTGCTAGTGACGCGGCCGTCTTGACGGCGAGGATCGGCACCATAAAGGGATCTGCCTGTTAGGAAATTGACGCCAGTTGCCCTAGGTTTACCGTCTGTACCATCTTCGAACTTGACTGTGGTGACAAGGGTGTTGAGCTGGATGTCAAGATGGTACTTACGGCTGCCATCGGCGTTCCTAGCACTGACTACTTCGTTGAGCAAGTCAACGGGGCCAGCACGCTTGTATTCTGGGATCTTCACGGCTATAGGAACTTGCCAAAGACCCTCTTGAGAGTCTCGCAGCGGACCAGGGTGATTTATGTCGCGGAGCAAGATCTGAGCAAGACCAGTAACGGTGGTAAGTAGCGATCCGATGAGGCCCTTGCCCATGCCACTCGCAGCAGCAACTACTAAAGAGAGGACTTTGAAGTCCTGGGCGATTAACGTGAGCTGAGTCAACGAAGTCTCCAGCCAGCCATTGAAGCCGTGTCCTACTATGCTGCTAGGCAAATAGCGCGACCTCTCGAGTTTGGTGAAGTACTTCCGCATGTTGTCGGGGGCCCATGAGGCATCGCCGGTAATGTCTTGGATGTGCTTCCAGTCACTTTTGAATGGGTAGATCGTGATGAGAGCATTGTGGCTGGAGCAACCACCAAGAGATCCGACACGAGGGTAGAGGATCCCCAAAGGTTTGGCGCCAGCGGGTGGGTTTGCGCCAGTGTAACGAGTACCATCGGGCAGCTCATAGGTGACCTTGGTGTCTCTTTCGATCTCTGTATCGTCGTCGAAGTGCTTGACGAAGTAGTCCCATCTCATGGGTTCATACTCAGAAGCGACTGCGTGCAGAACAGGTACGTTGTATTGGGTCGTGTTGGTCTGGTCATCACCAGCCTCAAGCAAGAGGACCTTGTGTCCAGCAATAGCGAGCCTCGCAGCTAGAGGAGCGCCTCCCGGACCAGAACCGACAATGACATACTCGTAATCTTCGAGCGTTGTCGTGTCGGTAGCAGAGCTGTTATCCGCACGTTTCACGTTCACGCCCTTGAATGGTGTGTGGTCGGCACCATTGCTGAAGTGCAAGTGAGTAATTATACATCTCTATTAAAAAGTGAGTCCGGAATACTTACATGTACCGCGCGGCTGCCAAGGAGGTTAGCAACGCGAGAACGGCAAATGCCTTCATGATCAGCGAACCAAGATTAAGGAATAATTACGATGAAAAGAGTGAAATCGGATATTCCCGTAGTTAAAAGAGCGACTGGATTGATGAGTGATAATACAGAGGAACACGAACCTGGCTCTTATACGGGAACAGGATGCATAGCTCGTGGCAACTTTCGTCCCGTCCCCCGGGATTCCGTTCGTGATTGTGATCCGTGATTGTGATCATCGGCGGTGCCTTTACCGGCTTTCTCCTGCATTCGACTTGACCCTTTTTGGATTGCCAAATTGCGGGGAGAAGGATTCAGCAGTTGTGGACTGTGCTCAGCTTGAAACGGGATCGCAGGGGTTGCATGCGATTCCTCATTTAAATCGGACCGACAGTACCGGAATAAACTCAAGTAGACCGTCTTGCCGCCCCAAAGAGACCAAGAAGGAAGTGTCGTCAGGAAGACTTTCTTAAGTTCAACAGCCATGTTGAGCATGCTTATGAGAATAATCGCGGAAGTAATAGTGGAGGTAATGGTGGAAGTAATCGTGGAAGATTCATTGTAATCGCACTCAAAGAACACTTGCACAAACCAGCGATAGCTCAAGCAGGGCGTAGGCGCCTGAAAACTCACGTAATCGTATCGCGACCGAGTTACGGCGCAAATTATGCAGAGTCACAATTTTTCATCATCTTCAATCTGCGCCCAGACTCCCAGGGACGACCACAAGACGCCAATTCATGGATGCCTCCACCAGCTCAGCCCTCTGAGGTATGATCTGCGACCTGCAAGCCCTGCAAGGTCTAGGATCTACCAAGATACCGGCAATTCCCTTCACCGCTGCTGACAGGTTCGCGTCTCCAACCCACCGGAAGGCGGTCCTTTCACAGCGACCCTTGAAGACCGTTACGAGGCCACTCGTCTGAAGATCCCCAAACAAGTTTTTACGTAGACATCGTCCGATTCCACGGGCATACGTCGGTAGATGCCAGCGTGCTGGTCCGCTATTGCAACTCTGAGTGTACTTGGCGCGTGCAGCTGTGCCTTTCAACGGGAATCAGCAGGATGCTGGTTATAATGCTCATAGTCTTCTCAGGAACTCTCCTTTGATCATTTCTCATCCGACGTGCGACTTTCCTTTCAAGATCTAGACTTCCACCATCATTTGTACCGAACCATCATGAGATTCAGCACCGTACTGACCGTTCTATGCGGCTTTATCCTTTCGGTACACGCCCAGGAGGCACTTCAAGCTTTGGCGAAGGAGATGCCCAAATGTGCCGTATGTTTTACCAGTACTCATCACGGATAATCACTTCCTCTACTAACACCTGACTCTAGTTGGCATGCTTCACGCTTGAAGTACCAAAATCAACATGTGCTAGGAACCTCACGTCGGCATGCATGTGTACAAACACCGCGTTGAATGCCGCGGTAGGGGCTTGCGCTATGAAGTCTTGTACCCGGTATGAGCTGCTCCGTAAGGCTCTCTCTGCGATTCTTCTGCATACATGATGATACTAATACAACTCATAGAGACCAAAAACGTATCCAGCAAAAGTTGTGGCGTTCCAATCCGAAATAACAGCAAAAAGTTCATTGTCCTCGGTACGGCTGGCGCTATTGTTGCTATCGTAGCATTCATCCTACGACTGCTTGCCAGTCTAGGCAAGAGAGGAAGGAAGCTATCGTGGGACGACTTGACGATGGGCCTAGTCGTTGCGCTTTCGATCCCACCCGCCGTATTCATACCATATCGTAAGTTCTTCAACTTCTTATCTTACGATTGCATCTCTAACAAGCGAATAGTGGTCAAAAATGGACTTGGCCGAGACATGTGGACTCTGAAGGACTATGAGATCACCAATACGCTTTACTACTTCTTCTTAGGTGAGATCTTCTACGTCCTCGCCCTCGCTATCTCGAAGATCTCTATTCTCTTCTTCTACCTCCGTGTCTTCCCGGCCAAAGAGTTTCGTCTCAAGATATACGCTGTCATGGGTGTGTGCGTCGCCTACACGATCGCCTTCTTCTTCGCAACAACACTCCAGTGCATACCTGTCAGCATGGCCTGGAACCAATGGGATGGTCTTCATAAGGGAAGGTGCAACGATATTCACCTTCAAGGTTGGGTTGCTGCCGCGATCAACATCGTTCTCGACGCATGGGTCATGATCCTTCCTCTCAACAACCTAGCCAGACTTAACATGAAGCTGAAGCAGAAGCTCATGGTCATGTCCATGTTTAGCGTCGGTATCATCGTTGTCTTCACCTCGGCCATGCGGTTGTACTCGCTAGTGCATTTTGCGAACTCGAAGAACGTTACCTGGGACTACGTCGAAGCCGGATATTGGAGTCTGCTAGAGATCGACGTTTCTATAGTGTGCGGATGTATGCCTGCATTGCGGCTACTGGTCTCAATGACGATGCCCAAGATCAGAATGACCTTCAACTCGAGCCGAGGCGACTCTCAAATATCGAAACTTACCAATAACAAATCCAACGGAACGGATACGAACAAGAGCGTCAACATCTCGATCAAGCCAAAATCTGGAGACGAGAGCGACTTCGTCCCACTTGTCGATCTTGAGTCAAGTAACGATCGTGCTCTAGCAAATGATTCGCACTCAAACTTGGAGCGCAAGGAACAGCCAGGCCATTCGATGAAAGAGTCCGTCTCGAACGAGCGGCTTGATGGCTGGCCGATGGCCACGGCAACAATGGGAAAAGAGCACATCTGAGTTTGAATCTTGACTGCGCATGCGGAACTTTTACAAATGGCGCGATTCTGGAGTGGCATTATTCTAGGGTTCGCCAAGCTGAGCATAGCGTGTGCATTTCTTTCTACATAGTACCCGAGGCTACAGGGATTCACGCCTCACTTCCATGGCACTTCTGGGTGTTCTTGTAACTGGCTAGTTATTAGACAGCAGAAGAAAATGAAATCGTTCATTACGTCGCAACCAGTGACCAACTTAGAGATCAGAATCAACCCATGTGGTAGTGATGTCTAGCAGCGAGTGTGCTACATGCGCGCGTGCGGCGCCAGGAGAGAGATTACGAGACAATGGGCTTGCTTGGGGAAGATGGGGCTGTTCACGGTTGAATTGCGGGTCCGTCCGTGCCTGTCAGGCAGCGGGCGGAAATGATGGGCCGGTACGTGCAGTGAAGTAAACCAGGGTAGTACTAGACCCAGTCTAGCCCCCACGAATTCGGACCGTTGCACGCTTCGGCCCAACTGCTCTGCTCTCAACGTTTATTCGGACCGCTGTCTACTCCTGAAACTACGTGATGCAGGTTTACGTTAGTTCCTGTCGATTCTTGGCCGCATGTGTCTTTCGGTGACGAACTGACCACTTAGAAAATCTCCGACTGATCTCCACGGCTCCTTTTCCTATCAGGTACGGGATGGAGCCGTTGTTTCTCCGGAGGACATTCAAAATCCATAACGCACGGCGCAGTTTTCTACACCGTGCAGCTTATGGGATCGACAGGATTCCTTGGTGAAACCTTCAGCATAATCACTTGTTCTTCATTGGCTTAAGTGGACTCTAATATGCTGATATACGTTTCATCATTCTCGCTGTTGTCCGAAACCCAAATTCAACGATAGTTGCAATATTGACTGCTACGCATACATTCCTTAACCGGTGTCTAGCGACAACGCTGCACCCTCACACTCGCTTGATTTGATTTTTACAATTCATAATACCCTTATACTTAATTTTGGCCGCAATAAGTCTTCTGCAATGAAGTTCTGGTCTACCCTTCTTTTGGCATCTTCGAGCTGCCTCGTTGACGCTTTCCCTGCTCTATCCGTCCGCAACCTAGAAGGTCTCACCCCCGAGAAGCTCAACGGAGCGCTTGCAGAAGTTGAGAAGTTGCGCAACGATAAGCGCTTCCTGCTCGACATTCTCAAGCCTATCGAGCGCACTGGCAAGCATGCCTTCGTCGCACCAAAGGCGAACGACCAGCGTGGTCCATGCCCAGGGCTCAACGCACTAGCGAACCACAACTACATCTCCCATAATGGGATTACCAGCTTTGCGGAGGTAGTAGCTGCTATCAATAAAGGTACCATCTGATTGATCTTATACGAGATTGAGTGCGACACTGACGTTGCGATACAGTATTTGGCATGGGTATCGAGCTTGCTCTTATCCTCGGTATCATGGGGACGGTGTGGACGGGCAATCCGCTGTCCCTAAATCCAGGTTTTTCCATTGGAGGAGGTGGTAACGACAACCTTTTAGGCAACGTTCTAGGCCTTCTTGGTACGTGATCGATCATTGAATCTATATGATCTGTATTTTAATAACGCACAGGCGATCCCCGCGGTCTCCAAGGCTCTCACAACTGGATCGAGTCCGATTCCTCCCTTACCCGCGACGACCTCTACGTCACTGGCAACGCCTGGACGATGAACATGACTCTTTTCCGCGATTTTCATGATCGTGCGGACGAGAACGGCGTTATCTCCATGGATCTTCTCGCTGATCAGGCTGCTCGGCGGTGGGAATACAGCATTAGGAACAACCCTAATTTCTACTATGGACCTGTCACAGGGATGGTCAGTCGCAATGCTGGCTACTTCTTCCTTGGTCGTCTATTGTCCAACCATACCGACGAGCACCCAGGTGGTATTCTCACCCAGGAGGTGTTCAAGAAGTTCTTCGCTGTGTATGATGATGGCTATGGCGGTCTAGAGTACCGCGAGGGCCATGAGACGTTCCCGCAGAACTGGTATCGTATCAAGGGCGAGTATGGTCTTGCGCCTTTGAACTTGGATATCGTCAGCTGGGTCATGAAACACCCTGAACTTGGCAGGTATGTTACCCAACCTCCTCCCTGGACTATGATGCGCTGACCATACAAAATAGCATCGGAGGCAACACCGGCAAAGTAAACACCTTCACCGGCGTTGCCCTCTCCAACATCACCGGTGGCATCCTCAACACAAGCACCCTCCTTGAAAAGAATAACCTCCTTTGCTTCGTCTTCGAGGTCCTCAAAACCTTCTTGCCCAACTCGCTTTCCCCACTCCTCAAAACTCTTGATGTCCCCATCAAGTTGGTAAACGATGTGCTTGCTGCACCGCTTCTCAGTCTTGCGTGTCCCGCATGGAAGGATCTGACGGAGGGTGGTGAGCCGCTGTGGGACGCACTTCAGAACAGCTTTACTGGTGCTCGTACCGCAGGTTCGAGTTTGTAGGAGGCTTTGGTTTCTGTGATACGAATAATCGATCATTCCGGGCTGGAGGAGAGGGCGGTTTGGGCATGTTGCATAGGTGCAAGAATATAGCAGCGCACAAATATCAATATCATTCCTTGGGGAAGTTGCCTAACATGTCATCATTATGACATGCTCGTACGTGATAGCCATTGCCCCTCATTTGTTGATGTATTTGGCCCGAACTTTTGCATAATGACACCAGCCTTCTGTATAGTATGTCAGCCTGACCTTTAAAGACATAGCGGTTACGTACGTCTTATAAGAATCTCGCAGGATCTACCACTGTAGCTCTATTATTAGTCCATGTCTGATGTTATCGCGTCCAATTGAAAATAACAAGTATACCACACCAGGAGGATAGCAACAGTCAAGACGCCTATCCTAAGAGTCACAGAAATTACATGTGAGGTAGCTACGCGTGTATTCGACCTCGTATCAATAAAGTTATTAGAAAGCGTAAGGACTACATACCCTCGTGTTTGCGGACTGCCAATTCAATAGAGACTGGCCACTACCGGTTTGTATCGATTATCACCATCCTATATGTTACACATCACGCGCTATTATTACTTATTTTGTTACAACACCGCTTTTACGATTTGCAGAGAGCTTCCGAGCTTTACAACTTATTCTTCTCTCTCTCTTATTATTACTTATAACCTTCTTATCTTGCGTGTATCCGTTCTACGAACCTTCGTCAGACTAGCAGATTACACGAGCAACGAAGACTCTTTTTAATGTGTTTACGTGGTATAATTCTCTGCAATCTACTCACTCTCTTCCAACTCTAAACGTAGAAATTGATTGAAATAGAAGAAAATACTTGCTTTGATAATGGAACATGTACCTTTCGTGCAAGTACCTAGGTTTAATAGCAGTAGTTGGAGCTTCTCAACTGTCCGCAGCCCCATCTTCCCGTTGATGCTTTTTTCCCCTGAGAATTCCTAAAGAAGTCCTAATGCTATACAAAACATTTTCGGTCTTTTCGCCCATTAGTATTCCCTGGAATATCGGCTTTTGTTGCAAATTTATTTACGCACGCGATTGTCAAATTCCACGCATGATTTCAGGCTGCCGTCTCTAGATGACTAAGTGTCGCATCAACGAACGAGAAACCAGTGAAGCAGTAGCTCCGAGACGGTTGAGCGCAGATATCTTTGAGTGCTTGATAGGTTCGGTGCCCACGCCACTGGGGAAAGTCGACGGTATGGAGCAGAGTGGCAGGCCTTTTCTTGATCCTGACATGCTCGATCTACGAGACGCTGGCAACCTGAGCCTGGCATCATGACCTCTACGTGAGAACGGACGGCCTCTAATGGTGCACATAGCATTTATCATCTTCCATTATGGCCTAGAAGTTGCAGCCGATCGCCACAGCGAGATGGGCTCACTGAACTTGGCGGACTGAGAGTGCAATGGCCAAGCAACGTAGCCATGCTTTTCGAAGAGGTGCTGCAGGAATTTTGAAAGTCTCAGATGATCGTATTCGGCACCTATCACTGTCATCGCGCGCTGAACTTGGGAGGTCAGATTTAAGGGATGATTAGTGGCCACCGGGCTTTGCAGCTCCTAAAGCAACAAGGAAGTGTGCACAGACCGATAATTATTCTTTCTGGGAGTACGTGCTCGAATACTGTATAATTCACTGTTAAAGGTGCTTACACTGTCTTAATAGCGTATGAGTCCATCTTTTCTCCTACCCTGGAGAGGCCGTTGTTTCCAGTCGTATCATCTAAATTGCGGCACGGTTTTATACAAGACCTATACGACAATTGCATACAATGCGACCGAACGGCGGGCAGGTCCTTCCGTTCACAGAATGCCACTTGATTATCGGTATTCCGCGCTGCCGTGAGACACATTGGGTTTGCCGGTTTTCAATCATCTATGAGATCATGCTTCATACAACATTCATCTTGTCTTGCACAGGACAGACAAAACCGGTTGATAGCCTTTTGAGTTCCCAGTGCCTTCCAAGCGGGGTTCATAGCTCTACCAGCTAACAGAGACAGCCTGCCTCATCTTCAGTTCTCCGGCCAACCAAAGTACTGGCCTCCAGAAACCAGGGAATCCAGATCAAAGAAAGACGAATTTTCAAGACTGCCCGTAAGAAAATCATCCCATTGCTCATTCTGAGCTGGAGGGTTACAAGTAGAACTAGGTTCCAGAGAAAGTCCCGAATTAATGCCGTCGGGGAAGTTCGATCCTTCTCTCTCATTATATTGAAAATAGCCTGAATCAAAAACGTTGCTAGGTATGTACTGAGCGTGCATGATTGATTGCGGAGTTTGTATAACTGCAGGGGTTGGTGGCATTGAGCTTGGATGTAAGTGCCTCATTGTAAGCCGTCGTTGTAGCTTTTGAGTGAGGTCCTATTGCTGTCAGTGTAAGCATTCTACTGCTGTCCGTGTGTATTTCACCTCGAGTGCCGCAACATATCTCCCTGCCAGGCGATTTGTTGGCGTAAAGCTTCGCTCGGCCTCGCAGCAGGCTTGAGCAGCCTCCCAAATCTCCTGCTTCCGTGGAGTTGATGGGTTGTGCGCTAGGTATACCAGCATTACGGTAGCTGCGCAAAAGTTGACATATGCGCTAAACCAGAATTGACCAGTTATGCTGCTTTCTCGGAGCAAGGCTGAGATAATTTCCGCAATGGAAAGGGCAGCCTCTAAGCACTGGTCCTGAAAGGAGCGGATATGAGGTGCCAAGACGGCATCTTCCCCCGTGCTATATCTGGAGAGCATAGACAGAGGTAGCGAGGGTCTGAAAATAAGAAGATAGGCATGGTGGCATGCCAGTCGAATCACGGTCGACTGGCGTGCATATATTGGGAGCAAACTTCGGCTACTCTTTAAACGGAGAAAGTCCGGCAAGTCGTCTTCCCATTGTTGCATCGCCGCGGCAAGTTCCTCGATCTTGGTAACGTTTGGTTCAACATCCTGAGTTAAGTAGAGAGTCTTTAGAGCTTGCCTGATGATTCTCGCCAACTTTGCATGTGCACTCGGCGCCCCCATTAAAGATGGGAACCCATCAGGGCTTTGGGGTATGGTCGGGGGGCGGCTAGGATCCTTGCCAGTGACAATGTCTTCGTCATCAAGCGTTGCGTGGCCAATTCTAATATCGCTCTCGTCGAAGATAAAGATCTTACCCAACATGGCGGATAGATAAGTGTCCAAAGTGTAGACCGCCCAGAACGCTCGTTTCCGTTGCTCCGCTTGCAACGAATCTACACACTTGACAGTGTGCATACCAATTCTGGACCCCAATGGGTACTCAACACGGCTGAGGTCAAGGTTGTTGGCCATGTTTTTGACCGTTGAGAAGAGGTCCCATGCCGCTTTGAGTCGAGCTGCGGTCAGCAGATATAGGCACATTAACAACCGGACTTGGAGAACAACGAGTCGATCAATCAGCGATCTTTCCTTGTCTAATATGAGCTGGGCGAGTTGGAAGTACTGGAGTCCCTTTTGCTGAAGCCATGCAAGTTCCTTGGGTGCAAACGATCGGCCAGCTCGAGACTTAGGATACTGACACCCGAGCGCCCATACCATCAAGACCAAGCATTCTTCGACTCGGCTCAGCTCCGACTTATGACCGCCTCCGCCCCCAAGCCATTGGCTTTCACCGCACATGCCTTCGACCATGGCCTCCACAGACGGCTGGTAAAGGATCCGGTACGTCGGACTAGCATTCTCAAAGTACCAAGACGACATCTCGAAACCCTGTTCAGGTGGGGGAAGATAGTATCTAGCAAGGTTCAGTGCTGGTAATGGTGGTTCACTGAAGCGCAGCCAACTTTGGGCGTTGTATTTATTATTGGGTGGGGCGCCAAAGGCTGGTGCCGCGAGTGACTGGCCATGCTCGACACCTACTGAGTCTTTGGGGGTTGCTAAAGTATCAGCGCCGAGGCGCGGTGGAGAAGGTGGTCGAGAGCTTAGTTGAAGCCTTGCGGCATTGGAGAAGGCGATATTACTACTTTGACCGAAATACCCTTCAGCATCTTCCAGATCGGATTGTGGTGTGTCATCGCGACGAACAGCGGCCACTGTACCATCCGGTATTGCGGTGTCGCTTTCTTGAGCCTCGTCGCGGGGTATGGCGAATGTGTCAAGGCCTGAGTCGATGCGAACATTCTGGCTTCGAGTTTGGGCCCGAGAGACGGCCAACAAAGGCGGTGGAGGAGCTAAACCCCTGCAGTATGGAGTATCGTAAGAACAGTGGAAGCCGTAAGCGCGACACTTCCCACAGGGCAAAACACCATCGCATTTGGTTTTCTTCAGCTTGCAATGGTCACAAGCTCTGGCGATATTCTTCCTTTGGCGCTTGGCTGGCGGTTCTTCGATTTGAACTCGCGGTTGTTCCATCTCTTTCACGGCCGCACGTACGGAGCCAAGATTGCAGTATAGCACGATTTCCCCGACAGGACAGTATCTCCATGACCAAAAGTATGGTTAGTTCAAGGTTGAGGCGTGTGACGACATCCGTAAGTAAAGACCGCAATAGCGGATAAAATACGTTGAGGGGATTTGGTAAGAACAACCAATAAAACGCCGGGCAACAGAGTTAGCGGCACTTTAGGCCGGTGATCTTCAACGCCGTCGTGAACACTGTCAATTCCTAGATTATACATTTCGCCCAATCTTGTCGCGCGTTCTGACCTCCGCGAAGACCTGCTTGAAGTATAGTGCGCCCCTTAGGCAGCCAGCTACCGATGTGCGCGGACTTTGGGCTGACGAACCAGACTATTGATAAGCCACCCCCGCTCTCCATGTTCACGCGCGTACACGTGCGCGGGGAAGAATCCGTCATAGTTACTAATCGCGCCCGCTCTTCTCTCCCCGTCCCTGTAGACAACAGCCACTGTTTGTTTGCATAATCAAGCCACCGGTGCTTGACCTCACATGTACTACAAACTCGATCCATCACTCGCTTTGCATTTGAGCTGTCGCAAACGTTTGAAAGGTTACCAGCACGTCCTCAGATTAGCGAACGACGACCAAGCCTCACAATTCTTGTGTATTAGCATGGTATTCATCTAAGACTTGTACGAGGATTACGAACAAGTTGGTTAAATTACGGGGTTAGGTATTGTCTGGGCGAAATAGAACAGCTAGGCGCTAGGTGCAACCGAGACGCGACTTTAGCTATTCGGTTCTTAACTAGAGTCGTAGTTGCGCTCTATTTCTTTACAGTCTCTGTCTCATCGTTCAACCTGATACCTCGGCAGTCAAACGGCGAACACTCTTCGCGGGGCTGGTTTCTCTTTTTTTCAGGTGGCTTGCTCATAAGCTTCAAGTCCTGCACCACTTCAGAATTCGTGTTGTACGCTAGAATTACATATTTCTTGGGTATCGCGACGCAAGTAGTGTTGTGTACCAGATCACGGACACAACCACAGCCTTCTCCGCCCTATGCGACTGTGCTTGCTGATTCCCGAAGCTTACTTCCATCAAGGACCAGACCGTTCGAAGGCTTATACTCCTTATGTGGAGTGGTGGATCACACAAGGATAAAACCGCTCCGATTGGTGCGGAGAAGCCCCGGAAATCACGGAAATCTCTCCAGCCTCAAAACCCGGAACGCATGCTGATTCGCGCGGATTGGTCTCAACCGTCTGGGGAACCCGAGGACTCGGAGGTTTCCCCATCTGGGGTTCATGGGCTAGCTTAAAAGAGTATCTAGGCATCAACCCCAGACTTCTGGGTAACATCTTACAGGGGACAGGACCACTTCTTGACCGCACATTTTCATCCATTGACCACCAACCCATCTACTCGGCCTCCACTGCTACTCGATACGACATTAGTTAGAAACATGGACGCCCAAAAAGAGTCTGGAGCGACAATGCTAGAGAATGGATATCTCAAATCGAACGAGTCTTTGGATGGAGATGTGGGAATGAAGATCTTGGTAGCTGGAAATGTCGATGAAGTCGTTGACCCAGTGGCTGAGAACAAGTTGGTTCGCAAGATTGACATGTACATCATGCCCTTCCTCTGCATTACCTATCTCATCACGTATATTGACAAGGCGACTCTCGGCTATGCTGCTGTCTTTGACTTGCCGAAGGATCTTCATTTACATGGAACGCAATACAGCTGGCTTAGTATGTTAACATGCCTCTAATCAGATAGCCTGTGGACTGACAGACCTATAGGCAGCATCTTCTACTTCGGGTTCTTGATATTCGAGTATCCGACAAATTTCTTCATGCAGAAATTATCCGTCTCTAAATGGCTCGCCGTCAACATATTCTTATGGGGTGGCATCACCATGGCTCAAGGTGGTGTCAACCACTTCGAGCCTTTTATGGCTTTGCGCTTCATCATGGGAATGCTAGAGTCATGTGCCACGCCAGCAACCATACTTCTCATAGGAATGTGGTACAAGATTGAAGAACAGCCGATCCGCATTGGCATATGGGCAATGTTCCTCGGCATATCGAACGCATTCGGTGGTCTCCTGGCTTTTGGAATTGGGCATATCCAAGGTTCATTTGCCAGTTGGCGATATCAATTCATCATCGTAGGAGCCGTTTCTTCGGTGTGGGCCATAGTTGTATTTTTCGGACTGGCCGAAAATGCCGCCAGCGCGTAAGTTTGCCATCTCCAAGTCCTTGTGTTGTTCTAACGACCAAATGCAGACGATGGCTTTCCCCGGAGCAGCGAATACTCGCTGTTCAAAGACTACGCGTGAATAACACCGGTATCAAAAACAAGGAGATCAAGCGGTACCAAATCGTCGAGGCGCTGCTTGATCCGAAAACATGGTTCTTCTTCTTCTTTGGTGTTTCAACTCAGGTTGTCAACGGGGCAGCCAGCAATTTCGGATCACTCATCATCAAAGGCTTTGGCTTCACCACGCTGAAGACTACACTACTTCAGATTCCCTATGGATTCCTCATCCTAGTGGCGAATATCTCCGCAATGTACATTCAGCGATGGCTTCCCGGACAACGCAGGTGCATTGTGGCAATTGTGTACGTCCTTGTGTCTCTGGTAGGTATTATTGGAGTCTATACCATCCCAAGACATAACCACTGGGCACTATTGGTCTGCTATTGGGTAAGTCAGGTTCCAATTATGAATGATGTTGTAGTTGCTCACAAAGGCGTAGCTAACCGGCACCTACACCGTGTCATACTCGATGGCCTTGTCACTCATCACCGCCAATATCGGTGGTTACACAAAGCGATCAACAGTCACCGCTATATTCTTCATCTCGTATTGCACCGGTAACATCGTCGGGCCATTCGCTTTCAAACCCTCCGAAGCGCCCAAATACCAATCCGGAATTATTGCAATCCTCGTTGCGTATTGCGTAGAGATAGCGTTGTTTGCCTTGTTTGCGGTCTACGTGGCCATGATGAACAGGAAAAAGCAAAGTATATTTGAGGAACTGGGCCCTGATGCGGACAATGAACAAGCGCGGACAATTGCGTCTTTCAACGATCTTACGGACAAGGAAAATGTCTTCTTCAGATACACATACTAGGTAGTGCTCTAACAAGGGTTTGAATGGCAATATTTCCCTCTAAATTGAATCAATCCGAGATGTACTATTACGAAGCGATGAATCCGTACGACTGACAAGCCACATATAATCTGCCTGTGCCAAGCCCCCATGTTGCTCCTTCCCAGACGGCAGCAATGTTCACCTGCGTCGCGCCGTGCACTCATACAGCCGTTTTAATATGTATTGATTGCTTTCTGGTATTCTCATGCACAGTTGATTATGTGAAGAAGAACGCGGTGATTATCTTCCCTGGCGCTATGCTAGTGCCCGTCTTGTGATATGCCAAAGAAGACTTTCCTTTGTGAATTATGCCCTTCTACGCGGAAATAAGCTTTTCCCAGATTCCCTCGGGGTCGTCTTGGTGCTGTTGGCGTCATTATTTAGAAAGGCCGGGGCTCGGAGGCTACCGGAGATGATGCTCTGCATTTCCGCGGGAGTACACTCCGACCGGAGATACTTGCACTAAGTCCATCACAGCTAGAGACCTTCCTTATCGAAACTTAGCGTTAACGCTGGTGCAAGCCTAAATGACAATGGTGCATCTCAACTACGCAGCGTTGTGGGGTCCCCGCATGCTTTCGCCGTGGGATCTCCCCGAATGCGGGAGTTTTGACCCGGAGAAAGATATGAGCTAGTGGTTTTCGGTTGGGAGATCGTTGGAGGCACGTTAAAATAATAAGCCTTTTCGCTCTACAAGGTTCGATTCTACAAAGCTTGATGGTACTTTCCTCTCTACACTTTTAAATACGATTACTTTGATCGACGGGCTTTGACTTCCAAGATGGACACGATGGACAAGTCAAAATTTGACGATGTGAACACCTTTGAGACGATCTCGGACGACCGTGTAGCAGGTTTCGAGGGTCTGAATGAGCAAGAGACACGAGCACTTGAGAAGCGGTGTACGTTAACCCTTTTGTTTGCCAAAAGAGATGAGTGACTGATAGCATGAAACAGTGGTCAGAAAGGTTGACATCCACCTTATCTCGGCGTTGTTCTTAATCTTCATATTCAACATCCTGGATCGCTCGAACATCGCCAATGCCAAACTTGGCGGTATCGCAAAAGACCTCAAACTTACTGGAACGCAATATCAAACCGCAGTCTCGATTATGGTAAGTTGTGACAAAGACGTTTTGCTAGCTTATTTTTACTAAGCTTGCACCTAGTTTGTTGGCTACTTGCTTGGCCAGATCCCTAGTAATATCATCTTGACACGGGTGAAGCCTTCTCGGTACATTCCATGTGCGATCTTCCTTTGGGGAGGCATTTCTCTCGCCACAGCAGGCGTCAAAAATTTCACGGGGCTCATGGTAATTCGCATCCTTCTCGGCCTTGCCGAGTCACCTTTCTTCCCAGGCGCTTTGTAAGTTCCCAGATATTAAAGAACGTTTTCTATGCCATACTAACTCCCATAGACTTCTCATCAGCTCTTGGTACAAGCCTATCGAGATAGCGCCCCGCGTTGCGGTAGTATACTGCGGAAATACAATCGCAAACGGATTCGGAGGGATGCTTGCAGCTGGGATCCTTGGGGGCCTGCATAAGGCTAATGGATTAGAGGGTTGGCGGTGAGTGCTATATACTGGGATCCTAAGTTCACGCTAACTTTCTAGGTGGTTGTATATCATCGAAGGTGCAGGCACTATCCTTGCCGGATTGTTAGCCTTCTTCCTCCTTCCCGACTTTCCCAATTCCGGACAGCAAAAGTGGCTTACAGAGCAAGAACAAAGATTTGCTATTTGGAGGCTGGCTGAGGCTGCAAACCATGAGGAGGACGAGAATGGCACGGTAAAACAAGGTCTCAAGGACGCCTTCACCGACCCCAAGACATGGATATTGGTATTCATGCAAGTGTGCTTGCTCACATCTCAAACTTGGACATACTTCTTCCCGGTAAGCTCTGGAATTCTATTGTTGAGAAACGGAAAGATACTAATACATCAACAGTCGATTGTTAAGACTCTTGGTTACAACACCATCATCACGCTTCTTATCACGGCCCCAGTCTATGTCTTCGGCTTTATCGTCTCCTTGTCGAACGCTTTCGTGGCCATGCGTACGAGTAGACTAGCAGTCCTCATAATGTGGCCTGCTATGCTCGATATTGTGGGAAATATCATGGTTATAAAGGGCCACACCACCCCGGTTCGATACACGGGCATGTTTTTCATGTGTGCCGGATCTTTCGCAGCCTTCAACGTCATTCAAGCATGGATCGCGTCGACTATTCCTCGCACACGTACCAAACGTGCGATCGTATATGCTTTTGTCAACTTGATGGGCAACACCGCGAACATCTACGGAGCATACTTCTTCCCGGACTCGGATGCCCCGCAGTACGAACAGGGCGGTATTATTCTCTCATCCTTTGCGGCAGCTGAGATCTGCACGGCAGCTTTCCTTGCTTATATCCTGTATCGCCTCAATAAGAAGGCGGAAAAGGAAGAAGAGAGTGATGGCCAGCCAAGGTACAGATACCTGTGGTAAACTACTGAGTTCATTGCACTTTCAGAGACCGGAAGCAGTTCGAATAGTGCGGGGATGAGAGATCTAGATAGTGTGTTGGGAGCAATTCAAAGATATAGTTGACCACTCTCTTGATCATCGTGTTGCAAATTCGCCTTTCTCAGTGGTACAGAGTAGTAATCATCGGCCCACTCTATTCCATAGTGTGTTGCTGCAGTACACCTCTCACTTCAAATTGTTCTGCAACTCGTTGGACGCCAAAGATGAAATTACACATGCATCGATCGATTCTTGCACAATGGAATCTCAGTGTTCCTTAAAAAATGGCTACAGCGTTCGGTGGGCTTGCAACTCCGCCCGGTACGTACAACGGCATGGAGCTAAAGAAAAAAGTCCATCTATCCCTCTTCTTGCATTCCTGGCTCAGTCGCTCAAGGTCGAAAAGCTCTCCAATCGGCATGCCCCATCCCGCCAGAAGCCATTCATGAAGCCAAAAGTCAGTGTTTTGGCACGGCCATGCCTCGAAACTGGGCATGTCACCCGCAACTGCTGCAAAGCCACTTTCCCAGAGCCATCGTAGCGTCTCCTTGGAAGATTCGACTCCGATTGCGGGTGGCGAGGTCATGTCCGCCAACGCGCGTCGCTGATCCTGAGTCATATACTCGTACTGCTTGGTCCAGCCAGTACGAATGAGGAGGATATCTCCGGGGCGAGGTATTGTGTTTTGGCTTGCTGCGACTTGCTTCAATACCGCGACGGGGATGGAACTTGTGCTAAAGCAATCTACGGGGAGTCCCTCCTTCTCCGCCCAAGAGGCGTAATCCAACAAGAGGCCCCGACTAACGATGCCGCCATTCTCTACCCAAGCTACATGTTCATTTGCAATTAGTGTCTTCTTTCAGGTATGTGACAGGGTACATCTCAGCAAACTTACCATGAGTGCCAAGGGCTTTGGTGTTTAGTAGATCGTCCAGCGTCTTTCCGTTAAACCACTTCGCCTCCTTCTGGTATCCGTAATGCCTGAGTCCATCCCACTGGGTACTACACTGCGTGTTGAAGGTCAAGGTGTCGTCATTGACACTCCTTGGGGCCTTGTTCTTGATTTCCTGCTTGAAAGGAACGCGGCCAAAGCAGGGTTCCGCCATCAGGTCTAGCGGCCAGTCCAACGCGACTCGTACGCCGTCTTTGATTTCCGAGGCGGCTGCGGCGGTGGTTGCAGGTGTGAGGAGATTGAGCATTCCAAGCTCATCGGAGCTACCGAAAAGGCCCCAGGCGTTGCCATGAGGGCCGTCTTTAGCAAGCGGCAACTCATCGAAGGATGGCTTATTGACTGCCATGACGGGATTTAGCTATTGGATATTGGCGAGAGAGGGCCCCAAGAGAATAATATAGTCGGATATGATTGTCAAGCAAAGGGCTTCAGACTATGGTGGTAACGAGAGGCTTGCAATGTGGATTTAGCTCTATGTTCCTACATTTCCGACACACCGAAGGAATTCCGGCGTCGGCATTCGGAAATTGTTGTGAGACGACAGCTCGCAGATATAGATGTTAGGCCCATGGATCTCCTGCGGCCAGGCCTTTTGTGTAGTAACAATGCGCGTTTTCTGTTCCAAGTGTACTGATTCAATGACGGAAGCCAGAATGTGTTTACGGTGTCATGGTATTGAGCTCGAGGAGGGCGACAGAGTTGGGGGCTCTTTCGGCGGCAGACAGGCCACGGAGTTAAAGCGCGAAGCAGCCCGGAGATAACACGCGCTGCAGACACAGCAGCCTCCAACTCCAACTCCGAGGCTGAACTATGTGAGTACTTCCTCCAACGCTGCGGAAGCTTTCATGTCGTTGTTGCTGTCATGTACAGGCTGCCTTTCATATTCAATATCGTTGAATATTTTGAGAAGTACTCATCCGATTTTTACCTTTTTCCTAAGAGTCGAGATGGGCCTGCAACCATGAGAAATCATGATCCGCCACTCAAACCTGGCAGGCAACCTTACCAGCCCGTCAAAGACACCTCTAGGAGCTTTTCGCCCAACCCTTCATCTGGGTATTTGTGCAGAGAATATCAAGTGGAGCCAACAAGGACAGAACGCCAAGCTCAAACAAGCACGTCGAAGGGCCGAGCAGATGCTTACTACCACTACTACGATGTGTATTCAAACTCTTGGGGCAGAAGATTTAAGTCGATATCCTCCTGAATCCGCAGTGTCCAATCCAGCGGGCTTTTGGTACGCTGAAACCTCATTCCAGCCTTTGTTCTCCCCGTACGCGCCGTTGACCATTCGACCGTCTGGATCTATACCTTCAGCTGGCTTGACGGCTTCGCGGGATGCTCGGAGTCCGCACATCCATGAATTTTCTGGCTTTGGAACTCGTGCAGTATTGCGTCAATGCAGCGCCCCGCAAATCCGCCGCACATCCGCCGTCTTGATCTCCCAGCCCTCAGCGTCTGCTCCTTCGCTTTCTAGATCGAATTTTCATGGCGTTGTTGCTTCACAAGCTATCGACGTCGACGGGTCGCTTGTGTCTACACGACTGCGAAGAAGCCGCGCTTGCCGATCTCAACCTTGATTGAGTCGGCAATTGGCAGGCGGTCGGAAACGTCTAGCTCCCAGCGCGATGCATCTTTAGGTTGCGTCGTAGTGATGTATCTACAACCCTTGTTGACCAAGTGCCTAATCGATCGTTCTAGCGCGGGATCATCGCCGATGGCAGAGGCATAGTATATGCGCGGTTGGAGCATGGCATGTCCGACTGAACCATTCATGGCGAGTGTGTTTGAAGGTAAGCAGTCGCTACAGACGTCGGTGCCTGGTTTGTATTCGACTGTGAATGTCGCGGGCTCATGTTGTTCACGTATGAAGCGAGTCGTGGTACGGGTCGTGCACCATAAGGCGCCTTATCTGATCGTCGATCCGCCCTAGCGATATAAGCGGTGGAACTACCGTCAAAGGTTTTCCGCAACGCCATCTCCCGACCCAAAACGGCCAAGGTGTATGCAACCTACCTGCTCGACGCGGAAACTGGACAGCTTCAAGATATTGAGTATCTCAGGTTCTTGGAGCAAGATGAAGTAGGGGGTATAACTATCGTATTCATTGTGTATCGTCAAAAGGAACTACATACGTCGTAACGCATTACGTCAAAACATCGCGCAAAACCCTCCCGCAATACCACCATATCTACAGCTTTTACTTCGAACCCTCTGAAAGAATGCAACGCACTTCATACCGCACTTCCCGCTCCACTGGTTCGTCCCTTATGCTCCGACTTTCCTGTCGCCATCCGGGCTCGACAAGTTCTTCGCCCTGAGCTCATATTGATCCTTTCCTTGGAGACCAGCATTCCTGCCTCTCCGCCATAAGAAGAAACCAATGGCGCCGAAGATGGCAAGACCTGCAACGATCACTCCTACGGCGATGCCTGCCTTGGCACCCTTGGAGAGTCCACTGCTACCAGACGAAGCGGATGGTGTTTGCGAGCCAGAGAGATTGGCGCCGCCAGATGGCGTAGCTGGAGTGCCAGAGGTCTCCGGGGGTTCAAAGTCTTTGCTCGTCACGTTGAAGCATGGGACTTGAAGCTTGAAGTTCTTGGTCTCGACAAAGGTCTGTTCGAGGATGGTTAGCATGTGAAACTGCAAATGGAGAGATCATGTCTGAGCACGAGAAGGGCTACTTACAATATCGGCGCAAGCGAAGAAGGACTGGTTCTTGCCGTCGTTCTCGCCTTCGAAATCGGCCCAGTACTCGAGCTGAATGGTGGCATTGGTGCCTTCTCTGATGTTCTCGAGCGCTTCAATCTTGTAACATTGATGGCCGGGATCAACTTCGGTAACGTTGTCAACAATCTGGTCATCAAAGTCAGACTGCTTTGTGGGGTCTGTTCAACAGGATTAGTCGAGATGCTCAGGGTCCTTGGAGGAACAACTCACTGTCGCCAATCGCAAGGCGGAAGGCGATCTTGTAGGCCTCGTCAGCGATGCTGAGTGCGACTGAGCCTTGAGACAACGGGTAGGTGGTTCTGTTCTTCGGTCCGTCTGGGGATCCGCAAGGCGCTACGTTGTCGGTTTTGGCATCCCAAAGACGATCTGATGGCCACAGGAACTGGACAGGGCCCATGACGGTTCCCTCAGCACCTGAACCATGCTTTTGCGCAGCGGCCAACAAAGGCAGTACTGCCAGAGAGAGGAGAGATGAACGCATGTTGATGGTAGTTCAAGATGAGAGTCAAGGACAGATGAGGCGTGCAGCAATTAAGCCGCCACGGTCCCCTCCGCTATATACTGCATGCCGCCGTTGGGTGTGGGTGGGGTTGGTACTCAAAATCACCTGTCAGGTTGCCAGCCGTGTGCAGGATCTGATAATTGGGCCAGTCGGTTCGTATTCCACCACAACGAGTCGCGCATTGCATTGCCAAGGACACAGAGATATTGTTTGCCGTTGGGTTTGCCCAATCAGCGGCGACATGCCAACAGAACTACCCACCTCGGTCCAACCAGACTCTGGCATCTGAACCATCCAGAACCAGCGCACTGCGATCTAATTGGCAGGTTATGGGGCTGGACGTCTCGAGTACCGGTCTGCCCGGCTCAGGGTACACTCGCAAAGTTATCTGATTGCGCTAACGAATGAAACCCTCCCCGCCGCGCCAGTTAAACGACGCCCAAGTCTCTTGGCGCATCCTCAACTGGCTAATCAGACCCATCTTATCGAGCCATCTGATAAAATTTTGCATCTCCGACGTTCGGCCGGCATACATCACTCCACTTTGTTACCTCGTACAACAAATTAATCAGTGGAGCATGCGGACTAGTCCCTATATACAGAATTTCTATCGGTCATGAGCACGGATTGGTGAGGAGCGTGTAAGCGAGCAAGCGAGAATGCTCGGCATGCAAGAAATGAGGTACGCCACTTCCCGGTTCCTGCATGCTAACTGCCCCTGTGCTACAGTGCTATATATCTTGTCTATATCTCGTTGTAACATCTTTTGTCCATCAACCAACATTCGCTTCTTCACTCGTTCAAGTCAAGCCAATACCCGTCCGCTACAATGGTTGCTACATCCGCCCTCCTTGCCGGCTTCATTGCCGCTGCCAGCGCTTCCGTCCTTCACCCTGAAGATGTCGTCTTCGCTAAGCTCCTGAAGCGTCAAGAGCCCGGCACCCCGGCCTTCAACTGCCACGACAACTGCGGTAAGATTTCATGCAGCAAATTTCTCGTCCCACTATACTGACTCCACATTAGGTACCGCTATCACCTTGTCCAGGCAGCCCAACAAGTGCGACATTGAGGAGTTCAAGTACGACTATGCCAACTGCCTCGTATGCGCCGGCCCCGACAACATCGACATCTGGAAGTACTACGGCAGGACCTTGACCATCGCCGGCACGAGCTGCGGTCTTTCCACCGAGCCCAAGTCTGGCAAGCAGCCTGATGTTCCCGCAGCCAAGCACCTGAGTACCAACTCTGCTGCTCCTTCTCCCACCCCGACTCCTGAAGCTCCTAAGTCAGAGACCCCCGCCCCGGCTACCTCTGAGAAGCCTACCGAGGCTCCTACCTCTGCTAAGCCTACTGAAGCCCCCTCCGCTTCTAAGCCTACCGAGGCTCCCGCCTCCAGCGCTGCCCCAGCGCCTGCCTCCAGCGGCAGCGTTACCGCAGCTCCTTCAGCTGGAAAGCCTACCTCTGGTGCCCCAGCCTCTAGCTCGGCTTCATCAAAGGTACAGCCTGCCCCTGCCTACCCCACTAAGAGCTCCGTCGTCGTCCCTGTCTACCCCACCGTTGGCACCACTGCCTCTGGTGCACCCAAGCCGCATACCAACGGCACTGCGAGCTACACCTCCAAGGTGAGTTCGTTCTTAGACTACTCTTCATATGATCCTCACTAACATTATTATAGCCTGCCCCCCCTGAGCAGTCTGTCAACGCGGCTGCTGGTCTCGGTGCCACCGGTGGTGTCTTCGGCGCCATCTTCGTTGCTGCCATCCTCGGCATGTAAATTCTCTGACCGTTATGTGTGAATGAGTGTGGACGTAATGGAATGAGGGAGGATAGCGAATTCTTGTATAATACCTAATCCTATAAAACCTGAATAATGAACAACCCTGTTATATTCAGTTTCATCGCCCAATTCCTTCGGGGCGCATCGATTAGTGAGACTCAGTTTACGTGCAGTACAATTCGGCGCGTTCCGAGCATCGTCGTCATGAGTGAGCATGGTCCAAGTTTCGTTTATCTCTGCCTAACGGGCTCTAAAACATGGGGTCGGGCGCATGTCGGGCTCTTCACACTACTAGTCTGCATGACGCTACCCCGCGTTGATCAATGCTTCTTTTCCCTGAACCCTGACATTATAATAACTCAACAATGGCTGATCGCCCGGCACATCATGGGACTCGGCTTCATACGCCCTATTCCTCACATAAATAGCAATGGAAGTAGTAGCTCAAAATCTATCAGCTGTCGACATAGACGCTCTTTTCTTTCTGCCGCTTGCGAGGGGAAGTAGTACATGAGCGTCGAAGCGACAGTCGCCAGATCTCCATAATGGTACAAACCATACGAACGGCGCGGGACGGGAATGGTGTGGTGAAGATACAAGCCTGGCGTTCCAGATGGATTCGTCGACTATGGTCTGCGTAGCTCTGGACATGCTCAATTTGATGGGCACAATCTAAGATGGCGCCACTCTCCGGAAGCGGTCGTGTAGGTCCACATGAGCACTATGCTCGCCTCATCCGAGTTCCCAAGCGTGACGAGCTAGCGTGGAGGCCCTCCGTGGATGATGGGCAGTTGATGTCCAAGCTTGTCGGTAATGGGGATTGAAGATATCTGCACCATTGAGAGCACTGCTAGTCGTGAGTCGTGGACCGATGGGTGTCAGTCAAGATGATAGAGAGACCCTAATCACACTATCGCAAAGTGATGACTGGCAAAGTGCTCTTGGCTGACACCACGTATATCTACCCTCCTTTTGCCCTCATCTTGTCTTCTCTGCACCTCTTCGAGCAGATCCGCTGTTGCTTTTGCATTGGTAGCGATACTCTCGAGACCCCTAATGGCTTCGAGAATCCATCTTCTCTCGTCCACGTTGTCTTCTTCTGAGCCCCACATGAGCAGTGGCCACAGCAGATTCACTGGGAGCGACTCGTCTGTTTCCGCCATGAGGTGCGCTAGACGTTTGATGTTGGCAATGGCAGTGGTGACATCCTTCGTCTTCGGGTACGAAAAGTAAGCAACGCGGTGTAGATGGAGGAACGAAGCGTAGTAATTGGCGACATAAGTGCGAAAGCTGCGAGTAAGTGCTCCTGCCAAGTTCTTCGCAAGATGCTTCTCGGTCAAGTTGCCCGCTACTGCGTGGTCCATTAACGCAGGCCGCTGCCCGTAAAGTGCATGCAAGTCCTTGGAAATTTGCGCTGCGAGTGCCATGACATCGGTTTCGTCGTGCACGGTACCACGACTGCGATGCCATGGGTCGATGCGCGTGATGCGTCCGACAAAAGACTGCACCTTTTGGTAGAAAACTATACCTGGATGATACAGTACGTCGAACAAGATCTCCTCAATTTCTGTATCGAGCGTCTCGGGTTCTGATGCAGGGTTGGCGGCAGGGGATGCATCAAATAAGCTTTCATCTGTGTCGGCCAGGAACAGTCCTTCTCCGCCAGCTGTTGATACGGCGCGAGCGTCTAGAAGACGAAGCCAGGAGATCAGACGTCGCTCCGGGACCGAGAATGCCGTCTTATCAGCGTTCTGAATCAGCGTATAGGCTTCCCGTAGGTTTGCGTGAGCCCTTGGAAGTGTTTCAGTGAGTAACTGTAGTCTCACGTCAGTAAATACTCTAGCCGAGAAAGCCCATATACATGGGTTGAATGCAAAGGCTGATGTGCTTTACCTACATCCGTGTACGTGATCAAAAATAATGATGCCAGTATATGTTTCAGGCTAGACTTCGAGTTTTCACCCTCATCATTCTTTCGCTTTTTCGCAAGCGCGCCTGATAATTGGCGGGTAGCATTGTCGTACAGCGGCCGCCAATCCGTCTTCATAACATCGCCGCCTAACCCACTTCGTTGCATCTGCATCGCGGCAAAGGCCATGATTGCGCTTCGAACGATGGACGATTCAGCCGCCATTGTTCCAAAGAAGGCTCTGGTAGATGCCCATTTAGGTCCAATCTCAATAGGCGTGAGGATAGGCGGCATCAGCATTTGCAGGAAGGTGCTGAGCAGTAAATCTTCATCAACCTGTCCATTCGAAGCGTTTTCTGCGGAAAATGGCGAGGTTGATGTTGGGTCAGGTTGATGCGGTCCGCGGTCTGGCAAGGACTGAATACTCCCACTTCCTCGAGGCCGTACGGTAGGCACGGCTTCCATGAGCGGACCTGAAGACTGGTGCGCGAGTGGCAGTTGATAGATAGACTGTGGCACCGAATCCAAGTGCGACGTTGCGGCGACTATGGAGGGATCCGAAGGCCACGAGTTGGGGCTAAGGAGCATGGCTTCGTCCCAGGTCCCCATCTGCAGCGGGCCCGAGAAATCGAAGAAGCCGTTACCGCCCATGCCAAATCCATCCAGAGGCAGGAGATTAGGATTGAATGGCTGCTGATGATTTGCTTGCGGGCTTGTTGTCAAGACTGACTGCGACGACTGCGTGCTTTTGCTGCGCGCCTGTGGTGGCCGATTCCAAGTACAATCCAGGTTCAGCCGCTCACAGTGAGCGCACCGCGGTCTTCGCTCGTTGCATCTCACCTTCCGTCTCCTAAAAAGCTAATTAGCGCAGCTCATGGAGACCTGAGCAGGGGGAGGATATACCTGCATGCATTGCAACCGTTCTTTGACCGTGCAGGGCGAGGCGCGGACGGTTGCTGCTCAGAGGTGGGCCCAGATGTCTCTTGCTCTGGCGGTGTTGACTGTGACATGCGTACCAACAGTGAATAGTCTCATGCAGCAGGAATTGGCAGGCGGAAGATGCGATTTGCGCGCGACTTGCATACGTCGAAACTTTCCAGGACCCCGTGGTAGAGGAGAGCATCCGAGTTGCGGGGGCCATGGCGCTAACGAGTCAGCAATAGCACGTGCGTTTTCCACTTTGCGCCCAGCACCATTGTACATGATTCATGCTGCCGCCTTGAATTGGAGACCAAGTAATTCAGATCAGCTGATCGCATCGTAAACTTTTCTTTGTTACTCTTCAAAATTCAGATGACGTGAAAATATCGAAACATTAAAGGCGCGAGTCATGTCTGCTGACGACACTGACTTTCTCCCCCTCCACACTTTGGCCGCCGTCTCCCCAAACCCCGCTCGTTGCTTCGAATCACTCAATCTGCTATGAACCCCTCTCGTTCCAAAAAGCCATGTAATTGATATATTTGAACCATGCATAGACCTCTAGTTGGATCAAGAAGAATACATGTATACACTACTCCGTAGTAGCGGCTACAGTAAGTAGTGCCTGAAGATATTCAATATGCGTTGTGATTTGCATCTTTATATACAAAACTTATGGAGTTACTCCTAGCTCCACTAAGCGAGGTCAATGATATAACTCTAAACTAACTTGTCGGTGCGGTCTACCTTCGCACTCCCAACCTTTTCGTGGTGCTCGCTCTCGTCATCCACAGCCTTTGCATCTGCATTTGCATGTGCCTGTGCTATAAACTCCGCTCTTTGCCCTTCAAATCCAAATAGATGATCCATCTGATCCATGCGTAGACCTTTAGTATCGTGGATAAAGAGGAACGCATATATGCTAGCGCAGATTAACATCGTGGCAAAGAACACGTATACACCCCACCCCATAGAGGTATACATCTGGGGAAGCGACTTTGTTACAATAAGAGTCCAAATCCAGACGGATGCAGCAGCCCAGGGGCCCGAAATGGACCGAAGTGATGCTGGAAAAATTTCGGATGAGATGATCCATGGGAGGCCTATTTAAGTTAGATAATACACAATTTAAAAGACGTAGAATCATTTACCGTTGGCACCAAAACTCCAGGCCGCCCCGAAGATCATGATACTGGCTGTTGCGGCTTTTCCCCCGGCGACCGTGGAGTCAGACATTGGCTGGCCGGCCTTCGGTTTGCCAAGAGCAATGTAGATGGCCAAGTAGTACTGACAGAACGCGCAGACCAGTGACGAGATGATCCATGGCCACTTGCGGCCAAACATGTCAATAAACCAGGTAAAAAAGATGATGGAGCCGCCAGCCTTGATGAGACCATAAACACCAGTCCACAGCGTGACGTCAGAGAGACCAATAGACGTGAAGATAGTCGGGCTGTAGTAGTTGATAGCCGCTGCGCCTGACCAGGCCTGCCACATGAACATAAGGAATACCAGCAAGAAGCGGTTTCGCATGCCTGGGAGCGCTCCTTCCTTTGCAGCAGCCTTAACGGTGGTGAGGAATGTGGCATGCTTCTCGCCAACCAGAAGTGCTGCACGTTCTTTGGCGATGTCGTTCTTGACGAATTGAACCTCTTCGGCAATATACTGGTGGTCCTCTGGCAAGTTTCGGAAAAAGCTATAGGCCTTGAGCGCCTCGGCTTCACGACCACGTTTCAACAACCACGTAGGCGATTCTTTGAGCAGCGGGATCATCAGAGCGAGGAGACCGGCGGGAATGAGCTGCACAGCCATAGGAATTCTCCAAGCTGTCGACTTGCTCCGATCCATATTATGTACGATGCCATAGTTGATCCAGAACCCGATAACTGCGCCCGTCTGGTAGAAAGATTCGAAGAAACCAGTCAATCGCCCTCGAATAGCGGGAGGCGAGATCTCGGCAATGTAGATAGGAGATACAGCCGCGATTCCACCAACGCCCATACCGGTGAAGAAACGGCCAGCGAGTACGAGACTGAGCTGATTCTTTGGCACCGTGCAGAGGATAGCACCAAAGATGAAGATAGCGTCCGAGATGATGACGGTCGTGCGGCGACCGAGGACCTCAAGGATGGGGTACATGAAGAGGGCTCCGATGAGGCCACCTGCAGAGTATATGGAGGTGATGTTGCTTGTGATCTCGTTCTTATTCGCCGGTGTGATTCCAAAATCACGCTTAAAGCTCTCGTACGTTAATAGGCCCCCGATAAATGCAGAGTCATAACCGTAGGCCAAAACACCCATTGAGATGACGAGCGCGGCCATATAGACCCTCCAATTATACTATCGACGTGTTAGTATGGTAATGCATCGATTATCAAGCCATGGGAACACAAATAACTTACAACTTCTGGAGGCGTCGGCCTGTCCTCTGGTGCCCTTGCAAAGCCACCCATGATGAATGGGACTGAACAACAGTTGAATACTAGACGAGAGGAGGGAGCGTTGGGCCTGCGGAGTGCTCCAGGCTGCTTGATGCTGATCCCAAACCTGGGGTACTAACTACTTCTTATGTGAAGACACGGTCGGATCTAGAGGTGCAGCTCGCTTCTCCACAATCCTTCCCGGGTCACTGGGGACAACTAACAAGGGCTAATATCCGAGCAACTGGGCGCTGCAATCAAGAGCCATCATCCGACCATCAACATTGGAGCGAACTTTGGCCGCCATACGACACTAGATCGGACCAAACGTGCCGTGAAGTGGGCATAGCGTTCCCCGTGGAGTCTCCAGGTGGCGTTGCGTAGCCTCGTGGAGACCTCGGGAAGGAGTTTCGCGCTAGCCGGTCGTCGTTTATTACACATGGCGATCGGCTGTCGCGTGCGCTAACGTGACAACTTGCGGCAAGCGCGCCTGTTCAGCTGAGCGACACCTGTTCTAGGCCAAGCGCATGCGACACGATCCGACGAACTCTTGTATCGAATCGCATTATTTCCAAGTTCAAGCGAGCACTGATGAGGCTGTGGATGTCGACTCCACACTTTTCTCCACATGAGCACGTCTTCGGAATTGTCGGCTTTGGTGTCGGAACGCGTCGCGGTAGCAGCAACTGTCAAAATGGCGCGGCTTCGCCCTATCCAAGTATCTCGATTCGTTTCCATACTGTATCATTATCAGTTTCTCCCCTAAAGACTACTCAGAATGCCTTCCAACGAAAACCTCGCCAATGGCAGCAAAAGCGCTTATTCTTTCCCTCCTGGCATCCACGTCCCGTCTCTGACTTGGTTCAAAAACGACACTAATCAAGAGATTGACTGGGACGTGCAAGAGAAGCACTTTGAGTTTCTCGTCTCCAATGGCCTCCATGGCATTGTCATTGCGGGAACCAACGGCGAGGCCGCAACTCTCTCGTCCGCCGAGAAGGCCCAACTCGTACAGAAAGCGCGCAAGACCGCTCAGCGTCTAGGTCGCGGAGATCTCCCCATCTCGATCGGAGGTGTAGCTGGCTGCACAAGAGATGCTATTCAGCAAACCATCGAGGCGAAAGAGGCGGGCGCAACCGCATATCTCGCCCTCGTACCGTCTTACTTTCACTTCGCCATGACCCAAGACGCCATCGTAGCTTTCTTCCAGGAACTCGCGGACGCATCTCCAATCCCTATCGTCCTCTACAACTTCCCCAACGTCGTATCTGGTCTGGACCTCAACTCAGAGATGCTAGATATTCTTGGCAAGCACAGGAACATCGCGGCTGTCAAGCTTACGTGCGGCGGTATCGCAAAGGTAGCAAGGATATCTGCTTCATTCAAGGAGTCTGAATTTGTTGCGTTGGCAGGCCAAAGTGAATGGCTGATTCCAGCCTTGAGCGTCGGTGGCGTTGGAACCATTACGGGCCTTGCAAACCTCTACCCAAAGGTAAGTGGCTGATTCTACCCACAGCTTGTATCATCGATGCTAACCATACTAGACCTGTGTACAATTGTACAACCTCTACCAGCAAGGCAAGCATGACGAAGCCTCTGCTCTGCAGATTAAGCTCTCGGTCACAGAGTGGGGCTTTGGCAAGGGTGGCATCAACGGCACCAAGTATGTCGTCGCGCACAAGAGAGGATATCCTGAGTCGAGCGCGGACTGCAGGCGGCCTTACCCCAGATACATTGATGAGGAGAAGAGGAAGTGGATCGTGAACCAGGTCTCAGGGCTGGATGAGCTCGAGGTTTCGTTGTAGGCTTCAACCAAATAGATAAACATGGGTTTATGGCGCTGGAACATAAAAAACTAGATTCTGAAAGGATACCAGGAATCCTCAACAAGAAATGGCATTTAGTCGTCCTTCTATATTGATGGATCCCAGTCGATCCAAAGAGCTTCTAAATCTGTGCTTGGAGAAAGTTGTATTCCGAGTCCTGACAATGCAAGGACAGGGCAAAGTATCTATTCTACGACTCAAATGGCCTTCTCGTCGCCCGTATACAAGTCTTAGCTGTACAGAATTCATGTGTAGGTCTGATGATGTTCGACCAGAAGAATAGCGCATAAGATTGAGATTGTGGATAGACAGGTTGCGAACACGCCACCAAACTACGCTACGTACGTGACGAACAAGTCCGTCGGATTATGCCAATGGGGCATTCGACTCCTCAATCGTCGGCCGTCCCATCTTGGGTTGCTCAGTCTCAAGTGCCCTATCTTGATAACTGTCGCTAAAGCCGCGGAGGAAACCGCGTCGTGTTGTCACTGTGCCCACCGCTCACTCCCTGTCCTTATGGGTCATTATTATACGCTGCTGTGCCCGTGGCCGTCCTCGTTATTGCAGTGCCTAGAGCTAAGGGCCAACTGAATGCTGAGCGGGAGGTTGTAGGACTCGGAGATCGTGAGTACGAGCGAAATCGTACTGAGTAACCGTAAGTTGCTGCGGCGAAAGGGAGGAACGGGCGGTGGTAGGCGTAAGAGTCCTGCGTTAAAGGTGGGTGTCCTCGCTGAAGTCAAGGCTATCTCGTTGGCTTCGGACTGGAATGTCCAACAACTCACTGACAGCTACCGCCGCCAAGCAAAGGTTAGATGACTAATAGCATGTCGCTTAGCGGCCTGGGGTGCGTGGTAGCCTCCAGGGCTAATCCTCTCTTCCTCGCAACTTCCTCACATAAGTTTGCAGGTGACTTTTGCACACTATTGAAACAAAGCATGTAGATGAAGTCCTAGTTCTAGCAATTCGGAGTTCCCTTTGCGACTTGCTGTCAAAGTTTGGATCGACACAACATATCCCCACTGCTACACTCACCCGAAACCCCACTTTCGAGCCGCCGATCTACGCTAAGCCTATTCGTGGCGAGTTACAGACAGACCAACCAACCAACTCGCTTTTAGCCCTTTGAATCTCACAAGCCAACAAGATGGAGTAAGTTCCTAGCCCCATAAACCCAGCCTTCGTGACTCACAAGCTTAGGCCCCGCGACAAGATCATCAAGCTAGTCGTAGCGAATACCGCTAGTGGAACAGAAGTCCTGAACGTTCATCAAGGTGTTCTCTGCAAGAGCTCTGGATTCTTCAAACGCGCGATGAGGCCAGAATGGCTTGACTTGAGAGAGAGCCCCGACACCATTGAACTTCCTGATGACCCGTTGAATACGGTCAGCGACTATATTAGATGGCTATATACCGCTACGATGCCATTGAAGTTATACAGGATGAGAGACGAGGACACGAGAGAAAAGATAGCTGAGGAATCAGAGAAAGTCTTCATTCTGCTTGCACAAGCTTACGTCTTCGGAGAGAAAATAATCGACGCGAAGTACAAAAACACAGTGGTAAAGTCTGTGTTAGAGGCCAAGGAGAGCGCTGGCTGGAACATGGGACCGGAGAGCGTTACTATTGTTTACAATGGCACCCCGTCTGGATCACCTCTCAGACGCCTGATTGCTGATAATATTGCGCGTTTGGCATATGACGACTCGGATAAGGGAATTGGGTGGATGAGCTTTTTCGATGGTTGCCCAAAGGAGGCTTTGGTGGATGCAATGAAGGCCACAGTGAGGACACGGGCAATGGTGGGTCATGAAATTAATCGCAATGTGAAGTTGCTCGAAACGTACTTTGAGGACGAGCAAGAATCGGACAACTTCACCTGAGGAACAAAATGATGTTTTAGCAGAAGTCCACGGTCATATATTACGAGGCGTACAATTCAGAGGCCATGTTTTAATGACCATTTTCGGCGACATCTAATGTGCCACTCTGGCTAAATGATCTGGAGGGTGATTGATGCCACCACAACAGCGTGACAACCACCTACGGCTCGCAAACCGGCTTTTAACCAAGCGCGTCTTTACTAGCCTTGAAACCTTTAGGATCTTAGCAACGCAAAAAAGGACTGTGTTGAATATATTCGTAAGCTCAATAAGAGAAATTTACAATTCCAAGCAATCTTAGAGGACTTATGCAAAGTGAATGTTTAGATAAGACATCCCACGCTCAACGAAATCAACACCAAATGGCTCTATATCAGCCTCGCCTACCGCTCCATCTGCAACCAAAAGCGGTGTGAAATGCTGCACTTGGTGTTAGCAATCTCCCTGATCTCGACAATTATATGCAATCCCAATCTTACCTCGACAGTGGGGTACAAGCGCTTGAACTCGTACAGTTCCTCTATCTAAGCAGGGTTTTTTTCCTCTTTGTTTGGATCACGAATTCTCACTGTTTCCCAAAGGTGAGTGTCGAAAGCCCCAGACTCTGCTAGGATCTTCGTTGCGGTGGTTTCTTTATCTTCTTTGGTAGAGGTTTCCCGCATTATATGTATCGAAGGGAATGAGTGGACAGCCATGCCCGATGCGACGATTAGGAACCCTTCTTGCCTAGGTCGTGTTAGCTGGTCTGCCAAAACTTAGCAATATTAATCACGAGTGATACACGTACCGCAACGATTCAAAGACTTCGCCTAGTCGGGCCTGACGATCAGGGTCACACCCTTGTAATGTTGATACTTCTATGATGGGGATGTCCAAGCGGTTTTCCGGAGGGAACATGATCTTAAACGGAACCCAGGGCCATGGTCAACTCCGCGTTCCACTCACTTGGCTTTTATGGAAGTATGCGAAGACAGTCGCAACTTAAAGGGGGAAGTAGAATCTGTTCGTGGATTCGAAAGGGAGGTTTCTGTACTACTGGTAATGGAGGTCGGCCCCATTGAGGAAGGCAGTGTATTCCAGGAACCCTCTGAGTTTAGGACAAACGCTTCAATCGAGTTTGGGATATCATTTGTCCTGGCTTGAGATATGCGAATGTTGTGCATGCATTTCTGATCGGAACAATTGAAACTGGACAATTTCGAAAATGCAGCCGAGGAAATACTGCAGAGAAGAGAGGAATGAAGGTGAAACGTAAAGTAGGAGTACTTAATCCACTTTAGCTGTGCCTCGAACGAATGAAAACAACTCGTATCACAATCCTTATTCTAGAAACACCAGGTTTCTCCAATCAAATAACCCCCTAACATCAACATATCCCAGCTTTAGATACAGCCTACGATTGTTATCTTGAGTTACACGCCTTCTCTCTCTGTCCAACAGTCGCTTTAAAGACATTGTGTTTATCCTATTTAACATGTTTACTGTTAGGCACATACTCAACAGCTCGTTGAGTCTAAGTGAGTAAGTCGACCCGGCTGGCGACTTGGTAAATGTTGAATCGTGTTCCTTCGGATGCTGGGTAAGTTTGCACATAGCTACGATGATCAATCCAATTTGAAATACATCATTTCTCCCATCGACATGAAATTGGTCGTGAGGTAGAGGTGCGAAGTTATCTTGGTTTCTCAGTTCGATCTGATGCCGGTTCCTTGTTTCATCTCTGGTTATGCTGGAACCAAAATCACCGAGGACTACTCGCGGATATACATCTGGATCAAGCTTACCTAAGAAAACATTAGCCGGCCATAAATCACGATGTATAACCCAGTTCCAGTTTGTATTTCCACCTCCGCCGTGATGCATGTGAGCAATTGCATTGACGAGGGAGATGAAAACGTGCCAGACGAAGCTCTCTGGGAAAGATCGGTTGTCATGCTTGTATCTCTTGATTAAATACCATAAGTTTCCACAGTCGCAGAAACGCGAGAAAACGGCAGCCTCGCGGGTTGCAGGTTTCAAATAGTAGTCAACGAATGCGTTAATGTTATCAGGGCCGGAAAGACGGCGGAGGATGTCGATCTCCCGCGCAGCGTATCCCCGGGCGACATCGTCGGCTTTAAACTTCTTACAAACACAATAGGTCCCACTATATTTAGTTTGGACAAGTTCAATTCCAGAGTTGAAGGCACCAAGTGAAGGGCCACCGTCTGCATCTGAAAGGATACATATTTTACGGAAACGTGCATTCGTTAAAGTCTTCGATTTTGGTAAAGCCATCGATTCTGATAGGATTTATGAGCGCGGGCGGGCCTAAACACTGTTATTATACAGATTATCTGCCTCTCTCTCAACAGCGGTTGATGTGAGTTGTCACTGAGTCACATCTAACTAATGGAAGACGTCTCTTGTCACAGACGCTGATGTAATGTTACATGCGGCTTTCGTTTGCCCATTGTTGCTACGACAAGTCATATACGCCGCTGTCAGACTTCGCTTAGCGAAAGAACACGTCCTAGTCAACGACGTCGCACGGCCTGAAAATGGTAGTACTGCAACATCCAGATGATGAATCTATTAGTCTTCTTTGAACCTTTGTGCTTGTTCTGCAATATATCATGCACGCTGACTGAGATTATGCAAGGTACTCGCATAGGCTAATTTCAAAGCCACATCAAAACAATTCCGTGGGATTGCGAAGTCCGCATTAGCCCCAACACAATCCATTACCATAGTTAACTGCACGTGCCGGGAACGGGATGCCGTGTATGTTCCTATTTTTGTACCTGTAATCAGTCCTGTGTTCTCCGAGCTGCATTAGCCATTGGTCGATAGACGGCTGGGAATCAGAAATGGCTACGCTGAGCCGCAGCCGCACAGTGGTGCTCTAAATATCATTCCGGGCGGAGTAGAGGATTCACAGCCTCGTTGTAGGTCGGATCATGAATCGACATGTATATCTCCTTGATGTTAGTATCTTTGACCTGTATTTACCGTGAGCCCTCATCTGCGCCAAACATGTATTCGTCCGTTATCACTCTGCTCTTCGTTCTTTCTTCCGCTTTGGCTTCAGTGCTACCCGCTGTTGCCCCACTTCGTCCACCTCCTGGAGGGGTTTCCTTGGTTTCACTCGATGTTGACCTTGACGGCGACGGTTGTAGACCTGGCCAGGTCAGCGTTACTATAGCAAAGGACAACTCCGCCCTGACAATCATTTTCGATAAGTTTGCAGCTGCCGACGGACCGAGAGCTGGCAAGAAGAATCCTCGGGCATTCTGCAGGGTGAACATTGGGATGAACACACCGGGTTGGGCATTCGATGTTGATTCGGCCGATTTCCGTGGCTATGTGTATGTTGAAAAGGGCGTAGAGGCAAGCTTGGTCAGCCGATGGAAGTGGATCGACAAGAACGGAATCGACCTGCCGGGGAAGGTAGGTGAACGGAGAAGTTATGGAGAACCTGATGGGCTGATAGGATCTTTAGGGTCACCTTCAAAAGAAGGTCATGGGTCCTTTCGAAGATGACTTCCTTCTGCACAAGGATGACGAACTCTCCAACGATGAGCCACCGGTCTGTCAGAAAAAGAATGCGAGAATACAGATTAGCTTGTCCGCTACGGTTTCAGTGGGTACTTCCAAGGGCAACGGATATGTGCAAGGTAGCTCGGCAGATGTTGGTTTTGGCGAGATTCTGAATCTTTCGTGGAAGAAGTGCTGAAGTTGTGGGTCTCGAAAGTTCAGTGGAGGTAGCGTCTCCACCGAAAGCCGAGGCTCGAGGCTCGAGGCTCGGGCTCGGAATTAAGTAATACGAAGCAATATCATGCGCTCTATAGGTTACGAGAGTAGCAATTAATTGATCAAGAGTCAGAAATGGGCCGGTCGGTGTGCAGAGTCTATAGAGTCTATGGAGTCTCGAGATTGACCGAAGGATCAAGGCCGCGGGGCAAAAAAGGCTAGTATTGAGAGGGTTAGCGCACTCTGTGTCAGCAACCGTATCCAATATACCTAGGCACTCGCCAGCTTCGTTATCACCCGATTACCATCTCGTTACTGCGGTACCTTTCTTAAAGCCCGAATTCTGCACTCGCAGGACAGATAGATAAGGGCATGCAGCTCTGTTACATAATGGAAAGAAAGGATCATGAATTGGGCACTCTGGTCCGAAGCCACTCTCTAGCACCTAGCTAGAACATGATCACGCACTTATTATTAGAGCTTCGGTTACAACACTGTAAAGCTTTTCTGTCACTTCTCCGCATATCAAACAAGAGCGTTCATCACCGTAAGTCGGCATTTAGTCGGACTTAGCATAACCTAGTACATAAGACGGGATTGCGGTCGCCAATAGGAAAGTTTTGGAACTAGTAGGCGAAGTAATATGAGCAAATGAAGTTAATGAGGGACAACGGAGTGATCATCCGATGCTGGTGCAATTGCGTTCAATAAGTTTGAGGGCGGTTGTTCGCTAAATGGGTGTGAAGATCTCGACGGGTGCGCTACCTTTCGAAACGACAACCACCCTCCGAAAAGAAGCAGACCTTGAACCCTACCTCTCCAACATGTATATGCGTCTTGTTTCCTCACCCCTACTATATGTACTATCCCCTATCTGGTCTTGTCTGAACAGATCATCACGCCTTGCAGAATGCATTCCATTCGCACACCATCATCTCTTCCGCGGCGCCGCCGAGCCGCTACTCACCCTTGCGCTCACGCCTCATTAATCCTACACCAACGCCGGTCTTTTGGATTGCGGCGTAGCCTGGCGCGGATTAGCAGGCTGCAAACTAGCCTAGAAATGCCACAACGAGGGTTAGTCGCGCCTAGTGCTGCGTTCGATGGTTGCCGGTTCGGGGAACTTGCGTACCTGGTCGTGTTTGAGATGGGTGCGGGTGGCACCTGGGTACAGTAGCCTGGTGGTGGTACAAAGGGAGTTTTTCGTCGCACTTTCGTCGCTGCAAATGGCGCTGCGACTAGATGATCGCTTTCTGAAGTGGCGTTAATACCTTGCAATGCTCGCCATCTGATATTTTTGCTAAATGATATATGTTGCACCACGGCAAGTTCTGACAGCTTGGCTAACCTCTGGAATAGCGCTGGACATGGACATGCTCCAGCCAAGGCTCAATTTGATCAGAAGCCCAGCAGGAAGGGCTACACGCGACACAATCTCCCATTCTGCGTCTGTGTTCCCCAGTCCCCGTCTCTAACCTCCCATTCCTCACTTCCCACCGCGGTGGTCGCATAAAACACGCTCTTTGGATCCCACTTCTTCTTCAGTTCTAATAGCCTGGGATACTGTATTCCATAGAAGCTTTCCTGCCAGCCCGGCTCAGCCACATTCGCTTCGTTCAAATAGCTCCCGCCAAACTCGCTCTCCGGCGACACATCGCGCCACGGCTTTAAAACGTTATTCGTGAGGTCGTGAGCGGCAGCCTGAAGCTGGGCTTGCGTTGCGTCATCCCCGCCTTCTACGGGCGCAGCGCCGATGAGGAAAGAGAGTGTGTGTCGAAAGGCGGAAGATACTGCGTTGTCGACATTCAGACGATTCTGCGGGGCTTGGTGGTAGCCGCCTACTGCGCGGCCACTCATGCTATGGTTCTTAATGGCAGCGAACATGCGCTCAAACTTTACTGGATCTTCCCAGTTACCGCGGGGGAAGATGCGGTTACCGGGCAAGGTTGTCGACCTGCCAACTGTCTCATTGCCCCAACTCTGGTGGTACGCCGGGTAAAAGGAATCGTGAAGCGTAGTTCTGGGCGTGAACTGGATGCCGAGCTTACGTAGGTGATCAAACCACGGCGCTATCAAGGCGTTGAAGGATTCTACAGTATATCCTGGCGCCCAGAAAGGCATCATCTGGAACTGTAAGCCATCATTAGGCTGTGGCCAAATCCAGAAATAGGAGTATGTGTGTGCGTCAGCGAGAGTAGGGAACATCTCCCAAAACTTGCGCGTGCCTTCCCAAAAGACCTCTTTCGTGACATTACCTCCTGTCTCGTATGAGAACGTCGAAGTAACGATAGGCATTCTAGGATGAGCGCGTACGATAACTGATGTGACAATGCCGAAGGTGCTGCCCCCACCACCTCGAAGCGCCCAGAAGAGGTCGGCATTGGAAGTGTTGGATGTTGTAACAAATCGACCATCTGCAGTCACCACCTGCAGTGCCTCTATATTGTCGGCTGCCATTCCGTAGTATCCGCTCATAGGTGTATGCCCTCCGCCAGTGACATATCCTCCTGCGAAGCCGACGCTTTCGCAGATACCGCCAGTGACTGTAACGTTGTATTTGTGCGCCGCTTGATAGATTTCTCGAACAGTGACTCCAGCTGCGACCTTGAAGACACTGCCTTTGTACCCGGAATCACTCTTGTAGTCCTCGATGAACTCAATGTTCTTCAGATTGTGCGTCCACACGCTCAATGCTCCAGCACCTAGTGACTTGCCGAGATAGCAATGCCCGGTATTCTTGATGACTAAACGAATGTTGGTGTTGCGTGCAAAGTTTAACGCGAGTTGTATCTGACCAACGGTGGAGACATTGGCAACATATGTTGGATATGATCCAAGGGTGCAGGTGTTGTTCGTGCTGTTATGGGGAAGACACGTCCGTCCCTGGTAGAGTGGCCACATGTTGGACGTCGGATCCGCTTCACTGTCACGCTTAGTATTCGTTCGCAGTTTTGGATACAGATTTGTCTTACTGCAAGTACGGGTCGGTGAAATTCTTCTCGAGCGCAGCACACTTTGCACCATCGTACACTCCCCAACTCTGGTAGCATGGTGCCGCAACCGGCACCGTTGGGATCAGTGCTCCATCGATTATTTCATTAAACGTTTCCCATGTGCTCTTAGGAGGCCATTTATTATCACCTGGAAAGACTTTGCATGCTCCGCTCCTTTGGAACGCGCTAGAATTAACAGCACTGGCATCGAATCCGAAGAGCTTCTGCTGTTCAGGCGAGAAGCTTGCGAGGGCACTGTCGGTCAATTGTTTCTTTTCGTAAGCAAAGAGAGGGGCGTCCGAGGAGCTTGCAGCATATCCAGCTCCTTGGAGACTAAAGAGTAGCGCAAACACTTTTCCCGTCATGACTCAAAAAGTAGATGCTAGCGAGTGTCGTAGATAGCACCAAACCCGCTGCTTAATATTCTCTTGATCGGTTTACCCCGCTACGAGCTCTGGGCTACCCCCGCAACATTGGTATGAGGAGATCGACACTTGGAAGCCAGATGCATGTGCAGATCCTTGACCCCCGACGTCTTAGCTATTAATTCGAGCTGGGGAATTTTCTCGCATGGGGAGCCACACCGGGCAGTGCTTGGCTCACTTCAAAGTATCGTAAATTAAATACTGGGGTATCTAATTTGTAATTGTGGGCCAGGTGTGAAAGTAGTGTCAGCGCAGTGTATGTTCTAAAGTGCTATTGCTCTTGGGACGTTCCACAATTGCACCTTGATCAGACAGACTATACTCAATTATTTCATCGCGGAGAACAAAAGGGAAATTATCTATAATGTAGTATTGGTAAGTTTGGGGTTTCGTCCTGGGCGACACTATGATGCCGGGTAAATCCTGCAGGATTGGAGTGGGAGCATGTCAGACCCGTGAGTATCGGATGGAACGGTAGTCGGCACGAAGTGCAGGTACGTAAGGATTTTAAGACAAGGTACGTACATGATCCTGGGCAAAAACGAACTGGTATTTCGGGCATCGCCTACCCGGCGGTAAGAAGAAGTATCCTGACCCAAATTTACACTTGCCATCGAGCTGGATACGGTCGAAGTCTCACATAGGCCGAAATTGACAGTTTTCTTTCCCTGAATATAATTGTGACACTTTCCACGTCTTGATAATCTGGCCAGGGCGGAATAGAACGGGTCACCGGCTACCGGCTTCAGTGTTCAAGCTCATGGAGATGGAACACCTGAAGCAGCCGTTCTCGGGCACGCTGAAGAACCTGTTAGGTGCGCAGGAAACATGGGCAAAAGGTAGGACCCATGTCCCATTATCGATCAATCAATTAGGCTGGATGGAATTGATGGGGAAGCTGAGGAACTGAAGGTCGTCCGCCACCCCTCATAGACTGAGCTGGACCGTGCTCTAGTGCCCGCCCAGAGCGTATCACGACCGCCAGCGCCCACAAATTGAACGTTTGAAAGGGATATATTTGTTGGTTTGGCTTCACTGGTTGTCTTAAATGTTGGCGCATGGTGTTTAAAACGTTCAATTTATGCCAAGAGAGAATAGTTGTCGCTCCTACGATCCACGCACCAAGTGCTCGAACCCATATTCGAAATCATCGTGTGCTATGGTATCGAAGCAGCGGAGCCTAGTATTTAAGCTTTCTTGTAGGGCGGCAGGTCCTCAGACTCAACACCCTGCGCTGCCTGCCTTGCCCTGCGCCTCTCTCTACGGTCCATCTCCCTTGCCACCGCCTTAGCCAGCTTCTTCCTGTCCTCACGCTCCTTCTGCTTCATGACATCCTCGCGGCCCCTGCCACTCCACGCCTTCTTGAACTCCTTCCTGAACTTCTGCTTAAAGGTCAAGAACCTCTCCGCTTCCTCTTCGGCCTTGCGCTTGTTGTGTTCGGTCTCGTCGTCGGTGTCGTAGAAGTCGGACTCTTCGTCGGCGGAGTCGACCAGTGGGGTACCTTCGAGACCAACGGTGGCCTGGTTGCGCGACTTGTCCCAAGCTTTGGTGCGGCCGTACGCGACGCAGCCAGTGATACCGAGGACGAGGAGGATAGGGAAAGAGAGGAAGAGCACCATTACGATGCCGAAGGCGATAAGGTCTTCGTCCATGGCGAGGGTTGTTGCAAAGTAGTTCTAGAGGCAGTATGTTCGGAGGTTGGGTGAGAGTGGAAAGGGAGAAAGGGAGGTACACGGTATACACCTTATGGGGATGGTAGTTTGCCACCGGTGGCGGTGCAGCGTTCCGCGATACGTCAGACATGACGAGTCAGGTGACAGGACATGTGTTGCAGCGCTGACTCGTAGTGTCGCATCTCGAACACGCAACCCCCTTTCTCTCCTCTGGTCATTGCGATTTACTCGTTGACAACAAGATTCTCAAAGATGGTTTTTCTACGCGCCATCCTTCATTAGCCATGTTCAAAGTTCTTATGTCTAGGCCTCCCATGCCTACTACGCGCGAGGGAAGCGGAATTATTGTATCCCTACACCACTTGTAGTCGGCTAGAGGATTAGAGATGATCATTAGACCCTTTTCTCAACGGTGTTCTACCTCTGGGGACTTCCATGGTTCTCCACGCATGAACGACGTCATGAGGGCATTGATGGAACGTTAAACAACCTTGGAAGTGCAGCCTCGCGAAGGACATCGGGCATGGTTTGTATCGAAACATGCATAGTAAGAGAGTATGAAGTAGCCACGCAGGCGCTTATGATATTCAATGGACACTTGGGGCACGTTGCCTACCACCAAAGAGCGACTGAATGCTGCGACAAATCCCCTTCACCTTCGCCTTCACCTTCACCTTGGCCGTCACCTTTACTTTGTCTGACAGCAGGTTTGGGCCATCTTAGCTCCACTCCGTAGCCACACTTATATTTGCAGTCTTGTTTAACCCGTCTATCTCACTAAAGATCTTCTCTCACAAGCTGCATACTGCGACACAGCAGCAGCTACGACCATGGCTCCCGAGCCGCCCACGAAATGCTCCACCTGCGGCGATCCGGCTACGAACAAGTGCGGTGCTTGTAAGACGGCTTACTACTGCACAAAAGACTGCCAGAACAAAGACTGGTCTAAGCACAAGGTCCACTGCAAGGACCCTTTCGAGAAGCCGCTCGCTCTTGCGGCCGATCTTATCCAGGCAGCGTGGCTTAACTTCCGCGAGAACACATGGGACACGCCCATCGAACGCGTCGAAGTCAAAGAAGATGAGCTTATCACGTACGATGGAGACCAGTGGGCAAAGAGTGGCCAGTTCGTCAAATTCCCGAATGATCTTATGCCAAATGATAGCGTCAAGGCTGGCGTGCTATGCAACATGATGTGCAACGAGCCGCTTGCATATCTGTATAACTTCATCTCAATACTCATCTCGGGTCGGTCTGGCCCTCAGTATATAAGTCCTAAAGTTCATGTCCACTAACAGCTTCTAGCACTCCCCATTGAGATACACGAAGTCGCTGTCAAGTTGAAGAAGCCTCCTCGCAAGAACACGGCTGTCCACCCCGGTGGATTTCGTCAACCCAACTGGCCAGACTACTCACATTTCCTTCTCCGTCTGACCTCCAAGAAGAGCGGCAAAATGTGGTATATCGATATCACCGGTGGACAGTACGGCTTATGCCAATCTTTCTGGAGAGTCAAGGAGTTTGACCAACGATACGTGGATACTATTCAAGGTGTCAGCCTGTTTGGCAAGAACAAAGCGTACATCAAGGCATGCTCCAAGGCGAACGCCACTATGCACCTCATCTATGGTAGCAGTTTAGACGCTGCAGCCGTCCTTGATCAAGCTATGCATCGTTGGATCAAGGAAAATGGCATCACTTGCTATGGGATCATCTCAGCAAACGAAATGGAGCATAGTATTCATAAGGAGAAGCTTCTGAGTACCCTTGATACAGCTCTCAAAGAATTCGTGGCCAAGGCAGACTACAGCAACGACATCCGAGCGGCAAGGCAGGGACCAGGTGACAGTGTGCGCATCAGCCAATCATTGGCTAACAGGATTCTGACGGATATAAGGACTCCATCCTAGAGTCCCGGCACGACTCTAACGAATGACTACCCACGAGTAAGAATGGTCGTCAGGTCAAGTATTCTAGGGCCAGCATCATGACCCGCCCTAGGGAGGATTTAGAAACTGACACATGGCGACCTGAGGCTTAAGGGATAATCAAGCAATGGCTCTTTGAAGGGAAGTGTGCTTGCACGAAGCATATCACATTAGCAGGAGAGGAGGTTTTCACGGACCTATATCTGTCGAGGGGCGTTCATTGTCTTGCGAAACATGGCACACCCGATACCTTAGCAGCTAGCATAGAACTGCACAGTCTGTCTGAAATCTTTTCGCCATCAAACTTTTTTCCGCCTCTCATGCTCAATAACCGAACAATTGGCCCAACCTCCGTCGCTCCCCATCTAGTTCCTCCTTGTGTCTCGTATCATACCGTTCAGCCTTCTGCCTCCGCTTTGTCAAATTCTCTCCCGCAACATAGACTTCTATCGCTCTCCTTCCCACTTTCAGCACCTTGTTTCTATGCCTCAAGTAGTCCCCCTCGTCCTTCCGCAGAATGCTAGCCCACGTCAGACCCTTCTTCTCCATCGCCGGGTCAACACTCGCGTGAAATACCTGCATCGCGCACGCGCCAACTTGGAGCTCCAGTCCCAGCGTGCCCTTTGTCTCAATCAAACCAGCCATATAGTCCGCAATGGTCCCAAAAGGCTTCACCACCAGAGTCTCCTCGACGTAATACCGACATAAGAAGTCCCAGTCGAAGCAAGGGAACTGGATATCGTACTGAGGTCCACAAATATCGAGGGCATATTGCTTGCCAGTGGAACGTGAAGTGGCGCGCATGAGCCAATAGTAGTAATCGTTGAAGTTGAGGTTTCCGTTCTCAGACACGAGTACGGTGCGTCGCGGGACGGGCTTGAGTCGGACGCGGACTTCTTCAATAAGTGTGTCCATACCTATCCAGTCGCTGTTAGCCCAATTCTTTTCCGCTCTTCCTGTCGTATCTTCAAATTCTGACCTGCGAACAGCTGCTCAATGAGCTTCTTCATATGTCCAATCTCATGGCACGAAATCGTTGTCAGCACAGCGTTCTTCTCATGTTCGTCGTGAACTAGGTGGTTTGGAAAGTGTGAGAACCAGCCGTTGTATCTATCGGCCTGACTACTATCCGTAAGGAGCGCGATTGTTTTGCCTTTGATGACGACGTTGGTGATAAAGGTGTGCCATGTCGCTTGGCGTAGATCTAGGAAGGCTTGCTTGAGGGTGAATGCAGCGCGTATTATGAAGTCGTCTTCAGACATTGAGGAAGTTGCCATCATTGACAAGCGATATTGAACTCGATATTGATGCTAGAAGACAGATGGTGATGGAACAGGATCGAAGGTGAGGGCGAGTGAATCCGGTAGAACAATAGTCCGTGTTGGTGTTTTGATTTCACTATCGCAACGAGTCCGACGCGTTTTTCCCGTCCAACTCATGCACACAGCACATAATCTTCACCTTCACCAACGCTCTTGTCAAATATACGGCAGCCTGCCCCTCCTTCGTCAGCCAACTATCCTTCTTCCTCGAACCGATCTCCAAAACGACAACCTAGAAGATTCGACAACAACAACCATGGCGCCCGAAGCGGAGAAACTCTGCGCCAACTGCGGAAATACTGCTGTGTTGCAGTGTAGTCGCTGCAAGAACACCATTTACTGCGACGCGAACTGTCAAAAGGCCCACTGGCGTGGCCACAAGAAGACATGCAACAAAGTCAATCTTGACAGGATGGTCCAGCGCGCTGGTGCTTTGCTTCAGAAGCTGTTCTTCATCTGGCGCGAGAACACCTTGAGTGAGCAGTTCGTCAACATCGAAGAGACTGAGACGCGTATCTATTTCCAGGCTACCCATGGCCCTGGTTCCTTCAAGGAGTTGCCCAACAACACGTTTTCCTCCGAGGAGACGAAGGAGATGGTGTTGTCCGCGTCGATGTGCGCAGAGCACACGGCGAACTTCTCAGATATATTGGCAAAGATGTTCAAAGGTGAGACTCTCAAGGCCAGTACTATACCCATCACTAACATACACAGGCATACCAATCGAAATCCGTGAGACCACGATCAATCTCAAAGAGCCAGAAAAGATGGCACAATTATTCATCAGTTCGTTCATGGAGAAAGTCTGCCCGCCTAGCCCTCATAATGTCTTCCAGATCACTTCTAGGAATCCTTCAAAGAAGTGGTTCCTCGATTCTACCGGCGCTCAGTTCGGTATCTTTTCACCATTTCATGAGGCAGGGGACTACATGTCAAAATTCGGCAACCGGGTAACACACATCGCTCCCCGTGGCACAGCTCGCAGTGGAGTCGATGAGCTGTGTACGATACGTGGATCCATTGGCGAGTTTCATAGGGCAAGGCGGGATGGTGCCAGGGTCGTCGAGCAAGAGATAGACAAGTGGTGCAAGGAGATGGGCATTACTTTGCCGCAACTACTTCGTTGTTCGGAAGAGGAATTTCACAGTCTTGAAGCAGGCTTGTTGGTCGCCGTCACAAAGGCGGCAGTCGATTTCGCTGCTTCGTACGACAACACGGCGGAAGTTGAGAGCGCACCAACGACTGGAGAGTACGACTATCAGACGATGTTGTGCATCTCCGAGAAAATCCGTTGCATGATTGCTCAATTCAGGGTCTGACTGCGAATGGAGCAAGACGTTCAGGGCCGAACTAGTTTTGGGGGGTTGAGAGTTGTTAGCGAATGGCATTTGATTCTGTGGTGGTGTTAGGATCTTCAGCGCCTCTCTTACGCAGTAATGCACATGTGGGCTTAGCCATCACATTAGTCTTCAGTGGACTTAGCATCTGCTAAACATGACGATCACAAGACCTTAGATTATACGATCCTCCTCGTCTTTCAGATTGAAGACCTTAGACCTTAAGTGCGAGGTCGCCCATCGACTCCTCCAAGCCAGTTGGTTGGAAACCAATCTAGGTTTACGTTGCATGATTACATTTTCATTCTCTGAGAAACGGTGCGATTGTTTCTCGACAGGGTCACTATCTTTGATAGGAATTGAAGAGTCAGTGTCTTGTTCGGATCTAGATCTGGTATCATCGCAATAGTACTCGATTCAACTCTTAGGATGGCATCGCAAGAGGAGTCGTTGAATAAGGGGTTGAATGTGCCGAGGATCAGTGAATCAGACTAGCAATGTTTTGAGAAGTCTTCCGTTGAACTAATTTCCATACCTCTGTAGATACTTCGTCAATTTTCAAGAGCGAAGGCAAATAGTCTGCGCAAGACTTTCGGTTCTTCGCCTTGGCGGTAAAATTGTACCGAAGTGCGCCGAGCATGACTGGGGAAATCTCTTTGCCCCAAGCCTTCCGCGCAAGATAGTGAAGTTCAGATATCTGCCCCGGGTGTGGTCGAATTCTTACTTTCCTGATTATAATTGACAATGCGCTGGTGATAGTACTGTTGAAATTGAACTGGCCTTCCTTTGACAGGACATTTAAAGATGGTTTATTATTTTTGGCGTATTAGAAACACCGTTGACGCGCCAAGGCCTGCTCAGTGAATGCTAGCTGCACTTGTGAGGTATTACCCGCGTAGTGGACTAAGAGCAACTGTTAAAACGCTTCTTCTATGTACCATACGAGGCGCATACAGTCTGATATAGGCATACAAGAATAAATTCATGTTGAGTCCCGAAGATCTGATGGAGCAATGATCGGGAATGACCTTTTACGTTTTCTGTAGCTCATTGCTATTGTACCGGGTATTAGTGTTGATTTTTCTGCAAAGTCCAGTAAAGCTGGTCTAGAGCCCTCCACAATCCACGCAGGGTGTTTGTTCTAACGCGAGATTATCGTAATTAAACCATACCATGCCCGTGGACTTCATCTGTAACAGAGAATCTCGACTTCCCATCTCAACGCCAACCCAACAAAACCCCTAACATCTTATCCGCACTCCCCACCCAAACTTCATACACCGCGCACAAACACATAAAATGGTGCCAACAAGCGTACTCGCACCTGCCCACGCAATCGGCACTGTATAATTCCCATGCGCAGCCTGCAACAGCGCACCCCCAAGCGGCCCAGCCACCAGGGCTGAAAATCCAATAACGCTAAGCCCCATACCCAATCTCGTCCCCGTCTTCGCAATATCAGAACTATACTCTGCGATCGAGGTAGGGAACAAGCTCTGGAAAGCAGCGCTAAATACGCCGTAGAAGACCGTCCAGATGTACACTGCGGGTATGGAGTCCACGGCGAGCCAGGAGAAGAGGATGAAGATGTTGGCGAGGAGGCAGATGGTCATCGTGTTGAGAACGCCAATGTATCGGTCTGCGATGAAGCCTGGGAGGACTCGTGCGGGGATTCCGACGCCGTTGACGATGATGACGAGGTTTAGGGAAGTGGTGTAGGGCATGGAGAGGGTGTCGCGGGCGAAAGACGCAATCTGAAATGGCGGTCAGCGGTGTATGATAGTAGATGGTGGTTGCAAGAGCGATCAACTCTGAATTTGTTGGTAAATGTGAATAGAGGCAACGTACATAGTAGTATACGATATATATTCCGGGTATAATGAAGCACATCCCTAGGACATGTAAGACGTATGGCTTATCTTTCAACGCCTCCCAGTCGATCAGCGGACCGGATTTTCTGGGCGGCAATCGTGGTTTCATGAATGCAATTACAATGGCGAGACTTGCTACGTTGATGAACCCGAGCACTCTGACCGTCCACCCAAAACCAATTTTGGGAAGCAGTTGACGTACAACAAGAGGGTAGATGACACCTCCAGCGGAGTTACCAGTCGTTACGATACCGATAGCCATACCTCTGTGCGCAGAGAAATATGTCGCGCAAAGCCCCATGATTGGAACAAAGAAGATGCCACCCCCAATGCCGGTGCATAGCCCTTGAGTCAGGAGTAGTTGCCAATACGACTTTGCGGCACTCAGCGTGAAAATACCTAGGAGCTGGAAGGCAATGCCTACCGCCACGATCGGCCTGAACCACCCGCGATCTAGGGCTCTACCACTAAACATACCAAGCGCAAACAACAGCCATGCTTGAATGGATCCGATCCAGGAGATTGCCGATGCTGGCTGGGGCAAAATTGTCCGATAGTAGGGTAGGAAAGCGCCGAATGAGTTTACGAACCCCCAGGTGTTGAGAATGGCGAACCAGGCGCAAAGCACCTGGGTCCATGCAACAACCCCGCCATCGGGAGGTGGGCCAGGATCTTTGAGCGAGCGCGTGCTGAGCCGGCTTGCGACACGAGAGAGGGCGTTAGAGTGCCGTGAATTGGTTTTTGAGACGTTTGGTCCTGGTTGAGAAAGCGGTGGTTGAATGTCATTGGTACTAGAGGTATCGGTCTTCTCTCCGATACTCGGTGCCTTCTCTTCCTCTCTCTCAATGCTGTTCTGATCCATGATGACTTGTAGTCAAGTGCCGGATGCGAACTTTTTATTAAGTTAGTCTGACACCACTCTCCCAGGAAACAGCGCTGTTGTTCTTATAGACTTGGGAGTCATTGAAATACGCATCTGTGGGTCGTTGGGAAGCCGCTAGAGACAAAGATAGAAGTTGTTTAACTAAACAACGAGTAAGATCCACTGCTCGTGAACTAGTCGTACAACATAGATAACTAGGATGATTCAAATAGGACATTGATCAACCTTTAAGTAAATGTCTTGCCCTGCGCTGGAAGATGTTGAGGGGTAAACGTCGGTTCAAGCGTCGGTTCAATGCTTGATAATCGGCAGCGCTTACCAACCGCACAGGCCATGACAGCGAAGGGTGCAAGCTGCCGATGGCGACCGATATCGGTCTAGAGCAACAAGAACAGTGTTCACAAAACAACGAAAAGACTCGCTTGTGATCTTGGGCTATCTGCCTTTTGAGTACTAGAGAGATCGCAGTCATACAACTGCAGCGTAGTACTTTAGTCGTGGTCTCCTTGATGTAGAGGCGTCACGCTTGCTAGCCACCATGTAAGTCTTGAAATCCAAAACGTCTGTCATCCAGTTGTCATGATCGATGCAGGCCATGGCGTGGTTCAAGAGCGCGAACTGGTCTCTGCAGCCGATCAGTAGCATTCCAACATTTGATTTCAATGGCTAGTGAGCGCAGGAAAAAGTGTGCGATGTAGGATTCAGAGACTGAAGATGACGCACAAGTTGAATCAATGCATAGAGAGCTGAGACTGTATTACCTGCTGGCAAGGCGTTGGACGAGCTCTAGATCGCGCTCGTGGTGGCCTGCTATGTTGTATACCCAGCGTCCCTCGACCTTTTTCCACCAACGATTCGGCAGGTATGCTTCACTGTGATCCGTCAGTAACTGATATGCCACCGAGGTTTCTTATTATCATACAGCATATAGTATTCGTCTCGCTGATAGGGAAACTCTATACTCGGCGGCCCATGCTTGGCCAGGAAGCTATCTGTTCCGGACTCAGCATCTGCTTCTGTCATAGCGACATGTATCCTCTTGTTTCCCTTATTCTTCCCATGTCTGCTGATGGATCGTCTGGTACTGTCCAGATGCGCTTCGAGTATGCGGGCATACCACAGCGAGTTCTCGACAGCTCTTCGCGCTATTCTTGCATTGCGTGCGACAAGCTCAGTGTTCCACTCTGGCACTGTCCCTCTAGCTATTATTGGTATTGGCTCTCCCGTGTCGAGATGAGGTTGCCAGTGCGCAAAGTCTAGCACAAGCCCCAGGTTGTTCCACGTCAAGATGCACGTCAAGCAGGTGCAGAGCTCCTGCGCGTCGGGCGGTTGGATATGCTGGTACGGTCGCTTGTGAATACTGAGCTGCGTCTGGCGATTCGGATCTGTGAGAAGGGCTTGTAAATGGGGCTCCACATCGTCGAGCAACTTGGGCTTGGGAAAGCATTGCGCCAGAATGTGGTAACGACGGGTTATGATGGCATCGCCGATAACGTTGGCATTCGCGTTGACAAGACTGAGGAATCGACGGTTCACGAAGCTGCAATTGAAGACATCGGAAGGTTCAAGATATCTGAGGCCTTCGAGAATGAGCTCGGTAGGGAGCTTGGTGAGATTGACGATGGCGTCCCGCTTCTGTTGTCGCGTTGCATCTTTGCGCTTCATGCGCTCGGTGCGCTTATTTCTGAGAGTGAGCGCTGCCGTCTTGTCGTCGAGAGGTTCTTCATCGTCACTAACGTATCGCGGCATCTTGCATGTCGAGTTGCGTAATATAAGTTGAGTAAGGCGAAGCTGGAGGATGACGGCGGCACAGATTGCGGGGAAGCGGTCTCAGCCAATGGAAAGCTTCGGAGTCCGTGATTACTCATCGTTCGTCCTTCCTTTCCAAGTTCACCCGTCGTCTCTCCTCTTTCTTTTCTTTCTTTTCGAGCAAATAGCAATCGTAATTGGGTCTACAGTATATCAATGGTATTTTACAGCGGTGTTGCATCATTGTAATGATGCCAAAAAAAAGCTCAACAAGTGCTCCAAGCAACGTTTGGATTCAAGTCTCTTCAATCCCCTTCAAAGCCTGAGTCCCACCATTCATTAGAATGCAGTTAGTGCTCTCAATGTATTCTCTTATACCGAGAAAGTTAGAGTCTACCAGCTGCAACTGTCATCCGAAAATGTTTGCCACAAATTCCGCGTTGTTCGAGATGAAAGCCGCTGATTGGCCGCAAGCACATCGGCCAAATCTCTAGATGGCGTCATGCAGCATTTCTAAGCAGCAGCCCATACATTAACACCACCACGCCGTTCATAGTTTTGGAGTCCGTTGCCACATTCTCCGACGTCTGCAGACATGACGACCTCAAGCTTTGTACACATCGACACCGCGTCTTATGACAGCAAACCATGGTCCAAGGTCGACGGCCCTGGCAACAACTTCGCTCAAAAGAGGCATGAGCGAGAAGTGTTCAATCTGCGAGGAAGAGAGCACGAATTCACAACCGACAACTCGGGCTTCGAAGTACACAAGTACCCAGCGAATGAAAAGCTATTCATCGATGACACAGCCGTAAGAGAAGGCTACTACCGGGAAGTCGAAAACATGCTTCGCGACAAGATTCAAGGGATCAAGAAAGTAGTCATCTTCGACCACACTATCCGTCGGAGAATCAAGGACTCCCCACGTCAACCCGTTCAGCAAGTCCACGTTGATCAGACCCCTGCTGCGGCTGAAGCCCGTGTGCGGCGCCATCTGCCCAAAGAAGAAGCAGACGAACTAGTTAAAGGCCGATACCAGATCATCAACGTCTGGAGACCCATTGAGAACCCTGCATCCGATAGTCCCTTGGCGGTGATAGACTGGCGCAGTACCTCTCCAGAGGACTTTATTGCGACAGACCTTCTTTACCCGAAGCGTGCAGATTCTGCGGACATTGATGACCGTGGCAAAGAAGTTCTCCCCGATCCCAACAACTATACCTCAACTGCAGGGTACGAAGTCAGAGGCGAAACCATGGCCGTAGCACCGAGCGAGAGGCACAAGTTCTACTACCAAAAGGATATGACCCCCGAGGAAGTGCTCCTACTTAAGTGCTTTGACAGCTATGGAGAGGGCATGCCAAATGGGAGGAAAGGCCTCGCAGTGAGGACGCCACATACCGCTTTTAGCGACCCGAACACGCCTGAAGATGCCCCCGGACGGCAGAGTATCGAGGTCAGATGTTTGGTCTTCTACGAGTAGGGCGATCAGCAACAAGGAATAGAAATTATGTCACATTCTGTTATCCTAATATTCTTGCGCCATTCTTTGCTCCCACATGTTATTGGATGTGTGAGATTAACCACCTTGTTCATGTACACTTAGATTCATGTGTGACGCTGCTTGGCTCACACTTCACTTTCACCGACCTCGCACAACCAGCCTAAACGTCTGCACATCTACGGCAACATCAACACTCCAATTATATGTCCTAACGCCCTATCCTGCGACACTCACGCCAGAAAAGAGCACTACCCCGTGCGACATCCTACAAGCCAACTCTCGCAAGTATCCCTTACACGTCAAATTCTTCGCAATGAGCTACCCACCAAACCACCTTACTCGGCCTCCCGCTCACAGCTTTCTCATGACACCGCCGCCCACTCCAGGACATCCAGGAAAGAACAATGAAACTACGCCTACACAGAACGATCGGATCATCCAGGGCAGCATTCACGCACCCAAGCGGCAAAAAGAGCACCGCCATGATTCCGGCCACATCTTATCGAGCAGGCGAAAGAATGTGCACAAAGCCGAAGCGAAAGGTTTGGCGCGAGAGCGCAAGCGAAGAGATCGAAGGCAGAAGAGAGGGGAGAAGCGTGCCGAGCTACGTGAGGCGGTGGTACGGGCAGGAAGGGTGGAAGTGGAAGTTGAAGTTGAAGTAGGAGCTACAAAGAGACAAGAAGAGAAGCTGCCTCTTGCGGATGTGGGAAATAAGAAGACGATGAAGGATAAGAAGAAGAAGAATAGGAGGGGACGAAAGAGAGATGGGATGATGGCAGTCCGTAAGGAACCAAAACCCGCATCGCCTAGACGTACGAACGAGACGGGAACACAGGTGGAAGCGCCGTGGAATCATTCGCCGGATGGACTACGAGACGATGCGGCGTCGTCCTTCTCTCCTAATCCATCCGCTCCAGTTCCTCCTCTTGTCGAGGCTCCCTACAGCCCGGCCGTCCCCACTTGCGAAACCAACGAGCTCAACATAGTACAGCCACAACGCCCAACCAAACACACTAGGCAACGCCAGCGTTCTACCGCACCATCTCCCGAGCAGGCCTTCACTGAAAGCACACCACCCAGCCCAATCCCGCCTCCCTCTACCACCCCACCAAATCAACCTTTTCCCCCGGATGATCTCATCCCCTTAACACCAACACAGTCCTTCCTCGCCGCAATGCAAGCCGAACAATCTACCCTCGTCTCACAAACAGAGGTTCTACTTGCGCACGTCGAAACGCTCAAATCCACACGGTTTAACCAGGCAGATGCCATGGCGGCCATCACGCGCGTAGAGAGGAAGATTGAATTAACGAGTGCGTTGTGTTTTGATTTGTTTATTGCGGAGTGGGCGTTTTTAGGTGATTTGGAGGAGGAGGAGGAGGAGGAGGAGGGGAGGGAGAGAGTAGAGGGGGCGGGCTTGGAGAAGTTGAGGGGGTGGGTTGGGGGTTTGGTCAGCGAGTTCGATGGGGAGATGGGGAGGTTTGGTGGGGAAGACTGAGGGACGATATTCGGTTTGGAGAGGTTGGGGCTTCAAGGCGCGCATGTTGAAGGCTGTATCATGCTTGTTGAGTGTGAATTGAGCATGTGGGTTAGATTGAAGGATGACATGGTAGTGATGGAAGCTTAGTAAAGCTTCTTTCATCACTGTGTTAGGAAGGGATCTTGTCAGAAGCTGTTACGTCATAATTTCGATCGATAGTAAAGAATAAAGATTTGCAAAGGTTGGGTCCTCTGAATGCTATCTGCAATTTCTCGCTCTCATCGATTGGAGATCTTCCTGTGGAATCGAGCGAGTTTGTCAATTAGTATTTAAAGTCCAGACAAACACAGAGACCAAGTTGGACATGCAAAAGTTGGTGGAACAGGCGAAGAAGAATCGTAGCTTGTTCTATCCAATCGTGAACACAGATAGATGACAGCCACGTCAAGACTAGCAGAACCGTCGTCTCAGCTACCGTCTTCGCCCTTCACTCGTCTCTTCAGGCGATACATTAACTTCCCTAACTCAACTCAACTCCTGCAAATGCTAAACGGCGTTTCAACCCACGGAAGTAACACTGACAAGTCATCCAACGCCAGTCTAGCCACCCTTCTTAAAGTCACCGCTGATCGTTGCATTGTGCTTGGTCTTCGGAGCCTCATCCTCGACCTTGCTATTCGAGCCGCCGTTCGAGTCACCGCCGTTCCTCTTCTTGTACCTCTTGTGTTTGTACTTTTGCTTCTTGGTAGTTGAGCCCTCCTCGACTGCCTTGTTGCCAGTCTGGTCTTGAGCGCCAGTCTTCTTGGTGGATTGTTGAATGCAGTGGCCGGTGGCATCTTGCTGCTCCTGCTTGTTCGTGATACCAGCGATACCTTCCTTCTTGCTTAGCTCCTTAGCTGGCTCCGTATTATATACCACAGGCATTTTTCCCTTGCTCGCCGTGGTACTGTCCGTCTTCTTGTTCGTTCCAACATGGAGCGTCTCCTGGATCATAGTCGTCAGCTTCTCAGCTGTGAGATCCTCGCTGCGCTCTTTGAGCTTCACTTGTTCTTCCAAAGTCTTTGTGTCCTCAAGTACCTCGTCGATACTCCGGTGGACCCTGTCAGGATGGCGTTCAAACACCGACTGCTGGGTGGCCTTCTCAGGGCGCTCGGGCTCTGCCTCGTCCTTGATCTGCCTGTTCGTCATGGAGGCGGTGGCCTTGTCGGTTTCCTTGTCACCGACCTGTTGTGCGGTCTCCTGGGCGCGATCTATTGCCATGTCAGTGCAATCGACGTAGAAGAGATAAGAGAATGGAATATACCGAGAGTTTGCACCACAGCACCCCAAATCGCATCCGTGCACATATGCGACATGTTCATGAGCTTGCGATCTGACACGTTCAAATTATGTCGGTGTGTCTCAATGCTCTTGCGATATAGTGCTGCCAATTTTGATTCCTCCGTGGCAAGCTTCATGAGCTTGATAGCCTCACGCTGTAGAGACTCCTTGTCCTCGCTGTCGAATGACGCGGTCATTTTGGAGATGAACTGATCATACATGGTGGTAATTTTCTTCTCGCATTCCCGTTCTTGGTCGTAGGCGCGAACAAGGTTGGAACTGATCTGCGATTGCAACTTGAGAATGATGTCTTGGTTCGCATTGCGCTCCTTAAGCGTCTGGTATAGCTTGTTTCGAAGCGCAGCGGCATCAGCCACATCGATAGTCTGGAGAACAGCAATGGCATTGTGATTGAGTAATCCAAGGATATCTTCCGGGCCCCTGTGAGACTCCTGCAGGGGTGAGAGTGAATCATCTATCGGGACGACATCTTTAGCACTGGATATGACCACTGGAGTCGCCGAAGCGGACTGACCTGTATGAATATCTGACGCTGGAGTCCCTGGGGTCGAGATAGTCATGCTCTCCGCTAGATCGATCGGATCATCGCGAGGCGGAGTCGGTGCGTGAACCGTGGGAACGAAGGCGAAAGCATCTCCCCGCATGGTGGTACTCGTGTCCGAAGCGCTGAATACAGATGTAGCATTCAAGAGCTCCACATGATACTTCATTTCTGCATCACCTCCATTCGATTGGACCGCTTTGAGCACCATGGTGTTGTTTACGGGGGTCGGATTGGCGATGTGAGTACTTGGTGGGGAGAGCTGTAGTGAGGGCGTAACAACGGGCAAGGCATGCGTAGCAATGGGGGAGATATGCGTATTGTTCGTACCGTAGCTAGAAATGTGCTGTAGTATGGGCTGCCCGACCGAAGGGCTGGGCGCTGCGAATCCCATCAGCGCTGTAGGGTGGCTCGCAGGAGGAGTGGCCGGAGCGAATTGGCTTGCGCCTGTTATGCTACCCATGGCGCCTACTGGTATCGGGTAGCCGCTACGAGGCGTCTGCCACGCGGGTAGTGAGCCTGGGGGGTAGCTAACTGCGGCAGGAGTATGAGGCACGGCTCGCGGATCGTACTTCTGATTCACAGGTAGAGCGCGACCTTTGCCATTACCGTTATTATTATTAGCGTGTCCGTTGAACTTTCCGCCGCGCGTCTTCTTGCCATTACCGCGGCCGCCATTGTTATAGCCTCCGCGACCAATGAAGCCGGGGTCGAGACCATGGTTCGTGGGCGGGGGCTGTTGATTATACGCGGCCATGGCACGACCTTTTGGTGGGAATCAAGAGACAAGGCGCGAAAGGGCTGGGGTTGAATGTGAAAAGGGTTGAGGTGCTGTTGATGCAGCAGGCTTGCAATGCCCGGGGCCTAAGGACAAACGCGCTGGCGGGTCGATTTGGCAAACGTGCCGTTGTGGGAAACGAGCGCCGCTGCGGCGATGGAACATTCTGGCGAACCCATTTTGTCTTTCACTCTGGCTCTAACTGAGCAGGAAACCAGAGACCGCAAAGAGCGTTCAGTGCAGTTCCAGGCCTTGACATCCCGACCTGCCCCCAAGCTAGCGTCCATGATGTTTCCCGATCAAAAGCTTTTATATCCGATGGTTCATCGCGAAACTTTGGAGTCAGTGACTAGGACAGGGAAGCTATTGCTCGCAGTGCCATTCGAGAGATAGCATAGCTAGCTTGAGACTATGCAGAAGTCATTTGCGACGCTATTAGAGAGAAATGGTAATCATTATAAAGTAAGAAAGCTCACACATTGCAAAGGTGACAATTTTGAGAAGAAAAAAGATTGCGGAGATGGAGATGGAGGTGCGTTCTTAACGTTTGGTAAAGCCCGTAGAGAGGGGCCAGTCAGTGTCCTATTGACATCAAGCGAAGCTGCGCCGGAAGTGAGAGCAGGAAAGAGCTATGTGAGCACCGAGAATTGGAAAAGACGGTAGACTTTGTTCTTACAACGAAACAAACTCTAATCAGTCTCGAAATGTCACCACCATGACCATGACCGACGAATTATCTTAGTATGCATCCACTAATATACCAGATCAATTTTGAGGTTGCAAGGTGCCATCCGACACCTCGTTCATCGATTCACGATCTCTCCATGTGTGAAAGACCATTACCGGTCCGCCTCCGATGCTGCCACAGACGTGAGAATTGCTGCGCGTGAGATACCGGGGCCAAGGCCCGTAGGGCTGGGTCGGATTGATTATCATGCGCAGGGTAATATACGACATAGATGAAGATAAGAAGCACGCAAACAGTGAGTGTCCCAGGCTGACGGTAAGCACCTATATCCCTGTCGTGGACGATGACCGCCTACAGCAAAGCTCGCAGCATGTTCCCATGGGAAGGATTTATCAGCCGCGCTAGGTGTAGAGGTTCTGATCTTGGAGCTTCCTGGATGTCTGGCAGTTATTAGGACATTGATGATGACATATATTGGACTTTGGTGAAGCCGTGCTGTACATGCATGTGCATGGTTCTTTGGGGCAGGCAAGAAGAAGGCCGTCAAAGGCGACTGTGGAGACAAGACGCCGCTACCTCCCTCACCTCAAAAGCTTCCTGAGTGGGACTGGAGAGATTTGACGATGCATAGAGTGTGTTCAGAGTTCGCAGGATGGGGCTGTACTACGTGTTAGATATGCCGAAGCCCGCGGCCGTAGACCCTAGATACATAGGCCCTGTAAGCCTTCCAATCACGCGCAGGAGAGGCCGAAAGCGAGGGATAGGTGAGCTCTACGAGAGCTGCTATGGACGTTGGTCTTTTCCAAGATGGTGGGTTTGAGGTGGTCAGATGAAGAAGGGAGGTGGCAACCTTGGAAGTGGCTGGTTAGGGCAGGAGCCTCTACAGCTCCGAGGAAGGCTCATCCGGGTGGGTGTAGCTGGAGGAAGGCGGGTTCCTAGCTAGGCATAGCGCACAAAGGCTGACACCGGCCTTGACCGTCTTTGGCCACCCCACGCTTTCTCCGCCCTTTACTCACCTGTCTCACGCCCACAACCACTCAGATGACCTGATCAACCAGGCCCGTCCATGTTGAAGATGCCACTGCTCTCGTCAGAAGACTAGCACAAATTCAACAATTATTGCAGCATCCACGGGCTCACGCCAGCAGGGGGGGCAAGGGAGGGTGTGGGGGTCGCCTTACGTTTCCAATCTCCAAGACAGCCACGTCCTCTTACGTCCTCTTTACTCAGCGACGACAGCGCTGACCACCGCGTCTATCGAAGACAGAGACTCGGGCAAAAACTGCATTCTCGTTCAAGCATCCGACAGCACACACTTGGACGGTGAGCAGCCATTGTCCAAGTCCGCTGCCGGCCTGGCACAAGGCGGCCGTTGAGGTGGCACAAATCGTCGAGAGGTTCCACGTACCGCTTCCCAGGTTCGTGTCTACCATGTCCATCGCCGTGAAAGAAATCTCGACCTGCATGTTCATCTTCAGCCCACTTCATGTCTCGTGCGATCGATCGGGCCGGCTGTTGGAGAGCAAAGATTCGGGTCGGTACCCTCTTACGCAGCAGCTGGCGAATTGGCTGACAGCCGCTCTCCCTGGGCCCGACCACTCGAGGTCCGAAGAGGCAGCAGGTCGTTACCGGTGGTCCGGTTCATGTCTTGGACTTATGCACCGAGGGCGACCTGACGCTCTGGTTCCCCAGTCAGAGGGGCGCTGACCGGCATGCGTGGCGTCCAACAGGTGTGATGCAGGACTGCTCCTGGTCTCTGGTGATTGGCGTGCCTTTGGAGTTTTGTGGGGAGGAGTTCGAGAATTGCTGTGGTGGCGGGCCTGGCGGTTGCTGATGCAGATGCTTGCTGCTAGCTGCACGAACTGTGAGGCGAGCAACCGCTGCTCAGCGTCTTCGTGTGAGAGCCAAGCCCCACCCAAAGTCGCCAGTCGCTCCCAGTCAATAGCTGCACCGGGTCCGTTTGTTAATGGGCTGCTGGACGTTTAGCCGCTCGACGCACCTCTATCGGGGAAGTCGAAAGCGAATCGCCCGTGCACATCCAAATAGCTTCATTGGCCGGGGATGCAGTAGTGCGTCCGATGGCTGGCATGGATGGACAAGCCAGAACACCGACCCTTGGCACGCATTCGATCCGCGACAAGCAAAATCTCCGTCCCTCCCTCGAGCAACCGAATGTGTCTTTGTTTCCTAATGCCAGCCTTGAGCTCGCAGCCTCTTGTTGTTTACCACCGCTAACGGCCGACTCGCTCACGATTGTCCGGTCGAAACCCCCTCGCAACACGATCCATCCCCCCCAAAACACGAGCCGCGTCTCCGTGCAGCATCAGCCGAAGCTCCACAAGCCGAGCTGCAACCCCTCACGACTCACGACCGCGTCCCAGCAACCGCGGCTGCTCAGCAACCACACAGCCTGCGATTACCACGCGCATTGGCCCTGGCCTCCCCCAATGGCCGTACTGAAGAGAGATGGAGGAGCGCCCCGCGATGCGAAAGCTGCCAGTGCCGACTCGTCTCCCCTCGCTCGGGTGATGCGCGAGTTCGAGGAGCTGGTCAAGGGCTTCGAGACAGGACTGCTGCGCTCCCTCGAGGATGCAGAAGAGAGCAAGCCCCTGCAGCTGAAGGGTGGGCGTAGGGACGACATTCGACGTGAGGCCTGTCGGCTGGCCATCTCGGACCTAAGTAACAGTTACACGTGCAAGTACATCCGTCGATCACTGAATCAAGCCGAGTCGGAGGGAAAGCGTGTAGAAGAGCAGCTGCACAACCTATCGCTTGACGGCAGTGCAGGAGACGACGATGACCTAGGCAGCTTACACAATGGCTATTTCCGGCTTTACTCTACCGAGCTATTCGACCTGTTAGGGCAGCCAACTGAGCTCCGACTCGGCACACTACGCTTCCACAAGCATCGCTCGACCCACGATACACAAGAGCAACCATCACACTCCCAGTCGCCATGGGTCACTGTTGAGCTCGCGCTTAATAACGCCTTTTACGTCGCCGACTCAATGGAGACGCTACCATACCATACCTTCCGACTACCCACTGCGCCGTCGTTACAGAACAGAGGCATTTTGAGCAGGAAACCAGAAGACGGTGGCGCCTTTCCCGGCTTTGATTCGTGGTTGCTGTTTACATTCCTGGGTAACGGATGCATAAAGCTCGAGGTGCCCATCGAGATGTGTGCAGACGTCTACGGCGGCCGACTAAGAGGACGCGAAAACGAGGAGGTACTGTTCTGGGGTTTCTTTGTAGACGACGACCTTGAACAGTAGCGCATTGATGTTTACTTGGACTGGAGTTAGGGACAGAAGCTAGACTGAGCTTTGGTTGGAGTTGGGCGCAATTGGACTGGCCAACTCGGCCACCGACCAGGGTGCTTGGACATGCATTTACGACTCACGAATTTCCTCATTATTATTCCTACCTTCACTCTCTTCATAGTTCCCATTACGGATACATCATGACATCCTTGGACCGACCTTCCTTCACATCTATACTTATTTGTTGTACGTTTGGGCGGCATACTGCATAGCATGACTTCTTTTCAAAAGGCGGAAAATCAAGGTAGATGTTAGATAGGCAACGCTGCGCGAGAACAGAGCATCTATATCCGCCGATCATGGTAGAGGCTTAGGGAACGAATTAGATCTGATGGATAAAAGTTCCTCCGAGCTTGCCATCTTCACTTTCTTCCCCCAACGCTTGACTCTGCTTCCAGGTCCCATTTCACGTCAACCCAACCCCTACAGTCAGCATAATGAACTCCGCACTTACAACTGCAGTGCCAGCATCGGCGGAGACAGCAAAAATCGCGAATACAGGCTTCAGATTAGGGGAGGACCAGCACGCCTCAGACGCGAGCGATAGCGACCAATCAGCGACAAGCGAGCGGAGCATCTCACCGTCCAAAAAGCGAACAAAGTCCAAGAAAAAGCGAGAGCGGAAGCGGATCGGTGCGCTAACTCATGAACTGGATAGCCTGTTGGGGTCTGCTTTCTCTGCACCAAATGGCGACGCTTCAGCAACGGGCGGCGTATCAGGTATGTTCAAGTCACACAACAGGAAACACTGGTCACGCATGCCAAATGTTGCACGTGGACTGAGATTGGCAAGAGGAGAAATTGACGGTAATGCGCAGGAACAGTGGAGCAAGCAAGTGGCGACGTTGTTATGGAAACCGATCCAGTCCCCGCTGGGAAGAAGATGAGTGAGTGCTCTTCTCTAGTTTCTTCCTCAATCGATCCATAGCGCCGTTACTCACTATTCTCACCCACCATCATCCCATCGTAAATCCTAATACGCTGTCAGACAAGCGCACACGCCAGAATCTAGCCAAGATGGAGGCCCGCAAGCAAAAGAGCGGCAACAACCGCGCCAAGTTTGAGGAGCTTGTTACGCGGACGCAGGCCGCTGCCGCAGAACGAAGAGGCATGACGTTAGACGAGTATCGTGAGAAGCGCAAGCATGGAGGCGGGAAGGAGATGACCAAGTCCAGTGCTAGGCGGGCGAGGAAGGAGGAGCAGAGGGCAAAGAGACTTGCTACTGAGGGTGATAAGATGGAGATTGGCTAGGATGAAGGAGAAGGATAGGCGAAGCGATGGCTGGAGTGAGAAGGCTTATGATGGCAAGAAATGGCAGTATATGAATGAAACTAACGATGAGCTCTACATATCGTCACGACAGTGTCGAATGCGCGGGTCTGCTCTCGCGAGTCAGATTACAGCTGCAGAAAAGACTTCACGGATGCCGAAAAACAAATTCAACGTGTGGACGGGTTCCGAAAGGCACATCGAAACTAGTGCCATGCAGTTGAGCACTAGTAATACTATGACTTGCAGCACCAGGCCCAGACTTCATGTGTGATCAGCATCGAAAACGCATGTGTGTGGAGACTTATGTATGAAAGAATTAGCTTTCCTTATACCGTAAGTCTAGCATCTCTCGGTGACACGATATGCTGTCGTACTTCATGCGCTTATGGTGGCAGTAGTTGCATGCATTTGCGGGTCAGCACTCACGTATGCACATTGACCTCTCTTCCTATCACGTTTCTCCTATTTTTTCCATTCTTGAGATGAGACGTTTCTTTTCGTTTCTCGGCGCAGTTGTCATATTGGCCAAGGCGCTATCCTATTGGTACTCAGCCGAGGAGGATGTAGCATTCCAGTGCGGGCAAGCTTCTGAGAGGCTAATTCCCTCATGAGCTGTCAACTGAAGTGGTACAAACGTCAACCACGCTGTTAGACATGTTTTGTAAGTCAATCGACCTATAGCAAGGCTGCCCGCACTTTTTGACTCCCACAGCCAGCATTGCCTTCATCTCCTTGTCTACACCTATTGCCCTCGCTTTTGATTGCTCTTAGTTATTATTTCATCCTCGGCTTCAAATGGCTAAAGTGAAGAGACCTAAACAAACGGAGGAGGAAAAAGAGCGCCTTGAGCAGCGCTTTTGGCGAGTTCGGGAGGAGACATTACGACAATGGTACAGTGAGGCACACAGCGATGACTTGCAGGTTAAGACTGCCGCTCAGGTGAGACTGCAGCTGCAAATCTCACTGAGAGAGAAACGTAAGGACGTGGCAGCCCTAAAGCAAGAGCGGGATCTGCTCAAGACAAGCGATGATGCGACAGCCTTGGAAGTCGTTCGAAAGAAACTGAAACAAGCTCAGTATGCAGTGGCCCACCATATAACCATGTTGAAGGACGGAATTCCAGCTAACACCGTTGGAAAAGCGTGCCGCAAGTGGGCCGGGAAGACGCATACGCTTGAAGAAATCCTAGGCGACGAAGATCTAGACAAGAGAACAGAGTTTGGAGTCTTCCGAGATGAAGAGAACACGCCAGATCCGGGCAGACACGATGGAGGCATTTCAGTCAAGCAAGACGAAGAACCCCCAAACAGCCCGAGCGAACTTCCCCAAGAGAACACCGATATCTGGCAGCAACATGCGCTCCACATGCAGCACCGCTACCGCGCTTCCGGCCTCCCAGACTTCGCGGCCGAAACAAAGCTCGCTTTCCAAAAGAAAGTCTACGATCTACACCTAGGCCGTGAATCTCAGCTCCGCAAAGCATACGAAGACACAGCCAACCTCCACCCGCCCGGAGAGCATGCCACTCGTAAAGGCGTCACGGGACTATGGAACACCGTCCTAGTAACAACGCAGTTCTCAGAACACAGCATGTGGGATCTGATCTCCACAAAGCTATGGCGCTACTTCGAGAACGGATTTAGCTGGAACCTCCCCCAGTGGGTGCCACGGGGTATCCTGCGTATCCAGACCATCTTCAACGCGTCGCGGGTATACTTTGATTTTGGGTCGCGGACGTTTAGTACTGATCAGATCAATTTGCCTGCTGAGGCTAGTACGCAGGTTCTCTTTTATGCTGCGAGGTGCCATGAGACGGGCGCGGATGTTCATTTCGGCCTCGCGTTTTTGGCGGATGGGTTTGTTAAGGTGCAGTTTCCTGCGCTGGCGGTTGTTGGTGCTGATGCCGGGTGTCGGGCTGGGGTTGTTGTGGATACGGTTGTTGAGTTGACGGGCGTGTATATGGGGCGGGTTGAGTAAGTTGGGTGAACTCGGAACGTGCGGTGGTGAAGAGTATTGATTGCGGATATTTTTCAAGTACGTCAAACTGCATTTTCATCGGGGAATTGAATGGACGCGAATCTGATAAGATCCTAATGGAAATTCGACCTGTAAGCCCCGGGGAAGGTTGTGATGTAATGACGCCATGTTGGTAGTAGCTTTTTCTTTCACTCTGTGCTCCCTATCTTACTTGATCCTCAACTACCCCGCTACCCCACCATTGCTATATATTTGTTTTCTTAGACCTTGCAGCTATATTCTACTTCTTCGACTTGTATCAACTTTTCTAAAACGTCACGATGCCGAAATTTCGTACCCATCAGCGCTCGTCGGACTCGGTGGACTTTGAACACACCGCAGCATTGAAAGAGTTAGAGGAACTGACTCTCACAGGAACGGTACACATCATCCTATCTCCTCCTCTATTCAGATCGTTACTGAAATTTTTAGGAGCATACCAGCTCGAGCGAACAATCACCGCAGCCGGCGAAGGATGCAGCTATATTACATTTCCCCGGCGCACGAGCTCTAGCTCGGACTCCTCCAGTCAACCCAGCTCAGGCTTTGCACAGCAACACCGCAATGCCCGGTGTGAGTGTCATCGAGAAGATTACTGTCTTCAAGGACGAGGGAAGAACGACTAGGCGACCCATTAAAGTTGCGAACTGCTCAGCAGAGAGTGTGGCGATCTCGAATACACTTCGCACTCGCGGCAAGCACTCTCGCTCTACATCTGACACCACCGTGAGTCATGTCACCTCTACGCCGATTACTTTGTCGCAACCTGGTCGAGGAGAAGCTTCGAATATTTCAAATAAGAATGATGGAGACGGTGTAAAGGTTGCAGCAGGTTCTTCCACACTTGTCCGAAAGTTGCAAGACATCGCCATCAGAAGGGCGAAACTAATCAATGAGTTCACCGCGCTTGAGGCAGAGGAAGCCGCAACTCTCACACAACTTGCACAATCGACGGACATAAAAACGCGCCTGGAAACCTCGAAGGCACATATCGTTGAAGCTGTACCGACTCCACTACCGTCGAATACCGTCACTCGAACCCCGGCGCGCCCGCTCTCACGGCCTTCGAAGGCTACCCAGGCGAGGAGTATGTCAAAAGCCGCACTCACACGCCCTGTTTCTGCACCACCAAAGTCTACGCCATCGGGCCCTCGTCATCGCGCACTCAGCACATCGAAGCGCATTCCGCTCACTGACAAGACGGAAGATGTACTTGCGACGATCGATACCACACCGTTGTATGCAAAAGAGTGGAATGCTTCACCAGTCAAACCAGAGGATACTACAACTACCAAGGCAGCCGAGTCAACACCCTCGCCGTTAAAACGTGGCAGAATAACACGAGTGCCAACTAAGTTTGGAGACGGCTCAATATCCAGTGAGGACGTGGGGACTATTAATCAGTTTAGTGTGACGAGTGGAAAGTTGAGAGGGCGAGAGAGTAGGAATAGTAGCAGAGGAAGGAGCAAGAGCAGAAGTGTCAACTCTAGTGAGAATTGGAGTAGGAACACCACTAGTCCTAGTACACCCGCTGCGAGACCTGATATTGCGCGCTCTTACGATATCCCGCCTACAGTCTCTCGGAAACGGTGGGACTTTTAAACTCGGGTGTGCCTTTGCAGAAATCTGCTTAGGCTCGTTGCGTTGGTGCGCAGCGTTGTAGCGCTGAAACCGGCGTATATTCTTGGTGAATGTCATTGGTACTAGAATATGACTGAAAACTACTATCGGGGAACCAAAACTCATCCAAAAGGTAGATCTAGTCATCAAAGCACAGCCCACTAATACACCCATCTACTAGAAAACAGTCACTAATTCGTACCACACGAAGCCCAGTCATAAAAGAAAAGTCATTCCCTATCATAAAAGCTCTCGATTCTCTCCAAAGTAAATTCATCAACCTGCATCCTACCATCTACAATCTCTACCAAAATCAAAGACTATACAACTACAGCACCTTCTCTACCAAAACTCGACAAAACTTTCTCTCAAACTTTAGCTACCGACCAACCGTCCTTTGCCCGGCAATGTGCGACCCTAACAACACGAACGTCCACTGGATATGGGGAGGTCCCCCTCTGCCTCCCAAGAAGAGACGCTCAAAAAAACGTACAAACAAGGGAGGCTCGAAGAAACGTACCAAGAAAGGAGACCCTAAGAGACCTACCGGGGAGGGAGACTCTGACGAACCTACCGAGATGGCATACTCAGACGAGTCTACAAACGAGGGAGACCCAAAGAAGCCTATCAATACCTGCATGCACAAGACTCCTGCATACCCGTGCGACAAATACAGCAATACGCTCGATATATGTATCGCTACAGGGAAGAAAGTTGCTGGGACGGAGGTCGGTGGATGGATGCTGGCGCAGTGTGATCAGTGCCTGAAAGGTTTGAAAAGTTAGATGAGCGGGTATTAATGAGGGATGCGTGGATATCTAATTGTGGCCGGGTTGGGTAGAGCGTAGAAATTTACTCAGTTGGGAGGGTCCTGAAATCCGGGGTCGATGGAGTCATCAACGTAGCGATAGGTGTAGTTAGAAAGACAGTGTTGGTCACATAAGCCTGAAATGGAGCTGTGTTTTATCTTATTGGCTAGATATTGTGCTTTCCTGTGCCCTTTTCATCCTTCCTTTGCTGACAATCTTTTCTGGTTCTCCATAAACAACTTCCAAGCCTCGCCCAGATCCCCAGGCCTCCTGACTCCCCAAGCTCCTTTTGCTTTCCAAGGTCCTTCTACACCAATGTCCCTTAATAACAAGCCTGTGTACATTACTGCGTCGAACCCTGCAAAGTTACCCAGTTGCCCGGTTGAAAGATACCTCCTCCTACTCCATGCTACCTGCATAGCGACCTCCCTTTTCTGCTCTTCAATAGACGGAAGTCGGAGCTGATTGGATTGGGAGAGATATGCCACAGCCCACGGGGCCTGTGATTCAGCGTTCATGATCATATTCCCGCTTAGGAGGAAGTTGACGAAGACAATACTGTGTGAGGGATCATTGAGAGGTGCAATTCCGCGGTATAGACGATAGGGGGTGGTGTAGGCTCGCTTGAGCTTGTGCTTCGGCGGGTTAGCAAGAATCGGAAATCGTTTGAATACTTCCTTCTCAGCTTCGATCTCTAATGTATTCCAGTTTGCGGCTGTCTCTGGCGAATCAAGCGCGTGATCATGAGGAAGTCCTAGCTCGGCTTTGAGCTCATCAGATAGAAAAGTGAGGCTCGATGTCCAACCAGTGCCAAGTAACAGTGCGTCGCATGAGATCTGGGTGTCGTTGCTGAGGTGGAGAGTATGATCACTTGTCGAGGTGATATGGGCACGATGAACGACAACGCGGGAAGCGATCAGATCCCAGAAATCCTTGTGATGCAGTGCACCACCAGCGCTGTTCATCCAGAAGATTCCAGGGCTGTAATCTAGCTGCTCAAAACCGCGTTCCTGACTTTCTTTTCCTCTAGTAAAATAACCAGCTCGTTTCTTAGCTTCCGCATCAATCAGACCGAAGAGCCAGGAAACCAGCCAAACACCTAACCAAGTCCGATGCAAAAACCACACCCACCAGCCCTCTTCGTGAAAGATGCTTGGTTGCATGAAGCTCATGGCTTGTGTATTGGCGGATTCAATGGTACTTGCGTAAGGGGATGCGAGATCGATTGGTGAGAACCAGCCTGGGCCGGTCCCGTCTGCACGAATGATCCAATGGAACGTAGTGCTTGGGGGCAGGGATTTGATGCACAGATAGAGCATGTCTGCTGAAGACTTCCCGGCCCCGAGGATGGCGACATGTTTGATGTCGGGCTTTGAGAGAATTGCCGACTCGCCGAAATTCGTTGAATGTATTACTGGCGCACCGAATTGGGAATGGTTTCTGAAGCTCGGAATTTTTGGTGTCGAGAATTCCCCGGTGGCTACGATCAGCTTTTGTGCTGTAAAGAGCTTGGTATCCAATTTCCTTGTTTTCACATCAATGTGTGCTTCTCCATCGTCCATTTTAAACGTGCGATTGTCCTCATGTCCTGTCAAATCGCGGCATACAACCCGCCATTGTATATATTTATCGAGCTTATCTCGCGTCACATTGACAATTTCAGCACGTCGAAATCTGTCCTGCAAACTCTTCCCATCATGAATCATCTTTGTCGCAAATTCTTGCAGATAGTCACTCATCCAGTTCGCCTTGAAACAATCCCCAATGCAGTCCTCTTTCGGCGGGTTGCGCATCTTCAGGTCTGAAAACTCCGCAAGTCCTGTGACGAACTGCGTGTAGAAACCCGGGTAAATTCGATCTCGACTCCAGACACCGCCAACGTGTACATTGCGATCTACAATAACGAGTGATGCTGTTGGATGTAGGTCTAGGTAGCGGTGGGCTGTTATGAGACCGGCAAAACCTGGGAGGCCTTAGTGATCGCGAACAATAGTAATGAGGTGGGGTACACACCTGCGCCTATAACAACGACATCATGATGCTCTTGCTGCGGAGCCATGATTTTCAAAGTAGAGATAGGAGTGCCGGAGGGAGAGGGGGGACGCTGACATTGATATACCTGGCATTCGCTGTCGCAACTGTGTGGGTACTAGCGCTTACGCTGTAGCTTCCCATTCGCCCCTGCATACCTGCGTAGTCGCATCGCAAGCTTTCTAGGGCGCAAAAATATATGACCTAAGACACTGAGTAGACGGTAAGATATTGTTTCATTTTGCGCGTGGTCTTCTCTCTGATTGGTAGTGTAGCTAGTATAGGCTTCAAGTAACAATCTATTGCCACCATAAATTATAGCACAGCGGTACTTGTGACCCGATGACGGGTGCTGCAACTGGATTTGAAATAAAGTCACCCGAATCTTGCTCTCGTTCTTTGCAGAATTTATCCACGAGTTGGTGGTTCTTGCGATGCCGAAGTGCTTTCTTGACGGCTAGGGTCTCTCGACTTATTGCGAAGGTACAAAGCTAAACCTTTACAGGGTGCCATTGTGCTATTAAAATTTCGGTCGCTCGTGGATATCTCGCAGGAAGATGAGATTGACCACGGGTAAAAAGAAACGAAGTAATATAATATCCGTGCCCGGCACTAACATGCACCATCACAACATGACAATCTGACATCACACCCCACCAACTGAAACCACGTCCTGGAAACTCGCAAAAAAATGAGCACCTGCACCGAACTCTGCCAGAAACTCAATAGAGTCCAACTGCAACATGCACAACTTCCTTCGCACGATGAGCTGCTTGCACAGCTTCCTCCTCTAGACAGCGATGGCGGCTGGTGCCTCGGCACGTGGTGTCAGCTACAGCAACGCCAACAATGCGCATTCTGCAAGCTGGTAGTCGACGCTGTACTTGGCAGCGTTAAAAAGACGCACGACGAGGATATCGACTCTAATCAAGCAATCAGTGTTCTAGTCTTTCCAGACGAGCAGTCATTCCGGTTATCGTACCCCTCTCGACTAGGTACGAGAATAGCCTTCGTGGCCGAAAACGCAGCTCAAGCAAGAGGCCCAGATACCGCTCGAGCACTGCCCGGGGCCGGGATAGATATATCGAGATTGAATTCATGGCTACAAGTTTGCTGTGATAATCACGGAGCTTGTCAACAGCATCAAATCGAGACGAAAGACGAGGTATACATCTCATTCGCGATATCCTTTATGTGTTCAGGCTAATCAATCGAAGGTAGTAGTCAGAGATAGAAACTTCTCGTCTAGCTTCAACGAAAACGCGACGTCCAATTTCCGTGTCATCGATGTCGAATCTGGCTGCATTCGAAGGGTCGCCTTGGATGTCAGATATGTCACATTGAGTTATGTGTGGGGCGCGCTACCGATGCTAAAGCTTCAGAAGAGTAATTTCGAAACTCTTTCCCAGGACCGTGGCTTAGACGGTGTTCTTAAAGACCTACCTAACACAGTCAGTGATGCAATTAAGCTTGTCAAAGCTCTGGGGCAGCGGTATCTATGGGTCGACGGCTTATGCCTTGTACAAGATGACCTGGACGATGTAGTCCTAGGCATTAACATGATGAACTCGATCTATCGAGGTTCATATTTCACAATTGTTGCGGGCTCAGGCACAGATGCTAATGCCGGACTACCGGGATTGGAACATACTGAAGAAGATGGCAGACGTGTACCACAGATAATAAGGGAGGTTGCACCAGGCATCCACATGACAATCCTACACGGCATCGACTGGCATCTAAGCCGATCTACATACAACGAGAGAGGTTGGACGCTCCAAGAACTCGTTTTGCCAAAAAGAACAGTCATCTTCATCAACGGGCAGGTCTACTATCGCTGTCAGGAGTCAAATTGGAGTGAAGAGACGTGGGCCGAAAAGTGGATCCAATGTCTCGACGCAGATGATAGTAATATTAGTCGCATGCCGGATCCGGTTGATGGCTTTCTTCCCTCCATTTGGGCTTATCAGAAGCTATGCGAAGATTTCTCAACCCGAAATTTACGAAACGATGGTGACGCGTTGCGCGCTCTTGCAGGAGTAACACGTCCAATGGCAGCGGGTATGGACTGTATAATGGTTGAAGGCCTCCCCGGGTATTACCTCGACCATTTCGTACTCTTTGTTGCATCGCATGGTGACTTGCGACGACGAGATAGATTTGCAAGTTTTTCGTGGGCTGGCTGGGAGGGACGGATTATGTGGCCACGAGAGAACTTCGTGTGGTTCAACGAAAAGGAAGACGGCACCACCGAGAGAGTGCAGGATACCGTGAATATTTTCAAGCATCTCAGGTACCATCGGATCGTAAGTTGGAAAAGCTTGGACGCCACGGGGAGTTCGGAAGATTTATCATTCCGACCCTACGAGCTACCGTCCTTGCTGTTAGAGGTGATACAGCAGTTCCCAAGCCTCTTTCATCCCACTACGTCAGAAACCGACCCTTTACGGGATCCGCAATTCGAAACACACCGCATATTCTCTCATAGCAGCGGTTCCTCCGGGGGCGTACCTCACTGGGATCGTATCCGCACTGGTTACAGTTTCGGTTCTAAATGGGAAAACAGTTCAGTGGAGGCCGAGCAGTCAGGTGCCTTGCCTGGCTTTAATATCAAAGCTCTGGACTTAGCTAACGGTAAATCTGAGTTCAACAGGCTTGTCTCTCGGATAGACAATATTCACGAGAGTCTAGCACTTATGAATTGGATGGCGGGTCGCCATGGTCGTGAGACATCTCCCATCCCACGGATCACTAGACTCTAATACGTGCTAGGTGTACGTCGCGCACTGGAAAACAGAACAGTCATAGGTCGGCAGTCTCTTTCGCACGATGACGAATTAGAACTCAGCAGCTTTCGAAACTCACGAGACATGAGTCTTGCTGATGAAAAAGGTGCTTCTGGCTGGAGGGATCGGCGGATAGAAAACGGCAGAGGGGCCATGGAAAGGCAAAAGCAGGAGAATCCAAATTTCTCTAGAAAGACTGTTGATATACCGTAAGATTTGCATAACTCCTTCATCCCAACGTTACAGCGTAAAAGGGTACTGATGAAAGAATAGTGCATTCCCGCCTTACACGGTTCTCGACTTCATCACCATATCCTTGCACCTGCAAACCGGTACCAACACACCACAGCACAATCAAAATATCAAATCGCATTCTCACAAATCCCCATTTGATCGTATTTCTGGAACTCCATTGCTGTCAAAGAAAGGTCAAATTGTCGGCTCACTCCATCCCGATAACACCCATCTCATGGAGCCACCAGGTTCTACAATCGAGTTGCTTCTCATTACTCGCAGCCACACGCCAACTGTCAGCTCAGCACTATTCCAGCTAGACAAGGTTGATACGAATAAGCCCATGAAGTTGTTTTGGGTGCTACATGTCATCTGGAAAGACGGGATTGCAGAGCGCCGGGGAGTTGGGCAGATACTCCAGTCAGCTCTAGAGGACGCTTTCGAGCCCGCCCCTTGTGTTAAACCGATTTTCCTTGGCTAATGTATGCTGCACTGGTACCTCACCATCCATACGAAATAAAAAAGGCATGTAAACTATGGTTTACAACACAAAGGCCTATTCACGCTCCTCACTTTGCGCTAACCCGAACGAAATACGTGGGCACTGTTTCTTAAGCAGTGAGTAGCTACCAGGTACTTCGAAGGGTGCCAATTCGTTTGTCCAGATGTTAGTGTTCTGAAAGTAGTGCTTACTTTATAGGCGTGCCGTAGAATTTAGCGTCTACACGGCTCTACTTGACTCGACGTAGCGCTTACCTGCATTTCGCACAAAATCACCTCAACCTGCTTACACCATTTCTGCCACATTTTATTGACAACCAGAACCAGCTTGCTCATACCAATCACTGTCCGCCTATATATTGGAATACACAATGTTATCGCACTCAGAAATAGAAAGTTACGAACCCAAACTCTATGCCTCGGAACCGCTACAGGAGGGAGGGCGGTTGAGGGGAAGGTCAGGCATAATGCGGAGAGTATGGAGAGGAAGTGGAAAAATGTTGGGAAGGAGTTGGGGATCAAGTTGCAGATTAGTGCGGAGTTGAGAGCATGGGGAGTTCGGGGTCGGCGAAGAGAGGTGCAGATACGTTGGAGAAGGCGTAGGTCTTGTAGAGTTTACTGTTTGGTTGTCGTGAGCGCGATGAATAGCTTAATGAATCAGATGGAATTTGCCATTTAGCTATTGAGCTATGTCTAGGAGAGACCTTTGAGCAGAGAACTCCACTACACTATGTGATTGATGTAGAAGCGCAGTTTCAGCACTCTTTCTCTTACATAACATCGCTTCATCCTAGAATAGCATTCGGTTTAGACATGGTGACAGTGGAAAGCTCCATCTCGCGATCACCCTCACCACTTCAGTCCCGTCAAGTGCTCCCATTCTTTAACCAACCTCGTGTCCCTGAACTCGGGAAATTTATCCCAGTGCACGAACACAAGATGGCGGAGGACTTTATCCATCCTATGGCGCTTGAGCTTGTCGGGTTCATTATTGGGAACAATGCCATGAAGGTAGTCTTGGAAAGGCTGATTCTTCCGTCCACACTTAATACTCTAGCAATTGGTTAGAAGGAACTTACTTAATAGTGTAAGCTGTTGTGATATACCGGAGATAAGCCCTTTTTATGCAGGATCATGGTCACAGAAGCTTTGAAGATCGGCCGGGATTCTTTGTCTAATGCAAGACTTCTGTCACAGAATTTATTGATCACCACAAGATCGGTCTAGACCAACAGTTAGCAAAGGTAGCTTAGGATCGAGAGTTCTTAGGCTGACTGGTTTAATATGGGTGAAGAAAAATGCTTGGTGCCTGAGCTCAGGGAAGAGTTGAGCATTGGTGCAGATCCATGGAATCAGGTTCTCTTCAAGCTTTATCCTCAACCTTTGAGGACTATATCCGCCTCTAGAAGATACAAAACATGTTGTAAGTTCTTTCTGAAGGGATGAACTCGTCATCAGCTTGAAGGTACCATCGTATTGTGCTATGGTGATTGACTAGAAGAATCTGTTAGCTTCTTTGACACCATTCTTGGACAGAATGCTTACGTCAACAATCACTCGCTGGCACAGCCTCGCCATGAGTAGCTGCACTGCGCCGAGTCTATCATTGCGCTCAATTTGTGCATCGCCGTATAAAAGATCTACTATAGGAGTTGGGGACTCCATTCGCGGTACCTGTAGATCTTCACCATCGTCTCTACCAGTAGTCTCGATACTCGTCACCGGCGGTCGAAAATTGCGCTCTTCGGTGGATAAGTGCCGAAAGGCGGTTGTGGCCGCCGCGACTTCGTCTGTTTGTGCTTTTGCTTGATGATTTCCTGCTGGCGCGCTCAGATCAGCATTGATTTCACGCTTGATAAGAGTACTATGCTGAGGCAGCATGCTGACTCTATCTTCATATCCAGCGCCCTGACTCGAATTGCTTCCCATAGCTTGTATATTATTCTCCACGCGCCGACGAGCATCAATGGGTGCAGGCGTCGCTGCGCTTCTCCCTCGATTGTTGAACGTAGCATCTGGTTCCGGGCGGACGAGCATCTCTCTATCGCCGTCTAGGAGCTTCTGGTGGCTCTCAACCCACTTATCATATTCGGTATCCTGCATGTCTGCAAGCATTGACTCCATCTCATACCTGATTGCCTTTCTCTTAGCATTCGGCCCAACCTTCTTCTTTGCGATAGGTAGTGCATGAAACGCGAAAAGATCACTAGTCTTCTTAAAGTGTTCAGAGACATCTTTAGCGGCAAGACCATTTGGGTTGACGTCCCAGAACCATTTCGACGATATCTTGTTGTCCCTGTTTTCATGCAGCGATTGAGTCGAAGGTTGTGAGACATGTTCCGCTCGAGAAGTTGGCTCATCTATATTCATATCCAATTCGTTTTCTTCACTTGGAGGCTTCCGAGGTACTTTGCGCGACTTGTTCTTGTCGCGCTTTTTATTCTTCTTCTTCGGAACAGGCACATGCTCCTCAGATGCCTCATCCGAACTATTCTGGATATTGTTCATATTGTCGGTTTCATCGCCGCTGGGTACGGCCTGAAGCACGTCAATGTTTGCCAATCGCCCGGTAGAGTCATCCGGGACGTGTTCCCTGAGACGGTGCAGGCTGGTTATAATATCGCCTAGCACATCGTTTCCCAGCTTGTCACCATGCAGTTTGGCACTCGCTGCAATCATGGATTGTACGCCTGCCTCAACCCGTGCGGGCGAATCCATATATTCGGCGAGCATCCAGGTGATGCGGTGCATCATTTCCGATCGGAAGATATCCTTCATCCTCGCGATGTTCTCCTCCGACGCATTTTCCTCCTGCATGTGCTGGTAGACGACATCGATACCCAGTTCCTCAAGGACGCCTTGCGGAAAACAGATCTTGACTAAGCCTTGGACGGCTTTCTTAAAGACATCATCGTTGAGGTCGGTTGAGGACGAGATGACCTTGACTCGAAAGGCCCAATCATCCCCAGTGGGCAACGATGTAGCGCGTTCGTGCTTGTTAGGGAAGTATGGGTCTTGATCACCACGAAAGACGGATTTAGCGCGTGCGAGTTTCGGCTCACTTCCAGTCTGGTGTGAATGAGTTGATGCAGTGGTCGAGGTTGGCCGCACTCGTTTCGAAGCAGCATCACGACTGGGCGACTTTGAGCTCTATTTAAGATTAGCGCAATGGGCGGGTCAAAGAAGACATGCTGACGCACTCTCCGTTTCTTTGAGCTACTAGCCATGTTGCCTTGCAGACCGACACACTGATGAGAGGGAATGGGATAGCCTGAGCGAGGCTCCGTCGGTCGGGGGGATACGGTGTTGTCGAGGGCTTGCCAGGGACGTGTCTGAACAGTCCGGGCGTCGGATGTTCATGCGGGGGATTTGAGTAGGACGAGGGTGAACGTGCAGTAGTGAACCTACGTGTCAGTCAGCAACAGAGGAGCAGGTTCGGGGTGAAACAAACACCTAGGCAACTACGACGGCGCTATATGCTGTGGAGAGACGATGCAGTTGCCGCAGCAAGAGGCTACTCGGTATGGCAACTGCGATTATATGCAAAGACTAGAATTAAGCAGGTGCAATATCGTGGGCACGTTGGGTGCGGAATGAGGTACAGCAGTGAAGCCTTGAGGGTTCAGTCCAATGATGGTGACGGTGAAAGCTAAGACGGGCGAGCGAGGTAGCTAACAGCCCGGCTATACGTGCAGCCGCAGCGTTATCACCCTTTACACATACGCCTGGGTTAGATTCCTTAGAGTAATGTTGATCATCTACGCAAACTCCATCGAAACGCCTTGCAAGTTTCTGTATACAAACATCCCATTGGGGAAAGGCCAGTGCATTGGGCTTAAAGCGGTAAGAGGATTTTCAAAGCGCCTACGCCCTAGTTGAGCTATCGCTGGTTCTGTGAAAGTACTTTGAGTAACCACAAGTTCCGTCATAATTGCGGATATTATTCGAAACTTGAATCAAGAAGTCGCCTGTTGGGTAACGTAGAACTATCCAAGATGAAAGGTTAGGAGCTCAAAGACGCGTTGTCGGAGTCTGGAGAGAGATAAGCGAAGACACGTGGTCACGTGGTACCGGATTGGCGATAGTAATTGCAATTGGAAGAACGTAATCATAAAAGTGTAGCCGAGGTATTCAAAACCGTTTATGGAATCACACGGTGAAGCCTTTGGAATGTCCGAGCAGAAATAAAGCACATATTTAGCACTTCACCGTGAGTTCACGATGGTCTGCCAAGAGTCTGCGGTGATGTACTAGGCTAATCCCGCCGGATCCACCTCGCAACTTTCTTTTCAAGTCTCCCAGACACGTCCACCGCGTCGCCGCACATTATGCTCCAGCCCTTTTGAATCGTCACCGCGATAGTCCCGAGAAATGGCGGTACCAGTTGCGCGTATGCGACTCACCGTCGAAGTACTCCCACTTGAGGCAGCGAACGCCCATGGGCCCTACCGAGCGCAGGCTATCGCCGCATTTAAAGGACGCAAGTTTGCCCTGCCCGTGCAATTAGAGGATACCTTCGAACGAGTATGGGGCCAAATCGAGCAGCGATACAAGACGAACTATCTCGACGCCCAACAGGCTGCGTAAGTGCCCTAGAATCCGAGACTTCCTATGCGACAGACACTAATACCACTCTAGGGCATTCACCATCAAGAAGCTTCAAGATGCCTACGATTGCGATCTCGACTTGGGCGACACGGTCAGCTCCATTTTCGAGGGCGAGCCGGATCCCACAATGCGCATGATCAAGGTCGTACCTTCCTTCATCAACCGCGACTTTTCGGTGCCCGTTACGTCAAATCTGCGTCCCGGTTACGCCCAGAAACGAGTACGGGAAATCAATGAGGAGCTTGCAAACAAAAGAAGAAGAGTGGAGCAGCAGCAGCTGGGGGATATACAGGAGGTTGATCCTTCGCGCGACCAGCCCATGCCGACCACCGAGTCGGAGCGCAGTGGTGACGACGGTGCGGAACAAAGTGGACATCGCTCGAGGTCGCGAACAGGAACATCACTGGTTGTTGTGAAGGACACTCACACAGGGCATGCTGAGTTTGGACCAGGTATCAAGGAAGAGTCGCCGGAACTAGGTCTTCCTATTACCCAGAAAGCTCCCAGCACTGCGTCGGTAGAAACCACCTTCACGAAGCCGCCAGTGCCCATTTCGAAGAAATCGCCCCGCAAACGAAAATCAGCCAAGTCGCGATCGCGAACGCCTCGCGTGCCCCCTGTGATGATTCCTGAGGAACAGGTCGAGAATGGGGTGCCGGAACTTGATGACGCTGCCACACAAAATGTGCCCGTACAGGGAAAAGTCGCACAGAATACGCACAGAATCACAGCGTCGCCTAAACTAGGCTCTCCTGAGACAGCTCTACACCCATCCCCGAAGCCCATTCCTGGACCTTCACAAGAAACCCCATCTTCTGCAGCGGTAAAGCGTAAAGATGTATACGATGTACCAAGTTCACCAGAATTCCTGAAAAACAAATCGAAGCCCAAGTCAAAGCAGACGTACGCTAAATCCCCACGCGCTGCGAATACCATTCAAAAAGAAGTCAATCTACTCAACAGCTCGCGATTACTGTCCACTCACGCTCAGTCAAGTAGCGATTCACAGAGATCCGCGCCCGACTCATTATCGAAGAAAGCCCGTGCATTTCAATTGCCAGAGCCACCCGACGAGATCCAGTCAACTCCACAGGAAGAGGAAGAAGCTGCTAAGGCCATGCCACGAGGAAGTCGTGCAGAGAGCGTGCAGAACGATGCCGACTTGACCGCAGCTTTCTTGGATAGTACTGGAAGAGATCTTCAGAACGGTGTTCAAACACCTGAGAGAACTCCATTGGCGAAACCAGCTCGACCAGGCAGCCTCAAGAAGCCTTCCAGGAATGCACATCTTGGTACTCCACAGAGCGCGAAACGCGGCATACAGTTTGAGAACATGGAAGAGTCAGCGAAAAATGCACGAACGAGGGCAGATTCAGATTCGAGGAATAGTGCCGCGTCACCAGCTAGCTCGACTAATTCCAGAAGCAAGAAGCTAGACCCACAAATCCAAGCACGCGTAGATAATCTAAGACGGCAAATGAGGGGTTCATCTAAAGTTGTAGCTAAGCAGCCTTCGCCCCGAAATTCGAAGCAATCCGATGAAGATTCAAGATCAGTCGGCGAGAGTTATGTAGCGCATGTTGCTGCCAAGAGCTCTGGCGATCCTGAGACACAAGTCGAGAAGGCTTCTGCCGGGAAAAAAGCATCGATTGAGCCGAAAACAATCACTCCAGATGACACTACTCGACTTTCAGTGCAGCCACTTCTGTCACGACCCACACCAGTCAGAACTCCGGTCCCGCTTCCGGATAATATCAGACATCCTACACCAAAGGAGAATCCGGTTTCTGCAAAATCAAATACTCCTGATGATGCAGAGGTCTTCAAGAAGCCTGACCTGAAACTGTGGAGCATGAAGTCCAGCAAGCGAGCCAACAGCGATTCCTTGGAGAGACGTGGATCAGGGTCTTCTGACAGGAGAAGCACGCCCTTGCGGACTGAGGTACTGCTGTCAAGCACCAACGGGTCTGGTGTTAAGCCTGCTGCGGAGGACCCCGTGAGGCAACCGTCGAGCTCGAGTGGCATCCCCCTTCCCGCGAATGCACGACGCCTAAGTAGCAATAGCAGCACAGAGAAAGGACCGCAGTTGCATGGCGATAGCAGCACGGTGAGAAGCGTTTCCCCAGCGAAACCGGTAGTAGCTGCTAAACGACGTGGACGCCCCCCGAAAAGTAGTAGCATAGAGCAGCCAAATGGTAATAGCAGCAGGACGAGAATCGCTTCTCCAGCTCCAGTGTTAGTACCTAAGCGACGCGGGCGCTCAGCGAAAAGTACCCTTAACAACTCTTCGCAAACCCCAGACGCAACACCAGTGGTCGAACCCGCCACAAAACAGGAAGCAGTCCAGTTTGTTTCTCAATCAAGTCCTACGCGCAAGCCAGACGCAGATGAGGCTATTGTGATTTCTAGTCGCGAGCCCTCGACTTCCGACTATACTGACTCGGAAGAAGAAGGGCAACAAGACACTGTCTCACATTCAGCAAGTACGAAAATCGAACAGCCACCATCCCTACGGAAGCAAGAAAATGGAATCGCTCAATTACGCAAGACTGACTCTACGGAGAATGATGCAGACGCCGATGCTGCAGGTCAGGGTGCAGTCGAAAAAGATACAACGGCAGAGGAACAAATAGTGCAGTCTCAACTTCGAAACCAAGTCTCTTCGAAAGAGGGGCCCTCAAAGAACGGGTCGGCAGCAAAAGCGGGAACGTGGAACGCAAACTCCTGGGACTTTGGAGCTCTCGAGCGTTCAAATGACGCGCCTGACACACTTGCCGAAGACGTTCAGCTACAAGCCCATGCACCTCTTCCATCGCAAGCAATAACCCAAGGTACTCTTGAGGATGAGGCACGGGCGGGTTCTACAGCGAGAGCCTCCAGCAAGTCGAGCTCTACGAGTGCTGCTAACTCGACAAGATCGTCACCTGCTATCACACGCCGACCAGCGCGTTTCCTCAGCCACTCGCCCACTCCGGAGGCATCAGATAGTGGTGATGAGTCTGACGGAATATCGGCAGCAGCATCGAAGGCTACAACGCCTCCACTGCCAGAGGAAAATAGTAACGAAATTGAAAGCGATTCTTCATCAGACAGCGATGAATCTGGCGCTGAAGACGAGGACATAGAGATGCCAGACGTCCCAGCGCAGGCCGAACCGCAGTTTACAGCGGTGGACGAAAGCGCCGTGCCCTCCTCCCCACCCCGTCTCGCGATTGTTCCAAATTCGACGCCGTTGGTCCCAGAAACCAGCCAACCCACCACCTCGCAACTCAATCCATCCACTATTCGTAGAACGCCTGTTCCTCTTCCCCCTCCATCACAACTACGTTCGTCACAATCTGTTTCTGTACATGCTGCAGCCCGGCGACCCGCCACACGCTATGCTGGCTTTAGAACGCTAAGGGAACAACTCGCGGACGCACAAAAAACGCCTACGGCCACGCAGACTAAGGCGTATGATCCGAGAACGATGAGTTTGGGAAAGTTGGCTGCTAAGGCGAAGGGGAGGAGCAAAGGATTTGTAGGAGTAGGAAATAATGACGGGAGTAGTGAGGAGGATAGTAGTAGTAGCAGCAGTGATAGCGACTAGGTCAAGTTTTGTGGTATGGAGTATTGCAGCGTTGGAATTGATTTTCATCAGGCGGTTGGAAGTCTCCAGGGGGAGAAATCAGACGAAACAGGGTGGAAGTCAATAGCGCATTGTATTATCAACATTATAAGATACCTAAATCGTAATTAAATATATACTTCTACTATGGCATAGGAACAACCTCAGTAACAACCATTTGCCCGATGCGTTCTGAGTTCAGTCTGGAAGATATGAAGGAATCACAAACATCTCCCTACTTAAAGTACCTCCACAGAATCAACGATAGCTCAGAAGGTATTCCTAGTACGTAGGCACTTTTCATATCCCTTTTGTCAGTTTGGGGTCTCAAGGTCACGCGTCGGTCTATGCCGAGAAAGTGAAAGCGCGGGCCAATCTTACGTCAGCCTGTGTCTCTTCAGACTGTGCGTCTTCCAATCAGTCACCACCCCGGGCCAGCACTACCTTAGAATCGCGCAAACCGTTTAGTCAAAAATACCAAGTGGGACTTCAAAAGAGGATCGAAGCTTAGCAGCGCACGCACAAGTATACGGGCCTTAGGCGGCGACTCCTAAAGTCGGTTTCTATCTCGATCTCCGTAAGCCCCACCTGCTTTAGTATATCTCCTATTTTGTCAGGCTGTGGAGATGCCTAATGTCGGACGGCCTTCCAAGGGATGCAAGCATTGCAGGGATAGGAAGGTCAAGGTAAGCACCCGATTGTCTGCTTACTGAATCTCGCTAAACTTACCATTCAGTGCGACCTAAAACGACCTGCATGTTCACAATGCATTCGCGCAGGAAAGAAATGCTATGGCTATCGTGACGCATTATCGATGATGTTCAAGAATGAAAGTGATGTCGTTGCAAAGAAGGCAGAGAAGCGATATGAAGAGCTGGCGAAATCGAAGGTGCCAAAAGTTCCGAAGACAAAAGGCCAACAAACATTGAATTCCGACAGCCCGGACTGGCTTACACATACTAAACGTCCCTCGAACGTCCCTCGATCTAGCACGCACTTGATTCCATGGTCCCGGTACTCAACGCCAGAAAGCATGACCATGGAGATTCTTCCTTCTATTGAAGAGCAGGCCCAAGGTTTCTTCATCTCAAACTACGTCGCCCAGCCGTCGATCGTGCCCAGAGGTCAATATGAATGGATCACCGAACTTCTGGCTCAGCCAAACACTGAGGAGATTCTACGGGGCAGCGTAAATGCTGTCAGCCTTGCTGGACTTGCCAATGCCACGAAAAGTCTCGCCATTATGCATAAAGCTCAAGTGGCCTATGTAAACGCCCTTCAAGTGACGAATAGCGCTCTTCGCGTGAAAGAGACTGCCGTCAAGGATAGCACGCTGATCTCTGTGATTTTGCTGGGTACGTATGAAAACTTGGTCTCCAATAGCCAGCGATCGATACAAGCATGGGCAAAGCATGTCGTCGGGGCATGTACTCTCCTTAATCTTCGGGGAAAAGAGCAGTTTGAAACCAGTATCGGAAGACGCGTGTTTCACCAATTCTATGGGGTTGTTCTTCTGGTGTCACTCAAAACTGGCACGCCGATCCACCATAGGATACAAGATCTGTACAAGGCACTCGCCCCCACTTCAAACTACGACATACAGGGGCGAATATTCACGACCAAGATGGTGTCTGTCATGTCGGATTCTATTGATCTAAACCATGACAAGCTCAGCGATCCAGTCATCATGGTCAACAGGGCTTTGATCATCGACCGCGAAATAGACGAAGTCACAGCACTTATGCCCACCATCTGGCACTATGAAACCGTTTTCCTCAAAAACCCTTCGAAACATCTCTACGGCGATTCTTACCATGTTTATGCCGATCCATGGATCGCGCAGATGTGGAACAATCTCAGAACCTGCCGGATGTCGCTCTACAAAACCCTACTAAAGAACCTCGCCAGAGGCTGCGAACAATACAATCCGCCCCTGTTCTCACCGGACGAGATCAAACTACGCAAGGAGGCAACCGAAGCAGTCATGCGCGACACTGCAGCAGCAATCATTGCATCAGTACCCCAGATTACAGCCATGATTCCGTTCCCAGACCCCACATCCCCCAAACGAAAGGACCCGGCAACCTTGGACCTAGATAGACAGGAGCTGCAATACACCCTTCACACACCGGGAACCTTCATTCATCGTGCGCAGGCAACGGGCATGATTCACCTCATCTGGCCTCTGTTCGCCGCGGGGCAGTCTGATCTCTCGAGCTACGAAATTCGGCAATGGTGTATAGACATGTTGCTGTACATAGCGCTGCGGATCGGTACGAGGCAAGCTGTTGTGCTAGCAGAAGATTTGAAAGAAATTCAAAGAACTGGATCATGATCAACGACGTGAATGGCTCGAATGCTTCATTGATAGTCTAACACTGACCCGAGATTTGAACGGGTGGATTAGAGCATCAATCCGACGTGAAATGTGAACTAGGTTGTGTGCCTTTGTTGCGGCTAGCAAAATCCATGATCGCACATGATTACATGGCTACATCGAAAGGAGCATCGGAGATGGGTTGGAAAGCGGTCTACGAACGCCCACACTAACACAGGAACGCGGATTCAAGAGCGCCGAATATCTCCACTTCGTCGCGAATAGTATCATACGTCAAAAAGAATGAACGGAGCCTCGCTATAAGAACGTAGTCGATGTATCCGGAAAGCGCTTCCATGACATATAAGATCACGTCGCCGTTATTTTTATATTCGTATCATCCATAGAATTGTCAGCGACCCATGTACAAGTCCTATCTCGAAAATCAGCACACTTCCAGTCCCGTCCAACATATTCCAACATTAAAGATACATGGCACCGGTAAGTCTTTTCCATAATCTACCCTTGCCATTTGTTGCATCAACCCTCACCTATAACACCTCCCATCTCATCTCATCTGACACTAACGCCTCTCTCCGTAGCCAGACAACGCAGTCATTCCTTTTCACGAACTCATCTTCCGCGACATCCGCCTTCGCGGCTCGCTCACCAGCTCATCGTAAAGATGCGCGTCAGATGCTACATATCGTAGGCGAACTCTTTCCACGGCCCAGGGGAAATCGAGGAGTCATTAAGCTAGCGCGCAGTGGCAAAATGAAGGGGAAGGGCATTGTTATCGTGGATCCGGGGCAGATTAGTAAATAGTAGAAGTAGTAAAACTAAGTAGCTGTGGCAGATTAGTGAATGTACCTAACTGGTAATGACTATATAAACTTCCCAACAAGGAAGGAAAAACAAGAGTCGTCGAAGAAGAAGAAGAAAATTGAGTTTAAACTTGGACTACGACTACTGCTACTTCTACTAGCAGTTATGAAATCCTGAGTAAGAAAAGTAAAAGGGTCTAGTCTAAGTAACTAAACTACTAGACGATATATGCATACAATACCTACATACCCCCTTACCCAAACACCCCGTCTTCCTTCCATAGTAGTGAGCCAAGTAATAACTCCATAGACAATACCAAGACGCCGAGCAGAGCAAGTATGATCCGGAACTAATACAGACAGATAGACTACAATAAAAAGGGGTAGAAAGAAGAAGCCAACACAGACGCCCCGCTTAACATGAATCAACGCATCCGTGGCAACGGCGGCAAAGACAACGGATCCCACGCCCTCTCCCTAGACAATTCCATCTCATCATCAACATCCTCATCAGAGCTAGATTCATCCCGTCGATCGAGGGCATCCTCGACATCGAGCATCTCCTCATCGTCATCGTCTGCGCTGTCTTCCGCCGCGATAACAGGTTGAACGAGACTGCTTTCCCCTTTGACAGCCCGACGACTGCCTCGTGGCGCGCCTGCACGGCCATCTTCCCAGCGAGACAGCCTGCGCAATGCGCGGTTGAGCATTTTAGCACGATAGTAGGATTCTTCGCCGTGGTCGTTGACTTCACCGCCAAAGTCGAGGGGCACCAGGCCGGCGGGCATGGGAGGGGGTGTCTTTGTGCCTACTTCAATGTCTTGCTGGTGCATGGTTTGGGCGTGTGTCTCTTCGTCGGTGTCGTAGCCGTCGGGCATGCCCTTGCACCTAATCCAGCTCTGCATGAAGAGGTTGTTCTTTCGGCGGCGCTTGGCTGCGGCTTTGTACTGAATGCGGATGCCGCGGTCGAGGATCACGTCTACGCGGCGGCGACGATACTGCTCGACGGCGAGTTGGTGTTGTGTTAGTGGTCGTGTGCGCTTGTGAGATGGATCGGAGCCATTTAAGGGGAGGTAGAAACCATGCGGGCCATTGAACGTCGGTGCTGATGCTGAGGGGGATTGGCCGTCTTGGGACGCGGTGGCGTCGAGTTTGGACTTGAAGTTGCGAGCTGCTGTGCCGCCGGCTGTGGAGGTACGATTACGCGACCAGTTGCCGCGGCCAGGGCCTTTAGGAGCGGGTGTCGAGGCTAGACCGTCTTCATTGAGGAGCGTGTTGATGCGCATGTTTGGTGTGGACTTCTTGCCGGTGTTGTAGACGCTGACTGGGGGGGATACAGAACGGGTGCGATCCGTATCTGAAGGGTAGTCGCGTTCTATGATGGACTTTGCCAGCTTGCCACGTCCTCGTGCAGATCCTATTCTTCTTAGTTTCCCCCTTTAGGCCGAGTAGGATTCAAGCTTACCATGAGATGGCGACTGGCGATCTCTTCCAGGCGTCGAAGCGCCATCATCCGCTAGTACTGAGAAAACTGGATTTTGGTTGAAACCTGTAGAAGGGTCAGACTGGCTCGGAGATGACATGAGAAGCGTCGAGGCTCGTTCGTTCGAAAGGGTCGAAAGGGGTCATGCAATGAAAAGAATGCTGTCAACGTTCCAGCATGAAGCAAAGCAAAACTCGACTCACCCTTCTTGTTCGTGCGCTTCGGACCTGTAACAATAGGCGCCATATCACTTGCCAGTATAGCAATCCTCTCCTTGCGCTTGATCTCGCCAAAATTCTTCTCTTCAAGCGTATCGACATTCTCCAGGACCTCCTGCTCCGGGTTCAAGAACTCAAAGGGAGGGCACTTGATAGGGAACTCGGCCGTTGCAGGATCATCAGCAGGCCCAAGCTGTCCCGGGCCAAAGGGGTTGCTCTCAGCAGCCTCCTTGGAGAAGTCGCTCTCGAGGTACCACCACATCAGCCACAGGAAGGCTGTTGCTCGGCTCCTGCTGCTCAGGTTGGACCGCATGACGAGGTCGAAGAAGTCGCGTGGTGGGAGAAAGTGTAGTTCTGAGATCTTGGGCGCGTACTGCGACAGGACGAAGATGAGGTTGACAGGGTTCGTGCGGGGGATCGAGGCTGCCATGATCTCTTCGACGGTGCTGGGCTGCTCAGAATCCTCGGTTGCTCCCTTCAGTATCGACTTGAGTCGGGGCGCATCCTGCAGCTGCTTGTATGCGTTGGGGTCTTGGTGGGCTTGGAGGGAGGGGATCGAGTGGTAGGTTCGCAGTTGGGCGCGCATTTCGGGGAAGACTGCAGCAAGTCAGTAGGGCCCAGTATACAGATGCATCATTGTCATTATCCTCACAGTTGAGCGTAGTGTTCATGCGCCCTACGTTGACGAGCAGACACACCATGGCCATGTTGATAGCAGCCGGGCGCTCCGTCAACAGCTTGTCCTTGAGGATCTTGCTGCACTTGCTGCTCTTGGCCATGGCATCGAGGTAGATGTCGGCAAAAGTATGCCCGCCCGAGGAATCCGACTGCTTGGTGAAGACGCGCTGGTCATCCTCGAAGACAAGCTTCAGGAAGTCGTACTGGATGTCCTTGCGCCATAGCGGGATGCCGTCGTCCTTCTTGAGATGCTTAATCTTGTTTCCACTGTAGACAGACGACACGCTGCCATTTGCGTTGCGGCGGGTAGTTGTCGTCGTAGCTGTGTAGTAGGGCTTCGCCGCGTCGCCGTCTGCCGCTGGCTTGGAGCCATCTTGCGCATCTGTTGCAGCCTCGCTGTCTTCGGGCGCAGGTGTATTGGCCAGCGAAGGCGAGGGCTTGGAGTCGTCCATGGGCGGATCTGCTGCGAGAATGTGTCGCAAGCTGTTTCGAGAGTCGGGCTCTTCGGTGCGAGAGGCCGGTGTGTCGTCCATGGAGGACATGTCGCACGCAATTTGGCCGGTGTTATGTTGCCTCAAGCTTGGTTGGTCTAGTCACGGCAATCCGAGGGTCATGGGTATCGAGAAGCTTCAATGGTACCGTAGGTGCAGGCGAGCCAAGCTGACGCTAACCAGACATCCCTTGAATAAGCTGAGCCATTCGCAACCATCCATCACCAACCGTCCGGGAAGGAACAACTAGTCTCCGATGAGGTTCTAGAGCCATGATACCACGAGATATTGTAATTGATATTATAATTTGAATACATGATTGAAATTCCGAAAAATGGAATGCTGGAACGATCCTATGATGTCATGAGGCTCCTACTATCAGGCTAGATTACGACAGTACGCCAACCTGTGGATATCACGGGCGCATCACATTGACAGTAAATGCGAATAGTGCAAGTATCAAATCGTGCATTGAACGCACAGGCTGCGCATCACAGCCCATGCTAGTCTATCTAACGAATCATCGCTCGAAACTGTGCTTTTATAAGACTCCCTTTGCCCAAGTCATGGCATTCGCATCTTGGCATGCGTGTACATGCAAACCAAAACTAGCTGTAGGCCCACCGCCGAGCTGGCCTAAAAGACAGCCCATGATGGTTACCATAAAGAACCGGGGTATTTCCGTCGCGAAGCCATCCTCATCAATAGAGAAAGGCAGTAGGTAACCTTCATGAACGCCGTCTATGTGCGAGCATCACCCAGCAAACCTTTCGTCCGTCGTCCCAAAATAGTCGCGCTCCCCTCCGCGTGTGGAGAGACCAGAGACAGAACGACGGCGAAAAAGACGTTGTCGCCGAGGATAGTGTATATGACCAGGGAAAAGGAATCGCTTTTGTAGTAAAATAGGAAATGTGCCGAAATGAGGTCGTCCGCATGTGGAAGACCCGGAACGCGAGATCTATGGCTCCCCAAGCAGCATGCTTAGCAAAGAGCGAAGACATAAAATGTTCGTAATGCATGCCTTCCATGGAAAGGCGGGTGGTTCTGCCGTCTATGCTCGAGCTCGACAAAAAATGCGTCGAAAGGGTATCCTGTGCAAGTAGAGCTCGAAAATAGGCAGATCCGCAAAAAACAGTCGCTGTCTATATGCTGGTTGGGGTATGAGATTCCGGAATTCCGTTGTGATCCGCAGTAACCGGAAAGAATTCGTAGAACGTCCGAAAAAGTGAAAGAAATGGAAAGTAAGCCGTCGATGTAGCGACACGACGTCCCAGGAGATCGCTGAGGAAGAATTCGGGTCCTGGGCTGGCGGTTATCGTGAAGCGCGGAGGATCTCAGGTCAATTTACCACCAAGAGCTGCCACCTGGGCCAGATGGATTGCCGTAGCCTCCACCATAGTTGCCACCACCGCCACCGCCGCCGCCGCCGTAGCCGCCAGCTGCTGGAGGTGCATAACCGCCAGCAGCGGGAGCACCACCGTAGCCACCACCGTAACCGCCCTGAGGAGCACCTCCCCAGTTGCCTCCGCCAAAGCCGCCACCTCCACCAGCTCCACCGCCCATGCGACGAACGTCACGGGTAGCAGCCCCGCCACGGCCACGACCTCCACCGCGACCACCACGGCCACCGCCGCCACCGAAGCCAGAACCCTCACGAGCAATCGACTCGAGGAAAGCGGGAACCTCCTGGTTTGCCTCCTTCAATAGATCAAGAAGGTCGCGAACGACACCGCGATTGCCACGGTTGAAGAATGCAGTAGCGATTCCAGTATTTCCAGCACGTCCGGTACGACCAATACGGTGTACATAATCGTCAATGTCGGTAGGAAGATCGTAGTTGACTACGTGAGTCACATTAGGAATATCCAATCCACCTAGGTACAATGGTTAGTTCTGTAGCGTTTGATTCGTGGTGGAATTTTAAAATCTTGAAATGTTGAAAATTTTTGGGGGGGAAGGGAGGAAAACAGGAGGAAAACGAGGAGAACGAGGAAGAACAGGAGGAAGACGAGGAAGAGGAAGGAGACGAGGAGGAAGACGAGGATGAAGAAGACGAGGACGAGGAGGACGAGGAGGAAGACGAGGAGGAAACCAGGAGGAAAACGGGCAGGGACTTACGGGCGGCGACGGCGGTGGCCACGAGGATGGGGCAACGGCCGTTACGGAACATCTCAAGAGCCTTTTCACGCTCGCGCTGGGTGCGGTCACCGTGGATGGAGGTAGCCGGGAAGCCCTGGTTGATAAGGAAGTCGGACAAGGAATCGGCCATGCGCTTCGTCTCGACGAAGATGAGCGAGAGACCAGCTCCGTGAGTGTGAAGGATATCAAGAAGAACAGAGCGCTTGTCGGCATCCTCAACGTACTCGATCTTTTGAGTAATGTTCTCCGAGGTGGAACCGACACGACCGACAGAAAGGAAGATGTACTCCTTCAAGAAGTCACGGGCGAGCATCTGGATGTCGCGGGGGAAAGTGGCTGAAAACATGAGTGTCTGGCGAGCAGCTGTGGGGGGCATATCCTCGCCCTCGACAATGCGGCGAATCTGGGGCTCGAAACCCATGTCCAACATGCGATCGGCCTCGTCAAGAACAAGGTACTTGATGCTCGCAAGCGAAATGCGGCCACGCTCAATCAGATCGACCAGGCGACCGGGAGTGGCAACGAGGAGATCGCAACCACGCTCAATCTGGCGAAGCTGAGAGCCAATATCGGCACCACCGTAGACAACACAGGGGCGGACCCATGAGCGGTAGGCAAACTTGCGGGACTCCTCGAAGATCTGCGAGACCAACTCACGCGTAGGGGCGAGTACGAGGGATGTGGGGTACGCTTTGCGCTGGCGACCGTAGCCTCCAGCTTGTGCCTGGGGGGGAGCGGCAGGGCCGTGGACGAAGGCCTGGGCGAGAATGGGGAAGAGAAAACCACCAGTCTTGCCGGAACCAGTCTGGGCACAAGCCATCAAGTCACGACCACCCATGACGATGGGGATCGAGTATTTCTGGACGGGTGTGGGAACCTTGTATCCGGAGAGCTCGATGTTGCTCAGCAGATGGTCGTCAAGGGGCGGGTTCGTGAAGCGTGTGACGGGCTCGGGGACGCCCTGGCCGGAAGCCTCAACGGGGATATCGTCGTACTTCTCGAAGTTGATACCGGTCTGCTGCTTGGAGGGGTCGTTTGGTACACCGAAGAGATCACGCTCGAGACGAGCGTTGGCTGGGCCGGGGACGTGCTTGCCATCTTTCCACTGACCATCGCCAGATCCGCGAGTAGAGCCGCCCGAACCGCCACCGCCGGGCTTGCCATATGCGTTGGCGTCAAACCTGCCCTGGGGAGCGCCTCCCCATCCACCGCCGCCTTGGGGACCGTCGCGACCACGAGGAGTGAAGTTGGGTGCGTTGGCATTGGCCCAGTTGCCGCCGCCGCCGTTCATCTGTTGGGGAGGGGGGCCTCCATAGCTGTCAGGAGTTAGTATGCCATCGTGTGTCATGTCAGGGGCGTTAACTGACCCTCCTGGTGCTGGGCCCCATGCGGAGCCACCGATGCCAGGACCGCCACCGTTCATCGCGGGTGGAGGACCGTCCATAGGCGCAGGGCCTGGGCCCCCAGCGGGCTGGGGGCGACCTCGTAGGTGGGGGGGAATGTAGGCAGAGCGCTCGCCGTTGAAGCCGTTGGGAGCGTGCTGGGAGTCGTTCAGGTTGAGACGACCCATGTCGAGTTGTTCAGCCATATTGAAGGAGCTGAGTATTGAAGCTGAAAGGTGTGTTTGGTGTTGCTCGTCAAGTATCGTGCGGTAAATTGCAGAATACAAAGTATATGTGTTTCCGGCTGGCTCGGCGGTGAGCAACAGAGGAAAAGCGTGGGGTCTAAGTGACGAAACTCGTAACTTGCAGGCAGAAACGCGCCTGAGACTCGTGTGACAGGAAAGAAGGGAACGCCTCTGTCCTGGAAACGAGAAGTAAAAGAGCGTGAAGGCCAAAAGAAGGGCTTCACAGAGACTGTGCTGGTAGAACTGTGTAGGATACACTAGATAAGGGTTTGGTGGGTGGGTGTTGGTAGGAGGAGGACGGCGGGACAAAAAAAATGCCAAAGCCCTTAACGCTAGGCTTAGCGGCTTGGCGCAGTGTTCCAACACTTCATCCTGTGGCGAGTCGGTGAAGATGGGCGGTGAAAGCGACGACATTATCGTCATCGCTCGCCGCTGCATGTCACTGGTCCGTCGTCATCTTTCTGTAGACGAGTGCATATGGTGGCGAGTATCGCTTGCGTTCCTTCTGGACGTTTCTGCCGAGCAGATGCCCATGGCCAGAACCGCACAACGATAAGCACATGTAGCAAACCACTCAGACATGCTGCATTGGATTGCGACGGACTTGGCAATTTACAGTCACTTTACCATCTTCAACTAAGCTGGCACTCCGCGTGAACATGTTCTCATTTCTCGTTATTCTAGGCCATGCTCTTCTCCTTGAAGCTACCCGTCGTCGCCGTATTGCTTTTACCGCCCCTTGAACGCAGAAACAGAGCGCAGACAGCAACGATACCACCAAGAAACATGAGCTTTTGTCCCACAGACAAGCCCTCGGTGGGGGAAGAAGCGGCCAGACCCGGGATCTTGGACTTGGGCGACTCTCCCTTTGCGGCCGGAATGTGAGCGACTTCGCTACCCTTTGCGGACTGAGACGAAGCAGTAGCAGTAATGTCGAGATTGTCGCCGGCATGCATGGGTTCCGCTACGCCGTATGTATCTTGAAGACAAAGTAAACTATCAGCAACTCTCCACCTGATACCAGTGCGATGCGCACCAGCTTAGAGTTCCGCGTGAATACCTTCCTCTGGCACCTCGAGCTCTCCGCTCTTGGCGATCTTGATCGTCTTGACTGGCTTGTCACCAGCACCCTTGGGCACGTTCTCGATCTTGTCTACGATCTCGTATCCCTCGAGCACCTCGCCGAAGACGACGTGGCGCCCGTCGAGCCAGCTGGTGATGACGGTGGTGATGAAGAACTGAGATCCGTTGGTATCCTTTCCGCTGTTGGCCATGCTGAGGAGGCCCTTGCGGGTGTGCTTGAGCTTGAAGTTCTCGTCGGGGAACTTGGCGCCGTAGATGGATTTGCCGCCAGTTCCGTCGCCCTTTGTGAAGTCACCTGAAGTAGAAGTGTCAGTAAGATTTCGTAGCCTATGTTATGGGTATCCTTACCTCCTTGGATCATGAACTGCTTGATCACACGGTGGAAGGTAGAGCCCTCGTATCCGAAACCCTTCTCGCCAGTAGCAAGAGCACTATATTCATGTAAGTTCAAGTCTACCATCATTCTACATGTGCGGGGCCACCTACCGGAAGTTCTCAGCGGTCTTGGGCACAGTCTTGCCATACAGACCGATGACAATGCGACCGAGCTCCTCATCGCCATGGGTAATGTCAAAGTACACCTATCGACACAATCAGCATCGACATCTCCTCTTCCTCCAGACGTATACACATACCTTGTGCGTGATCTTAGGGCCCTTGGTTGCCTCGGACGTCTGCGCAAAGAAGACAAAAGCAACCGAGAGGATGAGCAAGAAAGAGATGACGATTCTCTGGATGGAAACCATGATGTCTGGCCGTGATTCTCGTCAACGGGAATGCGATATGGGGGGTTTAGAGGGAAGAGTTGAGCCCCTGGGGAGGTTCAATGGGCGGCGGAGTAGCTGGCTAGCTTGCTGTTGAAACGTGGTGTTCTGGTGCTAGCTTGCCCCGTCGCACCCTCTATTGCCGCTGCACACCGCCTGCCGGATAGAGTCTGGCGTGAGTTCATAGATCCTCACGGTTCCAGATACACCGGTTGACTTCAACATCGCGACGTTAATTGCGAGAGAGCGCGTAACACAATGGTACACTCCCATCCATCCAATCTAGTCCAGGGCCTCCAATTGAAAAAACACCCATGCTAACTTCCAACTCCAGGTGTTCATCAACGGCTTCAGCTTCACAGAAGCCACGCTCGTCAAGCGCTCTCTCGAGTCCTTCTTCGGCATCGGCCCCAAGGTCTCGCAATCCATCATGTCGAAATTCTACATCCACCCCTGGGCCAAAGTCGGCAGCCTGAAGAACGCAACCGTCATGGACCTGACGGCCGAGCTGGCGAATATGAAGATTGAAAACGACCTGCGGCGACAGGTGCAGGATGATATACGCAGGTTGAGGGACATGGGCACGTATCGCGGACGTAGGCATGCTATGGGTTTGCCGGTCAGGGGACAGAGGACGAGGACACAGGTTAGTTTTAATTGGGGACGGTGGTATTGGTGTTGGTGGTGGTGGTGGTTGGATGGGTGCTAACTGTGAAATAGATTGCGACTGCGAGACGGTTGAACAAGATAGAACGAGGGGGTTCGGGGCGGGTGTCGATGTAGGGGGGTGGGTGGAATGGACGTGTATCATATTGTATAGCGGGGGTTTAGCATGGGACGGCGTCTACGACACAATAGAGGAATCTCAAGCATTGCAGTGTCAAGTATCACTTTCACTATGCGATTTATCGCTCAAATACTTTGACTTGGTGGGCTGCTGGGCTTTAATTTTCTCGGCGACTTTATAGATCTGGGTTTGGGTGGTGGCATAGTACGAATGTATGCTACTCTTAATGTCGAGTTGGGACACAGCTAAGTTAGACCTACAAGCTACCGAATCCCCCCTCGGTTATGGATCACGATCTCATATCCACTGAGCTGATGGAGCGCGGGGTTCATCACATCACAAATATCGTTAGAGTCTACTAATCCAGCACTCACTCCAAACACACTCTACACGCAAACAAGCATAATTGGCAAACACTACCACAAGTATCCCCACATCTCTATTTGGAAGCAAACATGAGATATTTGAAATATTCAAGTCATGTCCAGCAGTGTTTGAGCGATATAAAGGGTGGGTATCATTGACAATGCGGGTCTTAGGCCGCGGTGGATATAGCCCAGGCCCCGCTGGCAGACTGGACGTGTTCGTTTCAAAGTAGGATTCGGAAGAGGATGTTCCCTTGCAACCGAGAGTGGTGCAATTGAAACGTGTCTGTCAGTCAGTCTGTCCCTGGTGATGTCGGGTATTTTGTCTGCGGGTGTATAATTAGAATGTTGACGCAACTCACTCGTCGCGAGGCGGAAACAGTGGTCCCGGTGATGTGCACTTGGAGTATCTGCAGTGTAGTAGACTAGAGCGTTGGCGAGAAGACTTGTGAGTTCGAGAATAGAGTATGAGAGAAATGGGCTGCGATGTACTTGGGAAGGATATGTGTTATCAGGTCGTACTCATCTCCACGGACGATGCCTCGGTAGTACAGGGTTAAAGGCGAAGAGAGTGTTCTCGTGGTCATTTCCCCTGATGCAGCCCTGCCATGTTGCCATATGCAGCGGGTCGGGTGCAGCTCGCGAGCGCATGCTGTCGACCTTAGGTGCCGGTGATATAGTGTTGATGAAGCTGTTGGTGGTATCAAGGACAGAAGCAGGAACCGTGACTCCAATGCTGCCACGCAGCAGTCTAGATAGATGAAGTCAACTTTACCATCAAAAATCAATGCAGAGTCTCTAGACTACTAGATCAATGCAGCGTTATCGAGTCTAGACTACGAGATTCGTGCAGAGAGTGAGTTCCGTCGTCACGGTAAGCGCGCAGAATGCTGTAGCACCCGGTGGCGGCCCCGTATTCGGATTCGCGTCACGACGGCAGTGTGTTTCAGAATCCACCACCTACGCCTGTCCCTACTGCTTTCAGAGCCCATGTCAGGGCAAGTCGTACGATGTGCGTTCGCTGGAGGCAGCATGTGTTTCCAAATTGCCATAGCAAATCAGCCGTCAGTGCCATCGCTATGTGCTTGCGTGTGACCAGCGTGCAGACGGCTAATATCGATACACCTACCCTCATAGCACTTCAGCGAGTCGAGCCCATGAGGTGTGGGTCAATAGGTCGGTGATGAAGCCACAGAGGAGCACCAATCAGAAGGACAAAGACACCCGTTGGCGCTGTCCATGTGAGAGTCGGCCGGCCAGGTACCGCTCGCTAGCTGGGTCTGAGGAATGATGGAGCACATGTTGAAGGTAGGTATCAGACCTAGCTGGGCGCGTAATACAGAGTGAATCATTCCCCACTAAATTAATCGAGCACTCACTTGCTCGTGGTCCGCTCTCCCCCAATTCCCTTTCTGTTTCGGCTGCACTTTCTGAGCGAGGGCTGCCCACAAGTCTGCTGTGTGTGGTGTGTGTGCTGAGCATGCAATTCACCCGCTGATCCCTCCCCACTAATTCCTCACCTCACTCTAGCTACTAGCTAGAGCCAAAAGTAGCCATGCTTCAGGAAAGCAGAGCGCAGGCGGCATCTCTCCTCGAGTCCCCCTTCCGCCCCTTGGCATCGCACGACGTCGTGCTGGGGCATCGCAAAGCAGTCCCAAGTCCTCTGCCTCCATCTGGCACCACTCGAGTCGCATACCACGAAGAGCCTCGCTCGCCGCGCGAGAAGCTCGACGCACTCCTAGCAGAGGAAGAACACCATCATCGTCCGCCGCCCACGCCGCCCAACTTCGCCGCCTCCGCCAGTGCCTTCACCCAGCCGACACGGCCGTCTGCGTATGCTGCCCAGCTACGGCACACTTCGTCGCCCACCCTGTCGTCGTCGGCTGGCCGCCTCTCCCCGCCAGCCTCGCCCGTCGCCATGCCTCCCCCCTCGCGGCCCCACCGTCCAGAGACGCGACCCGCGGCGCCTGTCCGCAACGCCTCGATAGACTCGGCAGCTTCGTCGCTGTCGTCGAGTGCCTCGCAGCACCGCGCCCCGGCTGGCCATGCCTACAGGCCCTCGCAAGACACCAGCACCGCCAACCCCCCCGACATGGACCGTCTCATAGCAGCTGCAGGCTCTCCAGAGGCTGCTCTACTAGCGCTATGGAAGGAGAAGCAGAGCACGGCCAGTCACAACGCACAGCTCTGGCGCCTGGTCGAGAAGCAGCGCTCCATGATCATCGGCCTGCAAAAGGACCTCGAGCGCGCCCTCAAAGACAAGGACCGTTACCGCAAGAAAGTAAAGGACTTCGCCGACCAGGTGCCACCAGTGCCTGGTGCACTGCACACGTCCGACACCTTCACCTCTGTTGTGGAACGCGATTCCAGCCAGTCTCCGGCCCTCAGCGAGAGACCTGAGGAACACGCCAAGGGCACCGACCCCAGGTCCACCGAGCACAAGTCCTCTCCGCTGACACAAGAGCACCATGCACCGCATTTGATACCAGACTCACAGCTGCAACAGTCGCCCTCGCATTCCTCAGACGCCTACACTGCATCGAACCCTGCGTCCGCATCGAGTTTCAATTCTCCAACAGACTATTCTGTCCAGCCCCTTCACATTGGCGGCAGAGGGCTCGGTCTTGACACTACGTTGCTAGAGAACGGCCGCGCTGCGCAGACCCCAGAGAAGCCAGACACCCCAGCACAACGACCATCTGGTACCACGCCGGCATCTAGCGAAGCGCAACTCCAGCCCCCACAAATCTCCCTCATACAAGCAACCCCTGTCATTGGCGGAGAGGGATTCGAATCACCACCACGGAAGCCAGTGCAACCACTGCGGAAAGCCCCGCCCACGCCCCTCAATCTCTCCAAGCCCGTCACGACCAGTGCCCATCTTCACCAGGCTGTCCATGGGAACGACGAGGATTCGGATTACGATGACACTCTGGAGGTCGATGAGATACCCATCGTGGAGCAGCGGGGCAGGAGAAAGACCCGTGAAGAAGATGACCGTGTCCGCGAGGCCATGTATTCAGTGGACGAGGCCCCTCGAAGCAAGTCCAAGAAGAAGAAGAGCGAAAGCAAGAGCAAGCAAACCACACCCTCTGCCGAAGCGCCGGTAAACGAGGAAGCTGCAGCAGTCCCCCTGTCGCCACGCTTATTCAATCCTCTGCAGGCCGGGCTACCACTTTCTCCCCGCCATCCGCCAGCGAGCTCACTAAATGCCCTGCTCAGTCCAACAAACTCAGACAGTTCAATGGTGGTCAACCGGAGCGTAGCATCCATCGCATCGCCTCTGATGAGTCCCGGTCTTCCCTCCAGTCCGCGCCCTGGGGATCGACCATTGAGGTCGCCGTTGCCAAGGCACCCAAAACAAACGATAGCATCCCCGCCCTTGTCGCCGAGTGCCATAGTTCATCCACCGCGCACGTTTCAACAACCGGTCCCATTACTGCCCAACACACCTCAGTCGGACCAGTCAACTCCAGCTGCACAGACTCAGAGGGTTGCCCAACCCAGCGGCAATCCGTCATCAAATCTTCTAGCGGTGCCCAACGCGCAACCCAGTCCAGACTCTGACTCGAGCACCTTGTACGAGGCTTCCGATGCAGAGCATGTTTATCGGGGCCTTGTCTCCGACCAGTATCCCGGACTTTTGCTTCCTCCCAATGCGCTGCCTTCTATCGAGGTAAAGGTCTTTTCGTCTCGTCTTCGTCCGTCTCGCCTGAGCTTCCTAGCCCCAAGACCACAAGAAGAAGACCCGGTTTTTATTCTTGCAGTCTATGCCCGCTCGGACAATAAGCAGTTATGGCGTGTTGAAAAGACCATTGCTACGCTGCCTACCCTTGACTCTCAGCTCCGATCGTTGTGCGACTTCCAAGGCAGACTGCCTGACCGAGCCCTGTTTGGTGGCCATGCGCCTGCTAAAATAGACGCTCGAAGAGTTGCGCTCAATCAGTACTTCGACACTATCTTGGAAACACCCATGACCGAAAAGACCGCCTTGATCGTCTGCGACTATCTCTCCATGGACGTGATTGGTGCACAAGCTGGCGATCGGCTAGCCCCAGAGCCCGCCGCGGGCCCAGTTGTGGCTGCACCAAAGACTCGGCAGCGGAAAGAGGGCTATCTCACCAAACGCGGCAAGAACTTTGGTGGCTGGAAGGCTCGCTTCTTTGTCCTTGACGGCCCTGAGTTCAGATACTACGAGTCAGAAGGCGGTGCGCACCTGGGAACCATCAAGCTGCAAAGTGCTCAGATCGGCAAACAGTCACAGCAGCAGTCTAATCAGTCACCGCAGCGACGTGACGATTCAGAAGACAACCAGTACCGTCATGCTTTTCTGATTCTAGAACCGAAACGAAAGGATTCAACCAGTTTGGTGCGCCACGTGCTTTGCGCAGAGAACGACGAGGAGCGAGATGCCTGGGTCGAGGCGCTCCTGCAACACGTGGACTACCCAGAGGATCCCTCACCTATGGAGGTTCCAGCCCCTACTACGGCGCGTCTACAGAAGCAGCAACCTAGTCAAGACTCAGCTCGTTCCCAGAGGAAAGAAAGCCCAGATCTAGAGAGGCCAGATCGACTACAGGGTCTCAGCTACGACGATACGGTAGCAGCAGAAGCTCCTATGCGCGGTCCAAATCATCGAGATGGTATGGCAGCCAAACCATCGCGAGGGTCCCCAAAGATGTCATCGTTCTCTCAAGACAATCTCGGTCACTATCCCTCCATCTCCGGTCCGAGCAACGGAACCCCGATCAAGGATGTAGGGAACTGGGGTAACAAGTTAACGCCCGGACCAACAGCTATCAAAGATAAGAAGCGCAGTATCTTTGGCTTCAGGGCCCGCGGCTCGTCAGACCTTGCACCTATCCAAATAGGCAACCCGCTACAAACGGCCGTGGAACAGCGGACGATGCCGGCGAACCGCAGCATCTTTGGTATCCCTCTTCAAGAAGCTGTTGAATTCACTCAACCTGCAGGCGTCACCGTCGAGCTACCAGCTGTGGTCTACCGATGCTTGGAGTACCTCAGAGAAAAACAAGCGACGAGTGAAGAAGGCATCTTTAGGCTTAGTGGGTCGAACATCGTCATCAAAGGCTTGCGTGATCGATTCAACACGGAGGGCGACATTAGGCTTCTAGAGGGGCAGTATTACGACGTCCATGCTGTTGCTTCGCTCTTGAAGTTGTATCTGCGAGAGCTTCCCGCATCGATCCTAACCCGAGAACTGCATTTGGACTTTCTCAAGGTTCTCGGTAAGAATCCCTACCCTTGCATCTAAAACGATTACACTACTAACATTATCTAGATATGGATGAGCGTGGCAAGAAGATTCAGACGTTCAACGTCCTTGTGCATAAGCTACCTACGGTCAATTTCGAACTACTCCGCCACCTCTCTTCATTCTTGATTGAGATTGTCGAAAACTCTGGAGTGAACAAGATGACTGTCCGAAATGTCGGCATTGTCTTTGCTCCCACTCTGAACATTCCCGCCCCACTGATATCCTTCTTCCTCACAGACTACGCGGACATTTTCGGCACCGCACTCGACGAAGCAAGCTCTCCGATCCACGAAATTCGGAATAATGCATCCAATCTAGGAGATGATGCCATTCGATCCCCTCGACGGCAGATGTTCTCTGATCTTCCTACGCCTGCGTACAACGAGACCACCTTTCAGCAACGTTTTGACCGGCAACCACCAAATTTCCAAGCAAGCGCTACTCCAAGCTACCCACCGCCACAACCTCCACAGCAACAACAACAGCAGCAGCAACAAGCTCAATACAGCGGCTACGAGTCCGGCTTTATTCCTATTCGCCCCATTTACGAAACCCCGGCTTATGAGCAACCATATCAAGGAGAAGGATATGGTAGTCTTAACGGTGCTATTCAAACCGGTACCGCCAGAGAACAACGCCAGCGACGACGAGAGTCGGGCATGCTTCTGATGAACATGGGCATGGGCGCTCCGCGAAAGGGCTCAAACGGCTCCAACCCCCCGGCGAACCCTCGCATGGAACCGCGCGCGACCAATCTAATGGTGCAAGAAGAGACTGCCTTTGACTAGGCTAGATTTCTCACCAAATCAAATCCAACGGCACATTTTTCTCCCTAATGTTTGAATTCTTAATTCATGGCCCTAGGACTGGATCCATGGGCCGAGCCTCGTTACCAACTCGACATTTTTCTCCCCCCCTGTATAAAGTTAATTAGGGCGGGCTGGTGGGCGGCCGCTGTTTTGTGTGCCGCTCCCCACCTTCCGGCGTTCGGTTTTAGCGAGTTTTGATCCATCATCCAGCGAGCGAACTGCGTACTAGGCTCCCTTTTCTTTTCCCGGGCCACGTTATTTTGCTTTACCCTTCGCATACCCGCCTGCCCCTCGCAGGCACGTTTTATTGTTTTGGTTTTTTGGCAATCTAGGCTTGCCTTTTGGTTTTAGAGCGATGCGAACCCTATTTCTTCGACTTGTCTTTTATTGCTTTTGCGCTGTGCAGTTGAGATATCCTCATCTCTTTTGCCTTGCTTGGCTTGCTGTTGGGACAGGTTATGGCGTTGTTAAGCGATTGGGCCGCTTCTCGACGTGTCTTCGTTGGATATGAGGGACGGATGAATGGGTGGACTGACTTGGATTGAGATCTGGATATGTCTTGCTTACTGCTCTACTCGGGATGGAGATGTGGAGATTGAATATTTGGACACATTGGAAGGATGGATGGATGGGTCATGGACAAGGATGCGGATCGCTCGAACGTGCCCATTGGCAAATGGATGGATAGGCAGGCATGCGGACTATGAACGAATAAAACCGTCTTTCAACATTTGATCTGTCTTTGGATTAATCTTTGTACTCTGAGTGCTTGTGCGAGTGGTCGTGGTGTTTGCAAGTTGTAACGATGGGGAGTTACAGTAACAACAATACAGAATAGGATAGGATAGGATAGGATTATTCTATTTTATTCTACTTGCACGATTTGGAAGAGCTATGGTTGTAAAGACGGCGAGAACGAGGGGAAGAGAGATTCAGTTATCCACATGGAAATAGAAATAATCACAATTGTATTACTTGCTCGTCAAGGTATCGGAAAAAATAAACTTGATGTCCAACGTGCTTACTGGACCCCATCCTCAAGACATCCCTACTTCTCCCCCCGCCCCGCGAAATAATTCCCCTGCAGGCCTCCAGACAAAATAGGCGGACAGGCACTACCTTCATCCGCCTTCTTCTTGAGCGGCGGCTCCTTCCGCACAAAGCACTCGCCAACATGATGTCCATCCTCGCACGCAACGACCCACTTCCCCATGCCCAATTCCTCAGGCGCGCGCCGCACGCCCCGGCCTCCACCCCCGACAATCAAGTTACCGGGTCGGTAGCTGGGGTCGGCGAGCATGCGCTTGATGACGGAGCAGTGGACCGTGGCCGAGGTGGGCATGTCGCGCGTCTCGCCTTTGGGCAGCGGCCAGGTGATGGCTTTCCAGGTCCCGTCTTCTTGCAGGTCCATGCGGCGGAAGGGGAGGTACTCCATGATGTTCCAGCTTATCACGCTGGTGCTGGGCGCGCCGTTGTTGAACTGCAGGACGTCGTGGATGCGGCCTTTTGTCGCTGCGTTGTGGAGGTGCTTGTGGAACGGCGTGTTGGGGTGGGTGCGGTGGTGCTCGGCGAAGTTGTCTTCGTCGACCCAGGTGGTGGTTGGTGTCGACGTTGTTGTGTTACTCGAGAGGGCGCCGCGGGTTGTACCATTTGTCGTTGTTGTGCCGTGACTGTGCGGCTCTGTGCCATCTGAGACTGGTGGCGGTGAGACGGGGTCGATCTCGATAGTTGGTACGACGGTTGGGCGGCGAGGGTCAGCTGTGCCCTGTACGTCCTCGTGACAGCAGTGCAAGGCTTCTAGCTTGTCTTCGTCGAATTCGAGGCCTGCTTTCTGCGCTTCTCGCACCATCCACACTAGGGGGACGTGGCTCAGCGCTGCATCGTCGCCAGCGAGGGGCCAGCCACCGCCAATGTCCTACGGTTGTTAGTCTTGCTTTGATCTTAAGATGGATGAGGATTACTCACAGCGTGACAGCCCGGGAACCAAACCTCCCGTATGTCTTGTTCCCCGTCGTCCTCGTCTGAATTCCACGTCTGCATAGGATCCAGCGATATCACCGAGGGTGTAGCAGAACCAGGTCCGGTGCTTTCACATTGCGAGTAACCAGGACTCATGCTGCGCACTCCAGACGTATCGTGCGGGTTTCTGAACCGCTCGGGTGGGGCTAAGGTATCGCGACGGCCTCTATTTTCTTCTTCTCCTCGCTTCTCGTTCGCTCTATCCGTACCTTGTCCATGAAACATGTCATTGACATGCTTATGCTTATGATGACGTTTGTAGTACATTGACTTATCCGGTTTCGCCTGACTAATGAGATCTTGTCGAAACTTTGCACGGCGCTCATCGATGGCAACAGCATGCCGGATTACCCGAGCACTACTCCGGGCAGTGTACGGGAACTTACTGCGCTGCATCCAGGCATTTTCAAAATGCGGTACGCTGTTGACTGTGTCGAATAGGCCAAGGAAGCGAATGGGGCGGACTGGACGACTGAATGTTTCTCTGAAGGCGCACATGAACTCTAGGAGCTTCTTCTTGTCCGACTTTTCTCCTGATTTGTGGTCGGTATCTTTGCCTTCGGGCAGTCGACATTGCCACTTCTGGAACGTCCTGGTGAGGTGTTTTAGTCGGGTCAATTCAGGTTTGCAGTTGTTGGACTTACTTCCACGCAAATTGGCACATCTCTTCGTTTCCGGCCTGACTTGACGTTAGGTCAATCGCTAAGCTACCTGGTGGGTACACTTACCGATAGGAGGCCGACATGATCCAACATCTCAGCAAGAAAACGCGCAGTATAGGCGCCTCTTGAGAAGCCGAAGAAGTATATGTCGTCTCCGGGTGTGTAATACCGCATCAAAAACTAGAAACAGATATGAGCAGATGATGGCAGTCAACGGTGAAGCTTAATCAATGAGATTTGCCATCACTTGGAGCACTGATGTGTTCTTTCTTGTATTAGACATGTTGGAGCTTACCCTGTATCCTGCCATGACATGCATATCGAACGAAGTCCCTGTATGGTGTCAGTTCGGATACAACACCAGAGTTACTAGTAAGCCTACCAATAGCGCTGTCCTTCGCCTTCGCATACCAGCTCTTGAATCTCTCGACCCGGCTCGTCCGCGTTATCGAGCCTTCAGCCTTTGTAACATAGGTTCCAATGCCGGGCTGGTAGTAATGAAACTGATCGTCCCCATTGCGGTCAAGCATGCGATAGATCTTAAGAATATTGGAGTCTGCATCAGTGCCAGAGAACTTGTTGCCGGTGCCATCAAAGCAAAGGACAAACTTCTTGCGCATATACATTCGCCCTGGTGCAGGCGCCGCATACTCCATTGGTCCCGGGTTGGAGTGAAAATCAACTTGTGAGAGGACGGCTGGAGGCCGTGACTGCTCGGTGTCTTTGGGAGCCATATCGTGCGTATTACGAGATTATGGAATCACTCACGAGGAGAAAAAAAATTGAAAAAGAAAGAAATAGATAATTACGACACAAGGGCAATGAAGGACAAGACGAGTAAGGAAAGCGAATCATGCAATGGGTAGGTGGCGTGTCTGCCTTTCCGACGGAGCGATAGCCACTCCAAATGAGGCATAAGAGGCACGGCGGCGAAGATCGCATTGCTCCAGCATCGAGAGTCACATGCACCAGTAGACGTCTTACCGTTTACAGTTGGTGTAGACCTGAAAATGTCCTACTGCTGCAAAGTCGCAGCTGATCGCGCCGGAGAGCTTCTTCTTCCTGCATATGCTAGCTGATCATATGTGGGCCCCGCTCGATTGAGTTCCGATTCAGATCTCACCAACTTTCTCAACATTATGATAGTCTCAATGTTGACAAATCAGACACGACCCGCGTTGAGAGATGATGGCTGTTGGACACGCGACAGCGTCCACCGCAGACCGTTCCCCGCTCCTGCAACACGATGCCTCAGCTCTTGTCAGGTGTTAGGTAGTTCATACAAGATAGCCAATGCTGTATGGCCCGGGAAACTTGATTGAGTGGGGGTGTCCTGTCGTGGTTCACGAGTGAGATCTGGATTTGGCCAGGGATGATGTGCGGCCCGCATTATGCAACCGCTAATTAGCTCCGCGACTCATCTAGCTTACGCCGTATTGTTGATCGAGGACGCGGTGTATTGCTGAAACGCTGTATTTGTGTTGGTGGGTTTGTGAACAAGACCGCTGGTGACTTGTGCGCGATCGCTGTGCATATTCTAAGGCACGGACCTCCCCCCTCTTTGTCGTCCCAACTCCTCCCTCGATCTTTACGTTTGACTGTCAACAACGTTCTAACTGGTTCGATTTAAAATGTCGATCATACATATAGCTGATGGCTGAGCTGAGGATATGGACTAGCTAAGGAAGAGAGGTGCGCACGTGCCTTACTTCTATTACCCTACTTCTCCTCGCCCAGTATTATCTGTGCCTTGGCTCTAGTTACTAACCTATCTAGTTTTACCAGATTCCGACCAGTATCTAACTTAGTAACAGCTCGTGTGTCGCATCGAAGTGGCAGCATTCCGTCGTCTGGTAAACTAATGGTGATGGACCCATGGTTGATTCCAGTGTTCCCTGTCAGGCTGTCCAGGCTGCCCTCCAGCTGAATGGAACGTGTTGGTTTGGAACAGAACGCCCGTCTTCATGTTGCTAGCACACTGCATTCGACTTGCACCGGAGAGGTGTGCTGGCAGATAGCGTACGCCACAAGCGCCGCCTCCGAAGCTGAATTACGTCTCCTCCATAATTGTGCGTTTCCTACTCGCCAACTGGATCGGGATGCCGATCGCCTACCTATATTGCCATCTGTTCCCGAAATGGCCCGTATCGCATCCTTCTCTACCACACGAGAAAGTCTTATTAAATGCTTTCATTACATTGGTGCCCCGCTTTCTCACATATCATTGTGTTGCACGATCTACGCATAGGATATTCTAGTATCACCCTTGGCATGCAGTACACCATATGCTCGTAGCAAACAGTAGTGCAAAACCGTCTAGTGTTGCCCTCCACTCAGCCAGCCACCACCAATGAGGAGCAGGCTAATTGAAGCTGAAGGAGCTTTGACGTACCAAATCCACAACACCACTCCCCACTGAGCACAAATACGGGTATGGGACAATATGCACGGAGTGGGGAGCGTCCAAGCGTTGTTCGGCGGCTGCCTACGGTGATCACTGCATTGCAGCTAATACCGACGATCATGGCAAAGCTCCTCAAGGACAGTTCTTGCAGCCAGAGCATGACGCCTCCGACAAGGTGTCCAGAGCATTTGCTCCAGCCTCCCCTCATTCTTCTTCTTTGAAGCTCCCCAGATACTTCAACTTCATTCTACTCCAGCTCACCTCACATGATCACACAAGCTTTCCATCACCATGACTAGTCAACTACGATCTCTACTCGGCACCATTAGGAAGAAGCCAACCAAGGCCAGCGATGGCAGGTCAGCGGAAGCTTATGGAGTCACGAATAATGACAAAACGTCCATCGTCAACGACGTGACGACTATGGGCGTCAAGAACGCCAAATTCGCTGTTGAGGCCGTTACTACGCTAGCCTCTGGCGAGCCTCTTGACGACAAAGACCTCTTGCTCGAGCAAGGTGTTGAGATGCTCCAAACCTTGCCGCCAAACAGTGGTCTAAGCGCAAAGGTATCGGATGGCTTCATCAGTATGCTCTGGCATGATTTGCCACATCCTACACCCACCCATGCAGGACCCTCTGCACGATACCGCAAACATGACGGGTCTGGGAATAACCCTCACAACCCTGAGATGGGCAAGGCCGGCTCACCATATGCCCGAAATGTGCCACCCTCGAAGCCGAAAGGTAAGCCCTGTTATGTTGTTCATCTAGCGTGGCTGACGCGCATAGGACCAAATCTTCCTGATGTTGAAGACGTATATGAGGCGCTTCTGAAGCGTGATGGTCCCTTCCGCCCACATCCATCTGGATTGAACCGACTCTTCTTCTCTTTCGCTACTGTCGTGATTCACGAGTGCTTCCAAACATCAAGAACGGACCCCTGGGTCAATGAAACGTCCAGTTACGTCGACCTCAGTACCCTCTACGGGAACACAGAAAATGAGCAGAAGCGGGTTCGAACATATCACAATGGCGAAATCTACCCCGACTCGATTGCCTCAGAGCGTATCATGATGATGCCTCCTGGTGTCGTCGCTGTGCTCCTCATGTTCTCTAGGAATCACAACCATATCGCTGAGTCGCTGCTGTCGGTGAATGAGGACGGCAAGTATAGGCCTTGGGATACTCTCGACGACAAAGGTAGGAAATGGTAAGTCTCATTAATTAACGCTGTGACGAAAATAGCTAAAATGTTCGAAAAGGCAAGACGAAGATATCTTCCAGATCACGCGCAATATCAACGTCGGCTTCTTCGCGTCAGTCGTGCTTCGAGATTACGTTGCAGCTATCCTCAACACCCCGCGAGCTAATTCTGAATGGTCTCTCGATCTCGGCAAGGAGATAAAGCAGGGCGGAAATCGTGTAGAGCGCGGAACTGGTAGTCAAGTATCCGTTGAGTTCGCGGTCTTGTACCACTGGCATGCAGCATTGAGTGTAGCGGACGACAAGTGGATGGAAGACATCGTGCGAGTCATATTCCCCGACTTGAGAAGCATCGACGATCTCACTATCGAGATGTTTCATGAGGTCATGAAGTACCATGGACATTCTCTTATGAGCAAACTACCCAAAGATTGGACATTTGGGGGCCTTGAGCGAGGAGCTGATGGGAGATTCAAGGACGCTCAATTGGCCGAGCTGATCAAGAGTTGCACCGAGGAACCTGCTCACGCATTTGGCGCCCATGGTACTCCTGCTAGTCTCAAGGTTGTTGACTTGATGGGGCAGTTGCAGGCGCGCGAAATGTTCAACGTTTGCACGCTCAACGAGTTCCGCAGATACTTGAACTTGAAGCCCTACGAGACATTCGAAGACTGGTGCTCTGACAAGGAGACGGCACGATCGGCAGAATTGTTGTACGGTCATATTGAGAATATGGAGCTGTATCCCGGCCTGATGGCTGAATGTACCAAGCCTCCTATGCCAGGCAGCGGTGTGTGTCCAGGGCAAACCACTGGACGAGGCATCCTTGATGACGCCGTTGCGCTGGTTCGTGGCGACCGATTCTTGAGCTACGACTTCAACAGCAATACTCTGACGCAGTGGGGTGCGGCATTGCTCTCAGAGACGACTCCTGGCGCTTACGGCGGTGTTTTTCCGAGGCTTCTTTTCCAAGGACTTCCCGGTGGCTTCACTGGTACATCACCTTACGTGCTCTTGCCCTTCTACACACCCGAGGCTGCGAAGGGTATTCTCAGCGGCAACAAAGTTCTCGAGAAGTACAAGCTTGAGCGACCGCCCAATGACTACGATATCGTCAGCATCCAAACCCAAGAGGGCTGCAAGAAAGTCTTCGAGGACCGAGAGAGCTTCGCGGTTATGTACCAAGCCGCAATCCGCCAATGTACAGCTGGTCACGATTTTATGATCGGATGGGACGAGCAGAAGAAGCATGACGAGCGCTCCAACATCCTGCATAAGATCTTTTTTGAGGAGGGCTTTGAGAAGAATATCAACGAGTTCTTCAGCACCAACGTCCGCAATCTGATTAAGAAGAACTCGCTCAAGGGTGCAAAGGGTAGGATGTCAATCGACATCGTCCGGGACGTGACGAACATCGCGCCCATCCTCTGGCTTGCAGAGCGCTTCGCCCTGCCTCTCAAAACGCAGGAGCAACCACGCGGCCTCCTCTCCATCCATGAGGCCTTTACCGCCTACCTAGTCCTATTCATGTACCAGAGCTTCAACATCATCCCCGCCAACGAATGGAAGCTTCGGGAAGGTGCCATGAAAGCCGCTGCTCCACTCCGCTCCATTTTCGAAACCCATCTCAAGACGCAGACTGGCAGGCTTGAAGGCATCGTGGACTGGATGGCCAAGGGCAGCGCTTTTGAAGTTGGCCCGCATGCTGACCGTATCTACCACGCGCTCGCTGAGACCAAGCTACCTCTCGGCGACCAAGTAGGCGACTGTATCGGCATGGGAGCGCCCGTAGCCGGTAATTTGACACAGCAAGCGTCCCTCCTGATTGACCTCTACCTCAGCCCAGGATACGAGCAGTACAAAGAACGCATCGTGCAGCTTGCACACATGGACCCTGCGGCTTCCGACCGTGAACTCCAGGGTTTTGTGTACGAAGGCATGCGCCACGCCGGCGTCGTGCCTGGTCTTCCCCGCGTCGCTACACGCGATATCACCATCAACGACGGCGTCCGCGGGCCCATCGCCATCAAAAAGGGCCACACGGTTCTCGTTGCCACGTCAAAAGCCTCTATGGACCCCGTCGCATTCCCAAACCCAGAGATTCTCGACCCGCACCGATCGTTCAAAGACTACACGTTGCTTGGTCACGGCATGCACTTCTGTTTCGGCGCGCGCCTAGTCGGCCCCTCGCTCGCTGCCACGCTACGAGAGGTCTTCAAGTTAAGAAATGTACGCCGTGCACCAGGGAAACAGGGGCGTTTCAGTATTACCGAACATACACTCGCTGGTATTACTATGAGGCATTATCTCGATGCCAGTTCCAAGGAGAGCCCTATCCCAACTAGCCTCCGTTTACACTATGATGGGGATGATGTGCCGAGTGGTGTCGACGGTGTCAGTGGGCTGATCAACGGACATACGAATGTCTATGCAAATGGGCGGCCGAGTGCGTATGCGGATGGTCAGTCCAATGGGCATGCAAATGCGGGTGGGGACAATGCGAACGGGAATGCGTATACAATCGCACCTTAAGAAGGGCAGACGGAGCGAACGAAGAACTTAGAGCAAGCATAGGGGCTGGATTAGAAGGGTTTATCGATATTGAGAGATATGATTTCATGCCAGACTGGAAGCGATAGACGAGGAAGTCGGATCTCGATATGTAGCGGGAGGGCTTGAATAGCGGGTCAGAATACTATTAGCACGGATGAACTAACGACTTCAGGTAATGATAAGTACTTCATGAATCACTTTGTTCTCGTTAATAATTTCCCGTGTGTAGCTCCCTATATTATTATGATTGGCATTCTACACACGCAAGTGGCTTGTGTATGAGACCAGCTCATCATACGGAGACCTTCCCCAGGTTTGAAAATTATATACCAATACTATGGGCCAAGATATCTAACAGGTACTAGGTGAAATTATTCCCTTCTTGACTGCACAACAACCACGCTTGCATTGACATCCCTTTCTAGCATGAAATCCGCCAACAGACCCAAACAGCTCGAATATTGTTCCTCTACCATCTCAACATTCCGACCGAGCGCGATGAGATCTCCACCATTCCCCACTTGGCTGACCTCGTTTAGGGCATCGGAAACAGCATCTTGTACGGGGTCATAAGACCCATATCGTCGTCGAAGCCGCGGTCTCCATGCCGACTCCGATGCGTGACCAGTAAGATACCCTTGCCTATTGTTACATTTGATGTTAACAACTCAAAGCTGAGGATGAATATTGCCTCGGTTCCGATGGCGGGCAAAAGGCGGCTTGGTATTTGCATTCCCGTGTGAGAGACTACCTTTGGGAAGCGAAGCTGGATTTGAAAAAATTGCCCATCGCCATCAGGGCGTTTGCCAATGGAAATAGGATGTCTAAGTTTCTCTCTAATGACGCAGTTGTGCAGCCTTCGGGTTCCCTATGAAATTTGCAAAAGGATTCTCCAAGGCTCCCGCCGCATCCGACTTTGTTTCGTAGGGAATGGAAAGGATCACGTAGACGAAAAGATCAAGGGTGAGTATACCTTTGCGTTTAGGTTTGGCTCGCTGATCACTGGGAAGGTGTTTTTGAGCAGTTTTTGCGAAACTCGACGTGCCGACACATCGTATTTGGAGCGTGTCATGATAATGGCTATGTAAGAATCATGAAGGACTTTGCGGCGGATGTCACCGTGGTGAACGGCTAGCACACCTCCACTCCTTCAGTATCGGCAAAGAGTTCCACAAATTGCCCTTCTAAATGACCAGAATGAATACAATCTTTAGTACCGCCTCGCCGGACATTCCGACACCTGTGCCACGGTGGCCCACCGGAAGGTGCCAAGAACAGTGAATATTAGAGCCTCCACCCAATTGAGGTGGGGAAACCTTGCGAAACTTATCCCAAAAGAGTGGCGAGAGCTTCAATCTTGCAAATAAAGAGTCGGAGACCTTACGCAGTTTTGATTGATGCAGTTGGTTGCAGGGTTGACGCAAAGATTTCTCAACGCCTACAGACGGCATGGGCTGGCTGGAGTCAGAAAGTAAAGGTTGAATCTAAGATACTATCGCATGTATCATTTGAAAAGAAGTTATGAAGTCAATTGCGGCTACTCACGTGGTCCTCTATCAGACAGAGAGAAACTTGTCTATTGGATGTCTCTCAGGGCGGAGGCTTGTCACGCTAAGCCCCGAAAAAAAGCCGTGACGAAAAATGTCATTACAGACACAATTACTCCTATACGAAGGCAAAGAGCAGGTTTCTCAAGGAAGTGTATAGCATTGATGAAGCCTCGTCAGAGGATTGGGTGAAATAATGATGGGCACCGGAAGGACAATCACAGTTTCTATCTTCCTTTGCCGTCCACAGCACCAACGTCACCCCGCAGCACCACACGTCATCTACAGTCCATTGCGCGAGTCTTTTCCGACTCCAAGGCTTCGTCAAATATGTCATGGCCGGGGAGATGTATACATGTGTGGCACCTTTTCAATAAGACAAGTATTCATTCATCCTCTTTGTACCCTGCCTTCAAAAGCCGCAACTATACTTTTGTTGACTTTACTATGGTTATTCCCTCACTATTCTGTTGCTAGTCGTCGCACAGACTGCTTTCGCCAACTCTTTTTTTAACCCCATAATCAGAACTTCATCTGTCACTCAATCACAAGCCCAGAGCAGCCAAGTCGAATGTCGAGATGATGACGTTACCTACATGGCATGGGCGAAGGACCCCAATAACCCCGACGAGATTCTGGAAACCAATAAATTTCTGAACGATACGGTTGTTGTGGATAAGAGCAGGTACATAACTTCCGTCAGACGAATTCCTGGTAGATCCCTGCTTTGGGGCGGCTTAACATTGGATGATTCCGCGCTCAACGAGGTACGAGAGTATCCAGGTATAGAACGTGTCTTGGTGGAACCCGAGGTGCACGAAGTAACTCCATCGGCAGGAGAGCTAGATCCGGGTTTACAAATGTACAACGATAGGGGTGTATTCGAGTCGCCTTGCGCACTCAATGTCTCTCGACGTTTTTTACTTGCTGATTCTTCAGCTATGGCGCTGAATCGGTGTTATTCAGCTTCCTCAGTCCGCTTAGAGGGCTAACGTTGCTGTCTTGATAATATATATTGATTGAGGCAACTTAGATACTGAGGTATTGATAGCCCCCATCTTCCTCTTCCTCTTGCACTTCCTCTTCTTCATCATAGTCGTCATCTGTAATATGACTATACGAGGCACCGTAACTACTCTCTAGGTACTGCAAAACCTTTTGGTACCATGCAGCACTCGGTTTAGTGTTATAGATCTCTTTAGTGAGTTTGCGCAGAGTATCGAGTTGCTGTGCGAACCCCATATTCTTGGCGAGAGACATAAAAGTCGTTATGTATGGAGGCTCTTTGGAGAACCGTGTGTAAGGGTGCTGTCTCCAATGACTCCTCGCGAGGACCTTCACGGCATCGACAAAGACTTCGGGAACCGACTTTTCGTAGTCGATTGCTAGTTGCTCTTCTGGTTTAACAAGACCCAGGAGCGAATATACTCGGTCTTGTGGTTTTTCACAGTGATTGGAGCTATATCGGTCGATGCATTGTGCTAAATGCCGACTTTGTCGGTTGTGTATGCTGTCCCACAGTAGGTAGAGGGACGGATTGCGAACCCCATACAACATTTTATCCACCTGTTCACGGGCGGTTTCCTCCATGTCCTGGAATCCCAGCCAGACCGTTCCGGCCAGTACATGGACTTCGCGAGCGAGGAGGACTTCTTGCACAATCCATAGCCGTGTGAAGTAGCGGTTACTCAATAACACTGTGAGGGCATCGGCTGATCTCGTAGCCGCGAAATCGAGCGCTGCGGCGACGGTGTCGGTGTCGATTCCAAGCCATGTTATAACGCAAGTAGATCTCCAGTATATCGTAGGCATAAACCGAACCGTATAACTGCGCTCGTCCAAATCCGATTGATTGATACAGATCTGGTCGATCCAGAGGTAGGTTCCATGATATCTAGAATCGCCCCGAAAGTAGCATAGGAAGTGATACAAATTCTTTTTGACCCGGTAGGCCCCACCGTTGATATGAATGATATATGTTGGATCTCCCAGATCGCCCCATGTGTATGACAAAGCGAAATAGGGCGGCGCAGACTCCATATTGACTGTTTTGATTTCGCACGATAATGGACCCCAGAACTCAGAAGGGGATATTGGTGCTATAATCTTGAGCAGGCGAATTCGCCGGATTTGCGCAATTAGCGGCTGGTGGACGAAGGCCATGTTTCAGCCTTGTGCTTGCAAGAAGAAATGCGGTGGACAAAGTAACCCGAGCAGGGAGATCTTTCGGCGTAAGAGAAGATGCCAGTAAGAAGATCCTTCCTGTAAATCAGAAAGAAAGAAATGGTGATAAAAGCAATAACAAGCAGCCATGGTGTCGCGGCAGCCTAAGCTAGTGGTTCAGCTGTGCCCGAAATGCAGGACCTCGCAGCCACGCATGCGGGGTCTATGAGCACCTACGATGGGACGGCAAAAGCCTCGAGGAAACAAGTCTTGGATATCGCTTTCAGGAGTTCTTCACGGTTCTTCACGGTGCTTCACGTTGTCTACCTTACTACGTCCACCAATCAGCCGAAACTGCTCCACTTTCCACATAGGGCAAGTTTTGATGAAAGGCGTCGATCGCAGCGGCAAATGGCTGTGTCACGCTTCCTACGGGAAAGATATCATATCTACGGTCATTATCTGCCACGGCCTAGGTGATAGGGTTAGTCAGACCTACACCAATTCAACCTACCTCAAGGTTCAAGATCCAAAATTAGCTCAGGGGACGTCTAGAGTCTGATACTGTATGGAGCGTTACGTCTCCAGTCGTCTCTAGCACGTGACATGTGTTATAATAGCTTGTTAAGAGTATTTTCAAAGCGCATACCCCCTAGTTGAGCTACTCTGGTTCTATGAAAGTAATTTGAGTGCGGAGATGTTTGGGATTATATTATTAGTTTGTTAGTTTATTGTCCACTTGATTACGGAGGCTCTATGAACTGAGCACGAGAATGAGAAGTTCGGGAATGCTGTAAATTCCATCTATAGATTTTTGTAAATTCCAGAGGGAGTGCTTTCAGCAATTGATGGTACTAGTTATCACCGCAGAGCAACTGCGAAACTAAATGAATATAATTCACTATTACCTACCACTCTTCAACCACTCAACCACCCACTCAACTACAAGCTCCCCATCCCCCACTCCACACTCATCCTAATCGCCTCATCCTGCCCAAGCACAGGCTCATACCCCAACACCCTCCTCCCCTTCTCAATACTCCAAAAACACCCCGTGTCCAGATGATTAATATCATCCCTCATCTGCGGCGTCACGTTCCTCAGCGTGAAAATCCAAAACGCCCACTCGCCTACACTCGCCATAGTCTGCACAGCCCAAAGAGGGATAACGCGAACTTCCTCCCGAGAAACCGTGCAATTAGCAGCGACATAGCACAGGCGCATGAAGTCGAAGAACGGCCTTGGCACGCGGTCGGTGACGAAGTACGCTTGGCCGTCTGCACCAGCTCCGTGCGTAAGGAGAGCATGGGCAGCGAGAACGTGCGCTTTGACTGCGGACTCGACGTATACGAACTCGAAGATCTTGTCATTGGGACCGATTTGGTTCCGCCATAGGTCTTTCCGCACGCTTTAGATAATCTGCGGGATGAAATTTTTATCGCCCTCGCCGTAGATGATGGGTACCCGCAGTGTCACTGTCCTTAGGCTGGGAGAATTTGCAGCGAGTACCAATGCGTCGGCGAGCGCTTTTGTGCGGGCGTAGGGATTTGGGCACTCGAAGTACTTTCACAGAACCAGCGATAGCTCAACTAGGGCGTAGGCGCTTTGGAAATCCTTTTAGGGATTCGGGGCAGAGGATGCGGTGTATAGGTTGCATTGGGCTCCTGTGATTTGCTCGAAGGGGGAAGGCTGGCATGCTGAGTCGGAGGATGTGTAGATGAAGGCCTGAGTCTCCGGGCATGCTTTTGCTGCTTTTAGGAGGTTATTTGTTCCTGTTATATTTGTTACTTCGAGGAGGGACGCATGAGAGCGTGGCGGTGGGCTTGCGCTGTGGACTACCACGGTGGGCTTCAGGGTCTTGAAAAGGGTGTCTACGGAGCCTGGAGAGGTGATGTCGAGCGCGTGGTGAACGAGTCTTGTGTCTTTGGGACTGGCATCGGGTTTGGGATTGCGACTGGTGCTGATGATCGTCGTCGCATGGTTGTCTGCGAGAAGGCGTGATGTTATGTGCGAACCTAGAAACCCAAGGCCTCCTCCCAGGGCCTCCTGTGACCAGGACGGTGCCTAAATCTGTTTCAATGGCCATAATTACGGAATTGTGAAAGTCCTAGATAAACTCTATAGTTTCGAGAAGCACTGCGAGGTTGGTGGGTCCAGGTATCCATAAGCGGGGCGTTAGATGACATGGCCTTACCTGATCTGGACTCGTATGCTGAGGTTTGGCCGGGTCATAATTGGTCAGGGTGATCCTACCCAGGATTTTGAGACAGAGAAATGTTGAAGGGGAGAGCAAAGAAATATCGTCATCTGAAATTGAGATGCGTTGACAAGCCGAGAACCTTGCGACAAGGAGCGATCAAAGTTTCCATCGGATGGATGCGTTTGCTAAGCGCCTTTGAGAACTGCGCAGGCTATACTCAAGACAAAGAAAATTGATATACCTGTCTTGAGCGTGCCTGAGGAAGAGGCTGTTCTTAAAGGTGCCGTTTGTATCGCGTGTTTGCTGCTTTATAGCCACCTGTAGATAAGCCTGTGCGTAGTAACGGCTCGGCTTTTGTATGACGATCGGGATCGTGCTGTCGCCCATATTAGTAGCTCGTTATTCAAGTGTAACCTGGCCGCAACAGCGGTGAAAATGCCTCGTGGCACAAGCCTCGTACAAGGCCGAAGAGCCGGTCAGGATGCTAGCGCAAGGCATAGCAAAAGTGAGACATGTCAAGAATGTTGACTGTCCGCCTTGCTGTTTGCCCTGTAACAGAGTGAGTTGTCACAACCTTTGTGTATCCATGATGTACATTGAGGAACGTCATCAAGGTTCGTTCGACAGGGCGCCACGAATCGTCATTCCGACCTATATGTAAGTCTAGTGGTGATGAGTGCGTGCACTAATCGAGAAACATGGTGTCTGACTGTGATCATTCTGTAAGCGCTCAAACAGCTGGGTATCAGTGGAGCCACGCTAAACAGACAATGGGCAACGCTGATCTGACATGTAGCGATAACGGTGATAAAAGGGCCGTCAGAAGACCACGGTGTTCCCGTAGTGTGGCAAGACGTGCTGACGGTCGCTTGTTGCCCGGCGCTTGGATCACGACACTCTGACATGATGATGCCGGCGTTTCCAAATCACGTCCACGAATTCAGTCGTATTTAGGTAGTGTGGATGTCTCGGCGACTCATGAAGGCGGGAGCCGTGCGGGCGGAGATTCTGCGCTAGTGAAAATCGGGGAAGCGGGCTTGGCACGCCCGGATCGTCAGCACCCGCAATTGGCTGGGACGCGCGGACGAGGAGGATAAAATCGCTGCTTTTTGGCTCTCGTTGATAAGTGAGCATTCCTTTGGGACGGCGGCGGTTGTGGATCTGAGATAACCTCCAGCGCGAAACAGGCGAAATGGGGCGCCTCTTATGAGAAGGATTCCACTATTCCGCTATAAACGGCGACGGACCCCCACATGCTGATAAGGCTGTCCTGAAGAAGTTCAGAAAGCCGGACGAGCAAAGGATACAGGAGGCGACGATATTGAGGCAGTGAAACGAGCATGGTGTTGTGCCGCGCCGCATGCGCTGGGATTGATAGCTTGAGACGGGCCCAAATGTAACGCAATTAGGCCGAATGCAGACGCCCAATACCAACCTCCGCGCCGCAATACATTCGCTGCTGGGCTATCAGCAAGCAAGCATGCAGTAGCATCTTGACATACATGCATCTATCCTCTTGCCGCTTGCCGAAGTGTGATGGCCACTCGTACTCGGGCGGTGACAGACGCCTCGCAACAGCCACCTGCTCACCACCTCCTCACTCTGACAAAGAACAACGATTGATATGTGTCGGATCCAAACGCCAAACGCGAGCGCTACTCCATATGGGGAAGGAGCGCATTGTCGACAAGGGATAGGCCCGGCGCACGTGAGGGTCATCTCCAGACTCGGCGTGCAATTCGTTTCCAATCACTTGGCCTTCATTATCCAATAACTTCTCGCTTCTCGAAATTCCATTGCAGGGTGCGCGAGACGCCGCAAAGCATGCAGATAAGACGGCCCCCATCACGTCGTGTCGTCGAGATGCCCCAAGCAGGCAGCTGGCAAGGAAACGAACGGCCTTTGTTCGCTGCCAGCCGATGAAAAGCGGAGCAGCCAAGGAGACCTAGCAGCTCTCTCCGCGTTCTAGAAAGGCTGCTAGAATGTCGCTACAGGCTGACTAGGCCGTCACTTGGCTCCTTATCAGACTGTTTTGGGTGTCATCTCCGATCCATACACCGGGGTCGACCAACAGGGACCCCTCTGGGAGAGATACGAACGATGCCAACGCGCAATACCCCCCCGCGATGGGGAGGTCCAAGCTACCACCAAGAGTTGCCGCGCCCGCCACCCTGCATTCTCCTGCTAGCGCATGTTCGTCCAACGCTTCTTTCATCGTGGTCGCGTGCCAGAAGCCAATCAAACGGCGCTCCAGCGTATCAGTCCTGCGGCGGGATGCCTGGCCCTTTGCGCTCGTGTGCGCCCGTGCTCCAGCAACGGAGAGGGAACAGCTACCCTGTCTGTCGGTCGCGCCGTGAGCCAACTCTACTGTTCTTGGGAACCTTTGTATTTAGCCTGCCCCTCTGCTGATCCCAACCGGCGAGTCGCTTTAAAGGACGTCGTCCCCAGGGTGTGTGTTTCCCTGTATTCCCGTCACTCTTTGCCCCAGTCTTTTGCTGTCCATCGCCCACCATGGACCACGAGAAGGTACTCGCGCATGATGAGAAGACGGCCGTCCCCCACCCGGCCGTCGAGACGCATCACGACCACCACGAAGGAGAATGGCGTGAAAAGGAGGACTTCATGACCCGCAATGGTCTCAACCTCGCGTCCTTTCAGCGCCGCCCAAGGGGCGGCGAACTCATCGTCCTCGACAAGTCGATGAAGACGCGCCATCTGCACATGATTGCCATCGGTGGTTCCATCGGTGCTGGTTTCTTCGTCGGTTCCGGCGGCGCCCTCAACAAGGGTGTAAGTCTTTCTTGATGCGCCATGCTTTTGTGTGCAATGCACGCGCTGACCTTTGCTGTAGGGTCCCGCTTCTCTCCTGATTGATTTCTCCCTCATGGGTGTTATGATCTTCAACGTCGGTAAGCAAAACTGTGGCGTCTTGGCGCGCGTACGTGTAACTGACCAGCCTCGCAGTCTACGCTCTTGGTGAACTCGCTGTCATGTACCCCGTCTCCGGTGGTTTCTACACTTACTCGTCTCGCTTCATCGATCCATCATGGGGTTTCGCCATGGGCTGGAACTACGTCTTCCAATGGGCTATCGTCTTGCCGCTCGAACTCAACGTCGCCGCGCTTACCGTCCAATATTGGGACGGCGCGAAACCCATTAGCGTTGCCGTCTTCATCACTGTCTTCTGGGTCTTCATCATCTTAATCAACGTCTTCGGTACGCTGGGATACGCTGAAGAAGAATTCTGGTCGTCCTGTCTCAAGCTCTCCGCCACCGTCATCTTCATGATCATTGCCTTGGTCCTCGTTCTCGGTGGAGGCCCCAGTAATGGCAAATACAATGAATACTATGGTGCCCGCAACTGGTATGATCCGGGCGCCTTTAACAACGGATTCAAGGGTTTCTGTTCCGTCTTCGTCACCGCTGCTTTTGCCTTTTCTGGTACTGAGCTAGTCGGTCTGGCTGCCGCCGAGACCGCGAACCCTCTCAAGTCCCTTCCGGGTGCTATCCGTCAGGTCTTCTGGCGTATCACCTTGTTCTACGTTCTCGGTCTCACTTTCGTCGGTCTCCTCGTCCGTTCTGACGATGAGCGTCTCCTTGGTGCTGAGGGTGGCGGTGCCAACACCTCGCCCTTCGTCATTGCTGGCAAGGATGCTGGCCTCCGTGGATTCGACTCATTCATGAACGTTGTCATTCTCGTATCCGTCGTCTCCATCGGTGTTTCTGGTATCTACGGTGGATCGCGTACCCTCGTTGCGCTCGGTGACCAAGGTTATGCTCCCAAGATCTTCACCTACGTGGACCGCTCTGGACGTCCTTTGTATGCCGTCGGCTTCGTTCTTCTGTGGGGTGGTCTCGCCTACATGAACTTGGCTGCTACTGGTGTAGTAATCTTCGACTGGTTCGTTGCCTTGTCCGGTCTTGCTGCCCTCTTCACCTGGGGCTCCATCTGCCTGGCCCACATTCGTTTCCGCAAGGCGTGGGCCTACCACGGACATACTCTCGATGAGATTCCATTCAAAGCTGCTGGTGGTGTCATCGGCTCTTGGGTCGGTCTTGCCATCATCTTCGTCGTCCTCATCGCTCAGGTAAGCTCTTCACCACCCTTAACTCCTTACAGACCAAACACTAACTTTGCCTAGTTCTACACCGCCGTCTCCCCTCTTGGCAAGAAGCTTGGTACTGCCGAAGACTTCTTCAAGGCTTACCTTGCCCTGTTCGTCGTCGCCGTCTTCTGGATTGCTGGATATCTCTGGAAGCGTGAGGGTTGGCTCAGGACTGCTCAGATGGACGTCGATACCGGTCGTCGTGAGCTCGACTGGGACCTAATCAACCGGGAGCGCGAGGAGATGAAGACCTGGCCCGCCTGGAAGCGCGCGTTTGCTCGTATTTTCTAAACACCTGCCATGATTTGAAGTTGCATTGTCTGCGTCATATCTTGGTGTTTGTATAATGCGGCTAGGGGTGTCTTGTTCAGATATAGTCGTGACGAACGTCGATGTTTTTCAAACGTAGCGTCTTGAGCGTGTCATGTATACCTTGGCTCGAAAGCGCAAGCGCCACTTGATACTTATATACCCTTTTCTTGTACACTGACTTGATCCTGGAATGCGTGTTTCATGTTGAACGGCGTGCGGCTTGGTCTCTGAGTCAAAATCCTCTTGAGTGGCCGTTGAAATAAGCTTCACGGTGTGTTTTGGCAGCCGCGTGCGCACGCGTGCGACCTGCCCCCAAAGGCAGTCGTGATGGCCGTTTTTGGAAACTGCACAGCTCCCTCACCTACGACTACCACCTATCACCGTCAATGGCATCCTGCTCGCGCACATCGGGCCGTACGAGTTCGGCTCTCTGACTGTACAATGACCATGGTCTCACTACCTATCCGCGTTCCCGTTACGATACTACTCGCTGCATACTACTACTGCGCATATGCTGAAGCAGGGTATGGTAGTCTCCAAGAGCTACAAGCTATGTACGCGACAAATAAGGTAGCCTATGCTTCATGCGGCTTTTGGTTCGAGTACGTATGCGATGGCAAGGCAAGGCAGGCTAGACGTTGTTTCATACTTGTCTGACTGTGAGGTGTCCAGATCAATGGTTCATATATTGAGCACTCTCGGCAGGCGACCGTTCCAACATACTTATTCTTCTTCTTCAACTCATCATCGGGGCTGCGTGTGACATGAAGGCAATGCGACGCTCTTTTCACTCACTGTGCGCTAGAAGAGTCGCAATTATTGAACGAGTATATACGTATGTCGAATACGAGATCAGCTCAGACGCCCAACGTGTCTCTAGTAAGTCACTGAAGTATGACTGGATGTACTAAAAGCGTTTTATGTCCAGTTTGCTTAGTGCACCCTGGAATAAGCTAGGTGCCACGGATTGGGCCTTTGTTCCGGTCACGTTATTATCAAGCGCACAGTAGGCATGTGGAAGACCATTAAGATCTACCAAGATGCTACCTAGTCCTCTCTACGCAGCCTGCAGAAGCACTTCAAACTCAAAGGGTTCCGCCAGCAACGCATACTCATCCAACGTCCTGGGCCCACAACTGCCACTCCCCAAACCATGATGCGCATAATCCAATCTCACCACCACCTCCTCTCTCTTCTTCTTCTTTAACTCATATGGATGTTTGGCCTCGGCAATATCCCTCATCCTATAATGACTAAGCTGAAAGTCAAACAATCGTCTCTGTTGCCCATCCTTTTCTACAAACTGCGCGAGCAAACCCGCACGATTTTCATTTCTAATTGACAAGTACCGCGTATCAGTTCGATTCGTGCTCTCCTGTGGGACCTCATAATCGACCCAGAGTTCGTCCACGCTAGACGTGTTATATCTGCCCACAGACTGTGAGAGTTTGCTGTCACGGTAAGATTCTCCCGGTCCGCGACCAAACCACTCAACGTGCTGGAATTCGTTTGGAATCTCCAGAACAAATCCGACTCGTGGCAGTGTTCTTGGGAGGTTTTCTCCTTTCGGGGTACCACTGGCACGGATCGATAGGCTTCCATCAGCGGAGAATGTGTAGGTCAAGACGCAGTCTATGGACCATGACAAGATTGGGGGTGCGACGCGCTGATGTACAGTAATCTTGACTGAGGCAGAGCTAGGTTCTTCCCATGACACTTTGCGCGTCGACACCTTGGCTAAATGCAGCTTCTTGTCGTCCCAGTCCCAGCCGTCTTGCGGTATATCATTGTCAGTGGGCGCGCGGAAGAAGTTGATTTCTGGGGCCTTGGAGATGAGCTCCGTCCCGGTTTGAAGCCATGATATTAGCGTACCGTGGAGGGTATCGAACTCCCAGGTGGCCTTCTCAGCTGTGATTCTGACACGATTCCTGGAAGATGAGTCTACCTCCAACTGCCTGTCGGAAGAAGAAGGTCGCTGTAGCGGTGCAATAGCAGTGACGGGGATCTGCGCTGTGGCGACTTCGAAGCCTTGCTCAAGATATGGCGTACTTTCCTTCAAATTGAACGAGAAATTGATTAAGACCTCGCCTTCCGAGTTCGTTATTTTCGGAATGTCGATTTCGAAGGTCTGGCCTGGTCTAATGCCAGATGGGATTTCGATTGAACCACTCTGCGCATTATTGCTAGATGCCTCGCCTGCTGTCTTGTACTGACACACCAGATGGTCGAGCGCAATGAAATCATAACGGTTGATAAACTTCACCTTTGTCTTGCTGGAATCTAGGAGCTGTACAGGCTCGATAGCCTTCTTGTATTCGACCAAGCCAGCATTGGGAGCATGATCAGAGTTGACCAGCCCATCCATGACGAAGGTCGCATCATGTACTTCTTCGCCAAAATCTCCTCCATACGCGTAGTACTCTTCGTTGGTCTGCTTGTCTTTTGTTAAGAGGCCATGGTTCGCCCATTCCCAAGCGAAACCACCTTGGAGTGTCGGGTATTTGTAGAAAGCGTCGATGTATTCTTTGATGTTGCCGGGACCGTTGCCCATTGCGTGGATCTACAAGCTGTTAGCCCAAGATTAGATTAGTAGGGGTATCGAACTCACGAATTCGCAAAGTACGAGAGGCTTCATCTTGCTCTTGTCCTCGGCAAACTTGACAATCTCGTCGATCGGCGGGTACATCCTGGAGTACATGTCCATCGTTTCTGCATAAATGTCCGCTTCGTAGTGAATAGGCCGGCTGTCGTCGTACGCTTTGATATGCTCATACATGGCCTTGAAGTTCTGGCCGAAAAATGCTTCGTTGCCCAAGCTCCATATGATGATAGAGGGATGCAGTTGATCTCTCTTGACCAATGCTTCAGCCCGATCAACATAGGCGTGCGTCCAGTCCGGATTGTCAGTAGTCCATTCAGCAGCTTTCTGCCTAGTAAGTAGCTGACGCTCACGGAAAGGTAGCTTTTGCTCAGCAGGGGAGAGTGCAGCATCAGCAATCGTTTCAAATCCGTGGCACTCCAAGTCTGCTTCATCGATTACCCAGAAGCCCATTTCGTCCGCAAGATCGTACAAACGTGGATCGTTGAGCTGGTGAGAAGTCCGGATAGCGTTGACGTTGTGTCGTTTCATGGTAATGAGATCCTGCTTCATGAATTCGTAGGGCACTGCACGGCCAAATTTAGGGTGATGTTCATGGCGGTTGACGCCACGGAACACGACCCTCTCGCCATTGACCTTGATGAGGCCATCCTTCATCTCCACTTGGCGGAAGCCAATCTTTTGCGCAAAGTGTTGCTTGGAGTTGAGCGACACAACTAAATGGTAAAGATGGGGTGATTCGGCCGTCCACTTCAATGGGTCCTTCACTGGGATGCTGAATTCCGTCACGCCCCCAGTCTTGATGTCCGCGTTCGATGAAGCGACGACCTGCTTCTGTGCGTCCAAAACTTTGATCGCAATCTCACCGGATCCGATTGCGCTGACTTTGACCTTGATCTCGGCGTCTATATAAGAGGAGTCAAGAAGAGTATGCGCAAACACATTCTCAATGCGAGACTCATTCGGGAAGCCAACCAATAAAACATCGCGGAAGCTGCTGCTGTCAGCTATCAATTCCAACATCCGATCTGATGAACGTACATGCCACTCAACCACCACTGGTCCTGATCCTCAATATAAGTCCCGTCGCAGAATTGATACACCATAACGGCCAGAGTGTTGTCACCATCCTGGTCGATTAGAGCCGTCACATCGAACTCGTCCGGGTTCCTGCTTCCTTGAGAGTATCCAACCTCTTGACCATTTACCCAGACATGGAAGGCAGCATCAACGCCCTCAAACCGGAGGCGAATCTGACTATTCTTCAGTTCCTCTGGGATCTTGAACCTCTTGACATAAGATCCAGTTTCATTTTCGGTGAATGATACGTTTGGAGGGTCAACCGGGATCGGATAGATGACATTTGTATACTGAGGGCCCTTTCCAAAACCTTGCAACTGCCACATTCCTGGCACAGCGATATCACTCCATTGCGAGGTGTCGAATTGGGTGGCCTGGAACCCTTCTGGAGCCTCGAACGGCGAGTATGCATGCTGGAACTTCCACGTGCCGGATAGGCTGTGTGTTTTAGACTTGGTCACATCATATGTGAGGGCATCAGCTTCCGATGAGTAGTTGTGGAAGTATGCGCGAGCTGGCAGCGTATTCTTGTGAAGGACTCTGAGGTTGTTCCAGTCTGGAATCTCTGCTGGATGGGCGCTTGAAGCCATGGTAGAAGATTCGACCTGAGAGTGTGCTAGTTTTGAGAAACTTGTGTTCTGTACTTAATGTCTCAATGCCTACCAAACATGTTCCCCCGCTACCCCACATCGCCATGTCATGCAGGACACGGGATGTGCCTATTAGGAAAGCCTTCCGGTCATGCATTGTAGGAACCAAGAAAACAGTTTGCTTCCAAGACAACTGGAAACCGTGTTGGCAATTGCACGTGTTCAAGTTTCGCCGGCGTCGGGGCATTGATACCGCGGGGTTACTACATTTGGCTACGCTGACCCACATTTTCTCCGGATCCCTCCACACATTCATCTCCATGCCCGAGGCTGAACCACCAAACATCGACAAAACCTGGCCTTCATGCCTTCACACGAGTTAAATAAGGCGCGAAACCCCCTCTTCCGATTCATGAACACGACGAGTGCCCAGCAGTTAAGCATTGCGCTAATACATTTAGGGGTTGTTTCTACCCGTCGCCCTTGTTTAGGAACTGCATCCGCTTTCTCAGAGTTTAATCCCTTGGATCGTGCACCTTAGAAAGGCTGGGCTGTATGTGAAGCTCCTTGGCCCCTATAACACCGTTGGGGCGCAGCGGCCGACCGCACTTGGCGTATGGGGTGGCCGCAGCCAATTGGTTCGTTGTGTCACGACGGGCATCGGGACATGGTGAGCATGGTATAATACCTCGGCGTGAGAATATGCAGAATTAGAAGGGCGAGGGTAAGACTCCGGCCGCGCCTCCTCGCGCTTACTAGTAAAAAGCTAGTCTTAAATAAGTACTAGCATACTGCACAACTTCTAAAAGTAAATTACTTTTTTATTATATAGTTTTATATTAGGAACTTTAGAAATAATAAAAATGCAAAAATAAGTAATATTAAAAGTATTTATTTTATAATTTAAAATAAACAATGATTTTTAGAAAAAGGCTTAATATATATAAAATATATTAAAAATAAAAATAGTTAAAACTATAACTATTTTTTTATATACTTTTTAAGTACTGCGCATTTTTAAAAACTAAAATTTAAATTTTAATATAAGTAGGCTTGCATTTTTTTTAAAGCTTTTTAAAAGGACTAAAAAAGCTAGTAAAGTTTTTTAAAAATATTAAGTATTTTAAAAATAATTACTTATACTTTTAATTTTTATATTATTTGCTGTTAGAATAGTTTTTTATAGCTATTTTATATTTACTACAAAAATATATTGCAGTTTCTGTATTTAAAAATTAAAAAAATTAAAAATATAGCTTTAAATACTTATTTTTACTTTAATTTAAAAAATATAAATAGTACATATATAAGCTTTATTTACTGCTAGTTTTAAATATTAAATTTATACTAGCAGATATTATACTATTTTTTGTAGTACTTAAAATATTAAAATAAAAAAAACAGTACTTATTTTTATTATTAATATAAAAAAAATAAAATATAATACTAAAGTAGTATTAATATTTTAAAAGCAAAAGCTTAAAAGTACTAATATCTCCTGCTTATATAATAAAGAAGTTTATACATTTAATTAAAAAAAAGCAAAATAAGTAAAAATAAATTTTTTATTAGCTTTTATAAATAATATGCTTAAAAATTCTAATATATAAATAAATAGCTAAATTATAATTATAGTCTGCAAGTGTACTAACTTTTATATTTTTAATTTAAACTATTTTTTAGCATTATTAATATTTAGTAAAAAAAGTTTTAAAATATTTAAAATTTTCTAAAAAAATAGTAGTAATTTTAGTAGCTATTTTAATAATAAAAAAGCAAATGTATAAATATAGTAAAATTAAATTTAATTTTTTTATATTTACTTTAATAAGCAGCAAATAATATTTAAATATTTTTAATATAAGTTAAAAAAGCTTATAAGTACTAAAATTTTAAAAAAATAAAATACTTAGCTAAAAAAAATAAATAAAAAAAAAGTAATATTATAAAGTAGATTAATATATTTAAAAATATACGCAGCAAATGCTTATAAGTATAAAAAATATATATATTAAATTTATTTTTATGTATATTAGGCTAAAGCATACTAGCTAAAATTTAAAAAGAATAGAATTGCTTAAAAAAAAAATTTAAATTTATAATATTTTAAAATTAATTAATCGTCTAGCATAGTTACAAAAGTATAAAAAGCAGATATATAAAAAAATAAGTTAAAAATATTAAAAAATAATTTTTTTTTTTTTTTTTAAGTAGATAGGGCTAGCCTTTAAAACATACAATATTTTTGCATTCTTACTTTAAATTTTATAATTTTTTTTTTAATTTTTTTTTTTCTTTTTTTCTAAAAAATAGGGCTAGTTTTTAAAATGTATAATATTTTTGCATTTTTACTTTAAATTTTATAATTTATTTTTTAATTCTTTTTTTTTTTTTTTCTAGGGGATAGAGCTAGCTTTTAGAATATATAATATTTTTGCATTTTTACTTTAGATCTTACAACTTATTTTTTAATTTTTAATTTTTTTTTTTTTAAGGGATAAGGCTAGCCTTTAGAATATATAATATTTTTATATTTTTACTTTAAATTTTATAATTTATTTTTTAATTTTTTTTTTTTTTTTTTTAGGGGACAGGGCTAGCCTTTAGAATATATAATATTTTTGTATTTTTACTTTAAATTTTACAACTTATTTTTTAATTTTTTTTAAATAGAAAGTAAAGGCTTTATTAGGCTTACTTTTAAAATTTACAGCATTATTACTTTTTAATAGCTAAATTATAAATATTATTATAGTTAAATTATATTAACTTTATAAATACAAGGCTTTATATAAAGGGTAAATACTTAAAATATAAATAAATTAGTACATATTTTTAAAATAGCTAAAAAGTAAAAAAAAAAAACTTAGAATATTTAAAAATAAAATAAAAATTTTTAAGTATAGATAATAAGTAGTACTTATATTACTATAGTAAGTGCTTAATATAAAGCTTTAAGTAAAAGTAAAAAATAAAATAAAAATTTTTAGTAATACTAAAAATTTGCTATGTAAAAGCAAAGTAAGCGCTTTATTTTAATATACTTTATATACTTTTAAAACTTTTAAGCTTTTAAACTAAAAATGCAGGATATATAAATATAATACTTATTTTTTTTTAAAATTTTAAACTAAAAAGTTAAAAAAAATATTATTTTAGGCTATAGCGTATAAAGCAAAATAGGTTATAAATAAGTTAAAAATACTTTAGTAGACTTTTAGTTTTTTTAAAATTAATATAAAAAATTTTAGGAATACTATATATTAGTTATATAAAAATTTATAAAATTTAATACTTAAAATTTAAATAATTATAATTTATAATTTTTTTATATTTATATAGGTTTGCTAGACTTGTTTTTTTTTTTTTATAGTTGTTATAGCGTTTTAGCTTTATATAACCTAAATTTAATTTTAAAATAAATATATTTAGTATAATACTGCAAAAAATACAAGGACTATATTTATAAAAAAATATAAATAATTTTTTTTTAAAATTATTAAACAAAGTTAATATTTTTTTTTACTATTTTTAATAGTTAATTAATTAAACGCGTAAGTACTAATATATACAAATTTTAATATAATTTAATATAATATACTACTTAAAAATTAAAAAAGCTAAAAAATATTTTTTAAAATTAAAAAAATAGTATTTTATACTTGCTAAGTATTTTTAAATTAAAATGCTTAATTTACTAGCTACTAGCTTTGCAGTTTATTTGCTTAATTTTAGAATTTTAAAATTTTATAAGTAGAATTTTTAAATAATATAATATTTTACTATAAAATTTATATAAAATATGCCTTTTTTAATATACTATATTTTTAATAGGGCGGCTTAGGATGTATAAGCTATTATTATAAGTATAAAATTATAAATTATAATACTTTATAAAAATAGCTATAAGGGAAAAGTTTCTTTTTTTCTATTTTATTTAAAGCATTTTTGCTATTTGCTAGACTTTATAATAATAATAATTAGTAAACTAAACTATATAAACTATAAAATATAAAAAACGTACTATTTCTTAAATTTTATAGCTATAATAGCAAGGTTTTATAATACTACTATTTTAGAATGCTAATTTAGACATATTAATTTTAAATTTATTTATAATAATACTTAGAATAACTGCTGCTTACTAAAGCTTTTTTTTTATAAATAATAGATTTTTAAATTTTTTTTTTTATTTTTGCTGCTATCTAGTACGATGCTTAGTAGCTATAATAGCTAAGTATTTTATTTTTAAATAATATTTTATTTTGCTTTTAATTTTACAATATTTCTAGCGCTTTATTTATTATTTAGTTAAAATTTATAATAAATTAAGTTATATTTAGTTATAAACCTGTAAAGCAGACTTTTTAAATATTTTAATATTATTACTATAGTTGCCGCTAAGCATATGAGGTATAGACTAAAATTTTAATTAAATATAGTAAAAATTATAAATTATTACTTTGTAAAGCTTAGATATATTAGCATTTTTTACTATAAAGTTAGTATAAACTAAAAAGCTATAAACTAGTAGGGTATTCTAGTCTAGACTAAATAAAATAAAAAGTAAATATATATTTTAATATTTTTTAGTAAAAGACTTAGTATTTCTAGTATTTTTAGCTTTAGTTAAAAAAAATTTATTTAGCTTTTTAATGTATACTGCTTTTGCAATATATAAGAGCTTACTAATTTTTACTACTAGTTTTGCTATAATATAAAGCTATTATAAATATTTAAGTAGAAAAAGTTTTCTAAACAGGGACCCTATTAAACTATTATGCATTAATCTTATTATTAATAACTAACTAAGCCTTAGCTTTTTAGCTGCTTTAAGCTGCTATAGCAAATATACAAACTACTGCAATTACAAATACCGCAAATACTAGTACTATAAATATTATAATATTATAATACTACGATTACTGCAATTACTACAATTTTATAAAATAAAATACTAATACTTAAGCTAATATAGAAATAAATTATATTTAGCAGCG